ATGTGGAGCACCTAGTGGTTGTAACAGCTGCGCTGTGCTCATGACAGCCGACCTAATAAAAAATGAAATATAATCATCCCATTAAAAAATTAACATATATAGTGTCACAGTAGAAATTACACCATAAACACTTGAACAAGCATGTCTATTCTTCAAGTATAAAGATACAAAATACTGCTCAAATAGACCAATCTTTCAAGGCAATATAATCCGTATAAGCGGTATATGAATATTTACATCAGTATACCCATAATATTTTGGACAAATAAAGATCAAGCTCACCAACTATTAATGCCAGGAACCAGCCCAACAGAGCTAAACTTGATACAGAAATCCTTGACATTGGGTCCAAGATAAAACACGACATAGCTGTCAAAGGAATTTACATGGACCGGATCAGATGCTGAGTTATCAGGCAAATTGGCTGATAGCCCATCATATTTGCTTGTTTTTTTTGTTGGTACTGCGTGTACGTTAGTACTATGGTTTACAGCGTCTTTACCTTTTGGTGACTTGCTAGCAGAAGATACAATAGTATCTTTATCTTTAGGAGCCTTTGGCGATTGAGGCTGAGTGGACTGCTGCGATCTACCTTGTCGAGAGCAAGGAATTGTTACATGCCTTAAAATGCAAAATGGTGTTTGTAAAATAGGGGTGAACCAATCCGCTCCAAATTGACCCCGAATCAAAAACAAGCCCTCGACAAACTCTTTACAGTCAAATTTGGTAAAGATAATCTGCAACTGCCGTTCAAGTCCTGAATATTCGTTTTGAGGGGTGTGCAAACCCAAGCCTGTTGTGGAAAACGGTTGGGATGAGGAAAGATCGCACCAAACACGTCCAAACCAACCTTGTTGGCGAATAAGAGTAAATTCCTCTGAAGAATTGGCAATAATATCAAAATGTTGTCCCAGTATAATTTCTTTACCAAGTTGATAAATAGTAGACTGGTGAAAAGGAAGATTAGAGTCGCTAATGGGAAGCTTTGTCATTATTATATCGCTCAACGGCCCCATGATCGTTGAGTCATAATCATCATGGAATGCATCTTTGTCGTGGTGACCGAGTTGACCATTTTCAGTATTATTATGATTTGAATATAACGGATATTGGGATTTAGAGTTTTCCTCGATAAAATTGGACAGGGCTGAAATATGGTTGGGAGAATATACATTACGTGAGAGCATATTGGATTGCATATCGTTATCTAAATCATCATCGCGTAAAAGTTTTAGATGGTGCAGTGAAAGTCCAGAAGGTGATTGAAATACGGACGAAGCTGCTGGTATACTGCAATCAAGATTTTTGGTTTGAGAAGGCTGGTGTCTCTGCTTTCTAGGTGACGAGGTGTTATTTCGAATGGTGGGAGAAGTATGATGGTTATTATGGGATTGTCTAGAATAGGAACTAAAAGACAAGGGTGATTTTACAGGAGAGGATTGTGATGTAGACTTGAAAGCCTTGGTGCGCTTCCGATTGGGCGTTTGCAACTCAGCTGCTGATGGAGGGCTGTACCTTTTTCTAGGACTCAGCAAATCCATGGAATGTATATCGGTCGTTTTAATTGACGATGCGGATCGTCCATTTGCTACTGCAGCGGCAGCAGTAGCTGCTGCTGCGGCTATAGCAACCGCAGCTGTTTCATCAAATCGACGCCGTCCCCTGGGCGTATTACTTAGAACAGGAATTTCTGACGGAGTATAAGGTGCATCGTCTTTCAAACTATGTTTAGATTCTTCCTTGTGTACTGGCAATGGTGTGCGTCCACCGGCGGGAATATAAGCTGTAGTGTCATCAGCGCCACGCTCTTCCAGGCAGTTTAAGCTAGAAGCTAAAGATCGCTTCCGTTTTGAAGAGGGGGTGCTTGGAGTACGCGCATATGTACTAGATGCAGTCTTCAAACTAGATTGAATCATAGCATCGGACTTTGAACCTGCGCCAGCATTAGATCTGGCTTTTTTTAAACTACGAGGAGCGTGTAATTGAGACTGAGAAGATGGCTTGGTATGGTGGGCTAAATCCAATGAATTGGGTAATGGCTGTGAATGGGAATAAACATCGGATGAGTAAGATTGTTTATGAGGTTCAGACTGGGTTTGATGTTTTTCATCGGCTTCCGTAGCATTAGCATGGGTTGACGGCTGTGATGCAACAAGATCGTCAACTGAAGCATTTGACTGTAATGAATGACTACGCTTAATATGCTCCTCATCGCTTCGTCCAGACTTGACATTTTTGAGATTTTTAGATTCTAAAAACGATTCAAGAAACGCAGTGGTGATTGTGCCATTAGGAGCAGCATGGCAAACCGACATCCACGTATCTACAAGCATCTCCTCAGGAACCTTGGAAAGCAGCTGGCAATGGGATTGGTATGCAGGTGGTCGATATGCAGGGGGCAATTTGGATGCAATCTCAGAGTAGACTTTGTAAGAGATAATGTACTCGTATGTGGTAGACTTTGAAAACCCTAGATTGCGCTTGGTCCACTCAAGAAACTCACGCTGGTTCTTCACAAGTTTGTCCACGTAGTAGAGGCGATGCAAAGTCTGGCCAATAACCACGAACGAAGAAACGTTTTTGGTCTCGTTCAAGATACGATTACGATGCTGATCCAACGACAACGGGGGTTGGGAGTTGAGTGACAGCAACAATGACGGGGTTTCAGCGTCAGCATTTCCAGCAGCATCGTTGCCAGTGTTTCCTACACTATGATCCTGGCTTTCAAATTTCTCAAGATCTAGACCCATGGATGCGAATGTATTGTTCACGCCTTGACGAAAGGCTGCAGAGCCCACCTGAGCAGCAGTTTTTGAAGCTTTTGAAGCTTTTGCTGCAGCCTTGGATGCCGATTTAGATGTATCGCCATTATCAACTATGGGTAATACAACAGCAGTTTTTGAATTATGAGCTGCAGTGCCCGAATGGGTTGTAGAAGGAGCACTTGACATGGCTTGAAATGAGATTACAATGTTGGTTATTCTAGACTCATCAGCCGAGTAATTCAAATGATAGCAAGGGAGTCGCAAAAAGAAATGATATAAATGAATTAAAGTTTAGCAATGAATAAAATTAACTATCTTATATAAAAGAAGTTTAGTAGCAGTCAAATCCTTACTCCTCTTATTTCAAAACCCTGTTGTTGTTTGGGTTGTAATTTCCAATGTCCTACTTCAAGTTCTGAATCTTCTTAATTTTTATGATTTTATTTACAATTTGTCCAATTTTTCTAGATTGTCCAACGACAAAATTCGATAACACCAACATATTGCAGCCATATCCACGTAAAGCGGGCCATTAGATAGCAAAGTATAATAAACAGCCAGTCTTATGACATGATTGTTGTCAATTTACTGCACAACACTGTCCTGAATTCTTTAGTTGATTAACATCTAAAGTTGCATTCTTGCGATCATTGGTTTTTGAGCTAGAGCGTAAACGTATCTGATATTAGGATACAACAAATACGAGTTTGCAGTTTGACACTGTCAAAACAAACCCAATGTCTGAATTGCAATCAATGAGTCTGATGATCGTACAATATATGGCTATGCCCAATAAAAACAGTATCAGCTCAAAGCCATCATTTGATTGTGCGCACCATCGTGATTAGACATTGTTCAAAAAGATGGACAATGCCAAAGTCAATCTGTAATAGGAAAGCGCAACAAATATTTAACCATTATTTATTCTGAAGCAAAATAGAGGCTCCGACTGCAAGATAAATACAGAAGTGTTCCATTTTACGTGAATACGACTAGTGGTCAAAAGGCGAGGAAAAGAAAAGCAATATAGAGGTAGACTTGGTGCAAAGTAGGGAAACAAAAGCAATATTTAAAAGCACTTGCGATGAACAATCGAAGGGCCAGACTCGTCATACTCCTGTTTCGAAATCCACATCTGTTGGAAAGTAGAAAGCGAGGCAAGAATGGAGCCACCAATCCAGACAGAGTATTTGCGCTCTGGAGGAGCAACAATCTTAATCTTCATGCTGGATGGAGCAAGAGCAGTGATCTCACGCTGCATTCTGTCGGCAATACCGGGGTACATGGTGGTGCCTCCAGAAAGAACAATGTTTCCATATAAATCCTTACGAATATCAACGTCACATTTCATAATGGAGTTGTATGTGGTTTCGTGAATACCAGCAGATTCAAGACCAAGGAATGAGGGCTGGAACAAAGCCTCGGGAGCACGGAAACGCTCATTACCGATGGTAATAACCTGACCATCGGGAAGCTCGTAACTCTTCTCAAGAGCTGAAGATTGGGCAGCAGTCTGCATCTCCTGTTCAAAGTCAAGAGCAACATAGCAGAGCTTTTCCTTGATGTCACGAACAATTTCACGCTCAGCAGTGGTAGTGAAGGCGTAACCACGCTCAGTGAGAATCTTCATGAGGTGATCAGTAAGATCACGACCAGCAAGATCGAGACGAAGAATGGCATGGGGAAGCTATTAAAGGAATTTAAAAGCAAAACAAGTTAGATTACTCAGCGACAATTACACAAGACACCACAATAAACTTACAGCGTAACCCTCGTAAATGGGAACAGTGTGAGTAACACCATCTCCAGAGTCAAGGACAATACCAGTGGTACGTCCAGATGCATACAGAGAAAGTACAGCCTGAATAGCGACATAGAAAGCAGGAGAGTTGAAGGTCTCGAACATAATCTGAGTCATTTTCTCACGATTGGCCTTGGGGTTAAGTGGAGCCTCAGTAAGCAAAACGGGATGTTCTTCGGGAGCAACGCGAAGCTCGTTATAAAATGTATGATGCCAGATCTTTTCCATATCATCCCAGTTTGTGACGATACCGTGCTCAATGGGGTACTTGAGCGTTAGAATACCACGCTTAGATTGAGCCTCATCACCGACATAAGAGTCCTTCTGACCCATGCCAACCATAACACCCTGGTGACGGGGACGACCAACAATGGAGGGGAACACCTAAAAATCAAACAATTGGTTTTAAAAATCGGTCACAAACAGTTGCAATCTTTGTTTTTTCGAACTAGAGCACGAACGTATCCAAAATTTTAGGATATATCAAAGAAGAGTTTGAGGACAGTCAAATTCAATATCTGGATTTCAATGGATAGATCTGGTTTCAAGCTTGATGATTGTACAATGCATGGCTATGCAAAAAGTGAAGACAGGGTAGATTTAAAACTAGAGTTTGACTAAACATCATATATGAACGCTGTCCATTAAGAATTGAGCGTCATTAGAGTAGTAGTCAAACCAATTTGTAGTAGCAAAGCACGAGCATCTAGACATTGTCTATTCCAAAGCAAAATAGTGAAAGCCGCTAGGATAATTACAGAAGCATTCTATTTCACTTGGATACGACTGTAATTTATATCACTTCAAATAAAGGAGCGGTAGGACAAGGGGCGGTAGCATTTTTAATGATAATTGACCAATAAAAATGATCAAAATAGAAGGCGGCGTTTTAATGCAGATGACGCATCGCGTTATGCTGGACAGGGCAAGCCAACTCGAGTTTGCAAACCAGATCTTCAAAGACTAGGACAGTAGATATGCAAAGAGGCCTTAAACTAAAAAATACTTACAGCACGGGGAGCATCATCACCGGCAAAGCCGGCTTTGCACATACCAGAACCGTTATCAATAACAAGCTATATTTGTAAAAAACAAGTAGTGGAATAAGGAGCATGAATAGTCCCGCATTGATGATGGAAACCCCATAACGAATTCAAAATATCCATTAGACAAGGGTCATAGAGAAACAAAAATGAAAACAGTAAAAGCAGTAGGTTAGTAAACATGTTGCACAATAAGAGTAGATAAAATAGCAGACATAAGCTGGACATAGCTACTGCTGCCATATCCAAAAGAAAGGCAATACATCTGTAAAGAGTGCAATAACAGCACTGAATAGCAGTGGGCGTGAACACAATATAATGGAGCACAAGGTAGTAGCAATAAGGAAAACCTACAGCAGCTGGATCGTCGGACATATTAGATAGTAAGAAGGGGTAACTTGAATATAGATTCTTGTGATGGAAAGAGAAGAAATAGGGAAAAGTAACCGGAATTTGTAGGAAATTTTCGTGTGGATGACTGGTGGCGGATCTAGCTGAAAGTGTGGAGTGAATATTGAGCCAGGGAACAAACAGTGCATTGCTTTAACTAGCCGATCGACACTCCACCCCAAGTTACTCGTATTTTATTGTAAGAGTCCTCATGTGCTGTCAACCCATTTTATACTAACTAGTTCAATGGCAAACTGGCCTTCTGTTCCATAAGTGCTAGCATAGGCTTCTCTCAAGATATCTTGGGATGTATATCGTATCTAAACCATAAGACTCAATAAGCTAGTCTATCCGCTACATGTTTAATTGTAATTGTAAAATATTGATAAGCAATACATCCGACTAATATAAATCAACAGGTGCAAAAATCTAATTCAGCAACATTAGCGAATCTAGCGACTCCAGCAACCAAGCCACGCTTTCATGTTTAGAATGCGCCACAGCTCCGCTCTAGAAGGAATCAAACCTCTGGACATTTCAACTTGGCTTGGATTTGCTTGCATGGATGGCTAATACGTCAATCTCATGTCCAACTAAATACTCGTTCCAACTCCAAGCTACACTTGTTGGAAAACTACTTTTCATATAAACACAATCTATATGGCAACTCAGTGTTACATATATCTTGATCAAGACAAATCTTGTTTTAGACAAGACAAGCGAGTCTATGGGTGAGATGACCCGCACTTTCCACATTTCAGTGCTAGAGCTTAGTCTTGACGTTGCTTCCATGATCAACCATTGGTTCACTAAGCCCTGTGATAACACCATATTTACAGCTGTATTCATGTAGAATGAAATTTGAATATATCTTGGTGGCTGCCTCTTCAGAATAAATAATGATTAAATATTTGCTCTATTTTCCTGCTACAAATTAACTTTATTGGCATTCTCAATTCAATAGATACAGCAACCATTTATGATACTGTCAAGCTATGGGTTTAAATCAGGGTTGTCCTCACTGAGTAATCATACAGTGTACAATCATCAGATTCATTGATTGCAATTCAGACATTGGGTTTGTTTTGATAATGTCAAACTACAGACTCGTATTTGTTGTATCCTAAAAACTCGGACACGCTCACGCTTATAATTCAAGAGAACAAAGATCACACATTTCAGTAGTGCAACTACATGCCAATCACCTAATGTTTACCTGTAATGAAGGGAGAGTTGAAGATTGAGCATATGCAGAACTTACTGGAGCTGTGATGTAAACACTTGTTTGGTTTTTATAACAAAAATAATCACAAAAACCTGTGAAATTTATCAAATTCACAACAATATTACTCTGTAAATCTGATATGAATTAGCTTTAACCATTTCATGAAGCTGACTGTTTATTCTACACCGACACCTTTATTATGTGCTTTGTTTTAGTGAACAAGGCTAAATAAAAGTCAAGACATGCACAGTTTTAGTCTTTGATTTTTGCTATTTAGAACTGTAAACATTACTTTTGTTTATTCGCTGTTTCATCGTCGAATACACTGGGTCATTTGTTTTCCTTTTTAGTATGACATCCATGAATCATATTTTTATACTTGATGATTCCCACTAAACCTTTCAACTGGATATGAATTATTCCTAGATGAGAAAACTGCAATGTCAGCAGTCATCGTCCACATGATGACATGTAGGAAAGTGTTGAATGATTAAGCCACGTAAGATATTGCAGACGATATGCAAGCACTGTAAAGCTTATCTACCAAAGCAAATCAAAGTGTCAAGGCAGTGTTTACAAATGCATTGCTTTTATAGCAACTGTAATGGCGCTTGAGAAGAAACTGCAATCAAAATGGCTTAACAAAGATTGAATGAACAAATATGCAAGAGCTGTAGGTATCGTTACTGAAAGGCTCGATCATCGATTCAAAAATTCATCATAGTACATTTATTTAAAACAGAGATAAATGAATACATCACTATGCACTACTACATTACCGAGACAATTTTTTCAATAAAATAAAGTAATTTACTTTTGCATTTGTCGTTCATATACTGTTTTTCTAGCAAGCAAATGGGATCAAATGGTCACTTGTTGGATAAATACTACATCAAGGTATTGGACTTGGCCGCTGCCCATCTTCAGAGAATAATTTAGCTCTGAAAATTGATGCATGGCTCAACATTGAAAACAAATCTATCATCAACTACATGATTAGAACAAACGGAATGACATTTTTGGAATCTCAACTGTCGTGGAAAATCATTTATCAGACTTTATTGCGATTGATTCTTTGGAACAAAAAGGTAATGAACTATCAGGCACGGTTAGCAACAGTACAAATGCAAACCGATTTGTCTGGAATAATCTAAAAGCCAAGTATCTTGAATTTTTTTATGAATTGCATGGTCTGGTCAAAAATATTTGCTACAAATAAATCTGGAGTGGTCAAGATATAGCTGACCATCTCAAAAATGATCTTTCTAAAAAGATGATAATATGATTTGACCCAAAGATTACTTGCTAGCATCTTTAAATTCAAGCTCAAAACTTTTGTATGGAAATATAATTTGAACGATTTGCCTGATAGCAATACTATTTATAAATTAGGTTAAATATATTCATTAATAAAATGATTATTGGCTTAAATTAAAACCTTTAGCTTAATTTTAATTATGCAAAGCTCATATCTTTGTACAAGAATGAGCACCAAAGAGAAACATCAGTAAATTAAGGTTTATAAAACAATATTGTTCAGTAAATTTAGCACAAATCATGTCAGTCCTGAAAGTCTATTATGCATTTTGACACTTATTTAGTGATCCATTTTACGTGAATGTGACTGTATATAGAATCTCGGTGATAAAGTAGTAAAACATTAATTTGTAGTAATACTAACAGAATCACCTCGTCAAATTAAAACATTTCGTAATAAACAAAACACTCTTGGCTTTGAATTTTTTCATTTGACCAACTCAAATTAACAATATTGTAATTCATGAATATATATCATGACTCTTACACAATGGTTTACAGTCTGCTATCCTTCTACCCCAATTTGTCTTGTAAACACTCAACCGTCTGCTCAATGGCACTTTTTATTTATCAACAATCACAGTATTTTTCTGTGCTATCAACTGCTGTCACTTGAGTATATTGTACCAATCAACTACTGTAAATTAAATTTATCAAGATAAAAGTATATCGATAACTGTTACATGCAACTTTGATTAAAAGGTAGATTTCAAACATTGTATTCAAAGCTTGTATCAAAAAGTATTCGACACTAAGCCAAATCTCAACTACCAGTAAATGAGTTTACGTTTTAAAACAGTTTTGCATAAATAATTTGAATTAATTAAATATATTTTTAAAAGACAAACATTTTGCAATTTTGAACTACAATCATCTACCAATTGAAAAACTAAAGCAACTAATATAAATAGGCAAGTAATATCATTATTCGTGCTATTGCAATAACATCGTGCATCACTGGTTGAAAATAAACGCAAAAGACACACACACTAACAATAGAATCAAACAGGAGTAGTATGTGTAGGGCACCGAATGATACCAGTTTTTATCAACAACGATTTCTGTTTTACTAAATCAATATTTAGTAAAACAAGAACGGTATTGATTATTCTGAGTGAGATTTGCTGGCGTTTGAGAATGAATTCATTGCCCTGTCATTGAGGGCAGTTCGTGTTTTCGAAAGTGCCATTTTTCACGCGGTTTTTTTTCACTTCTTTTTTTCCAAAAAAATGATGGCGTCAGAACTCTGGGTCAAGCTTGGAAGCTACAACGCAGTTGAAGTCTCTACTGAAGGATGTCGAAATGTCGACAAATTTCTCAAGGCTTGCAAGAGGGAGCTCCCCCGCTTGCTTGACGCTTACGACTCTGCTCAACTTTCCCTCTCCACCACTGCCGGTGGTCCTGCTCTTCGACCTGGTCTTCTGCTGTCTGATATTCTCTCTCAGCCTGGCTATGTGGAAAACACTGCCAAGGCTCCTCTCTTCATCAGTGTTGCGGACAGTTCTGCTCTACAGCCTTTGGTCCCAACATTTTGGAGAGCAACTGGATCAATCACTGGAGCTCGAAAGATGGGATTTTGTCGTGGGATGTATAGAAATGCTCAAACATACCTTGGCTTTTACGAGAAGCGCAATGGAATCAAGCAGGATCCCTTTTCTTACTAGGATGATGGGTTGTTGACGATCAATGTGCTATTTGAACAAAGAAGTGACGCACTCCACTTTCGTGCTGCTGTTTATGAAAATGTTGGTACTGTTTCTCCTCAAGGCGACTTGACTGTTTCTCTGTCAGTGGACCTGGCTTCAGATGCTGTGTTGGATGAAATGATTCTCGTTGGTCATTATGTACGCGACGATGACTCTCCACCAGACACGTCAAGGCCGCTCTCTGGAGTGACTGAGCTGTTTAACACTTCTCCCTTGTTTCGCTACCAACGGCTGGAAGATGAACGGTATTTTGGTGGTCTCTACAAGGCTGACCGGGCGCATTTGATTGACAAGCCTCTTTGTGAAAGGGGAAAGCGATTTGCAAAGTTTCAGGACAACGAAAACAACTTTCTGGCGTTAAGCAAGAGAGTCCATTGCTGGTTTGATGCTCTTTCAAATGTCAGTGAAAAAATCCCTTTCTTCAAGTTGATGATCAAACACGTCTCTTCAAGTCAGGATCCCGCCAATGATTTCCGATATCGTGTCTTGCTCACAGTGGAAGCATATAATGCGGAGACCGCCAGATTGTTCTTTCCAAGGCTCAAAGATGGTTTATTGGTTGTTAATGATACACAAGCAGAAACTTTTGTTTATGTCTTGAATCTTGAAGAATTCCGTGTATGTCTATCCTGGAAGAACGACAAGACTGATTAACTACGGCATTTCACTCCCGCAGTTGAATAAATTGAATATGCTTTGCATTATTGTTGATATCTGGCTCGTCTCGCCTAAAAACTGGTATGAGGTTTCCATTATGGCACAATTTCCCAATGAATTTTTATACTATGACTGTGAATAACGATTTCATATTGCTTTTTATTCAAGGACATAAATCGTCTTCAATCACCTGTAAAACGTCTAGATGCGAGATTTCGAATGTAACTCTTGATAATGTTGCATAGACAGAATGCAGTTCATCAATCATTTCCAGCCTGTCTTTGGCGCGCTGTCTTGATTGTTTCCAATGCTGATTAGGAGTTCTTTTAATTTGTTAATCGTTTTGGTGCTCAGAAGTTTGTTTCTCAGACCTATGCCTTTCTTCAAATTGGGTAAATCAATGTGGGCAAATATCTTACAATTGTAGTTTCCATTGTTTACTTCAAATGTCTGAACAGATTACAGCCTGGATCAGAAGAGTTGCTGCTCTCAATGATGCTGATTTGGACGAAGAGCTCAATTTGATCAACAAGAATTCACTTAATGCATTCGCTAGGGCAATCAGTCGCACACGTCGTCCCGAATTGGACTCTCATATTCACAGAAATGGTGCGTATGAACCACATCCCCACGCAGATACAATCAATTTGTTGCTTTCTATTGGAGAGAATGTACTGTCTGCGATCAATTCGGAAACACCAGTTAGCCCTGTTCCTTACGCAGTCAGTCCTTATATGGATGTCAATGCCAGAATCAAGATCTTGACCTGACGAATAAACATATACACGTCAGAACTACTAAACAAGAATCGTGTAATGGGACCGATGCCGAGATATTTGCAAATCAGACAATTCATTGGCCAAGACCTGCTTGCTCTCGAAGGATGCTTTCCAAATCAGGAGTTTGTTGATTACACTCGGCAAATGTTCAAATGGAATCACACAATGTGCCATTTGTACATTGCGTATTATCGGTTTCTGATTGACTATCCAGTGTTTGTGTACTCTGGCTTGCCTTGGACTACAATTCGCAATGAATGCATTCTCTGGAGGAGATGGCTGGATAGCGAGGAAGCAAATGCTTTACCAACATCCGATTATTCGTCGTCTTCATTCTGGGAGGGAACCTTACCACCTTATCGAGAGAACCAAAGTAAATCTAAACCAAGCGAATCTCCATCCAGCTTCCATTCGTTTGAGGAGGAAACGGAGGGCGAAGGTGTAGCAACTGGAAGTGAAATGGTGATTTCAACAAGTCTCAGCAATCTAAACATTTGAATCAATGAAATCTTCAGTTCTTCTTGATAGACTTTTTATACTTTTTCAATCTTTCCCTTTCGGCTTCTGCATTTGAGGCATAGTAGTCTCTGTAGCGTTTTCGTTCAACTTCCTTGTTATGAGAATAATATTCACGATACCATTTCCTTATTAGTCTTGTTCTTGAGATGAATAAGCATCCCAATTCCTGATGTATTGTAAGTAGTCCTTGTAATTTCTAATTGAGCTAATGGGTGTCATTTATTGTTACTCTAGAAAATAAGTTGCTCCAAATGTCTTTCTCTTTTTGTTGGCTGGGCCTTGAACTCTTGCCAGTTCTTGTAATTCTCTTTTGTTGCGACGCTCCTTGTTTGTCATTGTCGGCTCTCTGTGTCTCGGTTCAATCAAAAACGTCTCCGTTCCTTCAACTCTCTTGAGTTCATAATATTTGTAAGACTTTCCAAGAACATTGCCGTTATCATCTGAAATTGAGAACAAATATCCGTTCCCACTGACAACCGTATAAATGGCGCTGCTGTACTTTGGCACATATCCTTTTCTGAATGTTTGTTTACCTTTGAGTATCCGAACACGATCTCCAACTCTAATTGAATGCTTGGTAATTTTTACTTTCATTGACCCACTTGCTGGATTCTTTAGATACATTGATTCAGGAATATCATTTACACCACGGTGATAAGTGTTGTTGTAGTTGAATACAATATCTTCCAAAACATCAATGTATCTATTTGATTTCCTTGATTCTTGATAACGAGCAATGATATTCTCCAATGTTTTGTTGAATCGTTCAATCAATCCTTGTCTATTGTGGTCACCCACATTCACAGTGATGTGACAAACACCTTTTGCTTGCAGTAAGCTTTGAAATTTCCTGTTTAAAAACTCTGTGCCATTATCGCTTTGAATAAGAATAGGCTTTTGCACGTCAAGTATCAACTTCATTGCATCTGTAGTATCTGATTTCTTTTTCATCGCCACCACAAATGATTTCCTACTAAATACATCTATTGCGCACAAGAGATACTTGTATCCAGCATTCCATCTTGCATATTTAGACAAGTCAATCAAATCCACCTGCCATTGGTCATTGACTGAATAAATAGTTATGGGGCTGAATGCTGGCCTTCTTCGTGATTCTTTATGAAGTTGATGGACTTCTTGCTGGTCGAGAAACTTTATGATTTGTGAGATTGGAAGCTGTTTGTCCAGTTTCAGGTATAATTTCTGCGCTGAAATGAGGCCAGTCTTTGGATTGTAATACAATTCGTAAAGCTTATCCATAACCTAAAATAAGAAATTAAGTTTTTACAATTCAGCTGAAAGCGTTTCAAAACCTACTCGGAGTCGTTTATCATTAAACAATTTCATTCCTGTTTTTGTTGGAGAATACGTGTTCATCTGGTTGTTGTTGGCTCTGAAGCCATTATTACGAAATTCTTGGTTAGCATTGCCATTCAAGGCACTCAGATACTTGTATTTTGTAATTTCATTTTGCCCTTATTGATTCCCTTTGAACTAAACTTGTTTTCGTCACAATAGTACATTTTACTGGCCAATGATATAATGCAATCTCCTTCATATTCCAACTTGAACAGCCCAGGAGCTCTACTGTCGTATAACTTGTTCTCTAGAGTATCATCTCTTTCCAGCCAGACTTGCCTTTTCTGTTTGAACTCGCCTAATAGATGTGGTTTCACTACGTCTTGTAACGAACTCCCAGAAATGGCAAAATATGCCGAATCCGTGTCCATCATACAATACTGAAAGTCACTTCTATCAATGTAATAATCCACAAAGTCGTAGTAAAACTGCAGCATTCGTAACTTTGCCAGTTGGTACACTTGGAAGCCAATCTGTATGGGCAAGCTTTGTTTGAATGCCGTCTTTTTGAACCGAAATTCAAATCCATCAACAAGGTCTTGATGACCAATGTAATCTTTTACCCTTCTGACATTTTTGTTGTAGTTATTAGGACCAACAATCTTTACTGTCTCGTGTTTCAAGAAATCTGTGATGCATTTGCCATAGGAAGACTTTCCCATCAACTTCATCATTTCTCCACGTAGTTTATAATCAGGACTTGTATCTCCGGCTCTCCTTTCATTAGATACTTGTTGAGCAAACGACTTAAATGGTGCTTTGCGTTCGTACTTGACAGCATATGTGATATTTGATACCATCAATCCGTGTTCAAGATACCATTTCAGTAATTCAGTAGGAAACAACATCTTGTTGCCAAACATACTCCCAATTAGTTTCTTACTCTTGTAATTTGGTTTGACCTGTGCTTTTGTGTCACTGCTGAGGTCTTTGTATTGAATCTCTGTATTTTTGAATATCGGTGGCATCTCTGCAAAATGTTCCTTTACATGCTCAGGTACCGCAATATCGCATTCAATCTCTCCAAAAAACGATCCATTCATAACATCTTCCAGTATATCAGGATACGGCTCAATCATTTTATGCTCACCACAAGGCATATCTTGACTGAGGGCCCAGAGATACAACGCATTCGCATCATATCCAAGAATCTTCTGACAAAGCTTGCCTCCTCTTATTCTTGTCTTGTTCCTCTCGTGATAGTGATGAAAAACGATACTTGGACCACCCACAAGATTATCTCTGTACTTTTGATACAGTTCTTCGTTTCCTTTGAACAACTGAAACTCGCACTCCTCTTTTGTGTTCCAAAGATATTTCAAAGTAAGTCCAGGAATGGAAATGCCATCCTTGTGCATATCGAGATTCAAAGATCGAAAGAAATTGCAAAGTTTCTTTGTCGCTTCCACGCCAGGTTTAACATCTAAATTGTTGTAATCCATTAGCAAGTCGTATAAATTTGTATATTTAGAGTGTATTTCAATGTGTTGTTTTGATGATATTGCTTCACCTTTTAAGTCATTGTAAAACCACTTTTTGGATGGAATGGGTGAATGTTTGAGAAGTTGGATGACATTACCAGAATATTGCTTCAGTTCTGGATGCTCATCAGCGTATTTCGTCAAGTTTTGGGTTACCTTGAGTGGGAAGATGCCTTTGTGAACTTCAGTGTCAAATGCCTTCAGAAACTTTTCTAATGAGGTATTTGGAGCCAGATATGCAAGAATGTCTTTGAAAGTAAAGGAACCATTAGATATCATTCTGCATTTATTGTTGCATTTGATGATGCCATTTATCTCCTCGTTTGTTGGCATCCTAAACTCGCAACCCCAAACAGATTTCATACCGTATCCCATCTGCTTCAACTTTGCCTCCTTTCTCATCGTCTTCTCATACAACACGTTCATTTTGTCTCCTGTATGGGGATTAACATCATCAGGGTGATAACACTTTCGGCAGCCGTGAAAGAAGCATCCATTGAATTCATAGACTGTGTTTGTCTCTCCATCATACCCATCAGCATTGTATCGTCCAATTCTTTTGTTTTGTTCAATGTTGCGTCCCAACTCTTCCTCAATTGAACGAATCCATAACTTTTCACTCTTTGATACATTTCCGTGTTTCTTGTTATATTTCATCAACACTTGTGGGAGGTATTTCTTTATAACATTGATATCATACGAAGAACTGTTGAATCCATAAACTGGAAGAGCATCAAGCCATTCAAGTAATTGACCACGCAACTGCTTTCTAACCTTTTCATCCTCCAAAGCTGTTATCATTCCAAAGAATTTGGAGTACTTTGGATACAGGAATTGGAGATATTTCTTTCGTATGTCATTCATCCTCGTCATCATTTGTTCGAGAGCTTGTACAGGTGTACTCTCAACTGGGATAAATTCGGCTTGTAATTCTTCACTTCCAATCAAACTAATGCTCAAAAGCTCGTGAGTGCCAATATACTTGAGCTTGGAGTTCGTCGTAGATTCAACGGGCTTTAACCACGTTTCAAAGTCAAAGTAGATGAAATATGGATAGAATCTCAATTCTCTTGGTACAATAATACCGTTCTATTCAAGATTCTCAAACACACTGAGCTTTGGTTGATAGTTTCCATCTTCGAATACAATCTTTGGTTTCTTGCAAATATTCAGATGTGGTTTAATCTTTTTGAACTCGCTGAAGAATGAATGGCATTCAGGGCATTGAAAGACTTTGGTTAACTGAGATAGGTTGGTGCTATAAGAGAAATGATGGAGGTTCTGTTCTGAATCAGTGTAAACGTTCAAACACAGTGGAATCACAGTTTTTCCTAGAATGTCGTTCCATCACAGCTTTCTTTCCGTTAAATCGGTAAATATTGATGTTTACGCTGAAATGGTCCTCAATGCTATCTAGTTCTTGGATATCCACGCCAGGATAGCTCTTGTCAGGCTTGACTTTGTAATAGTTCTTGTAAAGCTCTTTTGATTTCGTTGACAATCTATCTAATCTCACATCTTGATACTTGTGACGAGCCAGGCAAAACCAAAAACACATATTGCTTGCTACGCTTTCAAACGAAACAATACTCTTGCTGTTTTTGATGAAATCAGGCAGTTTAATGGAGGCTCCAATAGGAATGCCTTCCAACGGAGTTGTTAGCAACACATATTCGTATATTCTTTCAATGCTTCACTTTGAATTAGGTCTTTTCAGTCGTTCCACAATATCATCGCCTTCAAGTTGTTCTAGAATATCATCCACTGAATTGTTGACTAGAGGACGCTCATTTACATTGAACAATGAAGTATTCCCAGACGGATAAAACTGCATTTTCTCGTATGTTTCCACATTTCTCAGAATGTATCCGAATTGAAGTCAAACCAATACCTGAGTTTGATTGTGATGATTGTTCAAGATATTCCTTGTAAGTTCATCGAATTCAAGAAACAAGTGTCGTGTCCGTGGATTGTTTTTGATTGTGGTTTAAATAGATATTTCTTAATATGATATCTTGAAAACAGTCTCTTCTCTTGTCCGATTCGTTTTCTTTCCTGCTTCTGAAATTTCAAAAGTTGTAAATATGCTTTTGTTCCTTCTAATCTGCTGCTAAATCCTTGAATTCGCTTTCTGAATCTGAGTTTAACTTTCTTGATTTCATTTCTCTTTCTTTTCAACAAATAGTAATCATTTCTCTTATATCTTTCCTTTTCTTTTTCTTTGTGGTCAAGAGCAAGTCGATGGTCCTTGCCTCATTCTTCATTTCAAAGTTCACTTTGTACAGTCCCACATCCCTTGTATTTTCATCCAACATTTGCTCGGTTTCATCCAACATTTGATCCATTTTCAATGAATTTGATATTCGTCGAGAAAATAAAAATTCAGTTTTTCTTAAATTACCGTGTCTCAATTTATGAATATTTATTTTGTTGCTATTTCTCAAACAAATGACTATAGAATCGTTTCTTATGAATGTGCCAAGTAAATTTGGTCCTGGCACAGATCCTAGTCAGTACCCGATTGGAACCGTTAGAATGGGTCAGGATAGAAAACTTTACATTGTAAAAAAGATAAACAATCGACGAATTTGGATTCCTTTTCAAAGAATTTCAAGTTGAATTCCAAAATTTATTTTCTTGGCAATGATTAAAAATCAATAATGTTGGTCATTCCAAGCTGCTCTTTACGTTCCAAGTACATCCGCACCATCCCGATCAATCAAGTCATTCTAGATCCAGTAAACAAGTTGAAGTATATCATTGAAGAGAAACGCTCCAACAACAATACGCTTTCAAAGGTTGCTTCCCCATATTTTGGCGACGAAGAACCACTCGTATTGGAAGTCAGCGATGAAAGCTTGAAGATTGCTAATCCAAACCGGTTCAATCCTTCAGTTTTGATGAAAAACAGGATTGCAGAGTTGAAAGATAAAGTTGTACAATTGAACAATCATTTAAGCCCATCATCAAAGTACGAGCGAATCAAGTATTATCTTGGAGATGAAAAGTAGCATTCTGACGGCAAGTATTTATACACCGCTAGAGATGGAATCATTTACGCCGTGAAAATGAATGGTTCTTTAGAAGAAAGTGAATTGGAACTGGAAGCCTTTATCAAATCAAGCTGGAAGAATCCTGATGTGTTTCATTCATTGATGTTGGGTTAGAAGCGACTACAGTCCAAATTGTTAGAGCTGTTGTCAAAGGAATCGATTGAAAAAGAAATAGTCTTTTAACTTGGTCGCTGAATAATTCCATTGAAAAATTCATCTTCGCTTGCGAGGGAGACAGAGTCTTCATCTTCACTATCTACTGAACTTTGTACAAATTCAACACTGCGTAAATCAACTGGTAAACTTGCCATTTTTTCTGAATATGGCAGCTCTTTCAAAGTCCTAAATGACTTAATTGATACAATTGTTTGTACTTCATACACTTTAGAGATAGCGTGTTTGAAATAGGCATCAACCCGAATGGAGCTTGGTGAAATGACCACTAACAACCATTTATCTTGCACTCTTATTGCTAGCAGCACCATTTCATTCAAGATGACTGCAAAGTCGGATTGGAGTTGATGAGCATTGATCAATCTGAATCCATTACATTGCCATCTCAAGTGTGACAATAGTACAAACGAACCTTTTGGTTCCTTATCGTTTCTTTCAACCCAATCCAATCGCTCGCATTGAGTAGTTATATGATTCTTGAAATATTCTGGGTTTACTAGTTCTTGACAAAAAAGACATTTAGAAGCAGCATAAATGCAGGTATCAGTGTGATTGATCAAATCCCATTCGAACACTGTCTTTTTACATAGCAAATATGGACAATCTACCAGATATTCACGTAAATTTCTTTCCAGTAGTTTGTTGTCGAAAAGAGTATTGTCTCTACAGGATAGGCAACTGTCTGATCTTAACTTGGCATAGCAAGGAGGGCAAATAAAGTGCAATCCATTATTGCATTGGTCAAATGGGGGATGTGTAAATTCTAGACCGATGATGCACTTGAAAATCTTCTCTCTGTATTCTGTGTTGGATGATTATATCTTTCTCCTCGCTCATTTATATATCTACCCAGAGATTTTATTATTTGATAATTACAAGAGTAAGAATGTTCCGCTCACATTTCGATAAAATAATTGAACAAGGATATAGAAAGCAACCAATTAATGCGACTGATTGCCCTAGCGAATGCATTAAGTGAATTCTTGTTGATTAATCTGAGCTCTTCTGCCAAATCAGCATCATTCAGAGCAGCAACTCTTCTGATCCAGGCTGTAATCTGTTCAGACATTTGTAGTAAACAATAGAAATTACAATTGTAATTTTGAGGCGTTGAGCATCCATTACAATTGTAATTGCTTGTAATAAGAACTATAACAAAGCATAAACAGAAAACGAGTTCATATATTTCTCAAGAGCTTATAAGAACTTCAACTGTTGCCCTGATGACCTTGACATATCGCTGCAAATCATCTTCAAATTGCATCTTGCCATTACATCTTCTGACCAATCCAGCAATCTCCAATGCGGCCCATTCGATGCTCTCCAACAATTCTCACTCTTGCAGCGACTTTTCACAATACCCAACTTGTCGGCGTTTGGAGTCTTGACTGCGGCTTCCATCAATCCAGTATAATGAAACTCGCTGTTTCCTTCGTAGAACTTGTCCAGGATCTGGTTTGGCATAGCCCAACGGCTGTTTTTCAATACGGAAGTCAACAACCTTCGCCTTTTTCACCGACCTGACCAAAGTTTGAGGAGTTGGTCGTGCAATCACCAAGGCAGAGGATGCGAGATATTAAATCCAATTGCAGTAGAGCAGCTTTGTTTGTTGTATCCTTGGTCAAGCTGGACAATAAGACCAAATGACAATCCTTGGTGGCGATGTAGATAGTCTTCTTTGTGCCGTAAGATGGGATGATGAAATGAGATTCAGGACCGACTCCAATATGATGCAGGAGCTTGTAGACGAACAACTCCTTTGTATCTGGCGGTCTGATTCTTTTAACGCTGTCCTCTGTGGGCCCGTCTTGACTCAATAACAAACACTTTGCGTTCCATTGCTGACACGGAAACGATGGGACATCGGTATTTTGAATAAGAGACAACATAAAATAATAAATGTTCGGGTAGAATAGTTGACAAGATGTAAAGTGAAGTGTTTGTTATTGAGTTAGTTGGGGAATGCCTTCTTAATTTGGTCAAGTTCCAACTCCAATTTTGCATAACCTTCAGCTGCGCGCGAATGGGCGACTTGGGGATCTAGTTCTGATTCAACTCTTGTCAGATCAATCAGAATGGCTTGAAAATCATAGAAATCCGTTTGGCTATTCCGCTTTGGTAGGAGAGCAACGTGGCGAAAACATAAATCCATATGTGACGATAGTTTGTCAGCAACGGTAGACAGTGCTTCTTTGGCAGCCAACAATGGGGACACTTGGTAGGCATCCAACTGCTGGGTATTGACGCAATCTTCCAATTCTTCACTGAGCAGGTCGTAGTTAAACTTTGAGCTTATCTTGTTCCAGGTTTGAAGCGACGAAAACTTGCATCTGTGTGGATTGAAAGGCATACAAAAAGGCATCAATAGACCAGATCGGCCATTCAGATCAACTATGCGACACTGCACTTGCCAGAGCGTTTCCCATCGGTTTTGCTCATCTTCTAGCGCCTTTCAAAGAGCATCCAGATCTTCATCGTGATAAAGAAACTTGATCACTGCCAAATTGCCACTTTCTGAAGTAACCAACACCACACGACCATCTCCTCCGCGATGAAAATATGACAAGATGTAGAAATTGCGAGTCTGCTTGGGTGGCATTGCATACTTGAAATATTCCAAGCGCTTGGGAAGTGACTTGTACTGGATTGATGTGGCAGTGGCGTACACATATCTTGAACGGTCATCGATGAACTTGGTAGGATTGTAAACTGGAGTCATTGACACTTTGTACAACAGAGTCGCCAGGCATTCAATCAATTCAGGATCACAAAATCGATAGGTCTTTGACTGGAATATCTTCACTGCTCCTTCTGTGATCGCGTATTCATTGGCACTGCCTGCAAGACACAGTTCGTCATACCGTTCCTTTGAGTCACTTTCAGCTGCCTCCTGCGAGTCTTCAAACCACAGGATTTTCCACTCTTCATACGTTGTATACACGCCAAAGACATAGCGGACATTGAATGAATTCCGTAGGTCAACCATATAATCCACAATCTGATAAATATCGTCCAAATTCGAGCCGGGGACCTTGACTTCGGCAACACCAGTAATAAATGCTGTGTCTTTAACGAATACAATTGCATCTGCTCTGTTGCCTTGCTTTTTATCCATTATCTGAGCAAAGGAAAAGGTTTGTTCTCGGTAAACATCCAACGATTTGAGAAACGGGCAAACTCTCGAGCAATCTTTCAATGCATTCTTGACATAAGTTTGAATGTCTATCTCTCCAGACCAATTATCGAGCGTATTTCGATCAGATAGCACGACTTCAGTCCAGAGAAGTGATCCTGTCTTGTTCAAGCGTTCCAGCTTGAGCTCTTGGAGTATGCCAAAGTTTCCAATCTCCACTTGAACTGTAATGCCGTAAATCGACTGCTGGCGAGTTGTACTTTTTGCACTGCTGTAAAGTTGCCTCCGTCCAAGGGGAGGAAATGCATTGGTGACGATATTCATATCAGCACCGGTAGTTCGTTGAGCAGAACTGTCCGCAACACTGATGAAGAGAGGAGCCTTGGCAGTGTTTTCCACATAGCCAGGCTGAGAGAGAATATCAGACAGCAGAAGACCAGGTCGAAGAGCAGGACCACCGGCAGTGGTGGAGAGGGAAAGTTGAGCAGAGTCGTAAGCGTCAAGCAAGCGGGGGAGCTCCCTCTTGCAAGCCTTGAGAAATTTGTCGACATTTCGACATCCTTCAGTAGAGACTTCAACTGCGTTATAGCTTCCAAGCTTGACCCAGAGTTCTGACGCCATCATTTTTTTGGAAAAAAAGAAGTGAAAAAAAACCGCGTGAAAAATGGCACTTTCGAAAACACGAACTGCCCTCAATGACAGGGCAATGAATTCATTCTCAAACGCCAGCAAATCTCACTCAGAATAATCAATACCGTTCTTGTTTTACTAAATATTGATTTAGTAAAACAGAAATCGTTGTTGATAAAAACTGGTATCATTCGGTGCCCTACACATACTACTCCTGTTTGATTCTATTGTTAGTGTGTGTGTCTTTTGCGTTTATTTTCAACCAGTGATGCACGATGTTATTGCAATAGCACGAATAATGATATTACTTGCCTATTTATATTAGTTGCTTTAGTTTTTCAATTGGTAGATGATTGTAGTTCAAAATTGCAAAATGTTTATCTTTTAAAAATATATTTAATTAATTCAAATTATTTATGCAAAACTGTTTTAAAACGTAAACTCATTTACTGGTAGTTGAGATTTGGCTTAGTGTCGAATACTTTTTGATACAAGCTTTGAATACAATGTTTGAAATCTACCTTTTAATCAAAGTTGCATGTAACAGTTATCGATATACTTTTATCTTGATAAATTTAATTTACAGTAGTTGATTGGTACAATATACTCAAGTGACAGCAGTTGATAGCACAGAAAAATACTGTGATTGTTGATAAATAAAAAGTGCCATTGAGCAGACGGTTGAGTGTTTACAAGACAAATTGGGGTAGAAGGATAGCAGACTGTAAACCATTGTGTAAGAGTCATGATATATATTCATGAATTACAATATTGTTAATTTGAGTTGGTCAAATGAAAAAATTCAAAGCCAAGAGTGTTTTGTTTATTACGAAATGTTTTAATTTGACGAGGTGATTCTGTTAGTATTACTACAAATTAATGTTTTACTACTTTATCACCGAGATTCTATATACAGTCACATTCACGTAAAATGGATCACTAAATAAGTGTCAAAATGCATAATAGACTTTCAGGACTGACATGATTTGTGCTAAATTTACTGAACAATATTGTTTTATAAACCTTAATTTACTGATGTTTCTCTTTGGTGCTCATTCTTGTACAAAAATACAGAGCGAGTATTCACATCACATTCGTGTTCTAATACATTTCACATTTTTGACATCTTTTCAACCTTCAGTTTTTCTTTTTTTAAAACAAACACTTGAAGTGGACATTACGCGACTGGCATGGAAACAACTGTTGCATTTCTAAAACGTGTGGTCTTTTTTGAGTCAAAACGCAAATGTATCCGAGTTTTTAGGATACAGCAGAGCTTGTTCAATGTCATGGTCATGCCAGATATTTCTGTTGTTGTAAAATCAACGTCTGCAATAGCAATCACAATGTATGGATGTGATTTGTGTAGTGACTTCTTTTTCCTTGTTTGTTTTCGGTTTGTAGTAAAGGAAATTTGAACTAAAAGTGTAAAAGTGTTGTGTTCCTACACGTTTTTTACTTTGTTGATCTGCCTTTACCAGATCCTCGACTCAAAAACAGCATTGTTCAGAAAACAGTTTTTGGCGGGTTTATCATTCTAATCATGTTCTTTTTATAATATATTGTCATGAAAACTAATACATCAAATGATTTATTGATGCCCTAACAACCCTGTAGTCATCAACACTTGGATGAGACGTTGTGAGCGCACTCATGGACCTTACCAAGCGCAAATGTTGGTCAACAATGTCAATGATTTCGACAATATTACTACAAAAACCAATTCTTGTGAATGACGGACAGATTGGCAACAATGAACATGTCCAGACTTTTGTTGACAATATTCAAACAAACTTGATGTTTGGATTGCAATGTACAAGTCTGTTATCAAACTTGGGACTGTACAATGTATGGCTATGTCAAAAGTAAAGGAGATGCTCAAAACTGTAGTTTGACTGTACTTTATATGTTGGACATTGTTTAAAAGGATTGAGTTTCAGTTCAACCATACAGGAATCCAAATGGTGGCGCAGTTGGTTGATGGAAATTGATAGTTGGCAATAGGCTTGTTTGATGGGTTAGCCGAAAATGTCAAACAAATTAAAAATTCACATCAATGTCAACAGGACTTTAGCATACAGACCGTTAGATCTAGATACAAACGCTTTGGGAGAATCAGGTCTCGTATGGGATGCAAAGGGTGAGTCATCCTTTTAATAGTGATTACAGCCAAAGTCCTTGTCGAGTATTTGGCTTGTACATTGAAACATCAACTGACAATAGTCTTATTCAACTCATCCCAGATGCACAGATCCTTCGCAGGAAATGGCGCATTATTGGTGGTTTTGTTGGCAGTCTTGTTTTGTCACCACTACAAAATACATTACATGGCCTTCCACTACTCCTGTCTCCCGAGCAAGTGCATTTTCTGATTTCAAATGGCGTAGGGGTACTCATAAATGATGAGCTATCACATTTAATCCCCACTGCTGCCGACATTGAATGTCAAAGGGTAGAACTTTCTGAACATATGGATACCTATAATGCTATGCAAATCAGATATGCTGCTCATATGACAAAGATACATCTTGAAACAATGCATCAAAAAGACACAACTGGAAGAATTCAATCTGCTCTAAATTCAAGTATTCCACCAAGTATTCCAGTCTCGACCAATCATCAATCTAATAGCCTGCCATGGTATAATGCGGTGCCGGTAGATCCTGGATTAGGAATGCATTTACAGAGCCGTCAGAATATTCGGAATACAGTGTTTTTGTTTTTGTGGCGTGCAGGTTGGTTTATTTCATCTGGCAGTAAGTTTGGTGGAGATTTCTTATTGTATCCTCGAGATCCGTCATTATGTCATGCAATGTATATAGTAAAGATAGTCGACTCAGATCAACAGATAACAGGAGCTGATATCGTTCGTGCTGGGCGACTTGCTACATTTAGTAAAAAGATCTTTATGTACTGCTACTTGGATCTCTTGACAGATAACGTCCATTCAATCCCCATTTCATGGGTAAAATAAAACAGTAAATCCGAATTTTTATAGCAGATCAATGGCATAGCTGTGATTACAAATGCATTTGAAAATTGAGGATTATCTTCAGTCTAGCCTCTCATTTCATGTCGTATATTTTATTGCATGACAAACTGTCTCAAGCACTAGGTGGGTGTTTTTTGAGAGATCTTAAGACACAGTGCGGTATCATACAGACTATGATGCCGACTACCAATAAATAAACGAAACTCTTTTGCTAATTCAAGGCATTCTTCCAACGAAACGTACTGGTTCAACTCGTCTATAAAAGTATCAAGTGACGCAGAAATCAGACTTTGAATTTTAATGGTGCGTTTGCTGTAGTCGTAGAGCAAACGCTTAAACTTTTTGTTTATACTTGTGGGTGCAATTCTTGCCACCTGTAAGATTGGTGTCAGTACAAATGGTGGTACATTTCAGAATGCATTCTATATTTAACAACAATTCCATTATTGCAATGGCATGTGAGTTTAACTCTAGGTTTCTTACCTTTTCCATAAACTGTCTAGGATCGTTTACGGAAAGTACATTTTTTGGCGGTAACAAAGGCTTGTCAAGAGTGACTGGAGTACTGATATTTTCAGCTTGTAAAATATGTTGAGCAGAATAAACTGGCCGAGACACGATGGGGAATGGTGTCAGGTTATTCGTAGAATCTGAAGGTACGATTGCATTGCAATGCAAAGTATGATTGGATGAATATTTTGTAGTTTCCAAACGTTGCTCGACGGCGCAGTCAAGGCTTGGCTTTTTGATTGTAACATGTCCCAATCAAAAAGTAGTGTTGGCATCAAAATCATACCATTTAAAAAAACAAGTCAATTACCTTTGATTGAACTGGTTGGAGTCGCGATGGATTTGAAAGTGGGTCGTGGATATGCTAAATCAAGCCAAAGTTAGCATACATTCTATTTCCAATAATCATACGGCAAAAATTGAACTTACCTGGTAAGTTCGCTTTACATATTTTTGAGAACTAGCAGAACCAAATCGCGAAGCATCTCGCAAAGGATCGTGCTCTAATTTTAAAGCATACTATCAAAAGGTACACAGATCCAGAAAAGGTGAGAAATGTAAAGACCTTAAAGTACGATAGATTTGGCTAAGCTTACATATGGAATTTTTTGTTGTGTGGTGTGAATAAATGGTGCAGCTTTTCCACAATTGATTGATGTGATTGGAAGAATCTTGTGTGTGATGGCCACAGGTCGAGATAACGGATCTGCAACTAGAGATGAGTTGCATAATATTTGATGGCTGAGGCTGGTATTATTTCTATTATTGCCCATTAATTCCCTATTTGTGGCTCCTTTAAAAAATTCTATTAATTGATTCCGTGTGCCCTCGAATGTTTTCTGTAGTGTTACAAGCACACATATGTAAGCATACACAATAGACTATAATCAGACAGCATTACAAAAGTTGAGTAACTTGCTGGAATATTGATGCTGGAGCGAAGCCAATGGGGCAAATTTCTAATAGTTTTTGTCTCTTGAAATCGTTCATCACAAAGTAGGATTGCTCCAAAGTCATTCTTATGCCGAATACTATATAATATAGTATGCAATAAATTGATTATTTTGAAGATTAGAGGCAAAAGTATAAATGCTCTATAGATTGTGGAAAAGTTAAATAACTTCAAGAAACGTACACACGGCCAATTGCTTGATTGACGGATCGACATGCTTGTTGAAGATACCATTCTTTACCCCTTATTCTTCCCTAAATTGCCCGCATATTATACAATATATGGTGTGATCTTGTTATTATAATTTAACAAGACGTACCAGTATTATAGTAAATTACCTGTGATTTTGCAGCAGCCGAATCCAAATATTTTTGTTTCAGCATGACATTTGGATCCTTATACGTAGGATAAGGAATACCATATATTACTACAGCTCGACCTTTACGGTCACTAAAATCAATACCTTCGCTCACTCTTCCACGGCAGATTGCAAAAAAAATTGGCGGTGGCCACTTCTTTTGATCAATTCGCTCTTCAAAGCTCTTCATCGCTAAAACAAATTCTTGTTGATTTCGTGATTCCATTATTGGGTATTTCAATTCTGAAATGGACTCCCATATTGATTTGGAGATCAAATCATTTGAAGGCTAATTGTATATCAGGTGTATAGTTAATGAAGCGGTATAATTAAAGCAGTCTAAATTTCATGAGATAAACCACAGCATACCTGTTTCCATACACTAATGCATGTATTCATGATTGAATAGGAGGTAAAGAAAACAAGCATGCCATCCGGAACAATTTTGGCAAATTCAATAATGGCATTTCCAAATTCTTTGGTACTGTTGTTGGTTTCACGCGATTTGTAGGCAGTTGATATTGGAATGTTTTGTGAACCTTTAGTCACAACGCTAATATATACCTGAGATTGATCAATAACGTGTGTGTTTTCTAATCGATGTGGAAATGGGCTAACATTGAATTGTCGGTAATACCAATATTAAAAAATAAATATAGCAACATGACTTTCACTCAAATTACACATCAAGTACATACATTCCCATTTCATCTGAAAATCCATCTAGCGGACTCTGGTAAAATATTCAAGTTGAATAAAAATACTTGGTGAGACTTGCAATTCAGTTAATAGTAAGATCAACTCAAAACTCTCTTACAAGGGTACCAGAAGCTACAACTATCGATCGAACTTTCATTCGCTTTAGTTCCTGCATAGCTACACCAGAATTAAAGCACCAGAAGCTCAATAGAATGTCTTGATTATTTTTATCAGGAATAAAACCATAGTGTGTAGCAGATTTACTGTCAGATTTAGTACTAGTGTACTGAATGTAAATCTAAAAGGCACACGTTACCATTCAAAATTAGCTTCAAAGTTAATGGTATTTTAACAATACGGACTATCAGTTAGATTCTTACCATGTAGTGAGAAAGAGCCGAATGATCTTCATTGGCCGCTTGAACCGCGATCCGAAGTGCACTTTTGAATGTCAATAGCGAAGGATGTTGCCTTTTTTTTACAAAGATTTGATCTTTATATTCAAGTTAAATTAAAGCAATCCAGTTTTCAACAATATAGTTCAAAACATAGTATTTTGATATTTTACCATATGTTAATATGCCCAAACAAGTATCAACAACTTTTGAATTGAAATTTTGAACAACGCCGTCAAGCTCAACTGGGCCAAAAAGTTTTAAAATATAACTTCCTTCTAGCTCTTTGCTGGAAACTCTTGGAGTGCTCAGAAGCTTCTGAATGTTTATTTTCAGATTTAAAAGCAAGGCTAAAATATAGATTCAGTCAAATAGTATTACCGGTGCTGTTTAGTTGAGATACTCGGCAGACAACACATGCCAAACGATCATGTAGATTCATGCATACCTTGTAGTATTAGTATCTCGTCCATATCAATTTCAAAAAAAAACTCTTGTTGTTTAAGCCGATGAGTTGACAGAATCTTGATGCATGTATCCAGTTCCTGGATTGATAACTCCAAGTCATGTGTTGATATTTCAAATGAAGTTGCATCATTGCAACATGATTCCTAATATATCCCGGTGGCATTTGACGCGATTAAAACCAAAGCATTAAAGCGTGTAAAATTACAAGTATACAAGTAGATTAAATGCCTTCACTTGCCATATTATGCCCTAAATGCTCATTGTATATCAATTGAAAACCATTTTAGAGTAAATTTACAATAGCAAGGGCTTATGAAAAGTATACCTTCATCAAATATAATAATGGAATTTCTAGTGATACAATCAAAAGTGTAAAGTTACGAATTAAACCTCAAGTTTGACAAAAACTGGCTATTTCAATTAACAACTTACTCGAGAGAGAAATTTTGCGAATTGCGCGAGTTTCTATCTACAAGATAATTATAAGGGAGAAAAATAATATCTGCGCGAGGCTGAATTGCTTTGGACATATAATATGGACATGCTTTTCGTTCTCGACCAAATACAACTAGATCTTCTATATCCATGATGAGTGCTGTTGCAGCAGCGTGATTATGCAATCCTATACAACGATGGTGTCCGCATGTACATCAATCGGAACAAATAAATACGTTTCTCATTGTCAAAATATATACAACGCAGACCCAAAAATATTATATATAATTGTATGAAAAAATCAAACTATTACACACCTTCAGATTCTGCGTGATACGAACATGTTTGTTTCTGAACCATTGATTTACATAGACTAGCGCGAAGCGTGTTCTTTACTTGTGCAACAGCGGGGTTGATACACATTTGATCTCGACTTCCAACGACAGTGCATACAGCATTTCTGAATAAAGTTTGATGTTAAGTTGTTTGCGACAATTTCAGTGGTATATGTTGAGTATAGTCATATCAATTATCCCAACCAAGAGCCAAGACTTTCTCAACACAATACCATCAAAGCTTACCTATATGCAGTATTGCGAAGCTCTGAAATTGCTTGGGACAGCTGGGAATGAGTTCTCTATATTGTATTTTATAGCAAAAGTGTTTACAATAATCACATGTCAGTAAAGTAAAATCGATTGAATGTTTAAGCTTGATAACTCGATACTTACAGATGCAAAGAATATTTGGGGTGGTTTACCAATAGGACGATCGTCTAATGCGGGGTGAACGCACCATCATGGCATACATATAAATAAAAACAAATATTATATATACTATCCTAGACAGCTGTTGATAGTTTAACAAGCAGATACGAGCAAAGGTAATGGGGTTTCATGTCTATAGATTTGCATGTTACGAGACACAAGATCTAACCTGAATGCATAGATCCGAAGGCTTGCATACTCAACTGATCAAGAACAAGCGTGTCTCTTTCAGTCTCAGAGCGCATAGCTTCTTTTCGCCAAAGCATATATGTGGATCTCCAGGCCAAAGTGGAGCACAAAAGACACAAGGTTTTACCAGTCCCAGTAGGTGATTCGACGAGTGCATTTTCGGACTTGAAATGGGTATTCAAAAAATTGAACCAGCAGGTCAGCCAACTGAATCGTATCATGCATTTGTTACATTAGTAGCCTAGCATTCAACGCCATAAAGTGCGTCAATACTACTGGATCTACCTTTTGAAGAGCGTTGATGATAGTAGTCATCAATGCATTCTGCTGTGGATACGGCTGAAATGGAAACTGTACTGCGATTCGGTTGATTTCAGTAGTAACGAACTTTGTTTCGAAAAACTGGGCTGTATTCTCGACAGGAGAATCCATGAGTTCAGTTGATATTGTCTAGGCTAAGAATACGATTGGCTGGCTTGCCATGTACACGACCAGTCTTGCTGGCTGCAGATAAACTGGCAAGTCCGGTAATTTTGGCCAAATTGACACTTCAAAAATGGCCATTTTCTTGGCTGTAAATCTGGTTGAGCAATTTGTCGCCTGTTTTTCCTAAAGGCATATTTTATATTCTTATACTGCCTTGATATCAATTGTCTGTCATGTTTGGTGGTGGATTTGGTAGCAATACAGGCTTTGGTCAACCCCAACAACAACAGCAACAACAGCAGCCAGCACCGCTCTTTGGAGGCTTCGGTGGAGGAGGTGAGTTTTTGGTCATATCTTGCTATTTGGATTATCCACTTGCGTTACTACATCCGATTTGTCTTTGTTGCATCCTGTAGGCCATCTACATAAATTTTTATCGAGGTTGGGGTTTAATTGTGTTGTGGTCGTTGATGTTGTGTTGGCATTTGAACAAATTTGTGACTTGCTATATGGTAATGAGAAACATTTGTGATCTGCCGACATTAATGTCCAGCATGAATGTACTACCAAACAACTATTTGGTCAATTGTCTAAAAATATTTGATGTTACTCAGCCATCGATTAATACTGGGCTTGGTGTTGCTGCAGTATATTGAGTTTTAGCACCGATGTTGCTGTTGGGGTTTGAATACGATATTTGGAAATAGTTTAGATTGAGCCGAGTGCTGTAGGATCAAATATGACTGCAATCCGTTTTCCCTTGTATCCTTTCAATTATAATTTTGCTGTTGAATCTCTGGTTCGTGTGCTATGTTTATGTCTAATATGGTCGATATTAACCTATTTTTGAAATTTACATTTCATTCAAGGTGCTTTTGGAGCTCCTGCCGCAAGTGGTAGTGCGTTTGGAAATCCTGGGGCTGCTGCTGGTGTATTTGGTGGTGCAAATACAGGTGTCGGAGCCGCTGCTCCACAAATGGGTGCATTCGGGGCTCCAGCAAATACAACATCGGCTTTTGGAGCCGCAACTACTAGTAGGTAGATTGCAGGTTTAATAGAGTTGAATCCATTTCAATGTTGAATATTTTTAAGAATATTTGGCATATTCCTTACCAATGACGACATCCCTTTTAAAAACATCTATAATTAAGCAACTTCTAATAATGTCCATGACTTTATTGATCGGTTTTCTATAATCTTTAAACTAATTTCACATCACCGTCTTGATTTTTGACTGATAGGCGGGTTTGGAAGCAATACTGGACTTGGAGGTGGAGGCATGTTTGGCGGTGTTGGAATGGGTGCTACTAATGGAAATGCTTTTGGTGCTGCAAATAATACTGGAACAAGCGCCTTTGGTGCCAGCACCACTGGTCAAAATATGTTTGGTGCTACTCAATCAGCTGGAATGGGTACAGGAAATCTTGCAACATCTCAGCACAATAATCAAGGTACAGGCAATCCAGCATATCAGGAGACTATGGAACGTGACTCGCCCACTTCAGCTACCATGACAAAATTTCAAAGTATCAACGCGATGCCAGCCTACCAAAACTGGTCGTTTGAGGTGAGCCATTCTACACCAGATCTATTATGGATGGCTTGATTAATGGCATTGGAAAAACTCTTCCACTTATTTAGGCATAGACTTGATCAACGTGTATGTCCAGTCACTCAATCTTTATTCTTTTATAATGCATAGGAACTTCGACTTCAAGACTACGCTATGAACAAGAAATTTTCCAATTCTGGCGTAAGTGGTGGGTTTGGTCAGCAAACCTCAGCATTTGGGGCTACCAAGCCTGCTTTTGGATCAGCTTCTACCACTACTTCTGCATTTGGTGGAATGGGTACTGCTGGAGCACCAGCCAGTGGAATAGGAGGAGCATTTTCAAGCTCAACTAATACGTTTGGTGCGACTCAGCCGGCAACAAATGCGTTTGGACAGCCTGCTCAACAAGGTGGTCTCTTTGGAGGTGCTGCTACAACAAATACTTTTGGATCTACTGGAACTGGTGCCTTTGGGATGAACAATCAGCAACAGAGTCAAAAGACGGCCTTTCCTTTTGGTAAGCCGTTTAATCAACAAAAATACTCACTTCAGTTCAAATTTTCAAATCGTATGCATTTTACATTTATCTTGTCTAACCTAAATTAATTAGGCGGCAGTGCTCAAACTACTACTGGATTTGGAGCAGCGCCAACCACTGCATTTGGCGCTCCGGCAACCAATTCAAGTGGATTGTTTGGAGCTCCCAAACCTGCAGGCGCGACTACAGGTGGTCTTTTTGGTGTATCTGGACTTGGAGGCACTGCAACAACCAGTAATAGTCTTTTCGGAGGCCAGGCACCTGCTGCTGCACCGGCTTTTGGTGCAACTCAACCTGGCGCCTTTTCCCAACCTGCTGCTACACAAGGCGGTGGTCTTTTTGGCAGTACTACAAGTGCTGTCAAACCAGGTAAGTTTATGCGCCATTAATAAGATAAGTGTCAAGTTTAACTTTTTTTATCTTTTGGCATCACGAATAGCATTTGGGATGGGCGCGTTTGGTACTCCCGCGTCTACTGTTGGAGCCGGGTTATTTGGCGCTCCTCAGACAACTCATGCAGCTATATCTACTCAGCCCTTTGGAGCCGCTACCTCGACAGCATTTTCGCAGCCTGGAGGTGCCTTTGGTGGTGGTCTTTTTGGCGCTCAGCAGCCTGCTACAACAGTTGCTTCAGGAGGACTTTTTGGTGCACCAGCTCCATCTCAAGGGTTTGGTGCATCAACGACTACAACTGGACTGTTTGGAAACACTACTGCCAAGCCTGCAGGTAAACTAAATATAATCGCACTGATGCTTCGATCCACATATTTATCTAGGCAATCAGTGCCAACCTTTTGCGGTTTTCTGTGAAACATGCTTACTTATAAATTGTGCTATACATGTTATCTATTTACAAATATTAAGGCTTATTTGGGTATGGAACTGCCTTGTCTACACAAGCACCTTCATTTGGCATTGCTGCCCCGCAAAATGCAACTGGTGGTTTATTTGGTGCAGGCGGAGGGGTTCTTGGTGGAACTCAACCTGCAGTTGGCGGATCTCTCTTTGGTAATACTGCACCATCGTACGGATTAGGTCAAATTCAGAATCAGCCTCAGGTTGGACTTCAAGCCAAAATTGATCAGAGTCCTTATGGTTTCAATCCACTACTCCAACCCACAGCCGCTCCTGTATCAACTGCGCCAAGTGTAGCTCCTGCCCTTATTGGAACTCCTGCCGAGAAGAAAAAACCTGCAATTGCATCTAGTCTTAAAGTGACTCCGCGTAGTGCAGCTAAAATTAAACTTCGCAATCTTGTTCCTACTTCCCAACAGGTCGGACCCAGTATTTCCGAAGTACCTCGTGGTATTTTCACTCCATCCAAGGTCGGGCTCAAGTCTCTACAGCTTACAGAGGGATCTCCTCGAGACCCAGCCTCGCTTGGTCTTGATGCTCGGTTTACTCCTCGACGTAATGTGAAGCGCCTTATTATTGATGATGCAAGCGAAGTTTTGTCATACACTGGAAACACATCTTTGGGAACACCTTTAAAATCGACATGGTCATCTGGTGATGCGGGTAAACGGAATGTCAGTTTTGATCCATCACTAGAAGAGGCTGCCGAGGCATCGCTGAGTGCCCGAGCTATCTCTGTAGGCGGGAAAAGTCCATCACGCTCACCATTCCTTTCCAGCGCTTCTTCCACACCCCACGGATCTAGCATTGAAACTACACATGCCATTCATTCGTTCAAGTCTCTATCTAATATATCCCCTGGATTTAGAGATGAGGTAGCAGACTACATTATGGACCCCCCACTCCAAACCCTTTTGCTCATGTCGGATGAGGAACTTCGCCGAGTAGAGAGATTTACTATCAGACATTCCAGCTTTGGTTCTGTATGCTTCTTGACACCAGTAGATTTGCTAAGTGCGTCACACCTTGGAACCAGGGCTGGAATCGAGCATATTCCTGGTACGATTGTTATTTTTGAACCAAAACTCTGCATTGTTTATCCCGACGAGGAAAATAAGCCGCCAGTCGGATTTGGTTTAAATGTGCCTGCCGAGATTAGTCTTACAGCATGCTGGCCTATTGACAAGGCAACTCGCCAGCCTATTAAAAATACAGCAGACCCACGCTATGATCGTCATATGAGTAAGCTTGAGACAATGCCAGAAACTCAATGGCTTGGGTTTAACAGTCTAAGTGGAACGTGGCTTTTCCGTGTTGAACACTTTAGCAAATATGGTATTGAGGACGACGATGAAGACGAAGTATCGCTTCCTGCTCAAGTTCCTGCCTCCACAGCTGCTGCTTATAAATCTACTCCAGCGCTATTTCAACATGTTGGCACCCATGATTCCAAGTATAATGAATCTGAGGTACATACAATCGATTTAACTACAGAGTCATCTTATGTTAAAGACTCGTTTATGCATGTCCGCAACCAGGCAGATCTTCCACATCGTCACGGTCCTTTAACTCTTTCGAGCAGTATGCAGACTAAGAAGGGTTTAGGTTTGGATGCTGATGAATCTGATAGCAAGTTGCCATTATTTGCAAATTCCGAGTATATTCAAAGCTACACAGACTCTCAAGGTGGGCTATATATTGAACAGGAAGACGAGATGGACGACCAGTCTTTTGACAATGACAAAGAAGTTTATTCCGAGTCTTCTGATGGTTCTAATTTAACAGATGAGGCTTTTGACTCTGCTACTGATGGCAACGAAAGTGAGACAGCAGATCATGAAATTCCCGACACTTTGAACGTGGATGCTGCAATGAAGGTGGGCATGCCAATGTCAGTACTTAACGTGACTACTTCAGCAATCGATCGAATGAGTCTTGCTCATAAAGTGCAAACAATGAAGCAGTCTTTGTTTCGATCTGCTGCCATGCCCCATTCTGGATTATCTGATTCCTCAAAATCTACTCCGCATTTTTTTAAAAATCCTGTGACTTTTCATGCACATGTCTCGAGTGAAAGCAATGAGGCTTCGATTATAGATAAACGACCACGTACTTCAACTATGGGTGTTGGCACATCACTGGGAGGTTCGCGTACTGATTTTAATACACCTTCAAGTGGCAAAATTTTGCTCCAAGCCACCTTTGACACCGAAAAACTTGCTGATCACCACATGTCACTTTCGCCAGCTCAATCGTCTCCTCAAAAATATCATCGTGCTGATTCTCTTGATGCTACAGTGCTTTCAAAAAAATATCTTTCTGAACTTGCACCATTCGAAACAAGTGTTGTTTGTGATAAAAACACGATGATTGCCGATTCTGGATTATACATGGGCCGCAGCTTTCGAGTTGGGTGGGGGCGAGGTGGAAGTTTTGTAGTTACTGGGAGGTGAGCACTCTTTCAAACCTTTTTCGTTATTTGTGGGCTATGTAGTTTGAATTGGTTTATCATCGATTCAAGTTAGTATTCATCTGAATGAACCTATATGTATTGGTTATTAATATATTTTTATTTTATCAATTGGTTGCTGGGTACAACACACTGGCTGACCATTCAGTGCGACACAGAGAGGAGCCATGTCTCGTGTTTCTATTCGAAAAGTCAATATTTTTGAATTTGGTAATCAGAGCTCTTTTGATCAATCCGAAGAAGTTTTTAAGCAGATTGCATCGTTGAAAACCGTTTTAGAGCAGACGCAGGTGAACGTGACAACTATAGTTTCCGATACTGGCGATATAGAGGAGTTTGTTGATGACTATCAAAATGTCAATGCTGTTAATGGCAATACTAGTCCAGTTGAATCTCAGTCGAACACCAACTTAAAAGAGCCTTTTCAGAGTTCAGCATTCCCACACCATGCATTTGGTGTTCCTCGAGCTCGTTTAAGCAGGGCATTCGACTTTTTCTCTCTTGAAAAGGCCATTGCTTTAGTTGCCATGGAGCAGCATTCAGTATCTGTTACGCATGAGAAATTTTTATGGAAACTGGCAAGTGCATTGTGGGATGACGTTCTCCTGGATTCAGTTGTAGGTAAGCAGAAACTTACCCATGCCCAAGAATGTGCTATACGGACTGCTCTGCGTAAAGAAGCTCTAAGCGAATGGCTTATATCCGCGCTCAAAGATGAGACAGACAGTGAAGTTGACCGCATACCTCATCCATATCAACGAATTATGATGTTTCTCACAGGCAGATTAGTATCCAAGGCAATTGGAGAGTCTGTCAAAAACCGTGACTTGCGTTTGGCATCAATTTTATCTCAAATCAACGGCCCAGGATCAAGAATTTCGCTGTTGTCGAGCAATACTACTCAAATGGCCTATTTTTCAAATGGAGTTCCAGGTCGTGGAGGAATGGATGTCAATACACGTCAAGCCATTATAGATCAACTTTTAGTTTGGCAGCAATATGAAAAAAAGGGTCTTGCACACATTTCTCCCGACTACCTTGATATTCTTCGTCTTATTAGTGGCGATACCAATCTGTGGGATCAGCGCGTTTGTCCATCTACGATGAATTGGAAACGGAGCTTTGGTCTTTTTTTCTGGTATGGAAAGGGGGGTGATTGGAGATTTTCCAAGGCTTTGGAAACTTATGTTTTGGGATTTCAAACAGGGAGCGTACCTTGGCCACGCCCTGCTTATCAACAGTCTAAACAAGATGAACTCAAAAAGTATGCTCCCAACGAGCCATTGGACGCATGCTATCACTTGCTTCAATTGGCTGTAGACCCCGCCTATTCTTTGGAACCAGCACTACATCCACATACAAGCTCTATGTTTCAACTAGACTATCGCATTCCATGGTTACTTTCACAGATGCTGGTTAGTGTCAAACAAGTGCGAAATTTCAAAGATACGATGGCGGAAACCGCGATTATTCAACCACATTTGAAATCCAATACTGAACAAAGTGCTAGTGAAGATAGACAAACGGCTGGAATGTGTTTTGGTCAAAGTAAAGCACTGGATTGCATTACAATTTCTTTTGTAGCCCAGCTCGAGTCTCTTGGACTGTGGAAATGGGCAATTTTTGTATCGCTGTTTGTCGGTGCTCATTCTGGTCGCGAGGAACTGATTCGTGTATTGCTTTCACACTGGTATCCGTTACAAGATGCCAGTGGCAGTTGGAAACCACTTTCATCCACTCGCGGTGATATTGTAAATGGTCTACTTACGAGACAGCCAGTTGAAAAAAAGATTGCCTATGGCCAATTCGGCAATGATAGTTTTAGCGACGATTATCTTTTTCTTACCAAGCAGCTTCGTATTCCTGCTGAATGGATCCACGAAGCCCGTGTAAGTTTTTGATTGCATCTGACATTGGTTGATCAAATGCCTGTTTGCTTATATACTTGGTACTTACTAATGTGATTTTTGGCGAGAATAGGCTTTGCGTTCTCGGTATATGGGAAACTTTCTTCAAGAACTTGTCTCTTTGTTGGATGCAAAACACTTTGCGCATGCGCAGCGGCTTTTTATCTCAAAAATCGCTCCTATGCGCATTATTAATGGTGTGGCTGATTTATACGAGTATTTTAACCATACTAGAATGTTTCAATCATCAAATGCTTATTAGTTTTTGTTTTTTTGCGTTTTTAGAAGACTTTGCATTTCTCAAGCAGGCAATTGATCAATTCGATCATAATTCTGTGGATAGTTGGGAACATGGAGCTGGACTGTTTAAGCGATACATTGATGTTGTTGAATCGGCTACAGAAAGTATTCAGCAGATACAAGACTGGGCAGGTGATGCTAGCAAAATGTTGGACGATCAAAGTATTCTTGATGAACAAACTCATCGTGCAAAACTACTCCAGGATACTCTTCCTGAAATCCATTCTGTGTTGAAAGTTCTTTCAGATAACGCTCTTTCAAAGCTACGCAGTATTGCTTGTACACGTATCTTTTTGTTGAGTCCTAAAGACGACCGCTTGCTAGGTATAGCGGTAGCAGAGATGTCAACAAGGCTGTCGCGTCTGTCATTAGATATTGGATATTTGGAAAACGACGATATTGGACTGAACTACACTCTTGATGGTGATCTTCTTAGAAATTTACCTCTTGTGCCAGAGGAGCGTATTGGAGGTATACGCTTGCTAGTTACAGATTGGATTGACACTGCGCTCTGATTACTACAAGACTATGGCGGCTATGATTGAAGCTATTTAATGAGATGTTGATAGTTTTGCACATCTAGTCAAAATAAAACTGACTGGCTATTTTACTTGGTTGACTATGTTCAGTATCAAAAACTGGCATAAAACTGCCTTTCTGACTTGTCGTTTCTATCGAGTCAGGTCAAACCCACGTGTTGTCAAATGACTGTTGCTGCCAATTACCGTTTATTAAGATTGTTTAATGCAGATTTCAAATAAATTGTCTAATACTGCTATTTAAATTTATGTTGAAACTAAGCTGCTGTCGCATCCACCTGCGATTTGAAGATGTAGATTGACACCTGAAAACGTTTCATCAGGTGAAAAAATTTACAACCAATTTTTTTGATAATCCGAGCTTCACAATTTGCATGACTAGAAACCAGACTTATGGACGAAGAATCGATTGCAAATGCTGGAAGTTGGGATTTACTAGAGCCCAGTCTCTCGGAGCCTATGTATGCTATACTATATGTATTAGACTTGATTTCAACAACTGCTTTGATCGCAATTGATACAACTTTTGAATATGAAAGCATTGGCTAACATTTGACTGTATGTGCACTTATTACTATTTTCTCTGCATATCAAGACGGCAGGCGCTTGCACTTCAAGGTTTCACTCAAATGACACCGGTTCAAGCATCCACAGTTCCTCTTTTTATGAAACATAGGGACGTAGTTGTCGAGGCAGTTACTGGATCTGGAAAAACACTCGCTTTTGTCATTCCAGTACTAGAGATGCTTCTTCGAAGATACGCAGATAATCGTCCGCTTGGTAAAAATGATATTGGGGCTATTATCATATCACCTACTCGCGAGCTGGCCAAGCAGATTTATAACGTTTTCACCATCTTTATTGACGCATTAAATGCTTATGCGGCCAAAACTGGATCTTATTTTGACTCAAAGCCTCAATCAACGGATAATGACTTTCCAGCTACCCCTGTATGTATTTCGCATATGCTATTAATTGGAGGGAATATAGTTCGCGAGGACGTTCAGCAGTTTGCAGCAACTGGTGCACATATATTGATAGGCACGCCTGGACGTCTGGATGATTTATTGAAGCGTCAAAACATTTTTAACTGCAAAGAACTTGAAGTGCTGATCATGGATGAAGCAGACCGCTTGCTAGATATGGGATTTGAGCTTGCTCTCACTTCAATTTTACGGAAAATTCCCAAACAAAGACGTACAGGACTATTTTCTGCCACCATGAATGAAGGACTGGGCCAGCTAGTTAAGGCTGGACTACGAAATCCAGTAAAGATTGTGGTAAAAGTAGAGGCCACTGATGGTGGTGACACTAATCAACGAACACCTTCCTCATTAAGCATTGGATATGCCATTGTCAAACAAGATGAGAAGCTTTCACAACTGCTATGTTTACTTGAAAAGCACCAAGACAAAAAGTTTATCGTATACTTTTCCACTTGTGCGTGTGTTGATTACTACCACAAGGTTTGTATTTTTGACTGCTTTTGTTTTTTTAGTGAATTGCGATTGGTACATTAAAAGTATCGATCAGCTTTAAATCTGTGCACGCTATTTATCATTTACAAAGTAGGAGATTGTTAACATTTGTTTTAACAATACAAACGTTAGCTTTTTTCCCAAATTGATAATTGTCCTGACTTACAGTTTCATTCGCTTCATGGGAAAATGAATCCAAAACGGCGCGAAGCAGTATATCGAAAGTTTACTGAGGCCCCCATGTCTTCTGTACTTATTTGTACAGATATTGCTGCTCGTGGTTTGGATATTCCTGACGTAGACTGGGTTGTTCAATTTGATGCACCACAAGATCCAAAAGCATTTGCCCACAGATGTGGCAGAGCTGCCCGTTTTGGGAGACAAGGGAGTGCTGTTGTATTTCTATCACAACATGAGGATGCGTACGTTGAATTTTTGCAGCTTCGTAAAGTACCTATTGTGGAGATGATGTTGGAAACCATACCACCCGAAAAAATCTCGCAGCTTTGTGAAGACCAAAAAAAAATTACTTTGGGTGATCGCGATGTTTATGAAAAAGGGATCATTGCATTTGTTAGTTGGGTTCGTGCATATAGCGAGCATCAAGCCAATTTTATTTTTCGCATCAAGGATGTCGATTTAAGTTTGGTAGCAAGATCATTTGGGTTATTGAGAATGCCCAGAATGCCAGAACTAAAAACGATCAAGGTTGATTTTGCAGCAACTGAATTTGATGTAAGTTGTATTGTTTGTGCGACTTGATTATGTACATATTTATTTACCACTGAAATGTATAATCTTTGATTGGTCAATGTGCTAGCCTGATACAATTAAATACAAGGATAAATCGCGTGAAAAACAGCGCTTAACCAATATTGCTAATGCAACTACAAGTGGAGTTTCAAAAAAGAAATTGTATAAAAAGAAAACAGTGGCATGGTCACAGAGCAAGGAGATCAAAAGAAAACGGTCAGATCGCAAGAGCAAGCGTGAGAAAAAACAGATTGCTATTATCATGGCTCAAAACCCTGGGCTAGCAACAATGTCCATGTCAAAACACTCTAAATTAGCAGATATCAAGCTCAAACCCGATAATGCGCACCCATCTTACTTAAAAGACGCTACACACCATAGTAGTCACAAGTCACTAGGTGCCGTCAAAAGTAATGATGACTTTCAACGTGATTACATGAAAACCAAAAAGGACAAACGACAAACTCCGCTAAACAAAGGTTTCACTTTTTCGGATGACATGTAATGGTGTCAATTTATTCCAACAATCTGCCATCGTGAATATGCTGCTTTGAGTAATTGAGCCCAGTTTTTGTATGAATATAATAATATTAAAGCTAGCAATGTGTTTTTTTGATTTGTTCAATGCTTTTATTTGGAAGACTATTCATAAAGTATGGTCAGTGCTTGAATCAACAGTATTTTCATTTAAAGTCGAGATTGGATCCAAGTGCTACTATGTTAATAAAGGCAAGTCAATATACAAACCTAATCTTTGGACAAAAACATCAAAACTAAAAAGTATTATGCAAAATCAGAAAAAACCACACTGATAGTTTTAATTTTGTATTGTTTTTTTAAGATCAACATTTTTGTTCATCCAGGCAAGACTAATGACTAGCTTTCCAGACGCGTCGTTCAGGCTGTAGTTGCTGTGTATGATTAAATCCGTTAGCACCTGCACCGTTGGTTTCAGAGGTGGTCAAATGAATGTGTCCAAGGGATTGAGAAAAGGAGTGACGAAGAGCCTTTCTTACGATGGTGACACCACTACCGCTGATCTTGCTACCTCCAAATGAAAGCAACACATTTTCATCACCAGCCATTATAAGAGAGGGTGTCGAAGGAGAGCGTGAGCGAGCACGAAGTTGAATGATCTCCTTTGCAAATGCAAACCGTTCCAATTCACTAGCCACCTCAAACGACTTAGACTCGACAGTACGCTTTAGCCATTCAAAGGGAAGTTCGGCAAACAGTTGTACAAGAGTTTTATATCCTTCACTGTCTTTTTTCTGCCAAATTAAACCGACCCTCTCAGAAATTTCACCAATCAAGCCTTTACAAAGAAAAGTAAAAATGCTCTCACGAAGTAGGGTTATGGCAGGACCATATCTTGCAGAGTTGGGCTGAGAAACAAACTGGCAGTATCCAAGTACAGAGCTGGAGGAGATATCATCTTTGATGTAGTCACTGGTCATTGCAATTAAATCTGAAAGGCCGAGGAGATATGCGCTAGCAAAAACTGCACGCAAAAGGATGGAGCGATCAGGGTCTGGCTTACTACCGTGTTTAGGAGATAAAAGTGCATGTCCATTAGAGGAATAAAGATGCCCAAAAGCAATTCCAACACCTTGTGGAGTAATGCATGGATCTTCTGTATTAAGTATAACCGAAGCCATGGGCTGATATCTAATATTTTAATTGTAGTGATATTGGAGGCCAAGGGCAGGTAAGTAAAATAGTCAATATTAAAGTTTGCAAAATTGCCGAGCGACATTGAATTTATAAGGTGTTGTGTAATAAGCGACACATATACAATACATCAATAGCATTTAATAATGACAATGATCTCCATCACCGCAAAATATGATTGGTGTAAAAATAGCAAACGCGACCAAAACTTACTCGCCAGACATCTCTTGCTCGTGCAGAAGTGTTGCCAAAACAGGGCTGCGAATGGCAATTATTCTGTGCAAGTTGAATATTAGTCCATCAACCAATAGTTTGAATCCGGGAGGACCTTGCTGTTGAATCCTGACAACCAAATCGGCATAGAGTCCTTGCAGATAGCCATTGTGGTACAAATGCGAGCAGATGTGATCGTGGCTGGAGGTTGGAACTTGAGAAATTACATCAGCCCTGGGCTGCGGATAATGTAGCGGTTGCTGGTGGTGCTTTCGAAAAGACTCGAGCTCTTGAATCTGTTGTTGAACATAATGCTGGTGTTTAGTCTGAGAAGTCAAGTTGTCAGATTACACTTGGCAAAAAATTTGGAATAAAATTTGCAGAATATTCAATTGATCAAATCCATAAGTTGGGGAAATAGTTGAGTATAAACAAGGTAGTAGCTTGGCCAAGCGTTATAAAATGATTGGTGTCAATTTACTGGACAAGATGGTGTTCTTTAACTCTTTCATTGACTGAACTCTCTCTTGATGATTGACATGAAAACAACAGCTGCATTCTTGCGATTGTTCTCTTGAACTAGATCGCGAATATATGAGATTAAGATACAACAAAGATGGGTTTGATTGACAGCACCCAGACCCAATATCTGGGTTGAAATGAATATGAGTTCAAACTTGTTGATCTTGCAATGTATGGGTATGCCAAATATGGAGAAAGAGATTCAAGACTATGGTTTGATTGTATTATATGATGGGCAGTGTTTGAAACAAGGATTGAGAATGTCTACTAGAGTCAATTTGTAGTAGGAAAGCGCAACGAATACTGTATATTCTAAAGCAAAACAGAGACTGCAAGATAATACCACATTTTACATGAATACGGCTGCAAATTAATTGAGCGCAAAGCTCAGTTCAACTCATAACCAAGTATACCCATCATCATCACTACCAATTGAACAGCCATCATTAGATCGGCAAATATAATTAGTATTCAAGAATAAGTTAAACCATATAGCAAGTATGGGCTGCCAGTCCAGTTGTGTATAACAAAAAGGCTAGAGAGAATCAAAAGTGTTTAATGGCAATAGAAAGGGCAGTCAAGACAATACTTGGCAAAATGCAGTGATGAATCTTGCTTACAACAGCATAGTAAGATGGGATAAAAGATGGCAGTATTTAAGCAGCCACAACAATGTATGGAGTCGAGCCTAAACACATCGAATCTGGCTTTATCCCATTGTATAAAGAAACCCCGCCATTATTAACTGACCTGCTGCATGGCAGTGTGATCTCCGTTCCGAGCCATACACCCAAACATAGGCTGTTGCTGGTCGGTTCCAGAAGATGGCCACGAGATTTCATTATGACTGTCTTTTTCTTCCTGCAGTTGTTCTTGTTGATGCATTGGTAAAATAGTAATAAATGGATAACTGGATGGTAACGAGTAACTTGCAAATAAATTCATCGCAAGGAGTGACAATGAGAATGAGAACAGGAAAAAATATTTTTTTGGTTCTATTGCAACAGCCCAATCTGATGATGTTTTGAAACCATTCTGATAATATCAAACAAGCTACTGTTTCAGCCTTTTGGAAACATGGACTCTATAACAGTGCACAGCTGGTCTAGGTTAATGTAAAGGATAAAGGTGGAACGCTGAAGCTCTCGCGTCAAAACAAGATCAACACCAAGATCAGCAGGCAGTAGCTGCTAGATCGAATGAGGGACATACTATGTTGAATTGTCAAAAGCAGCAGGTTGTTTAACAAGTCAGGCTATTGCCGTGGTACAGGAAACACGATTGATAGATGATCCTGCCATTCAAACCAATAATCTACCGATATTTGCAAAAAAAACATATAGACAACGTCTGACTACACATAAAAGTGGTTCAATCAAGTTTATGTATTTTAAACACATGATACATACTAATGATTACTGGCAATTTCTCATTTCTGACTTTCTCTGCGTTATCATACCTTTTGTCGCTAGCTGCAATGAAAAAAATGTCAACAACTATACGCGTGCCCTCAGGAGTACAACACGGATATTACGGCTTCGATAATTAACCCACAAATAGTCGAGTTTGTGTAAAATGAAACATTAGAGTGCCAAAATACATAGCAATCAGTCAGTTTTGACATGATAATTCATATCAAATTTATTAAACAATATTGTGTCTTGAACTCCTTGACAAAGTTTGCTAGTCTTTTTCTTGGCTAGATCGCGAAAACATGAGATTAGGATATAACAAGAATGAGTTGGATTGGTAACACCCGATATCTGGATTGCAATGGATGAGCCTGGAAGTCAACAATGTATGCCAAAAGTGGAAATGTTCAACATCAATTTCTAATAAAAAAGTACAGACTTGGCCATTCCAAAGAGACAAATACTGCAAGATAAAAGATTCTGTTATAACAGAATACTAAAAGTGAGCGGGGTGGGGTTCGAACCCACGCCTCCGGAGAGAACAGGGCCTAAACCTGCCGCCTTAGACCACTCGGCCACCCGCCCACATCATTCTGCTAAAATTTATACATCAACATTCATACCTATTAATATTTACAATTGACATTAGTGTTGATCTTGAAAACTAATCCAAATCGGCATAAAAGTCTACTTTGAATTTATCGACTTTCAATTTGTCTATAAACCGTTTCATTAGTCTGGTTACTCATGAAGCCTTTTTTCATTTTTCGACCCCTCCAAAAGAACATTTTTCTAATCTACGTATATACTTTCAATATTATATCTATATCAACAGCTGCGATACGCTTCTATTTGTTTTTTATAGCACCTCTTAATCCTATTCACTATAAAAATTACAAAAATTACATATATTCTTCTCAAATATGCTCAAGTCACCTATGCTTCATCCATATTATTGGATGAAACAAGCAGCGACAAAGGATATAGTGTTGATAGACAATTCCATTGGCGATCCACCATTAGTACTAGAAATGCAAGAGCCATATAGAGACAAGCCTGAAGCGCAAAGTGATAGGATGCAGTCCATATCATAGGAAGAAAATCGTCATCATTCATGTCCATCAAAAAAAGTGCTGCAGAAACAACAGTAGCACCCATCACCGCTAATGGCATCAAAATGTGCAATACCACATCGGCAAATACGTAAACAGCACGCCATAGAATAAGGCAGACCTGAATATAAATTATCCAAAGTAGGGTAATACGTATCATAGGAAAGCCATCAAAGGCGACAGTGCCTCCAGTTAACCATTCTGCTATAGTAGACCATTCCAAAAAAAAGGTTTGAGAAAAAGAACCATCTAAATCAGCCTCTATTGATCCAGTCTGATCATGCGATGCATGCAAGTCACGCCTTTCCTCGCCATTTACGCTCGAACCATTCGCAGAGTAGTAGACCGAAAGCGTGTCATCCAATATATCACTCTGACCTGCAGATTGCTTATTTTCTAACAACGCGGAAATGAATTCGGCATGATCCCACACATCTTGAACAAATTTCCGAGATGCAACTGGATCCAGCTCTAAAAGAGAAAATTCTCTTAGCTGCTTAAGTGATATTGGGGAAAGAGAGCTAGCAGTGTCGCGGCGGTGATTGTTGATAAACACTGCCGAATCTGTCTTACTATCTAGCATAGAAACCTGTGACACGACAGAACGAGGATGTGAGATTAGATGGACAGTGGATATGTCAGTAACTTGAAAAGGTAGGAATTTGTCCGTCTCATTTTGATAGCTAGTCAATACCTTGTGATTACCAAGTCCATTGGTGTCAAACCCTTTCAAATTTGTTAGAGAATCATCAAAAGTGGTCGAAAACAGTGCAGGGGTGTGATGCGGAACGGCTGTTTTGTGGTAGGTAGTTGAGACTGTTTCTAAAAGCACTGAGGATGCAATGATTTCTTTTATCGGCACTGATGCATCGACCAATCCATTTACATAATCATGTGATGTATCATCCAAATCCATGCAACGTAACTTGGAAGTGGTAGGCACATCATATCCAAGTGGGGTTGTTACTGGATCAACATGGACTGTCTGAAGTTCCTTGACAGATTGAACAAATTGAGTGGTGACTGCAAGTATGCTGTCGGTATTTATGCTAAAGTACAAAGGCTCTTGCCAAGATTCGGTTTTTTCCAAAGTATGAAAGTAAATAGATTGTTGCTCAACGTATTGGATACAAGGAACATCAATGATAATCTCTTTCCCGTACGCAAACTGAGTACAGACTACCAAAAAGTTGTTCTGTAAACCAGTATCGTCAACAACAATAGGTAGATCATCATCGCACGTCCATTTCTCGTCAACAAAATATTTATACTCGCAAATATCGCCGTGCGATAGATGATCACCTTCTACAAACGCAGTATACATTTTGCTGCCATGGTCGTAAAACATTGGAATCTGTCGTTTCCAATTATTGAAAGTGCCAGAAATACCAACCTTTTCAGCAGGAAATCTCCACACGAAAAACAACGTTGTTGCCTTGCTGGAGTTAGACTTTGGGAATTCCCATCCGCGAGACTCGAGTGAATGAGGAATATACTGAATAGATACACGCCTGAGATCCCCCATTGTTACAACATATGTTGAAATGTCGGAATGATCCAGATCCAAAATATGATTAGGCGAAGATAACTCGGTCAAAGTATCTTCGACGCTGCCTCTTGAAACTTTGCTTACACATATAGGTTCCAAACACTCTTCAATTGTAGATTTTTCCGAGGTATCTGCAGCTTTAGTGACGGCTTGTGACTGAGCCAATTTTTCAAGAAGTTCACGCTCAAGTTCCGGCGCGAGTTTAACAAGTGAGTAAAGAGGTACCATGCCTGCTATGCCAGTTTGATGATTTTCACTAAATTCATGACAAAAACAAGAAAATTGGCATAATCCATACACAAATTTCAAATCAAATCAGTTGATGATTCTATAGACGGAGCCTAAAGAAATTTCAAATATATAGTAAGATTAAAAATAGAACAGGCATACCCTAGACACCAGCCATCGTGAAACGTAAGGTGGACGTTGATGATGTCGCCCAACTTTACTGCCAGTTCATTAGGTTTTGCAGGCATATAGTCAAACACAGTTACATATGTTCCAGGCTCCGGCATTCCGGCGGAAGGAACAATCATAGAAGATCTCAATTCTCCATCTTCCATAGAGTCATTACTTTCATTATCCAGGCTGGAATCTATGAGTTAAAATGGTGAAATGACAATAAAGTATGAGCTGGTGAACAAATATTAAAGTAATGACCAAGTGTATGCCATTCATAAGATTGATTCATAGCAAGTCCAGTTAAATAATGGAGGTGAATGTATAACGACTAGCCGATTTTGAAAACAGATTCGTACCATTGCTTGACAAGTGACCAGTCGACGAATCATTGTCAGAATCACTACCCAAAGGCGTATTGATGGCGACATCTAGTAAAGAATCCAAATACAAGCCGTTGTTTAATGGTTGAATCTTTGCAGTAGGATGGTTTGTCGGGACAGCAGAATATGTGTCTGCATGCGCAAAAAAAGGGCCAACATCCGAGACTGAGTTATGAAACACATCCATATGGGCAAGGTTAGAGTTCAATGGCCAGTCATCGCCCACCAGTCCTCCTGAGGTTGGCAATGGATGATCATCGCCAATGGTAGACAAAGAGGACTCGCTGGATGATAGGAAGGATGCTAGTGGAACAGGGCTACTTGAAACAGAAGAAGTTGGGTTGGTAGTCTGCACAACAGGATTGCTGATGGATGAAGTGACTACTGGCTCTAGACAATCACCAGCGCCATTCAAGATAGACTGTAGTTGTGGTGGAGCACTGCAGTGTAAAAAAGTGCCATTTGATTCATGAGATGGAGTCGGACTGTTGCTTCCAGTAGTTTTTGTAGCGATCGTAGGTGCATGAGAATGCTGATGAGATGGTAAGTCTGTCTGTGACGGTATGGAAGGTTGTTCAACCGAGTCATCAACAGCAGTACTGATAGACGATGGCATTGTTATACCTGCTTTAAACAAGAAAGCAATGTCAAATCTTGACGGAAATTCACCAAATAGCCGAGTGCTGGTGGATAACTGGTTGAGCCCACGTGGCGGTCAGCCACCATTGCAACTCAAGGATTGGTTTGCTGCCGTATTCACGTAAATGAAACGCTAAACTAAAATGCATGGCAAACAGTCTCATTTGACTGCTGCCAATCTTACTGAGTACGATTGTCTTTTAAACTCATTAATTCGCTGGTCTTGATGCTCACTCTTGTACAAAAATACTGAATGTTGACATCCAATCTCCAATTTTCTTTTTCCAAAACATTACAGTTGGGAATGCAACTGTTTTTCCATACTCATCCAATGTTTACCTTTTTCTTGAACTAGAGCGCGACCGTATCTGATGTTAGGACACAGCAGAGCCTCTATAAAGAAACAATCAATTTCTAGCTGGAAATAATGAATATTTAACCATGGATTATTCAACGACAATCACTGCAAGATAAATGCAAAAGAATGTTTCATTTTACGTGAATACGCCTGTAAAATAAAATGCCAAATATGTAGACAAAATTTATTCACAGCTAGTGTATAAAGTAAAGTAGCTGGTTGCTTCAATCCAGGAATTCTTGAAAAGGCAATCAGCTATTCATCTGATGGTGCTTCCAGGCCCAGCATTTTTGTAAACATGGTAATGTTTTGCTTTCCAGTATCATTAACCATGGATCGGAATTTGCCAGTCTCTATTCCCATGAGTTTCTTGGGTGTATCAAACTCGGCAATTTGTCCAGCTTCCATTACAAGGACACGATCATAGTCGACAATCGTGTTCTAGTGGTTATCCAGTACATCCAGATATTGGCCAATACGTTTAAATCAAAAAAGGTAAAGCATTAGTCATGAATACTATCAACACTAATGGTCATCCTGTCAGGTCAAATAGACAAGACTTACTAGTCGATGGGCAATAGTAATAATGGTAGAATCAAAGAAATATTCTCGCAGACATTTTTGAATAATTGCATCCGTCTCATAGTCTACATTGGCAGTAGCTTCATCCATTACAAGAATACGTGGCTTCTTGAGCATTGCACGCGCCAGACAAATCAGTTGACGCTGCCCAACAGACAGGTTTTCACCATTCTCTTGTACTTCGCCATCAAGACCACCAGGAGCCTCTGTAACCCTGGATTTAATATTGGCTTGTTCAAGTGCTCCCCAAAGTTCTGAATCCGTATAGCTTCCAAGTGGATCCAGATTCTGGCGGAATGTACCAGAAAAAAGAATAGGATCTTGTGGAATGATGCCAAGACCAGACCTTAGGTCCGCAAGACCAAGTTTACCAGTAGTCATGCCATCTACTACAATAGATCCGCTTTCAACTTCAACCATGCGGAAAAGCGCTTGGATAAGCGATGACTTTCCAGATCCAGTCCGTCCAACCTAAACATGCATGTTTTAATCGGTTCAAATCAGGCAGAATAATATTAATACAATTTGAATACTCTAAATTGGAATTGTCCAATTTAATGTTTTACAAAGTTTTGCATTCAAAACACCAACAATATAATATCAAGGCAATTCAACTACGCCATTACAAAACAATACTTACAACGCCAATCTTCTCGTTGTTAGAAATACTAAACGATACGTTTTGAAGCACAAGTGGAAGGTCTGGTGCATACTTCATGGAAATATCCTTAAATTCAATGTTACCTGTATTCGGCCATCCAGAAGGAGGTCGAACATCGGTAATTTCTGGAGGTTCAATGGCAACACTGTTGGCATAGTATTCAACACGCTCAACAGCATTCATGGCAATTTCAGTTTCAGTAAATTGTCGAATACACCAATTAAGTGTCGAGGTCACTTGCAATGCATATGAAAGAGATAGACCAAAAAGAGCAGCAGTGAAGCTGGGATTGTTTCTGGCCAACACACCAAAAGTGGCTGCAAAAAACACTAGGACTCCTCCAAGTATTTCAAATCGAAGGGAAATCCAACGCTGGGCAGCCAGGAGCAAAAAGTATGGGGCGTTGTTGGTATCCACCATCTTATTGTTGTTGACAATAAATCGATCTTGCTCACGATAGGCTCGGATAGTAGGTAAGCCAGAAAGAGTTTCGCCAATATGAGCATACAAAGGAGACCGCATAAGCGAATCAAGTCGCTTCAGCTCGCGTGAAGTAGCGCGATAGTAAAGCTGCAAAACGTAATAGGCTGCAAGCACTGGAACAAGTGCAACAGTAAAAAGTGGTGTGGCATAAATGATCAAAATGAATACAGAAATCGTAGATGAAAGTGTTTGGATAAACATACGAAATGAGTTCATGAGGGCATTATCAATGCCATCCTGATCTTTGGAAAACCGATTAATGATGCGGCCCAAAGGTGTGGTATCGAAGAAAAACACAGGTGCCTTGATGACTCGTGTAATTGCACCTTCATGAAGGACTCGAGCAGCTCGAGTGCCTTGATAGGCAAAGAATACACCAAAGAGGTAAGTTGCAATCGCTTGAAAGATTCCCCATGCCCAATAAACACCAACATACTGACTATTGGACACAAATGCAGGAACGGATTTGTTGGTCCAAATGACCAACCAAAAATCATTGCCAACACGAGAGCCTTGTACTAGAACAAGCATAATAACCAATCCAAAAAGAAACATCCATCCGCCTGCAGAGTAAAAGTAGGACATCCAGACATTCCCTTTTACAGTGCCAGTCGCGCGATCCTCGGTTTGCATAAGCTCTCGAGCGTCCTTTTTTGCTGCAAGCGCGAGCGAATCACCGATTCGCTTAGAGTTAACGGCGTCTTCGTTCCGTTTTTTACCATCAATATCGATTTGATCGACTTCTGATACCATCAAATCAGCATCGTTTGCATCTTCATCAACACCACCATAGTTGCCCATAAGGGATGAAAATTCTCCATTAGATGCCATCAAATCAGAATAGCTGCCATGTTCGGATATTTCACCATTTGACATGACAATAATATAATCAACACGAGGCAAAAAATGCAACTGATGTGTAACAAGAATACGAGTTTTTCCTGCCAGTGCACCACAAATACAGTTTTCAAAAAGACTCCGTCCAACATGAGCTAATCGATTTTTCAAAGGTGATAACAGTTAGCAAGAACAATCAAAAATAAAGCAGTATACACTTTTAAAATCTTAATTTTTACCATCAACAGCAGATAGCGGATCGTCAAGAAGAACAATGTCGTTATTATAGTATACCATGCGTGCCAAATTGATACGTTGTTTTTGGCCGCCAGAGAGATTGATACCACGCTCTCCAATTTGAGTGCGATCACCATCCTGCATAATGGCCAAGTCGCGCTCCAGTGAACAGTCACGAATGGCAGCAAGATATCGACTTTCCTCATATGGTAAACCAAACAAAATATTGTTTTTGATGGTGGTGTTTTGGATCCAAGCTTGTTGTGGAGCATATCCAAGTGACGAAGAAAAAGTCACCTTACCACTGACCTGTTTCATTTCCCCAACCAGAGCATTCAATAAACTGGATTTTCCAGATCCAACAGACCCGACAATAGCAACAAGTTTTCCTCGTGGAATGGCAATGTTGAGTTTACGAAGGGTCGATATTTCAGGAACCTTTTTGGTATTTTCGGTAGTAATGGTACTCTCGGAAGTATTTGTTGGAGTGCCTGAATTAGAAGTGTTTTTAAAACTATAACCCCGCTGTTTTGAAGCGGGTTTTGAAGTGACTGGTGGTGCAGTAGGTGGAAGTGAATCCCATGTGAATTCTCCATTAACAATCTCAACGGCATGAATAGCATTTGGACTGATTTCTGCTTGATCTACTAGCTCTGGAGCGAGAAAAAGCGCTTGAATACGCTGTAAAGCCACCTTTAAATCGGCATAACCAACAATGATTTGAGGCAAAAACATGAGTGGAAATCGCAGTTGATTAAACCAAGTCAGCGAAGAAAAAATACGGCCTGGTTCCAAGTCATGGTTGATGCCATAGATTACAAAGGTAAGAGATGCACAAAACACTGGAACAGCAAATGTCAAAGTCATAACAAATGCAGTGATTACGCTGAATAAATTAAATCATACAATATAAAGCATTAGCATATTTCTAAATTATCCATTGATAAAAACCCCAACCAAACAACACATTTAGGATTTTTATAAACCACAATGAAATCTCACTTTTGCCTCAAAATAAGAGCAATCTCTTTTTTTCGAATTTCTTGGATCTGTTTTAAAAAAGGCTTTTCCCAATTAAAGAATTTGATGACACGAATTCCCTGAAAAACCTCTTGGGTTGTTTTGACACGCTTGTCTGCAAGTGGGGCAACTTCACGGCGAATATTATTGAGAATGCGATATATCTTTCCTTGCATTGGACCAAGAACAACCAGTATTGCAACACCGACAAGGGCAGCATATCTATGAGTCAGCAGATTGCCAAAAATATTAGCATGTTCAACTCGCGAATCAAAATGCATAAATAGCAAATGGTTTTACTCACCCAAGTTGGGAAATCAAAAATATGGTAATAACTATAATTTGAACTGGAGCAGTCCACATGGAATGCATCATTCCAAGAAAAGTTTCAATACGTGCAACATCAGTGGAGACGATGTTGGTGACTTTTCCTGAATTAAAATCTTGACGAGCAGCCGATGTCAAACGCATTGATTTCCTATAAATCATGCCCACAAACGCTGCACGAAGAGCCATTCCGGAGGAAAGCGACAGATAGAAAAAAAAGTTTTGTAGCAGAGTACTTACGATTTGCAAAGCAAACATAGCAACAGCAAGTCCCATTCTATCCAAATTCAAAGTGTTAGAAAGCAAGCACAAAAGATTAGATATGGCCATGACACATGTTCAAATCTGGTGCACGACTCTATTGTCAAGCATCGCAACACACCCGTAAGCTAGTGGAGGCGCATCCTTGCCACTAATAATCGCAATTCTTGAATCAACCACAAATGTCACCACATATTTGATTAAATAAGGAGCAAAGACTCCAGCCATATCAGAAACAAGTCGTAACAGACCATATGGGGCAAGCTCCCAAAATAGTAGGTCCCATAGTGCGGTGATCAAGGAAGGTGCAGTGCGACCCTTGCGAGGGGGATTATCGGCTACATCGGAACGTGTAGGGGTACCATTTTCGGCTCTATCGGAACTTGTAAAAGGCTTGGTAGTAGTAATACTGCCCGTTTTTTCAAAATCTGCCGTAAATGCCGTGTTTTCAGAAACTAATGGAGCTGAATCGGGCTTATTTGCAGTGGACGTAGCCGGATACTGAGGTGAGGAAGGAAATTTTGCAACTTCTGCAGCCCAGGCATTTTCAAGTCGTTCTGTTAAAGGCTGAACACGCCATTTAGGCCCAAGTTGCCAAATATCAGTCAATTCAAGTGGCCTTTTGAATCCAGCAAGGAAAACGGCATTCATCCAAGAATAAGTCAGTTTGGAAAAAAGTGAAGCGGTGGCTTCTGGGGAGACAAAGTCTGACGAAATGTGATTCTTGTTCTTTATGAAAGGTTTTTCATTGGCAGCCGGAGTACCAGTAGATTGGGGTGCATTTGTAGACTTTGTTGGCGCTTCAGGTTGTTGCAAAGCGACTACAGTATCGGTGGTTGGTAGAGCTGCCATAGCCAGCAGAAATTTAAGCTCTAAGAATGTAGATCCAGCCCTTATATGCTGAACAGGTGTTTGGATTCAATATATATTCAAAGCCTGTTAATTAAATTAGGAAAGATTCAAAAACTAGAATTGCATTTACATAAAATCAAACATTAAATAAGGGAGCCAAAGTGCATAATAAATAGCCAATTCACATCGAATTTACTGGTCAGTATTATTTCTGAACTCTAGTTTGGTGACATTTGTGCTCATTTTGTATAAAACTAAACGAATGTTCATGTCAGTTTCAGTCAATCTGCAACTCCTACAAACCAAACATTGTATGATTGGCATGTATAGCTGCATTCCCGAGTGCAGTCTTGTTCATTTGAATTAGTGCGTGAGCGTATCCGAGATTTCAAGATACAACAAATACGAATTCAATTGCTTTTGATCGACCCAATATGTGGATTGTAACGGATAAATCTAGTGATCGTACAATGTATGGCTATGTCAAATAAGAAGATATGTGTTTGAAACTATAGCCTAATTGTGTCATATGATGTGCATGATCTACTAAAGGATCGAGAATGTTTATCAAAGTCAATTTATAGTAGAAAGCAGTGAATGCTCAAGCATTGTTTATTCCAAAGCAATCACTGCAAGATAAATTCAAATTCCATTTTGCGTAAATACGGCTGTAGGCTATCAATAAACAAAAATCAATCCGTCTAGATTATTATAGCAAAACTAGATTGGTATCGTGTTAGTACGATACCAGTCTGGCTTCATTAAAGTATCAAATCTCGACAGGAACAATCTATTCGCCATCAGCCAAGAATCAAAGTAATTGTTTCAGTAAAGCAATGCCATTCTGATATATTCCAGTAAAATATAGCAACTAAGCAGTTGCTAACTGCCATCCATTCAATTAGGTTTTTATACACACGCCGATCTAGCTCGTCAAACCCCAACAATTTTTCAATCAAATAGCAACCACCCGGCCATTGGATACAACCCATTCTTACTTGCTCCCATACTATCCATTGCTCAAAGTGTATCTGCTGGCTAATAGGCTCTACTGGACTTGATGTCAACCACTCCTACGAACATCTATTCAAAGGCTTCGTATGTCGACCCCGACTTGATTGACGAACTTGGCGACGAAGTCACAACACCTGGAGGAACACAACCTGCTGATGACCAACAGAATGGTCAAGGCAGCACTGCAAACAAGTACAATGTCCTAGATTGCAAGTACAAGAGTAATCTGAGAACTAGACCTTACACTACTCATCACACATATCCGTTGAGTATATTAGCTTGCCTTTCGACCTGCTCTTGATTTTAATGGTTATAGCCTTTAATGTGGTTTCACGGAACTGGCTAGGTTGAATGGATTTGAAGATTATCGAGTTGAGTGGGGAAGAGCATATAGTTGATTATATACTCTTGCATGTTTTTGGATTCACTCCATCGTACACATGACAGCCGTACTTGCTCACTCTTTAAATCATGTCATTTGCTATCATGAATGATGCTACAGTAGCAATTATATCAATCCCATCACTAGTGGTTTAGAGATAAATCCAATGGCTTAGAATCCTCATACAACCAACTACTTGATTAACCTTGGTCTTTTTTAAACAACCTATTCTCAATTCTAAAATGCTGACATTGTCCAATATATATTTTTGGGCCTAACCCCATAACTAGACGCATTGACCAGCTTCGACAGCTAGCAAATCTCCCAGTAAAACTAATTCCAATTCGGCTAGATCTTGAGATAGAAGGTGTCAAGTTGCGAGATCAATTTACCTGGAATATGAATGGTATGCCTTTTCTTGATGCATTGCCAACACAATTGAGCGCCATCTGCGTGCCGTTTTACTATACATACCAATCGTCCGAGTTATTCCAAAGGAACTTGTATTTCTTTATGCACATGGCTGATGCTGAAATTTCTAATCTTAATTATGGAATTTCAACTGATTGTTTTGAATAGAAACGCTCATGACACCAGAGTATTTTGCGCAACTTTTGGCGGACGATCTAGAGTTTCCATATGCGTCATATTTTGTACCTCAGATAGCAGATGCCATTCGAAAACAAGTTTCAGAATACGCTGCCGCCGTAGAAGAGGATCTTATCCCTGTCGAAAAACTCAAAACCATACCCCAAAAAACTGTTGCTTTGGAGAGTTCTCCGCCGTCCAAGTCTTTAGTTGAAGATGCCTTGCAAACCAAACAAGAGTTGCACACTAATGGTGGTGATGGCCTTTTAAATAAAGAAAGTGAAGTAAGCACCACTAGCGCAGTTGACGAGACTGGAGACGCTCTAGATGATTTTTCAGCATACGGCGATTTACGAATAGTGATTACGGTAAACTATTTTTACTTTATATTGATTTCATGGTAGATCAGTGTCAGTTTATTCGTACATTTTTCTTACATTTTCACCATCTGGATCGGCCATGTTTTACCAAACATAAATGGACAACTCACATGATACTATAGTTGGATCTTCATGTCGGAGTTGTGTATCTCAGGGATCGATTCGAATGGCCTCTTTTTCCTACACATTCTATTACACCAGAGCATTTTGCTCGCCAACTTTCTGCGGATCTTGGAGTGGGTGGTGAATTTGTCCCCATGATTGCACATGCCATTCGCGAACAGGTTGTCAATGCGCGTTTGAATTACTCTCAGGCTACAGAAGCAGCATTTTGGAGATCACGGCCATTTAGAAGTGAAGATTTTGAGTTTGAATGGCAGCCCGATCTGCGAATTCTCTCGGATGAGGATATTGACCGGATTAACAAAGAGGAGGATCGTAACTCACGGTATGTTGCTCAGATTTAATAATGGAATGCTGTGGTTTTAAAATAAGAACCAGACGATTTTATTTTGGCATTTTTATTTGAGCCAAATTTGCAGAATACGTGATGCAGGGTTGCTTACCAATCATATCACTTGATGTTTTTAATAGACGATTGAGACGACAACGGCATCAGCTGGGCGGCCGATCTGCGCGTGGACGTGTGGCAGAATCGACGATACCTGGCACTCTTCAACCTAATCTTCCAGTGTTTACCCACTACCCGTTTCCACCTCCCACACTGTCCATTGGATACGTTGGTGGTTTGCTGAGTCAGCAACTACAGTACCAGCAACAACTGCAACTTCAAATTCAACAACTTCAGAAACAACAACTGCTTCGACAACAGCAGCAAGCAAATCTAGTGTTGGCGGGGTACGCGCCGGGATCTCGTGGTACTTCAGGTACTACACCCACTGCTCCACCTACTGGATATAAGCGAGGACCATACAAACGTCGTGAGCCAGCCTCGGATGACCGACGTAAGCAAGATTCTTACTCTCGAAGACAGTCGGGTGCCGCAGCAACTCCTTTGAATGGACGTGTAGAGCTGACACGTATCTCGGACTTGCAGGTGATTTTATGATTTATAAAGTTTGCTCTAGAAAATAACCAGCAATCTCGTTGACTTTTATCTAAACTTTCAAATATAGCGCAAGCGATTGCATTAATAGTTATAACTGTACCGAAATTCTACTCCATTTTCTAGCAATTGATGTGAATGCCAACGTACTATTTTGAATGTGTGTGGTGAAATAATGCTTATTGTTCGATTCAAATTTGAACCCTGGTTAATAGTATACGGGTAGCCAAATTACAGCCGTATTTACGCAAAATGGAACTTGAATTTATCTTGCAGTGATTGCTTTGGAATAGATGATTAAATGTTTGTTTCGTCTTTCTACTATAAATTGACTTTGATAAACATTCTCGATCTTTTAGTAGATCATGCACATCATATGACACAATTAGGCTATAGTTTTAAGCCCATATCTTATTTGACATAGCCATACATTGTACGATCACTAGATTTATCCGTTACAATCCACATATTGGGTCGATCAAAAGCAATTGAATTCGTATTTGTTGTATCTTGAAATCTCGGATACGCTCACGTACTAATTCAAGTGAACAAGACTGCACTCGGGAATGCAGCTATACATGCCAATCATACAATGTTTGGTTTGTAGGAGTTGCAGATTGACTGAAACTGACATGAACATTCGTTTAGTTTTATACAAAATGAGCACAAATGTCACCAAACTAGAGTTCAGAAATAATACTGACCAGTAAATTCGATGTGAATTGGCTATTTATTATGCACTTTGGCTCCCTTATTTTACGCGAGTACGGCCGTAATAAGATGAGCGTTTCCGACATGTGCTCAGCTCTATACCAGAACAAAAATAAAAGCATTAAACTTGTACCCTACGAGCTAACGGGATTTGAAAGCGTGACTTGATCCCCTTGCAGCGAATGGCTTCCATTTATACTATAAAAAGGCTGCATTTGAACGCAAATCCTGTCCATCTTTGTGATATCTGCTTGTAAGAAAAACACTTTTGCTGACATGTTTGAGATTATGCTAGGCTCGTTAGCCCTGGTTTAATATATCATTGCAGTATGCTGTGATCTCACTGTATTATCCTAACTGCCCACCAATTCAATCTTGTTAAATGCCCAGTGCTAATCCACTTTAATGCCATTAAAATGTGAATTAACCACCCTGCATTATCGTATTTGACCATTCAATCGTTGTTAGTATCCCTGGCATCCTCAATCTTAGCAAAATGAAATTGTTTACGCTCTCTGCCGCATGTCTGGCTATCGCTGGCCTGGCTTATGCGACCCCTCACAAAAACCCCAAGCCCATGTTCATTAATCAGTTTGACGAGGCATCCAACGACTTTCAATTCCTGTCTTCCGTCAAATCGCCATTTACAGCCAATCAGCATTCTCTTTTCGAGTCCAGCAAGCGTCCTTCTGCTCTCAAGGTCGAGACCAAGAGCACCATGTCAGCTACTGGAAAAATAACTGTTTGGAATGTACTTACTCATGCCAAGTTTCCTAAATACACCATCCGTGTGAGGGAAAAGGTTGAGCTATGCGATCCTAGTGTTCAGCAGGTAAGATCATGCTCTTGATGTGTGTAGATGCAAGGGATCTGAAGGCAGTATTCAGTCGGGAGTTGATTGGCGGAGTTTGGAATTACTCGAGCTGCTTGTCGGAGATTCCCATTTTTGGCTCGATGCATATTCTATCTTTAATATCTCCCATCTTCGGTTTCTTGCTTGACTCCCTTTTCCATTACAATGTGTTGGCTTTGGGCTATACCTTGCTGTGTAGCTGTGCTTTTTCCAATCTGATTCAGCTTGATGCTTATAATTTTATTCCCCTCGAAGCCAATTTGTTGTTCACACAAAATGCAACACTTGTATTTTGCTTTGGAATAGACAGCGATTAGATATTCGTTGCGCTTTCCTACTAAAAATTGGCGGCTTCAATAGACATTCTTGAGAAAAGTCTAAAAACTCCTTTGTATCCTAAAATATTGAATCCGTTCGCGCTTCTGGTTCAAGTGAACAAAGATTGCACGTCTCGGGAATGTAACTATACATGCCAATCATAATGTTTGGCTTGTAGGGGTTTCAGATTGAAAAAGTATGGGATTGACTAGAACTGAAGCTGTGATATGAGCATTTACTCAAATATCACAATATTGTCCAGTAAACTGGCAATCATTTCATAAGCTGGCGGTTTATTATACACCCTGATCCACTTGTTGTTTTTCATTTTACATGAACAAGACTGTAAGTTATAAATACTAATGAATTTCTGTCACCAACACTAATGTATAGTATGTTGGCTACCTCGATACTGAAGACAATAATCACGTAAGTTTTGTTTTTAAATTGGTTTATGGCAATGCATTGTTACTGGTAATTCAAACTAAATTCATATATCTTTGCTCATGTCTTGTTAGTTTTTCTTTTGGTTTTTCGAAAGCAGAGATAAGCCTAAAACTGATCCTGTAATTTTGTGGCTTAATGGTGGCCCTGGCTGCTCATCTCTCACCGGTCTTCTTATGGAGCTTGGCCCTTGTCGTGCCAACCCCGAGGGAAATGGTACCACCATCAACAAGTCTTCTTGGAATGCTAATGCAAACGTCGTCTTTTTAGATCAGGTAATGCAGTTCAAAGGTTGATCCGAAAAGGAAATTAACCATATTGTAATACTAGCTTGCGCTTATTCAATTGTTTATTTTATTAGCCTACCAATGTTGGCTTCAGCTACGGTGATGGAAAGGTTACAGACTCGGATGCTGCTGCTCAAGACGTTTATGCTTTCCTTCAGATATTTTTCCAGAAATACACCCAATATGCCAAACTTCCCTTCTTTGTTACTGGAGAATCGTACGCTGGCCACTACATTCCTGCTATTGCCAAGACTATTTCTGAGGGAAATGCAGCCTCAATTAAGCATCATACACTCGATGATGGTCCAGAAACTGTCGAGATTCAATTGAAAGGGCTTGCTATTGGAAACGGTTTAACTGACCCTTTGGTGCAATATCAGTACTATCCTGATATGGCCTGCGATGACAAATATGGACCTATTCTTGATGAACAGACCTGCAACACTATGCGTTCCAAGTATAGCACATGTAAATCTTTGATCAGCGCATGCTACAACTGGAAAAGCGCTTTTACTTGTGTGTAAGTAATTATGGTTGCTACGGTGCTTGGCTTTGATATGGCAACAAACGCTAACAAGTTTTTGACTATGGATCCCATTTAGGCCAGGCTCTCTTTATTGTAATTCTGCCATGATCCAGCCATTCCAATCTTCTGGCAAGAATATTTATGATATTCGCAAGGACTGTGACGCTTCCAACCCACTTTGCTACTCTATTTTAAATGACATCGAGTCTTGGTTAAACCGTCCAGATATTCAGGAGCAACTTGGTGTAGATGTTACCTACCAGGGCTGTAACAGAGACATCAATGTCAGTTTTCTTATGGCTGGTGACTGGATGCACCCATATGTCGAGTATATTGCTCCACTTCTCGAGGAAGGGATCGCCATTATGATTTATGCCGGTGATGCCGATTATATTTGCAACTGGATTGGAAATAAAGCATGGACTATGTCTCTTGAGTGGTCTGGCCAGGAAGGATTTGAAAACGCCGAGGACAAGCCATGGGTCTCTGAAGTTACTGGTAAGGCTGCTGGTGAATTCCGTCAACATGAAAACTTTTCGTTTGTTCGGGTTTATGAAGCTGGCCACATGGTTCCGTATGATCAGGTAAGTTTGAATTTTTATTCGGCAATTGCATCCCAAGTATCGCTCTAGTGGGGAAAATGCAGATAAAGGGTTAAAGCTAATCGTATGTTTTTGTTCTGTAATAGCCCGAGCATTCTCTTGAGATGATCAACCATTTCACACGATACACTCTATCCAAAAAAGGCGGGAAAAAGCACCATAAATGAGCATATCTACCATTGTGTCTAGTCTCGATGTCTTTGAATCATTTTGTCGAGTTTCTCAAGTTTGTGCACCATGCACTTTTATCGCTGCTTTTATTGAATCTATTTCTTGGCGTCTTTTTGTTTCTATTTTTTTGATCAAGCAGCCTGATGCTAGTACATATTTTGTAATGTGTTGATTGGCCAAATAAACAAATTTCTACTGAACTTTGAATTCATCTGTATATCATTGTTGGTCGCTTTACATTTATCCATCACTTTATTATAAAAGATAAATCACGCAATCTGCTCTAAGCCGCACTCTACCAGATGACGATGCTCCACCATAAAGAATATAGATTAAAGCTCTGCCCTTGTATCTGATATTTCCGCTTCATCCACATGCTCAGCCATTGCTTCTTCGTCTGCATCGCTTATATCATCCTTATCTGGAGATAAAATCATATCGATATGTGATTCCTCGTCCATATCACGAATGTTGCTCGTCATGTCACCGATGGGTAAAATTTTAAACCGAGGTTCATCGTCTTTGACGTCACGATCAGTATTAGAGTGATCTGCATCAACAGCAAATTCCTTGACAATAGGTGAGAGAGAAGGCGAATGGGATTGCGTGAATGAGTCGGGTTTGTTCAATACATTGCTGTCTGTTTCACTTTGACGTGTATGAGATTCTTCAGCCTTTATCTCGTCAGTAGTATGCGAATATGTATCACTTTCATGGTCTATTTCATTCGCTGGGGCATCATGAATGTCGAGAAACGCATCATCGGTCAAATCGGCAGCTACATCGTGGTCTTTGGCGTTAGTGGGTGCGTCCCGGATATTGGCTTGTGTATCTCCAATAGGAAGAATGGTAAATGGCTTTTCATGTGAAATTGGCTTGTGATAGCTATTATCAAGCTTCGCTTCATCTTCATGTTCATCAGGAATATCTAAAGGAGTCGCAAGGGTGCTAGCAGCCAACTCTGTATTCTCCAAGTCAGCCTTATAATGGCTCGAGAGTGTATCGGTGTCAGTAGGTAATGTCGGCGTAGTATACAGATTGGTCGTCAAAGAAGATTGAGATTCGGATAAAACTTTTGAAGATTTTGGTATAAACTGTTCCGTAGTTTCCATCTTTAACACAGATTCGTGTGAGATAGATGGTTGTTCAAGATCCAGCAAAAAGCTTGGTGACGGTTCAAAAGTCGATACTTTCTGTGGATTGATAGTGGATTGAGAAGACAGTATAGACGTGCCATCATAGGCATCCAAAATGACTTGGTTTTCAGGTGATTCGGAAATATGTGTTTCCGACACTTCCACCGACTGCTCGACTTCTAAACCAGAGATCACAGACGTATCCGTTTCATGAACAAAAGAATCTGCTTGGTTTGTACTCAGCCTATCCACATGAACAGGCAATAGCGATGATTCTGTCTTTGGCACATTATGATCAATTGGATGACTTCCAGACAGGCTTTCATCGGCACCTTGTTGCGCAGGATTTGAGCTCATGTCAGGCATAGATGGGGCACGTTCAATAGCCTTACGCATTGTGTTATCTAGCCACAGTCTTGCATTAAACAGAGCTTTGCGACCTGTCACAACGGATTTTCGCGAATACCAGCGAATTCTCTTTAAAGACTCTGGCCCAGCCTTTAAAACTACCAACTCTGTAGCATCATGCCACATGGTGGTAACTGAATCCCAAGCGGGTAGAATGGTGGATTCGCAAACAGTATGATATGGCTTAAATATATGCGCACCAGCTGCGCCAGATGACAAGTCACAGGCTATATAAACAGTCGAATACATGGTGAACATAGTGAATAACAAGCTCAATATAAACATCCAAAAGTTGACACGTCGAGTTTTTTTTTCAGATAGTTCGCGAAGAATAGACTGCAAATTAGCAAATAGCAAGATAAAATTTCGTTAAAAGCCTTACAAAACAATAAACTAATAATATGTTTACAACGATCCAATTGATCAAATCAAAACATGCCTCCATATTACATCAAACTAAAAAGTAAAATCTTACCGCAAGTATCTCCGAGTCAAATGCTGTATTGGTTTCATTAATCGGAGTCCAAAGCTCAATATCAAGGTCGGATTCAGACCGCTCACTCGATGATGTTCTGGACATGTTTTCTGATCGAAACAAACCCGATTTTTTTGTTTTTAAAACATCTTGAAGCATATCAACAATATTGTTCATGCGGTTGTGAATGGCGTTTAGATCTTTGGGATTAGATACAGTACCGACAGGTTCGTGATGAGATTCAGAATAAATGGAAGTGTGTTGTATAGACTGTGTTTGGTTTATAGCAGAGCTATTTGTATATGGTGGTCCTACCATGGGTGGTGGTGGAAGCTGTCGCAAACCACGTTTCCCCGATGGACTAGTCTGACGCATAGAAACCATTGTAGTAGAATCGAGTGGTTCCATATCAAGAGGAAGACTTGGTCGATAGTTGGGATGATCATTGGGAAAAGCAGAAACAGATGACAAAGTCGTATCGAATTGAGGCTGCTCAATAGAATTGGCAATTGGCGCGACAAATATGCCAGTTGCCAAATCCTTTACAGCGTTCCCAGGCACTAAATGCTCAAGGTATGTATCCGAGGATAGATCATGACGGACTTGAAGAAGCCTCCTACAAACATGCTCTAGGTCGGAGTAGACAGTAGCATAATTTTCAGGAAGTTGTAAACCGTGAGCCACGACTTTATCTGATGCTTCCAACAATGATGCCATGGCAACATCAATTCCACATTGAATCATAGAAATTTCAGCAACAATGGCAAAGCGCTCCGATTTTGGAGTTTGTGAATCAAGCACAGATACTTTAGACGTAGTTTCATCTAATGTGGCATTGGCAAGACTAGTCTCATTCAATGCAGTGTCAATTGCAGTTTGTAAAAGATCCAAAGGAGGTGCTTCAGGAGCATCGCTACGTTGGATAGGCTGGCTAAGAATATCGTCCACATGTTTTCGTACTGTCGCATTAAGGGTTGCTCGAGCCTGTGCCAAATCGTACTCTAGCTCTGCAATTTGCCCTTGCATTTGTATTACGCGCATATGAAGAACGGACGAATCCATCTCTCCATCTTGGTTGGACACGGTCAGCTCTGACATTGAGATATCTTCAAGTGATCCACGCAGAGTCATTAGACGAGCACGAGCTTGAGAAATAATCACCTGCTGACGCTCGCAAACAGACTGAGACTCGCGGGTCTCACCTAGTTCATTCAAAAGAAGCTCCACCCTCTCGCGAAGAGCTTCAACCTCGGTGTTGGTACGATGAATTTGAGCCAATTCTTTTTGAGACTCTGCAAGTCGTCCTTGAACAATGTTCAATCGATCAGTGACTGATTTAAGGCGGTTGCTTGTGTCGGATAGTTCGGCTACTTTAATTGACAAGTTATTCTTAAGCTGTTCGGTTAAATGGTGGTTATTGGCCGAGTCTTGCTTTAGTATAGATAGAGATTCACTAACGCTACCTAAAGCCGCCTTTACTTTTCCAAGCGTGGTGCTGCGAGAAAGACCGACAGGATCCCATGCGACTGTTACACTCACGGTAAACCTATCAACCCCAGATAGGTTTTCAAACACTTGATCCAAAGACCAGAGTTTTTCCCAACCAGCAGCAACTTTGTCTTGATCCCCTGAAAATACAAACCCACCAGTAATACTTTTGGAAACCAGAACCTGTCTGCTAACAGGATGGATCAATTCCAAAGTCAAGGTAGATATTGAGCGAGACCACTGGATTCCAAGAGACTCTTCAAAGTCTGATTTGATGGGTTTTAAATATCCGGAAATATGATTCCCATAAGAGTTTTTGTTTTCATCAAGATGGATATTCACAAGCCACGAGCAGCCACGCGGACCAAAAGGCAGCGAAGTGTGAGAGTTTTCCGTTTGTGTCGGGTCTGTAGAAAATGGATATCTGACATCATATTCGTAAGCAATCGTGCTTGTTTGAATTGCTTGAGGTCCACAAACGTCAATTTGAATGGCTGCAGTTCCATCGGTCAGATCAACTGCCTCCATAGGAAACGGCAGCGGATAGAACTCTTGAAATCCCCAACCCGATTGAGTTGGAGAAAACCCTGTAAAGGTAGGTTCCGACATCTGAGAGCACAAAAAATCAGAACCAAGTCCTTCTCCATTTCCAGGAACATTTGAGTAGCAGGAATCATGAGGGATAGCAGACGCATATTTAAGATGAAAAGTGAAATTGGTGACCGGGCGAAACCAATTGTCTTTTGCTACTATCTCCGAGTCGCTCTTGATTGGACGAATAAAGGCACTTGAATACGCTTCTTTGCTGTCAGATGTTCCTTTTGGGTATAACACAATTTGCCACGACCAATCTCGTGGACCAAATGGAGGCGACACCAGTTTTTCTGCTGTTGTTTGATGAAGATTAGGAATACGCCAGCAATACGAGGTTTGAAGCTGCGACTCTACCGGAGTGAGACGAAACATTCCACCAGGCTCTCTGGGAGATCCATATTGACCTACAGCAACTAGCATATCCAGAGATTCTACTAATTCATCGACCTTGTCTACAGATCTGGCAGACAAAGAATGCATGTTTGAAAGATTGTAGTTTTTAATGGCATGTGGGTGATCGACAGGATGCATTGGAGGCAAGGTATTGTAGTTTTCAGGAGTGATGGCTGCATATTGATGGTTTGCAAACATATTGTCTGATTGTACTGCCATTTCAGTCATTTGGCGATCAGCAGAATAAAATTGCGCAGCATGATTGCTTTCAGGAGCCGAATGAATGGTTTCCAGCACATTCTGTGGTTGCAGAGTAAAAAGACCATATGGTTGATGGGGTGTTGCAGACTGCACATTAGATTCTTGATACGAAGGAGAATGTTGATGATACTGCAGAATTCCAGTAGGATTAGCTGATTGACTCAAAGCAGTGCTGGACAAGGCAGACGTGATCGCGGAAGTCAGAGGAGTAAGATCTTGATGAATCGCACCATCAGTATCCATGTCAGCGACGATAGCACTCTGAGTATAAAATGGATCGGGGTTGGATTGCGAGGATTTGCGATGAGCTGCGTTTGGCATGTAAGGATTAGTCAATGGTGGAAACCCATGGCTAGCAGTTGGAAGAGATCTGCAAGTAGTTGGGTCGGATTGTTCCAATGTAGGAGTCTCGTCACCATGACTGACCGGATTAGCAGAGGGAATCATGACAGGCACGACTTCAGTCGCGATGTTGGATTGCTGGGATGTAAAGGCGAACATGGAGTTGGTGCTAGCTCGACGACTATGGGACTTTGAGGGTGAAGAAAAGGTGGAGAACAATGAACTTCTTCGAGAGCGGGAGTTGGAGAGAGGTAGCATCGGTGGTTCAATCTCAGCAGAAGCACTACCAAAGATATTCAAAGGATTGTGTTGGGAATCGAATTCGGCAGAAGGAGAGTAAATATCGCCCATATCCACCACACCAAAGTCGGTGCTGAGTGGAAGTGGAGGTACAGGACCTGGCACAACACCATTGACAGTATGAGATTGAACAGGAAAAAACTGTTGTTGGTGAAGGGTCTTTGAATTTCCGTTAGTAACACTTGCGATGGTAATGGGAGGAGGACCGATTCCCACTGGTGTTTGTATATACAGATTGGCACTTTCTTGACTTGCCAATGATGACTGTCGAGTATGATGACTGTTGAATGCGGCGGTAGATGGCGATACAGTGTTTTTTGTCGAATTCCCGTTCAATGGATTGGAATGAACGGGAATAGCGGTGGCAGGTGGATCTCTGTCCATTAATCAGGTAGATACGACCTCGAATAGAATCTGAATGTCAAGTCTGGAGTGTCCTGAACGAGTCCACTTCAAACGCGATTTGTTTCAGAATGCTCACGTGTTGCTGCTTGATGTGCTGCTCAAGATGCGTTTCTGAAGCATCAGCAACTCTTATCAATGGTTGTCAAATCTCGCTCTTGGCATGGACTAATCAACCGTCATTTGATTGTGTATGTAGACTTGGTTTGGGTTTGATATCTTGATTGCATTATGTCTTTTGTTTAGACAGTCTTGTCTGCTGTTATTCCGCCACAATCGCCAGTTTTATACTACTGCACTGGGCCATGTAGCACCCCATATTGCCATGGGTAGATAATACTGACTACTTGGTCTCTAGTTCTATCCACATATGGATTTATATTCATCAGCGTTTTTCTCAATCAGTTAAACTGCCACTTTACGCCATTTACTGCCATACTCATGTAAAATGGAACTTGCATTTATCTTGCAATGACCGCCTCTTTTGCTGTAATATACAGTATTCGTTGCGCTTTCCTACTAAAATCGACTTGAATCGACACTCGACTTTCCTCTACTAGACAACGCCCATCATATGATTTAAAAACTATAGTCTTGAAACCATCTCTTTTGGCATAGCCAGATTCATCCATTTTAATCCAAATATTGGATTCAACTGTTCTGATGTTGTCAGACTGCAAACTCCTTGTTGTATTTTAAATATCAAATACGTTCGCGCACTAGTTCAAGAAACCAAAAATTGCACATCTAGGAATGCAACTGTTTTTTCATGCCAGTCGTTCAATGTTTGATTTGGATGAAAGGAGATTCAAGTGCCAACGATGTGGGATTAACTGGAACTGTGATGTAAACATGTGTTGAGATTTTAATCTAAAAATGAGCACGGAGAAAGACTAATGAATTTCTACCACGCTGCTTTTAAATATCTGATCCATCATCTATACCATCTTTGCGTTATCCTAGACTATATGTTTTTTGCTAATAGATCCTGTCACTATTTTTATTAATTTATCTTGCTACTCTTATATAGCTCCGATGACGATGATTTGGATAGTGACGAAGAAAACGACTATATTGACCTTGATAGCCCTTCTATTGACAATGCAAATTTTTTCCCTGCTGCGATTCATCATCTGGGTGCCCCAGTGTCTGCTCATATAGTTAATCATGAGGGAATCTTGAGATCTCGCAACAAGAGAGATTCAGGCTTGTTGATTCATGCTTCACATGGTGCTGGCAGTGATAAAACTCAAACTAGACCTAAATCATGGACTGTTTCTGACTCTGAAAATCACAAAAAAATAGAATCTTTTATAGGTAAACTCATATTTATATTTTTTCATTCATTTACCATACTTTGGTTGGCTAACACGTTGATCCAACTTTAAAGGAAATCCTGTATCTCGAGTTCCAAGTTGGATACATTCCAAGGAACAAGGACCTCGTGCTTTATGGGCATCTATGAAGCATGATTTTGACGATGATCAGTCATTTTTACCTCGACTGGAAATTGAAGCGACAGCTCCAGTAGCTTTAAAAAAAACTCCGCGTCGACGCTCCGTCAGATGGTCTGATATGTCAAACTTTTCTCACAACGCATCTCATTTGCCAGGCTCCATTCTTAAAATAATTATGAGTTATGCTGTTAGTTCTGCTGAAATATCCAAATCATACATGCTTGTCTGCAAGCAATGGTCACGAGCTGGCGCCCGAATGTTGTATTCATCGCCATCATTTACCACAGTATCTGGATATTATGAAATGATTCAAACTCTATTGAACCCAATGGCATTTCATCCATATCCGGCATTTGTTCGTCATTTTCATATTCCTACCATTATTTCTGATCAGCTACTTATTGGAGATATTGATGTTGCACTTCAACTTTTTCCAAATTTGGAATCCATTTCTTTGAAATCATGTCCATCTGCTTCCAATATTGTAGTTCAGTCTATTTCAGACCACTCTCCTGATTTGGTCTCATTAGATTTAGCCGGTTGTCCAATCTCTGATTCGTATCTCCCTGACCTGTTTCGTCACATACCTTCTCTCAAATCTATTAATCTTGCTGGCACAAAAGTCACGATTGCCACACTTGTGAATATTGTTGATATCTGTACACAGATTGAACACATTTGTTTAGATGGTGCACTTCCTGATGCAAGTCCTTTGACCTTTCGCCCATTAACTCTTTCGTCACCTTCTAGGCCGCTTAAATCTCTTTCGCTTCGAAACTCGTCCATTATAGATCTTTCGTTGCGATATGTAGTATCCCACTGCCCTGACTTGAAAAGAGTAATCCTGGACGGTTCCTCTGGAATTTCAGATGATTCTATTATTGCTTTAGCTTTAGGCTCATCTCAGTTGGAAACTGTGCAGCTGGCATTTTGCTCTTTTGTCACTGATGTCTCGCTGTATGCTCTTGCAAAACATGCATCACATTCACTTCGGCGTGTGGCTTTGGCAGGATGTGAGGAAGTCAGCGAGCAAGGTGTACTTCAACTTGCTCGATATTGCACTTCATTACAAGAACTTCATCTTCATGGTTGTCCAAAAATTTTAAGCTCACCTATTGCCTCGTATCATTCTGGAGATCGTCATCTTGGAGTAGAATGCTTGATTCGCAGGGAATCGCTTTGTCTTTTAGCCAAGCATAGATTTAGGGGTAGTACTGCAATATCCAGATTATCACCAGCACATCTCAACAAGCCTTTGCATGATCAGGAGAATCGATCCAGCTCAATTACTCCAGTTCCTATTCTCACTCCAACTGCATCGTCTCCTTCAGTCAGCTCACAATATGATCATCACATGGGCTCTCATTCTGGCACTGCGTTTCTTCCATTTTCCCCTCCTGTTGTGATGGTTGACGCGAATGTGCAGACTGATATATCACCCGAGTATCTTCAACATGATAGTCCTGCACACAACGGAAACCCTGACCAGTATACTGCTTTTCCAACCTCTAGAAGGCGTTCGTCAAAAGTATCTCGCAAGCAAAGTCGTCGGAGCATGCATAGCCAATCAAATAGAAGAAGACGTACTAAAGATGCTACCAACGAAGATTATTATCAGCCTTCCAACAATGTCAATTCTGATTCACAAACTGATTCTGAAGATTATGATGATTACTATGATGAGTCTCGCGAAACAATGGGCGTACTTAAAAAGCTTGCAGAGGTCCTTACTAATGGTGTTGCCGCTAATACTACAAATATGGGACGCGGTCTGAATCCGTCTAACCTGAATGGCACATGGCCAGTTTCCCCACTTGGTCCTGGTGGGCCATTTGTGTATCCTGGTCAGCATATGTCTGCTATGCAGCATGCTGCGATGACTGCTAGTCCACACAACGGTGCTGGTATGCTTCAAGGGCATCCTATAAACTATGGTGGATCTGGACCAGGCTATAATCCCTATATGCAACCCAATATTAATTTAAATGGGAGTCCTCAACAATACCCTTCACATGTCAACAAGCCATTCTCCAATCCATCATATGAGCAAAATACAGCATTCAATGTGCCCAGTGTTGTACTTGACAGTAAATCTCCTCTTGAAACTGTTCAAACACCAAATGTGCAACGAACACGCACCAACTCTCATTCTTCAGGATCTTCTAATGAATCTGGTGCTGGTCGATGGTCTCTTCGATCATCAACCAGCAGCAATCTGAGTACCTCCAAACTGCCACTACCTTTGTCATCTCGAAGCAGTAATAGAACGCCAACCCCATCCGGAGTGCGTACTTCATCTCGCCTGCCTGTTATTTCAACTCGTGGTACTTCGGGTGTGCCTATCTCCAACACTCGGCTAAGATCCTTTAGCACATCAAGTCAGCCTCATAACAATTTGCCATCTCACTTGTTACGGAGCTCAGAACCGCCTACGCCTTCTTCCATAGATATACAAACGCGTAAAACTCAAAATACAGGTTCTGGGTATGGTTCAAGGTTGTCGCTTTCAGTTGGGCTTACTTCACCCGAGCCCACTCGTTCATTTATCAAAAAGATTGGACCTATGGATGCGCTGACTCAAAAACGAGATATGGAAGCGCTTCGTTGTATTCAAGAAAAAAGTGCAACTGAAATAGCCACGCCCCATTCAACAAGACTCCGAAAAAAACAATAATGTAAATTCTTCATTTGAATAAGCTTAAACAACATGGTTGCATTCCAAGGATCACATCGTACCAACTCAATGTCCATTGATTTGAATAAAGCAATGTACAATATCAATTCAAGTTGGTGAATGTTTATCTAGAGCGTATTCACGTAAAATAAAACATTTGTACTCATTTCAATGAATACCTTTTTAATAGACAACATTCATCATATGATGCACAATCGAACTATAGGTTTAAACTGAAATTTCTTTTTTTAAACAGTCATACATTGTACGATCATTAGATTCATCCGTTACAATCTAGTGATTACCTTGTTTTCAATCAAAAACCACTTTGTATCTCGAAAACTCAAAAACTCGATATGCTCGCGTTCTAGTTCAAGAAAACAAAGATTACACATTTCAGAAATACAAGTTGTTTTTATACCAATCACATAGTGTCATGATGTGTAGACGAAAGCAGATTGAACCAGTGTCAAGAATATGAGATGTACTGGAACAAAGATGCAACCAGTCGTTTAGTTTTTAGTGTTTTGCTTCACATGAATAAGCTGTCAATGTGAGAAACTTTGATGGTTTGAATCATCAGTACATTTTGGGATTGCTTCAAGTTTATAGGACGTATTAAATAACAAAAATCAGTTGAATGATTGAGATGATCATTTTAGATTTGATAAATTGAACTCGCTCAACATCAACTCCAATAGTTCAATAAAGCTGATCAAGTTTGACTTTTTTATAAAACAATTCAGCTCATTGTTGATCATGACAACAGACAACCCATTTAGCTATCCCAGTGTAATATTTACTCCCATCTTAAAGGGCCTCACAGATACAGCCATTGTTTTTCAATATGTAGTGTTGGGTGACGACGCTGAAAAATCCCGCAAGCATCATATTGAGACCTCAGTCTCTCCTTCATTACTATGGACATCCCGACTTTTTTTTGGTGGTATAGCAGCAGGATTTGTTTCAGGAGCAGGATTGCAAGGACATATTCGATCTCGTCAGTTTCTGGCTGAAAACGCTCATCGCTTGCCTCGCACTGTTGGCGGTTGGTACTTTTATCATCGACATAAACAATTGGCAATCATTAGTGGAGCCGGAGTGGGCGGTGTGTACTATGCTGCAAGGTTTGGACTGTTGTCTGCAATGTTTGGTGTTGCTGAACATGCAATCGGAGAGTGGGTGACTGGAAAGGACATATTTGTGAATGCATTGGGTGCTGGGCTGTTTACTGCCGCTGCATTCAGTCGAATAGGTAAATGCAGTGAGGTTTGACGATTGTTTCTTAGTCTTGTCTGACATGTTTACATATATTACATACAGCTGGATTGTCGTGGCAAGCATCCCAACGGGCATTTAAATATGGTGGTGCCTGTGGACTGCTGATTGGATTACTAGAAGATGCCTATTCGCTCTTGAACGGACACTCGATCAAGAATCCCAATTTGCCTGAATTGGGTTGGAGAGCTTACCTGGATGGAAGTAGATGGTTTGGAAAATCTGAATCAAATGAATAATGCTGATTGGAAACTCATCCGGCGTTGAACAAATGTCCAAGTCGATCATGGCAAGTTTATTTTGATTTGAATACATGTGCCATGATGGTATCTGTTGATGCAATGTTTGTACTACCAACAAGTGCATTTTGGCCACGAGATTGGAGCTCGTCGCGAACACGGCCAGTCTCTTCAAATGTAATACCACCAACTACAACGACGATTATATTTTTGAACTGCGAAGGATGAGACTTTTTAGCCACCGCACCCAACATCCGAGAAAACCCACTCATGACTGATCCTAGCGTTCCACCATAAGGAATATGTGTCCAGTCTTCGTCTATTTGACTCGGTATTGCCATATCTGAAACACTACTTGGCTCCACTGCTCTTCGGGCAACCTGAACTAATAGTGGATCGTATGCCGGCTGCTGATGGGGTTGAATCACATGCCTATGAATCCTCCCAAGCATTGTATTAATTTTGGCAACATGAGTTTGATACAAACTAATCAGAGCATATACATTTACCTAAAATGATGTAGCTCTGAGCGTATTTGTGAGATCTGCCTCAATTGAGTAAATACACGAACAACCCATCCCCGAATTGCTTTTGGATTTGCTCCAGAACTAGCCTTTTGGATGAAAACAATAGTTTGCATGCTTCTTATCAGTAAATTATAAAATATGTAAACCATAAATACACCTACTGCCATCATTGCCCGAAAGAATGCATCTTGTAGTGAGGCTTCCTGAGCCTGAGGTATGTGTACTGAATCGCCCAGCAATGAATAAGAATACAATGTCAACATTAAAACATCCTTTGCAGTGATCATCTCGGATGCCACATTGGTATTAGACTCGCTTTTCAGCTTCTTTTTGTCGATAAACTTCTGTAGTAACTGGCATAGTTGCTCGACCATAATGGATGATTCCATTGTTTCTGCCATTGAACCAGAAAGCACTTTTTCAATTCCAATCAACTCATCATACATGGATTTGGAACTATCAATTATTCAAAAGATTGGATATTACCAGCAAAAACTCGAGTTTAGAATGGGACAGAAATTAAAGCCAATCAAGTTGCATATATACTTGCCTATCCTGGGCAGCTTCAATAGATGCAGAGAGGTACCTTGCAATGCCTTCCCTGAAACTCCATATACCGTATTGGCTACACATTTGAGCACCCAGAGTCTCCAATTGCTTCACTGTAACACGACCAAGAACCTAGTAGCGTATTCAATGAATCAAAAAGATTGATAAAGCAATGACTCAATGTAACTTTAAATCAAACTTTATCTCGTACCTTGGGTATTGTCACATCTGAAACTTCATGAGATAAAATATCGACCAATCTTCTCCTACAGAATAATCCTGTTAGTCTCAATCAACACTACTAAATACGCCAGGAATCTAAAAATTACCGTGCTGCCACAAGTCCTTCTCTTTTTCCAAGTCTCAATAAAACGGATATAAATTCAAGACATTCTTCATCAAGTCCATGACCAAGTGATAAAAATGGCCCTAGTATACTAGTGTCAATTATGTGCAGGGAAATACACTGATTAAATAGTTGACAAGAAAAAAGGCAATACATCTGCTTACCGTGATCAAAAACATTGTTTTGGGTTGATAATTCTAAAGGAACAAGGTACTGTGGTTTCACAGAAACGTCCAGTATGTGGGATGCCTGGCGTGGCAAGGTAGACCAGATGTGATCCAACAAATTGTCAGAGTGCATGACAGGCGATACCAAATCCAGTGTTCGATCGACAATAATCAAAGCAGCAGTCTTGTCACTTTGTCTGCGGTGGGATGACGCAGATTGGTTGATAATTGTTCGTCCAATCTGCTGAGATGTAGATCCTATTTCAGAGTGAATCAGTATCGGATATATGATTCAAGACCAGTATCAACATATTCTATGAATGTGCTTACCCAATACAAATATATCTTCTTTGATATTAAGAGAATCCAAAAGAGTTGATAATGCACATGAAAATTCCCGGACTTTGAGCTATGATATACATATTGACTAAATGAGTAATCCACGCCATCACATATAATTTTGATATTATTGGCACGATCATCTATGACATAAAACTGACATCATCTGCTTTGGACGCACTGAGTCTGGATGATGCAGTCGGCGAAGAGCTTACTGATAAAGGTGCTGACATTCAACTATATGTTAGACAAAAACTCGTCCATGAGGTCAAATGACCCGAAAATAGATTACTGATTGTATTTGATGCATACCAGATTCACCCACGGCAGGAATTCGAGGGAAAAATAAAGCAGATACTGGAAGCAAAAACAGGTCGTTTGATATCAAGGAAAACGAAAGTGGTTGATGTTGAACAGATACAATATAGTCTCGATGTTTGGTATTCACTTTATGGCTAAATATGACCAGATAGTTAATTTACACATGCCAACAAAGATTGAACTCCAAAGCAGTCCAAGCTTACAGTTGCGCACTTTCTTGCATCCAGTCCTGCAGTCGAGTCTCAACAGTGGCATAGTAGGATATATCAAACTCACGGTCCTCGGAGACGGTAGTGGATGATGTCCAGATTCCCACTAGCGATTCATCAGATGCTACTTCGATAGCATGAAACGACTCGGATATTGATGATACAATATGGCATGTTCTGTATGGATGCTTGAGTAGTAATCTGCTAATATAATCGGCATTTCGAGATAGATGAGTGGAGAGCAGCAGTACAATAGTTTCCGGTTCTTGAGCTCTAAACGAGGAAAATCATGTCATGGTTTCTAGCAGTTAGTCCTATACACTGAATGCAGCAATGTTTGCAGCCAAAATAACATGAGCAACACCTCAAGAGCGGCTTGACTGGTTTAGATATCAATGAATTCACTTGATCTGGCAGTGGAAAGTCTCTTACAGATACAGCGCCATAGCCATTCAATAGCTGAGCAACTCCACCTTTTAATGACCATTTAATGACCGATAGAAACGGCTGGTCAGCATAGACTATTGCTCCATTGAACAGATGGGAACATGCTTGCCAACTAGAATGTGCAATTTCTATCAAGTCCATGTGGAATGACAAAGACTTGTGTTAAGCCAATGATCGAGATATAAACTATAGTTGTGGTAAGATAGTGCTCGCCAATCGTCACGACAAACTATTCGTTTTATTGTCAAACTACAATCGCATTTACGTAAAATGAAACATGTATTTATCTTGCAGTGATTTCAATTCATTTTGAAGATGGATGTCGTACAACTATAGATCTCCATGTTCCATTTTTTTGATAACCCCAGATATCTTGCCTTGCTGTATCCATCATGCATTCATCAACACCAAGAGAAGTCATGTTTGTCAAGGCCGTTGAATCGGTTTGATATGGAATGAAAAGTAAATTTGTACTATCTAATATTACTTGGTAATCCATACATGCATCGTGTTGCGTTGCATCTTTGATGGTTGCTTTCCAGCGAGAAATCTCAAAACTAGTTAAAGAAATAATAATAAAAGTGAGTATATGCGCATGTAGACGTATGGTAGGCTATTTTGTAAAACTGATCTACATCAATTGGCTCATCAGCTGAAATATCCTACCTGCTTGTAAGTGATGCAATAGTTTTTTGTGTAGATGTAGAAAACCTTGGCAAATACACTTGCATAGTAAACGGCACATCGATATTCAAAGAAATATCAACCTTTTCGTCGTTGGATGTAACATTTGTCTCGTGTTGCTCAACAAGATTTCTGTAGTATCTAAGGGTTGTCTGTGTGATACTGCGTAAAACCTCTGACGACATGACCAAAATGTTGCATTTGATTAAACAAACCAATTCCAATGTGCGATGAAGACACCATAACCGTAGGATCTGATGATCAAAACTTAGTGATGAATCCATAAAAAATTCCTAAAGTAAAAACAAATCGCATCTCAATCAGTCAATCAGTATAATTGTACTTTGTATAAACCTATATAATTCAATTTAAACTAAACAGTTGTATAGCATAGTTTTACCAATTGATGTCGCGATGCATTGTTTCCATCTAATGAAACCAAGTGAGTTAGTCATTCGATGCAAATTCCAAAACATACTTTTAATAAACAAGCCATATTCAAAGGTTACCCAGTAGTTGAAATTCATAATCACGTTTGAGTTTCCAAAGTCCAATATCTACTAGACACTCAAGCGGCTGCTCCAGCCAAAAATCAAATGTAGCAGTAATGGATTCACGTTGATCTTTGGCATCGGCTGCCTGATGCTGCACTGATAGTTTAAGACAGCTTCGAATAATGTTGGCAAAACTTGATAGGTTATCCTTGGCAACCTGCAATTAGATATGGGATAAAGTCAACACACCAGCATTGAATCAACAAAAAGTACAAATCAGTGCTTATTTTGAAAGCTTACGCGAGGCAAAAGTCGACCAGTCTCCAACTCTTCAATGATTGCAGTCAGTGCATCTGCAATGTCTGCACGCAATGTTCCTTGCTGACAGAAAACCCAAACCTGCTCTGCAAAATCAAACACTTGGCGTCGCTTTAACGGATTAAAACCTCCAGACGATTCTGTCGAGTCAGACCCAGTTTCTTCAAACTCAAATTTATTTTGCTTGGCATCTTGCAGTACTTCCAAATTTGTCTTGGTCTCTGATATTTCAACGACAACCAATTAGTCTATGCATTTACTAATTCAATGGTATGAATGGTGTAAAAACAAGTACCTGATAAAAACTCGTCCACCAAATTTGAAAGGGGAAGGTTGGGTTTGTTTTGAGTTTTATCCGTATTGGAATCAACAACACAGCTAGTCCATTGAGGATCCTCTTGACGGATACGATTCCATGTAGTTAGGGTTTGAAGCTGTTGTCGGATATGTGAGATGGCAGTATAATTTTCAAGATCGTTGCATCCTGGCTCGCATAGTATAGACTTTTCAACTTGTCAATAGCTTTCTTGTAATGTGCAGCCATATTACAAGTTTAACAAATACACATACCAGGGAAAATCCGTTTGCATTCACGGGTGCGCTCAAAAGTTTTAAATCGGATGAATCCCAATCCACATGCAAGTCAATCGTACTCGATGCGTGATTGTCATGGTTAGAAAAAATGGGTTTGTTTAGAATCTCATATGTAGCAGAACATAGTGCCTACATTTAAAGTACATTCAGATAAAGATTAGGATTAGATACAAATTCAGCACAGTTCGTTGCTCCAATGCAACGACTATGCACATTTTACCTTGGATGGTACAACAGTAATTTCCGGAATGATTGAGTTGATGGAAACGGCTGTTGCCTGTGATATTTCTGTCAAATCAGGATAAATAATATAAACCGAGTCAGATCTCGGACACAATGTTCAAACCAAAATCAATCCACTAATAATTTAAACCTGAGTATTCCAACTGAGCAAACAAAGGCCGCGAATCAACAATCGGGTAAAGAACAGTGTATGAAAGTTGGAGAGATTCTGACACATTTAAACAAACAAGTGGTACTGATATATGCTTTAAATTTTTTTGGAGCAAAACAGTGGAAAAGAAATGCCTTTTATATAAAAATGTTAATCATCAGTACATTTGTGAATCAAAGAATAAGCAGATAAAATATCACCTGCTGCTATCGATTGGAATTGGGATTAAACTTTTCCATTGACATAGCGGGGTAGAAGTGCATATTTCCAGATTCTATATCATTCGATTAGTAAAATATGATAATTAAAGCATGAGATACAGATCATACCTCTGGATTGGATGCCGTGATGGTTTTGCTGGAAACTCCTACATGAATAACATCCTTCCAATGCATTTCCAGTTGATCTGGCACAACTGAATCAAAAGTCTAGTCAGATTGTCAGTTTCTGTCCATCTATAGTATTACTGAAATGCATTCAGATCCACTAGAAACGAGATATATAGCAGACTGTTTCTGAGACTAGTGGCTTTAGTAGTAGATACCTTGGCAGATACAATCACAAACACTGGAACATCCAGGACATCACGCAGTGGATGCAAGATATTTTGATGAACGACCCAAAACAGTAAATCCTCATATGGAATAGCAGAAAGAATAGATCCCTTGGACAGATGCTATTGTGTATCAGCAAGCCAGATTAAACATGCCATCAGCATTCAATTATATTTATTGGAAACTATCAAGTCCAAAAAACACTCGACGAGTGTGGATTGCTGGCCATAGAGCCAAGACGAGTGTACCTTGCGAGTGTCTATGGCACTTGCTAACTGTGCAATTAAAGCAGTCACATCTCTTAGAATATCTGTGTCTAGCACTCTATCCTGTTCAACAATAACACTCTCAGTTGTGGCCAGCATAGTTGTGTTGAATCGGGTTCAAGTTTGAAATCGACTCTTTGAGCTTTAGACTGTTGGCAGGACTCTAGATACCGATATGCAACGATCAAATTCAATCAAGTATTACACCTCCGTATATTTCTGTCTACAGAATTCAAACCATTAGGCTTACAACGACCAATATCTCCAATGAAATATCAAACAGATCTAACCAGTTAAAAATCGGTTCATAAGATAAATTATGCTGATATTCAGGGCAGTACATCAAACAAGACATTATACGTTTAGAAGGACGCTTGTAACGATAAATCAGCTGGAAAATTGAAAATCAATCTGAATTAAAACGGACCCGGCACAGTTAGGGCAGGTTCAAAGCTCGTTTTGATTTCTCATATACCCAGTAGCTGATTGAAACGGCAGGAAGTACTTTGAATAGTGTTGGGATTAAACCTTTATAAAAGCCGAGCATGCCTTCCTTTACAAATGTCTTTTTAACCACGTCAAATGAGTTTCTGTAAAATGTCGGATGGCTCGGCGTTCCTTGCGCTTGAAGCCTAACAGATTGATCAATGTCAATAAATGTTAGCAATGCCAACATCAAACAGTATATGAAAACCAAGGATAATCAGACCAAGATGATTTAAAATCAAAAAAGCGTGTAACTACCTAGTTCGTACAAGAGAGAGCGGGTATACAAGTACCGCACCACACGTTCCACTTATCATGCCAAACATTAGAATAACAGGCGTACTAAGATGAGGAGTGGATCCAAATGGAAAGTTTGCAGGATCTCGAGATCGACTCCATGAGATGTACGACTGCTTCAAGGTTTCAAACACCGCCAAATCAATTCCCGCATAAGGTACAATCCCGACAAGTGCGGGAATGCAGCCTCGATAAAATGCCCGAATACCACCCTCAGTCCACATATGTCGCACAGTGTCATATATTGTCGAATCCTTGTGCAATTGACCGATAGATTCTAATCTTGCAAGTTTATGAGGCGCACCATTTGTAATTTGCGCCATCATTCGTGTCTTGGTCGTTTCTATAGGATAAATTGCAAACTGGGATACCAGTCCTGCAATTCCACCGGAAATAAAACGACCACCAACACCAAGTGCATTATCTGATGTTGGTGAATCTGATCTGCTTCGGATGATGTCCTTGACGTATTCAAAAATAAAAAATTTCAAGGCAGACTCGGGAATGATTTTGACAATATTGAGCCCATTTCCACGGTAAAACGACAGTATACCTCCATCTTGATAGATTTTTCGTACAGACGAAAGCAATAACTCTAGATATGATGTACGGGGCCTAAACGTTTGAGTTTGTAGCAACACCTATGCATTTACAAATCAATTAGATCAACCGTACCAAAAAGTAAAACAATACAAGCTATCAACCCCTGAATAACTCCAAGACTGTCAACTAATGTCTGGAAAATAATACCTGATCCATTACACACCTTTAGACGGTCAAGTGGTGCAGTTGCTGTTCTACTCACTGCGCCAGCGATTCCACCAGCCAAAAAATACTTTAGACGAGCAGAAAATCCAGGTACAGATATATGATCTGGTATTGGAACAGCATCGGCATTAAGATCCACATTAGGTAGAGTATTAAAGAATTTAAATACGTTTGTGAGTGTTGTTTTCTGAGGAAGTAGGAGCAAATAATCCTAAAATTGATTATACAAATTAATTCAAGTACTAGATGGGTTCGAGTATTTCAAAAACACGAGCATCAAGAATAAAAGCATACCCTCCATTCAAAGAAATCAATAACACCATCGTTTCCCTTGTCCACATGCTCTATAAATTGCTGTAGCTCCTGCTCAGAGACATCAATACCTGAAAAAAAGTGAGCCAATGCACATGTAACACCAAGACATTACAACATATGAAATGCACCTGCAGCACGCACAGACGACAGTAGCTCGGTAAGATGAATAACATTGTCGTTTCCAGAGTCAATCTAACCAAACATTAGCATGACGATTAGTCCAAGTTTTGACCAGATTTATGCAATTCAATGTCAACTCTTAATCTTTTGATGAATACCTCTTGAAACAGTTGGAGAAGCTCCTTTTCCTTTTCTTTAACAAACGCCTCAAACTCTGGAAATGTAATTCGACCGTCAGCAGTCTTATCGCAAGCTCTGACAAGTTCGCGAGCATACATAAACGTTGATCCCAATGGAATATTTTCAAGCGCACCTCGCGCACTGACATCAATGTTTGACCGGGCAGGAGTAAGTGTGCGAGGCGATGCTGTAGAGTTTGAAGTGGGTGTGTTATCTAGTTTATATTTTGAAGACACAAACTGTGCTGATTGATCGAATGCAGACTTGTTTAACCAATGAACAATACTATCTGCATCCAAATATCCCTGTGCACGATGGTCAATTCTATTGTAAAGTTGATAGATTCTTGACCGCCGTGCTTCAACATTTTCAGACGTCTAATTGCACGGTAAGGATCATTCCAGATAAACACAAGTTAGAGCTCCAATCAAAACATATTTATACTGACTAAAAGGCAGTGGCGACTTTGACTTGACAGTCAATAATGCAGCTCATCAAACACTATCGATTTGATACTCATTGCTGTAGATATAAATACTAGAAATCATCACAATTCAAAAACAGTACCAGTGGGTTGTATGGGTATGGATTTTTTTGATTCAAATACTCCTCATCTAATGTGTTGCTTTTCCTGTTTGTAATAGATGCCGAAGTAGCAGGCAGTGGCATGTTCCGATATGTTTGCAAATCTAAAGAGTTTTCAGCTCATTTGCCAACAGTTCAAAAGTTGTTTGACATTCTTATCACGTGATCTAGGATTGGACTTGAATCAACTCATCTAATCTGACGCAGCCTCGCTACGGATTGCACTTGATCGTATCTACATTCTGTACACTACAAGCCAATAAAGTTTATTTTCAGTGATAAATATTAAATTTTGAAACAAATTGTATTGACATAATCGTAGACACTCGGTGCTACCTTGGAAACTCGCTAGAAATCAGTTGCATGACGAAAAATCGAATACTTGAATCTGTCCGTCACTCCGACCAACAACTACCCTTCCATCATCAATAGCAAGTGTACCACTATACGGACCGCACCCTTCCAATAGATTCTGAAGCATGGCAGGAGGACTTACTCTCCATAGTGTGAGATCGTGTGCGTAAGACACGAGATACCCACGATTCATTGCTATGCAGCCGTAATGAGCTGCAGTAATGCCTGCAGTCATCTCAAGCTGCAATTCTCTGCGGTTATTAAACACGACACCAATGTGTGGTTTATGAGTCAAATCGATTTCAACATCAACTAGGGTAATTGTTTGATCTGTTGCTATAGCCATCACGTTCAAGAACAGATCCAAACATTTAAGCGGCTGTCCAAAATTAAGAGTAGCTAAACTTTGAAAAGTCTTTTTGTTCCATACAGTAAGTGTTCCATCATATGAGCAGGAAAACAAAAAATCTTTCAAACAGCTTGTTTGACCAATAGCAATGCTGGATATCTTTCCATGATGTCCCGCGATTACACCCGTCAAGTGTCCTTGCTTCCAGTCCCAGCAATATAGTCCTGAATCAGCCCCACCAGTGTATACGCAATCATTATCCAAGCAGATTGAAAGAACAGAGTTTGTATGATGGGTAGACATTTGGATTCTCTCCCCAGTCGTCATGTTCCAGATTGCCACTTCCCTACATAAAACACACATGTTAGAGATATAGCTTGATATGACCAATGCATCAAACTAAAAATAAAATGATATCGGACCTGTTGAACGACCCAGTAGCAATGATGCCTTGTTTATACAAAAAATCCACACAACACACTGCGCTTATCTCAAAACTGGATATTTGCTTTCGGGTTTGCAGATTCCAAACAGTGCAAAGTCGATCGTAAGATCCGCTAACCAGAATGTCGTGGTGAATACGAAGCGCGGTGACTTTATCTGAATGTGGAAAGATATCCCATCGAACTGGTCTGCACCGTTGCCACGACAGATCTCTTTGACGCATCATTTTGCAAATCCTTTTAAGCTCGGGCACAGTCATTTTTGTAGTGGGAGAGTAAGCCGCACCCTGTAGTATATGCAATGCAGATTGCCAGATCACATTTGTATTGGCGACACTATTCCAGAAACGGCAAGTCTGGCATTGAAAACTACGTTAGTCAAAATATTTATAAACACATGGAAACATGTCGACTTGATAGTCTACGATAGTCTCCCACTTGGCACAAGTATCTACACACCTGCTGTACTTTTCCAAGAGTAGCGAGATCTGAAAATATTAAGATGCGTTGTCCTATTTCGATTGGAAGCAGCCGTAGCATATCAATACCATGACTACCACGATGCATAAGCTGTGCATGTAAAAATCGAAGCTCCTTTGGTCCACAGCAATCCAGAAATAGGGACAATCTTATATAGTGGAGGTTGCATAGTTGTAAGCCAAGAGAGTTGAAGAATGCATGACAAAGTGGGTTTCATATATAGCAATTATATACTATTAAATTATCATTGCGTCTGTACCCACAAGTTAATTTGAACAAGCTTTGTTCTGTTGAAAGATCACTTACATTTGCTCCTTGACTAGAGTTGGCGCAGTATAAAAAACAGACATCAAGTGGGCAAGTTCGGTTGTGTAGTCCTCTTGAAATGACTGCAAGGATATATTTATATTATCACACATGCTATCCTCTGGACTTGGTAAATGTTGCGCTGCCATCGTGCCCTTTGCTGCAAACTAGCTTGAATTCGATTGTAGCTGGAAAATGTTCAGGCAATCATCACGGGACCACTCGCTTTTAAAGTGCTGCAATGGATGCACACTAGGAAGCTGGTGTTGGGCATGATCAGCGTGGATGTGCTATCCTCACTGCTGCTGTAATTGCTATACTTTTAGTTCTGGACTTGTCTGTAATATCCACCCCATATTTAATATCCAAGACTTTCCAATCCAATTATTTAAGCTTTTCAAACTAATCTTGACAGCCATTTTGTGTACAACTACAAACCCGCTTGCTCTAATTTGTATTCCGTCACTTTAATCAGCACACATTGATTGAAAGTCAAATATAGCCTCAATAACTGCCCACCACCATTCATGAACGACTACAAACCTAAGCGTATCCGTGTTTACAGGAATGGCGATACGTACCACACTGGAAGAAAACTTGTTGTAAATCGGCATATTTACAGAAACTTTGAGCAGTTTTTGTTTCATCTGACAGATGAGGTCAATTTGGTATCTGGCGCTGTTCGAAAACTTTATGAGCTCGAAACAGGCGGGCTAGTGCACAATCTAGATAACCTTAAAGATGGCACGTCCTATGTTGCAACAGGCGGCGAATCTTTAAAACGAATCGAGTACTTGGCCAATGAGGATCCAGTTGCTCCATACAACACTAGACCCACTAGCTCCATGATGGCTAGCAAATCTGTTTCATCCGAGTCCAAAACCCGTCGTATAATCAATCGATCCACTGGCGGTTTGTTGCAAGAAACAGAAACTCCCCCACTTCACGCCGAGCCACAAATCTTTAGTCCTATAGTAAGTTTAAATAGTTGAAATACTGATATTACGAGGATACACTCTATACAATGCTGGTGTGTTCTATCTGCATGCGCATATCCTGAAATTAATCCAATACGCTTTCCACCCCCATATTATTGGACAGAGCAAGGCATATAAAATTATAGTCTTTGAAAACGGCGAAGCATTTTCTCCTGGACTTCGGATGATTTTAAACTATCGCAATTGCAAATCTTTTGAGCAGGTATAATTTTGCACGCTCGATTATGGCTGAATTGGAAAGTCTATGTGGACTAAAGTCCACTGGTCGATTAATTACACGATATTGAACAACTTATGGTATATTTTATTCGGAAACAATGCAATATATATGAAAATTATGTTATAAATAATCAGGTGCTGCGCCATCTGAGCACAAAGATGGTCTTGACGGCAGGACAAGTCCGAAAGCTTTATGATGCCGAATCAGGAAAACGCATTCGTTCACTTAATGAAATACGTCCAGGTCACAATCTGGTGGCAGCAGCATTTGAGCCTTTTAAAAAAGTTCAGTATCTAAAGCAGGATCTATCTACTCCTGCCCCAGTCATCAAGCATGAAACACAGGCAGGTTTTCATTAAACACATCTCAATAATCGTTTTGTTAAATTGACAACATTCAATCATTTTTTAACTTAGCTACACCCACGGATCGTCACCTTTTACCCAAACGGCGACTCGTACCATACTGGACTCACACTAACAATTTCAAACAAGAGATTTCCAACACTCTCCCGTGTAAGTATATTTTGACACCTTGAAAGTTCTTTTGCATGATTCCTACTGTATTGCCGTTAAACGCTAAAAACAACTATACTGCATTTGTATAAATTGGCTTCTCTGTTTAAAATACACTGCAAGGAAATAATTGCTGATATACTATGATATGCATATAAATTTGATTATACTTGGCTTGTTCGGCCACCCAATAGCTTATGGATACGCTTAACCATCAAATTGAGTTGGTTACAGGAAAAATTCAAAAAATATACTCTTTAAAGGGCGTCCGTCTTCAAAAAACTCAAGAATTTGAAACAGGTTTAGGATACGTTCTTGTCGCAAACGACGATCCATTTATCAATACCAGATACAACGTTATGGCTCTGAAACATCAAGACGGGCCCGTTGGACTTGGAGGCTTTACCAAACACAATGAATTTATGAAAAAGATTCGTCCAGTGACAACAATGCGCCATATACGTCCGCATCATACTGAAACAGTGCCTAATCAGACTGACAAGATTAAACAACAGCATCACGCTTCTGTCCAGCAAAAAAGACAAAAACCAACAACTAAAACTTCTATTGAAAGATTGCATACTCCAGCAAAAGAAATTGGGATTATTGAACTCATTGAAAAGGAAGTAGAAACCATCATATCAGGTATGTGGTTTAGATTTGTGTGATGTATAATTTTCTGTAAAGTCGAGGCAATATACTTGATAGTTTTTGTTGAACCATTTTTGCTTGGTATCCTATTGGTTTATTAATTTAGGTTCACGTCCACACACTCAGTCCCGCTTACAAAAAAATAAGCCTGCAGATGCAATTCATGATGATGAGATTTTTGAGGACGAAAAGATCCGCAGTGCAAAAGCAACAGAGGAAGAAGTTTATGGTGGGCACGAGTTGAAGAAACTGGAAGGTTTAAACAAATCGGTTCGTATTAATAGCAAAGGATCTACCCAACGTGTCCATGTTATTTCACCTCACGTAACATATGAAAAGCATGACAATCCTATAGAACATTATGATCATCAGATTGAACCCATGGATGATAAAAGTCATGTAGAGCATCTTGAGAATGTAAAAGATGAAGACTCCACCAAGCAACACGAGCATATTAGCCAAAACGATCTCCAAGATCGGGTGCCTCTTGGTAAAGATCACGCCGAACAACACGAGCACATTAACCAAAACGATTCCCAAGATCAGGCACCTCGTGATGAAGATTCAAAGCAGGTCGAGTATGAAAAGTCGAGTGCTCAAATCCATTCTAAGCAACAGTCTAGTCATTCACTTGTAAAATCTCAGTCACTTGTGAAAAAGTCTACTCCGGACATAGAACATCACAAATCACAATCTTTTGAGCAGCACGAGTCACAAACTTTAAAACAAGCAAATATGCAGTCTTTGACGAATCTTTCACAAAATCAATTGTCTAAAACTTCATCCCAAGATATACTACGTGCAAAATCATACCAGACATTGCAAAAATCACATACTTCTACGAACGATTTAAAGCAAACTGAGCCAAGACGACCAGCGACAGTTGATGGTACGTGATGTATTTTGTAGATGTTGACATGTGTATCCCAGCAAATTTTGAAATGCTGAGGATATTTAAAAGGCAATGAATTGATGATATGCCGAGAATAATAAGATACTTACAAAAACACACATTTACTAACACTTATTGAATGGTTTCTGATTGGAATTCTAGCAACAAGTGGACTGGCAAGCAACACAACTTCCAAGACAGATATTTCTGGATCAAAAAAAGCGTCAAGAGTCCATGTTGAGCAAGTTTAGTAGACTTGATCTACAGTATCAAATGCAAGAAACGACCTGCTTTATGATTCAAGATACTCGACACCGATTTATTGTTTTTTTGGTTAGATTTTTAATATCTAAGATGCAATGTTGAATGAAATTGAATCCACATCTAAAAATGAATCTTGATAGAATAACATCAAGTTTGTCCAAGTAAAAAAGCCGAGTTGGGAATCAGCAAATCAGTCTTGAGCATCTATTTGTGGATATCTGAACAAGATAACATCCAACTTTTGCAAGTTCAACTTGTTCTCAACTTGTTCTCAATTTGCATCGATTTACATCTGAAACTCAAAACATTGGCTTATCCATCATATTGTGGACGTAGAAATGAATGATGGAGGTCGTGGGTTTCACTCTTCTAGAGGAGGTGGTGGTCGAGAAGGAGGATATGGTCGTGGAAGAGGGTCAGTTATAGGAGCTACCACTCGAGGAGGAGTTGCTGGTGCATATTTCCGGAGCTCAACCCAGCTGCAGCAACAGTCGCTGCTGCAGCAGCAATTACAGGACAGAAATCAGTACAACTTTGATGGAAAGCGAGTGCGTAAAGCAATCCAGCGACGGACAGTGGATTACAACTCTGTGCTAATGCGGTACTGGGAGGTCTCTATTCTTGCCTTTCTGTTTATTTTAAAATACACCAGTTTCAACGTATTGCAGCTGTCTTGATTTATTTCAATCTCTTGTGGTTATCGCTCTACTGTCATCTCTGTTGTGCAAAATACCACCCAAGTGTACAAATACTTTTGAATGAGATCGCTGACATGCACTTTTTGTTTTGTAATCTTACCCTATCCACTGCAACATTGGATCTACGCCATTGCTCCTTAATCGTTTTCAATGATCTACTGAATCTGGACTTGATTGCGAATTTTCCTGGTCTGGTATGCCATCATGTTGAACTAACAACTACAGATCAGAAACATTCAGAGATCTCTCAAGGATTACACTGCAATGCAACCAGAGCCCCAATTTCTTGTCAATGTAGGTAATGCCGTGTTGAATGAATGGCTCTTGGGGGCGATCTTGCGGTTTATAAAGCGTATTGAATTCAATTTCCAAGAGTCGTTTGACGCTGGTTTTGGAGTTTTAGTGCTAACCATCAATCCAATGGCTTACGTTTGTAGGTCATGCCTCCATTTGGCAATTCGCATAACTTGAGCACATCTGTTACTACAAAGTTTATTCATCTGTCAGCCAACAAAGTGAAATGTCCCATTAATGCAGTTTGTGTAAGTTGTGACCTCTATAAATGTATTGGGCTTTTCAACAAGTAGTCACGACAATTAGTGATGATAGATCGACTTTTGTATTGCGCTGTTAATTTGACTCTGATATTTACCTTTTTAGTGGACTCCTGAAGGTCGCCGTTTGATTACTGGAGCTTCATCTGGAGAATTTACCATGTGGAACGGTCTTACATTTAATTTTGAAACCATTTTACAGGCACACGACTCGGCAGTTCGAGCATTAAAATGGTCACATAGTGATACCTGGATGATATCTGCTGATGATAGCGGCATTATAAAGTACTGGCAATCCAGCATGAATAACCTCAAAATGTTTCAAGGACACAAGGAAACCGTTCGAGATCTAACGTACGGAGTCAGCATATGAATGATATGTTTTATAATGAGTTTGCATCGCTTTAACTTTTATTTAAACATTTAGATTTTCTCCTACTGATTCTAAATTTGCATCCTGTTCTGATGATGGAACCATTAAAATTTGGTCGTTTGCAGATGCTGTTGTTGAGCGGACACTTACAGGTAGATTGTGGCTGATATATACTGTTTTAATCAGCAATGTTCATCTTGTTTGATAATTGAGAGTAATTTGAAATGTTTGTGCGATAGGTCACGGCTGGGATGTCAAGTGCTTGGATTGGCATCCAACCAAGGGAATTCTTGCATCAGGATCAAAGGATAACCTTGCAAAATTGTGGGATCCAAGAACTGGAAAATCTCTTTCTACTTTGTAAGTGTATCATTGATGGGTGTTTCTGGAAACTAGTTTAACACCAGAACTGCGCTGTACAATAACAGACATGGACACAAGAACACTATTATGCAAGTACAATGGAACAAGAATGGAAACTGGCTACTGACTGCATGTCGCGATCAGCTTGCACGGGTGTATGATATTCGCACAATGAAGGAGTTGCAGATATTTAAAGGGCATAAGCGAGAAGTTCAATCTATTCGATGGCATCCAGTACATGAAAACATGTTTGTTAGCGGTGGTTGGGAAGGCAGTATGATTTTCTGGGAAGTAGGATCTGATACACCATTAGCTACAATGGAACATGCGCATGACAATTCAGTGTATTCACTGGACTGGCACCCGCTTGGTCATATGCTAGTATCTGGGTCAAACGATCATACCACTCGTTGGTGGACACGAAACCGTCCTGGGGATGCTATGTATGATCGATACAATGTACCCAAAAGTGATCAGGCCGAAGGAGTAACTCATCGTGGAGGAGAGGACAATGATTTGCGACGAGTTCCAGGATCTTGTATGTATCACTTGTTCCTATTGCTCAATATCAAGCAGTTGATTCATATAATAGCATGCTAACCTAGCTGTAACGTATTTGGTGATTCAATCAAGTTCCCGGGCTCAGTGGCCAAAGAACGCAAGGTGATGCACTTCCAGGATTGGGAAGCAATCGTCAGGCTCCATTGTCCAGCTCTGGACCGACAACGGCGATAGGACTAAATTCTGATCGATCGTGGGATAATAAAGTACACCCAGACCGATCGTTTGTAAACAGAGCACCGGTAAATGTTGGTGATCGATCCATGCAGACCAATGGGTCCCCTGCTCGACCATATGATGGTGGATCTGGGCATCCGTCTAATGCAATAGCACCTCCTTTTCCACACCAAAGACCACCGATGCCGCCACCAGGATTCCGTCCACCACCAGGATTTCCTCCGTTTCCACCTCCATCTGGGTTTAGACCTCCACCAGGATTTCCTCAGCACCAGCTACCACCATCGCAAGCATCATACAGCCAGCATCACAGTCGCGCACCACATCAATCATACCCTCCAAACCAACAACAGCCGTATCGGCCATTTAGGCCGTCGCATCCACAGCAGCCTTCATATTCTCAGGGATCCAACAACAACGGTCCACCAGGTGGATTCCGTCCTCCATTCATGCCATCAGAAGGAAATGGATCTCGACCCTCATTCCGTCCACCTTCATATGGAGGGGGTAATCAACCTTATAACAGTCAAAAAAATGGCTGAATAATAATATATAAATAAGGATGAATTTCTTGGTGCTATGCATTGATATGGGGTTGGGTTTTAGATTTACAGCCATATTCACGTAAAATGGAGCATGTATTTATCTTGCAGTGATTGTCTTGGAATAAACAATGGTTAAATATTTGTTGAAGTTTTGTTGTATTCTAATATCAAATACGTTTGAAATATAGTTCAAGCGAGCATCTCGGAAATGAACTGTTGTTTCCATGTGATCACCCAGTATTTGGAGAAATGGAAAGTTGGGAATTGAACAAGTGTCGAGAGTGTGGAATGTATTGGAACAAAGATGTGAACATTTGCTCTATATTTTTGTACGATAATGAACATGAAAACCAGTCAACTAATGAGTTTAAAGGATGATATTAATCAGTAAGATTAGCACCAAACATGAGACTGTTTATCATGTATTGATTCGAGTGTTTATTTGACGTGAATATGGCTGTAAATTGATCAGAAATATTAAGCGATCAGATTGAATATTCAAACGTTATCCTGTCAATTTCACACTATGAACCATCTAACTGCTCAGTTTATTCGCAAGAGCGCTGCTCAGGCCCCTGTAAGACTATATTTGTGCTATTGCATGTCCTGAGCTACTGGCTTGACGACTAACTTGCTTGCCTATCACTTTAAACATATATAATACTGACCTTGCACATGATTATTTCAGCTATGCCGTCGATTCTCTGTCACTACTGCGTCCTCTAGTAAGAACGCCTATCTAAAACTCCACCATTATCACTATTCGCTTTCTATGCCACTGCTATTTCTTACTTGTCGGAGTCGGAGGTCTGGTACTTTACCGCCTTGTTGATTCTTTTCAAATGTCGACTATCATTTTGATCTATGTTTGTGGTAGTTGATGTGGTGGCTGGATGGAAAGCACTACCAGGGACTTGGTTCAAGACTGTGTCTGATCTACCATCTTCAACTATATCCCAGTGTACTATCATACCATAACCATCCAACACGGGTTTGCTATCCTATATAGCTGTATAGACCAATGATCTAATATGTCTGTTCATTTGTGATAGTGTACAATCGGGTAACGCTAGTTGGTAATGTTGGACAACTCCCTACTTTCCATGAATTTCCTGCTCGTAGTCAGGAAGACGGTGGAGCTGTTTCTGAAACCTCTTCAGCTAGTACTGCTACTGGAGTTTGGACGTTTTCTGTTGCCACCAACCGATCCAAGAAATCCTTTACTGGTGAATGGGTCAGAGAAACTGACTGGCATCGTATTAAGAGCTACAGGGACATGTCCAACCTTACTCCAGGGTGAGTTTAATTTGAAGAGTAACCATTTCAAGTATGTGCTCGTGTTTAACCTGCCTTTTACCCACTCTTTAAACTACGAATGGTTTAGCCAAAAGGTTCTTGTTGAGGGAGAGATTCGTTACTGGCGGTCTGGTGAAAAGAGTGGAACCGAAATTCATGCGAACAAAGTAGTTGCTTTCAACCATCCTGCGACTCATCAGCTTGGCGATGAAGTTCCTATGCCAGAAAACTGATGGCCCGACTATGTTGATTGGCGGCGAGAGTGTTTGCAGCCAAAATTAGTGTCAAACTTTATAAATAAACTTAATGTGGATCTAAACTCTGTTTATCTGGGATATGCTAAAAGCTTTATAATATTATCTTATAGGTAAGGTGGGGCAAATAGAAAGAATATATGTAATGGTTAAAACTTATATATCCTCCTTGTAATGGGAAGAGGAATACGATGCATGAGATATATGATCATCAAAAACGGTAGCCAACCGATTTCCACGAGGAGGCTTTGCAGGTGGGGTTGGTGCAACAGCGGCAAAACCATTGCTCATCGCATCAGTACGATTGTCATCCGACTCGGATTGAGCATTGGAGTGCGCAGATAAACTGCCTAGTTGGGCTAGATGGGTGGCCAGCGAATCTCCATAGATTTCGTCAAAGGGGTTCTCATACGAATTGTTGGAATGTGCTAATTCCGAGGAAATGCGCTTATATACAGTAGATGATGATGTTGCAGGGATAGGCGGAGGTCGGCGCTCTGGAGATGGGGTGCGACGATCACTCGAATGTACTGTAAAAGTCGTGGAGCTACTTGTAGATGCAGTCTTTGATAAGGGGCACGCATAGGAAGCAGATCTAGGTTGTATTAGTGGTGTCGTGTTATTCGTACAAGTATTGTTTTGTAATCCTGAAGAAAGGAACGGTGTCAGCTGTTGAGAGGACTTTCGCATTGGAAAATTGACTGTTGTCTGTGCTGGCTGCACAGGCAAAGCTAGAGATGGTAAGACAGCGCTTGAAACACCGCCACTTTTAAAATCCTTCAATTCAAAAGAGAGAGTAGACGGCGAAGAGATAGTACTGCCTACAGTTCGAGGAGGAAAAAGCCGTTCGTGTTGCACCAGTAGTGTACCAAAAAGAGATCCATTGAATCCAAGCGTTGGCGTCCAAACAACTTGCAAGTTACTAATTGTCATCTTGTTGGTTGCGTGGCGTGATGATACTCGGTACAAGTGAGAAAACAACAGAGATAAAACTGTATAGTTTGCCAGTGGCAATCTACGCAATACTACAGAAACACTCTCCAATGTCTTTTGATCCGAAGTAATCGGGTGTTCATCTGTTGCTGTCAAATGGGGTGGGAAAAGTGCATCCTCTTGAGTAAAACGGGTAAATGGAGCGGCAAAATGGTCCATCAATTCATTTGTCAAAAGGGGCTCTGGAACTGTATATAGATAACAAAAGTCAATATAAACAGTAAACGACAGCATTTCATAGGAGATAATTGGCAGCATTTGAATAAAGGTTCAGCTTAATAAACACGTACGTTTGCGAATATATGACTTGAATAGCGAAGCAACCGCATTTGGATCAGGACAAAGCTCCATTAAATTTACATCGTCACCATTGTTGAATTTTTGAGACAACTGTTGTATCTCAGTGGTCGATCCGGAAAGTCTGTATATGCCAACTTCTTCAATTCCTGTGATGTTCAAAAAACCCCATTTTCATTGGTCAGTATGTCAACATGGCGGCCTGAAGTAAAATACTGTGCTTTAAAAACAGTTCAATCATCACAGTAAAACAGAGATATATACCTCGTGCATCAAGATATTCAATACAGCGAAATACAATATTGGGTACATCGTGGTATGGATTTCCTCCAGATCTGCACCTTAGAACAGCATCAAAGAGTGAGGCGCCAAATATGGGAAACTCTGGCACAGTATACTCTGTTTTATGTAAAGAGTGATCCGTTTCTGTAAAGTAGAAATCAACAACAAATTAGTACTACGAGTATTATAAAAATAGTCATGTAAAAACGACTAGTTTGAGTCAATGTTAAGCGGCTTGTTCACAAATCCGTGGCCAATTCCAATAACAGAAAAGATCATGCAAAACAAAATACACCCACCCTTTCGACGAGTTGCCATGTTACTACTAGCAGCATTCGCAGCCTGTTTGGCACGAGTTCCCCATTCAGATCCACGCTCATACGCAATCGAACCAAACTCGGCCGTTTTTTCAGCAGCAATTTTGGCAGCAGCAGCAGTTTTGCTCTTGATATTCTTTGCAAGCCAAGTGAGCTTATTTGTTGGACTGTTATCCGTATCTGTTGATTTCAAGCTCTGATTGGATACAAGATCGCTTTCTGAAGGGTTTTTGCTAATTGAAATGTCATTTTGAGATCCATTACTCTCATGTGATGCACCAATACTTGCATCACTAATATGGCCGTATCCAGATCCGACACCATGGTCTAAGATTTGAGTATTAGAAGATATGCCATTTGTTGGAGCATGTCGCTGTATCGCATGGGAAGTGAGACTGCCCTGTCCCGATAGGTTTTCATAGTAGACTAATAAAAATGTTAGTTATATTAATAGAATTACTGAAGCGATCGAGACTGCAAGTTTAGTCTTGGATATCAGAAAATTCTGGACATTGCAAATATAATAAGAAACTGGCAATATGTACTGTAGTGTAAAGAGATGATTCAATAATAGATGGCTCAAATTTTCCAAAAAAGTCGACTGTAAATCAGCCTCAATGCTACTTCACCTGTATCCACCTTGGGAGGAGGTATGGGCAAATCAGTTTCAGGATCGGCAATAGACTTTGAAGGAACAGGAAGTTGGGTCGTAAAGTAGCCGTCTAAAATTGATAAAGTCTGGTCTGTATCTGTTTCATGACCTTCATCAGGTTTGTAAGAGTTATCAGCAGTATTTGATTGAATATTATGGTATTGGTTTTTGGGCGATATCCCAGTATCTGATTTGTAAGTAGCAGATGGCAGCTTCGATCCCTCTAGACCTCTGTACGAATTCATTTGTAAGGTTCGAATCGGCTAGACGACGCAGTATTCAAATAGTAGTAATAGGCAGAGTAGCAAGACTTTCTTTTTGATTGTAATATAAGCAGTAATCACCAAGATTATAATGCCACTCTTCAATAACACAACCCCTTTATTCAAATGGTAAGACTACGGGTGGCTTTCATTTGAAACTGGATAGCCTAAGCTCTGCTTCAGATAGCTTTGAGTCTACATATACGGTGCTATCTGTGCCATATTCTGGCATTCATACAGATGTATAGTCTTTTCAGCAAGTTTAAATACGTTTGTCAGGAGCAATGACTCGGCACAATTAAACATTGGAGTACACAAACTAGCAAATTTAGACTAAAGTTTAGATTTGGTCATGACACTTGAGCCCATACTATCACTGAGCAAAACTCGGCTTGTGATGTACCAGAGTATTGATAAAAAGATGCACTTGTTAAAGGTTACTAGAGACAAAGCAGTCCAAATGATGTTGATGGAAAGAATAGTTTTCCACTCTCTTGGAATGCTTGAATAAACTTTTATTCAAAACATAATGTTCCAGTTATTGTTTTATCCAAATCAAAAATAGTTGCTGACATGCTTAGGATTTCCATCAGATTCATCAATGGATATTGTGATTTAAATGAGTCTACAAAGTAGACTGATTGCCTTTTAGCATCATCCTAGCATTCGAGTTTACTGCTACGGTTATCCTAATCTGCTGATTTGAATGGCAGGAGCATTTATTGCTTGTGTCTCTTGTATCGCAGTAACAATCTGATTTGATACGGTCAGCTTTCTAAACAATCTACTGCTCCACTCGATTCAACACAGGACAATGTCTCTTGGTCTTAATCTGAAGCAATCTTTGGCATTTCACCTATATAGTCTGTACGCTAGCCTAAACCAACTATACAGTTTTACAAACTGAAAACTCTTGTTTCTCAAAGACTGCAACAGTCGTTTTCTTGATACAATCAGAATGTTTCCAAAACATGATGAAATTGGGTTGGGTAGTTTAAATAGTTTCCCCATTGCTAGTTGTAAAAAACAAAATCATAAATTAGTAAAAAATATATACAAAGTAGGTTCACAAAAATCATATCTTCAGTAGTATAGTGGCTAGTATCTCCGCCTGTCACGCGGAAGACCGGGGTTCGATTCCCCGCTGAAGAGTTTTTTTGGCTTTTTACAAATTGAATATACAAAATTTGTCAGTACATTGTAGACTCGAAAAACCTATTTTATTTAAATTCCTAGTCATGGATTGTGATCAAATAACGGGTGCCTTTTTGTCATTGCGCAACGAAATTAGCAGTTGTTTAAACCGAGTAGTGTCAGGACCTTTGACTTTAGGTGCAGCATTTGCAGATGCAGCTTTCTTGTCTTTTTTATCATCTGATTTTTTGTCCTTTGAAGTAAGCTGTGCGCTATCAATTTGTTTGAGTGCACGATCCTAGAGATATCAAAATAGGTAATCCCATGAATTACTGTTGTCAGTAAAAACAGTACTTGTAGTTGCATAATGTCCACATATGTTTGAAATCGTAAAATGCAATTTACCCAAACAGTGCCTGATGTAGCTTCATCACGAGCAGCCAGCAACGTTTTTTCCAAATCCTTGTTTCTAGAAATACTTTTTGCCTTTTTCTCACTGTATTCGGCATATAGTTTTTCGAGATGTTCTTTGGCTTGCTGAAGGATCTGGTCGTGCTTGTCCTTGGATTTGGCATCACGCTCAGCCACAACCGCATTGAATCGTTCTCTCCACTCACTATCATTGCATTCAAAGCAGATTCCAAAATGGAATTAACTAAACGAGCCATTAAAAGTATAGACCATCTTTCATCCATTATGAGCAAAGATATTACCGAACTGCTTCTGGTTCAATCTCAGGAACATTCATTGGCAATCCCATTGAAGAAGCACCAGTCTGAGTTGAAAAAACAGACATTCCAGGCACACCCTATATAGATTGAATAGTGGTTATTTATCGAGTTCATCCACTGCCATGCTTTGACGGCTGCAGTTTAATGTTCAAGCAAAAATTGATACTGTATCTACACATACAATGGCAGAGACTTCTGGAAAGGCAGACTCATCAAATATAGGAGCATCCATTTCAGATCCAAGAGCATGTTGCTGATCAAAGACACCAAAGGCAGGCGTGGGAGAAGTCGAGGATAGGGGCAACGAAGCACCGCTGACGGTGGCAAATGGAGCCATAGCAGCCGGGGTTGGAACAGAGCCAGCAGAAAGTATCTCAAAGCCCAAATCACCCACAGCAGCAGTAGAAGTTGTACTTGCAACCACAGACTGAGTAGATGCAAAGCCACTGTTATGAGTGGCTATTGGAGAGGTGTTGCCAAAGAGAGCGGCAGTATCTGCACCCAAAATGGCCTGCTCTCTGGCAAGAAAGTCAGCGGTGGGGTCAATAGATGAATCACCAAGAATGTCATTCATGAAAGAGCCAGCATCAGTAGTTCCCTCTATGCCAGATGCAAAGTCACCAAAGTCGGCCATGAATATCGAATGTTTTTGAGTGAGTATAGCAAAAGTTGAATCGAGTCGCGAGTTGAACACAATGCTGGTGAATAGTCTTGTTGCTCAGACACAGGTGCTAGATATGAATCAAGTACCGATCAAACTGCATGTTCTGGTCATGTTGAATGAACCAAACAAGAATTGTTATAGCCATATTTATGCAAGATAAAACACTAAAGGTGCCAAAATACATAATGAACAGTCTCATGACAACTCACCAAATTTACTGAACAGTATTGTGCCCTAAACTCCTTGACATTGAATGATTGTCACAGAAACAGCAGCTGCATTCCTGAGACGTGCGATCCTGTTTTTTTGAACTAGAGTGCAAGGGTATCTGAGATTCTAGAATACAAAAAGTGAGGTTTGAGAACAGTTAAAGCCAATACCTAAACTGTAATGGATGAACTTGTTGATTGTACAATGTATTGCTATGCCGAATGTAGAGAAAATGATCATCCAAGTGTCATGATATGGGTGTTGTGCTTGTTGAATTTAAAATGTCAATTTCTGGTAGGAAAGCGCAACGAATATTTAAGCATTGTTTATTCCAAAGCAAAATTAAAGTCTGCAAAATAGTGTTCCATTTTACGTGAATACGGCTGTAAAATATTCATCATTCATACAGGTTTATCATGGGTAATGCTCAGGGAAGAACTAGGGATAGAGGATCCGACTCTAGTTATTCTGGTGGAACCTCTGGTCATAATGGGCCTTCATTGATGGGCTTTGGACTGGGTCATGCTAGTGCTAGCAACAGCAACATGTACAACAGTGAGCCTATGGATTCTATGCCTCCTCAGCTTATTGATGGCGGTCTAACCATGTCCCAAGGAGCTCTATATTCAACAACCTCAGCCGACTATGACAGAGCTATTGTACGACGTTTGGTTATTGAACGCAGACTGGCTCCTTTTTATCGAGGCATGAATTGCGATACTGACATTCCTTGTCTACCGGATGGCTTTGTTGCTAATCCCACTCCTGGCCCTACTCCATCTGTAGTCATGTCTGCTGCAGCAACCTCTGCTAGTATTCCAATTTCCTTAGAACCCACTTCAAGCATGACTGCCAGATCTCACTCCGAATCCTACCTTGCTTCAATTAATGCCGAAGCTGGTCCCCAACCTATACTTGCAAACAGCACCGCTGAAGACCATGGCACCGTCTTTCCCCAATATCAGCCTACTCAAACCACCACTCTTTCAGACCCAGCTGCCATTAAAATCTCCCTCAATACTCCTGCTATATTTTCTACCACTGGAAAATCTACTGGGCGAAGTTTAACTTCGTTGGTCAGAAACAGAACATCTGCTATTTTAAGCACCTCACCTGGCTCAATGGGAATTGGACAACGATCATTATCTACAAACGCTCTAACTGAAATCCCACCTCGACAAATATCCCTAGCTCAGCTCTACAAAACTCCTATCGAATGCCCCATTTGTTTTTTGGTATAGCTTAAATATTGTTTTGTTGCAAGTATAATGTTGACATCCAAAAGGAAACTACTAACACTGCTTTATTAATCAACACAATCTCAGTATTATCCAAAAAACATCAATTTTACAAGATGTTGCGATCATCCTATTTGTACGGATTGCTTCATTCAAATCAAACGATCACAAACCACTTTTGAACCTGCCGAGTGTCCCTATTGTGTTGTGCCCAATTTTGGAATAACATACAGCCCTATAGGATCAATGGGATACATGCAGAGATATGATCTTTCATACAGACCACCTGGTTCATCGCAAGCACAACACCAAGATGATGCCACGTGTATGAGTGCATCTACAGGCGAAAATTCTACAGCATCTTCATCGCTTATAGCCCATGGCCGAAGGAGAAAAAGCATTAGTTTTGACAATCCAGCCGTTGTTCTGTCTGGTAAATATTGATTCAATTTAGTCTGCTGATTAGAAATAATGCAGTAGCTAACCCTGTTGCTATTATTACAATGGTATTATACAACTCTTTTGACACGTAGATGAACTCAGACCCAACTGGCAGCATCAGAAACATCAAGCCGCTATGGGGCGTGTTTTGAATCAACGGCGACACATTTTGCCAGGACATATACGGCCTAATGTACTCGGGTAAATAGAATGGATTCTACACTATACACGGCATAGTTAGTACTGTACTCTTGCTAACCATTAGGCATTGAATGCATATAGTGAAGCCGAAATCACAAGTGCAGCTACAGCAGCAGCCGATTTACTGGAGACATTGACGCGCTTTGAAAATGCTTCGTCATCATCAGAGCGACGGGCAGTTCGTCGTGCAGCTCGGGAGACACAGAGAGACAGCTCATATTCATATCTACAAGGTATGTAAACAGTGGATGATTGTATATTGGAGATGGACTTGTGAGCTGTACTGATAGATTCTGCAATCAATTTGAATTGATATTGTTTTAGCCATGAGACATATGGGTGCAGATATCGAAGAGTTGATGGTTTTGGAAGCCATCCGTCTTTCTTTGGCTACTTCAAACGATCCACTATCATCCACAATGGATATTGAAGCTGCTGAAACATCAGCAGCGCTTTCTCAGATTCAATCTATTGATGACACACAAGATAATCTTGCATCAAGAATAGAAAGAAGACCAGAATCGGAAGGGGTATCGGCATCGCCCGATCATTCCTCATCTATTCCACAGTTACATTACACAGATGCATCTGAAAGCAATTTGGGGATATCAGAGTCTATGGGCAATACCACTCATGCAATATCGCTGAATGATCATCTCGATAATGGTCTTGTAGGATCATCAGCCTTGTCTGTAGTTGCCGCATCTTTAGAGACTAGTCACTCTAATGCACAAACATTTGATACATCGAGCTTGCGAACAGATCGGTATATTCATGTCACTCTTGAGCCTATGGACTCGACATCCGATGGAGGCGAGGTGTCATCAACTATTCTAGATGATGGATCAGAGATGACCACGACAGAAAATGTATTACAGCCTCAAGCCATGCGAATACTTGCAATATCCACTCGAGATGAAAATGCACGGCGTGATGCAGATGCAGATGATGCAGTGAGTTTTGATAGTTTGGCTGCACGCAAGAGTATGTTGAGTGATGCTGATGGCGAGGGCTCGCAACATACTCCCGAGTCACATGTAGCTATTGGAAGCCATGATCCAAAGTTTGGACCAGATGACGGGGAAAGTGTACAACCTTTTTTGGGGGCGGCCAATGAATAAGATATCATATGAATGGGTTTGTTGAAATAAACAATGCCAAAAATGCTCTAGTTTCATCTGTTTCGTTTAAAAAAGTCGATTTTTGTAAATCTAGCACAGGATTCAAAAGCAAGCTAGTTGAGTTTATTGACAGACATCTATTGCCATGTAAATCAACAGACAGGTATACTTGATTGTGCTTGACATAAATGCCCATCTGAAATCAAAAATAATAAACTATCCCCATTTCCTGCATGAACCGGATATTTTTATTTGGCTTTTAGTTGCTAATCGGATGGTTGACAGCAGGTTGGATCGTCTACCCTATCAACCCTAGCGTGCTTATGCAATTCGAATTTATGCATTTAGCAAACCTTCGAAATTTAGTCATCTGCAATGCTAGTTAATACAGAGTGATTGATGCAATATAATTGTTTTTCATGACCTACTCCAGTAATAGTCAATACATTTTACATTCTAGTTTTTTGCAAATAGTCATCATCTATCCGTTCAATCATGCTGTACGCACCTCAAAAATTATATCATGAAGTGCATAGTAGGATGTAGATCCAAATGGATTATGATTAGGGTTGCGATTTGAAATCACAGGCGGTCCGAGCGGCAAACTATCAAAAATCTGCTGTACGTCGTCCCACTAGAGAATTCATATCAAACCACATGAGTTGGTTTTAAATGGTTTACAACTTTGGTATTTTAAACTGCGATCTCGCCCACTAAAATCAACATTTAAAAGTATTGGCGCTACAACTGACCTTGGTAGTGTTTCTAATATGCCGTTTGCACACGTCATTCTCTGCTACAATATCAAAGTTGCATGCAGCATACTTGTTTACATCGTGATGTCCAAGCATGTTGGTATGTAGAATCATCTTGATGACACGATGAAATGTACCATCAAATACAATGTCTATACCCATGGAAAAATCTATATAAAGTATTGTAAAGTTGAACACAGTAATTTAAATCCTGTTATGCATAAAAATCAATAAACTGAAGCTTCTAAAAGCACTTACAGTTCCATATATAGTTTGGATTGGTCGAAACTATAAAAAGATCAATCAAAACAATACTCAGCAATACATTTTCAAACAGCTATCTTGACACTTTTAAATAGTTGGATTGAAACAAATACATACGTTTTTCTGACGAGTCGCGATGAATACCCATTTTATCATGCTGCTTTCTGACAATATCCTCTGGTTTGCCAATCTCTGCCAGTACATCTTGACATGTTTCACCGAGTTCAATAGATCCATCGCGCAAACTAAATTTTAAACCTACACATGGCTATTCACACAAAGGTTCAATCCAAATCGACAATTGAAGTTTTGCTTAGTATCAATTTTAGTCTAGTTACAGCAGTATTGGATTGAAACTGAGCCAATGTTTACATCACTGTTTTAGTTAATCCCATACTCTTGACATTTGTTCAATTTCCAGCTCTTCAAAATGAACATTACAGGTAAATATTGGTGGACTGGCATCAAAGAAACAGTTGCATTCCCGGGATATGCAATCTCATTTCCTTCAACTAGAGCACAAATGTACAGTCTTTAGGATACAACAAAGATGGGGTGATTGACAACAGTCAGACTCAATATCTGAATTGCAATGAATCTGGTGATCATACAATGTATGACTGCCAAATATCAAAGAAGGGATAGTCCAAGTGTCATAGTATGAATGTTGTGCTTATTGAATTTAAAATGTCAATTCTAATGAGCACAACAAGTGTTTAACCATTGTATATTCCAAAAATAATGTTCCATTTTACGCGAATACAGCTGTAAAACATCAACAATTCAAATATTCAAATATACAAATTACCTTTACAACCACTCGTTCAAAGTACATGTCAAACGCACCAAGCTTAGATGTTTCTGCCTCTGCCAGAGAAGGTCCGTGATAAATATACATTCTAGAGACAACAGGAGTAGTTCCATCCGGAAACGCAATAGGCAGATCTGATATATTAAGTACCGACAAAAAGGCTTTTGGAATGGTAAATACAAATGCGATACCAGGATACTTCAAGGTATATTGGAGTTTCTCTTGATCAAAGTCACCCTAGATACAAAACATACCGGTGAATCAGTGGGGTTAGAGTTTACAGCAATCGTTTATTTGAGCAAATTATCAAGGCCTGTTTATATTTTTAGTTCAATATATGCTGCAATTTGCTTACAGGATATGTGGGACCAAAAGTATTGTATATCAGTAAAAACGTAGCAATAATCGAGGATGAGCTAAAATCAGATGAAAACACATGTCAACGAGGTAAAAATGCCATTCCACATTCAGATGAATAGTAATACCTGAATGGAGTTCCTTCATATGTCAACACCATCAGTTCAAAATCAAATATTTCGATTGAAATCAATCGTTGCGAAATTGGTTCGAAGCGGAGTGCTATACCATTATGGACGAGATTGAGTACAATTGAATGCTCAAATGGATCCTATATATTCACATCAAATTCGAATGTAAGCATCTGTCATTGGCCAAATGATCTTTAGCAGTGCAGGGTATCTTTGAACTCATGAAATACAGAGTGTAGTTTGGAAACATACTTGATCACCAAACTTGAGCTCGTATTTTCTAAAGTGATGTCGTTCTCGTTTGAGATATGCAATAGCGGCAGGTAACGGCAACCCTAGTTAGAGTAGATACAAGCACAGATTAGTCTTCCAGGGTAATACTGCATTGGCATGAGTCTAGCATGTGTATTTATCCAGATGCCCAATCAAAACCCTGCACAGTAATACTGTAAGGATTACTAACACAGCTAAAGTATTCACCTAATGCCAGCTTTCCAAGTGCTTTTCCAGGTATGACGGCAAAAGAAGCCATGATGTGTGAGGTGAGGTCGGAAGTTTACTAAAGTGATGGTAAGCTTGACTGGGTTTTAACTTTTGACATTTACAGTCGTATTCATGTAAAATGGAGTACTTTTGGTATCTTGTAGCAACTTGGCTTGGAATAGTGTTTGCTACTACAAAATGGCTTTAATGGACACAACTCAATCATACAATACAAGCTATAGTTTGAAACAAAACGTTTCTTTTTCAGTCATACATTGTACAATTACCAGATTCATCCATTTCAGTCCAGATATTGGGTTTGATTGCTGTCAATGCAGCTACAAACTTTACTCGGTATTCTAATCTCGGATACGTTTGCGTTCTAGTTCAAAAACAATGATTCCAGCTGTTGTTTTCATGGCAGTCACCAAGAGAGCGACCAACCAACTAAAGAATTCAGGATAGTGTTATCCAGTAAATTGGCATCAATTATTTCATTATATTGGCTGTTTATTATATTTTGACTTTCCTAGTGTTTCGTTTTACGTGGATATACAGTGATAGTGTCCAGACAGTCGGATCCAGTTCCAAATCATACGTCTTGTCCCTATTTTCACCTCTGGATTCAGATAATACATGCCAGCTTCAACACAACCCACTTCATTGAGAGTGAGGGTTGGCACATGGAATGTTGCTACCAAGAATGTGCAAGACAAGAATATACCCTTATTTGACCTATCCTACTGGCTAACTCCTCCACTTTCACTGCCAGTGTCGACATCCATATGCCAACAGTTGCATCAGCACCAGTCTATACATCCCATTATACCTCATATGGCGACTGAAACCAAAGATGCTTTAAAAAAAGCAGATGAAAACGAGCCAGATATCGTTGTGGTAGGGTTTCAGGAATTGCTGCCACAGGTCACAGCTGCCTTATTACCATCAACCCAACGCAGCCATTGGCTCACAGGAACTGGACAAAATAAACGGTTGGGTGATGCATATATTCATGGTCTAGAACCTTGGATATGGATGGTCCAAAATGCGCTAAGATGCAGCTCGAGTTCTAGTAGTAAAGAAAAATCTACATCCATTCAGCAGTCCGTGGTCGACGATAGCAATTCAACCCATACATCCTATCGAGTCGCATTCGCAGGACGGAGTGTTGCCATTGGGATTGCTGTCTTTGTCAAGCATGAGATCGTCGTGTCACGTATCGGTTGGGGTGCAGTTGGTACTGGTCTGGCAGGTTTTTATGGCAACAAGGGCACTGCGGCTATATCTTTAGATGTTACCACGTTGGACAATCAAGTGCATTCATTGTGCTTCATGAGTTGTCATCTTGGAGCTCATCAGGGAGAAGGACGATGCATATGGCGTAACCAAGAGATGTCAAGCATTCTCGACACGTTGGTTATGGATGATATAACCGTATCAGCCAATGAAAAACGGCAAACTACTTTAAGCCAGCCCGTTGTTTTTGGTACCAGCTCAAACGGCACTGGTTCAACCTTGAATGGTATTCGTATGGTTGGAGATCATAATCACATTTGGCTTTTTGGAGATTTGAACTACAGATTGTCGGGAACTAAAAAGAATGGTGGCAGATGGGCAATTGATGATGGTCCCGTATCTGAAATACCTGAACGATCAGACGTGTTGAAGCTTGTACATGATGGAGATATATCTGGCTTGCTATGCATGGACGAGGTGTCGTGTATTCGAGGTCACAGGTACGGTGCATTGGGGTTATTTGATGAGCAGCCTATCCGTTTCTTGCCAACATATAAGTTCAAGATGGATGAGCATTACAGTATCCAACCTTGTGCCATTCTGAGCAATGATGGAGATGAGTTGCCCAGACTTTCTTGTACCTGCATGGTTGGTGGTGTGCCAGCTGGAATAAGCAAGTCTTTTTCAACTACGCGACTGCCTGCATATTGCGATCGGATTTTACATGCTGGATGTAGTATATCTGGCAATGGGTACTGGAGTGAGCCAGGATATAGTTTGAGTGATCATGTACCTGTTTGTGCAGATTATTTATTGCATCCATTGGTGCTGCCGAGTATATCTGATGCGACAGCACAACCCGACTGCGTAAAATCAAAAGATTGCTCTGGCTATGATGCTGATTATGGACACCGTTTGAATCCATACCGGGCAGGAAAAAGAGCAACGACACACTTTGCTATGCATAATCTTGTGCTATGGAAAAGATTCCAGCGTGTAGGATATGTCAACCGTCACTGGATTTCATTGTTCGTGTTTACGGCATTACTGAGATTCCTGTATCGAGCATATATCATCTAATTAGTTCATTCAACCTAATATACATTCTGTTGATTTCAGTTTATTAGATTTTTAACATATGATGTCTAGAGTTTTTAATTGGTATTCCGGATGTTCAGCCCAACAGAAACCCCAAAAGAGTTGTATTTAGTGAGTTGTAAAGCGCATATTGCAAAAAAGCTACTGCAAATGAGGCTTGAATTTTTTTCAAGATTACCGATTAGATAGGGCGTAAAAACAAGATTTTGCTTGGATAGAAGCTTCATATAGACTGCATGATGATACCATTGCATTTTGCCATTAAATTGATGAGCAGGCTTGGTTTAATGCATGCAATATTGCTTCATAAATGCCCAGTTGTCAAATCTACGACTTGTAGCATAATGCATGGGTTGATACTGAGTAGACTGATAATCACATGATGGATGCTATTGTAGGGGATCGACAATATCTGATGGTCAGGGATAAAGCGCATTGTCAAAAGACCACATGAAAGATGCCTATTGTCTACACTGATGGGTGCTCAGATCAGTCAAGACCCCTGTAAGAAGTAGTGATAAGATAGAGCTGAATGACGAGTGGCACAAAGCAATACAAGTCCAGCTTGCTAGTGTTACAGCCATTGTATACGACTCTAGGGTACAACAACCCTCAAATCTTGTGGTATGAGCTGTTTGTTTCAAGTTTGTTTTAGGGCTATTTTACACCATCCAAATATCAACAAAAGCAACCGGTCTATTCCCGCTTGTCGATTCAGGGCAAGCTTCCCATCCTATTAACAAAACCTGTCTTATTATATCAAGTATCCATCACTAGTTGGTCTTGATTCTTCACTGACCTTGCTGCATACCAGACACTTGAGGCGAAACCTATTATCTACAACAGCCTCACATTCTATTTTTTGTAAGTGTCAATCACTACATTACTCTTTGAGTTTGTCCTACTAGGCTGCTATAGTCATTGCATTCTTTGATCATACTGAAGCTAATCCAACTATTTGCTTGAACAGTTAGTAGACCAATACAACTTATCCGTCTTTTTGCTCGACTGGCTGTGATTCAATGGTAGGCACTGCCACAACCCAACGTATTCGAGCCACTGGTAGTCGGGGCAGAGCTACAGCTGGTTCATCCAGATGCTTTGGCAAACAGCCATGGACATATACAGTCTATACGATTCTATTGCTGGTAGCTTGCTCATTGATGCTGGTGGATGCCAGCATTGGTAAAACTGCAAATGGCATTACAGATATTCAGCATCATCTGCAGCGGCGTGCACCACCTCGCTTCCACTTGATTCAAAAACGACAAGGTAGTGTTGGCTCTGTTACCAATACCATATGTATGCATGGCTAATTCATATTTTATATTCATGAAAACGACTGGATAGTCACTGGGGAGGTTTCTGTGGGCAATGATCGCCCTCCTTCCAATCCTGCTGGAAGAAACGCTCCTGCTGGTTCTGGTGCAAATGATAATCAGTCTGGCTCTAATACAAACGATAATCGGTCTGGCTCCAGCTCCAGCTCAAGCGGTAATCAGCCTGGCTCTGGTATCTCGGTTCCTAATCCTGACACATCGGGGTCTACTACTTCTCGCCCAGCAGGAGGCAACTTTCCAATTGCTGCTGTCCCATTGCCATCTGTACCATCTGCACCATCTACTCCTGCCACTCTTCGCTCTTCCATCCTCCCAACCTTGCCTACAAGCGTCTCTCCCATTATCAGTGTTACTGTAACTCAAATTGTTACTAGTCAGCGCCCTTCCACTATTGCTGAGCCAGCTGCCCCTTCTCCCATACTGGTTTCTGAGCCCTCGCCGAATTCTGATACAAACGCTCGTCCCACTAGAGATCCAACTGCTGCTGCTGCTTCCTCAACTGCAGCAACTTCCAACAAGGGATCCAATAGTGCTGGCACCAACGTCGCCATCATTGGAGGTGTTTTGGGAGGTGCAGTCGTGTTTGGTATTCTTGGCATTTATATTTTTCGTAAAACAAATCTGCAGCCATCCAAGTCCTTCAAGCAGCGCATCAACCCCAACTATCGCAACTCGTTGGCATTTCCTTCGTTTGGACGACAAGAGATTGGTTCTGGCAGTCCCCATAATGATCCTCACTCTCCAGATATGACTGAGCCTAGTCATGCACATGATCCCCAGTACCACAATCATGGCACGCTAACATCTAATTATTCTGGATACTCCAATAGTGGTGGTTATACCAACACACCGCTGGCCGGTGCTGCTGCATATCAATCTCCTGCTTCGTCTTATGGCGGTCCACAGACCCAGATGTCCTCAGCTGGCTATGGCAATGCAAATGTGGCTCATCATCCTGCAGCAGCAGGTGCACAGCATTATCCACCTTCCAACTCCGGCTACTATTCTAATGCTCTTCATTCAGCACCACCTCCATCACAATCCCACTATCCTAATGGCTACTGATGGTTTACGTCCAGAATGGTAGTTTATCTGATACACTTCAGGGAAAGAATCGCTTTCCCTTTATCATACATTATTGACTTTGAATTTACCTACACGACGCATGCACACTTTTCAAGTTGTTTTCTCTCTTATAGACCTTATTCTTTGATGTTGCCCATCTTTTCTGTATTGTTGTCAAGTTGATCTTGCAGCTTATACACTTCCAATCTAGGAGCTGTTTTGCTGTGGATTGGCTGCTTTATTAAAGAATCTCGACCTTGCGGTAATAATATCCCGTCATTGCTTTATGATTTATTTTTTCTGATCGGCTTTGCTATCAACCATAACGTCAATGTTTTTGCATAACTACTATTTCTGCATTCTTTCAATTCAGAAGAGTGTCGTTACAAAATAAATAAAATCCTTGTTTTTAAATCTAGTGTTGAAACCATAAAATAGGTCGAGATATTGATCATGGTTTGCTGGTGAATAAGTGGATACGCATGGAAATGAGTGGATGAGCTTCAAATACAAGGGCTTTCCTTTATAAAATCATTCTATTCAAGCCCATTTTAGAAATGGAATCAGCACATCAAGCCTCAAAACCTGCAATTCCAGTTACTGTCTTGACTGGGTTTCTTGGTGAGTTGTGCAGGACTGTTTTCAACTCTGCACTGGATACGGTTTTTTAAAAGGATTATCCAGAATAGTGTGCGAGCCTGATTTTCATGTCATCGAATCAACTATGTTTAATGTTCATCTTTGTGCATAGGTGCCGGAAAGACCACGATTATTCTGTCATTGATCAATAAACTACCGCCAAACCTCAAGGTTGCCCTGCTCAAAAACGAGTTTGGGGATGTCAAGGGTGATTGGTCTTGTCCACTGTTCTAGAGTACCACACCTGTGTGATGGACAATTGACCTTTTGAAACTTGACTTGTAGTGGATAGCGAGTTGGCAAAGGAAAACAATATTCAAGTAACAGAGATGACGAATGGATGCATATGTTGTGTTCTTGTGGGCCAGATGAAGAATGCTTTATTGGAAATTCGAGGTGAACAGCATGAATCGTAGTTTGAATATCTACTTTGCAATCAAGCCAACTATTCTTGATTGGATCTCATTTTATTCATACTGTTGGCTTGATGTTGTTACAGATACGCTGAAACCAGATCGCATTATTATCGAGACATCTGGATCAGCATTTCCTGCACCCATTGCATGGCAGATTCGAGAGATGGCAGACGAAGGATTCGAACTTGATGCGATTATTACCGTGATAGATTGTGTCAATTTTACTGGGTATCAGGATACTTCTTATACAGCACGAATTCAGGCACAATACACTGACCTGATTCTTCTCAACAAGCACGATCAGGTAGAGTGGTTAGCGTTTGAAATGGATTCCATAATGGGTTCCATAATGGATTCTTAAAGTGATGCAATGGGTTTTGGTGTCTAGGTGACTGAACGACAACTGGATCTGCTGATTGATGTAGTGGATGAACTCAATACAGATACACCCAAAGTCAACGTTCCAGCAGAAGGAGTTTCCCCGTCACTTGTATTTGGTCTCAACACACACTTGTTTCTTTCAAATGATTCGCTTTCTACTGGTATTCCCTTTGATATCAACCATCACGCAAACGAGGTGGATCTAATTCACATTCAGCAAGAAATGCCTTTGGGAACCTCATCTGTTTCAGTATCTCCCTATACACAAAATAAGCTGGAGATGCTTTTAAAAGGGCTAAGCAAAGATGAAGTGTATCGTGTAAAAGGGTTTATTAGGTTGGCTGATTCGCAACCCGAAAGTGTGTGGATTGTGAATTGGGCATTTGGAAGGTCAACGCTTGTTGCTTCGTCTAGATTGACAACTGACAGTGCCAGCACAATGAAATCCATGTATGTTTTACTGACTGTGATGGGAAAAGGACTGTTTAGATTGCGAAAAGTATTTGAACAAGCATTTCCTTGTGCCGAGGTCAAGTTGCATTTGGCAAAATCCTAGTTGAATGAATCATTGAGCCCATTCTACTTTATAATTAGATAGTACATTCAAATTCATATTGTGCTAGATGGCCGCATGCAAATTTAGATACCCATCGAGTATTACATCCGACACTAGACCACATCTTAATAAGCTTCCAGCCGATTCAAAAACAGCATGAGGTTTCAAAGCATTCATTTAAAATGTTATCAAATCATAAGTTTGTCAGAAACAAAGAGAATTGACAGCAAACCATCATATATCAGCAAGAGCAGCAATTAAAGCAGCTCCTTGTCCAGATCCATCCTGAGTTTGAACCAATGCAATGTTTTCGGCAGCAAGACCAACAATTTCACGCAAAGCATCACGCATGCGATTGGCATAGTGGGGATACTGTGAAAATAAAGAACCATCAATGGCAACGGTACAATCGTCTAGTTTGTTGATTTTGGTCACAATACCAGCAATACCAGCAGCAGCCAATCTGGCAGATCGAGTGCCAATTAATTCAGCGACGCGTTTGACAATGCGACGATCATTTGGAGTTGTTTTGGGAATACCAACCAAGTCTTCAAGCACTAGCTTGGTATCAGAAAGTCCCATGGAATGGTCACTAGATTTAAAAAGTTGAGATCAAAACATCAGTTTAGCATTTAAAATCAAGTTAGCCATTCCAAAGTTTTGGATCGAGTCTTGGCACATATCGTTATCAACTTACCGTTCAATACGTGACATGTTGGCAGTGTCAAAGCTATAAGCAGTTTCCAAAATTGAAGAAGAGACTCCAGAAAACAGTTCGCCAGTTGAAACAAGGTCAACCAAGATCAATCGCATAATCTCACCAAGATACATGCCCGAGACCATTTTTTCAAACAGATGAGCCTTGGGATACGAAGAGTGACGATCGAGAAGCATATCGTATTCCGTACGAGGTAGTACAACACCTTCTTGATCAAATGCACCCCACTCCATATTGATCACCATTTTTCCAGATGCTGGTCGCTCTCCAGTCCATTTCAAAATTTGGTCGATATTTTCTACATAGGCAGCATTGGTACCAGTGCCGAGAATGACACCAATGTAGGTTGATGGGTCTTGGAATGCATGGGACACCAGAGTGCCAACAGTGTCGTTTACGAGTGCAGCGACACGAATCTTGAGTTTTTTGTGAAGGAGAGCATCTTGAAGAAGAAGGACAGGATCTCTGCCTTCAACGCCAGTGGCAGTAAATCCTTTAGTCCAATAGATGAGACTGCCTCTGTTTATAGCGGTCTGATAGCATGGAAAAGAAAAGGTGAATCCGAGCGGAATCTCTTGTCCAGCAGGAAGATGGATAGCATCGATACCAATTTCAATCAAGAATTCAGCAATGCAGTTGGCAATGAATTCAAACAAATGCCTTCCTATACCAGTTTTGAGTTCCTCGGATACAACATATTTGCGTTGGCGCATACGAATCTGGCTGGGAGCGGGAACAGCACCACTGGAAGAGACAGGTGTGCTGACAGCAGGACCTTGTAAAGTAGCTTCACAGACTCGAAAGTTGCTTCCGCCCAGATCCAAGGCTAGAAAGATACCAGTTTCGTTGCCTTTGGGTAGACTAACGACAAAAGAAGGAATCATTTTGAGAGTCTGATCGGGACTAGCAAGTCCTCGTTGCATCTCCTTGATAAAATGCCTGACAATCTCATGCAGCTTCTGTTTGGGAAGAGCCAAAGATCTCTCGAGCTGTTCCAGAGTCTTGGACACGTTGGAGCCTTGAGAGTTCGGAGTATCGTCTGTAGAGTCTTCAGCAGACGATAGACTGATGGATGGATTGTCATGAGTAACTGGACCTCTGACCAGGGCGTATGTAGATAACAGATAGTTGGCAATGGCAGCAAGTGCAATACCGCTAGTCACACCGAATAGAAAAGTTTCAATCTTGAGATCACGAAGCATGCTGACAAGCCTTTTAGATTTGAAGTATGCCAGCAGAAGTGGTTGAATCAAACCAGTAAAGATTCTGAAAAGGTTCAACACAGCAGTTTATCAAGAATGAATTCAAGATTTAAACTTGAATGAATTCATTCTCTCACTCATTCTCTCGCCCATTCTCACACTCACTCATTCTCATTCAAATCACTTATAAAACTCTCATCTACACGCTTTTTGAATTCTATCCAAGAATCTTATCATGACATCAACTGGTCCAACTTGCATCAACTCACTGCGTGAACTGTACTCTGCTGCTGGTCAGTCTCATGTTTTTACCTTTTATGACTCGTTGTCTGTCGATGGTCAGAAGCGTCTGCTGGACACTCTTTCTACAATGGATGTTGCTCGTATTAACGGTATCTTTAAAACCGCAATCACTTCAACGCCTGCTTCTACTACTACCATCGACCCCTTGCCTGCCGCCGGCTTTGACTCGACTATTACCTCTCCTCAAAATGTTGCTGGCTGGGAACAGGCTGGCTTGAAGTTGATTGGCGCTGGAAAGGTTGCTGTTATCTTGCTTGCTGGAGGTCAAGGCACTAGGCTAGGCTCGTCCGATCCTAAAGGCTGTTATGATATTGGTCTTCCATCTGGAAAGTCTTTGTTCCAACTCCAGGGTGAGCGTATTGTGCGCTTGCAGAATGTATGTATCTGTTTATAGTGTCATGTCTTAGTTAATATGCAGGTTTTACTGGTAAAGTCTATCCGAGATTCGCTTGATCTTGGTTATACACTTACTATATGAATCACGCCAGTCAAATGGGCGGAAAACAGTACAAGATCTAACCTCAACTCCCCATCACTATACTTTATCTCACCCCTTTTCAAACTCTACTATTTTGTATGACTAGATTGCTGCCAAATACTCTGCAGGTAAAAAGGTCGTTATTCCCTGGTATATCATGACTTCGGGTCCAACTCACGATCCTACTGAGGCTTACTTTAAGAAAATGAACTACTTTGGTCTGGAAAAGGAAAACGTATTCTTTTTCCAGCAAGGTGTTCTTCCTGCTTTCACCCCCGAGGGAAAGATCTTTATGGAAACCAAGGACACTCCTGCCGTTGCCCCTGATGGAAATGGTGGCATTTATGCTGCTTTACGCAAAAAGGGTGTCATTGCCGATCTCGAAAAACGTGGTATTCCCTACGTGCACGCATACTGTGTTGACAACTGTCTAGTCAAGGTTGCCGACCCTGTCTTTATTGGGTTTTGCATTGAAAAAAATGCCGACTGTGGTGCAAAGGTGGTTCCCAAATCATCACCCGAAGAGCCGGTTGGTGTCATTTGTCTGCGAAATGGCAAGCCTGGTGTCGTCGAGTATTCTGAGATTGACCCTGAAATGTCCAAACAGCGGACTTCTTCGGGAACTCTTGTATACAATGCTGGAAACATTGCCAACCACTTTTACACGCTAGACTTTCTCAAGCGTATTGAGCATTTTGAACACCAGCTCGAATACCATATTGCAAAGAAAAAGATCAAGCATGTCGATCTTACCACCGGTGTCGCCCAGTCACCTACTAGTGCTAATGGTATTAAGCTTGAGCTTTTCATTTTTGACGTGCTTCCATTTACTGAACGTATGGCTGTACTCGAGGTTGCTCGTAAAGATGAATTCTCGCCACTAAAGAATGCTCCTGGATGCAAGGACGGTGACTCGCCTGATACTTCTCGTGCAGACATCATGGCACAGCATGTGAGGTTTATTGAGGCTGCTGGTGGAAAGGTTGCACCAACTGAGGGTTCTGCTACGCCCATTCTTGAAATCAGTCCTTTAGTGAGTTACAATGGTGAAGCATTGGATTCACTTCAAGGTGTTGTGATACCCACTCCCAAACTTATCTCTTCTACGGCTGATATTACTGCCTTGGCTTCTAAATAAACTCGCCTAGAGTGGCTTTATTTTCAAACATTATTGAATGGTGTTAAAGCATGGCTGGCCAAACCAGTACAACTAAGCTGGTGGTCAATCTAGAAACAATTCATTCAATACTCGAATTAAATGTTAACTTTGCTAATCAATACGCCAGGGATCGATGCATATTCTGTCCAGGATCCATCATACACCGAAAGATCAGTCACGCCAGCACGTTCAAACGCAAGATAGAGAATAGATGCAGTGATACCACTTCCACATGTACAGATGATGGGTCGATCAAGGCTGATACCACGATGCTCACATAGTTCTCGAAGTTTCTCTGGCTCCAAAAAGGTTTTGGTTACAGGGTCCATCACCATTGGAAAGGGTAGACTACGCGATTCTGGAATATGTCCACTGGATAGTCCTGCGCGAGGCTCAGGATCAGATCCATAATATCTGGTGTTGAATACAATACATTAGAAACCGCTATGAATTGCCATCTAAAATATAGATATACACCCATAGCACTCAAAACTCACCGTCCAGCTGGTCTGGCATCAATCACTTGACAATTGTGCACAGTTGTTGCCGTTCGGATATCCTTGAAATTAGCAACAATAGTTGGATTGATCTGTGAGTTGTATACCTTTGGTTCAACAACAGTATCACCAGATACAGTCAAACGCCCTTCTGCCTCCCATTTTGGTAGTCCACCATCCAACACAGATACATTGCTGTGCCCAAATGCACGAAATGTCCAATACACCCGGCATGCTGATCCAATTCCAGAAGTATCATATATCTACATTGCATCTTGTGTTAAATTTCGTCCAAATCATCCGCATATCTATACAAGATAAGTTTATTCAAAAAGGAATTTCGAAACCAACAACTTACCACAATATGATCTGATGCACTGATTCCAAGATCACCTTTTTAGAGTAGAGTTGACTGGTTAATGCCACATTTCAAACCCTAAGCAGTCATAAACTAGATTACAGCACAGCATTTAGTCCTACCAACTTGCTGATCAAACTGCATCGCTGGAGGAAGCATATGTGGCAGTTTGGTAGCTTTGTCGCAAATATCGTCAATGCCAAAAAATCGTGCATTCTAATACAAACATCATTAGTAAAGTTGATGTATTTTACAGCTGTATTCAAATAAAACAGAACACTGGATAAGGGTAAAAAGTACATAAACAGCCAATTTTGTCAAATTTGCTGAACAGTGTACTCATTTCTGTATAAATCAACTGATCAAATGGCTACATTTCTATTCAAACACATCCCACATCTATGAAGGCAAAGTTGCACTCCTGAAATTGTTCTCTTGAACTAGATCGTATCCGAGATTTTAGGATACAGCAAATATGAATTTGTGCTAGTTTAATTGACAACAGTCAAATCCAATATCTGAATTATAATAGATGAATTTGGTGATCGTACAATGTATAGTTGTGCCAAGAATATTTCAGTTTAAAATAATAGTTTGTATTATATGGTGGATATTGCGTCTACTGAAGTAGTCCATTTCCAATAGAAAAGCACAATGAATATTTAACCATTGTCTTCCAAAACAAAATCAATGAGGATTACTGCAAGATAAATACAAGTGTTCCATTGTATGCCTGAAAATAAGAATTCTTTTACACATACCTCGATATGCTTTTGACGAAACTCTTCAAGTGGGTTACGCTGAGTTGCAGGCATATGCCAAGAGCCATCTAGAATCACCACCTTATTCTTGTTTTCAGCAAGCCAGGAAGTGGAAACCAGCGTATCAAAGTTGCGAATAGTGGGCATGAAAGACAAACGACTCAGAGCACTGCTGGGTTTATAAGCAAGATTGACAATTCGAGATAGCATCAAAGATGTCCTGTTGGTAAAGGAAATTTCAACAAGGAAATGTCCAACGACTCCATCAATCTGCCCTCGACAGCGAGTAAAGAACGCAACTCAATCTCAACTACCAACGCATGACTTTTGATTTTGACTCGCAAAAGAACTCTTATTTGCATAGTTTACGCTACTAAAAGTATACTTTGCTCCAAATCGACTGTAATCTGTCATGCAACAATATTGGACAGTAAGCGAGGGAAACTCTGTACGCCGATGGACATGCAGGGAATGTCGTAAAGATATTCATATTGGTGATCACATTATAGTGCGTGATGGTCGCAAGATTCGATTAGCTTACCATCCAGAGTGTTTCTCTGGTGATGCAGATCCACGCACACAAAAGAGTTCGTCCTATTATGATTCCAGATGGCCTGATACTTGCTTCAGGGACCATGCACCGGAATTCAAAGGTCATGGCAAGTGGAGTGTCATTTCTTATGGATACCAACCTATATCTGCACCCGTGTTGGGATCGTCAAGTGTAAAATCACTAAAGCATTTGAATCAATCCGACTTCCATCATCGAGCAAGTATCCCATCATCCAGCGCGATCGGTCCATTACAGTCTGTCGAACAACGACTGTCCAGTACCTCAAAAACAAAACTGCGTCATCTATCAGAGCCAAATAATCTTAATGCTAAAAGTGCACCGAGACCAGATATTCAGTGGGGATTTGCTAGAAAAGAAGTGGACAATGTGCCAAAAACGTCCAATCGGCAATAATATTGCGTTTCTCTCATCTCGTTTAATGGCAGACATTAAATATGAAAAATAAACGCAGGCTTGTTTTACCATTACATCTATTGCTACTATTCATATGTAGGCATTCATCCAGAACCTGATTGCTGGTATATACTTGTCCATACTATACACGTGATGGCTTCATCATGTCCTGAAAGCAGCATCAGATTTGTAGATAGCCAACTTATCCCGAGTATTGTGTATGAACGAATGAATAGCACGCCTATTGTTACAGCAGCGTCATCAAGAGCTGCTACTCCATCTATACTTGGAATTACACCAGGAACTCACCAAGATAACAAACATAAATATTCTCGCATTCTATCAACACCAACACCACTTTGCACAACTGAGCTTCCTCTCCCACAAAAGCCAACAGTTCGACTATCATCGAATCTGCATCGTGGGGTGAATATATGCTGTAATGCTCCCACTAAAGGCGTTGGAGTTCGTGTAGAACGATGGACTCCACAATGTGCTGCACTATCTTGTGAAAGGACTAATAACCGTAACGCTCAATGCGATGGATTCATGGACTATTCTGGTCGTGGCGAGTCTTTCGAGACTCATCAACCAGACCTATTTTCAGGTGTAATGGTCATCAGGTCAAATACTTTGGCGACCATATCAAGACAAACTGAAGCTTCTTATCAACATGAATCGTCTAGTAGAAATGCTTGTTTAAATCGACACCATCGACGTTGTGTATCCGAGCCATTTGCGTCAGGATTGAGAGCTTTCTCGCCAAAACCAGATAACAGACTGGCTCAACAAGATGCTGCAGTAAGAATTTTCATTTCAACTTGTCAGGCTGTACACTGAAGAGCTAATCGATTTCATAAATTAGATATCAGCAGAAACAGAAATTTTAAAACAAAGTCAGTTGATGGCCTATAAGCATCAAAAGAAACGGGATTTTCGATATGCTCTGAAATGTAGACTGCTAGAAAGCGCATATTGTCAAAAAGAAGCATTTAAAAAAGTGCTGGAGAACACCAATGGTAAAGACGTTGCAGATTTGTATCTCTTACTACAGATTCTGTCTTGGAATAACGAGTTGATCTTTGCTAAACTCGATCCTTTATTTTTGGTATCATAAAAATTGATCAGCTGAAGCCATTGAGAAACATGCTGGATACCTTGGTCATTCCCGAATAGAAAAGCGACAGGAGCTTAAGCAAATGCAGAACAATTTGCCACGTACACTTTCCAATGAGAGTCTTGCTATAAAGGATCTCCCAGTCACTCGGTCCTATACTGTCTACCCACAAGAGAAATTTCACTTTCATCAGCAACATTTTCACAGCAAAGATTTGGATAGGTTCAGTGATATATTACCAAAATCACGCAATGATAAGGATCTGGAAAAAGAGCTTCGGCTAGGTTATAGAACTGGGCATTTGGATGAAATTAAACGAAAGCACTTTGGAAAGGTGTACGAGGCTACTCGTAAACATTATATGGATTTAGAGCGAAAAAAATGTCTTGATGCATTGCAAATCAAACAAGCTAAACAAAAAACTGCAGGCGATAAATGCAAAAAGTATGGATTTGATTCATTATTTTGACAGGCTTGAATGTTCTACTTACAACTGTATTTAATGCACAATCGTTTCCTCAAAACTAAATATCTAGAACCCCAACATCTCAAGAAAGAGATCCCACCAAGGATCTCAAGCAATTAGAAGGATCATCAAATAAAAAAATCAATTCTACAAAGCAGGCCGGTTTCATGCGTTCAAAGACTGCAAAATCAACTATACAAGGGCCAAGCTCAACCAAGCAATATATTCCAGAGCGTTATACAAAGTGAATTTACGAAATGGAAATAAATATTGTGTACATAGATTATATCCACAAACACTAAAATACGTAATAAATAGTCGGTCTCGAGATGATTGTTCATTTACTGGACAATATCAGAACAGTCAAACTTTATTTGGATTGCAATGGATGAATTTGGTGATCATACAATGCATGGTTGTGCCAAATGAGAAGGAACAACTATAGTCTGTATTACATGATGGATGTCGTATTTATTGAATCCAGAATGACAATTTGTAGTGAGTACAACAAATATTTAGACATTGTCTATTCTAAAGCAAGAGGCAATCACTACATGATAAATATGAGTGTTTCATTTTACGTGAATACGGCTTGAAATACATTCGCACAACTTCAACATTGCCCACAAAAACACGAGTCGTGCAGTCAAACATCTTTGAGAATCTTGGCTGATATAGATACGTATTGGGCAATCTTGACAGCTATTTTCTTGCCTTGTAGTTTACGTGAATGCCAGGGTCTCCAGAATTAGCAGCAAGAGCTGCAAACAGCAATAGCGAAGGCCGAAATAGAATGAAACATATTCAGAGCGCACTGAGATTAACATCTTCGTTGTCTGCGATAAAATCTTCAGAGCTGGTTACTGCAAAACAGAATTTAGTTTCGCCCAGATGGACTCGCGTATGTATTCGTTACATGTCTCGCTCAGAAACTTGGAGTGCATTATTCAGTTGTCAAAGTATATAATGTCCAACATGATAATATATACTAACCAAGTATATCGCATATATAGGAGATATTCCATCCTAATACTTCAAAGGACAATGACATGAACGGTCGCAAACGCAGTATAGGTGTAAGCAATATTATTCCAGTCTTGCCAAGGAGTGCAAGTTTTGAATAATTGATTTTCATTTACATACCAAATAATAGACTGACCTTTGGCAATCACTCGAGTCAAACGAGGTAGATTTATTTTGGATTGAACTTGCCAATGTATCAAGCTACTCGAATTATTTCTGACCTATTGCATATAGTCGCGTTTGGCTTCCCAACCAACACCAACATCAAAGTCATTTGGTCACAAATCCGTAAGTTTTCAAGTGAATGATAAATGGCCAGCTATTAACACAACAGTCCAACTAACTTGACATTCAATCAAGCCAATTGGGAAAGATACAGAATATGATCCAAATACATTCGATATCCTCGATGTACCACCCAAAGAAATTGCGGCAAGTCCATGTCGACTGACAACATCTAGTATATATCTATATAGATTTACATCAAAGTTAACAAAACGTTACTATTACAGAGACAGCTGACACTGTTGAGTTCAGATTATTTTCGAAACATTACTCGTGCTGAGCTGACTTCCATGGCATGGACAAGTTCAGATAAGGAAAAAATCACACCAGCGATTGTTCAAATCACCAATCATTTTAATCAGGTACACTAATAGTCATAATGACAAGTTATTATCATTATTTTTTAAACATAATCAATTTTTTGATTTTGCCATGCTGATTTAGATTGCCATCTGGGTCGCACATCAAATTCTCAAAGCAAAAACATCAAAAGAGCGGTTTCAACTCATTTGTTATTTCATTCGTGTATCAAAGGTGAATCAAATCTTGCTGTTTGATCAGTGTTTGTTCAAAAATAGTCAAGAGTGTTTATGCTAATGAATTAATGCTTGCATTGACAATTGGTGGCTGCGGATCGGACTTGTGTATTATTGGAGCAACAGGGATGTTTGGATTGTAACAACTTTGATTCTGTACGCAGTATTGTGGCAGGCTTACAATCAACTCCGGTTCATCGTTTGGAGCGAACCTGGGCGGTATGCATCATATATTAGTACATAGCTAATTGATCATTTGATATTTTAACCGATTGGCTGATATACTATGCAAATAGATGATTGGGCGACGTGAAAGAGCCGTGTTTGACAAGATTGCTGAAATAGCATCCATGGAAAACAACAATGATACCTATAGACGCCGATTAGAAAACACAAAACCTCCGTTTGTGCCATACCTAGGTAATATATTATTTTCATGGATGAACAAGTTTGTTGTAAAACCATTCAAACTAATTTGGTGGGTTGACCAATCCCAATTTCAGGCACTCACCTTGGTGATATTACGTTCACGTATGAATGCCTGAAAAAAGATAAAGGAAATCCACAAAGAATACAGCAGTACGAGGAGCGTGACACACAGGTGAGTATCTTGTATTAAAATCTTGAAAAAATTGCCTTGAAAGTGTGTACAGGACTGCTTATATGCCAACATGCTGAACTGATAAATATTATATGGATAGTTTAATCAGTTGATAGACGACATTGAACGATGGAAATCAACGTGCATATACAATTTTCCAAGGATCAAATGCATTTTGGATGCCATTACTCATAACGTCATACATCCGGATCAACTGCGTGGAACTCAAGACGACCATTATCGACTTAGCTATCTTATTGAAGCAAGATCAGGTCCAGCACCCATATCTATACCTCCAACTAAGACGGAAGGAGAATTTGATCTTACAACGGACAAAGGGCGACATTCAATGAGAAAATTTGATTTCTCGTTAAAAACAAATGTTGGTACAGCGGGTGCATTTCTACCCATGGTATCGTCGAATCGACGAGGAAAGCAAGATAAAACCACACCTTCAACTCCCCAGACGGGAGTTCCACCTGAAAATAACAGTTTAAAGCCAGGAAATGGCTTGGGTGTAGATTCAGGATGGCCAGACGATTATCAAAAAAACAGCGATTCAGATTCACGATCATGGACACTTCCGTCTAAAAAACCAAAACGTGAGCGACCTCGATTGGACAATGTGTTTGTAATGGGAAACGAGCAATTCAATATACCCGAAGTACTTCAAAATTCAAATGTAAAAGTGTTTGAGTCTGAATCTGAAATGCCAACGACATCTCATTCGGATAGTTACAGCTTATCCGCAGTGTCCCCATGGCCACAACCACCACTGAATGCATCACATAGTGGCTCTATAAAATCAGCTATAACTAGAGATCGCTCTTCATCCACTGCTGCTGATTCCAGTATAGGAAGAGATAGTTATAGACAAAAAGTGGTGAATGGCATTATGAAGCCATTCCGTAGGCCTCAATCAGAATCTCACTCACATGTGCAAGATGCTATCGATACTAGTACTGATCGCGACCAAACCTCTTTTAAAAATCTTTTAAACCATACAACTTGGCCACAAAAAGAATCCAAAGATTCGACGGATATCCAAATAGCAAGAAGTTCCAAGTACAGCTATTCATCAAATCAACTTGACGATGAGCCCGGATCATTATCGTCTCTAAAAAGTTTAACAAGTGTAGGAAGTAAAACGTTTGACACTGATGAATTTCAACAGGACAATATATCTGTCACATCGCAACTATCCCAAGATGCTTTTGAGGCCACTTTAGAACCACTCATTAGACATACTCGCGCCAAAAGTGAGGGTGGTTTATTCACTAGCACTCACTCTATACAAGGTGTAACAGTATATGCCCACCCAGCTCGACTAGTAACCGCTACGATTTCAGAAGTTGAAGCTACTAAACCAGTTGGAAAACTCACCAGATTACTTCAAGGTGTGCTCTTCAAAAAAGATGTGCCATCAATATCAGGACAGCGTTCAACAAAGCGTGACTGGATACAGGTATGGTGCGTGCTAGAAGAAAACGAGTTTACACTGTATCAGTATGACAAGAATATGAAAGGGCCAACATTTATTGCTGCGTCAACCCGACGACAGTTGTGTTCACCTACTGGATCCAAATTTCCAAGCAGATCTCCAGAAAATACCATTCCAGGAAAGTCCATGGATGCGTTACTGCCAAAGTCCCGAGGAACCTCGCCGCAAAACCTAGAGAGTGTACAAGTAGGAGGATCGTTGGAAAGATCTCACGCAGAAGGACTGATAGAAAGATCACAAGCAGAGGATGTAATTAACTCGACTAAAAATGTTTCTAAAGACTCGCCTAGTAAAGTGGGATGGAATATCACTGAATCTTTTGCAGATTTAAGCTTTCCAGGCTCCAAAAATCGATTGAAAAAAGACGCAGGCAAAGCAGTGATTGATTCTAGTGTAAATGTAAGTGTCGAATCTTTAAAATAGTATACATTTTGGTACTCGAGTGATTTCAAGCAGTGGTATTTAAGCTTTTTGCTAGCTATCAAATATAAGCCTGTGCTAAATCTTTGTCATTGCATTTGTAGAGCTCAAATACTTTGCGGTCTACAGCGGATATTATAGAAAAGATCACTTTCAGCACCATAACCAAAGTAGACACAGTTGAAGGCCACAGCAAACAAAATAATGTGTTTATGATACAGATCAGCAATGACCGAAAGATTCTATTACAGGCAAGCTCCTTGATAGAAATGCAAAGCTGGGTGGAAGCTATTCGAGCTGGAATTGAAGCGGTAAGCTTGGCACTTTGTGGTTTTGCAATGCAATTCGATTATGAATTACTTACCCAATCGAGTATTTTGATGTGCTCTAGCTGAATATGCCATTTTAGAATATACATACAGCCAGATTACTTATTTTCAAGCATCCGTGTGCAAAAGCATATTTCACTATACTCTTACTAGCATTTCTTATCTCTGCTCAATAAATTGTAATGAGGTTATAGATTCATATCTATTCTACAAAGTATTGGTTTAAAATCTTACTATAGGATTGTCATATGGAAAGGCTAGACCCAAACGTTTTATTATATTTTAGTGCAGGTGTTGAATGGGTTGGTTTCTCATAACTGCTGTATGGAGCCAATGCAATCATTAAACTTTTGGGCTTTGCGAATGGACGTAAATTCATGCAATCTCAGGCTTATCATTACCAAGACCTATTCATCAATTGAGATCAACTCTACACGAGCCAGGAATGAGCAGTGAGGACAGCAGTTTATATAAACGGTTTGAGCAACTCAAGGCCGGCAAAAAAGAAGCTTCTCTCCCAAGGTAGATGTCCAAGGTGTTGCATGAGATGCAGGCATATATCTGGCAGTATGTTTATTCAGTGGCAATATTTACCTTGTCTATAGTGATGCCGAACTAGCTGCCAGATTGGCACATATAAGGGGAGTAGACCAAACACAAAAAGCACTACAGTTTCAAGACAGTCTACTGTCCGGAAAGCGGAAAGCTTCATATGATATTCCAACTGATGTAGTCCTATCTGCCGAGGACAAAGACGTGGCTGACATGTTACTTGATGCAACTCTCTTGGAAGGTCTGGATGTGTCATTTGAAGACATAGGATTAAAAGTCCCATCTCTGCCGCTTCCGATCCTATCCTCAACAACAAACTACTTGTCCAAGGATGCATTCATTGATGTTAATCAAGTGCTTCTGACCTCGCCAGTTTTGCCAAAATCATTTATGGATCACCAAGCCATCAAATCCTGCGATTTAGATGCAATGTCGTTGATTGAGCAGTTTCAACAAGAGGTTAAACTGGAACATCAATATGGCACTCATGAAGAATGGAAAGCAAAGCAGCTCAGCGAAAGAGTCAAGTCATTGAAGGAGTTTTCTCCAGAATCTGTAGCTGGATCTGCCTCGAAACTACCTACAAAAACAGATGTGCCATCTGGATCAATCCCAAAACCTGCATCCTTATCTGACTTTGTAAAAGATAACGAGGACACGGATCTGTCTAGCGATTGTACCAGTAGCTCCGATAGTGATTCAGAGGCATCTTGATTCATACGAGTGCATTCTGAATAGATCTATACTGAGATTGGCATTGAAGTGACTATTTGAGAAACTATATTGCTATTTGGTATGGCAAGGTTTATTTCAACATGTTCAAATCCTGTTCCCAATATTAATCTGCAAGATTTGATATTTTTCAATCAGATGACTGATGATAAACAAGTACTCGACTTTTAAACATAATAGTATTAATGAGAATTTAAAAATCTATTATTAAAGAGTCTATTGAAAATGCGTAGGCGATTTAGAAACTGCTGGAGATTGAACATGGCTTCATGTTACTTGAGATGAGAAAATAAACGAGATTGTTTGCTTGCCGTTCTTTCTTTAACGGGCAATATCTTGCGTTTGACAATCGAAATTGTGGTGTTTGATTGAGTTGGGATTGGTGGTAAAGAGGATGCTTTGGTATTTTGTTTTAAACTCCGAGTCGAGTGCGATTTCGAACTCGTGTATTTTGCAGCACGAGCACAGAGAGTTATGATAGAGCTGTCTGGTCGAGCAAACGTATGGCCATAAACCCTTTTATCAATTTCTCCAAGCCATTTGATTATATCCGAATTACTATGAGATACGGTATGCTGTCTGGTAAACTGATATTCTGCTGCGAGTTTCTATAAAATATATCAAAACAATTGGCTTGAAAAATGAGTGATCGTTGGACATGCATTAAAATCACACCAGGCAATGCATACAAGATAAACAGCTTACTTCAAAGGTGTTACTATAATTTTTACATTCTTTTACAGTTGTGGGAATCATTTGAAAATGCATCATTACATTCTGAAGTGCATATGTTGAAGAAATACCAAATGACGATAATGTGTTGATAGCAGATTCCACCACTTGTGGAGATGGGTCTGCAAGAGCAACAATCATTGCATACACGATATTCTCATTGAAAATTTGGTACGACGCCAAGTTGTTGATGATTTGTGTGCGTACTTGCCAATTGGGATCGTGCATTTGCTGTAACTGCGGGTTGACGATCTGGTTTATTGGATCTTTAAAGTCGGCTTTAAATGTGTGATACATGTACATGAGTCCTTTAGCTGCTTGAACTTTTTCAGTTATTTCCCCCTCACGCAAAGACTCGAAAAGCGAATTAACAATGCTTGTAATATTGATTTGAGCAGACTGTTCAAAATAGAAATATAGTTAATTTAGGTCATCTAAACTGAATCAAACTTACCGCTATTAGACTGCAGATATTTTAACTTACTCCAATTCCACGGAACCAATCAGTGCTTTTAAATCGATCAAGCAAACGTGTGTAATCAGTATCTTTGGTAGTTAGCACTTGTGCAGTTTTGAAAAGATCCCATGATAGCTTATTTATAATTTCGTTGGAAACTTCCTCATGAACGATTGGTTGCCAATTATATTCAAATTTTTCAGAATTCACAACTGAAAGATAATTGGGTTTTACATTCTCGATTGATTTTGAAAATGTAGGGGTTACTGCTGAGTTTGGTAAAGAAGGTATTTGAGATTCCTCTGGTTGGTGTTGGTTTAGAAAGCATTCTTCCACCATTTTGGACTGATTCATATTTGGTGTGTACTGCTGAAATGATTGCGCAATAGGCGTGCTGGGAGCTTCAATTTTTTCCTGAATGTTACATACAGCAACAACTTTATCCAAAATATTGGCAGTCTCTTGTAATTCTGATGGCTGCGTTTTTTCATCTACAACTGTGACTGTCACGGTCGCTACTTGGATCACATTATCTTCAACTTTAGCTTCACTTTCAAACATATCTACGGAGCCAAGTGAGCTTAAAATCAAGTCTTCTTCAGTCATAGATTCAATAATTGATTCTTCATGAGTGGATAGTGTAGAGTTGGATGAAAACGGAGAGGATGCCTTTATGCGTGGTCGCACAATTATTGGTAAGCGACTTGTGCGTTTAAAAGGTTTTGGTGCAACATATTTAACTGGTGCGTTTTTTGGTTTGTATGGTTTTGAAACTGTCTTTTTGACTGGTGTCTTTGATTTTAAAACAGGCGTAACTGGAGCCAAACTGATCTTGACAGGTATGTTATCTGTAAAATTTGAGGGTTTTAAGACATTTTCGGTCGGTTTATAATCAGGGTTGGCATTCTCCTTTTTTGGTAATTCAATTGGGGAAAAATAGTCATTGTACTGTCCCCATCGCGAAGCTTGTTTTACGGTGGCAAGCTTGATAAGCTTTGCTTGCTTATCGAGTTTAAGTTGTTTCTGCTCCAATGCTTCTTGCTTTATCCTATCTGCGCTTGCAGCAAAGACAGAGTTTGGAGCAACTCCGTTTCGAATCATAGTTTCCAATAGCCATCCTCGCTTTGGAGTAGAAAGTATTGGAGCAGGCTCTGAAGATACAGCCAAAAATTCTTGTATTTGTTTTACTCTTTCACGCTCGTCGTCATCTTGTTTTGCCTTTCGTTCGCGTGCACGCTCTAGTACATCTAAAATGTTTTTCCTTGGCATTTCTAAAGACTGAGGTTTACTGATTTCAACCGAGTTTTTCTGTGCTTGCAAGATTGCCAGTTGGAATTCGTTTTGTATGATTTTCTGCTTTGATTTATTATCACGGTTTAGGGCTGGTGTATGAACCAAAGATTCGCTAGAAACATTGACTGTAACACTCAGTTTTGGCTCATTTCGTTCGATAATCTCTGCAATCTATTGTTACCACAATGATATACCATGATCAGTATCTTCATGCCATACTTTAGCCCAAATTGCTGTATAAATACATACATCCTTAGCATTCTCTTCAATACGTAGCTCTATTCGAGCATTTTCTCTCATTAATGCATTAAATGACATTTCGGGCAAGTTATATATGGTAGAGGGCTCGCCATCGTCATCAAAAAATCTGCGTTTCGATATTTCATCGGCAGCAGTACGAACATATACGTTTGAAGAAACATAACCATGTGTACTTGGATCTTGCAGTTCACTTGGATTCATAAGCTCATTCAGTCGTAACAAATTTAAATTCTAATAGTGGTAAAAATTAGCTTGAAACGATATAATTGTTGTAAAAACTGCACACCTGCCAGTATTTCTCACCTCAGAATTAGATATATATTCACGTCGCCGTCTTTCCAATTCGTCCTCTTCAGAGGTGGTAGAATCAGTTGAATCACTAAACAAAAATGATTTTAAATCAGGTGCTGGTCAAAATTAAAAATCATAGCTACAATCCACATCTAAAAATGCATACTCAAAGTCCCACATGGATGAAGTCTGTTTGCCATCCGCGTCTTGTTTCCAATTATGCTTCCAAAAATCAAGATTGTCATCAAATGCAACAGATTTCTCAATGATATCATCAGACCAGTCTTGCTCTAAAAGTTTCAAAAGATTTTTTGTAGAAAGATATTCGTGTACTTGAACAAGAGCAATCTGGTCAGAAAGCCCGACAAGCAAATCCCCTCTTGGATTGGCAAAACAAATGCTCCATGCAGTACCCGGAAATTGCATTTCTCTACAGTGTCCATTGCCAAAACATGGTTTAAAAACATTTAAAGTAAGCAATAATGATAACGTATGGTATCAGTTATAAATGCATTATTCAAAAAATAAATCATAGTTACCTGATTAGACAATTATCCATACCATCCCAAATTTTTACAGTTCCATCTTGGCCTGCTGTTGCAAATATACAAAAATTTGGTGTTTCTAGTTTAGAAATATCAGTAATATCAGATATATGATCCTCGTCACTAGGATGATGCTTCATCTCATCTTAGTATCAAGTATATTATTTATCAGGTAAAACAGTGTCAGTTAAACTAGTATCAGAAAATTCCACATTATTTGAACTAAAAATAGCTTACTGATTGTATTGTTAAGCCCAATCGAAAAAAACCGTGTAGCATGATTTTCTGTACATACTGCAAAGGTTCTCAAACTTGGAGCATAGCAACATTTTGTAAAAATCCCATCTGTAGCAGCAGCTGAAATACTTGCCAAATGCACTATATGAACATGCACTTTTCCTTTAAACAACTTATGCCGAACATTTTCCAAAATTGTCGAGTTTGCATTTGAAGACTCTAAATACTCGATTGACCAAATTTTGATTGTGGCATCTTTGAAAAAAACAACTCCAAGTCAAAATGACAATTCAAATAGATTGCAAGGTTAAATCACCAAAGATAATTAAAATAGTTGTTACCTCGAGATGTAGTAAATATTCGACTTCCAGGCGAGTCTACATGAATGGAAACAATACCTGCAATATGTGCCTGCATCAGCAGTTCCTGTTTCCCATTTCGACGAACATCGCGGTAAACAATTTGCCCATTTTCAGTACCACAGAGCAACAGAATGATTGAAATTGGTTTGTTTCGATAGTTTTCTACAACCAACTCGCTTTTTTTAATAAAAAGGCTATCAAGACACGTCATTTTTTCTTGGGTTCCTATGTTGTGTTAAATGCATGGTTAAAACACACTGAATTAAATCAAAATACAGATTTGAAATAATTGTTTAATTTCTCTACCATTATATGCCCACTTGTCCAGAATTGAACATGGATTAGTGTGTGAGGAGTATATTGTAATGTCACCATTTGCACTGAGCGCATATACACATTCTATCAAAATTATCGATTAAATACATATAAATAGGAAATTTACGCAAAATTCGACAATAAAATAGCAACAATATACCTTGAGCATAATCGTATTTGGAATCAACAAGAGTGGTATCTGCCATAGCAGGAAATGCCATGATAATTCTTTCACCTGTTCTTGGAGAAACAAGACTGATTGAACCATCAGTAGAAGCAGCAAAAATCCGAGCAGGCTCAGACGCAAACTCAGATCGTGCAAGTCGAATGACAGGATTACTATATAAACGATCCCCAGTCAAAATTAAGATATCAGATCCAACAAAGTATTTATAGATGCTAAAAAGTAAACTGCTTCAAGTGGAAGTAGTAAGCGCAACAATTTTTACCTGACATATGTAAATGTACTGTAAAACCTGTTCATGTACCAAACACTGATGGTGTCTGACGAATATGTGCAGAAATTTCCATTTTGCATCCATTGCATGCCTAGACACCCGGCTTGGGTTTGCATTCTAAAAAATTATACAATATTTAAGATCCAAATACATCAAGAGTGGCATTGTCCAATCAAGCAAAATCATTTTCTTCAACAAGTTCTTTACTTTGTGACTTCACAACCCGTGTCCAAGTTCCACATACGTACGGTGCTATCAAGTGAGCAAGACATTATAAATGGCTGTTCTGCCTTTTCTACTCCAAAAACACGACATAATCCAGTAACAGTATTCGTGTGTTCTTTAAACTCGTACAACAGATAGTTTTGTTGATTCCAAACCCTGACTAAAATTCAACAATAATAGACCCCGTCAATAACTCGTATAACTATAATTGGCCAGTATAGTGCATTTTACTTGCTTGTAGAGTCTTTAGATCCAGTAATAAAATAATTTTGTGGCTCATAAAAAAGAACAGCAGAAATCGAGTTTTCGTGCACATTTCTCATTGTTTCAATGCGGTGACCAGTTTTATAGTTGTATATCTACCATAATCATAAACATTTATTAGCCAAAAACCAATCACAATCATTAAATGCATACATGATTAATATATTGATTTACATTGAAACTGCTATCATAAACAGCATATAGAAGCTCGCGAGTTGTGTCCACGGCAGTAAATGCCACCCATTCATCAATTTGAAAATCCGAAATAACTAGTCTAGGTTCTTTAAAGTACATGACAGGCCCAGTGCTATTTGGAACAAGATAAGCCAGTTTTTAAAATGCATTAGTATCAACAAAAGAAATTCATGTAGTTGCTTTGTATAAAATGTATAATACCTTCCATGATTCTTTTGAAACTGCCAAATCTAAACATGTTTAAATCAACAATGGTATAAGAATATGATGCAGTGATTGTATTGGACTAGTTATTGAATATTTTAAAGGTGCTTACAGAAATAGATCCAACGCTTCCAACGATAAGTTCATCGTATTTGTGCACAAATTCAAGACTAATGGTTGGTTTTGGAGTAGGGATTCTCAGCCAGCACTTCAAACCTGTGTCCAAAATCTAATAGACATTATGGTATTAGCCAATTCAAAAATAGTCGAGAGGTTAAAAGTAATTTTGCTGACAAAACCTTGCCTTGAGCTCTAAATGGAGAGTAGATATCACAATAATGCGCCATTTAGGAATAAACACCCAGTGATTGATTCCAGTCACGCTCGTATGAAGGGATTCTTTGTTCTGCCGAACACCCACTTTAAGAACATGAGTTCGACCTCGCCATAGATGAGCATTCTGAGTATCGAAGCTCACAAATCGCTCAGCCTCACCGAATGCCATGAATAGGATGCTTTTTAATGAAGCATTTTGATGGTACATGGTTCGAACCAGCTGAAAGCCGTGAGGAATGCAAATGTTGTTAGTGTTTGAATATGCATTTGCTTGTGCAAGAGTGTTTCCATCTGCAGATACGTCGAGATGCACGTTGGGTGTCTGCGCATCCGATAAACTGCCGAGATCATCTTCATGCTCTGGAATGGCGGAATCAGAACGGAGCGTGTCATTTGATACTAACTGTCGCATCGTAGTTTTTTGAACAGTCGAGCTATCGAGATGGATAGAGTCCCGTCCATGCGGTCTAGATCTTGGCTGATTATTAGTGACTGGCAATAACATGCTAGTCGAGATTTGATTTTTATTACTACTCAGTGACGATCCCCTGTCAGATCTAGCAGTATTCATTCCAGCCCAATTCATAGTCATTGCTATGGGGTGTCGACGTCGATTCTGGTGCATTTGACAAGTCCGTCTGGCCTCTCTAACCTGCGCAGCCCCAAAGAACCGAGTTGTAATCTTTTCGATCTTGCGACACAGTAGCTTCCAGGAGGGAAGCAGTACACTAGCATCCTCCAACTTGTACTCTACTTGATCAGAATCAGAGTTGCTAGAGTCTGTTTCTTCATCCTGCTCGGTCTGCTTCGATTGACTGCTGCCACCTGTGTAAGATTCGGTGTTTTTTACACCTTTTCTGCTGTCGTGGTTATAGTCATTGCCAACCGCCGTATAACGGCCATCAGCCTTTTTATTGGTATTGCCATTGTAAGACTGTGTGTTACTATCCATCACAGTGAGAGACTGTACAGAGCCATTGGGTAAATTAGAGTGTTTACTGCTGTAAACATCACTCTGCTTTGCATACGATATCCTCTTGGGAAGACCTATTTACCAATTCTATTGAGTATACTGCTGTTATCATGTTTAGATTCAGCAAGGTTTCGCGCTAAAGCCAGACGTGAATGTTGTTCATTTCACGAGTATCTGCGCTCTAATCACTTGTACCAAATAGAAACATCCATCATCAATGGTCATAGAAAGTACTACCTTTTTCTGTACGCATTGAAATATTGATAGTAAATAGATTGCGATTCTATTCAAAAACTACCGTTATAACCAATTGTTCCAGAATGCAAAATGCAGATTCCCGTGCCAAGCAGTTGCCCAGATGTTGCAATTGTCGAAATAAACTTTGTGCACTCGATTAAAACTTCCAAAATTATACCAAAGCAAGTGCTGTTTTTTAAAATACAAGACTTTGCAAGTCAATTGGATCGTAAAATTATAAATGCTGACAATTGTAAATTCATTGATAGACCTGAAAGTCTAAATACTGGTGGAAAACCGAGCCAAACATTCGTAACCACGCACACATTGCACTTTTTCTAGATCCATTGCAAAAAAAAGAAGGTGTTTTGCGTCGTTGCTGCGATCAACAAACCGCATCACTTTACTAAGTGTGTGCCATGCTAACCATCCCCATATTGCAGTCGCACCACCATATACGGTTGTAACCCCCGTTCGACCCCCTCCAGCACCACGGGATTTCGCTTGATAGCACGCTTTGAGCAACCAATGTTCAGCCTGGGCAGTCTCTCCCTTTTCCAAGTACAGGATTCCAAGATGCACTCGTGTAGGTAAATGATCGGGATCTATCATGGTGATGTAATGCAGTGATTTAATGATTTGGTCTAGGCTCAATCGGGGCTCAATGGGAATTTGGTTGGCTTGGAGTTTGTTTGAACTCAACATAGGACCCATAGTAGATGCTGCATCGCCTCGAATAAAACTAACTCGTGCATTGGCTACTGGATTCATTTCCTCTGTTAGCCCTGACTTGACATTGAATATCCCCTCTTGAATTGTCATTTCAAGTTCAAAAAGACTGTCAACACTTTCGTCCGATATAGTTCTGTCCGTAGTTTGGTTAATGGTCGAGTTTGTAATGGATGATGAGATGGAGGCATTGGATTGTGAATTGGGCATGCGTGCATCTTTTCGAAGCTGTGATTTACGCTCTGCCTCAACTGCAGCAACTGGTGAGAGATACTTGGAGTATTTGCTAGGCACTGGGAGTTTATTCTGTAGTGTTAATATATTGTATTGTATCATTTCATGCTATAGGTACAATTGGTATTAGACAATGATTAATCGATTATAAATACAACTATACTGTAACCATCATGTAGCTTAAACAGTGACATACTTCAAAGGAAACATCAGCAAGAATACGACGAACACAGCGACTGGCAAATCCCCATTTTTTTGTAATGGGTCGGCTATCCAGCGAAGGTGCACGACGAGACTTGGATGGTTTCAAAAGTCGCATTTTTCCCGTATGAGTTGTTTGTACGCTATTTACAGATGAATGACTCCCCATTAGCCCAACAGCTGTTTGGTCGCGTAAAATTCGACTGGTTCCATTTCCAATCGATTGCTCCAGTTTTGCAAGCTGCTCTACAAGCTGCTCGGCTTCTTCCACTGCCTGACGCGCACCTTCAAAATGGTTCAGCTCTCTGTATACCGCAGAAGTAGTAATCCATAAAGAAATCAACATTTCGTATGTGCGAAGTCGATATAAAGGGATACTAAATCCAGATGTGGAAGATGACATAATGTTTGATCCCATATGGTTATGAATTTTTCGAGTAGGCGTGTCCATTTGAGAAGTTATAGCTAATAGGTATTGATATAAACGCTGGTAAGTTGAATCGCCGTTACAATGTAATCAAGTGTATTATAAGCAGATTCAAAAACCAATTTACATTGTGAACTATTGGAATGTGAAAGTGACCGTATTTCTGAAATATTGATCGAGTCGCCATTTAGACGGGTTCCATCAGCCAGGCCTTCACTTTTGTCTGCTCCAAAAGGAATTCCAATGGCACGGCGAAGTAGATTGAATAAACCATGAAGAGTTTCAATGGAAACACGAGGGCCATACAATGCATTTTCCAAAGCGACTTGTGTAAATTTAAGACTAGAACAATTGATTAGTAAATTATGTTTTTTCAAATGTGGTTTTGTGCATCAAGCTAGTTACATTCCCGATAATGTGATAGGCTTACTTGATCATATCCTCCTTGATATTTACCGGAATAAGGTCCCATGTTATGGATGATTCAATATTTGTATCAGCAACATTTGCTGCATTGATGAGCTGAAGTTTACCGTATTTAATAACGCAAACTCTCCAACCCTCCTGGATAACTTGAAGCGCGCGGCTGTTTTGAGATTTTGCATTGAGAATGAGTGAAAGTAAGTTGTATGCATTGGGGAAGTCAGACTTGAGTCCAATTGATTGGTTGATTGCATCTACAGCATCGGCAGACTAATAAAATACAGTTAGATACCGTCGAAAAACAGAATTTGAATGTCATCAAAAGTACTTTTATCAAGCGACTTTTTCGTAAACTCTCAGCAAGTATAAAGTCAATTTTTGTAGTGTCCAACTTACTTCACCCATTTCTGCAAGTTGAAGTGCAAGTTGATAATAGAGTATATAGTCTGTATTGCAAATCGCGACTGCCTTTTCCAACATGGCCTTTGCCTCGCTTTGCAAACTGTGTCGCTCCGTATGATCAGAAGCTATTATATCAACAAATAGTCATGTCAGAATATGAAAATAGGCATAGTGGTTGTGCATATTAAATAAAAGCCTTTTTGAATTATGCAGATAACATTATAGAATCATAAACATACTTTCAAGAGACTGTTCTCCATATACAACGCCAAGCCATTGATATATACTTTTCAACACAAAAGGGTATTCAGGTAAATTCACAGCGTATTTAATAGCAATGTTGTATGCCTTTTCGCCATAAATTGCAGCTTGTTCCAACTGCTCGCCAAATGTCAAGATTGAAGTTAGGTCGTGTTATACTATGCACTCTAGCAAAATATTGAAGTTTAAAATATACATGAGCTTACTGGTTCAGAATCTCCTTCGTGTGTAATAAGCAGCATCTGCATTCCTGTAATCAATACACCAATAGCATCAAGTGGAGAATCTCCATCAACATCGAGAAGCTGAATATGAGATGTCGAACTTGAGTCTGAAATCCTGCTAGCTTGAGAATCTACATGGTTTACAACAGATTCCAAAGCTAAATGCATTTCATTAGATGTAGCTTTTAAAGATGATTTTACAGGTAGCAATGTACCGTTTGGGTCCGTCATCACTAGAGATGATTTAGTGGATGACGAGGATGAAAAGGTCAAGCACTGACTGTCTACCGACTATCAGTACAAATTCAAAAAATCAGTAGTATCAATCAAGTCACAAGTTAGTTAAAGCGATCAAGAAAAATCAAATTCTGTGCAAAACAAAAGCGTGCATACTTTGACATCCTCGGTAAGAGAGATTCCATACAATCTTTGTGAAATACTTTCTGGATTGTTGGAAACAGTTGCTGGCATATGCATTGCCTGATCTCCCATTCGTTTTCTCTCGATTTCCAAAATCAGCGAACTCTTTTTCTCCCAGTAAAAAAGATACGTAGACACGACATACTGTGCTTCCTTTCGTTCATCACGACAGACAGCGTCTCCATGCATAGTAAGAATAAACAAAAAGGTATGTGAAATATATCGGATAATTTTAAGTGAATGAAACGTATGTTTAGTGGCTCTATATAATGTCTCGATTAAGCTGTAATATCTATCCATCAGTACGGGTATTGCTTCGGTAGATTGGCAAATGTAGGCAATCTCGGCCTTGACCCACATTTCGTATACTTCCAAAACACGCCCATATCGCTCCTTTAGTAGCGGGGTAAAGTCTTCGCCTCTTGGAAAGTTGTAAAGAGTAGTCACCATTTTTTCGTACTGGACAAGATACGTTTTTATCTGATTGTATATTACGATAAATTGCTCATGCATACCGACTGACGAGTTTAAACCAATGTCAGGGTTAGGAATGCCAGAAAAGGGGTCTGAAGGAGGGAGTAACTCAAAAAGATACAATAGATGCTGACGAAACATTGCAATTTTCTTGGTAGATACGAAACTAGGCGGAGTAGATGCCACGACTTGAAGATAGAGCCGAATGGCATTTCGAGCACCCTCTGCATCACTGATCAGATGAATGAAATACGCCAAGCAGGTCAAGGAAAATAAAGCATCAAAATTAGATCATGAAAATACAAAATACAAAACACACATCTTCAACACGTACTTTGTGCGGACTAAACCCATGGACATGGAAAACAAGAGTTTTTCAGCCCATATTGTCCATTGATCAGGTTCTTGCTCTTGAGGCTTTTCAATTTCGTTTTGAGGCAAAAATAAAGAAATAAAATCGCCACCATTCTTGAATGCCTCCAAAGCCAAATCATGCTTATCCAATCGCAGATAGGTCCATCCTAAAAATACGATATCAAAAAACACGTTTTGGATCGGACATGAGATTAGCATTGAATTGACAAGCTAAACTGTATAAATATACAACATTTCAATGAACAGATCAGCATACCCATCAAAGTCCATTTTTTAACAACCATTGTGCGAGCATAGCTTCCAGCGGAAGAAGGCAAAGGATTAGGGAATTCTGCCATCTTATAGTATTGTATAGCCTCGTGCATTTTTCCAAGATTAAAATAGATTTGACCTAGCAATACTCGTGCTTGCTATGTAAGCATTTAATGGAAAATTGGAATCAACATATTAGTATGAGGGCTCATTTTAAAGTGAGCATAGCCTATATACAAGCAACCTACATTTGCCCAAATTGCTTGCAAATCTTGGATAGATGCTTGATTTTGGCAAAGCAAGACAGTCTTTTCCAGATATTTTATCGTATCGGCAAGTGTGAGCGAATCGAGTTGTACACTTGGAATGTAGATAAAATCGGGCCCGCGATCATAAGGAATCTGCTCTTGACTAGATGCTTTTGCAATGATGAGCTGAAGAGTAGCTTCACCAAGAAGCAGCTGCTCAAGTGCTGTTGAATTCACATCCAAGAAATTGTTTGTGGTAATCAATTGTCAGCGATGCAATTCTTGTAATATATGCTGATCACTGACATAAAATATGAGCTGCAGCAGTGCATTTATCAGTGTGCTCCTATATTTCTGCTGATAGATCAACGCTATATAACTCACTAAGACTCAAATCAAGAAGTGGTTCGGTAGCTCAATAGCAGAACTACTATATAAATGCCAACAATGTTCAAGGAGTTTCTATAAGAATAGTACTTGAAACCCCAATATCTTGGATTTCATAAAGTAGGTTTACCATTGCTACTTGAGTAGTAGCTGGCAGCATGCAGACTTGCAAGTTTTTACCGAGCGGTAACCAACGTAAAAACTTACCAGATGTAGTACTGGAAGCTCCAGCTGCCAACGATGACGAGGAAGAAGGGATGGAGCTAGATGAAGCCATGGCAGCAGCATGAGCTACCAGTTTCTTGTGAAATTTAGTGACATTATCTCTAAGCGATTCCCATTGACCCTTTTGACGATTTGAGTCCAGTATGGCCTCCATGACCTGTTGCTTCTGCGAAGCCATTTGTGCAAAGTTGATTCGGATGGAATCGAACAAGGAAAGTTGAACGCGTTGATTAGCTTTAAAGCGTCATGATTTTGAGCCGAATTGTTCAGTTTTCTCGTTTCAATAACAAGCGCTGACTCGAATAATGAACAAAAACTCAATTTCAGTGTTTTGTTAAACATGAAAAGCAATGATTTTCATGTTGAATTGTTGGATCGTCACATTTCCATGTTGAATTGTTGAATTATCACATTTTTATGTTGGATTATCACATTTTTAAATTGCATTTTATTACAAAACTACATGTTCATTGTGTTTTAAAGCAAAACTCGGTCATTTCATCTTTATCAAAGCATTTCTACTGGTCTAGATCTGACTTCAAACTTTGGCTCAAGTGCTATTGAAATTCATTGTATTAATCACGTGGTGTATTTTCAAACTTTAACCAGCTGTTCATTTCAGTCTGCAATCATTTCATCCATCATGAAGAAATCAAAAAAGTGTGTGCCAGTAGCTGAAAAGGTTCAACTTTGGCAACTACAGCTGGCTGGAAACAAAAAACTGAATTCAGGTGTTTCCAAGAAAGCACGCAAGAATGAAAACCCAAACTCACTCAAGCAAACTCAGCAACTCATTTCGACCTTTCATACATTAAACAAGCAACTTGAATTGGTCAAGACAATCCCAAACAACAAAGTTGAACAGTTGGAAATTCAATCAAAGTTGGATGCCTTGGGCGGATTACATGCATATCAGCGAGCATCTCTTCGTGGAGGTGACATGCGAAAGGGATGGGGTGCAACTGGGAAATGGATTCTGCCATATTTGAAAACTGAGCATTTAAAAATATTTAACCAGTTGCAGAATCTCAACTCGAATAATAAAGTAAACAAGCTACGACTGCTTGACGTTGGTGCAATCACTGGCGAAACGTACGAGCGTCATGCCAGTTTTTTAAATGTCACATCCATAGATCTCAACTCCCAATCGCCAAAAGTCATTCAACAAGATTTCTTCAAACGACCTATCCCCACAAACGATGACGAGCGATTCCATGTGCTGTGTTTATCATTAGTGATCAACTTTGTAGGAGATCCTGCCGCCCGTGGTATGTCTATTATTGCAGTTTTAGTTATTCAAATACATTGATCTGTATATGATTGAGATACATAATGACTTCAAATATACTGATTGTGTTTATATGGTCAAATAACATCAAAGGACTGATGCTATCGCTATCACGCTCGTTTTTACTATCATCTGGACTTTTGTATATTGTCCTTCCTCTGCCTTGCATCACCAACTCAAGATACATGACTCATGTTTATTTTATCTCTCTGCTTGAATCACTTTCGTTTGAACTTGTAAAACATCATCATGCAAGAAAATTGGCATACTATCTATTTAAAAAATCCGACTCTAGTGCTATATCCGCTCTGTTCCCTAAAAAAATTCTACGAGACGGAGGCGGGCATAATAACTTTGCAATAACACTGCAATCTACTATAGAGTCGAGCCAACAGATTCCGCAAAGCTGATACCTTTTAATTACAGCTGTATTCGCGTAAAATAGAACTTGTATTTATCTTACAGTGACTTCTTGGAATAAACAATAACTATTTGTACGCTCTTCTATCGCAGATTGACTTGAATATACATTCTCAATCCTTCAATAAACATAGCATCCATCATATGAGACTGGCTGTTTATTCTGCATTTTGACATCCTTGGTGTTTCTTTTCACTGAATATAGCTGTTGGTTTTAATAATTAGAAGCTGAGATCTACCCGAGTCTGCATTCATAATCTATTTAAACTAGAGACTTGCATAAATAAACTCCCAAGTGAATTTAACCTTTGTTCATTAAGCAAAAATACAAGATATCAAGTCAGTAGAAGGCATTATATTTGGCGGCTAAACAATACTTGTGATGCAGTCTTAATTCTGTAGAAAATACAGGCTGATAATGCCATACACACGGTAGTCGAATGCTGAAACTATATCTCAAAGAAACAGGATTGGTCTAGTATAATAATAGCAATCACTTGTCAAAAACAGGCTCAATACCAAGGATTTGCATCATTTCTATAATATACAGTGGATTTATAAAAACTTGATTTAGGCGAGCAAATGCCGTTTAAACTCAATTTGGTGTTACAGGAGTTTATGAAGCCCGATTTGTACAATTTAAACACATCTTTACTTTCAACTTTTTAAATAGTCGATACTATTTCAATATGTCAACAATCAGAAATAAAGAGGATCCACTCGCAGCACGGAGTAGGGGCTATCGTCATATCATGCAGTTGGCTGATAAACCTGTTCGATCCGATTTTCCTCGGCCTCACCGCAAGGCACTCATGGAAACTGTTTTCAACAAAACCATACATTGCAGACAGATTGAAGCGCGTAAAGTAGCTTTGGCAGCCAATGCACTGTCGCTGACTGAATCTCTCCCAATCCAAGCCAGTGGCGATATTATTCTCGGCACTGACCTTTTTTCCCGTAAGCATCACACAAATGCTGTAGCGGCTGCTATTGACCATCCATCTTTACCCAACTCTCGTATTCAGTCTGTTCGTCCACCCATCAAAGTGCCCAAAAACTATTTGTCGCGTTTGAAAAATTTAGAGCCGATCGGGCAGGCTTTATCACGTCAGCACCATACAGAGGTAGCCAAATGTATGCCCAAAGAAACAATGTGCAATCTCAAATTTGAAGATGTGGTGCTCGATAGCATAAAGAAAAATAGAAAAAGTATGCCACCAAGAAAACTCAATAATGGGACTCGCGAACTGATGAAAGCAAATACTGCAAAAAATTCTAAACTGTATCCATCCGAGGAACCCGACATACAAACTACTCTGACATATAGTAATGTAAATACCAAAAAACAACTTGAAATTGATAGCCATTCGTTATTTACTAGCCCGTCTCAAACTTGTATAGCGAAACAAACCCCAGCTATTGACCGAGACGAAGAATTGCAAAAGACTTCAACAAAACTAGCACAGCATCGACAAAGTATTCATACAAGTCAAAAAAATGTATTGTGTCGTAGCGATCATTTAATTTCAAATTCACCAGCAACTACACTTGATAACACGTTTGATACTTTTGGATCTGAAAAACGTCGTGAAAGTTTAATTTCTTCTCAGCAAGATGCTCTGCTTTTTCTCGGATCAAAAGGTGCAGGGCTACGTAAAAATTCACTCATTAAAAATCCAAATGCATCATTCAGTCAACGCAAGCAATCTATACTAATAGGTCATCCATCTACAATTGAAGCTGCTAACCAAGTTACCGCAACCAATCTTGCCTACATGCTGATGGTATGGAATCGTGCAGAAGATGCAAATCTCAAATCTATCATCAACAACCAAGCCAAACCGGATCCGACATCTCATCCTTATTCGTCGGTTTCACAATCACATACACCAACGGCTTTCAATGCAGGAAAATCTACCACCGAAAAAATCCAATCAGCTGAACAGGAGCAAGCCATCATCAAAAAAATGCTTGAACTCACTGTCGCTAAAGATGATCCGCATATGTCCGATTTAAACTTGATTGGTCAGATGGATTCGACTATTACACTTCCACCCGAGGCTGATCCATTATTTGGGTTGCAACACGATACCAGCAACATGTCTCATGATCAAACATTTGATACACCCTTGATACTTGAAGAAAGTCGCGACGAGTTAGCTTTGCAAGATAGTCTATTTAGCAAAAAAGTAACGTCTGCCAACTTTGACAAGGATCAAACACTACCAACTGTTTTTTTACGCACATCCAAAAGAGAATTTTTAACAGCAACGACCATACCTACAAAAAACCAATTAGATTTTATTCAACAAAACCTTGGCATATCACTCAATGCTAATTCAGAATGCAATGTGTTTGCAAAAAATCCCTCTTATGTAGATTTTTATGATCAGCATGCATCTTTCAATGACCCCAATCCTAGCCAATCCTTTAATCACGAAAGCTCTTTTACAGAATATCCACTACAATCTCAGGTAAATAAGCAAAAGGTAAAAGGCGTTATATCACATTCAACATTCAGGTTTCTTAAACGCCTTTCAAAAGAAAACCAGTTTGCTCAGGAACACATTGAAGATGCTGTTCATGACAATGATGAGACTATTTTGCGACAAACACTTACAGGAAATTCCACAGCTGAAAAATATAACGACGATCCGTTTACGATTGACTCACAATCAAAATATGAACTGGAGGCTTCGCAAGCATCTATTGATTTAAATGCAAAGGTAAAAAAGAGTGTTTTACTTACTAGTCGGAAACACATACCAGCATCAAGGCATCACGTTAGCAAACAAACTTGGACCAATTTGGTGAATAGAATTGTAAACTCTGACGACAACGAGCCCATCCCTTTGTTGGATGCCAGTTTGTTTGAATTGGAAAATGTATCCAATGTTTATTCTGTGAAATCGATGCTACCAGAGTATGAGATTGACGATTTGTCCACGGAAGCAGATAGCGTTGCTGGAGATCGATTATTTCCTCATGATTTTGAAGAAGCGTCACACAAAACAGCCATGTTTCCATCAAACCATCACACTCGATTGATGCATCCTCCTCTTATAAATGAGCTTGGCGTTGCCACTATCAACAAAAAAACTACTTCAGAAGAGTTCATCACTCGCCTCAAAGAAATTTTTGGAGGTGACATCATTATACCTCCCAAAGCCAAAACACCACTAAGCTGGAGTTCAATATTTATGCCTATAAAATTACGAAATTCTAAAGACAAATCGCTTGTTTATCAACCCGATACAGCTGTTTGTTCCTCCGCATCTAGGTTTTGCTTGAAACGATTCGTGTCATTGGTTAAAGTGCATACTCATCATCATCTGCCTGAAAGAAAGTCTAGTGTTGATCCAATTGAAGAATTCCGAGCAATGCATCCACCCATCAATACTCTGATTGATTTTCTTGAAAGTCCATTGACAGCCCTTGAGCAGGCTCCATTGGCAGGTACACTTGAACACACAGCACTGATCAAAGTACTAACTTTGGCTTTGCGCGAAGAAGACGATATGACTGTACAATTTGAAGCGTGTCGGCTACTTATTGCAATGCAAGGTCAAGCCAACCTGACTCGTTGGGATCATGCTATTTACAAAACTGTTTTGGAAAATATGCTTCAAAAGGGCACAGAGCAAGAGCGGGATATGGCGGCTTTGGTATCTATCGAGTCTGGCATCACTCATCCAGCAGCCATGAATCAAATTCGCGGTGGCTTAGGACATCTCGACCCCGATCGTCGCAATATGGCTCGAAATGTCTTTTCAGTCATGGACATGAAGCATCTGGACATGGTTATTGGATTTTTATTAAAAGATAGCGAGCATACTAGTTGGAGGGTAAGATTGGATGTGATCTATTTGCTTGAAATATGGATCCGTAGACTATTACCAGAGCATCCACCATCTGCACCTGAAAGAGACCCAGATGCTTTAGAAACAGACGATGACGCACTTGTCAAGGCTTTGTTTCATACTTTGGGCACAACAACCAACGACAAGGAAAAAGGGAATGATTTAAATCCAGTAGATCTTGTTCAAGTTGGTGACGACAAAAATGCATATTCTAACCTATTTTTACCCAGCACAACCAGTTTGACTCCGCTTTCTGCAGAACCAGTCACGAATCAATCCAAGCAACTCGATACAGTCAATCCGTTGGAAAAACAACTACAATTTAAAAAAGATGCGAATATTGCATCCCTGAGCAAAAACGATCCCAAATTGAATGTATCAGCAGCTTTAGATTCTTGTGGCAGTAACGTTGAGCAACAGACCAATTTGGCTTCAAGTCCAACAAGCATGCCGACAAAACAACTTTCACTCGAGGCAATGAAATATAATAGCAATATCGTGAAAAAATGTGTTGATGTGCTGCTTAATATCATGTGGACGGATTGGAACAAGGAAGTTCGTGATGCAGCCAGTCATACATTGGGTGCGCTTGGTCAAGGTCGACCCATATTTGACTGGGTGGTTGGACTTTTAGGATCAAAAGATCCAGTAAAACGAGTTGACGCGCTTAGATCATTGTCGTATCTTGGTGTAATGACCAAAAGCTCACTCGAAGCATTATTGGCATGCTTTAAGGATCCATATGCATCTGTTAGGATTGAAGTTTGTAAATTTGCTTGTATTCTTGCATCAGATGATCGTGCTATTGTCAGCAACCTACTAGATTTGTTAAACGATCATGACTATCGTGTCCGAGCTTATGCTGTCAAGGGTAAGTGCAAGTAAACCATGCGTGTTACATTGAATTGTTTGATGATGACACTCAAAAATAATGAGAATAATGGCAAATCTCTAATTTGACTTGTGATGCTGTATGAACTTTGTATTGCAGCACTTGGATATAGTGGATGCAAGGAGCCAAAAAATAGAGAAACGCTTAATTGGGCATTACATCACGATCCACACTCTGCTGTAAGAGCTGAAGCCATTCAAGCTGTGTTTCGTCTTGATCTCATTTCCAGAGATCAAACAATTAAAGAGGGTTTATTCACTCTCTTTGAAACAGATAGATCCGACAAAGTAAAACAAGAGGCCAAACGTGTACTTGTTGCTAGTGGGCTTATTTTTTCCAGCATGCTTGAAACAGAAAGAGAAAGTGATTCTAGAAAGGAAAAGTATAGTGGAAACGAAAAAGAAAGCGGCATGCTGGGCATGGCTTTGGGAGGTCATGCTTCTGTCGGTGTGTCATCTGCAATTTCTAGCAATGATTCAAATAATCTCAACACGACCACAACTCATTTGGCCGTGCCTTATCCACATATCTTGAATGATGCCAGTCCAGATGAGATAGACATCTTTTTGCGCGATTCTCTCGTTGGCGAAAAAGAATTATCAATTGCTATTGGGCAAGTAAAAAAGACTGTCACTAGGGAATCCATTATAGCCGAGGTGCAATATGTCATCCAAAACTCTCAAGATACCATAATGGTTGGATTAGATCTGCCTTTGAATGATGAGTTTACCCCCCAGGTCAAACAGATTCATCAACTAAAAAAGCAAAAGTTGTAAATTTAATGTAATGCAATAAAAAGTAACTACAATTGAAGCAATCATCTGGCCATAAAGCCCATACTGGGATATTGGTTTATTTGACAAGCTGAGAACTAATATCAATTTCAATTGCCGAAAGAAATTCGTACTCGGCTACACGGAGCTTGACAGGATTGTCTGCATTTCCAGACTGGAGTGTAGTCTTGTCAGTCTCGATTGTTTTTTGCAAAGCTCGTTTTAAAATCATACATCGTAGCCGTACCCACTCTAGGGCTTTGGTCACAGACAGGGAGTAGATTGTGTGATCAGACTGCATTTTTTCTACTGGGTCTGAGGTGGCAAGAATAGCATTTATAGTAACTGCATCCATTGTAAGTACTTTCAAAAACAAAATAAGCTGAGAAGATGTCTCCAACACCGGTGGTCCACATAGGTTTAGTCGACTCTCGCTATAAAACAATATAAACGATCAATTTAAGCATAGTCGACTATACAATGTCAATACGCAATACTGTAACTACCTTGATAGATTAAATAGTTTCAACAGTTGTACGCGCTGATTTCGAATGGGATCGCTTTGCGGTATACTAACAGAAAGTTTAATATGGTCATACTCAATATTGGTTGGATCAACAAAACCACTATAAAGAAGCATTTCTTGATTGGATCGCTTTCCATAGTGAATAAAAATCTGTTCGCCAGGAGAAACATCGCATGATGCTATTGTCTCGCTACAATACTCCTTTGTGTCAAACTGTGTTGTTGACTAGATGGTATTTTAAAAAAAGTTTAGTCAGCATGTAGTGCACTTGTATATTGATACCAAATAATTCATACATTTCCAGGTTTGTGATTGAACATGTCAAACAGTGGAATCAAACATAGGAACTGCTGCATTTCACTTGTACTGGGATTGGCATAACATATTTCATTCTAAAAAGTATACATTAGTTTGAATCTACATGGGTTCAGTCTAATCAAACATTGAACATTTACCTGGCGAGTAGATACAATAGCACGTGCCCATGAAAATGCAGCAAATGTGAAATCAGCGAGTGGAATAGGCGGCTCAGGGATTGATTTAAAAATATGCTGCAGATACAAATACTGGCGCATCAGTGCAATCATATCATGCACCACCTCATCTATAACAATTCCATTAAAATCAATAAGCATGCACAGTATTTTTTGAAAATACACGACAAATCCAAAACTTACCAATAATGGATGTTCCTGTATATGCTGCTAGATCTTGGGCCGAACCAAGGACAGGAATAGTAAAAACTCGTGGCAATAAATCAAAATAGGGTTGCCACAATGACATGGGATTAATATATTCCTGTAATAATCGAATGACGAGTATAACACTTGGATCGGTCTTGAGAAGCACATTAGATTTGACGATCGAATCTAAACAAGACAAGTTGATATAATAAGCGATTGTTGCAGCTGAGCACATTGGAGTGAATTCATTCAATTGATACCATCATGATGAACTCTTACTCAATGCTGGCATAGCTGAAGTATCGTTGGACAAAATCAGCTTGAGTGGTATTTTTACCAGACACTCTCCTTTCTATAATCCCATTAAATAGTTTAATAATGATATTTTGACAAGAACACCAGTAAACATACATGAATCTGTCTAGTTGAGAATATGCCCAAACCAACATCCTTGCTGTCGTCCACTTTTTTGATAGAAATGCCATCAGTGTTGATGCCATTCGCATGAAGCCATTGGGTGAACGACTCTAATGATGCCAATTGATCCAATTTCTCAGCGGTGAATCGATCATCTAATTAAAGCAATGCCACACCATATAAAGCATACGATTAAAGATGGAATCTAAAGCAATGTATTGATTGTTTGGAAACATGCAAGAACTTGCCGTTTTGAATCTGCAAAAGCTGATCAAGCAGATTACGAATGGTTTCAAACAGGTTGAGATTCTGAGAAGTTGTTCGAGTTCCAGAAGTCCTATGAGGAGCTACGGCTTCATCCCGAACAGCATATCAAAGATTACATGTGTTATTATGGAGTTGGGTTAGATCCAAGTCAAGTGTTGCTCACCATTTACTAACTGAGCGGTGATCATAAGTTCATTCATTGACTTTGAACTAGACACAGTCTGTTGAGTGTCGATCGATGCGACACTGGATTTCATGCGTTTAGATGGCTTGCTGTTTGAGCAAGATTGACTTGTTGTTTTTATTGTTTTATTTGAATACGCTGTAAAAATTATACATTTTATCGAAATGGTTTTGACTTCATTTGACTGGCAAGTGTGGGTTTGCTATATGTTGTCCGCTTTTTGGATGGACTATTACTCGCTTTCTGAGTATAAGAATGTGTTTGAGGTGTAGTGCGAGCACGCTCTCTCAATTCCATGTCGTTGTATGCAGAACCAAGAGGATCAACTAGTGCAGCTATATTAAATTGTCAGTATTTTAGTAAAGTTACAACATGACATTCTATTCCACTCAAATGATCAATCACTTTCAAACAGAGTTTAGTCAATTACATTGAGTAAGTTGATATTGAGTAACCCCACGAGCTAGTTTTGCCTTGTGATCCAGTTTAGATTTGAGTTTGCTAATGAGCATCTCAACATCACCATCAATATTGCGGGTTTGGGTAACTGGCGATACTGATCGTCTATTGTTTAATGAGGGAGTTGTTTCTTTGTCTGTGTTTCCAGCATTATTTTCCGTTTTTAATCCATCTTGTTTATATTGCATACCTGTTTGGTACTGCCCATTGTCTCGATCTACTGTGGTATGAGATGCTTTGCCAACGAATGGAATAGATCGAGGTAAGCAAGACTCTTCATATAGGTTTGATGAATGTTGCTCTACGTTCTGTGTTGCATTATCATGAGAATGCTGCTGTTCCCATCTTACCCGCTTGGCAGATTGTAATAACTTTGCATCAATGGCATTCATTATGCGATGTTCCAAATCTGAAATTTCTGCTTTAAACATGGCTGCCATCTGAACATTTTCAAACGACGAGATTGCCAATTTGATTTGTTGTTGGACATAGATTTGTATTTCGACAGTGATGGAGTGGTGCAGCGAAGAAAGTTGCGAATCTGTCTGCTGTAATTTAGGAGAAATAGAGTCATGTAGCATATGTTCTTTTGAAGGCAGTGAGCCAGAAACACTATGTCTGAATGAAATTTTGCTAGGTTGTAGTTTCAATGGTGGATCTTTTGGTAAAGTTTGAACAAAAGATGATCCAACAGTGTTGGAAGTATATTGGTGCAGATTGGTAACTGGAGTTTGAGTTGGCACTGGACTAGAAGGTCGCATTTCCTTTTTTAGTGTATCTAGATCATCAAACACTTGAGAAAGTTTAATAGAAACCTCTCGGACAGTATTCGCATTTGATTTTTCTTTTTCAACCCTATTTCTGAGTGGATTTGACAGTGAACCGTAGATTGATGGATGATATGACTGTTCATCAGATTGGTTGTTTGCATGGTTCGGTTTAGACAATGACACCAAGAGTTCCTGTATCTGATTTCGCAGCAATGCAACGGAAGTTTCTAGTGATTCAAGCCGAAAAGAGTCACTATTTATGCCGTGTTGATGAGGTCTATACAAAGGATCTGAAGCACATTGGTTTATCTCTGATGGCTGTTGTTGAATGGTCGGATCTGATTTGGGAATCTGGTGGTTGGTTGCAGAGTGAATTAGCATGGGATTAGTAGAGATGTGATTGGAATCACTTGAATTCAAGAGTGAAGTTTTGTCTGATTTGAATGAAGATTGTCCAGCCATGGCTGGTGAATGAAGACGAGCAGCCATGTCCTGCAGTTCCTGAGCAGAAAGTGGTTGTAGCACCGAGTCGGCTGTTTTAGACCAACGAACTTGATTCATAATGTTTCCTATTTCAGACGATAAATCAGTAGGCGAGCTGGACCCAACAAGCGATTCAAAGTCGTCGTCAAGAAAAGAAACGCTCGGAATTCCCTCCACTGCGATGATTGAGTTGCTGGTTAAGCAAAGTTGAGCCAACTTTCGTGCTGCGAATTTCACGTTAAATTTCATACAATTTCATACAATTTTATATTCATGACAGTCATGATTGTTGCCATGAATTCAAACGATCAAATCACTGCAAAACCTAAAATAGTTTCTGCAAGCATTCGCTTGCTTATGCCTGTTTCTCAAGGTATTGTTAATGGCTTGTTTCTCAAGACATTGTTGCTCACTTTGTCAAATCTACTTTTTATTATGTTGCTGAATAGGACTGAAACCTGTCAAGGAAAGTCGTCCAAGTTTTACTGCTCATTCATCATCAGAATTTTGTGCGTTTGATGGAGATGAACCTCCAGAAGCTGTAACACTTCGACAGAAACTATATAATAATCATTGGAAACTACTCGAGAATCAAATCGGTATTATTCTGGCTAAAAGCAACGACGATTTGCTGAATCAAATTGTAGATTTTGTGTCCGATTCCAGCTCGTCGTTATCCAGGCAAGCAGGCCTTGATTGTTATACATTCAATCTTATAGTAAACATCAATAACTCTTTATTGTGTTAGTTCCAAGTTTCAGGAAATTCCAACTGCTGCCTTGTTGGCTGGCATCAATCCAACAGATCATTTGCAGCTCTATAGTCACTTGAGCCAGAGAATCAAGCAAAAAGGGCATGCAATGTCCACCCTTATGGCAGCTAATGCCACATCGCTTAAAGTGGTTGTGCAGTGCATGATTCAAGATTTGTGTGGTTTAGATGCTGATGTCGAAAATGATATTGCGCCAGTGAGTTTATCTTTCTTGAACATTTTCAACAGGCATATTTAAACTTTGGTTTTGACAAGATCTGCATATGTTTAGGCTGGTTCGGGTCAAAACAAAAAGTGTGCAACCATTCCAGACTTTAGCATTCAGCGACTCTCTGAGTGGTATCATCATCAACAAATGTTATCCACATCAGATAAGCTATCTAGTAAGCTTGTTGTATTTATTCCTGAATTTGAAGCATTTGACTCGGAGCTACTTTCAAAACTTTTGGCAATATGCAGGTAATCTATGTCGAGGTGTCATCCAAAAACACGGATTGAAGCTATACAGTTTTCTTTTAAACACTTCATACTCTAATGACTATTGGTTTTACCGTATTTATGCACTAATGTAGAGAAAGAATCAACACACTCCCATTTGTTTTTATTTTTGGAATTGCTACTTCAATTGACTGTATCCACCAAGTACTATCCAAAACCACTATTTGTTCGTTAAGGCTAGAATCGTTCCAGCTGCATCGCTCCCTTGACTGCATCAATGACTTATCAAACATGGTATATCTAGACTTGAATTTACGCATGTTTATGGATTGACGCTGATTTTATACCCTGTCATTGATTCTCCTTCAACAGCTTCAAATTGGATCTGGATCTGGATTTAGACTAGGGCGTTGGCCATACCAACAGTTACTGGATAACTACCATCTACATAATCTTTCAGTGAGTGCGTTTATTAGAGGCATTCAAGTAAGTAGATTGATTAGTCATGGTTTAACGTAGAATGTGGTTGATTGACTATTTGAAAAAACAACTACTTATAGTACTCTGTCATGGCGTTTTACTACGGAAATCCACTAAGCGTGTTTCATAGTCTACTGCATGGTGAATCGCCAATCAATACCGAAACTGTACCCGATTGGATCTCTAGTATGCACTACTTGCGTCTTCGTATGCTCCCGTCATTCAAAAGGTTGGGCTTTCTATCAACTATAAACAGAAATATGTTATTTTAATCCATCCAATTAACGCAATGTTTGAGTGCTTTATTGTAGATATGTCGATGAAATTAGTGAAACACATTCTGAGCTAGCATACAGCCTTTTAACTGATGATGCAGTACTCTTAGAGCATGCCATGTATTTGATAAACCAGCTTATCAAATACCAAAAATATGTCAAGATTGCTATTGAAATGGTGACTGATTTTCAAGCCAGCTTTGAATCCACGTATCTCAAGCGACCTATTCGCACACTGGTTAAAGATATGCTTCATGATAACTTGATGAAAACCGATTTGCTGAAAACTATGGCAAATGTACACAAGTAAGTATTGCTATTTGCTAGTCTGATTAGGGTTGGTAAAGGTGTGCGCGACAGCGGTGTTGACTGGTGATGGGCAACACTATTGATGATATATGCTTTAAAACTGTAAGCAGGCATTGAAATGTATCTGACCATTCACTCTTGTCGATTGATTTGTTTCTACTGTGATGAATTAGAAATCAGCCCCTGTCTAAAATCAAGGCAACTCTTTTACGGATAAAGCAGATTGTATTGGACTCGGCTGATATGGACTCGGCATTATTGCTTGGATTGTCTGACAGAGCAAAGCCAATGTTGAATCCAAAGAAATCAGCTGATAATCTTAAAGACACTCCAAGCATCATTGACAATATTAATATGCTTCTAGATCAAGCTATCCGATTTGAGGGAAGCGATTCCGATTCGGAAACGGTCGATGCAACTCCAGACGAAGAAGAAACGATTTATCTGATCAAAGATGGATTGAAGCGAATACATAAACAAAAGGAACTTGAGCGACGAAGCAAAGTTTCGACCAAGTTGAAACCATTGCAGCAGGAACTGGTGTTGAGAGATGATACGATTGCGAGTTGGGCTGTTGCAGCCACCAAGTGCATTTGGGATGCCTTGACAGGAATGCTGGGAATATATACGAGCATGCCTCTTTTTGAACTGTTTTATTTTGATGATCAAAACAAGAGTCTGTCCAAGGTACAACAAGTTGGATGAATTCACTACATATTTTAACTTGATCATCAATCTGAATGTTCAACTCTAAACTAGACTACTTGTATTTCTCACTACTTTTAATGCTGATGTGTTTAGATATTCAATGCTCAACCTAGAGCAGTGGTTCAGACTGCACTTGCGCATCCAGATACATACATGCCGTGTGATCGATGCCTTGATCCTTCACAGACCATTAGTTCGTCGCTCAATGATACCAGCATTGTTTACGCGTTGTATCTGGAATGTGGACGATTGATCAACCTGTATGACTGGCATACAGCATTTTCATCCATTGTTCAAAGCGGATCAGCTTGCAGCACACCCACAACCGACCCACTGGAAATTCAGTGCGTTGTTTGAAGATTGCTTTGCCATTGAGCCAAATGATATGACATTTATGCTAATTCAAATGCTTCATATACTATACCATACTTTAGAGTCCGGTTTATCAAGGCTGTTGCAGATTTACAGCATCTTGGATTCATCAAACCCACAATGCGAAAAACAGATCATGTCGTGCGTCTCACATGGGGATCCGATTAAAAATGGTATAATTATCAAGTAATAAACCACAAGTAAAAATAGCAAACTGACTATGTTATTGTTAACAAAAAAGATGGGTGATGAAATAAACCTCGATGGCACGATCCAAGGATGTGTTTGTACGCGCTGCTTGTCGAATATCTGATCCAATCTACACCTGATTAGTTTTCCCAATAAAGCATTAAAAGCCCGTGCTTGATTCAAATTAGTTTCTAATGGTATTTCAAAAACCAAAAGTTAGATATCGATAGACAATTCAAAATAGAAACGAGTCTATAAGCAGATTTACCTTTGCTTTAAAGAATGAATGCATGTACCTAAACAATCATTGAACCATCACAATAGAATAACATGACAAGGACAGAGATTGAATCAACACATTGTTCCAAAATGAGATGTGACTATAAAAACAAGCGATACTCACCAAACTTGCCAGCCACCTACAACAATCAACAACAATATAGTAAATGTACTCAAGCCGCTCACTCGATCGAGTGTAGACTCGTTGACATTGTGCATGGAATTTCCCTGGTCCTCCAAAAAGAGAAAGTCGTTGATGATTTCTCGGGCCATTTCCTCGAGTCGACGAAGCTCGATCTCGATAGGTTCGAGTTTTCCTACTTCCATTTCTGCCACATATTGTTTCGCTTCAGCACCCATATCAAGACGAAGAAAAACTGTGCGCTTTACATCTGGTCCTGGAGCTACGTCTAGAATTCAAATGGAGTTCATTGAAGGCAGGATTAGATTTGCAAAGAATAGCAGATGGCAACAGCCAATTTACAGATATTTCCGATAACACGAATTCATGAACGGGCCGATCCATTGGCTGCAATGCTCAAAGCAACACCTCACCATTGGGAAGAGTGCTGGTGAAACAGAACCGCAAGTAAGCATCTTCATGGACAGTAAACGAAAACTTGTGCTCTCCAACGATGTTGGGTCTACTCCAATGTTTGCTTTGATTAACAGTGTCGTCGATAATCTAAGATTCAAGCCAGAGACAGCACAGGTTTAGTTGGATGTTCAAGTCATTTTAGAGACAATGAGTCTCAGCCTGTCCAAGTTGCTGACAAGGCAAATCATGAATGGCATTCTAACAGCTGGTTTCGAAGACAGATTGATGGTCACAAGAACCTCCCCTTGTCAGTCATGTTGTTGCCATTTAGACAGTCATGAATGATGGACGCAATGCTCATTAAACACAAGAGTTGACCATATTAAAAGTACCTCAGCATCCACTCGCTGACTATCTCTAGCAGGCACATCCACAATACCCGACACCAGAGTGTTCTTGTGAACGTATTGGTCAATACACTTCCGAGTGCCTTGACCAGATGTGGCAAGCAAGTCGAAGCGCAACGCACTAACAGAAACAGCAATAAAGGCCAGAACAAAGAGTCGAATCATGTTTGGTGTCATGACCTGCAATGGTTGTCAAGAGAGGAAAGAATGCAAGCAAGAATGCAAGCAGATCGTTCGTGTTGAATGGATTTTTATTGTCAGTTGCTTCGAGCTCAAACTCGATGCGACAGACTAAAACTAGCATTTCATTCTGTCAATCGCACTTGGATTCAATCTGCATTTTACTTGTTGGCTTTCCATTCGCGCTTTTGCTCAACTCAACGACGTTGACGATGATCGTACACTGGACTACGACTTCTGCTCTCACTGTATCCTCCACGGTAACGATCAGATGGTGGTGGAAGTGGTGGAGCTGCCATGCTTGATCGAGATCTGTATGGATCCCCACGACCAAAATCTCCTCGATGATCTCCGCGCTCACCACCTGATGGTCCATATCCCATCCCACCTCTCTCTTGTCGCTCATAATCTATCCTTCTGTCCATATATCTGTCTCCACGATCTGCCCAACCATCATGGTATCCTTCGTGACTGCCGCGATAGGATGAGGGCGGAGATCGAGATCTTGGCCGAAAGTAGGGTTGTGAGCGACGCCCACGATCAACCATATCACGACGCATATCTCTTCTTTCTGGATATGGATTATAGTGGGGTCTTGGCTCACGATGTTGTCTTCCCTCGGAACTACTTTCTCGAGTAGAAATTCCCTTGTAAAACCCTGGTGTTGGCTCATGAGGTCGAGAACTAATCGAAAAATCTAATGTGTTGCCAAACATATACGTTAGATCGAGTCTTGCTATGTAGTATGATTATAAACTGTAAAACGGCAATACTTACCAACTCGCATAGTTCGGTTGTTTAAAACCTAGAGTAAAAAAAACAAGGCAGATAGCAGCAATTAGGCATGGGTCAAATCCAGCGTATTGCCATGTTTAAAACAACAGCAAATATTCAAAACATACTGTGCCGTTTAGTTCCTGTTGAGCCTTGACAGCACTGTCAATGGTATCAAAAGTAATAAAACCAAATCCTCTCGATCGAAGAGTCTAACAACCAGGTGAATAGAAAACCAACCATTTCAACCAAAGAGTAGAGTCAGTAAAGCAACTGAATCAATCAAAATTTGGTATACATCAAGATAAAACCAGCCATGTTTACCAATGCATCCCGGATAATAGTGCAGTGTGTAATTTTTCCAAAGGGAGAAAATAGACCGCGAAGCTCAAGCTCAGTGGTAAAGAGACTCAATCCAAAAGCACCAACAACAGTAGACGGATCTGTGGATAATGCCTGACAGTATTTTAAACACATAATGTAAGTAGGCCAAAAAACTATAAAAACAGGTTTGAACAATATAGTACCTTTGAATCACGATCATCTTTTCCCTTTCCTCGGACTGGCGATCTATCCAAAGGAGCATTATTGGAAATATACCTAGGAGGAGAAGAGTTTGACGGAGAGCGTTTGAATTCTCCGGGATGAGCTCTAGGCTCATTAATCTTTGGACTACCACGATTTTCATCATTTCTGGATGAGCTAATTATACACCACAATCATTTACAAACCGTTATTATCAAGCAAGAGTGAGATCAAGTATAGAAAATCAACCACATCTATGATTTGGTATACAACCGTATTCATGCAAAATGGAACACTAATAAGAATGCCAAAATATAACAAGCAGCCAGTCTCATGACATGACTGTTGTCTATTTGCTAGACACCATTGCTTTTTTAAACTAGATCGCGAATGTGAGATTAGAATACAAAAGGAGTTGGATTGATAACAACTGAATCCAACATCTGAATTGCAATGTATGACTATGTCAAAAAAAGGACTAATTTAAAAGTATAGTTTGTATCATACAATGGACGTTGTGTTTGGAGAAGAATTGAAAGGGTCGATTCCAGTAGGAAAGCAGACCGAGTATTCAATTATTTCCCCTTTTTAGAGTAGAATAGAGGCAAGATACAGAAAAGTGTTCCATTGTACATGAATATAGCTGTAAAAACAATTTCGCAACAAGATCAATGGTTTTAAAAATACTTTTTGGCTGGTGCCAAAAAGAAATCAATGCCAAATTCACATATGCAGACTGAGCTGAAACCATACCTGCGATTGGAACCAGACTCTCCTTTGATATAGTCGGCAGGACTCCTAGATACGCTATGATTCGATTCGGAGGTGCCTTGTATATGAAGGCCATCATCGCTGTCTGCACCAGGACTTCCATACACTTGCTCTTTATCCATTCTGAGTGTTTTGCTGTTTTCTGTAAACTGTGAGGAAGAGCGGTGTTAGGTCTTTGAGAGTTGCAGGAAAAGGATTGAATGAGTATATCAAGCAAATGGTAATAATCGGCATCAATCAGTGATGATAGTCATGGTTTGCAGAAGTTGGTTTGGACGAATTAGCGATGAATTATCACAGAAGCAGATTCTTTTAAACCCTCCAGAAACCACAATAATGATGCAAATAGGGAGGTTGTCAGTGACATGCAAGGTAGTTGCAGTAGTGATCTAGAACCAGTATGGTTATATTCAACAGGCTGAAGTAGCTGCAGCTCAAAGTGCACTAAATGGATCATACCGCCACTTTAATTGATAAATGTGGAGAGTTCTTACTTGGGAGCAGCTATCTGGTTGATGTGCTAAAGTGGGTGCTCACCGCTGTATGCAGTAGTTCGTTGATGGACAAACGTCCAGATCTGCGCTGTTGCGTTGATGAGTTGTTGTCACGTGAAGCCAACTTCACTTTTTGCATCTTGGCATCGAGTTCATTCCAATGAACGCATACCTCGTTTTAGGTGTTCCGAGCGACGCTCCTCTCCATGTCATCCGTGCAAAGTACATGGCATCTGCACTCGAGGTAGTCTCTTGGTTTTCCCTTGTGTTTGGTTTCTAGTCACAACTCTAACTCTATTCATGTGTAATGCTTGGAAATGCTCAGCTTCATCCAGATAAACAGCCATTGAATCAACCCAATGATCAAACATCCGAAACAATTGTTCAATTCCAGCAAGTTAACAATGCTTGGGAAATTCTTCGAGATCCAGTGAAACGGAAAGAACATGACAGGTTTCTCTCGAGTTGAGTCGTCAAAATTTGACTCGGTTTCCTGCGTAATTCTTTTGGCTAACAAAACCATTCCAATTCTAGTTTCTGGAAAAATAGGTCCTGTTCAATATATTATAGACTTGGCATCGATGGAATATGATCAAGGTAATTTAAATCATTCTAGACACTGAATTGACAATACTGCATCTCAAAAAGCCGTATTTTGACTGTTTTCCCCGTGGTTTAGAATGCGATGCATTTTATTCGCTATGCAGATGTGGAGGCAGGTTCGAGATATCTGTATCAGATCTGGACAAAGATGCATCAATCGATGCAGTAGAGTGCTCTCAGTGTTCGCTGTTTGCTACAATCAGCACAAAAGCAGAGCTATAATGCATTTCTATCTAATGCGTATTTGCTGATAGGTTTCGTCACGTTGTTCTGATCTCGCATATACGGCTCTACAAAACCCTCGAATGGCTTCGGATAAACGATTCATTCTTAAATTCTGCTATAATTAAATTGGGCTAGATAGTGTTTATTTCATGGCTTGCTAATCAAATATATGGACCATCATCCACATCATCATCCATCTCCAATCCCATTTCCTCACCACTGGACTCATCATTAACAATAAATCCATCCAGATCTGTATCTTCAGAGTTTTCAATCATAGATTCGTCTGTTTCAGACTCTACAATCACACTTTTTCGCTTAAAGGTGCGGTATGACCCGGCTGATTTGGATGATGTTGTCACGGTTTTGCTGAAACCCTTTTTCCGCTTGTGTGATGCACTGTCAGCATTGATAGACTCTGTATTTCCCAGATACATCGTATCGTCCTCCTCATCATCGAGTTCAGATTGTGACATATCTATATTGTTTAGCAACTGGCTGCTAATACCATTGCTCATATTGTCGTCATCATTGTCAAGCAAAGCTTGATCTTGGGAAAAAGATGGGCTCGGTAATTTCTTGGAAAGTGATTGCGACAAAATAATAGGCTGATCGAACGGTTTTATACCGGGACGTCGACTCACTCCAAGTCGCTTGGCTCTCAATTGTTCAGGTGGTTGTGCAAGTACGCCTTGACCAAATCCTTCGGTATTTACCACTGTTTTAGTTCGTGGCTGGGATAAAGAATCAGTCATCGGTAAATTAGGTAGCGGATTCGTTTTAAACGAGCTAGAAAGGGTTGTAGATGCACCTGTTGTTGATGGGATTGTTCCTCCAACTAAACGACGACGAGCAAGTCCAATTCGTCGAATTTGTTGTGGTGCGATCGTGGATGTGTAGGCAGGTACGGGTGCTGCTGAAATCAAAGAGTTCAACTCTGGAGATGTTTCTTCATCATTAGAAACAGCAGATTCCAATTGTAAAGCCTCTGTATCTAAGCCCTCGCATGGCTCAAATAAATTCATCGATTCGTTTCGACCCAAAACTGTCTGTTCAACGCGTCTGTTGGATCTTTGACCACCATTACTCTTACGACACTTTGTACTAGTATTTGACTCTGAGTTTTTGTCCGAGCTATAATCTGCTACAATATCCTCGGATAATTTCCGGGTTTGCAACGGATCTTGCTCTTTTTCCCTGGGTTCTTCGTCATACTCCTCTTCAGTAGCTGTGTGTTCTGCAGCTACGTCTGGCATGGATCTCTTTGCTAGCCGCCGCTTTTTTGATCCTGTTTCAGTAGAATGCCTTTTGTCACTTGTTGACACTGGCTGTTGCTTTTTTTTCTAATTCATGAGTTGTTTTCGTATTAGCCAAATAAATCATGAGGTATAAAGTTGGAAAAATAAACAGCTGATACATGACAAACCTGGGAAACTGCACGAGAATTTTTAGGCTTTGATGACTTGGAAATCTCAGCATCCTTTGACCGTTGAGTTGTTTTTGCTGCTTTGTTTAAAGGTGTAGCTTGCTCAGTCTCCAATTGCACGTCTAAATCAGACATTCTTTCGTCTTCGATATCATCCAACTCTTGCTGATCGGTTGAATCGTCATCAGGCTCCACTAAAGTAGGAATTTGAGATGAAATCAATCCACCAGAAATATCCCGATGCTTCAAATTTCCTATATTTAGTATCCGAGTTTTTAAACAAGTTCAATTGGTGTTAGTAGGGTATACATTGTATTACTATTCAAGATATTCAAATCAAATACACTGTTTTACCAATGGAGAAAGCTTGCAGACTATTGTTATCAGCCAAGAGTTTCTTGATCTCGTATAAAAACAATTCCATGACTTTTCTTAGAGGCGGCACTGAAGCTGCAAGATTCGTATCTTTTGATACCTTTGTTTCGCTGCATACCGATTGCAAAATGCGGGTACCCGTTTGCACCATACGTAAAATCTGTATGATTTCCTCCTTGTATGTTTTGAATTCGCGAGTGAGAACAGGCAATACACGTTTAATGTATGCCAAAAGAAACACTCGACTTTTTTTGAGAATTACAGAAATAAACGGGGGTTGCTCAAATTTTCGCACAAGTGTGATTGCCAATGAAAAGCATGTTGAGAATCTGGAGATAGTGACTTCGCTTTCGCTGTATTGCGTTTGGCCTCTACCTGAAAACTGAGCCACTTGCTGACAAAGTCCTGTGAACGCAGCCTGATTGTGTTAAAATATGAATCCAAAATAGAATAAAAGATCAATACTATAGCATTCATTGTTGTTTAACTCTTGGCACAAATCAGCAATAGCGTGTACAATTTACCTTGAAAAACGATATAAACGTGACTCTTGTAAGTAGTGGGAAATCTACCAAAACCTCTTCATCACCTTCAGAGATTGCCTTGAACGCCTTTGCAAAATATTCTTCCGTGATGGCCAGTGGATCAGCTGCCATGTTAATCTGTTGCTGAATCAAATAAACAAGTGTTTCAGGCTAAATTTTGCCATTACACAAGTATATAAAGTAATATACTGCCGAGTTAGTTTTTTAATTTGTATAGTTTGTACAGTGCAACATTCACACTGCATTAACATCAAAATACACAAACCTTCATGCTGGATTTATCTTTCCAATACTGGTTGACAAACACATTAGACAGATATCGGAGTTTTCCCAACACGATATCAGAGTGCGGTACCAGATTATAAAGCGCAGCTAAAAGGTGTCCAAGTCCAGATGCAGCTTCTCCAGTAACAAGGCATTTCTCAAACCGCACAATGTAGTCAAAAGCACCTATAACTAACTGATCTTGAGTAGCTTGAAGATTTGGATTTTCCTGTATGAGTGTTCTACTTGCAAGAACTTGAAGAAAGTTCTTGGTGTGGTTTATCAAAATATTTCAATCAGTAATGTTTTAATACTCTATTCAAAATTGATTTTCCACGCAATCTTACCATTCGATCATCATGTAATGCTGGATCAGTAAATCCAGGCCATTTGAGTAGTATTGCCAAGCATTTTATAATAAGGTCAAAGCAGTTGAGCATAGATTGATCCTTTACAAAGTAATGTCAGCATCAAAAAGTGTTGAAATATTGAAATGACAATGCAAAACCCATATTTATACCACAACACCAAATGTCGAATCTTCGTCTGCAATCTATACCCATTATTTCACAATCATAGCTGCGTCAGTGTGATACCAAATAAAATCAACACAATTATATGATGTAAACGCAAAGTCAAAAGCAAAAGCAAATACCATATTACAAATTTCTTTTCCGGTACTTTCCAAAGTTTTACAAATTCCTGGTAGAATGAGAACAAGTTTAGAAAACACATTTCGAACAGATATTCGGGTTAACAGTTCAACGCTCGCACGAGTCTGGGATGATTGACGTAAACTAGATAGTCCTTTGGGACCAAACTGAAATTCAACTTTAACCAGCAGATCGGAAAGTAGAAACTCGAGCTCGTTAAACTATTCATTAAAGCATGTAAAGTCACAAACCAAAATCAATCGATCAATACATTAAATGGCAAAGCAGTTGAATGCAAGTGCATTTCATACATCTAGTTTGGCTTCGCCCATATCTTCGCAAAATGCAAGAATACTAAATACACCAAGTTCGAGTTCGCGCATCAGTGGCCGTAAATCTTTCAATTCCCAGATTAAAGGAATGTCAAATCTCTTTGCACTACTCGATAGCAGTTTGGAAGTGCGTCCATTTCTTGCACTCTTTCGATTCTTGGTCGTAACTTGACTTCCATTTTGAGTCAGCGTCTAGATACTCAAAAGTGGATAGTTAAACTCGGTTGTAATTGCATTGAATAAATTCAGTTGAACACATAAATCAAAGTACCACTTTTCAGCAATTTTACCATAGATGTTTCCTTCATAAGAGAAATAGTGGCTGAGCTCACAAACACCGTTTCTGGCAAAGATTGTGAATTGAATCCGCTGTCAATATTTTCCTCTAAAAGATTGGGAGGAATCCATCCAGGAAGGCTTGCAAGAATTGATACAAGATATTTTTCCAACACCATTATATGACGAACTCGCAAAAGGCAAAATCGCATAGTTGCCTTTTCAGATACAAACCCAAAGCAGTTTAAAAGCTCTCGAAATCTAAAAGCATAATGTAAAAAATATAAATGATAGTTACAAAATATATAGTATATCCAACAATTATACGTACAGATTTAGAGCCTGAAATAAAGTAGTGCATAACGCATGTCTTGCCGTCTGGTCATATTCAACATTGAGCGTCTAATGATTTGCATGATGTACATAATGAAAATAGGTATATTTAGTGTATATTGAAAAATGACACAATACACAAATACAAGATACTTGCCATGGATTCCTTTTGCTCAAACATGAGCAATCCAGAAACAAGCATCGCATTTACAAAACTGCCATTGATACCAGTGGTTGCTGTTTCACAGGTTTGCCAGAGTTTAAATTGCGAGCATAAGAGTGCAATCAAATTTTTCTCATTCGAGAAATCTAAAATTCCGGCAAGCGGTCGTGTATCTTTTAAATCGTCGGGAAGACCTCGAATCAATCGCAATGCCAACGGATAAATATTCAGTCCTCCTTCACAATTCTAAGAAATATGCAGCATTGATTACATTTGTATTGTTAGGCAAACCAGTCGTCGTTGAATTTTTAACCACGGCTATTTTAAAGTAAATCCATACCTCGAGTTCCATCCATAAAGTCGATTTAACAACAAGTCTAGGAAAATCGCTGCTCAAAGTCTCAATTTTATCAGCGCAAAGTTTCATCTCCTCGTCATCCAGTACAAAGATATCAAGAAAACTATCATTGATAAGCTCTCGAAGCCACGATATGAAATCAATGTGAAGCTTGTTCTGAGACACCAAGAACGCAATCTCATCAAATACTGTTCCAAGACAAGACTGTGCAATGTAATATATAAGAAATATGATTGAATATGTGTGATATAGCAAATCTAACAACATTACCATGCTTTGTCGGCAGCTCGTGATTGTGGTTTCAAAAATCTTCTGTGCTTGAGAAAGTGTATGGGGCGTCATGCTATTCTTCTCGGCAAGTTTCTGAATAAGAACTGCCGATCCAAGAACACCAATTTGCTTATAAGTGCAATTTGCACTGCCTAGATATTTTCGGATTACAATATGAAGATCGGTCAAAATAGACGACTCTGCCATAATAACCATGCTTGACGCAGATGTGTCAAACAACTCGTTGTCGCTCTATATAAATCAAAATGTAAGCATCATTATAAAGCCAATATGCATGAGATTGACTAGTGTATCAAAATTGGCATTTACCACTACTGCCAAGTTGGATAGAACTTCAAAAAACCGTCGCACATTTGAAACACTAAGTTTATCTAGATCTAAAGTCATAGATATTGGACATGAAAGGTAACTATGTAGCTAATGCCTAGAATATAAGCTAAAAAGTAGTACAAGTATAACACGCTTACGATCAAGAATGCTTTTGATAAAAATGGAAAATGGTGCTACATTTTGTGGCTCAATGCTAGTGAGTTCTAACAAAACACTCAAACTGATACCTATATTGAATTCGTAAATATCAAAAAGTCATGGGCAGCGTGGTGCAATCAAGATATTTAAATTTTCATGTCAAATATTGATGAAAAACAAAAAGGATATGATTCCAGTGCCAATGTGAGTCGCCAGTAATCCAATAACGTGCTAGTATTGGAGGTTCAAAAATAAAACCAATGGTTAAAATCCTAAATCTTGAACAATGTGATGGCAAGACTCCATACCTGTCGTGCAGAAATATCGCTTGTTTGGAAAGTTGCAATAAACAATTCAATGCAGATATCATGGCAGCATTCTAATCCAGTTGACATCATGTAGTCTCCAAGTCCGAGAATTGAAGAAAAATAGCTTAATATAGACAGTCAAAGACGGATAAACAGAGTTTCTGTTAGTATATGGTAGGTAGTTTGTATAATTGAAATATATAGTAAATAAACCTTGAAATACTGCTTCCATGACCCGATATAGTTTTCCGTACAATAGATGGTGTAAGATCGCCAGAAAGTGCCTTCTTTTTTAGCAGCAACTGTGCTCGCTTTCGATGAGACGTAGAAAGCGAATAAATAATAATCATAACTAAAAAATCAAGAGATCGAAGCATATTTTTCTAAAAGGTATAATGACTTGTGTTGGCGTACTGGTACTTGAGTTTTCAAAACAACAACAACACTACTGTGATTGTGCACATATTTTTACCACAAAATCGACATCAAATATCACGCGAATCCATGAATCTTGAAGAAAAGGTCGAGTTTGAAATGAAGTACGAATACTTTCTATAAAGCAAGTATATGAGTAACCAATGCAAATGCATGTATAATTATACAGTCAAGATTATATATGAATCAAATGTACCTAGTATCAAGGCCTGTGGTGATCGATCTGGCTTTTTACCTTTAGATCGTCCTTGCTCAATATCAAGCGTTTCTTTTTTTAAATCTTGAGCAATTTGATCCATATTCAAATTAGCGCGTATTTGACTGATAACAGTTTGTGCCGAGTCTACTGTGGCTATATTAAGTAAAAATCGGACAATAATAGGCTAAACGCAATCTTAGTATTTATAAACTGAAATTTGGAAATAATTTTTCACAGTATAGTAAAAACAACTCTAAATAGTAGTACTTACAAGTGTGTCCAAATCCGCAGAATCCAGTTTATCAAGGCATGCATCTCGCGCGGCAATGAGAGTTGTGTCATCCATTGAAAAACTGATGAGCGTATCAAGAATAGTTTGAGTAAGTTCAAGTTTTTGAGCCATAAGCTCAATGAGATAAAGTGAGATACGCTAAAGCATAGTAAAATGAATTAAACACAATATTAATATCTAGTCATTACAAAGTGCAAGTTTGATGAGAGTTTTCAACATACCTGATGCTCGCTATCCACTGCGATTTCTGGTAGACTGCTGATCAAATCTGTTTGAACATCATAAACTAGAACAGGAAGAATTTCTATAATTTTTTCAATCATTTCAGATGGTTTCACAATATAGTCAAGCCAGCTGAGTTGTTTGATGAGCATCTTGGGAATATTTTTGCCACTCATTATTCTAAACCAAAGAATTGTTGTTAGATGATTGAAATACTAGCACCAAAGTAATTCTAAATATTTTAGAAATAGCAACAATCTACTTGCATATCTTGGGACGAAAACTCGGCAAGTTTCTCCAATAGTAACTGAGATATGCATGGTTGGAGAGAATGAATATTGAGTAGCATACGAGCAAGAGTGTTTTGTTGCATACTCCTAAATACAGTTGATTGGGTGAGTTTAAATATTAAAATTATTCATCAATATCAAATGTAGATCTATTGACATGGATAAAACCGGGAAAATATGGCACAAAAGCATTCTATTTCAGTGTAATCGTTGGCAACATACCCAATCGCAGTATCATTTGAAGCTAAAGAATCACTGCCATTTTTTACTTGCTTCACACTAGAAAGTATGCCAATCAGCGAGTCGGTGGTATCCATGAGAGTGGCAAATCCATTCAAAAACTGATCCAAATGGATTGCTGAATACGACTTGATCTTTTTAGAAAGACGATCGCTAAACAGGTATGGAGTAATTGACACAGACTCTTGAGTAGTAGAAAGAACATGTCCTGTTTTACAGATTTGCAAAGGTTGCGATGGGAAAACAAGACAGCCATCAAGCATATCCAAACAAGTTAGTTTTTAATACTATGAAGTTGGCACTGTTTTAAACTGACAATATCCGAATGCATTCTAATAAAAACTGCTACATCGTTTATATAAACCCACCAAATGTCCAGATATTGTCAATATTTCGGACTAATCCTGAATCCGTCACTGCCTGCACAAATAAGTTATTGGCTGTATGTAAACAGCATAGTTTGTCAAATGCAGAATATTGATCCAGTTGAACATAATTATAGTGTAGAATGAGCTCGTTATCCGTTAGTTTTACACTCAACCAACTCGAATATGCAGTCTTGATAAGCACACACAAATGAACATTGAATATACGCACAGTCCAAATGACTTGTATTGTCAGTGAATGCAGTTCCACCAAGCATTTTTGAAAGAATTGAGCTGTTGGTCTGATAGTTGATGATCGCTACGACTATTGGCAAAGAGTATGAGAATAGGAATAAACGAAAATGTGAAATTGTCAGCAATCACCACTTTGATGTTCTATTATGTCGGTAGATTGCTGACTAAACGAGAATCATTCATCGATCGTGCATCACAACAATAATCTCACTCGTTTTTCTTTTTGATTCAACAATCTCACTCATTTGGTCTTGTTCTGACACGATCTTGAGCATTCCGTCTTATAATCTAAACCAATCGTGCAATTTTGCAAACGGACAATCCATGATTTTGAAATGCTGCAACAGTATGTTTGATGCCATCAAAGTGTCTTGATATGATGAAAATCAGCCGTTAAAATATAAACATTCTGTAGTTTGTCCTTTTTGTCATGTGTAATGTTTGAAATGCTCGCGTGTTCAAAATAAACTTTTTATAATTAGCATGACCAACGATTAAATCTTATACAATATTAAGCAAAAATATCCAGTCTTATTAAAATCTCATTTAATTCACTAATAGCAAATTCAACATCAACATCAATGATTTCGACTCAGGGATCAAACATATCGTCCGATTCAAAGGTGGATGGTATAGCTGTAGTATAGCTAGAGTAGATGTTGGTATTCATCGGAACTCCATCTAAATCTTCATCGTCATCATCAACTGTTGATCCTTCTTTAGCTGATGAATTAAATCCCAAATGTGTTTGTAAATTCATAGGCTCCCCATCAAGATCATCCAGTGACTCTTCAACCGAATCATCATCGGCTTGAGCAGAATTTTGTTCGTTGGTGGATTTAACTGCATGGGCTCCGCCATCATGATGTACAAAATGATCCACGGTTTTGCTTGATAGTACAAAAGATGACACTGTAAAGCCATCTTGACCAAGAGCATCAGTGCTTTTTGATGGGATAGCGGGTGCATTAGCAGGCTTCACATCTGATATAGGTGCAAAGCGTGATTGAACAAACTTGGCTGCAACAGCATCCTCGTTTAAATTGTGTTCAAGTGCATTGTTGCCTTTTGTTTCGCCATCTACAGTTGTAGTTTCAGTAGCAAACCCATCTAGATTAAAATGTTTGGTTGGATCAGAAAATACTTGCCGTAGCTCTTCAGTGATTCCTGGAGTAAATATCATCCACGTCTCCCATGCAGCTAAGACGGTCATGATTGCTTTACGCAATTGCTCTGCCTTTAGTCGCGACTCGATAGATTTCCAAAGTGTACCAAAGTGGGAAAACACCTCTGGCAATCGTTTTTGTAGGTTGGACCTGTATCGCCACGCATTGGGAACGCTAGCACCACTATTGTGTAAAATATCACTCAACAAATACAATCTCCCTAGTTTTGTTGGAAAAATGGGTGTATTGTGCACAAGTAGCGACCGCATAATGATATCTAAAATCTCATCCGAGGCATCCGAGTGTTCAATACAAAACACCATGGAAACCGCAATACGACTTCGTTCAAGAGTGATATGGCGGAGTTGTTGCTCAAAATGAAACTTTTTGGCTCGAGTCAGAGGACCTTTTGGAAACACGGGGCTCGATGATTCTGAATCAGATTCATCAGAATCATCATCAATAGACTCATCAAAATCAAAATCAGGCTGAAAAGAAACACATTGAATGTTTTTAACCAACCATTATCGAAAAATCATACACCAGATAGTGAATACAAAGGATATCTGCACTACATACGGATTCGTCAAGAAACGGAGTCGATGGTGGAACCCACAACGGACCATGCTCAATCATAACAAACGGCTCTGTGCTCCACGAGTCCGTCGAGTCTCCTTGTAAAAGCGACACGAGCTTCCATTTGTAGTAAATATGCTCAGGACTCTAGTTTCCAACATATATTAGTGTGGACCAAATATTACACCAGACAATACCACCCCAGCATACCTTTGTATCTCGCAAAAACATAAACTCGGCGTCGTCTTTTGTTTTTGTCATGAGTTGCATCTCAAAATGAAATCCAAACATCAACACTCGTTCAATAGATCGATGAATTACCATAAGTAAATATGGATCTTTTGGAATAGTCACACGAACATCGTTGGACCGATCTCCGGCAAGTCGTTGTCTTGCTAAACAAGGTTTCCCAAAACATTCGATAATTAACATGGTATAATCAACACAAATATATGCATTCTATTGGACTAACCTGCCTCGGCATTTGCCTTTTGCTTTTTTCTTCGCTCAACCTCATATTCAGGCATAACTGCAGCCAAATAAGCCAGCATCAAATTAGTAAATGTTGTAAAAATGAATGAAATAAAGATAAAAACTTGCCATAGTATGGTTTATCAGGAACAGCAATTGGTTTTCCCCAATCGATATTCATGGTAACACCAAGTAACTGCTTCCCAGTCAACCCTTTGATAGCCGCCGCTGCATCTGCATGCTCCATAAAACATACAAATCCCCACTTTCGATCGCGCAGCAACTCTTCCAGATTCAAGGGCTTCATCACCTTGACACTAGCAATAGGCCCATAAATACCAAATTCAAGACACAAATCTTGCTCAGTTACAGCCTTGGCCATGTTCCCAACAAACACATTGGTCGTCTCCAAAGCCTTGTTTGGGGAGCTATCAACATGACGTGATCGTTTGCTAGTGTCAGCATTATCTTTTTTAAGTTCCTCAAGAAATGCATCCAAATTCCGGCGCTTTGGTGCACGAGCTGTTGCTGTTTTCTCGGTAGCATCTTCAGGATCTGGTGTTTGTAACAAGGCTGACATTCCAGTAGGAGTAGCCAAATGCGCCACGTATGCATTACTGAGCTGTTGCATTTTAGAATCCTTATTTGGTTCCGATATCTTGGATTTATCAGACTTCTTTTTACCATCTGGATCATCAGTAAAAGTCGAGGAACTTTGCACCCAATTCTTTTCAGAAAACGAAGGTTGATCAAACGAGGCAACAAACTCTTCGTATACTTTAGCAGCCTCTTCCTCTTCTCGCTACAAGATTTAAAAATATCAAAATACAAATCAGCACACCGGCAATCCAGTCTTGCTAGATGGCCCGAAACCAGACAATACCTTTTTCTTTGCTACTTCGGCCTCTTTTTGTTTTTGGTATGCCGACTTTTTTTGAATACCAACAGAGAATGTTTCCAGCTTCGCTTTAGAGAGCGTCTGGTGATTATTGAATATGTAAACATGATGTGAAAATAAGCCGTCTTGCTTGCATGCGAACTCACCTTGACTGGGCCAGGATGAGCCTGTTTGCTGCTCCAAGACACACTTGTGTTCTCTGACTGAGTTTTTTCTGCCTGGACTGCATTTCTGGTTCCTGACAAATGCTTTCCTTTGACTGGTAGTTTCTCTCTGCTCCTACTTCTACTCCGAGTATGGTCTGCATTCGATCCACTGCTATGATCCCTGCTCCTGCTTCTAGACCTACTTCCTCTGTTGTATCTGACTCCATCTTTTCGCTGGGTTTGCTCTCGATGGCGATCCAGATCCCTGTCCCGGTTAGTCATTGTCGGTGTTGAAATCTTGGGAAAACTACTTGAATTGGTTTGAAAAACCAACCAAAATCTTGATAAATCAACCTGTCATGTAATCAAACCTCGCTTGCTGATTATACATTCAGATAGTGAGTATTAGTGTATGTGTTTTTGAATTAAAAATACGCTGTTTTTGGTCAGATTGATCATGCCATCACACTAGTATATACCAAAGAGCATTCAGGCATGCAAACAAATGAGATTATATAACTGGAATTACTGGGCAGTGGATTTGTATTTTGTTGAGTTGCAGTCCATTAGACTAGCATGGGAATTGTTTGAGTATAATTACAAAATAAACTTGGCATTATTTAGTCGTAATTCATTGCAAACCATTTCTTGCCCTAATATTTTGACATGGCAGCCACCACATTGATCTCTGCTTTATCCCCATTGTCGGATTCAAAGGTATTTTATCATCTGTACATGTTTCTGATTATCAACATATGCGTATATTGATACTTATGGATGTCATCTTAAGCATGTACTGCACCTTTCTACTTGTCTACTACTACGCATGACTGTATACTTTTTATTTATCATGCTATCCATCATATACTAACGCGTCATACTGTTTAAATAAGCAGTCGATACTCGCATTTCGACCCAAATCTGCTACACAACCACCCAATGATATCTCTATAGACAAGATTCATCTTTCAAATGTAAAAAGCAAATATCAAATGCAAATCTTTTCTATGCGTATCCGACTTGTAGAACTATTCCAAGACTTTGATAAGCTGCGATCTGGATTGATGACAGTCTCTCAATTTCGTAGATGTTTGGCTGCTTCCTTGGATAAAGGTGTCGTGTCGCCTTTATCTAAAGAGGAAATTGACATTTTACAGCAAAGCTACATTGACCCAAAAACTAAAATGGTTCGATGGAGAGAGTTTGTTGATAGTATCGATACAGGTGAGAGCTAATGTTGGCTGATGAACATGTAAAGATTCATTGCTACAATGTATACATCAAATATTTGTAAAATTGTGGCATTTGGTCTATAGCAACATTTAATTTTTAAATGTTTGTTAATCACTAGTATTTGGCGCAAAACAACTTGAATATTGGCCTACATCCACAAATGAAAGCATTGTCAAGCCATTTCGACGACCTCTTAGCCCAAACTCTGAAGCCTCATTAGCAGAAATCATTAGTATACTCAAATCATATGTAAAGCATCACGGATCTGATGTAAAGTCATGGTTCAAAGACTTTGACAAGTATAATAATGGTACGTAAAATAATATTTAATATGATCATTTCAGATTGGCAGCCACCCATTTTTTAAATATATGATGCCAAACCCAGTTGGTTCGACTACTAATGTGTTTAATGTATTATACCCTAAAACAATCAAAAGGATATGTAACCTATAATCAGTTTCGACGTGGCATTCCACAAAATCTACTGAGTATGCAAGAAGAAGATTTGCTGCTTCTTCGCTATGGCGGTGTTGTCAGTGGAACGGTTAATTATTTCAAGATGAACACGGATGTAAACCGTAAAGGTAATTGATGGCACTATGTTGACTGTTTTTGACAAGCAAGCACATTACTAATGTATTGATTCTGCTTCAACAATCCAATCATATAGCTCCTCGTCCTATCGTTGATCAATCACAGCTTGGAGCAAAACTCCAGCCTCGCTCCAATTGGTATAATAAACATATTCCGGTTGGAACAGAAGAGCTTGTTTACGAGTCTAGTTTGCAGCCTCACAATTCCAATCGGCCTCGCATTGACTTGGTAGAGGAGAAAATTAAAAAATGTAAATATCTACTTTTGAATTACTGCACAATATCCAACTATAAAGCATTTTATTCATGCAATGTTGATATTCAATCTTTGATTCTACCACAGTTGTCTACAAAAATTGTATACGTCTTATTGAATTCTTTCGCGACTATGACCACCACAATTGTGGACTGGTGACAAAACAACAGGTGAATCTTGGCCCAGCTTAAGCATCTTTTGTCAGATTATGATTTATGAGATTAATATTTGGATTCAACTGTTATAAATAGTTTCAAGCGGGTGCCAACCTTGCATCACTTCCACTGAATGATGAAGAATATGCTGTAATTTATGCACAATATCAGGACTATACATGTCGGGTAAATTACCGACGCTTCTGCAAGTCCATTGATTCGGGTGGGTCTATACATTCATTTCACTTTAATGGCCAGTCATGTTTATAAATTCTCACTTTCCATTATTGGTGCATGATAGTATTTACAAAAAATCATTTGGAGCGTGATCCTTTATTTGAAGTCAAGCCAGTGTTTCGAGAGTGGCTGATGACGGTAAAAACGGTTTTAAAAATATTAAATTACACTAGTTGATAAAATGGTAATTGACTGTGTTTATGCAGGACTCGACTCAACTTGATCCTGCCGAAAAAGTACGGTGTGCTCAAATCATTGGCAGGTATCAGGAGATTATGAAACAGCGCCGCTTACTTCTTGCTCCATTCTTTAAAGATTTTGACAAAGCAAGTGCAACTAGTTTTAATTTTGGATATAGTCAAAATGTTGGCATGAGTGATGTCTGAATCTATAGAAACCGATTTCTAATACCCTAAAATTCTTTTTAGCATCTTGGCAATATGGGGCGTGTAACACGATCTCATTTTAGTCGAATTCTGTCCACATATAATCTCAGTATTTCAGATGATGATTTGCATATTCTGTTTAAAAAGTATGAAGATCGTGAACAAGGAAAAGTCAAGTACATGGAGTTTATTCGAGACATTGATCCAGAAAGTAAGATGTCTCAGTTTTATCCAACACTAATATTCACTATTTGATAAAATGATACTTTATTTACGTATTATTTTAAATACAATCAGCTTACACTACATATAGCAAAAAAACAAGTCTTGGTGATTCAAAACAAACTAGTCAAGTAGAAGAGTCGTCTGTTTCTTCCAGAGGTTCTCGTTTACGAGAAAATAATGTTGATCATATTCTTACTTGCATTCGTAACCATGTTGGGCAAAAGCGTATTCGTATTTCCGAGTTTTTTAAAGATTTTGATAAACTTCGCAGCTATTCAATTCGTCGAGAAGAGTTTATACGAGGTCTTGGATGCATTGGATTAAATCTGTCTGAATCTGACAGTGAATTGGTTGCAACAAAGTACATGGACCATCGCAAAAAGAATTATTGCAAATGGAAAGAGTTTGAACAGGATATTGATAAAGGTAATTTGATTTGTAATCAATCGATGGATGCAGTATATGTATATAAAATTTCAAGCAATTTTGGCATGTATCAGACTGGCATGCTAATCAGCACTTGATTTATTTCTGGGCATTTATGCTTTTGTTGAATATCAAATTGATCAATAGTGTTTGGGGAAACTCACCTTGAAAGCCGCCCGACTCATAATCCAGAGTCTGTAAATGAGCGCACATCACCATTTGTGCTTGCTAAATATCCGCTTGATTCAGAAGAAATGGAGCTGCTAAAAAAAACCATGAATAACATTTGTGAGCATCTACGCGTTCGTCAGTGCAGCGTCAAGCCATTCTTTCGTGATCTTGACAAGGTAAATTCAATCTGTTTGTACTAGAATCAAACTTGGAAACATCACACCTATGATATCAAGTTTTAAACTATTTTTCCTATATATAAATTTATTTGATTCATATAATATCCTAGGTGTGCACTGGAACAGGGCATGTGACAAAGTCTCAATTCCGTCAATGTCTTACATATATGAACTGTAATGTAACCGATGACGAATTTCAAGTACTTTGCAAACACTGGACAAAATCGAATAGTGGAGTTGAGCAGAGTGAAGTTGGAGCTGAAAAGCATACTAATCAAACAAAATTGGATTTTATTCAAGATGTTGGTCAAAGCATCAACTACGTTTTGTTTCTCGAGGAAATTGAGCGTGGCTTGAGTTCCAAGGATCAGTTAGATTTTGGAGAATCAAGATTAGCTGAACATAGTACAAAAGATGTTCAAAAACCGGCTTTATTAAAAGCGGGATTTAAAGCAAAGCCCCCAATCGATCCAGTGGTTGACGAGGCAGAGTTTGAAAAGCTCATGATGCGTATCAAGATAAAGGTAAGCAATTGAAAGCAAGCGGATTCTTTTGCTGAATTTGTCTATGCCAAGTTTTAATTGATGGCATCTTTGATGTGACATTACAGGCCAAGACGGAGCGTATTCGTGTGATTGATTTTATGGCAGACTTTGACCATTTAAAGCATGGAAAGATTACACGAAACGAGTTTAGACGCGCCATCAAAGTGCTGTATGCAGATTTAACAGAGGTAATATGCTTGCACAGGGTCGGCCATTCTTTATATAAAACAGTAACACTATCGGGTGTATGATTTAAACACTGACATTCACAATATGATGAATATTAGGCGGACTTACAAGCTCTTGAAACCCAATTCAAGCTTCCCCAAGATCCTAAATATGTCAACTATATCATGTTTTCTAATGCTATTGAATCGGTATTTACCAAAAAAGGGTTAGAAAAAAATCCAACCGAAAAAGTTGACATTTTCAATGTCTATTCAAATGGCTGGGAAGCTGATCCTTCTGTAAATGTGCTGTCTCCAGAAGATAATGTGATTTTACAGTCGGTGCTTGATCGACTAGCTAAAAAAGTTAACGAGAGACGAATTGATGCCTTGAGTTATATGGAGGATTATGATTTTGTCAAAGAAGGTGCGTTGTGTACTACTATATGGCTGCTTTCGAACAAGAATTGCGCTGAAATTTTGTTTTGCTTTCTATTTAATATATATTTGTATTATATAATAGGCACCATCACTACCAATCAATTTCGATCCGTACTCAATAGTTTTAATCTTGGAGTGACAGATAAAGAAATGAATGTGCTCACGCAGTTTTTGGCAACCAACAAAACCATGACAAGACTCAACTATCGTAAACTAGCACGATCATGATTATCATGTAACGTGGTATTAGAAGGATGACTGAGTAAATGGCAAGACAGTGGTCGATGAGCTGAACTTGTGGTAATTGTACCAAAAAAAGTTGATGGATAGCGACAATCAAAGTGAGGATAAAAAGGATAAATGAAAAGTTATCAACAATCATTTCCCCAATGTATATCATGTTTTTGAAACGATATTTACGTAAAGTTCATTCAACCACACTTTCGGGGGTTGCTTTCTTGGTGACGTTTACACATATCGATAGATTATTGAGTTGAATGATAGGATCATATACCACGGCGACAATCCGACTTGTTGACACGGTCAGTTTGCCGATCCTTTCGATTGAATATAGGACAACATCACTCATTCAGTCTTGTTCTGACGCGATCTTTGGCGCTCCATCTTTAGCCTACGCTAGCCTAGACCAATCGTGCAGTTTTACAAACCAAAAACTCTTGTTTTCAAAATGCTACAACAGCTGCTTGCTTGATGCTGTCCGAGTGTTTCAAACATGATGAAAGTGGCATGTCGAGATATAATAATAAAAATCCATACATTCTCATTCAGATTGTCGTTATCTGCAATGTGAACATAGATTGAACTAGCAAGTCCAACATAAAGAGTTGTGCTGGCCAAGTCTGGAATTATTCTGTAAAGTCTTTAATTTTGATTCAAGCCTTTTCTCCAATAATATAATACTTCGACCTCTGCTCAACCTGCCATTTCTGTATATAAACTAGTCCACTGGTCTTGGTTTATCCCATTGCTTATCACATTTTCTGGGTAATAAGTATATTGAATATCCAGGATAACCAAGTCTATTTCTAGTGAACATACCATTGATTACAGCCAGACACATGAGTAACTCGAAAAAGACGCCAGTTATTCCTTTAAACAAGCCGGATCTATGCATTACAGGACAGGTGCCGAGTAACCATAGTGCTCCTATTCTGAATGTGCAAACACAGGACTTTATCTCAAGCCATACTGGTTCTGAGCATGGTATTTCTGGCAGCCATGACTGTGTTGCATCTCTGGACGCCTTACCTAGGAACTCGCCTCTAGTTGGTCTTATCCGCTCTAGATCTGAAAGTGGAGTTAGTTCAACCAGAAAATGGCCGCATCCTCATGGCCCAAGACTTCTTGGAAAAGAGTATGTTCGTGGCAGTGGTAGCTTCTTGCGTCGGACAAGCAGCTTTGGTGGTGGTCCACCTGTTGTACGAACAAGACGGCCAGTGCCTGTAGCATCATTACCACTCATAGCTAATGTAGCATCAGCCCATGACACTGGGTACTTGCGGTGGATCATTCTATTCCTATCTTGCTTTCTACTTTTTGGAAACTTTTATGGTACGATTTTATGCCATTCATTGCCAAGTGTAGTGTTGAGTCTACAAGTTTAATAGTCTTGCTATGGCGTGTTAAACTGGCTACCAAACAACTGTCAAATTTATTGACTTGTTTTGTATATTCTGGAAATGTATCGGTAATAGCATATGACAATCCAGCCGCCTTGAATCGACTTTTGCAACAATTTCTTGGACACGATTACGATACTTGGCAGTATGAGCTCAATCTTTTGTACTCTGTCTATTCATTTCCCAACATGTTTCTTCCCTTTATTGGTGGTCAACTAGCCGATCGCTTTGATCCAAGAGTTGTTCTACTGGTCTTTTCTACAACTGTATGCGTTGGACAAACACTCTTTTCAATTGGCGTATCGACAAAATGTTTTGCGCTGATGGTATTCGGCAGGGTATTATTTGGTATTGGCGGTGAAAGCATCAGTGTGATTCAATCAACTATTACTACAAGCTATTTCAAGTGAGTTTACTCGTTTGAAAACGTGGTATTGCTTATTCGTGTAAATACACCTCGTGCTAATAATACTTTGGTCAAAATATATTGTTGATTTGTAGGAATAAAGAGCTGGCTATTGCACTGGGATTGAGTAAGTTGGTTTCTGCTTAAAAACATTAGAATTGATGTCATCCTTTCAAACTGTGATCTGATTTTATTTTTATTTTAGATTTGTGCATCTCCAGACTTGGTTCAGTAGTCAACTCGATTCTTTCGCCACGGATTGCATTGGCTACTGACGCAAGCGTTGCTGTTTGGATTGGAAGCGGCACATGCTATGTTTCACTACTTTGTGCAATAATTCTTTCAACTATGATTAGTGGTCATCCGACTCTAGCGAATATTCCTACCAATTCCTTGGATGAAACACTTTGCACCTTGGATGAACGCGCTCCATTGCTGGCTTGCGTTTCCACTCAAGAGGAGCCTGCTATTGAAAATACCGTTGATAGATATCATGCTGACTGTCATCTGGCAAGCTCAGATGCAACACTAAGTGGTCAACTACCTTTTCAACCTGAGCCTACCAAATCATTCATGCAGTTTAATTTAAAAGGCTTAAACCAGCTACCGCTGTCTTTTTGGATTCTCTGTATCATTTGCATTCTTCTTTATGGGACAGTTATCCCATTCAACAATATCGCATCTGATTTTTTCATGTCAAAATGGTATCCAAATGATCCCGAAAAGGCAGGCATTGTAATGAGGTAGGAGCTAAGACTAAAAACAACAAGACTATGCTTTGTATTATAATTGTCCGAATGTAATCAATCATGCAAACCTTTAACATGCATTTTACATTTGTGGTTGTATTTCACAATACTATTGATACTTTCAGTATTCCAGATTCCATGTCTGCCATATTAGTACCGATTTTAGGTTATTTTGTGGACCGATACGGAGGCAGAGTAATGATGTTGATGAGTTGCGCAGTGGTCATTGTTGGAGTTCACCTTACTCTTGGATTAAGCATGATCAATCCCATCTATCCAATGGTTTTTCTTGGATGTAGTTATTCGTTATATGGCGTTGCAATTTGGCCATCTGTCGCGACTGTGATTCAACATGAGGAGTGTAAACTGAAAGATCAAAATCCAGATGCTGAACCACCAAGACTACTAGGTGCTGCATTTGGTTTATCTACGTCTGCACTGAATGCTGCACTGACACTAGTTCCGCTTATTGCTGCCCAAATCCGTGTACAAGGTGGATCTTACTTGCCAGTGGAGATTTTTTTTGCTTCACTTGCTGCCATAGGAGTAATTTTTTGCCTAGTCCTGTATGTCGTGGACTCTAAAAACGATCGTGTTCTTCAACTTCCCGAGATGATGGCTAGTTCTACAAGTTTCGACTCTGAAATAGTTTATAATACAGTTTCTAGATGTGATAGCGATTGTAGCCAGAACTTGACTGAAGAAGATGCGCCATTTTCGGGATTTTCATATCAAGAGTGCTCCTCATCACAAGCATCTTTAGATTCAGCTGGACACTCTTACAATGCAACTCGAAGTGTTTTAAACAAATCTGCATGCGCCATTGATTCGATTTGTGTGTATCCATCTGATAAACACATCTTGCTAGATGTTGAGTCACAGTCTCAAGACAAGAGTAGTACAGTAGAGTCTGTACAGCTGCCGCCCCATTGCTCGTTTACTTCCTTGGGTGTCTCTTTATCACCAACTCCAGCAGTTTCTATACAGCCTTTGCTGGATACCGGGTCTTCAGAAATCATTACAGAGAAAAGTCCTAGTATATCAGTATGTCAATCTGATACTACATCAACCAGTGAATATCGCGAATCTTCCTCGTGGGCCATTGCACATACCAATAGGATATTGGCACCTAAACCATTGCTTGATGCATTATCTGTTTCAAATGACGAGTTGCTGTTGGACATTTCTTTACACCAGAAAACCAACTTGTCCCACACTCAAGATTCCTATAAACCATATTCAACTGAGCTTCAAGTTCATTCACATGCTGCTACAACCGAAGCAATGGCTCCCAGTCGAGTGGAAACTTGCTCCGTGAGTTCTATTTATCAATTTCCATGGGATAGTCAACAGTTTTTGATGAGCGCATCTCATACTTCTATTTCCGAGATTGATGCTCATCAGTCACCACGGCAGGCTTCGGTGCTGCTCCCAACAAATCAGACGGCAACTTTTTTAGCACCACTTCCACGCTCTCTATCGCAACTGGCTACTATTATTCCATCTGACAGCAGCCAAAGTTTTATAGGTGCATTCTTTATGAATTCCAACCTCGCGGTACCATTGCATAGGAAAGATCTGACAAATGACGAGTTTGTGTCGCTCAGTGGTACCAATTTGCGTGCATCTACGACATCTATTGGTTCTATGTTTCCAGTTCCATCGCCTTTTGCAGTACGACATCAGCCTTTTCAAGCACCATCGAATACTGCTATATCCGATATAGGGCTCGTACAAGGTTTTAAATCTAGTTCTTTGGCTCGTGTAAATGGAGATGGCAGCGATGAGCATACAGGGTCTGATGGTGCATCGGAGCAGTCAGATTTATCTATCGAGTAAACAATGCTCAATGTTGGACTTGAACAAGCATAATATTGGAAAATGCCGGGTCAGTTTAATATAATATTATATCTAGTTTTATTCATATAGTCTCCATGTATTTGTGACTGGCTAGATTCAATGGTTTTCTACCAGCACCGTGTGTTAGGATCACTAGCGTGCTCGTGTAAAATGAACCACTAAATAAGAGCATAATAAACAGTCAGTTTCATGAAATGATGGATGCCAGTTTACTGAGCAATCTTGTGTTTTTGGAACTCTTTGATTGGCTGATTTTCTTTTCATGATTGGCAGGAAACATTAGTTGCATTCCTGATATTGCGATAGTTGCTTTCTTGAACTAGATTGCAAACATATTTGTGATTTACAATACAAGTGCTTTATTTCATATGAATATGGCAATAAATGTATGCCTTTATTTCAAACTACTAATGGATATGCTGGTATATGATGCTTGACAGGCTAGGGTTTAGATCTACTTTTGCAGCCCAACAAATAACATCAATTCACTAAACCGTGTCAATACGTGGTATTAGCAATGCCATTTATACAACATATGCTTTGCAGAAGCAGCCAAACAAATCCGGCCACACAAAAGTATGGCGAATGAAATTTATGCAAAGCTACACGCTGTAATTTTTCCAGCTCTCCTAATTCATCATGGCCGAAAAAGATCTACATATGGTAACAGGAGATGGAATGGAAGAGATAAATGAAAAGTTGTCAGCAACTATTGCCCCAGTGTATATCATGTGTTTGGGGCGGTACTTGCATAAAATTCATTCGACCTGCTTTCGTGTGGTTGGGGTTGTTTTACAAACAGTGTAATGTTCGTCTGCTGATTTAAATGGCAGGATCACCCATTGTTCGTGTTTCCTGTGCCATGGCGATAGGCTGGCTTTTATTGACACAGCCAGTTTGTTAAACGACATGCATTATCATATGAAGCTCTTTCCAATTAAATATAGGGCAACATCCCTCATTTGGTTTAGCGGCAATTGCTTGTTGGGCTTGGCGCCGTCTTGCGCGGAAATTTCGGTGTTCCGTTCCACCTGGTTGTATGCCAACCTGAAACAATTGTACGGTTTTCGAGAATTCACGTTTTTGAAATGCTGTAACAATATGATGGATGCTATCAGAATGTCTTGAGAATGGCAAAGCTGGTTTGTTGGAATATAAATATTTTCGTTCTGTTTTCGCTCTTTTTCTCTTTTGCTCAGTTGGTTGTGCTCAAGATGCATTATGGCTACTACAACATGATACACTATTGAGGGTAGATCAAAAGTCATTGCACATGATTACAGGAGAAATATAAAGCCGAAACTTGAGTTTCTAATGTCTTGGTAATAGTATAAACAAGTCCAAGTGGCGGCATCAAGTCTCGATAATTTTATTTCGAAGCTGATATCAAAGGCGGTACTGTATTTGCATGCTACATCACCCAGTCTATCAACAATTACAAATTTGTAATGGTGCGCATCAGTTTTTTCATTGTAATGCTTTGTGTATCAAACATTGAATGACTGGGAGTACAGCCGAGGAAAAGTGCACTAAATAACAAGCTACTGAAAGCTTTTCGGCTGAATAGATTACAATTTAGGGTTTTTGAAAACTTTGGGTGCAACCAAGCCTTTGACAAAACATCCATATATGTTGGTAATGGTGTGCTCGAAATAAGCAAACGATCCTCCCTAAACCAACCCAAGACCACTATGCCGTTTTGAATTTGTAGGTTGGCACTGGTTTCAATCTAATGTGCTGAGTTGATTTTGCCCAAGTGAATCCCAATGGTTTAGTTTACAAATAAATCATGATTTGATTTAGAGAATAAGCGATGACAAGCCTTATTTGGTCAAACTGCACTCCATGCAGCTTTTTATTGATGGTGATAGTGACAAATAATCGATATGTTATTTTAAATATAAACCGTATTTTCAAATGAACAAAGTACAATTTATCCGCGTTGGCGTCAGCATGTTAGATTTTTCTCTGCTATAATATTCTTGTCGCTAGCTGTGACCACCAGGACCCAAGTCCGGTTTAGAAAGTATTTCTGCATACGCATTTGAACCATAGCTTATCAGTCTGTTTGAAGTGGCCGTTTTGAAAAGCAGTGTTTCTTGACACCTGGCACCGCTGCAACTGACATTGACCAAGCGGTTCTTTAAACTTGACTGTTGGCATTCAATGCAAAGCAGCAGCACGCTTTGTAAGTCGGGTAATTTTTTTTCCGCAAAAACACTTTGAAGCAACTCCGGACCGGCACAACCAACATTTGCCAACCCAAAATCCCTCTTTTCAGTGTCATAGACCGGTTATTACTCATTTATTAGCCGACAGACTTGCTAGATAAAAAGTACAAGATCAAGGTTTGTGGTCCTTTTTTGATTAAATTTTGATTTTTGCTGTTTATTAACCATATGCATAGATAGCGTTATTTTGATATCAATCTATTCCCAACTAGCGTCTATCATACTACTGGTAAGTCATGATCAAACTTGAACAAAAGCCTTGACTTGTACTTGAACTTTAGTCGGCTTGAAAACCTTGGTCCGCACTTTAACCAGACACGCATTCCTGCAGTAAATGAGCTTGAACAGCCTATCTACTGCAGGTCTCATTTAAATCATACGTCTATTGTCTACACTGCACTACCTTGCCTATAAAACAATGTGGTTTAGAGTGTCGACTGTTTTTCCAAACGCCATCATTTGATGTACTTGTCCTGTTATATTTTATGCAGCATTCGCTCATAAACTGTATCCCAGATTCATCCTGTCAAACCCAACTCTTTCTAATACAACCTTGAACCTCCTGCACCCGTCTTGATTGATTTCTGTTTTAGAACTACCTCTAGCGGGATTTTTACAGCGGTTTTTTTCACAAACAGCACTCGATTCTATTCGACCCCCACAAACAGTTGAACTTTCCAAACTCCATTCAATGGAGGTAAGCCTCCTATCTGCTAAACAGCCCATTATTTCATGGCTTGATGAATCTCTGATTTCAAATTAGCTGTAGCGCAAAGGACAATTAGACTGTTGATTTTGGGCATTTATATCTCTGGTCGTATTCATTGTAAACAAGAGTTTGCACTTTTCCAACCACTGCTTAGACTTGTATTTATCCTAAAGATAAACTGGTATTGCTTGGAGATTGCATCTTTCCAATTCACTTGGTCATGTATGGTGTCTGCTCATGACCTCTGTTCTTGCTTTACCAGTTGTCAGTACAGTTCATGTGGTTTGGCATTGAGTCCTGAATGTGCTACCAGTCACATCATGAGAGCAGTTTGGCTTGAATTTTAGATTCAGGATTCAGTCCTGTTACGGCTAGAATAATGCCAGATGTAATTGTGTGGGTGGACTATCTAGGCTGTCTAAGCGCATACATTAGTTGTTTGAATTGCAGTGTGCCTGTTTTTTGACATGTAGCGTTTACCAAACCTCGATGCTAATCTCCTTTACATGCATTGCAAAGTCCGAGATTACACCAATTACTATTATACCATTATCAAACAACTTGACTATGAGTTCTAACAAACTGATGTATTTTTGTTTATATTACAATATTTATTGTTTTAGCAATATAATCACATGAAAAACATTTCAAATGCATCAGAGGCTATACAGCCTTCTCGACAAACATTTACCACCCGCAAGCGTCAGACTCAATCATGCGACAGATGCAAAAGTAAGAAAAGACGGTGCAATGGTGAATATCCTTGCGGAAACTGTGTCAAAGCAAACACTGATTGTACGATGCTCATTGAGCAAAAGAAAAGAGGTCCTAAACGGATATCCGATGATTCCGCGGAGCTTTCCTACTCCGTAGGTAGAGCCAATGCCGAAAAGGCTAGAAACTCTGCACTGGACTACTCGTTATCGGACACAGTTTTATTATCTGGTAATGGCGCGATGGTCACTGCTGCAGGTGTTGATAGTTCATCTTTACAAAACCTGAAATCTACAAAGCGTGCTCGCCATTCCACTGATACAGACTATACATTGCCGATAAGAGCGTTGTCCGGATCATCTGAAAATCGAGAGGATCCTCTGTCACACATGGGACAACATCAGCCATCTCATCTCTATTCACAGCAACAATTTCAACTGCCTTTGCACTCTAACCAAGGATATACTTTACCAACTTCAAACCATCCAAGCTACAGACTTTCAAACCATCAATTTCATGCACTGACAGATAACCAGGTGTCTCGGGACATGAGTGGTGCATCTTTATCTGAAATAGGTGTGCCTAATGGAGCCGAGTAAGTTGAACACGACCAGTTATGTATTGGTTTGAGATTACCATTTGGAAAATAACGTTATACCTTTTTTTCAATTGTAGCTCTATTTCGGCAGCTATTCAGCCAAATCAACTGTCATTTAACCCTGCATCATTGAATTCAATAACCATGCCATCTGGAAATGGATTTCGGTCTCCATTACTCTCGTTGGATTCACATCCAACCGTACCGCCACTTCATAATTCACAATCACAGTTTCAACTATTACAGCTTCGTCAAAATCAACTACAACAACAAGAGTTGCAGAATCGCAACTTGCAAGGTGTGTCCCAATCACAATTATCTCACTTGTCACAATCTAATCTTCACACGCCAGCAAGTGTTTCTCAAGGCATGACCACGCAGCCTGTATTTGATATTCCTGCATCGACAAATCGAAATTTAGAGTCGGTTAGTTTGCTTTCAGGCGATTGTTCTTTCGGATTTTGAGAATCCTGTTGCAATGCGTTTCAAAGACTGGGTTCCTTCTAACCCTTATTGTACATATCTGATAGAACCTTTCACTAGACCCATCCCAGTTGCAATCCATCAGTATTCAAAACATGCTTGGCGGTAATTACCTCAAGTCTAGCACATTCAACTCTCAGGAGTACATTCCGAATAGCAATCCTGATTTCAATAATTCTAGTCAAATTCAGATTGATCCTGAAGTGTTGAATCTTTATGCCCAACTCAATCCAAAAATGTCTGTAGATCTCAATACACTTCTAGTATCGCCTTCAACAGATGGCAGTGTCCCAAGCGCTGATTTATCATTTAACATTGAATCACTACTTTACGGACCTGTGAATCTTACACTCGCCGAATTTCCCAATCTTCCATCCGAATTTTTTCTCCATCTTATATCAATGTTTTTCACCTACTATCATCCTACCTTTCCAATCATTCACGAAACACCTTTTTTTGAAAATCTTATTCCAATCAACAAACACCATCAAATGTTGTAAGTATTTGTGCTTTTGGTGAAATTTTGGATAAACAGCTGTTTATGAATGAATGTCGCTCGCAATACTATACTAATTCCTTGAATTATATTAGACTCAATGCTATATATGCCATTGGATGCCACTACTCGCAAAACTCGTTGTTATATCAGACACCGTTTTATTCTCCCCAGCGTGCTAGTGAGTACTTTATGGATCGTGCCTTTGCTGCAGTCCCTCCTCCAGAAAGCAAGCACTTTACTTCACCTGAATCGCTTGCCATATGCCAAGCAGCCATTTTGCTAACATCATGCGATTACTCTTTGAAGCGGTGTCGTACCTGGACAACGATTGGCATGGGTTGTCGTCTTGCAGAAAAGTATGAGCTGTATTACTCCAAAAGTCTTCCCGATTTTTTTTCGCTTTATAATGGCAGTCGCAAGACTTGTGTGCCAGTTAGTCTGCAGGAACGCAAGCGGGTTTGGTGGGTCACCTTGCTTGCAGACTTGTTTGTATCGCTATCTACCGGAATTCCGCTGCAGCTTGGCGAAGCCGAATATGTGGATACCATGCTAGATACTACAACTCTGATTGACCGTGTTTCGCCAAAATTGGCAAACGGGCAGAGTCCAATAGGTGATTGTAACGACAATGCGACTCAAAAGGTGGCCGATCCTGAAAAATGGAAACCTTTTTTTTCTGGATTTCCAAAAGATACTGTGTTTGGGCCAACCGATTTGACTTCTGATCGCTGGACTAAACAGTCTCTAGGATTTTTCCAAGTCAATCATTTATTTAGCAACCTGGACGAATCGATGCACATTATCCAACTATCATACATTGTTCGACGTATTGTTCGTTCCTTGCACGCTCCTGCATTGCCTAAATCTACAAAGCTAAACGGCCATACTGCACCTGCTCTTCAGAGTTTGTCCAACACAGGCGACGATATGCAGAGTTTACATACTAGTTTGCTTGTTTGGTACGAAGGCCTGCCACTTCATTTTCGACTATTTCATAGCCTTGAAGCCACTACTACTATAGATGTTCAAGGTCTGGCCAAATTCTGCTCCATCAAAGAGGGTCGGCGTGTATGCGGTATGATGGTAATGCTTAATCTTTTGCTTTTCTCGGCATTTGCTTTGCTTCATCAACGAAACGCAGAGTCTACAGCCATTTCATTTGATAACGCAGATGAAACTGACGAGCCTGTAGAAAAATATATTGGTTTACAGCCTGGCCAGCAGCTTTTTTCGATATCTACATCACAAATCAGTCACAAGAAATATCAAAGTCATCAGATTATTGCATTCATGTACAAAGCCCAGTGTCATCTCTTGAAATCTGTATACGGATCTGGGCTGTCCACATCGTCAACCACTACTCCTCCATCTGAAATAGTATGTTCCCCAATGATTGCAACACTCATGATGCCCATTGCCGTGGCTCTTATGTGCCAAAAGGGATATGCTAGACGGCTTGTCTTTCCTCTCACAGGCGTGTCCACGATTGATATGACTACTGAAACCGGAATGTTTTTAAGCGGAATTGATCCGCTGGATGCCGTGATTCTACCCGTTTTGAAAAGCATTTCACAAGTTTGGTCTGCTGCAACTGACCATGCGACTACTTTGCGAACCCTGTCTGAAAAGATTGTCAACCACGTGGCTACTATGCCTAAACACCAAAATGCAGTTTCTTCGGTACATCCTAAAACCGATTCGTGGTTTGAAGTTTTCCAAACAGGCATCTTCACACTCGGTCCCAGCCTCACAAATGAATTGAGTCGCACCAATGAACCAGCAACATCCAGTGCACCTGCAAATCCAAATCACGCTTCATTGAGTATAGCTGCTTCACCCAAAAATACTATGTTTAGACCAACCATGCTTTCTACTGACACACAAAAAAGCCACCAGTACTCACACGCTGCCAACTCTACAAACCAATACTCGAGTATACCAAAGCAACAGTCTGGCCCGCAGCAAGGAATTTTTGGAAGTATCGAATTTTCACAACAGAGGATTGATCCGGTTGTGGTGAGATTGTTGAATCAGTCAAATGCTTCAGCCCAACAGGGCTACGTGAACACACATTCTTCCTTTGTTACCCCTACTGGCCATTCATTTTCCTCTCTCAATATTCCTGGTGCTACCCATGCTGTCAATTACGCAAATATCGGCCAAAAAGAATATACACAAATGCCCATAAGCAACCAATTAATTGAAGACCGGCAAGGTGTTCAAAGATCATGGCATGACTTGAGATCGGAGTTTGAGGATGAGTTTTTATTATGAATAAACTTTAATTTTTAGTATTATTTGAGTTGATTCAGGATTGGAATTGATTACGCTAGCGACAATGGAGAGATTTTTCTGGAAATTGGCATGTATAGTTGCATTCCAGAAATGTGCAATCTTGTTTTCTTGGGCTAGAGTGTGGGATTAAAACAGATGAATTTGACACCATCAGGTCAAATTCAGTATTTGGATTACAATATACCAACCCAAAACTATAGTTTATATTATATGTTTGTGTATTGAATAAATAGTCAATCTTCAATAGGAAATACGGCAAACATTTAGCCATTGATTATTCCAAGCAAGACACAATCATTGCAAGTGTTTCTATTTTACCAATACAAGCCAGTCCTGCTCAAACAACAAACTCACCAACTACTATAAACATTTGATTTCAGTACATGGATATGAAACCGATCCTTAGTTTGAAAGAGGTACTTGGCAACTATGTTCCAGCATTGCTACTTGATGCCATCAGTCTTGATCAACATGGTGCATAAGTTGACTTGAATACTGATCACTGGTGTGATATTGATCCGACTAGTTTCTTACCAGGTCGCAAGTGCTCCAGTTATACAGGGACATTCTTAGAACAACTAAATGCAAGTATCATTGAACATGCTTGGCCATTGACTGCTTACTAAAGTCGGATTACAAGGCGATTATTGGATTGTGATTTCTATATAAATGCCATTCATGTCTCCCACTAGCTTAGTCTAACTTTTATTTATAATCACTGAACCTGACTCCAGATGTGAATGAAGCAGACAAACAATATATTCAGAGATGGGCTAGATCTGATTTTGAGCAGTACCGATCTGAAACCAGTCAGGTATTGTCTTGTCCAATTGAGCCATTCATCCTATGCGCTTGTATATCCGTTTACTTTTAAGCTATATGATGTATTTTAATTTGATCCGTCACAGCTGTTTGTATGCTAATCTTTTGATGATTATACAGGATAGAATCAGACTATTAATGAGCCAAGGAAAAGTTCAATTGCGCACACTAGAAAACAGTGTTACCCTTTCAAAACGAAGATATAACCAGCTTCCAAAAAAACCATTGTGATGTTGAATCAGCAGTTTAATGCAGGTATAACTGAAACTACGAAATTGTTTTTCGAGATTGCTTGGAGGTTGAGCATCAAAGACTTGCCAATACTACCATAAACTGGCACATCAATAAATATTTTAATCTCGAGAGTATTTATTACTCTTGACAATATCTAAGCTGATATATTTGATCATATTCATGTAAAATGAAACAAGATAGGTGAGCGAGTGTTTAAAGCAGTATTTGTATCAGTTTCAATCAATCCCACACCTGTTCAATATGTAACTCTCCTAGAAATCAAACGTTGCGTGACTGGCATGTATAGTTGCATTCCTGAAATGTGCAATCTTGTTTTCTTGGGCTAGATGTGGGATTAGAATACAAGTTCCATTTTGGGTGAATATGGCTGTAAATGGCCAAATATTTCAGACTGCTTGGCCATTTTACCCAAAATGCATTTGGAACCGAAAAATGTCGATGGATTTGGCTTGCACGAATTTTTAATGGATGTTCTTCATACCATAGTAACATCATGGGCAACCAACAGAGCGCATTGGCTGAGCTGGTGGCATCCACAAACTGTATGTTCATCCTGTTTGAATCTAACCCTTCTTACTGTATCTATCAAATGCATATTATTGATATTTCAGCATTATAATCTGTATTTGCTATCCTTTCTCCGACTGGCTAAGGATAAGGTATCTTGGCTATAATCGATTACCAATTGACCTATATTGTCTGACATTGTCCGAGATAATCAGTACATGCCATTCTCCTTTTTGAATGGATGTCTTGCCAAATTCACATTCGAATAGCATCGACCATTGAAAATACCCTTGCTGACCTTTCTATGCATTTTTGTTTTATCCATACCATTGACTTGTGTACCACATGGGACATTTCTGGCTCTATTGTGATTGATTTTCAAGTTTCAGAAGATGAGATCACTCGACTCTATAAGCGCTTTGTAAAACTCGACAAGGATGGGTCTGGATCCTTGGAGCGAGACGAGTTTCTCGCTATTCCTGCCATTGCAAGTAATCCTCTAGCCCAACGACTGCTAGCAGTATTTGATACCAACGGTTCTGGAGATGTGGATTTCAAAGAGTTTCTTACTGGATTGAGTGCATTTTCTGCCAAGGGGAAAAAGGAAGATAAACTCCATTGTAAGTGACTCGACTTTTTGGATCTGCAATGCATGCTGACTAGTATCATTCCAACTTTGAGAGCATGCATTTCTAACATGTTTGTAAAATTGTATGCATTCAGTTGCATTTAAAGTCTATGATATGGACCGAGATGGATTTATTTCCAATGGCGAGCTTTTTCTGGTGCTAAAAATGATGGTTGGAAACAATCTTAAAGATGCTCAGCTTCAGCAAATCGTTGACAAGACAATTATGGAAGCTGACATAGATATGGATGGAAAGGTTTCGTTTGATGAGTTTACAAAGATGGTGGAAAGTACAGACATTGCACGGCAAATGACTTTGGATCCAGAGCGTTTCTAGCATTTTATATATTTCAATCTCTGGGTGCGATTCAAGTAACACTTGCTACCCAGTCATTTTTCATTAGTTTTTTTGGCTTGGCTGCTTTTCTTGCTGATTGACACAACAGAATGTTTGCCGCCGTATTCATATAAAATGAACCACTAAATAAGAGTGCCAAAATACATAATAAACAGTCGGTCTTCAATAGGGAAACAACGAATATTCAGCCATTGTCTATTCCAAAGCAAGATGAATCTAGAGTTTTATTTTGCGTGAATACGATTGTAGATGCATTGCAAAACTCTTGCTGGATTGTAGAAACTAGACCACATTTATTTGACATCGTTCTATCCAAATCCTCACTGGCTGATCTGTTGTGGCCCATGCATTCCTATCAGTCAAAATGCCTTTTTGTATTCAAGATATGTATTGCACGCAGTACATCTTGCTATGTAAACCCACCTCAACCTCTAGTAAGCTGCCCGATTACAAAGGCCTGTCTGATCCCTTTGATGCTGCAGATCCATTCAACCTTGCTTATCAGCAATGTGTTTTGGATGTAGATCTGCAATTGGATATGAGGAAACCGCCAGAGGATACTATTATTTACAGGCGACAAGACCAACATTCGTTGGCTCTTGAATGAGCCCTCGGGAAGTTTCTTGATGGTTGTGTTGGTCTAGTGGGTTGTCTGTCTCTTTCTGCCTTTTGATTGTATTGAATCATTTTGCAAGGTATTTGCTACTGGATACATCAAGCTCACCAGTCAGGGTATGGATCGATCGAGTATTGGTTTCTATGGTTGGCTCTATTTTATTAATAGTCCATGTGGTTTGATGTCGTCTTGTCGAATCTTGCCTACGACTTTAGTAGTTTGCTTGACAGGGCGACAACTACTAGATGGGCTATATTGCGTAGTCCATCTACCTTCAAATGATGATACTGAGGATATGAGAGTTCAAGACGTTTTGCTGTTTAAAGTGATTTGATTGTCGTTGATATATAACTAGAACTGTTTGTCTCGAGTAGTTGCCCCCGTTTTACTTGACAGTAGAATGCTTGTGGCAGATTCTGAACTCAGTTTTAATATTATTGATACGGTTCAATTGATCGGCTTGTAAACTTGTACATTGCAGTCTGATTCTCGATGATTATCAAAACTTGATCTTATCTGATGAGGGATTGCCTGATCAATTTATAATTACGATTTCGTAAGAAACAGTCATCTTGGCATACTGCATTCAACACGGCTGTATTCATATAAAATGAACCACTAAATAAGAGTGACTGCATAATAAACAGTCAGTCCAATAGGAAAACAATAAATATTCAACCATTATTCATTCCAAAGGTGTTTTACGTGAATATGGCTGTAAAATAGATTGAATTCAATCTTGCAAGCAGGCTTTAATAAATATTCAAGCTTGTGACGCACTATGGCCTGGAGAAGAGTAGCAGCAGTACTGATAGCCACTCCAATTGTAGTAGGTGGTGGTGGGTTTCTATATTTACAATACAAAATGAGAAACTATCCAACTTCTGCTCGTAGACATCTTCGCCGAGCTCTGCTTGGTCATCACTATGGAGGATTGGAATATCTCCCTGGTCAAGAGTACGATGCAGGTGTGTTTAGAATATAACTAATTCCTGTATCGACATTCTGGATATGATCATGAGTGCAGATGGAATTGCAAGCCATTCCATTCTCATAGCTATACTATTAATACATCAGCAATTAGGGAAACACTCAATGCCGGACTTTCAATTACCAGTCCAGAAATCACAGGCATATATGAGCATCTAGCAGACTACTACAACAAAGTCGGTGATCTATCCCAGCAAAGAGCGGTTCTGTCCATTCTTTTTAAAATCGTATGCAAGCCTCCATCCGACCAGATTGAATCAGCAAACGAAAAAACAAGACGACTCTCGATTGCAATGAAAGCTGCTCAATGGGCGTCCGAGGCAGCCGAGTCTGCTGCAGATATGAAGGCAGCCAGAATATACTTGGAATGGATTGTTGAAAATTCACTGGATTTAAACTCGACAAGCTCTGACGAGTCTGGATTGCCATTGGATGTTCAGCAAAAGGTTGTATCTGCAGGGAGTCTCAAATTAGCTCCATGGGCTACACCCAGACAGATTGGAATGACATTGGAGCAACTTGGACATATTTACTCGAATCAAAACTTGATCGACTGGGCTGTTCCAGGTAAGACTACCACATATACCATGTTCTAATACCATGCACTGTGGTTTGGCAAGCTACAAGTTCAATCTAGTAATTCGTGTATTATTCTAGTATATCAGCGGGCACTGGAAATGCTTGATCAAGACAAAGAATTATCGCTTTTAGAACGCCAATGCCGATCAGCAATCTTGCACAACAACCTTGCAGAATGCATATCAAAATGGGATAGCAACAAAGAAGCGTTGACACAAGCTTTACAGCTTGCTACCATTTCCATGCAGATTCTTGAAAAAGTGGGGCCATTAGGTACATGTGGAGAATGCGATCCAATTACTTATTTTAACATGGGGGCGATTCTCGATAAGCTTGGACAAAGCCATGAAGCTGTTTCGTATTTCAAACAAGCCTTGGCAAGGTCTCAACATATTGGATTTTCACAGGGTGTAGAAAAGGCTCAACGTGCATTGAATAAACCAACATGATACGTCAAAATGATTTCATATTATTGGAATTGTAGCTGTGATCAATGCATTTGTCCAGTTTTTTGATATTGAAACCTAAAGTGATTAAAGTCCTAATCACTTTGACAAGTTTTTCAAATCCCTACATGTCCAAATAAATCGCCAACAATAGTCGATATAAGGGAAAATTGCTGCAATAAGTTCATTTGCGTTCAGCAAGTTTGCCAGCAAGTTGTGCACGCAAAGCATCTTGCTTTTTGACAGCCTCTAGGTCCTTGATGGATCGAAGATCATTGACAATATCCTTTGTTTTTCCAAAATATATCTGCAAAATGTTATCGCGCATCTTGAACTCCATGTCTTCCACCAAGCGGCCAATGTTGGCAATATGACCGATATATGTGTCAACTGGAAGCTCCTGCTCAGTCTAAAGGTAAAACGCGTTGTTGGGTGAGACACTTGAATCAGAGTGTACATTCAAATAGCTCAATATATAAATAGTGCAAGCTGTATTTACCAATCTGGTAATGCTTCCACTAAGATCAACAGCTGGTGTCTTTTCTGTTTTGGTAGAAATAATTTGCAGCATAACTGTTGATGTGATTCTGTATCTGGCAGCCTTTGCCTTTTCTGTGACTTCCAATACATGGATCGAGTCCCATGACCCAGACTCAGATCTGTCATCGATGGCTGTAAAAGTTTGATCAGTCAACAGTTGGAAAATCATACAAGCCGTATCGATTCTTTATGCCGCATCGTGCATTCCACAAACATCTACTCAACTCTTTTTGATAAGAACTACTCCCGCAAAACCATCCTCCAGATCCCAAAGATATACAGAAGATGCACCTCCACCAAAGTATCTACACAAGTAATACATTATTTTATAGCAGCATGGCATTACAGAAAGCTATGTGTACTTACAAGTCACGATAAGTATCGAATGCATCATTGGCAGCAGTTTCGAGTTTTTGGAGTTTGGCTGATGGTCGAATACCATCAGCATTTGGTGGCTGATACTCATTAGACCAAGGTGACCTGGAATGAAAAACAAAATAGGTTTAATCTAAATAAGCCTGCAAGTAAATTTGAGATTGTTTTTAATCTAATGGCTGAAAGCATGCCAAAGCACAATGACTTTCAAGTAACTTTGTAGGACCTGAGTCGCATATAGACAAAACTATTATAGCAAATTGAACATGACAATAGAACAAGTCCAAACCTATGAGAGTCGCCGTCTCTGTTATAGTCGCACAATAGGAAATCTTTGCCAGTACGAACACATTTTTCAACCTTGAGGGGTTGATCAACCGAAGTCAAGAGATCTTCAGTAAGGTCAGGCACGAGCTGAATGAGTTTGGCCAAGTTCTGAGTGGTTTTTGAAGGAGGTTGACGACGCATCAAGTCTAGAGCACAGTCGAGTTGGTCTGCCTACGGTTGTGTCAGGAGTTAGTCTGGGTGTAACAAGATACGAATGTGCTAGTGAATAGGGATGATTGCCATCATTAAACTGAACGCAGATGACAGAATATTCAGCCCAGTCAAGATGTATGGACTTAATACCAAACTAGTATGCAGTAGCTGCATCCAGACAATAAACTGACCCACCATAGTTCAAAGCTATTAGTAGTCCAGGGGTTTAGATATAAACTGAAAACAAAGCGGAAGGTGGTGCAAGAAAGCTATAAAAACGGCAAGGCGATATGCCAGGGGATAAGATTCTAAAGTCTGCATGCAAGTGATATATTCATGGCTCACTAAAACTCGCAATCAAATCCATTCATTCATTGATGGTCTATTGAATATACGATTACTATTCAGCTGGATATCAACTCTACCATTGCAATGCGACCTGGTTATAGGATTTAAAACTATTTATTTTGGCAGTGGTATCGTGCAGTGAATCACTGTTTCGACACGATCAAAATTACATTTTCAATATACAATTCAACTTTGAATGGCTGGCAGGTGTAAAATAAAATAAACTTATTGGCATGAATTAATGCTACCTTTGTAATTAGGAAACTGTTCAAGTGGGATGACAGTCGATTGGAGCAATGCGAGAATGGCTTTATAAAGTGGTGATGAAAAACAGTTAAAATTTACTACTGTAGTCATTGAAGAGTAGTGCTATTCGACTGGGGGTGCAGTAATGTCTGTTACTGGTGCTGGAAGCCAAAGTACTGCTGGTTCAGTAGGAACAGGTTCTATTGTCGGTGCTGGTTTTGCTTCTGGTGGTTTGATTCCCATGATCTGGTTATACTTTTGACGAACAACCGACGTCACGCCTGTTTGGTTTTCTGTTGTTTTGATGCTATTCCAACACTTGTCTAGCAATATGGTCATTGGAACCACCAAAAGCTCTCGAGTTGATCCGAGTACCTTGCCCAGGAGTCTTATACCCATTGCTATACCAATACAAAACTTTCCTCCCTTTGCACTTGCTTTTTTTGTGTTATTTGATTCATCCGTTGCCACCATTCCAAAAGCGCTAAGCTTTATATCTGTCTCCAAGTCCACTGAAATAGAGGTTTGTATAAGATCATAGGTAAAAACACTTGCTTTCAATGCCAATGCAGGAATTATACCAAGCTGAAGGCGTCCCTCCAAATTAGCACTGGTTGCACTGTTAATGTGGTAGACAGGGGTAAATCCAGTCAATTGTTTTTGTTCTTCAGTTGACGAAAATGCTTTGAAACCGGGAAGTTCAGCAGACATGTTGGTTCTGACGCTCATTTCACCAATAAAAGCAATTTCAGTACGCAGATTCACTTCAAACGATGGGCCGAGTTGGAAAATTCCTGGCATGTAGATAGGAGTCAATGGAATCTCAAAAATAGGGACTTCAGTAGGATCGGTGATGGCTGCAAGTTTAAGATCAAAGTTAAACACTGCGAATGCTTTAAGATGACCTTCCCAGGTGACCGAAAACTTGGGCGCCTGAAACAATTGACCCCATACGCGGAATTTAGCTGAAGAAGATCCCTTAATGCCACATGGCTTGCATCCCATGCCTATAGATCCAGTCGTCATTGGTATTGGTATCGTAATTGACTTGTTGATCATTAGATTGATTCCAAGAGGAATGGACATGGTGTGGTCAATTGGAATACCGCGTTTATTCAACATGTGTCCGTGTTTATTCTTGCGGAATATCAAATCGTCGCGTTCAGGCTTAGGACTCGATTGATCAAAGAAGTTGTAGGGCATACTTGTGGAATTGGAGGTATATGGTGAACTTGATATCATATCGTTGTCAAGTGATCTGGTATATATTTTGGATACTGGTTTGGTATTGGGGTCGTCCAATGTAACACTGGGATGAGCAACGATTTCAAAATCTCCCACCACGCCATTTGATTCTGGATCGACAGTTTCGAATATCAGCGTTTTGGTTCGTTTGTTGATTATCCAAGATTTTGTTAAACGCATGGTAAATTCGGCTTTGTTCTGTTTTCCACAGTTATGATGAGAGCCTATAATCAAAACAGTAGGCTCAACAGTCCATCTTCTTGCTGAATATAGTGATGCTAGAGTGAGAATGACAGTATCATCGCTACAAATAATTGATTGCATGCCAGGAACGTTGTCAAGATTTACAGATGGTACATTAGTAGTGATACGAAGACCAGCCATGATAGTCGAACCTTCGCCAAGAGCTGAGTCTACCCAATGTGCAATGCTTTCACTAGATGGATCGCCATCGTCAAAATATGGTAGCATTCTACCTAGTTTAGGAGTTCTCACTGGTGATTGCCTTCTTGTTGGTTGCTCTTCCGGAGTATTCGTGTCAATAATCCCATCGCCGTCGTCAACAATATTTAACCTGGGGTCTTGGGTTCTCGGCGTATTTCCTCCCGTGCCAAAGACAGTTGAAGCAAATAATGAAAGTGCTAGTGCAAGTAGTAGTTGCATGTTCTAATTTAAGATAGTGTTGTTGAGGAAACCAAAAGAACTTCGAATTGGTACATAAGTTTCTTAAGTTATACTATTTTTCAACTCGACTTTTTTTAATGGAAGGTGGCAACGAGATCGTACACCAAACGGCACCATTGTGGTGTGGCCACTTAGAGCCACTGTTGGTTTTTGCCACGGCAATTACAGCCATATTCACATAAATGGAATATCCAAAATAGGTACCAATACGAGTATCCAATTACATGGTAAACAGCCAGCTCATGGAATAATAATCTACACTAAATTCACCAAAAAAGTATTGTGTTTTCTAAACTCATGCAAATACAAATGTTTTATTGTGTGAATATGGCTGTAATCGGCGCGGCAAAGTCATCCGTCGATGCATGAATAGGTTACAAACATCATCAGTGGTTTACAGTATTTAGCAATCCAAGTCAGACACAGCCAGAGAATCAGTGTAATTCTGTATTTGTTGTATATTCAACACACACGGAGCTTATCCATGTTTGACAAACAAGTTCAAGTCTTGATTTAATTGTCAAGAATATCCAGTACCAAATGAATATTTAAAACCGAGTTGAAACACTAGTTGAATGTATTGAGTTGGACTGCAATAGCAGTGACCATAAAATATACGTCAAGTCAATTCACACAAAGGATTGTAAGATGGACAATACGGAATGAATCTGATCGGATTGATATGAAACTTGCTGTCAAAGACATGAGCAAGAAGAGCAATTGTTGGTTCATTCAACCAGCAAGTTTCAATATCACCGATTTCAGATAAAGAAAGCGAGTTTAGTGACCATTCTGACTGCAGCAAGAATCGAGCCTTGTTTTTGATAATTGATGTTTTGTCACTTTTTCCAACTTGATCTCTAGTTTCTGCTACAGGATTGGAACTGGAGTTATTACTGCTATTATCTGGTTACCATGGCTGAAAAAGCACACAAGGACCAGCAGTATCAAGTATGTTTGATACTCTTTAAAAGACTTGCATGGCCACTGATATGTGTTGGCTCAATCTATGGCATTGAATCACATTGGTTTCTTTTTGGTTTCATGCATTACTAACTTTTGCTATTGTGTACTGGCTTGGTTTTCTGTTTTATTTACATTTACTTTGATCTGCATCGTCTATTAGTATGCAGGTATGTAGTCGATATTCCTACTCAACTTTGATTGGAATTTCTATTGTCCGCCAAAAACTACTGGACAATTATAAATAAATTGTCTGCATTGGTTATTCTATCCAGTCTCAAAGACTCGGCTATATACTGTCATGTTCTATATCTGACTGTCCTGCTGCTTGTTGTTTGATTCTATAACATGACTGATCTGTCCAATACAACCATTCTTGAATCGTTATAGGTATATCCAACTTGGTATTACAGGCTGACAGGTCAAGCACTTCTCGTAGAGATCATGAGCCTACCGGCGAACCTGAAACACTTTGGGGAAAGATTGGCAAAGGTCAGTTTGGAGATCGTGCTGCCAGCACTATTGCTGAAACTAAAATCCGCCTGGATAAAAAACGTAAAATGGATGCTGAAAAAAGCAAATCTGCTGGACAATCTGGCACTAATGGTGAGCGACTGTCAAGAAAGAATCTTATCAGTGAAAAGGACAGGTAGGGTGTAAACATTTGTATTTGTCTTGTTCAAGAGACTTGGTTAATACTGTACTGTTGCAATCTTATTGATGATTGCTTAAACACTATGCTTTCAGTGCACTTCAAGTGTAGTTTTGATGTAAATCTTTTATCCATATCATCTTAATGGACAGTTTTTTAAAACAACAGCATTAATGGCTTGTTATATTTCATATTCTTATCATCATTACGACTAGTCTCGCAAAAGGATATGGCTATACTGGAATTCTTGCCGCTACTGAGGATTTCGATGGACAGACATACCGTCCTTGCACTAAAGAAACTCGCCAAACATTCGAGTTGATCTTGGCCTTTCTTTCAGGATTTCTTGGCGATATTCAGCAAGATGTGCTGCGAAGCGCCGCAGATGCAGTATTGGAAACACTCAAAAATGATCTATTGAAAGACTTTGACAAACTTAAAGAAATTGAAGCGCTTCTGTCTGCTACAATCCCAGAATCCCAGTTTTCTCAGTTGATTAATCTTGGAAAAAAGATCACTGATTATGGCAAAAGTTTTTCAAATGCAGAAGTCAATGACGATAATGCTCGTGAAATGGATATTGATGATGGACATGGTGTTGCTGTTGTTTTTGAAGAAAACGAGGACGAGGACGGTAGTGACGATGAATTTGTTGTCGAAGATGCTAATGCCGATGAAGATGATGCTGGCGATGAGACAGATTTGAATTCTCGTCTCAAGGCAACTGGCACTGTAGATCGTGATGACAATGCATCTGCCAATGGTGACGATTTGGATGATTTTACCACCATTGTGCGTTCAGGAACTACTGCAATGCATGCCAACTCCAGATCAAATGGTGTCAATACATCTGCAACAGCAAAACATACTTCTCAAGAAAAACTTGATCCTCATAAAGTTGATGCGTTTTGGTTACAACGTGCTATTGTTCAGCACTACAGCGATGCACTTACTGCTCAATCTAAAACTGCTGCTGCCATGGAAATTCTGTCATCCGATGCCAATGCCCGTGACATTGAAAATGATTTGATGGGCTTGTTTGACTATGAGAAATTCGATCTAGTTCGTACTCTCACTAGAAATCGTAATGTTATTGTATGGTGCACTCGCCTCGCAAAGGCAGACTTGGCCGAGGAAAAGGAGAATATCAAGCAAGAGATGCGTGATAAGGATCTCGAGTATATTTTGGATGAGTTGAACTCTGCACCTTCTCGCAAGACGGATGTAGGCGGGCTTGTGACTGCTGCTGATAAGCGCAACGAGGATAGGGCTTTTGCTGAAATGAATATAGACGACGATGAGCAAAATGCTAATGGCATGGATGATGTTCAAGTGAATCCCACACCTGCTTCTGCACCTCGTGCTACTGTCGATCTTGAAGCACTTGCGTTTCAGCAGGGTGGCCATTTAATGTCAAACAATCGCTGTAAATTACCGGAAGGATCTTTCAAACGCACAAAAAAAGGGTACGAGGAGGTACATGTTCCAGCACCACTAGCACAGCCAATGGGTCAGGATGAGCAACTGATCAAGATTGCTGATTTGCCAGAGTGGGTCAAACCTGCTTTTGGCACCAATGTATCTCTCAATCGTATCCAGAGTCGGATTTACCCTACCGCTTTTGAAAAGGACGAAAACTTTCTTTTATGTGCACCTACTGGTGCTGGTAAAACAAACTGTGCAATGCTGACTATTTTGCGTGAGATTGGCAAGTATCGTGACAAAACTACTGGCACAATCAGTTTGGACAGTTTCAAAATTGTATACGTTGCTCCAATGAAAGCGCTTGTTGCTGAAATGGTAGGAAACTTTGGCTCACGGCTCAAGAGCTACGGTGTCAATGTTGCCGAACTGACGGGTGATCGCCAACTTACAAAGCAGCAGATATCAGAAACTCAGATTATTGTTACTACACCAGAGAAATGGGATATTATCACTCGCAAAGCCACAGATAGATCGTATACCAATCTTGTGCGTCTCATTATCATTGATGAAATTCATTTGCTTCACGACGAGCGTGGTCCAGTTCTTGAGGCTATTGTTGCACGTACGTTGCGTCAAGTTCAACAGTCGCAAGATCCCGTCCGTTTGGTTGGTTTGAGCGCTACTCTGCCCAATTATGCTGATGTTGCCACATTTTTGCGTGTAGACCCTGCTAGCGGCGTATTTTTCTTTGATAACAGTTTTCGTCCATGTCCGTTGAAACAGCAGTATGTTGGAATCACAGAGAAAAAAGCCATTAAACGTCTTGCACTGATGAATGAGATTGCGTATGAAAAGGTGCTGGAAGCGGCCGAAAAGGATGATCAAGTTCTTATTTTTTGCCACTCACGTAAAGAAACTGCAAAAACTGCCAAGATCATTCGTGACATGGCGATTGCCAATGACACCATTGGCTCCATTTTAAAAGACGATCGTGCCCGGCGAGAGATTTTACAAAGTGAATCAGAAAACTGTGCAAACGAAGACCTAAAGGACGTACTCCCATATGGTTTTGCCATTCATCATGCTGGAATGACCCGTCTTGATCGTTCACTTGTAGAAGATTTGTTTCGTGATAAAAATGTGCGAATTCTGGTTTCTACTGCTACGCTGGCTTGGGGTGTCAATTTACCCGCACATACTGTTATTATCAAGGGCACGCAGGTGTATCGTCCTGACCTTGGCCGCTGGGCAGAACTCAGTCCACAAGACATGTTGCAAATGTTAGGTCGTGCAGGTCGACCTTCTTTTGATACGTTTGGAGAGGGTGTTATTATTACGACTCATACCGAGCTACAATACTATTTGTCTTTGCTTAACCAACAATTACCTATTGAGTCTCAGCTTGTATCAAGACTGCCAGATATTCTCAATGCTGAAATCGTCATGGGTAATGTTCGGAGTCGGCAGGATGCCGTTGACTGGCTTGGATACACATACCTTTATATTCGTATGCTTCGAAATGGAGGGATCTACGGTGTTACCTTGGAAGATGCTGAAAATGATCCATACTTGATTCAAAAACGTATTGATTTAATACACGCTGCGTCCATGATTCTAGACAAGTGTAATCTGATTAAATACGACAAAAAAACTGGTCGGTTCCAAAGCACTGAGCTTGGTCGGATTGCATCCTACTTTTATATTAGCCATTACTCTATGTCGACTTACAACCAACACCTCAAGCCATCCATGAGTTTGGTTGATTTGTTCCGTGTGTTTGCGCTTTCCAACGAGTTTAAGCTTATTCCTGTTCGGGAAGAAGAAAAGCTTGAAGTTGCCAAGATGATTGAACGCGTGCCAGTTCCAGTCAAGGAAAGTCTTGACGAGCCTACTGCCAAAATCAATGTGCTACTACAGTCTTACATTTCCCAACTTCGACTTGATGGATTTGCTTTAATGAGTGATATGGTTTATGTGACACAATCTGCTGGGCGTATTATGCGAGCAATTTTTGAAATATGTCTTCGTCGCGGCTGGGCAGCATTAGCCCGCAAGGCTTTAGATATATGCAAGATGGTCGATAAACGAATCTGGCTTTCTATGAGTCCACTTCGCCAGTTTCGTGGGTTTCCAATCGAGGCAATCAAGCGGCTCGAGCGCAAGGACTTTTCATGGGATCGCTATCATGATTTAACTCCTCAAGAACTTGCTGAGCTTGCTGGTATGCCCAAGGCAGGAAAGAGTATTCACAAGTATGTTCATCAGCTTCCTAAGCTAATCATGCAAGCTCATGTACAGCCCATTACTCGTTCCATGCTCAAGTTTGAACTCACGATAACTCCAGACTTTCAGTTTGACGAAAAAACACATGGTGCAGCCGAGTCCTTTTGGATTTTGGTTGAGGATGTCGACGCTGAGCAAATTTTATATCATGATGTATTTGTGCTCAAGCAGCGATATTCTGAGGAAGATCACATTGTTTCATTTACTGTCCCCTTGTTTGAGCCGCTCCCTCCCAACTATTTTGTGAGCATCATCAGTGATAGATGGTTGCACCATGAGACTCGCCTTCCCGTTTCCTTTAAGCATTTGATTCTTCCAGAAAAAAACCCATTACACACCGAGCTAATGGATCTTCAGCCACTTCCTGTATCGGCATTAAAAAACAAAGCATATGAAGCCATCTATGCAAACATTGACACATTCAACCCCACTCAGACACAGGTTTTCAACTCTTTATATCAATCTGACGACAATGTTTTCGTCGGTGCTCCTGCAGGTTCTGGAAAAACGGTATGTGCTGAATTTGCACTTTTGCGCTTATGGGCAAAGAGTCCCAAAGCGCGATGTATCTATATTGGGTCTTTTGAAGAAGTCATTGATAACAAGCTTGCAGAGTGGCGAACCAAGTTTAGCGGACTGCTGAATGGCAAAAACATTGTTTCGTTGACAGGAGAAACTGCAGCAGATCTTAAACTTCTTGAAACTGGAGATGTCATTTTTTCTACACCACAAAAGTGGGATATGCTATCACGACGATGGAAACAACGTAAAAATGTTCAAACTGTTGGACTATTTATTGTTGATGATATTCATCTCATTGGTAGTGATATTGGCCCAGCTATCGAGGTGATTGTTTCACGTATGCGGTATGTAAGTGTTCAAACAGAAAACAAAATTCGAATTGTTGCTCTGGGAGCCTCGCTTTCCAATGCGTTGGATTTAGGAGAGTGGATGGGTGCTTCTGCACATACAATTTTCAACTTTCATCCGTCCGTGCGACCTGTACCACTTGAAATACACATTCAAGGGTACAACATTCCGCATTTTCCATCCTTGATGCTGGCTATGACTAAGCCAACATACCTTGCCATTTCATCTCTAGCAGAAACCAAGCCAGCAATTATATTTGTGCCCAGTCGTAAGCAAAGTCGCATGACTGCTGTAGAGCTATTGACGCTTTGTCTTGCAGATGGCGATCGGAAGAAATTTTTGCATTGTTCAGATGAGGATATCCAACCTTATTTGCAACGCATAAACGATCCAGCGCTTGTTCAAACGATCGAGTATGGTGTTGCATTTTACCATGAGGCACTTGGAAAAAGCGACAAGGCAATTGTAGAATCACTGTTTGATCTTGGTGCCATTCAAGTTGTTGTTGCTAGCCGTGACACCTGCTGGAGTTTGCGTTTACAAAGTCGCCTTGTAGTCATTATGGGCACTCAATACTTTGAGGGAAAAGAACATCGATATGTTGATTATCCCATCACGGACGTGCTTCAAATGATGGGCCGAGCATCGCGACCTCTTGCTGACGAGGTTGGGTTATGCGTTCTCATGTGTCAGAATGTCAAGAAGGAGTTTTACAAAAAGTTTTTGCATGAAGCACTTCCAGTCGAGTCTCATTTAGATTATTTTTTGCATGACCATTTCAATGCTGAGATTGTGACTAAAACTATCGAAAGCAAGCAAGATGCTGTTGATTATCTCACTTGGACTTTTCTCTATCGCCGCATGGCACTTAATCCCAACTACTATAATTTGCAAGGCACCACACATCGGCACTTGTCCGATCATCTTTCCGAGCTTGTTGAAAGCACCTTGGAAGAGCTTGCAAACTCCAAGTGCATCACAGTCGATGATGATGAAGTGGCTCCACTTAATCTTGGCATGATTGCTGCCTATTATTATATCAATTATGTCACTATTGAAGCATTTTCATTATCACTCAAACCAAAAACTAAGCTGCGTGGCATTCTTGAAATTGTTTCTGCATCTGCAGAGTTTGAGAATGTTCCTATTCGCCATCATGAGGATTCTATTTTAAAGCGTATCTACGACCGCTTGCCAGTCAAGGCAGAAACACCTAATTTTTTGGATCCTCACTTCAAAACCAATATTTTGCTTCAAGCTCATTTTTCGCGCTTGCAGTTGCCTCCTGATCTCGAATCTGATCAAAAGTTTATTCTTGAGCGTATTGTGCGTTTGATCCAAGCATGTATTGATGTAATTTCTTCAAACGGATGGCTTACTCCAGCTTTATCGGCTATGGAGCTTTCACAAATGTCGATTCAGGCGCTGTGGGAGCGTGACTCGCCTCTTCAACAGATTCCCCACGTTGATGCTGCAGCATTGAAGCGACTGGCTGCCGCCAGTGTTGAGCAAGTATTTGATGTTATGGAGATGGAAGATGAAGACCGCAACACTGCCCTACAAGTTACAAATCGCCAAATGGGCGACATTGCTCGCTTTGTCAACCGGTACCCTAATATAGATGTTCAGTTTCAAGTTGATGCATCCAAGGCATCTCAAGGTGATTCTGTTTCTGTTCGCGTTATTCTTGAGCGTGAAACTGATGAGGATGATGACGAAGGTGCGGGTGATGTTGGACCTGTGATTGCACCATTTTATCCACAAAAGAAGGATGAAGGGTGGTGGGTTGTTGTTGGCGATGCCACCGATCGTACCCTGTTGGCTATCAAACGGACCACTTTGCAAAAACGAGCACAGGTCAAGTTGGACTTTACTGTACCAGAAACGGCATTAGGAAACATGACGCTCAAGATTTATGTCATGTGTGATGCCTACATGGGTGTGGATCAAGAGTTTGATTTTAGTTTGGATGTTACAGAAGCCGAAGATGAGGAAGAGAAAGAAAATAGTAGTGGTGATGATAAGATGGAAGAGTGATTTTTGTCGATGAATGTTGCTTTTAGTCATTTCAATGAGTGTTTATGTTTTGGCCAATGAATTGATGACTTTTTTAGTCCAGCTTGTTTTACAGCTGTATTCACGTAAAATGGAGCATTTGTATTATCTTGCAACGATGATTTCTACTTGCTTTGGAATAAACAGTGACTACATATTAATGGTGCTTTCCTACTAGAAATTGGCATTTTGAATTCAATCAATACATCACTACCATATGATACTCGTAAGCTATCATTTTGAACTGGAGTTGTTTTTGATATAATTATACGCTGCATTCACCTGATTCATGTATTACAATCCAGTAGTGGGGTATGTTGTTGGTCAAATGCATCGGTTGTATTTTAAAATATCAGATACGCTTGCCATCTAGTTCAAGAAAACAACGATTGCATGTCGCAGGAATGCAACGGTTGTTCTCATGTTAATTATCAGAGCAATTACAGTAAACTAAAAAGTTCAGGGAAATGTTGTCCAGTAGATTGACAACAAGGTTGTAACATGGACATGTATGGACTCGCGCAGGTTTAATTGTGGGAATAAATGCTCAATCTATTGCGATATTGCAAGTTATTCGGTTGACAGGAAATACACATCACAAGTTAATAAACTTGACTACTCTGATTGAATCCAAGTCGCTTACTATCAAAATACTATGTTTTATAGTATTTGTCAGCGATTAAAATACTACATTGAATCCCCAAAAAAAATCAAAACTCGAATCATCATTTTCTACCCATCTTCACTTTGATATTATCATGCGACACTCGGCTACGACAAGAGCGTTCCAATATCTAGGCAGACAAAGCCGACAATCTTCGTCGAGCTATAGACTAAACATTTGTACGCCAGTATCACCCAGACATATCCATTCTTCAATGACATTAGATGCCACAGCTTTTCGCCCGAGTATGACATATCTATCCACATCGACCGCATTTGTATCAAACTGTTTACCTCGATCTACATTTGCAGAACTTGCTAATATAACCAAAGGCTCTTTTCCATTGATTGTTGATCAGCCCGTATACAATCATTCGCTGCAACAGCTGTTGAGTCATCAAGTGAGTTTTGATTCAACTTGAGCAGCATGATATGACTCAAGACATGATACTGTATGTTTAAAATCTAACCTTGTTTACATTGATTTACTTTGCATAATCCATGATGATGTGTGGCTAGGCACAATTGGACGTCGTAGATCTAGCGACTTTGCTAAGTGGACCTTCAAGAGGTGAAGCTATCCGGATCATGTTTGGCTGCTCAGTCAATGATGATATCTAGCAGGCATATTTATATCTTAAATGCCAAGTGTCATATCACTAAACGAATCGGTTAAGCATTCACTTTAGATCATCCTCCCGTATTTTACAGCTGTATTCACGTAAAATGGAGCATTTGTATTATCTTGCAACGATGATTTCTACTTGCTTTGGAATAAACAGTGACTACATATTAATTGTGCTTTCCTACTAGAAATTGGCATTTTGAATTCAATCAATACATCACTACCATATGATACTCGTAAGCTATCATTTTGAACTGGAGTTGTTTTTGATATAATTATACGCTGCATTCACCTGATTCATGTATTACAATCCAGTAGTGGGGTATGTTGTTGGTCAAATGCATCGGTTGTATTTTAAAATATCAGATACGCTTGCCATCTAGTTCAAGAAAACAACGATTGCATGTCGCAGGAATGCAACAGTTGTTCTCATGTTAATTATCAGAGCAATTACAGTAAACTAAAAAGTTCAGGGAAATGTTGTCCAGTAGATTGACAACCATAATGCCATGAAACTGGCTGCTTACTACACTGACGCTCCTATGGTGTTACATTTTGTGTGAATAGGGTTGTAAGAGCGCAAAATCAATTGTGGTTTGAAATCTTGAACAAATTTTGATAAACTAAATATTTATTGAAAGTATTGCAAAAACATTTAAACATCATCAAAGATATACGGAAAAATAAGATGCTTATTTATCTTGATAGAATTTTTTGGAATCAGATCAGCCAAAACAATTTTATCATATTTACTAGTGGACCAACGTGCTTAGGAGATGATCTAGTTCTTTGTGGTAGATGATGATTTCTCAGTAGTGGTTGTAGTAGTGGTAGATGATGATTTCTCAGTAGTGGTTGTAGTAGTGGTGGTGGATGGTTTCACAGTAGTAGTTGTAGTAGTGGTGGTGGATGGTTTCACGGTGGTTGTTGTAGTGGTGGATGGTTTCACGGTGGTTGTAGTAGTGGTAGATGATGATTTCTCAGTAGTGGTTGTAGTAGTGGTGGTGGATGGTTTCTCAGTAGTAGTTGTAGTAGTGGTGGTGGATGGTTTCACGGTGGTTGTTGTAGTGGTGGATGGTTTCTCAGTAGTAGTGGTTTTAGTGGTGGTGGATGGGCTTTCGGTAATGGCTGCTGTAACAGTAGCAGTAGATGAAACAGCCAAAGTTTGGGTCAAGCTACTTGGACGCGTCTCACTACTAGCGATTGTACTGCTGGATCCGGATACCGACACAGATGAAGTAGCGGTTGCTAAAGGAGTTTGCGAAGTCACAAACACAGAAGAAGTTCCGCTAACCATTGTGATCGTATAGGTAAATATTTCCTCAGTACAGGTCACTTCACTTGGGTCAGTAATAGTTGCGGTAAAAGACTTTACTTCAGTAGTGGTTGTTGTAGTGGTGGCGGATGGTTTAACAGTAGTGGTTGTTGTAGTGATGGCGGATGGTTTCTTGGTAGTGGTTACCGGTTTTCTCTTGACAACGGTTGCTGATCTTTTCCTGGAAACGATTACCGGTTTTTTCTTGATGGTGGTGGATGGTTTCTTAGTAGTGGTTGTTGTAGTGGTGGTGGATGGGCTTTCGGTAATGGTTGCTGTAACAGTAGCAGTAGATGAAACAGCCAAAGTTTGGGTCAAGCTACTTGGACGCGTCTCACTACTAGCGATTGTACTGCTGGATCCGGATACCGACACAGATGAAGTAGCGGTTGCTAAAGGAGTTTGCGAAGTCACAAACACAGAAGATGTTCCGCTAACCATTGTGATCGTATAGGTAAATATTTCCTCAGTACAGGTCACTTCACTTGGGTCTGTAATAGTTGCGGTAGGGGTAGAAACTTGTGGAGCTGGAATACTAGGAACCGGTTTGGGTGGTGGTTGAGGATATTCCATTGGTTTCTGAGGTACTTGTGTAACTGGAACACTAGGAACCGGCTTGGGTGGTGGTTGAGGATATTCCATTGGTTTCTGAGGTACTTGAGGTACTTGTGTAACTGGAACACTAGGAACCGGTTTGGGTGGTGGTTGGGGATATTCCATTGGTTTCTGAGGTACTTGTGGTACTTGAGGTACTTGTGTAACTGGAACACTAGGAACCGGTTTGGGTGGTGGTTGAGGATATTCCATTGGTTTCTGAGGTACTTGTGGTACTTGAGGTACTTGTGTAACTGGAACACTAGGAACCGGTTTGGGTGGTGGTTGAGGATATTCCATTGGTTTCTGAGGTACTTGTGGTACTTGAGGTACTTGTGTAACTGGAACACTAGGAACCGGTTTGGGTGGTGGTTGAGGATATTCCATTGGTTTCTGAGGTACTTGTGGTACTTGTGGAACTGGAACACTAGGAACCGGTTTGGGTGGTGGTTGGGGATATTCCATTGGTTTCTGAGGTACTTGTGGTACTTGAGGTACTTGTGTAACTGGAACACTAGGAACCGGTTTGGGTGGTGGTTGAGGATATTCCATTGGTTTCTGAGGTACTTGTGGTACTTGTGGAACTGTAATACTAGGAACCGGTTTGGGTGGTGGTTGAGGATTTTCTGGAGAAGCCGGGACATTTGGAACCGGAATACTAGGAATCGGTTCGCAAGGAGTTGGCTCAGACGGGGTACTAGGAACTTGTGTAACTGGAACACTAGGAACCGGTTTGGGTGGTGGTTGGGGATATTCCATTGGTTTCTGAGGTACTTGAGGTACTTGTGGAACTGTAATACTAGGAACCGGTTTGGGTGGTGGCTGGGGATTTTCTGGAGAAGCCGGGACATTTGGAACCGGAATACTAGGAATCGGTTCGCAAGGAGTTGGCTCAGACGGGGTACTAGGAACTTGTGGAACTGGAATACTAGGAACCGGTTTGGGTGGTGGTTGAGGGTATTCCATTGGTTTCTGAGGTACATTCGGGGTAGTGGTTGGAAGTGGAGTTTGGCCAGGAATAAACACTGGGCGAGTTGTAGTTCCCTGCTTTGGAACGTTCGGAACTTGAGGAGCGTTCGGAACTTGAGGAACGTTCGGAACTTGAGGAGTAGGGGGTTGTGGTGGAGCCGGCTCGCAAGGAACTTCTGGAGCTTGCGGAACTTGCGGAATTTCTGGAACTGGAATACTAGGAGTTGGTTTGGGTGGTGGTTGAGGATTTTCCGGGGGTGCTGGAACATATGGTGGTAGTTCTGGAACTGGAATACTAGGAGTTGGTTTGGGTGGTGGTTGAGGATTTTCCGGGGGTGCTGGAACATATGGTGGTAGTTCTGGAACTGGAATACTAGGAGTTGGTGGGGGAGTCGGTTCGCAAGGAATTTCTGGAACTTGTGGGACTTCTGGAACTTGCGGAACTTGCGGAATTTCTGGAACTGGAATGCTAGGAGTTGGTTTGGGTGGTGGTTGAGGATTTTCCGGGGGTGCTGGAACATATGGTGGTAATTCTGGAACTGGAATACTAGGAGTTGGTTTGGGTGGTGGTTGAGGATTTTCCGGGGGTGCCGGAACATATGGTGGTAGTTCTGGAACTGGAATACTAGGAGTTGGTTTGGGTGGTGGTTGAGGATTTTCCGGGGGTGCTGGAACATATGGTGGTAGTTCTGGAACTGGAATACTAGGAGTTGGTGGGGGAGTCGGTGGAATAGTAGTTATCTTGCAGGGTTTGCGAACCATAATGCGACGACACTTTAGTCTCTTCTTACCACGGATCAACGGGTTAGGGTTTGACGTAGTTTCGTATGTCCCGGCAGCAGGTACTGTTTCTTGGGGAGTATTATTACTAGGTGGAGGAGCGGTTGCCTGTGGCTGAGGAGACTGTCCAGCTGGTAAGGGAGCGGTTGCTTGTGGCTGAGGAGACTGCCCGGCTGATGGTGGCGCGTTTCCACTTTGTTGTTGAGAAGGTAGTCCGGCAGTGTTGGTGGAAGCCGGAACACCCGATAAAGGAGGTTCGCTCGATTGGGTAGGCAAAGTGCTACTTGAGCTTGTAGATACAGATTCGCTCGTTGAAATTGCAAATGTTTTGGTTTGGCCATAAACATCAGGAAGAATAATTGGAACCTTGCTTGATAGTTCAGAAACCAATGAGAAAAGTGGAGAAGGATTCTTGCTTGGACCAGTGGGTAACGCATAAGATAAAACTGAAGTTGTTTTGGATGAACTTGTAGTAGTAAGTGTCAAGGTCGTAGTGGCTACTGCTTGATTTTTACTAAACACATCACCGTATCCCATTGGAGCGGGAGCGGCATTGGTATGTGTTATAGCAAGTGCCGTGAGTGTAAATACTTTAATGGCACTAGAAAAAAGAGTGAAATGACAAGTCATCTTGGAAAAGCTATAGATCTTTAGAAGAGTCAGTTAGATATGATCCCTATTGCAGCGATTGAATAGTTTAAAAAGGCACGAGATGATGGCAATACCTTTAGAGATACAGGTGTAAATATATAGTATATATAAACAAGCTTGGATATGCTACTAGTACAAAGCTGGAGAAATGAACAATGATTGGAAGTATTTGTAAAGTTTGCTGTAGGTTATGTAAAATCTTAACCAAAACGCATATACTACCGATTCGAGCCTTTTGTAAAAGTGGAAGGAAAGTAGAAAAGATATCCTTTTGAATGGTTCAAGTATTTGTAGATGTACGGCTCACTGGGCTGGCTATTGGAAACGCTTTGATACGAAACGTTTTGTGTAAAGATTGGGGCTTTGTTTTGTAGATGAAGTCAAGCTTAATGGATGATGAGGTAGTCGGGCCAATCAGTCTGGTGGCACCATACAATACTGTTTGTTTATTGTTGTCAGCGAGCTTTCATGGCTCCATTTTTACATGCAGTAAAAGATTGTGCTGCTGACAATCACCTATTGTTTGATGGACATGGAAGGATGCAGTATTAAAGATACTGATATTCCTTGTGACCATGAACGTCTCGAGTATGGATTTGTATCGCGATACGCGTGTAGACGGTGATTGGCTTGCTAGACAAATCAATCAGCTGCAAATCAATGTTGCATTCTCCTATTGTTTCAGTACTCTAATGTCTAGCCATGTTAAACGGCCACTTTACATATCCAATACATATTTTGATGTCATTACCAAATGCTTTATTCTTACTTTGTCTTGATAATGCAACAGTTGTTTGAATACTTGTCTAAAGTTTTACGCCAAGTGCCACTTTAATAGAAATGTTATCATTGCTTGCAATCGGCCGTGAAGTAGATTGTCTGTTTAGCCTATTGTTTGTCCACACCAGGACTTGGAAAATTTGGATTCAATCTTTGCTATATCGCTTTTCGTGGCAGTCACATACTTATGTTAATCATACTACATGCCGCATATCATATGCAAATTTATCAACTCAGAGCCACTTGAACCCAATTTATTCTATGGTGCCAATTCTTCACGCCACATATACTTTCCATTGGCTGTATGGATGAAACACATTTGATATGCCACCATCTAATTCTCTGAAAAATTCTGACATGCATTCATGGCATAAACTATTTCTCAAACAATTCTTCGAGTTTGCGTTTTTCTATATATTTGCCAATTATCACCATTTCTGCACAAAAAGTTTGGAGTTGTATTATTCGTACTTGTACTCAATATCTGCCAGCTGGCGACTCGTTGAAATTTGGCCCTTTGCATTATACAGTGTCTTGTAAATCATTCATTTTATATATCTATTTTAAAGACAGTTTTATACTGTATCAACCCCTTTTTAAATATCCAATCAGACGTGGGCTTATATTTATACTTCCACAATGCATATATTCACTGTGATCCTTACTGTAATTGCAACCATTGCAGCAATTGTTCAAGCTGCACCAGCTACAACGTGTTCCACTCCAAAAGTACGCCAAGAATGGCGCAAGTTGACACAGGCTCAGCACTCTGCCTTTTTAAGCGCAATCGACAAGCTCAAAAACCGCCCAGCCTCATCTCCGGTTTCTAATAGCCTGAGTGGCATGGCCCAGTGGAACTACGATCAATTTGTAAAAACTCACTGGGACAGCCAGGCCATTGGACACGGTTTGGTATGTTGTTCGTATTTAGGATTTAGGATTTATGGTAGTCTCAGGTCAGTACTAACCGAGTTTGTTTTCAATGCGCTAGCCCGTATTCTTGCCATGGCATCGGCTTTTTATTGCAGGATTTGAGCTGGCTTTGCAAAGTATTGACCCTTCAGTCAACCTTCCATTTTGGGACTGGTCTTTAGATTCGCAGAATCCAGGTGCATCCGATTTGTTTTCCTCGAAAAACTTTGGTGGAAATGGTCAAGGCAATGATCATTGTGTCAAGGATGGTGTTACCAAAAACTGGAAAGTGACATACCCAGATGCTTCTCAACGCCCAATGGCACCTTGTCTTACCCGATGCTTCAACTTTACGACTCTGTACCCTCCAGAAGCGGTTACATTTGTTATTGACCAGTCTAAAACTTACGACGAGTTCCGATCCAATCTAGAATCTGGTCCCCATGGGTCCGTGCACAACCAGGTTGGAGGGACTTGTGGAGATATGGGTGGCATGTACTCTACCAACGATCCCATTTTTTTCCTCCATCACGCAATGGTTGACCGAATCTGGTCTATATGGCAACTCAAGTGCAATGGTGCTCAAATCAATACATTTAGCGAAGACCCCAGTGTTGTCATGGCACCATTTGATCTCAGTCCCAGCGCAGTCATGTCTACTACTGCGGGGAGCCCCCTTTGCTACAACTATGGATCCAGTGCTAGTGATTTGCCTATGCAGCTTGCGTGCCCGAATGGAGCTTCTACAGGTAAAATGATTTGGCTGTTCCGATGACTATTTCTTGAAGTTTTGGAACAAAACCGACAATTTGGGTTGCTTGTTTCTATGTAGTTTGCCTTTGAATTTTAGCAAATACTAGAGTACACCTAAATCTAACGTAATCCATGTTTTGACCCATTGTTGATTCCATAGCATTTCCTTCGAGTACTGGCTCAGTTCCTACAGGGGGTTCTAGTTCACAATCGAATTCACACTCCACTGCTAGTGCAAGTCCAGCTACGCCCAGCACCAGTACTAATGGACAACAGCCAGTTGTGTTACCATCAACCAAGGAACCCAAAGCAGGCATCCTGGATCAAGATCCTCGAGCCAATAGCACCACAGGCTTATCCACTGAAGGTAAAATTGACGTGAACCTAGCAGGTAATTGGCTAGCCAACCTTTTGTTTGAACTCGTGCCCAATGCCAAACACAATCTGTTGCATGTTGAAACCGCATCGAGTAATACTAGCGAGTCAAGCTCAACCTTTGCTCTGTCCAGCACATCGACTCAGTCTGCCACGTCTACTATTGAACCTGTCCTTGACCGTCGCAGTAACTTTGATGAGCTTCAACCACTCTCATTTGAGATCCTAAAGCGATCAGCAAATGACTCGCAAGACACTTACACGCCCAATTCCAACAATGGAATCCAAGCACCCAATGCCAACGATTTCGAGGACATGGAAAACCTTCGATATCCTCCACATGTTCCAGACAGATGGCTTTTAATGAACAATTTGGATCTTGAAAACGCACGAGCATTTGAGAAATTGGTTCAAAAGATCATCGATGCATGCAACAACAAGCACGGATACACTTCACCAGCAGCACTCAGGTTCTTCAACACTTACAATATTCTTGGAAGGTTTATTATTAGTGTACATATTGAGATTGATTCGAGCAGTGGATGAATGTTTGGTAGCAATTGAAGTAGGAAAATAAACAGTTGAATATTGAGCCAGAAGGCAGTAGTTGTTGAGTAGTTGAGACCAAGCAGAAGACCAATAATCACATAAGAGCGTCTGGTTGGATCAGACAGAGGTTTAACCATCTTAAAGCAACACATGGCATCTAACCTCACAGACTCTGAAGTTCAGAACACTCTGCAGAAACGAACGAGTGCCTTTTCGTTGTTCAGGTCTCGATGGAGCAAGTCAGCAGCCACCACTTCAAACACTACATCAGATGTTGCTCTGTCTGGCTCTGACCATCTGCAGAAACCTTTGTCTGACACTCGTTTAGGGTTGGAAAACAGTCCGTCTGTAGTCATGCCTCGGCTGTCTGCTTCCAACCAAGACTCTTTGCATGCTCTTGATTCTTCTTTGGACCATTCTTGCATCAACTCTTTGAATGATTCTTCCAGCAACACTACTGTTCCTGCTGCTGCTATTCTGATCCCTCCACGGTATGCTTGTATCTAACATCCTTATAATAATACATCATCTGTCGTACTGCTCTAAATCTGCTTGTAATCCATTTAGATCTTCATCCATGTTGGCTCTCTCTGAATCTTGTATACCCAATTCCGTGATTACTCTTGCCAAAAATGATCCTTCTTCTAAAGACTGTATTGCTAAATCTCCATCAAGACTTGCTGGTTTCTTTCAATCCAACAATGCATTACATGAATCACTCAATCCAAACAGACCTCACGGCTATGCAAGCTCATCATCAACATCTCCTTCTGAATTGTCACCTACAAAAAGAAAGAGTGCCATGAAAGTCGGTGTGCCCATTGTCAAACGAAAATCTTCAACAGGTAGGTTTCTACTGTATTGATTATCATTCTTGTTAATGCATTCCATGACTTGCATCATTTTTGATACCAGTTCATCTCAACTCTTTTTATTCAAAAGGCTCATTGGAACCTTGTATTGCAATTTCAACTCAATCTTCTCAAGGCAACGTCGTCATCTCGCGATCACTTCCGGCATCCTCGTTTCAGCATCATGCATACAATTCACATAATGATACTCTAAAAACAGATACATATGAGTCTACCCCTAAATCACCACCAAATCTCTTGTCCAAATCAAACATCTCTTTATCACTGCCTTTTGGTCGTAGATCAATTAGCTACTCATCTCATACATCAAACCCTGATATCGCTCATCATGACCGCATTGCATACCCAACATTTCAGCAGAAAGACTCGCATCATCATTTTTCTTTACAACAGAACAAGTCCAAATCATCTAAACAGCCTTCATCCATTGTCTTGCCTATTTATAACTCCTTATCACGACGTCCCATGTCATCAGACTCACGTGTCTTGTCATTCCATGATACTGAACCAGTGTCGGTGCCACGGAAATCAGATTCTCGTCGAATGTCAAACCCTCCTTTTACTGAGCCTGTCAAGGAAACTTTTCAAATGGTACGTGATTACGATTCACAAACTGGAAACAAGATGATCAATCACTACATGGTGTTTGGAGAGCTTGGACGTGGATGTCATGGAAAGGTCAAGCTGTGTTTAGATACTATAACGGGTGAAAAATGGGCTATTAAAATCGTGGAAAAAACTGCCAAACGGCGATTTCAAAGCAAATTGTCTGCTGCTGCTCGTGCTGCCGCTGAAGGTGGCCTTAATCCACCCAATCCTCATCTTGAACGCATCAAACGAGAAATCGCTATACTAAAAAAGTGTGCTCATCCACATGTCGTGCGTTTGCGCGAGGTCATTGACGATCCACACTCTGACAAAATTTATCTTGGTAAGTTTTATAGTCTGCCGCACTAATTCTTAGTATTTATATTGAAATCATTGTCATGCAAGTGATTTGTTAATCGTCTTGAGCTGTCAAATTAAACTACATGCTATCTAATAGTGCTCGAATACTTGGAGGGTGGAGATATTGCATGGAGCAACAACGCAGAGCATCCAAAGCCTATACAATCTGTAGACGAAGCTAGACGAATTTTTCGTGATGTAGTTTGTGGCGTGCAATATTTGCACTATCAAGGAATTGTGCATCGTGATATTAAGCCTGCAAATTTGCTGTGGACTGCAGATCATAGAGTCAAAATATCCGACTTTGGTGTTTCAGTTTTTGTTGGTCAAAAGCGAAGCCGTAATGCTGTGTTATCCAGGCAGACATCTGCTGGTATTCACGGCAAGGTGAAAGATGTACGTATCAGTACACAACATATACGGGATAAATCACGGCGTTCTATTAGTTTTTCTCGATTTCAAGACGAGGATAATACTCTAGATCACCTTCCGTCAGGGGTAATGAGTGATGGAGGTGTTTATTCAGATGATGCTATAGATGCAGTCAACGAAGATGACGATACCCTTGAAGCAGACGAGCTAGAATTAGCCAAAACCGCTGGATCGCCAGCATTTTTTGCTCCTGAACTTTGTGGTATGCGAGATGATGATTTTATTACTACTGGGTTTAATTCGCCCAATTGCTCCCCTATTTTAATTGCCTCGTCTAAGAAACCATCCGAATACGATACCAGCGACACATTCAAAGACTCCAATTCTTTTAGTCCACATACTTCTGCCTCCACTGCACCATCTTCACTCTCCACAAGCTTACCACAGGGCTTACTTTCATATAGACGTCCACCCCATCACTTTTCACCTGAAAATCAGTCCACTTTTAACGAATATCCACTTCCATCAACTCCATTGTCCAGTTCCTGCATGCAAAACGCAAAGTCTACTTTAGACCCTGACTTGACTTCTGGCATTCACAGTTCAAATCTACACAATGGATCATTTTTCACAAACGTACATTCTCGCCTTAGCCAATCCAATATAGATGAGCAGTATGCTAGTTTAAACTCGGGTGTACGTTCTGAACTGAAATCTGATACAAACATACAGCTAGTCCCATCATTGAAAACGTCTTTTAGCTCATCTCTTTCAAAGCATGCGCACAGCAATACTAATAACAGTATAACCTCGGATACCTTTGCAGCTGGAAAAAGAAGTACCAATTTTTTTCATGAAAAATCGCTGCATCGCTCATCACCTGGATTCAACGAAGATGCAAATGATCCTAGCTGTTTACATTCTACTCCTTTGGAAGATGTTGGCGAATCTATTCCCGGCTCTGATAACAGCTTAACAGGTTTATCCAATGTAAAGACACACGCTGGACATTCTTCAAACTTTAATGAGCCAATTTCTGCAAAAAATGGCGGTTCGACTGTGCAATTTGATCTACGAGAGGCTATAGAGATACCATCGACCACTTGTTCACAATTACCAGCGAATGATTCTGGTGATAAATTGATACCCATACAACTACCCGAGATAGTGTCACCTCATATAGAAATAGGATCAGATGTGCATTCTCGAAAGCTTTCTTTGGCAGTGGATCAAACGCCAATTTCTACACCCATTCGTAATCAAGAACTTTACAATACTCCATCAACTGCAATGAACAACGCCAATACTTTGACTGGAAAAAAAGTTGAGGCATCAGACACAGCGATAGTTTCTCAACAAAAACTACCATTGCTTGGTGCACCTATTGATATATGGGCTATGGGTATCACTCTGTTTTGTTTTGTATTTGGTAAAGTTCCGTTCATGGCGGAAACTGAGTATAGTCTATTTAATGTTATTGTCAAAGATCCACTTGTGATTCCGGATGAGCCTCATATAACTGATGATCTACGTAATCTATTCCATCGATTGCTTGAGAAAGAACCCACACTACGTGCAACACTGGATGAAGTACGATTTCATCCCTGGTTGACGGAAGATATGTCGGCAGAAGATCGTAAGCAGTGGCTACACGAAACAGATCCTGCTTTCCAATACGCTGAACGATTATTTGCATCTGAAGAAGATGTTAGCCATGCAGTGACTATGATGGACAAGATACGCAATCGTATCAGAAAGATTTCAAATTCGTTTCACAATCTTGCTGCTGGATTGAATTTTCGAAGACGGACAGTCAGTATGTCTAGTGTTGTTGATGCCGACTCGCCTGTTCAAACAAATTCTCCAGCAAACAGTTCTTCTCGTAAAGGAAAAGGACATTCGCAATATGATGCAGATAAGCAGCCGCACTCTGCCAATGAAATTCCGCAGCCTGTATTACCATTGCCACTTTCGCCATCACAATCGAAAGATGTTCAACTAAAAATTGGTAAATCGTCTAGTTTTGGGGATGCTGCATCCAGGCGACGATCGCTTCTTTCTTCAGCAATATTACCCTCATTGTTTCCCACTACTCAGACTTTTCAGGAGCAATCAAGCCACGCAGTTTGCTCAAAATCCCACCAGGAACAGGGTTTCTCCTACTCACAACCCTCTATTGCACAACCACTCAAACCGACCATAATCTCAGCACGATGTTCTGTAGATTCACCACAACCCATCATTACCTCGACTATCACCAGCTCAGGAGTCATGCCATCTACCTCGTCCAGACAGTCTTCCGACTTGCCAGCATGGGTTCGTTGGGGTGATGCAGAAGTAGCTTCTAAATTTCCTCAACGCACATCGACACACTCCAACTCTCATAAGGCTTGGGAATCTTTGGGTTCTTTTACACAGAGTTCACCTGCAAGTCCTGTTTACCCTATTCGTACATCACTGATGCCAACAGAAGCCTTTGTAGCGCCAGCATCTCCTTTAAGGACCACATTTATTCCAGACACTTTAGAGAATGCATCTCCGCAACTTCGGCAAGCGCTTTTTCAGTTTTCTGGATCTCCTGGATCCTATGACAGTCCATACAGCCCTACCTCCAACATGGGTTATGATACAGATCTCGGAGGATATTTTAATACACAGTTGAATTTAAACGACTATGACCATGACAACGATTTCGGTATTGGAAAAGACGACGAAGAGGATAATGAAGCAACGATAGAAGCCGAGCGCCAGCGTGTGCTTGCTTGGTCGCAATCTTTTAATGGCGATGTCAGTGATGAAGATGCATAAAAATAAGCTTTTGGTTAGTTGTTTACTACCATCAAATATATATAGCAATCTTGACAGCTAGTTTTACCTGTCTAGTATAAACAAACTTGTATTTTAAATACATCACGACTGGTGACAATGGACATGAGAATGCAGAGATAATAAAAATGAGAAGTTGTCAACAACCATCAATGTGTCAAATAATGATTCATCTAGTGAAACAATGTTTTTTTGTCTGTTGCTCTACATCTATCAAGTGCATTTTTTGCCAAAATGCTGTCAGCCTTATGGTATCGAGTTGTTTAGTTTCAAAGTGCGCTTTGGTGATGCTGTTTTGTAAATGTCGGTAAATTGCTGATTTGAATGGCATGGACATACATCGTTTCATGTACCACAGCGGCAATTTGACTTGTTGACACGGTCAGTTTGCTGAGCGACTTGCTTTCATCAATTCGATATGGAACAACATCACTCATTTGGTCTAGCGGCGACTGTTTGCTGAACTTGATGTTGGTCTTGTTCTGACGCGAGCCTCAGCATTCCATCTAAAGTATGTCACTAAAGTGTTCCATTTCCCGTAAATACGATTATTACAACCGACAGTATATTCTTTTAATCTCCACGGTGACATAACATTGGAAATCTCTAGTATAAAATATCAGCTGCCATACTTTTCAAAGCATCATTTTATTTTAATATCGAGTTATGTCGTTGTCCACCTAAGCACTTCAATATCATATTTCACAAGAGATATCACAGCTGCCACATACTTTATTTTATATCAAACTGTTTTTGAAAGGCATTCAGACTCGTGAATCGTAGAATACATATCACACTACTCATCACCACTTGCCAAAATGGGCAACTACAATACAAGACTTCCCCAACAAGCAATATCGGCACACTTTATCCCCCTCAAACTCCTTGGGAAAGGCAATTTTGCAAAAGTGTATCTTGTCAAACACAAACAAGATCAAACCCTCTATGCTCTTAAATTATCCCCAAAAGCCAAAATGCGCAAGGAAAACAAGCTATTGCATATCATTAACGAACGCAATATCCTTGAAGGACTGCATCATACATGCATAACTGAGTTGTGCTACTCGTTTCAAGACAATTTGGGATTGTTTATGATTTTAGAATTTGCTGATTCAGGGGATTTGCGATCGCATATGAAGGCGCATTTATGGAGTGAGGTAAATACCTTTGTTATTTTTGTGGGGTCAAGGGTTGTATTTAGATTTTGATGGAGATTGTGCTGATTATTTGCATGCCATTCCATTGTGATTAAACTATTGTGACTAACATATTTGACGTGATATCTTGACTCAATCGATTCAATTGGGCATATCTGTCTGATGTTAACCCTGCAATTAGAACGATGCCATGTTTGTAATCTCGGAAATTGCTTGTGGGCTAACATATCTTCACAAAAAAAAGATTGTACATCGAGACATCAAACCTGAAGTAAGCCTATATTAATGATTTGGACCATTTCAAACAAATAATGTCAAGCTTTGCTGATATGATTGTGCTTCTTATCAACGAGTATAGAATATACTGATGGATAGTTTGGGACACGTGTTTATTTCTGACTTTAATGTTGCAATTCGGCAGCAATCTGGGCTACCAATCCGATCTGTAGCAGGAACAGAACCATGTAAGCATGTCGTCATCTCAGTCTACCTTTGACTAGTGTATAGTTTTGGGCAATAGCTATATATACGATTAAATCAAACTGACATTTATCCACCGCAAATTCACGAGTTATTAGATATGGCGCCGGAAATACTCAACCATATCGGGTATCATGCGGCAGTAGACTGGTGGTCACTGGGCGTTGTACTATTTGAAATTATACATTCTGAACGTCCCTTTCGAACGCGCAACAGACGAGAGTTTATCAAAAAAGGAGCATTTACATTTCCGTACCACATTCCAGCCATTTCCAGTGCATGTAAAGATGCCATTAGCCGATTTCTGGCATTTGAGCCAACCCAGCGTATGGGATTTGAAAAAATAGGACTGGAAATGCTTTACTCGCATCCGTTTTTTGTCGATATACCATGGAAAGATGTTGGGAATAAAAAGTATGCTCCACCCTACCGGCCATCTATGGATGACCCGCATTTCATGCATTCTTCACCCACAGTGGAAGGTGTCGATGAAGATTTTGAACGGCTGATTCTAAATGCCAATGCTTTACCCCACATAGCAGGTGATATGAACCTTGAGTTTGATCAAGATGTAATTTCAGATTTTTTTTATTACAACAGATCGATAGACAAAGGAAGACCACTGCCTACTTTACCTGCATCCACACCATCCAAACTTGAGCAATCCAATCCATCGAAAAAGCAGTTGACTGAAGAAATGATGGGAAACAATGGTCCAGATTACTTTAATAGTTTCCATGGAACCACCAATGCCACCAATACTGGAAATTGTAGTCGAAGACCCTCGCGAGCTTCGATTTTAGGTCGTCGCACAAGTGTTAGCGTGCCAAGTGATTGTCATACGCCCATCATGACACCTAAATCCAGACCCAGTATACTCTCAAATACCAGTAGCAAATGCCGACCATCTGATTCATTTAGCATCCTACCCAAGCTTTTCAAAGGTTTAGGCGCGCGCTGTACATCTAAAAACCTGTCCGAGGGGATTCACTCTGATGTTCATAGCGCAGGTAGCTGTTCAGATACCAGTCGACAACCATCAAATATACTCATAGATACAGATTTGTTGCATGTTACACACGAAATGGAAAGTTTCGAGTTGAATGGCAGATCGATATCAAACCCATTGGTTCCTTTACAACAGCCACTGCTTCAATCCATGACCAATGCAAAAGGATTTACTTCTCGGCGTCGCCATTCTATTTCGTCACCTGCATTTGGTGGTCGTGCTGCAAGCGACAAATTAGAATCGGATCAGCTGGGTGGATTACAAAACAAGAGTCCCGATTTGACTTCGATTATGACCACAGCAATGCTAGCTCGCAAATATGTATGTGTACCAAATAATGGTGAGCGGCGAAGTAGCGATGCAGGATCGTGCCCACGGAGTTTGGGAATCGATGCTTTGCGTGGAACTAACCAACAGCCATCTGGTGGGCAACCCATTTTTCTTAATGTTCCCGTAGCGTCTGGGCGTCGGAGATCATCAGGTCAAGTACAGCTCGAAGCTGTGTTGGAAACAGGTGGTGGATACCATGCTGTTTAGACCGATTGTATTTGCCAGATATTGTAGCAGTCTGTTTGAATGCATTATCTGTATCAGAATTAGATCTTGATTGGGTATTGGAAATGAACTAGTGATACAAAACACGTTTTAGTTTAATTTGCAGAAACTTTAGCTTTTGCAAGTAAATTGGTCAATATCAGCATCAGCTTGGTGATCAACGAGTCAAATACTTTCAAGTTTTGAAACTATAATGGTCAAATGCAGTTTTATTAATGCAACTGTCAGTTTATTATAACGTTTTGGTATAAAATCAATCCCGTTTAACGAGTAATCTCGAAAACATCGACAGCTTCCTCGACCTCGTTAGGATCGCCTGATTTGGAAGGCATCATCTTTTTGACAATGACATACTTGACACGATTTGCAAATTCACTGTCGACATCAACGCACTTGTCATCATTTTCATTGCAGTAGCTATCGTCACCAATGCTAGTTACACTAGATGAAGCGGCCTGGTTTGACGGGCTTGGGGTTGCATTTGAGATACCGTTGCTAACTTGGGGGACTGGGTTTGAAAGCGTGGTGCCGCAAAGTAAAAGTGCTACCAAGCCTAAGGTGCGAGCAGATGTAAGCATGACTGAGATCAAAAGGTCGAGATAAGAGCTAAATGGGTTGGACTACTGAGTATTCAGAGTTTGAAAAGAACACTAGGGATATATTAGTGAGTAGTAACGACATGACATTAATCTTGCATTTTATAATTTTAATTGGGAGGAGGATGGGAACAAGAATAGTGAGCGCATTTGTCACGCCCATCGAGAGGCACAATTTTGGCAATATGGAAAAATAATGTAGAACCTTGTTGGGAACAAGAAAGCTTGACAAACTGAAGGCGGAGAGAAAAGATGGAAAATTGCCAGCCATCACCCCAGCATATCATGCATTGGGGCGGTATTTGCGTAAACTTCAACCACACTTGCACCTATATAGTCTATGCTAATTTAAAACAATCATGCAGTTTTATGAACCAAACACTTTTTTGAAATGTAACAGCATGCTCGATGCTGTCTAAATGCCTTTAAACCATGACGAGATTGGGTTGTGAAATAGAAATAAACATGCTTTCATACTTTTTGTCTTGCATACAGCTGGCTTTTCATTCTTTACAGCCGTATTCACGTAAAATGGAACATGTATTTATCTTGCAGTGATTGTCTTGGAATAAACAATGGTTAAATATTTGTTGAAGCTCTGTTGTATTCTAATATCAAATACGTTTGAAATATAGTTCAAGCGAGCATCTCGGAAATGAACTGTTGTTTCCATGTGATCACTCAGTATTTGGAGAAATGGAAAGTTGGGAATTGAACAAGTGTCGAGGGTGTGGAATGTATTGGAACAAAGATGTGAACATTTGCTCTGTATTTTTGTACGATAATGAACATGAAAACCAGTCAACTAATGAGTTTAAAGGATGATATTAATCAGTAAGATTAGCACCAAACATGAGACTGTTTATCATGTATTGATTCGAGTGTTTATTTGACATGAATATGGCTGTAAATTGGCAGTGACAAAAATATCATTTATTGGATTGCTTGTTTCAATTTTTTTATTTTTCAATTAAATTTGATAAAGTTTCTATTGAAAACATTGCTACTTGTCCATAGCAATGGGTCGACAAGGTGCCAGATACAATGCAAAGGCTCGAGCAGCATCACATCTGACTACATCTGCCAAGCCCCATTCGAAACCCCGTGATGGTGGTATCAAGGCTTCCATTCAAAAAATAAATCCTACAGTGATTGAGGCTGCCCGCAAAACACTACATGCAACTAAGCCCAAGTCGGTCCTTTCTACTAATGAAACTACCATTCAAAAAGAGGATTTATCCAATCAGACTGAATATACATCGTAAGTTTTATATTCAGACTTCTGATTCGATCAAATGTCTACTAACCACCTGTAACATGGTTTATATTAAACTTAGTTCAACGACAACCATTCCATATATTCTACCTTCTAAAGAAACTCGAGTAGCTAGTACTGCAAACGAAGTTGCAAATCGACTAGCATTGCTTACAGAAGCACAGACAGTCAAAATATCTGGTAAAAAGCGAAAAAGAATGGAAAAGTTTATAGAGCGAGAGATGAAAAAAGAGGAGCGAGTCTATTTGTATGAGAAACTTGGCAAACAGGAATTCTCATCTGAGCTATTCAAGTCGAGTAAGAAACTTAGTAGTGGTAAATTAACTGCCAGGGAGCGACTCAGACAAGCATTGTTGGAGGAGCGAAGCGGCATTCCACAATCAGATCCATCCGTACAATTGCTGAAGCCAGTTATTCGGCCTACAGAAATTCCAGATAATACAATGCAAGTCGACTTTGATGAGAGTGAAAGTTCTGACAATTGTTTAAATGTGGAGTCAACCCCAATTGAGTCCATGGGCATTGTGTCTCGTTCATTTGGAATGGCTGCTCAATCTGCTCCTATCATTGTCACCTCGTCTGAGCATGGGACTACCAGCGTAGAACTAGTTCCAAGTAATACTTCCGTATCCTCCATTATTCACAATCGACCCGTTCTTGGTAGTTCACTGCGAGAAAACACCGCGACCACACCAGGTGGTAAACCTGCAGAACCATCTAAGCGTGTTCTCAAGAAACGGCAGAGACGTGAGATCCGCCAACAAATGGCAAAATTGGCCAACAGTAACTCTGAAAATTCTGATTCTGATTCTGATGGTAGCATGCTTGAAGATACAGACGACAACAAGGAGTCTATTAGCACTGCTTGTCAAAAAGCCTTGTGGTCATCGAATGTCGTTTCTGGCGAGTCTTTTAATCAGACTTTATCTACTAATACAGTCAAGTCAATAGATGAAAAGCCGTCACATTCGGTATCGACTCTTAAAAAGACTTTGTCGATTCCCGGCCCCAAAGCAATTTTTGTTCCAGTTGATAGATCAGAAGAAATCCAACTTGCACGACTTTCTCTTCCTGTGACTGGAGAAGAACAACTCATCATGGAAACCATTCTAGCCAACGACATTACAATCCTATGTGGCGAAACAGGCTCGGGAAAAACTACCCAAGTACCACAGTTTTTGTACGAAGCTGGATTTGGTGACAAGTCTCATCCTCTTTATCCTGGCATGATTGGCATCACTCAACCTCGTCGTGTTGCTGCAGTCAGTATGGCTAACCGTGTTGCATTTGAAATGAATCTACACAAGGGCGAAGTGGCCTATCAGATTCGATACGATCGAGGTTTGACGGGAAAAAATACTCGAATCAAGTTCATGACTGATGGTGTGCTTTTACGAGAGCTTAGTGGTGACATAACTCCTTTATCCACTTCTATTACATCTGCTTCAACCAAGAAAGGATCTGATATTTTACTTTCTGATTATTCGTGTATCGTCATTGACGAAGCACATGAGCGTACCGTGGGTACTGATGTACTGATTGGATGGCTTACTCGAGTGGTTCGACTGCGAAATTCGGGTAAAATTCAAAATATCAAGCCTCTACGAGTTGTCATTATGAGTGCTACACTGCGTGTTCAAGACTTTACAGACAACAAAGCATTGTTTCCAGATGGCAATCCACCTCCGGTAATTAAAGTAGAAGGCCGTCAACATAAAGTTGTGGTACATTACAACAAAATCACACCCGAGATTGATTATGTCAGCGAGGCATTTAAAAAAGTATCCAAGATTCACAAAAAACTGCCACCTGGCGCTATTCTAGTGTTTGTGACTGGACAGCAGGAAGTGCAGGTGTTGGTAAAAAAATTGCGTGCTACATTTTCAAAAACTATATCAAAAGACTCAATTGCTCAAACTACAGATGATATTGAAATGGATGATGACAACTCTATCAAAGGAGTGTTTGGCGAATCTGAAGCTGTTGCGGAAGCATACGAAGAAAATTTAAATGCTCAAAAAAGACAAAAGTCCAGTCAACTGGGAGGTGAGGAGCGTGATGACTTTGACGAGATGGAACAGCTGGAGGCTGATGAGGACGAAGATAATGAGGAAGAAGAAGTGCATATTCTTGGCGGAATCAGCGACGATGAGGATGAAAGTGAGGCCGACAAAGCATTCGTACCATCTGTAGATTTGGCACCAGTTCATGTTCTTCCTCTTTATTCCATGCTCCCTACCAAGGCACAGCTGCAGATTTTTGATCCACCTCCAGAAGGAGCTCGTTTGATTGTTGTTGCCACCAATGTTGCAGAAACCTCAATCACCATTCCAGGTGTTAAATATGTTGTTGATTGTGGCAAAGTTAAAGAGCGACAATACGATGCATATACTGGTGTGCAAACTTTCCAAGTATCATGGACTTCCAAGGCATCTGCTGATCAGCGCGCTGGTCGAGCTGGTCGTATGGGTGCGGGACATTGCTATCGATTGTTTTCATCTGCAGTGTATAACAATTATTTTGAAAAATTTGCTACACCAGAGATCATGCGAGTTCCCATTGAAGATGTTGTAATGCAGATGAAAGCCATGGGAATCAATCAAATTTCCAACTTTCCTTTTCCCTCACCACCCAATTGTGACAATCTAAATTCAGCCGAGCGACTTTTAAAATATCTTGGCGCACTTGATCTTTCAGCTGCAGTGTCAAGCTCCCAAACAGGAGTTTCATCACAGTTTTTGGAGATCACTAGCATAGGCAGACTAATGTCTAAATTTCCAGTGTCGCCACGGTTTGCAAAAATGCTTGTTGTAGCAGCAAAACAATCACAGCCAGTACTGCCCTACATTGTTGCTGTTATTTCTGGGCTATCTGTAGGTGATCCAATTGTTCGTGATGTTGATTTGATTAAAAATACGAACCAGTCTGAACAAGATGAGGAGGACGCAGATGATCATGATGGCAAGGAAGAACGTCGCAAAAAACGTACCAGGTTTTTCCAAATTATGCAGGCTTTTTCTGGTTCTTCCTCATCAGATGTACTGTGTATGCTTAATGCTATTGGTGCATATGCTGCTGAACGAAGTCGTTCTGCCAAGTCGCTTGAAAACTTTTGCGAGTCGCACTTTCTTCGGCCCAAAGCAATGGAAGAGATTCACAAGCTGCGAATTCAAATCACCAATATTCTTAAAAATGTGTTGGCTCACGATACATCAGATATTATTCAAAAGAATGTATCGAGTCTTTCTTCTAATCTTAGCATGTCACCTCCAAATACCAAGACACAGACTTTGATTCGACAAATCCTGCTTACTGGATTCCCAGACAAGATTGCGCGACTTAATGAAAACGCTGTTAGTGGATATGGAAAACATGCTGTTCCAGTATATCAAACACTTTGGGCAGATAATCTTAAAGAGACTCATCTTGTTCATGCATCTTCGTGTCTTTACAGCCAACGTCCTGCACCAAAATGGATCATATATAGTGAAGTTGTTGGACACGAGGAGCGATTTGCTGCGGATAACTCGCATGTGATGCAGATGCGGGGATCGAATATAACCATCATGGATGATGCCAACCCTGCCGAACCTGTTCGTCGATGGCTAAAGCAGTGCACGGTAGTGAACGAGTCATGGTTGTCAACCATGTGCCCACCATCACTCGTACGAACAGGACGCCTTCTCACTCAACCAGAGCCCCACTATGTAGCAGCAAAAGATCATGTTGTCGGATATGTCGTTCCAGTATTTGGGCCGTGTTTGTGGGAACTCGGTTTAACTGAAACCAACAAAAATTTGGATGAAATGACACGGATTATGTGGTTTGCCAAGGCTTTACTAGAGGGTACTGTAGTTGGAAGTATGAATCTTGAAAAAAAACGGACAGCAACCAAGGATGTGTTTGGCTTGATGAGAAAGTTTATGTCTACAAAACCATCCGTAGTGACCAAATCATGGGCACGCAGCCAAAACAAGGTATCATTGCTGCTGGATACTCTTGCTCGCTCTCATGTGGCAACACGATCTGATTTAGCCAAGATGTGGCATAATGACAAGACGTTTTTACTGGATGCAACTCTAGCGTGGGTTCCAGTAGAATTTCATCCCATCTTGTGTAAATATTGGCCACCTATTACTGGCGGATCTGTAAAGAACGAATCGTTATATTCAGCTCTGAGTTCATTTATTTCAGCGACAAATGGTGACCAAGTAGAAAGTTTCAAACCCTCCACTGTTCGTAACGCAGATAGTCAAGGTAAAGGCTATGATAAATAAAGGGAGTAGATAGTCAAATAGTATACTTGATGTTCATTTCAATCATCAGTAATAAAACTTTTAAACCCAAGATTGTAAAATAAACTAGTCTCGTGCTATTCAGTTGTTTGAAGATACGCGCTAGTTCTTTCCTTGCAGCTGCTTGACTAGTGCAATGTATTGCGCTTGAGCATCTTCTTTAGAGGTTCCCTTGACCTTCTCCCAGGCACTCCACTTTGCCTTACCCTGAAGATCGAACATACCAGGACAGGCTGTATTTACAATAGACGTCAAGGATCCAAGCGAAATATCCAAATAAAGGGTCCAAAAAAGTTAGATTGTACAAGCATCAATTGAGTCGAATTGTTCCACTTCTCAGCGGCATATATACAGCAATGAGATTTGCAAACATTTGTGCGGGAAAACTCAATTCCCCATTCACATTGAACGACTTTGAAAGTCTGCATACTAGTCATACAATAACATATCAGTCTACATCAATGCAATCAACCCACCAGAAGTGTTGTCACCGGAAATTGATTGCTTGAAAAGAGCATAAAGCTGAAGAAGCTCCTCGTTGTTGGGCTTGGTGGCCAGGTTCTTGACATCGGCAGCAGCCTTGATAAAGTCGGACTATACACAACAGTATTCAGCAAACATAAGTATCAAACGTACAAATCAGCAAATGGTTGAATAAGACTAAAGTGTTGAATGGATCAATCTTTCAATGGAAGTGACAGTTCTTGGTATATTGTTTGAAGATAATCAAGCATCTAGACAGTGGAAATAGTGAAAGGAATCAATGGCATTGACCAAAGTCATCCCATTCAATTCCTTAACCGGCCAACCATAGTAATGGTCCCAATAGTAAGTAATCTTGCATCAAACACCATCCAATCCATGTAATCTGATCCGGCAGAGTAGCAGTTTATAAACCCTTGGACTAGAAATGCCAATAGAATCAAAGCAACCCATGATAAGGTGGAAGCAATAGTATAAGCAGAAACAACTCACGTTTCCGGTAGAAGCTGGGTCAGACATGGTTGTAGATGGACAATAGGTAGATTGTTGGGTTAGGGATGAAGCTCGTTTTACAATCGTGTTCACGTAAAATGGAACACGAAAAGTGATAAACAGCCAGCCTCACGAGATTCTTACATTTACTGAGCAGCATCGCACGCCTTGACAAGACTACATTCACTGATTCAAGATGGTCTGCCAATTGTTCAACAAACAGCAATATTGCAAAGTATAGAGCTCGTATTATCGATTCTCAATTCTTTCTATCTGGAATTACACACTGCACAAATCCATTTTTTACGATTAATTCTCAGTAGGGCTTAACAATGTTTATTGACCATGTTGGTTTCTAGTAGGAAGGCATAATAAATATTTAGCCATTTTACACTCCAAAGCAATCACAGCGAGAATACAATTGTTTCATTTTGCGTGGATACAACTGTAAATGCGTTACTGTTTCTATTAGCCCATGGCCAAAGTTATATCCTCTTGATTTAAACCGAAACAACACTGTTTTTGTCAAATGGCATGCCATTGTAGATCTACATCTGAACCTCGAAACATTCAGCTGTTTTGGCCAAAACCACTTCATGTAAACACGTGACTGATTTATGCTTTAGAGCATCCCAGAAACAACATCTAGCTGTTTTTCAAACACATCCCAACCAAAGCATTGTGACACCCTATCAACATATACATCAGATATAATCATGCCATTTTCTAATATTGGAGGTCTTATTAATCATGCTACAAGCGCTACAGGAAAGGAAGTTATTGCCAAGGCTCAAGAGCTGATAAAGGGTAAGTGGGATTCCACAATGCATCGCTATTTTCTATTCTCCTGCAGCTGTAAATGTATAATACTGGCTATAATGGGCATTCCGTGTCTTTAGCTTTAGAAAGATACAGAGCAATTTGTTTGCAGTATCTTGATATTTAGCTCCCCTCATATGTCGCGCCTATTTGGAACTATTAGGGGTATATTTATCGAATACCCAACAATAACATGCAAATGGAAAATTTAATGCTGCTTATTAGAGTGATGTATTATTTAGCTTAGACAAAGTGGTTGGGTTAAAAAATAAGGTTTACTGGATTGTGCTGATACATGCATATAATGCTGTTTTCCACTCGTGCTCATTAGTTGACTCGAATATTAGCCATATTCGCGTAAAATGGAACACTTTTGTATTTATCTTGCAAGCACTGCTTCTATTTACTTTGGAATAGACAATGGTTGAATATTCATTGCACTTTTCTATTAGAAATTGACTGCTTTTCCAGCTGACATTCCCAATTCTTTTTTCTAAACAAAGTCCATCATATGATGCACACAATCAAACTCTGCTTTGTTGTATCCTAGAATCTTGAATACATTCGTGTTTTAGTTCAAGAAAACAAAGATCGCATGTCTCAGAAATGCAACTGTTGTTTTCATGCCGATCATCCAATATCTACTTGACATGTTTGATTTTCAGGAAAGGGGAGTTGCAGATTAAACAAGTGTAAAGGATGTGAGGATTACTGTAACTGTGATGTGAATACTGTTTTGGACATTTAGTTTTTATACAAAATGAGCAGAAAACACAATGCTGTCCAGTGAATTGATGTCAATCATTCATGATACTGGCTATTTATTATGCGCTTTACAACCTTGTTTAGTGCTTCGTTCTATATGGTATAACTGTAACAGACTCGTCACACCATTTCAAATTTTGGATGCCTGATACCTGATGAATTCCCTGATGCACTGACTAATTCACACAAAATAATCGACAATGAAACCCCAATCATTCTGATACCTTTATCTGATTGTAAATTAAACTTGATACTGACATTTGTATTTATTTTTCTAGACAGATTGTACTTTACAAACCTTACGTTTGCACCAACTCAGCATGCAGATATACACTTTTTTACTATCGATCAAGTGCTTGTGTATGTTAATTTTTACTCAGACTTTGGTCCAAACAATCTGTCCCATGTGATGCGATTTTGTGAGGTGCTACAGGGAAAATTCAGAGTATGTATCCGAATTATATAGTCCACCAAACAAATGCGGCATTTCATATTATTGACTGCATCAACTCACTGTTTTGAATTCATCATTTTTACAATGCACTGATTCAATCTTATAGGATCCCGCTACTAGTAACAAAAAAATTTGTCTATATTCGTCCATGGACAATGACAAGCGCGCCAACGCAGTATTTTTAATCTGCGCATACATGGTTATTGTTCAAAATCAAACACCAGAGGATGCATACCGACCTTTTATGAGCATTTCTCCACCATTTGTTCCATACTGTGATGCTGGATATGGTGCAGCAACCTATCATATCACGATTCTTGACTGTATTCGAGGCTTGCACAAGGCTCTCACACTCGGATTGCTTGATCTTGAAAACTTAAACTTGGAAGAGTATGAGTACTATGAAAAGGTTGAAAATGGCGATTTTAATTGGATCACCGACAAATTTCTTGCACTGGCTTCGCCCAAAGACGACCCATCACAATTCTTGGTGCAGCAATCGGCTTTACTAACTCCTCAGCAACAACAACAGATTGCTCTATACAATGCTAGTATTGGTTCAGGAATCATTTACCCCATCAGTGCTTCAATCCAGAAACAACTTGGTATACAACAAAGTCACCAACAGGCGCAGGCAGAACTAACACGTCGACAAAAACTCTTTAGTGCTTATAGCATGGACAATTTGATTCGATATATGAAGGAAAAAAACATCAAAACCATTATTCGTTTAAACAATAAGACATATGATAAGCGTAAGTTTGTTTTGGCCGGCATCGAACATATTGAGCTGTATTTTCCTGATGGAACTACACCGCCCGAAGGCATTTTAAAACGATTCCTAGAGATTTGTGAAACACGTGAAGGTACAGCAAACATGATACTATGGGATGAAATACGCTATTCAAATCGTTTTAATATGCATTATTGTTTTTCGTGTAATTAAATATGCAATTCATGGCAATATAAAAGGTCCTATTGCTGTGCATTGCAAAGCTGGTCTAGGCCGAACTGGTTCACTGATTGCATCGTTTATCATGAAGCACTACAAAATGACTGCGTGTGAAGTTATTTCGTTTATGCGAGTGCTCCGTCCAGGAAGTGTTGTAGGTCCTCAGCAAAACTATCTTCAAGCGTAAGTGATTTTATTGTAAAAAAGTAGTCGAGCATTTGCCATGGAATGGGTAAACAGCAGTATTGCAAAATAATTGACAGATTTGAATACGATGGATGATATAACAGAATGCAAACCAAGCTGTGGAAAATGCACCCCAACAATCCGCTTTCAACCGAGATTTTGTGCCGCAAAGTACCCACTTATCCCAACATAAAGCGATTCGGATGGCCCATTTTCAATGCCAATGGATCTGTAATTGGAGTCGCTCAGCCACCTCAGCAAAATGCTCAATTGCAACAAAAGCGATTCATGTCAAACGAACTAGATGGCTCATCCCCTACAAATGCAAATCTTGCCCCGATGGAACTAGATAATAATGGTAACTACAATTCAGATTCTCGTCGTGAGCTATCCTTTATTCGGGGCGGATACTCCCAAGTGGATGCATATGAGGCGGAGTTGGAACGTGAGCGTCAAAATACCAGCATTGGCGAATTGCTGATTCCTGTTCAACCTCGCAAGGCACAACCTGGTATTTCATCTACTACAACCAATCGTGCTCAGCCAGTAAGCCTGCTTGTATTTTATACTAAATTGGTTGAAGTTTATATTCTACATTGTCAATTATGACTCTTACATTTTGAATATTTGTGTTGTTCATTGCAAACAATAGAACTTTGATATATGGAGACAAGCTTCCACTACTAATCAAACACAACCCCAGCAACTGCACTATACTCATGCACGTCATCTGAGTATTGAAAATCCACAACTTCAGGGATCTTTTGGGCAGGTACAAAACAATCAACAAATGCGATATAACTTGCGATCGCAAACTCCTATCAACGGAACCACAAGCATTCCTCCAAACGGTACTAATCGTCATATTCCTCGTTCCATTACACAAGGATATGAACATACAGATGCGTCCGAAGCTGCTAAAATGTGGGGTCAAATCAATCAAGCTCAGGAAGCCCAACAGATTCTTGTGCAGGACCAACGATCTGATGATATGGCAGGATTTGTACTCACTGGAGGGCGTATTTCCACTCCAAATTCTGGAGGGAATCGAAAATAGTAGAAACCAGCCTTTAGCTGTTAATCTTGAAAAATCTGAAAACAAATTGCAGATATTTTTTGAATTTAGGTACGAGAATGTGAGAATGCACAATCAATTAACTATTGCTACAATGAAATAGAAAATAAATGATGTTCAATTCAAATATGTTTTTGTATTTTTGTTGATATTGTGTAAAGTATGTTCGAGTCGAGTTGACTCTTGGTTTTTTGATACATGGTGCACAAACTGCAATGTAGCTCCAGGATTGTAGAATTCAGCACACGCATTAATATTCTGTAAATGCAGGGCCTCTGTGGGAGAACTAGATAAGGATTCTGAGCTATTTGGCCACACATTCATCCAACCAAACCATCTTGAAAGAAATGAAGGTCCTTGAGAATGTAATCTCACGGATCGCGAGATATGCTGCGTGTCTCGTTTTCTCCCTGTCAATGCAGTGAGTGGATCAATCCCAACCCAACGACCTACAAAAATTCTTGCAATACCCTCACCAAGACCATAGAACATGCCCTGAAAGAATGGAGCAATGACGAGGTTTGTAATGCCTTTAAAAGTAAGAAAAAATTCTGGATCGTGGATTGGGATAGCAAGAGCCTTGAGGGGATCAGTAGAGTGAGTGCCGTGATGTTGGTCAGCTGGACCTACATATGATTTTGAGGAGAATTAGTGCATGAGTTAGTATCCAGAGTATGTATGATGTGCAAATATCGAATGGCTGAAGTTTACAACTGGGGTTTAGAAATGGTAAAAGTTTAATAATATACAGATAGCTGTGCAAGACAAGAGAGTCATGTCATATAATGTGAATATGTAGTCAGCATGTACCAAAAGGAGCATTGATGGAGTAGTAGATGCTCATGAATCTTGCAGCAACTGGTTTAAAACACTTGCATTGGACTGACCTATGATTTCATCTGAAAATTCAGATTCCCAGCTCTCATGTTCATCATCTCTAAACCCATCACTGTGTGCACCTATTTCATCTGTATTGGCATGAGCGATACTCATTGCAAGTGCGACTGAGCGCTGGATATCAGATAACGACCAATATAAATGGTCGAGTTTGAATTTTCGGTTTGTCAAAACAGCCAAAATTTATTCAATAAACCCCGAATTTGCTCACTCGACAATTTCCACTTTTCTACAACAGCAGCTATCAATATGTACTCTCAAGAAACTGTCGAAAGAATAAACAAAGTGGTCGCATGGTCCAAGCGAGCGCTTCATTTAGGATTCATTCCTCTTATAATATATTTAGGTTTGTTCTACTGGTTTGGCTGTAACATTTCAATATTTTTTTGTTGGCCATTGATATGTCCTAGTTCTTTATCCCACGTACCTTCAGCACCATTTACGTCAATAGTATGGTTACTTTATAAGAAACAGTTTGAATTTTTGCAACAAGTGTTATCGACTAGTGCTGAAGCAATATTCAAAACTGATCAATCAGGTTTAATTGAAACTGCAGTGATCAGTCTAGATTTTTAATGACTATTCGAGGCTGCAACCCATTGTTTTGATTTTGAAAAATCTAATGTATATGTAATTGGCCTTGGATTGGATACTAACGTGTTCATCTATATGATATATGAATTACAATCTGGTTGGGTTGTCATGATTGTCTTGTCTTTTTGAACGATAATTTATGCATTTCCTTGATCAACGCATATGCAACGACTTGGTTGCCTCAGGCTTTACTCGCACTTTTCCCAAGCCATCACTTCTCAAGATCATCTCTCCCCTTGCTGGGTAATTTGTGATACTTGACTTATTGGCACCAGATCTGGCATTTCACGAATAAACAATTGGATCGCTTTTGGCATGTGTTACATTCGATTCTAGATTCCTTGTTGCGAAAGTATGCTAGATGTGTTTGAACTTGAAAATTGTACACTGTATGGCTATTACAAAATATGATCATTTTAATTCAAACCACAATTTGATTGTATAATGACGATGCGTCTATTAAACAGTCGATTTTCTAATAGGAAAACAGCAAGTATTTCATTTTTTATTCCAAAGCAAAACAGTGCAAGATAAATACAAGTTCCATTTTACGTGAATACGACAGTAATATCAAAAACATGCCACCATCCATTGCCGATGAGCACAGAGAGAATGTTCTTGAACTAGATGGTATATTTGAATGCATTGATAATAATCAAGCACTTTATACGAGTAATATGGTGCATGGCATTCCAAACAGTTGTATACAACTCTACTCTAGCAATACAGATTCTGTTTCTGATCCATAGGAAATACTCGATCTACTCGTGCTATATCATCAACTCATTGATATTAATATTCACAGGAAACTAACTGATAATACTATTGCAGAGTATCGAGATTTCGTTGTGGATGGTTTTCAACCAGCCATTCATGCGTCAAAAATGATGATTTCAACAACTGAGGATGGCCAGGAGGTTGGCATGTCGGAGATATTGGGCAAGCTCAACTACGATATTGAGTATCTTGGTAAAAAAATTAATGAGCAGGTATGTAGCTTGCAGATACCATCAAGGCTTCAACATCAATTCCATCAAGCTGATCTTACATTGTTGAATTCAAGGTATTGCGACATTACGATAGTCTGCTCAACCAAGTCAGTGAGTTGAATAGTGTCGAGTCTACCATGAATACTGTCAAGCAAAGGTTCAATACTATGCAAAGTTCCTTCAATCGGTGAGATCTTTCATTAGTCGAGTATTTATCTCGTCAGATTAAACTCTCATTTCATTGCTAACAAATATTGATTAATTCATTTATAGCATCAAGACTCGCTTGGTTGATCAGCACTCTCAAATCAAACAGTGCAGCACACAGATTGACCATGCGCAGGCATTGAATGAGGTGTTGCGTCAGGTTGACCATTTCCTTCGTTTGATGACTCGACTGGATACTGAAATAGCTGCAGGTCCCGCTGAATATGCCAAAACCGCAATACATATCTATGAACTTGGTAACTACGTGTTTTTGTCAAGCCTACTTTCTATGCGATTTGGTACAGCTGTATGAAGCTAAATTTTGATTAACATTATACTGCATGCAAAAGAATGCATTTTAGCGGAATCTGATTTATCTGGAATTGAAGTAGTAGAAATGGATTTGAAAAAAATGTCGGAATTCAAGACTACGATCGATACATATGCCAACACTTTACTGCATGATGGCTTGACTGAGCAGGTGATTATATACTTTTAAAGATTGAATCAATGTGTCACAGTGTTTTATATGGTGATTGCTTATTATCAATCTGCTTGCTTATAGAATCAAGCCAAGGTTGCTGAAGGTTTGCAAATATTTTCCAACATGCATACTATGCCTGCTAAAGTAGCCGATCTCATAAACAGGATAACCACGACTATTGTGCAAGAAATACACAAGACTTTTGACGTGATTTCATTGAATGCTGAGATGAAGGAGATACAACAGCGGTCGTCTACAACTGGCGGCGTGCGTCGTGTAAACGAACCTCCAGTTGCATCATCGTCCTCAAACGTTGCTACCTGGGCCAATATTTTGTGGACACGAACTGAAAAACTCACAGACGTTATCTACACACTCTCTGTTCAGCTTTACCTTCTTGATAACCTGTTGAAGCGCAAGTGGGATCCTGTCACAAGAATTTCTTTTCAAGAAGAGGTCGTCCAGGTTGGTCAATCTGAGTACCATTATTGACTATTAGTTGAAGCCTTGCACTGATGTTGATCATTGTTTATTGCACATGGCTTTCTAGCTTATTGGAGGAGATATACCTTTTGTGTTTTGGACAAATATTGCACAGCTTTTAGACAAAGAAATTAAAATTGTCACAAAGGGTAGGTTGTGATATTGCGATATGTTGTCAAAATAATACTTGTGCGCCATAATGAAATGCTGATTTTTAAATATGCCGAGTTAGGATCACAGTTTTTGCTACAGGTTTTGCAGGCAGGATACCCAAGATTTCTGCGTGTATTTCATGATGTATTCACAAGAATTTCGCTTGTAAGCGGAAACACCTTTAACGGAGTTGACAAAAGTTTTGAAAGCCAGACTGTTTTGCGCATTCTGTCTTCATTTGAGTCTGCATATGTGTCTAGATCGCTTACTCGATTGCTTGATGTGGTCAATTCGGTATTTCCTGACAAACCTGTTCCAGGACAACGTGTCAGTGCTAGTCGAGATGATGTTGATAAAATTATGCGCACAGTATCTAGGTATGTGTTTTGCGCATGACATGCAGCAAATACTTGGAACTTGATATTCAATCTTTTTTGACTTTTGATATGCAGTGAATTGGATGTTGTCAAGTTTGATGGCAATTTGTTACGAATGGCATCCAAAAATATTCTTAAAGCATTACACATGTATACAGTCAAATGCGAGAATCTGGTATGTTTTAGTTTCCAATTACAGTCGTGGACTTCAAGTTTTACAGTATTTGAGTTGGTGGATTGACTCTTAAATGCTCATTGATAATTTAGTCTCCAACAGATACATCTGCATATCAGATTGGCATTTCTATCTCCAGCTCGCAACAGCTTAATGTGGATATTTTAAACTGTCTTTCGCATGCCAGCGACAGTATTTGGCGCTTACTCGATGATTACGAAGATACCACTGCCGCTGTATCTCTCACTGATGCTGTGACTGTATGTTTTTACTTGGCCATTTCTTAGTTGTTCAAAGTTATTGTCTACTAACTATTTTGAAAACTGTACTTTAATGTATTTTACATTTAGACCACCACAAAGTTGATACAAGGCATAATTGAGCCATTATTAATGAGTTTTGCTTGCGAACTTGAGGCAGTCATTGCAAAAATGCACAAGGAAGATTATTCGTCGTAAGTCTGCACACTTTGTTTAGGCGATTGACTTTTGTGAGCCTAAACTATCAATTGTTTAATCATATATAGAACACAGCCAGCTCGTGTTGTAGCTCCACGCCAGTCTGATACCACTAGCGCATACATCCCCGAACTTGTTACCCATTTAAAATGGATTGCTCGTGAGATTTTAGGAAGGCTCCAATGTGGAGATGATACTCGTGAGTGGGCCAACTCTCTGTCCACTCGTACCGTCGAGCTTCTTATGCGACATGTGAGTTTGGTCAGGCCACTGAATGAGCTAGGAAAGCTTCGTATCGCTGCAGACTTGACACAGATCGAGTACGTTTTGAACCAGTTTCTTGGCACCTATGATATAAAATTAGATGTTGATCTTGTTGAAACGCATCGATCTATGCGCGCTTTCAGGTATAGTTTATATATTTGCTTGGTTTGGCGTAACGGCATTGCCTTTATTGAATAAGCTACTGATATTACTGGCTATCATTTGAAACACATGGTCCATTTGCTACAACGTTTGCACTGCACATATTTGATTTTATGAACTGGCAGACATTTGCTTTTTATGGATCAAAATGAGCTTGCCAATGCGCATCAACTCACTCATTTATCCCCGATAATAGTTCTTCATCATATCATTGTTCGATCAAATGGAGCCATCCCGCTTCCAATGCAGGTTCGTGGATGGTCTCCATCAGAGTACTCCACGTGGCTAGATAACCATTCACTGGCACAAACTTTAAGCTTGCTGGAAAAAAGTTTGCTAGTTTATGTCAGTGAAGTATCTCGACGTGGCGAAACACAATATTGTATCGAGTGTCCTATTCTACGCTCGTTGCTAACAATTTATGCCAAACAGCACCAATAATCGATACAAGTAACTATATCAGCAAAAGCAGTTTTTATATTTGGTTGTATTTCTACCGTTTTTAAACTTGCAAATCTGACCAATATAAAGAGATTGGCAAAATGTCGACTGACTGGGAGATAAACTCAATTAGACTATCAAATATGCATCCTGCTCGACTTGCTTGAATATATGAAGGAGCTAAATGTGACGGCTTGATGATCTATTGACTGCCTGTGTTTAGCAACTATTTGGAAAATAAAATATGTATGCATTTAGCTATTACGTCGTGGTCATGACATTTACCTAAATGGTGGAATAAAACTGCTGCTTTTTGCTTTTTACAGGTTTTTTGAATCTATCAGTACTGCCATTGAAAACTGCAAGAATTCATTCTGTATAGGATCAAGTAAGTAGTAAGCCAATAATTGACTAGTTTCACTAACGGTGGCCGTTTGTATTGTGCATGTATTTCTGGTAAATCGACAGATGCAATCATGCCATAAAAAGCACATTATAACGCTAGTACACAATTCATTTATTTAACCTTGAATAGCAGTTTCAAGATTTTCATTTCAGTGTTTAAACATGCAATTGATACAAAAAATTGTCCAATAGTGAAGATGTAGAAGAGTTTAAAATGATGGCTTGGTTGATCAAAGTAGATATTGACAAATCAAGTCTGTCGAGTATGAGTATTTTGGAAGATTGACTTGAAATATAATCATTTCTGTCTTTTCATCCACATTAACAATGACCGTAATCAGCCATACCTTGCAACATGGCCAAATGGTATCTTTATATTGTGCATTTGACACGATTAGCATGTAGTTTTTACAATCTCAATCGATATTTTGTATATTAAAAATTGAATACTAATTCACTGCTCAATAATGTTTTATTTTATAAACACAAAACAGTTTATTTCAGCCATTGAAACAACATACACAATCCAATGCATTCCAGTCAGTGATATATACACATCTCATGCAACTGACAATGCCTGAGGACACTGCTTGATGATATTTTGGAATATTTGCTCGTCGCAATCCAACAAATCAATTTCATGAATAACCAAACTTCAGCACAACATCTATATGAACAGACTTCACAGTACAAACATTGGCAGTTTACTGCAGAAAAACTAATGGAAAAAAGACTCCAGGTCAACACTGATGGGGTTTCTCGAACTCTAGAAGCATTAAGGCTTGAAAACGAGGTAAGCTTTGTCTGATCTAGCCCATCTACCATCGAGATTGTTATTTTAAAAGGCTAATGACCATTCTTGCTTGAATGTTTTTGTATTCTAGTTGAAACAGTCAGAAAGTACCGATTCTTCCACAAGTCCTGGTTCCGAATGTGTTACATGGAAAGAGCAGCTGGACTATTGCAGATTTTACGAAGGCAAGATCATCGATTACTGTAAATTCTTTGGATTTGACAAGACTGTTCAAGCAAGTACCAATGGTTTTGCAATCCAACCATTGCAATCTTTTTCTGACCTAATTAGACAATCGATGCTGGATTTCTAGGCTACAGCGATTGTTTTTTTTAAAAGATTCTATCTCAACAATACCGTCATGGACTATGATCCCAAAATTATCTTGTAAGCAGATACTTTAGGTTTTGGATCTGCACTGTCAACAGCTGCTTACATATATCAACCGTTTAGGATGACATGTCTTTTTTTGAGCACAAAAGTAGAAAACTCGTTGATGCCGCTCGATGAGTTTCTCAGCAAAGTACCCAAATCGCCAGATGCAAGCGTCATGATTCATTTGGAATTTGTGCTTTCCAAAGGAATTCAATTTGAATACTCTGTGCATCATCCATACTGGCCATTGCATGGATTTTTCCTTGATATCCAGGTAATCAAAACTGTAGATTGATGCAATAGATTCATATCCAACTAATCCATCACTCGTCCATAATTTTATAAACACGTCACACATCGATTATTCAGACGTTTATACAATCTTCACAACCCCGAGGGAAACACCCAGACTTGATAAAACGACTGTATGCCGTCTATAATCAAGCAACAGATTTGATTACATCGTCCTTGATATCAGATGCTTTGTTCATGTATATGCCTTCACAGATTGCTCTTGCTGCAATCCAGGAGATGGCAAGTCATGTATCTACTATTGCACCCATCATCAGTGCATTTATTACAGATCGATTTCAAAACGAAACACCCGAACGAGTACAAGGATTGATTCAACTTTTACAGGCAATTCGTGTAGATTTGTGCAATGCCAAGGAGCTTACAGTAAACAAGGCTACAGCAGCTGTAGTAGCCAGCAAACTCAGATTGTATTCCAATCCTGAATTTGATCCTACAAGTAAACTATTTGCTTTGCGCAAACAAGAAGAGGAGCAGCAGAATGAAGCCAAGAGATTAAAAAAAGCCGACAAGGCTCGACACAATCGTGACCAACTTGCAACGATTGTCAACTAGATGTATTAATGAGCCAAATCAACAAAAGCAGTCCGTTTTGGATTTATTCGTAAGATGAAGGCTCGAGTAGCTGTAGCTCTTGAAATTGATCACGAATACCTCGTCATTGCTTAATGTCCTTTTTAGTTCTAAACATTGCGCAAACACGACGATGTCGCTCGACAAACTCTCCTTTGAATGAGTGTGCTGGATCGTCTGTCATGGGAATTTCATGTGTGTAGTTGTATCGAGTATCGTCGCTAATTGATGACAAAATAAAAAGATTAGCTACCAATTGACAGGATAAAGCATCTAGAATGGTTTACTTACGCTTGCATATACAAGCATCTGGCAGGAACAAAAAGTTTGAAATAGTCTCGATCAGGGTTTTTGACATTCCGAAAAATAATGACAGCAGGCGAGATCAAACACAATCCGCCAATGACATCTCCAGAAGACTCGACAAAATCTACATGTGCGCGAATGCCACTGTTTCCATCCCGCATATCCAACACATGAGGCGGAGTCCATTTAGCCGGTCGGTTTGGTCCAAGCCATTTGGACATGGCAAGTTTAGTTTTATCAAGGATTTCCACGGCCTCCTTTTCACCCGGGGAACTTGCAGTTTCAACAGATGTCCATGCACTAACGATTGCTTCTTTGTATCCTGTAATGACATGATCGGTATGAGCTTCACGGTATCCCTCTCTACCAAAAAGCCGACGCAGTTTCTTTGTAATCTCTCGTTCAAGAATCTCCTCTTCTCTGGGCGTGATGGCATTCGGAATAATGTTGATGGAAATGGGTTTTAAAATCTTGGCTTGTGGACCCATTTCGATAAAATCGTATGTTTTAGGATTAGAATTGTATGTAAAAGACACAGTGGAGAATAGAGTTTGGCTGTTGAATAGAATCGATGGAACAAATACTGATAATGGTTCAAGCGATGAGGATTGAATGCGAGCTAGTTTTCCAACTGGCCTGAATGCATGTGAGGGTGTAAAACGGACAAAAGGTAAAGAGTCACGACACCAAAGAATACTACAAGAGAACATGCCGTAGTAACAGTTATGGTTGAGCCAAATCTTGTAATCAAATGTCGAGGAAAACACAATCCATGATTTTGGCGAGTTTTTTGAATCGACATTAACCTGCGTTCTGCCAGGTGAAAAGGCTTGACCATTGCAACAGTTGCTCATTGTCTATACAAGAAACATGCTTTGTCTGCATTCATTCTTGTTTCTGTTTGCTATTCCGTTTCCACAAATATCCACTTTGCTGCTGCTCATGTATTTGCTGATGATGCTAGTGGAACATAAACCCTGTTTATACTGGTAATTTGCTATTGCAACTCTGATATAACAGTATTTATCTGTATCTCACATAATTAAATCTGATCCATATACATGCTCTAGCTCTCTGTTGATCCTTTTGCTTATGACTTCATCTTGTTCCATGTACGGAACTGATGAGATTGGGAGTCGATGCTGGCTTGATTTAGACCCTGACTGGCTGCATACTGCAAGACTATCCAACATGGTCTACAAAGCTTGGACTCCGACATTAAAATGATGCTAGTTTTCAATCCGCATCTGGGCACTGCGTCCGTTTTTAGTGTTCCAATCTGATTATTATCTGGTAGTGTTGGCATCTACTGGGTGTTTATTCCGGATAAGCAAGATACGGTTATCCATCAAGATCCATTTCATATTACAGTCGTATTCACATACATGGAACACTAATAGAGCCAAGATACATGATAAACAGTCATGTTTGATGGGTGCCAATCTTACTGGACAGCATTGTTTTATAAACTTTAATTCACTAGTCTTTGTGCTCATCCTTGTACAAAATACAGAGCGAATATTCGCATCTCTGTTTCAATAAACTCCACAACTTTGACATTCTTGCAACTCTTTTTTCCAAACCAAACATGTAAAGTGAATATTGGGTGACTGGCATGGAAACAACAGTTGCACTCCTGAAATGCTCTCTTGAACTAGAGCGTGAACGTATCTGATATTAGAATATGACAGAGTTTTAATAGAAAAAGTAATCAACTTTCAAAACAACCAACCATTGTTTATTCCAAGACAGTCATTGCAAGATAAATGCAAGTGTTTCATTTTACGTGAATACTGCTGTAATGTATGTCCAGCCTGTAAAGGATAGTTTTTATTGGCATGTGCCGAAAAAAGATTGATAATGGCTTGTCTAGATTTATGCATTATATCTGAATCTCAAGCACATTCCATCAAGTCACACTACGAGTTTACTGGATAATATCCTCAATGTTCAATCCTGAAAACTCGAGCATGTAGCGCAGGTTGGTGGATCTCGACTGAAATGGTCAATCGAGATTCTGTAAATGAACAAGAAATTTGAACTTGACTTCAATCTCGACTATATCTAGTACAATGACCGATTTGGCTGGCCTGTCCGTTAATCCACACCATGCAACAGAATGTGTCGTTTCTACAGACAACTTTGAGTTTTTCACAGAGCTTACTAATATATTAGTGCAAGTGTCCAAGCCAGATACGAATGTTTCTCCAGACACTCAAGGTTTAGCTATTGCAGCCAAGGTATTTAATCGACATCAGTTGCTTTTGATAAAGTATAATATGCACAGTTGTTTCAAACATGATTATGAATAGTGCATTGAATAAATGCTCGTTAGAAATATTAGATGACGGCTTTGTTGGAGCGAATCCAGCAAGCTCACATCACGATACAGAGCCTGCCTAGTATTCATCTGACAGTAACAGAGCTGCAACGAATACTGGACAACTATACAGCTGTTCAAACGATGAAAGTGTAAGTTGTATTTTTATCATGCATGGAATAGACTCGCCATGTTCAATCCATCTTAAATACATGCATGACTTGTATTAGTGCAAACCATGATCGATCTTTGAACACATCTGCTGATACTGGACCATTAGTCAGTCCAGTAGCCGATACCATCATGCTCAACACTCGGCCTGCTTTGGATCTTGCAACACTGCCATTGCACAGTACAGCAGATGTCATTTCCGCTCCATCTTTACAGGATCAAGAGATCGTGCAAGAACCAGCAGCTGTGTTGAATACTTCATCTCAGAATACACTTGATGCTCTAGCAGAGTCACTGCTGCAAGATGCATTGAATTTTTCACCAACTCCAACAACACATGATTCCATGACTACGCAATAAAAATCAACAGCTTTGGTCAACCTAAGCAGCTGTTTATGTAATTGTATAAACTCTTGTTCAACAAGTAGATTTCTGATTGTTTTATACAATGATTATATTTCCAAGTTTATCTCGAAGTTCAACTGTAGCCTTTTCATCTTCGCTGTCATAATAGCTTGATTCTTCAGACTCGCTCAAAGGCATATCGTATCTACGCTCCTGCACTGTCCTGTCTCCATGGGATGAATTGCCTAATTTACTTTCACTTGTAGAATCACTGCTATCTAAAGATCTAGAAAGCATCGCGCTGCAATCCTGGTTGTCGCGATTGGGATTTGGCATCAAGAGACTCTCGTCTCGAGTTCTGCGTGAAATATACGATTGCTCCATGTCCTCAATGTACTTTGTTTGCTTTTGAACAATATCTGCTGCATCAGTGCATTTGGAATAGATATCAAACAACTCTCTATATACATGGATATCATGTGAGCGACGACTGGAATGTTTGAATCAAAAGTAGTTGTGCTAGAATTCAAGACTCACTTGTTAATGTCGTAGAATGCATGACCCCATCCGAAATTTTCCAACAATGCATGTCCAGCATCATCCAAACCAGTAATGAAGCAGCAGGCAGCAAGAGCCTCTACACAATTGAGTTTAGAGGGCTTTCCATAGTTTACGGGATTCGCAGCAACAAGATATGGCACTGTGAATTGACAACATGAGTTTAGAATTAGCTGCTAATCTCGGGTAGCCCAAGCTTAACCACAGTGGTTTTTAGTTTCCATCATAATAGTGGTTGTAATTCAAATCTATTATATACTTGCATAGTCGTTCATGTCGGGATGCAATCTTTTTAAATGGGACTTCTTCGATACGTGCCCATGAACAATCTACAACTGCAATGCCAGATCGAATAATAATATCACGATCGGATGGCGAAACAGCACATACACCTCTTGGGCTTTTCCAAAAGTCAGCAATCGGGTTTTAAATGTTGGTTGATTTAATAAAAATACAAATTGATGAACCATAACTTTGAGTTTAAGCAAATGGCTCATTACCTCATGACAATACCACTAAACCGTTGACCAACTCGCAAATTGGTCATGACTCCAACTCTTGCTAGTTTTTTTCCAGAACAGCGCTTAGGATCGCAGTGATCAAAGTCCTGGGTTTGATAAAATATGCATGCATTCCAAGTTAATCCACATAATACTGAAGGGTTGAAGCAGACATGAAGTGTTTGGGGTCATTCAAAAAAGAAATTCTGGTCCAATGCACATACCCACATGGCAACAGGAAAAGGTATTTTATAATGCTGATCGGTATGCTCATGACTAGAATTCAAATATCATAGTGGTTGACAGTTGGAACTAGTGGTTTTATGAATGATGCCTTGACTGACAAGGCAAGACAAAACTATGCACCATAATATACCTGTCGTTGGAAGAAACTGGCCTGTCATTGGTGTCCAACTGATTGATTTGTTCCTGTTTGTAACGATCTTGCTGAGCCAACGACATACGCATGCTTCTTCCTTTTCCATTTCTGCTCATGATGACTGATGGAAAGTCTGACAAGTGAGTTTTGGCTTTACAAGCAAAACGTGATTATAATGATTTTACGATTATTGTTAATGTGAATGAAAAGGCAGAAATGTTTATATTTCAAGTCAATCTGAACATGTTTAATAGACATTCTGATGGCATCAAACAAACTGTTGTTGCTGCAGATGGTAATGCAATGGTCAGCAAACTGGTCATACCAACAAGTCAGATTGTCGTACACAATTGATGGATGATTCTGCCATTAAAATCAATAATCTACCAATGTTTGCAAAACAAGAATCCGATTCATCATACACAAGCATGGCTGAATGAATTCTATGCAAGTCCTTTGCCAATTTATTACTTTTCCAGTCGTTTTTATTCCCATTATCAGACCGCGATTCCAACTCCAATCCCTCAGGAATATACGTTCTAATCTTGACCACTTTAATTTGTTGGAATTTAAGGTTGGATATTTAAAAGTCATTAGTTAAAACGCAATGACAAATACAGTGACACACTCTTTTTCGGAGCTGTACAACATAGACCATCCCTCATCGCTTCCTTTTAATGAACCACCAGATAGAAACGGAGGAGGTGGTGAAGCATCTACATTTTTTGGTCTTCCCACAAAGCGCAATGCTCATCCAATATCCATTAAACCAACTCCTCCAAAGGCAGAGGCAGCAACCACTTCCTTTATTGGTCTGATGATGTCGTCACGCAAACGTGCCAAAAGTCCTGAGATGGATCAATGCCCTCAGTGTCCAAAGTCATCAAAGCCCAATTTGGCCAATGACCAGTCTCTTGATAGAAATGGACTTCCTCTTGTAGACTCGTCACTCCATGCCACGCCTGAATACGCGTATCTCGACTTTCAACGCGAGCTGATGCCTCATTTGCTTGCTGCTGTACCTCGTATAAAAAAATCAAAGGCAGCTGCATCTCCAGGACAACAAGCATTGTCTGAAAACTTGCCTGATGATGGGGAAATATGTTTAGAAGACTACTATCCTGGCGAGACTATTCCAGATCTTCGCGCTTTGCTGTCAGATCCAGTTCTTGGCGAATTAATACCCACCGAATCACAATGGTATTTGCTAAACCAGCTTCGTATTCATGGCGGTATGCCTGAACGATCCCAGTCTGGAATATCTAAATTGGCTCAGTACGTTAAAATTATTGCATTTGATTTGTCATTAATGTTTAAAGTGCTTTATTTAAAAGTTTCAACCTTTTGATATATTATTTAACTGTCGATACTACAGCTACTATTCTCAGCTACTTCATATTGAAGAAAAGTTTCCATTTGAAAATGGAAAAATTTCCATCGATTTCAATTGGTACGAAGCATTTAAACAGGATAAACAAGGCAAGAAATATGTACAATTTTTCTTTAGTAAAGCATTGAAACTAAAACATATTTGGCAACTTTTTGTTTAGTGTTGAGCAGTTGCATTCAGTATGAAAAAGCTAGTGTTTTGTTTAATTTAGCTGCAATTTTCTCGCAATTGGGATCTAGCACCCGACTCTGGACCTTGGATGGGAAAAAACTTGCTGCCGGATACTTTCAAAAATCGGCAGGAACTCTTCTTTTCATTCGAGATTCGCTTTCTCAAAGATTCAAAATTAAGCTAGATAAGCTTTCTGATCTCAACGAGACAACACTTTCTGCTGCTGCCACATTCATGCTTGCCCAAGCCGCCGAGTGCTTTTATGACAAAACAAACGATGGTATGCATGTGTTGATTTGAAAGAATATTATAGTTAATGCCTTTGTTTTGACACATTTTCATAATTGGATTTATTGATGCTGCACAGAAAAATCATCCAGTCCAGTGACATCACTTGTCTCCGTGTATGCAGCCGATTTGTATGATGTTGCTCATCGTCATGCAAAAGATGGATGCAGTCTTCTCAAACATCGTTTTCCTCGTAAATGGACTAGCACAATGAAATGCAAGTCGAATCTTTTCGGTGCAATTGCCCATTTTCATACTGGTCCAAATACTTCTGTAGATCGTGTTGTTGCAGAAAGACTGGCTCGCTTGGGAGTAGCAAAAGAATTGGTCACAGATGCATATAGGAGTGCAATCGATGTGGGCGGTATTCTTCAAGATCTAACCAAAGGACATCTTTGCACCATACATAATGCTAATATTACTGTAGATGCTGCCAATAGCTCACATATACACGAAACACCTTTTGATTCGAGACTATTGGCTCCATTAAAACGGCCGTCTCAAGCCTTGGTGAATCCAATATCGCTTTCTGACTGTATTCCAAACCTCAATCAATACTCTGACATATTCCATGCTATTATCGCACCAAACTATCGCGAAGATGTCAGGTTGGTGACTCATGAGAGTGCTCGGGTTGCTCATGCCGGTCAAAACAGTTTGCACAAAATCGTCAGTGATATTGATGAAAAATCTACCAAACTTGAACTTCAGCTTCCTCATCCAGTTGAGCTTACAATCAAAAATCAAGGGCTTGCAATGCTCCATACCGACGAGCTTCAAGTGCATGCTGGAAAACTACTAGATCGTATCTGTGAATTTCAGTCTGAAGAAAAATTGTTGTCCAGTAAGGATATGCTGGGACATCTTGACCGTCTTCTTAATTTTATTTCGATCAGTGTAAATGAAGCTGCCAGACATTTGAGCGGGATTGACATTTCAGTCTATCCATCCGATTCTGATCAATTGATCGCTCTTGTAAAGCTACGCTCAGAAGTCTCGCAACAGGAAAATGATTTCAAAAAGAGTTTTAGTAAATTTACTCAACTGAAAGCATTGTACGAGGTCGAGGTTTCTCAGTTTTGTATTTCTGGCTGGACAAAGGAAAAACTAAGTGCAATTATTCCTGTTTTGAAAATTCCCGCCAAGAATAGACAAGAAGCCAACTCTGTTCTTTACAAACAATTTGAAGCTGCCAAAACCCGGCGAGCAGTAGACATTGCTCGAATCGAAGAAGTCAGAAAAATATGCCAGCTTAAAATGGTAGAACTGAAATCATTACCATCCGACTCTTGGGTACGCACTCCAAACTTAAAATTCAAGATACATTGGCCAAGCAACGTGAACATTTGGTTGATATTGGACTTACTATAGAGAAATTGATTGCAGAAAAAGATATGCTTTTACAGAATCTGGCAGAGCAAAACACCGTATTAAATGGATTATCCCAGCATATTAAGGACGAGTTGGAGCAGGACTCGCTAGTAAAAAGCTTTAGTGACTCTCTTGACAAGTACAGTACTTATCGTATAGATACACAAAACGAAATATACATGACAATTGCTCTTCGAGAAGATAGTGCCAAAACACTAGCATCTGCGATACGATTTATGTTAAACAAAAATCACCCGCGTACAGCATTTGAAGGCGATGGTACTGCATCTCGCCAAGCTCTTCCTCCTCATCCTGATGGTGTAACTCGAGACCCATTGGTATTTCAAAAATGGAACGAAAAAAATCCTAGTAAAGACCAGCATTCATCTAAACATGAAAAACATATTGATACCGATCATCCCCATAGACCAATACGTATTAGAGTATATAGTGGTGCAAAAATCGCCAAACCGTGCTCATCAGAAACCCGAAAAAGACTTGCACTTGCTGATTTACTTGACCTGGATCATAAAAGTGTGGTATATGAGCCCTCTTATTCACACGCCCTGTGGGAAGAACTGCACAATCGAGCTACAAAGCAAAGTCGGCAGGCACAAATTGCATTAGATGCGTTAGATCATCTCAAGCCATCTGAGCCAGTAATCCCGTCTGTTCCTGAGCCTAATCCATACGAAGCGCAGCGCACACTTGCTACGCTTCTAGCTGCAGCAACTGCTCCACGACACCCATCTACAATGACTCGAGATTTTCATCATGCTCACCATACACATACCACAAGCCGTCGAGTCAGCATGAACTCGCGTATCCCTGGTGGATTCCCACATGAGCAGTCTATAAACCCATCGCACATTTGCACACCAGCCGAATCCAACACTTCATCTACTGGACTATTGGATGCAGTAAGAGGATCTTTGTCTAAAATGTTTACATTTAAAAAGGAAACTCAGCAGCCGCAGCAAACATGCCCTCATCATCAGCAAACCACTCTAACAATAGAAACAGATGACAGCATCAAAAACCCATTTACACAATTCACTAGTAGTAGAAAATCCAGCTATGCGTCGGCTATTGAAATGCAACCCAAAACTTCAGCGGTTCCAGTCAAGGAACCTAGAGTTGTTCACAGGACAACCTCTCGTCGTGTCAGCTCGGCTTTGCCTCATCAGCCAAGCATAAAAATTGAAAATGATAGCGAATCAGTAATTGAATGGACAGACTCGGAGGAATCGCCGGTTCGTGATGATGTAGAAATTGAGATTGATCATTTGCCAAACGGTCAAGCCGATGTTACATTTCGTGTTTCAACAGAAGATGGAAACAATCAAGAACAAGTTCGGTCCGATTATATGATTTCCAGGCTCATGAAAGAAAATGCTCGACTACGTAATCAGTTTATTGGGCTTAGAAAACCTGATGTAGCATCTACTTCGGTTTCTCAAAAAGAATCTGCTTTTAAAAATGCCACCACAGATGAATCCATGGCCAACATCCACAAAATGATGAACCTGTTCAAAGAACAGGAGAGTCGAATCAACACTTTAGAGAAAAAAGTGATTGTTGGAAAACCCAAAGCAAGCAAATCTGAAAGAGTCGAGCGTACCAATCAAGCCAGTAAAGGTTCTACAAATACTGAGCGGTATCATCGTGAAATGCTTGCCCGATGGATTCGAGATCAGCACCGACTATCCGATGCATGTGTATCAACAGACTCGATTGGAGTGCTATCGACATCCTCCTCGGACGATTCCCCAAATGGACAGAATGGTAAAGGTGGCGAGATATTTGGTCGAAAAGGCAATCGAAATAGCTCACGAGACACTTGGGCTCAAAGAGTAACATTTGGTACTCAAAAAGGAAGATATCATCAATGTGGTAAACGGCACAGCGCTAAAATAAACTCTTCATCGATGGAGAGTTCTGCCAATGAGATTCCAAAGTGCTCAGAGATGCATCGACAGGGCGGATCACAAATGATTATGGTTGTGCCAGCCATTGATATAACCGTTTCTTCAAAACAAATGAGACCTGTTTCTACCGAGGAACCATTTAGCGAAGCACCTTTGATGGACTATGCCGATCCAAAATCAGTAAATGCGAGCCACAAATCGCGCAACAATCTATTTCACTCTGGTATATGCCATACTACCTTTGTACCAAATCTTACCAATAAAAAAGGACCCAATACAATGTTTGAGCGAGAAGACAGCGGGATTGGCGGTACGCCGATTCGACTATCCTCATTTGACGACGTTGAAGCCAGCTTGCCATCAAAAACTAGATTCGATATCCAGCCGGAAAAATCTGGCAACCGTACCAAACCATTTGGTCGAAAAAATGGTAAAGATGCTCGAGACATGAAACTATCTTGATGTTGTCCAATTAAATTTTAATCTAATATTTTGAAACTTTTAGTGCTTCAAGAGCCTGGCTATACCCCAAAAGGCTTAGCAAACATGAAACTGGACAACGATCGTTTGGTTGAAGCACTGACTTGTCTAGACATGAATCGATGATACTAATTTTAAACAGTAATTTTATCTTGCAGTATCAAACTGCTTTTTAAACAATTTGATTAAACATGCGTATTTTGAATGGATTGGATTCATACAAGGGTATTCACGTAAAGTGGAATACTTTTGTATATATCTTGCAGCGACTGCCTTTCACTTCAGAATAAATAATGGTTAAATATTCATTGTTCTTGACTAGTAAAAATTGACTACTTGAATTGATATTCCCAATCCAATAAACACAACGTCCATCATTAATACAAACTATAGTTTTAAGCCTGCTCTTTTTCATTTTGAATCAGATTCGTGTATTACAATCCATACATTGGACTGGATCGTTCTATGCTGTCAATACAATTTTAAAAACTCACTATCATTGCATCCTAAAATATCAGATGCGTCCATACCCTAGTTCAGAACGATTTCACATCTCGGGAATGCAATTATACATGCCAATCATCCAATACCGTAATGTTCAGTTTGTAGCAAAGAAGAGTTGAACATTGAGCAAGTGGGATGTATTGGAACTGTAATGCGAGCATTCGTTCAGTTCTATACAAAAATGAGTGCAAGGGTCAACCAACCCTGTCGAGGAATTCAGATGACATCAATCATTTCATGGGGCTGACTGTTTATGTATTTTGGTAATTTGTGATCCGCTTTACGTAAATACGGATGAATAAATCATTTAAAACTTGGCAAGGTGTTATACTGATGGGATCACTTTAAACCAGACCATAAAGTAGCGATGAGTTGAAGCCCAGCAATTGAGACCAACCACTACGAATGCATGTGATCGAACCGAATGAAACAACCCGTTGCAGAATGTACTGAAATAAGATTTAGTGATCATCAGACTTGTTCAACTAAATTCATCTCCAAAATACATAATATGTCGTGCCGTTTTATCCGCATCACCAAACCTTGTTTATCTCAGCACTGCAACTAGAACTCGTGCACATCATTTCAAAACTCGAGTTATAAAACCCGAATCTTGCGTATTAAACTTTTGATTTTCGACGTCCAGTTTAGATATTTCATTACCAACTCTAGCAAATTATCGACAACTTACTATGCAACAGCAACCCTTTTCTAAAAGCTCTTCTTGCTCAGTAACCTTACCGCAGCATGTGGATGAAGCTTCTCCAACCATTATTGATATTCGTGGAAACAGTTCTCATTCCAACACTGGCTCTGACATGAAGACTGCCGTGCGAGATGCCATTATCAAAAAAACAGTTCCATTTGTAGACTCTCGTCTAGTTCGTGCTGGAAAGCCTGCTCCGACAGAGCTATTGAGATCGTTGCCTACAATGGTGCTTTATGACGACGAAGGATTGAGTATTTTTGATCGAATTACATATTTGGATGAGTACTATCTGACCAACGCAGAGATTGACATTTTCCAACACTATGCAGACGACATTGTCAATGGTTACATCAACAATGCATCTGTACTTGTTGAGCTTGGTTGTGGGTGAGTTTAGATCATCCACGCTCTATTTCTAATATCTTGATACTGCTGCATGTCAAACGCCATTAAGCAACTATCCGCAGGCTATATCAGCCTCATTGATTTATATGCTATCCATGTATCTGTTCACTTACTCTATTTGCATGCAATCAACTGATAGATCCATGCGAAAAACTAAATACATTCTACAAGCATTAGCCAAGTCTGGCAAAACAGCAACATATTATGCGGTCGATTTGTCCCGGTCATCGCTACGCGAATCACTGCTTCCACTCATGGCCATGTTTCCTACCATCACATTTGTGGGTCTTTGGGGCACGTACGACGATAGTCTTGCTTGGCTGAAGCAATCTATTCCAGCTTCAATCTCTAAAACGTATCTTTGGCTTGGGTCATCCATTGGAAACCTCACAATTCAAGAAGCTGCCGTGTTTCTACGTGGCGTTGCAGATAATGCAATGGAAACTGGTGATCTTTTCTTTTGCGGTATCGACCGCCAAAACAGCTTTGAAATCCTGTCGCTTGCTTATAATGATTCACACGGCCTTACCAGAGATTTTATTCTCAATGGCATAAACCACATTAACACCATTTTTTCAGCCGACAACAATTCAAATCTTTTTGATAAAAGTAATTTTGAATATGTATCGATTTACAACGAACTCGATGGGCGTCACGAAGCATATTTAAAAGTACTTCGATCACACACTGTTGTTGGGCATAACCCTGATTTCGAGGTAAATCTGGTTGAAAATGAGCTGATCAATATCGAGTACAGTTACAAATACTCCCCAAAGCAAGTTGCTGATGTCGTTGATGCCGCTCATTTGTATCATGTTGGAAAATGGTCCGACTCCAAAAATCTATACGATATGCATCTGTTTCAGAAACCAGAGGTATATTTATCTCGTCTAGACAAAAACACAGTATCTGCGTTGGCCAAAGCCACCCATCCTACTCTGGATCAGTTTGAAGACCTCTGGAAAATTTGGCAAGTTTTATTTATGCTAAAGTCATTTTCAGAATCTTGTAGATGCCAAAAGTATTCATCTCAATCATCAAGCTTGGCTGACACTTGCTTTATGCATTATTTCACAGGGACTTGATTGTCTCCAGCATGATTCCTAGCGATCATTACATGTTCAAACCAATTGACTTGCGCCATCCATATATTTTCTATATTGGTCATCTTCCATCATTTTCAGATAACCAGCTGTCCAGATTTCTTGAAAAAGATTTGTCAGGAAATAAGCTATTTTTAGAAATTTTTGGTCGTGGTATTGACCCAGACATGGATTGCACAACAAAATGCCACGACCATTCTCCAGTTCCTTCTCAATGGCCACAGCTATCCACCGTGATTGAATATCAAAATATTGTTAGGTCCAAAATCCGAGAAATGTACTCCACCACAAACGTTTATTCAAAGCGCCTTTCTCGCACTTTATTCATGTGTTATGAACACGATATCATGCATGTTGAAACGTTTTTGCAAATGCTAGTACAAGATTCGCATATTCTGCCGCCAAGGAATGTTGCTCGTCCTATCTTGAAAAATTCACGGTTGCTTCCAAAGCCATCAGCTAAATACCTCTCCATTGAAAAAGGCAGTTTCATCATGGGTCATGATGATCACGAAGTGCATGATTTTGACGAGTCCGAATCTTTGGCGAGGTTTGGATGGGATAATGAATACCCTGCTCACAAAGAATATGTTGATTCGTTCAAAATACTAAGCCGCCCAGTCACCGTTGGAGAGTATTTTGAATTTTTAGAATCCACCAATTGGGATGCGACATTGATTCCTGGATCTTGGACTCGTGGTGAACATTCACAAGGCTACGCCATCAAGACAGTTTTTGGGCCCATCTCAGTTGACCAGGCGTGGATTTGGCCAGTATACGTTTCCAATAACCAAGCAGCAGCATTTGCTCAAGCTAATGATACCCGACTTCCTACTGAACAAGAACTATCGTTTATTCGCAGCCAGCAACCCGCAGCAGATACAATGGAGAATAACAATTTTACTCAATGGACCCCTCGAGATGTGCAATCCATTACCAGTGATCAAGTGACCGATCTCAATGGTAATGGATGGGAACATACCAGCACTGTGTTTTTACCATTTAAAGGCGGCGCCAATTCCCAACTGTACCCCAACTATTCGAGTGATTTTTAGTAAGCCGAACCATATATTATTGTAAAACATTAAAAATAGGTATCTAACATTGACACTGGTAAAAATAGCCATGGAAAGCATAATGTGCTTCTTGGTGCTTCTTGGGCTACCATGGACAGTATTGCTTCCAGACGCACTTTTCGTAACTGGTATCAGCGAGCTTACGCATTCGAGTTTGCCAAATTTCGAACTGTCTGTTAGATGGCCCATGTCATGATTAGGCTGTTTTTGAATTCATTTATCTTTGCAATAAATTATAAAGATCTTGGCCAGCCCAATACTTTCGTAAACACCTCGGAAAATTATGCTCAATTGGCAATATCTGGTATTGGATATAAATTGGTTTCATTGATGCTTTATAATCATCATATTCCTAATTTCCGGAATAGCTGATCTGGAGGTGTCAAAGCCCCCAACGCTCGTCGCATCGACTCGTTCAAATAAGTGAGTCCAACCTGGTAGCTAGCATTCATCCATCCAAATCCTTCTCTAACGACAAATTGAAAATCGGCACCAACATTTCCATACTCGACGTCTATTTTATGTGTCATGTTCACCACATCAAGTTTCTCGGACACGACACCATTGAAATCAACAAAGCTTTTGGTGAGAACATATAGCCATCGGTAGCAAATACGGCGAGCATCAATCGAGTATCCGTACTGTTTCAGCCCAGCCCAAGCCATTATCTGATGAGGAGCCCACCCAAAAGGAAAATCCCATTGTCGATTGGGTCGATCGAGACTAATGGTTCCGCGCGATTCCTCTGTTCCAGAAACTAACCCTCCAACCGCTTCAAACTTTGATAAAACAGTGGGTACCATAACTTCAGCCTGTTGAGGTGTAGCACAGCCAGCCCATAATGTCCAGAGACAGGTCACAGTTTCGTATACTGATTGTTCGTGAAGTTCACAGTCCCAATCAAAAAACATCTTGTCAGTCGGCGACCAAAGATACTTTGTGATTTTAGTTTGTGTATGGCTGGCCATTTCAGTGAATATACGTGCTGGTAGCTTTACAATGAAAAAATCAGGTGATGCATCTGTTTCCTCATAATCAATTACCAATAAATCTTCATGCTTCGTGTCTGGTATCGTATTGGTTGAAATAACTAGAATATACATTAACATACAGTGCATAGTATCAGGATGCATATTCGAATAGTAAAGCATATGTAGTCGTTTTGAAATCAAACTTTGGTAGTACCTGACTCTTGAAACAAATCTTCACCCATGATAGCCAAACCCTTTGCCCAAGATGAGTCCCAATGACCATTATCACCAATGCATCCTGTCACTCCATGACTCAAAATAGCCTCGCGCCATTTTAAAAACTTTTTCAAATTTGTATCATCTTTACCCTTTCGAACTCGGAATGCGATTCTAAATCAAATATATAACAACCCAAAGTATTAGTCTTGTGCTAAATATATTCAGTATCCTGACACATCACTTACACTGATTTGCAGTGTGTATCTATCAATACCCCAATATCTTTTTGGTATTTGTAAATCAAACTCGCCAAATCGACAGTGGCAAGATTTGCACAGCGTTTTTCAAACCGGTATGTGGTGTCATGACCGCTTTCGCGTACGGCACGATCATGTACAAAGTACTGATCAAGTTCAGGTTCAGAGATTTCCAAGTTGTTGTATAGAGTAGTATATTCTTCAATTGACAGGTTACGTCGATCAGCAAATGGACGAATAATGTGATCAAAATGAGAGCTTTCGGTTTCTGGAGGCATTCCGACACCTTCAGTGTAATATCTGTATAATCCCGTAGTAGCGTCAAGACGTGGAGAAACCATCCATACACCCAGCAGCTCCTTGATAGCTGCCTTGATGCTCTGAATCATCCACGCATGAAGTGTTTTGGGTTCCCATGTTCCTTTAGTAACAAGTTTGTTGTACACTTGAATTGTCATGTCGGTGAGAAAAGGCGGCTGAGATCGAGTGAGATAATAAGATCGGTTGGCATTAAGAATCTTTCCATAATGTTCAAGCTCGTAGTGGAAATTTTCTATCATTCCTCTAGCAAGCTCAATACGGTCATCTTCAGCTAGACCTAGTGCTTCAAAGTAGCTGTCCCAGCCATACATTTCATTAAACCTTCCACCAGGGACAACAAATGGTGCACCACGAACAACAATTTCGCCTGTGGCAGAGTCTACCTGTTTGCGTAGCGACAGGGAAAGGATTCCAGGCGACGTATCGAGAGATTTCACGTACTCGGGTGATATGATTTCAGGAAGCTGCACTACATCCAATCCCAGATGTAACCTTTCTTTAGCAATAGTGTTATAATACTCTAGTGCAAAAGCATCATGAAATGGAACATAGATACGGCTGCGCTGGTCTTGACCGCGATTTTTTGGGTCAGCACAGATTTTCTCAAGTCCATCTGCATCAATACGACGAGTAAGTCCGTCCCAAAAGTGATATTTGATGAGCCTACTCATGCGATCAACTGGATTTTCATTGATGCGAGCTTCATTCAGAACAATAGTCTTTCGACCATACTCGGATGCAAGTGCCAATTCTTGCAGTAAATTTGAAAGCGCATAAGTTCCTCGGATTTCAAATTTATGGAATCCTCCAGAGTCTGCTGTTCCGACAATGAATGATTTTGGACCTGTATCGTAAATTGTTATTTGACAGTCCCCGTCTGTGTCTTCTTGAGCAAGAATTGCCTCTAAAATACGATACGTTACACAAGAGTCAAGTTAGATTCGTGGGCCATCTCAGTTGAAATTGTATCATCAGCTCATGAGTCACTCCATTACGTTTTGTTTTCTCGACATCGATAAGAAACCGACGATCCTTTACCGACGAGGCATCATGAGAGCTACGACGTTTGTGAATACTTTGAACAGGAGTAGGAGAGGGTTGATGGATTTCCTGAAATATCCCCATGTGAACAGGCGGTACTAGTGGCTGCATTGTTTTGGGCATTTCAAATAGGATTAAACAAGACCCATGTTAGCACTGTGAATGCTGGTAGAATTGGAGCACCCCAGCATAATTGTAGCAAGTCATGTGGGTATGCATGCTTCCCATTTCTGGTACTCCATATCATGACAAGCGAATCTTGAGCAGCTACAGCTTTATCCATGTGTCAATGCAGATACTTACTCGAGCAGCCATAACTGACATGGCTCGTACCCTCCTAATAACTCCATAAGAATATTCTTCATCACCGTGGCCATGGGCAATCTTGTGGTCCTTGTCGGCATAAAACAGCTCTTCCTCTAAATGAATCTGAGGTTTGATCGATACCTGTTTATCAAGGTCGAGTCGAATTCGTCTGGCTGAATCACTGGCACTCATTATCATGTATTCAAAGAACTAATGTTGCTTTATTCAACTCGACAAAATCAGTTGTATTACGACTAATCAAAACAGTAACCCGCCAAATCGACCTGATATGCAGCACAGCAGTATAACAATTATCCACCCCGCAGATTCAACTCCACGATCCGACTCGAAACCCATTCAAAGCAGTGTTGTGTTGAATGGTCTTCAAACCAGTATGATACATTTTGAATACATCTAGGCCAATTTTATTAAGAATTTGATGAAAACATACTAATTTGAAAGTTTATCCGATGAAATGAATCAGACCCAAGTTAGCAATGGAAAAAGTCTATAGGTGGAGAATTCAAGACTGGATAGTGTAGTTGAACACGAACCACAGGTTTAAAAAAGAGACTATTGCATGGGTTCGCATACTTGATGCAATTGCTCTTGCGCAGAGAGCACAGACGCCAAGTAACAAGATATGGATTCATGCAGATAGACATTGCTGTTGTAAAATCAGGGCATTTGGCTGGAGTAACAAGGTGTCGCTAGTAGAACCATCAACTGGTTGAAAGTAGCTCATTTCGTCAAAATCTCTGAATTCAGGCTTGCACGAGCATTGCTTCCGTAGCGAGCTCCAGCAGGTGATTGGTATGGCATAGGCAAGGGAAGAACCGAAAGCGAGAAACGACGCGACTGAGATGCAATAGGAATGTCCACTCCAGAGCAGATTGATTGGTTAGACAGCGATATAGACCAACTTGATCTGTCAGACCTGTCAGAAATAGAGTCTGCAGAACTACCAGAACTAGAGGTGGTAAGCCATCTGTTACGGACATGAGGCTGATGCAGCGAATGACCAAAAGCGCCTGTACTGTTAAAATTGTAGTTGTTGCGATTCATGGTGGATGCACCCATACTGTTTCTGCGACGATAGCGAGAAGCAACAGAGCTATATAGGGAATCATCAAAACCACGATCCAATGCATTCAATGAAGCCTCTAACTGGTCCATGATGGTGGAGCAATGGCCTATGGTGGGGCTTGGGTATTTGGGCAAAAAGGATATCATTTCAACCACTTCGCCAATATCAGACTGAGTGATACTGTTGGTTCCGTCACTCGAGGTGTCATCTAGAAACATGCCTTGACGAGGTACTTGTAATGTCTGAATACTGTGTTCAAACAACTCGTGGCTGGCAGAGACATACTCGGCATCAAGAGTGGCTGTTATTCGGCTAGCAACAGAAGCACCAGGCCGAGTTGGTATAGGCATGACTATAGGGATAGTTGCTGATCGTGTAGAAAACGACGAACTCTGTGAGTTGAAACGAGGACGCTGGAACAGATCAAACTCAATCTCTGTGTCTGCAAAAGAGGTTGACATTGCCATGCTCAATGGCTCTATAGTGCAGACAGACTCGACAAGTGAACGACGGCGGACAGTCGATATATCAGAAGGCGTGGTGGAGAACATGGCAGCATTGGTGGGAGTGCTGTCATCTTCACGGCCAAGCATCCCAGATGACATGTCCAAGCGGGAGCTGACTGGGATGAAGTGCTGCATATCAAAACTCACGGGATGCTCAACATCATCGACACTATCATTCTGTTTGTCTGAAACAGCCAGAGTACGAGGTTGATTTGCCATGACGACGCTGACGGCCACCATGCCAACCAAACAGGCTCCCAAAACAGCACCCACAATCTGAAAAACGAACACAACGTTTTTATGGTCATTTAAAAAAGCAGTGTTTCCAGCAGACAGTTTATCTCCAATAGCGACTACTGCATCGCCAGTGGGATTAGTACTGGTCAAATTCGATGTTTCTATGCCAGTAGAAACTTGATCTTGAGGTTGTTTTGGCTGTGGTGCATCATCAGACAAGGCATCGGATAGTTGGACAGTCGAGACTGGTGCATCATGCGACTGGTCTGTTGCTCGCTTTCCTAGACCAACAAATGAAAAATCTGTAGCCGAATGGTCTGGCGATGGCAGTACACCATTCCTGTGCTTTTGATTTGCTTGTATATATCCTGGTGGCGATATATTGCTAATATGGGTGTGTCTACCAGTATTAGACTCGAAAGCATGGTCTTGGTGTTGATACTGTTCATTAGTAATTGGTGATTCTACTAATGTTGGACATGGCGATTGAATTAAAATAGGTGCATGAAGGGGTGTTTGAACAGCCAGAGAATCTACAAAGATGGCAGCAATGCATATTGTAACAATTCCCAGCGACAGACACCTCATTGAATCCAGTCTGAAATGAAATAGATTGTAACTATAGGCTGTAAAATGTTGATTCGGCAAAAAGGGAGAAATGTGGATCGTTGGTCATTCGTGGTTGATAAAAACAATTATGCTAGCTTTTGACATTCAGTATGTCTATTAAAAATTGCATAGCATTAGTCCACTTGTCTATTGATTGATTGTATATCGACTCAAGCCATGTGCTAATACTACGGGTTTTGAACCGCATTTGCAATATTATACGGGTCAAGCGGGTATGGGATCTGCAGCCCTACATATGCCCCAACCCTCTTATTCGATTCATATCAGCAATAGTCCGTCCATTCTGAAAGCAAAGCAACACTGCAGTTTGTTGATTCCTCCAATGTCATACTTGAACACTCAAAGACCAATTAGGATGGATTTACAGCAGGTGTAAAGAGCAGGAAAATGTAAAAGTAATTATTTATACTTTTACAATTTCATCATGTTTCGGAAATACTCGGACAGCATCAAGCAAATTGTTAAGCCTTTCGGAAACGAGAATTTTCCGTTTGTAAAGTTGTACAATTGTTTTAGGTTGGCGTAGATTATAGGTGAAACACAAAGCTCTTGCATCAGAAGACCAAGCGAGTGACGTCGAATCAAGAGAATTCCTGAAACGTACGATCATTGTTGTCTTGAGCCAGAGCACGAATGAGTTTAAAATACAGAGTCTGACTAGCAACAGACCCAATATCTGAACTCGAATCAATCTGATTTAAACTTTGTGATTGTACAATTACATCAAGAGAATTCCAGTTCAAACTTGCAGTTGTGTTGCATGTCTTATGACAAACTAGTTGATTTCCAACAACGAATATTTAACCACTCAATTCAAAAGCAAAATAAATTCAAGTATTCCATTTTACGTGAATACGATTAACATCAAGAATGGTTCAAGCCATGTTCAGGCTACTACAAGTAGTTTCTTCTTTGTTTTTACTACAAGCTATTATATATACTCGTACTTCTACTCTGGCTCAAATCAGTATTACTCTGCCTAGCATTGCTACCATTATTTCGATCAGCATCCCTCCACTTACAATCCCTCCGACTACTCTGCCTCCAACTACCACCACTACTATTACCACTACTACTACCACTCTGTCTTCAGCAGTCACCACTTCAGTCACTACATCCTCTTCATCCATCGAGTCTGTTACTCCTACCACCACTTTAAGAGGAAGAAAGGTAACATTTGGCTTGATGATGACCATCTTGGTATTTAACGCATGGGCGATGCACTGGTGGCTTTAAATTCAGGGCCAGTGTCATCAATGTGATTCCATAAAACAGCCATTTGTGCTTGGATTGCAGACTGTCTGGCTTATGAATCCCTTGTTGGACTCGATACCTTGTCTTGTTGGTTTCTATTACGCCTCATTTCCATCCATTTCAATTCTTGTTCCCAACTTGCGTGAATACGGCTGGAATGGAGTTTTTTATAACGCTCTAATCCTGTCTGCTTTAACCATGCAATCGATATTCTGTAGTCTTGAATCATACTATATCACTAACCTTGAACCAAAATTGCGCTATGCTCAATGATGATAGACTACTGAGGATGCAAACACCGTGATAGCTGATCCCACTGCAACCAGTGCCGCCTCTGATAAAAGTAGTGCCAGTAATTCTAGCCACTCCACAACCATTGTTGTCGTTAGTGTTGTTGCCTGTGTCATTGTATTTTCTATTATTGGTCTATTACTTTTCCGTCACTTTGCACAAAGGGTATGTATCGATCTAATGTTTTTGGCTCAAAAATCCAATTGAATCTTACAACAGCGTATTCATGTAAAATGGAACCTGTGTCTTGCAGCTTCTATCTTATTTTAGAATAAGCAATAGTTGAATATTCATTGCGCTTTTCTACTAAAAGTTGGCATTTTCAATAGACACAGCGTTCATTATATGAGACTGGCTGTTTATTATGTATTTTGGCACTCTTGTCTAGTGTTCCATTTATGCGAATACTGTTGTAAGCAGTTGGCCATCTAGAGTATTTGCAACTCATCTCACTTTAATCGAGTTCAACCAAACTCTTCATCTTGTGTAATCAAACCAAACCCTAATACTTTGTATTTTGGCCTGTGCATCATTTTGATACATTAGCGTCGTTCGCAAGGACTTTCTCTCGATGAAATTTCTGGTGGTAACAATGGTACCACATTTCCTGCTGCCGATGTTCTGCGAGCTGATGCTGCTAATTTTCGCCCTGCAGTTACTTCTAATCCTAGACCAGCTCAAGGAAACAATGCCAACGTTGCACATAATTTACCATCTCCAATAAGTCCACTGGGTGGTGCTTTACACAGCAGTTTGCCTCCCAATGAGCAGCAGCGACTACAGATGCAGCAGCTTCAGCAACATCAAGAATATGATCCGCGTAATTTAAACCAATATCCTCCTGGTACTATATGCGATCCTAGTATTAATCCACAGATATATAGTCCTGCCCAAATCCATCCTCAGTATTATATGCCTCCTCCTCTGGAAGGATATGCACCGCATGGAAATGGGGTTTATTACTCTCAATACGATCCTAACATGCAGTACGACCCCAACGTGCAGTACTACGTTGATGCAAATGGCAACTATTACACTGACACTAATCCACAATACTACGTAGATCAAAACTTGCATTACTACCCAGATCCAAACCAGCAGCCATTTGAACATGTACCGCACAAGGCAGAAGTGTACCGATTCTCTGATCAGAGCGAACCTGTTTTTTCTGATCACGTTCATCCACAATCGAGATATGAGAGTGCACCCCATAGTGCTGAAACTATTCAATCTCCATTAGAAAGTATTGTTCCTGCTACTAGCACGATGCGTGCTGAACACGATCCTATTGATGGTGGACATGCTACCACACTACCAATGCCACAAGCACCTGTTTCTTCACACCCTGTATCACCTATAAACCAACATTAATGTACCATTAGTATTGTAGACCTTTTTCCAACCCCCAGTACTTTGCACTGATTTAGTTTGATCAACTTGACATGGTTTGTTGTAATAATCTTGGGCTCTGCTTGCCCTTTCCTTTTTGCTTGTTATATTGTACTTTTTGGCTACGACTTGATGTATATATGGATCAAACTATTTGCTTTTGTTGTGGGAATGTATATGGACACTACTATGTGGTGTTTCCACACCACACTCGTTTGCTTTCAGAAAGTAGAAACTTTTCGAGATTGTTATATGGTTGACAACTCATTGTTACTTTTGGAGCTTCCTGACTAGAAAATTGTTTCAAATATATATCTGTACCTTTTATATTTTGTGAGGAATTGAAACGTGGTGAATCTGAATGTATTGTGGGGATTCGAGTCGATGCAATGTTGCAGTTTAATAATCTTTGAGTTGGTTGTTGGCAGTAGCTGCATCGACGACGTTGGTGTTTTAAACATGTTACAATACATAAGATCAGACAGCAACCTATTAAACATGGATGACTTTGATCCTATTTTAAACTAGTGGTTAAAGTTGGTTTGTCTCGACAGATGTTGAGCCAGCGATTATCTGTAACAATGGATTCTTTCATCACGTCATGATATCATTCATCAGTTGTAAACTGTCTAGCACAACACTGCTGATTTAAAATCATGATTCCATATAACTCAAGACTTTATCAGAATCAAATTGGTATTTGATTTTAATGAATATTGAAAATCGAGGAAAAATCAAATAAAAACTCTTGAATTCAACTCAACCCATTGTTAGAATGTCAACTGTTACTTGGAAGCAACTCAAACCAGTCCTATTAGATTCACTGGTTTGGACAACTAATACCAATACAAATGAATCCATTGTGTTTAATAAGCCGTTACCTACAGAATCCATTGAAGCCTTTGTGTTTAGTCAACCCTGGGATCTACCTTCAACTTCGTCAACTGTCGAATCTGACAAGGTTATTGACGACCTAAAGACTCATTTCAAGTCTTTACAACTTGTACAGCAAACTGCCATAACTTCAAACCCATCCATAAATATGATTCATACTTGCTCCCTTCACAGGTTTATTTCTTGTTTGAATATGTTGCTGCCAGCACTGGATCCATTGCGGGTATTTGCAGACTATTTCGAGCCACTGTTGTGGCCAGTTCTTACTCATCGCATTGCATCCACAAGTGATCAAAACCAGACTTGTCAAAAACTGCTGATTGCTTTGCTCAGGACAGACTTTCAGGCTGGATTGGATGTGAATGGTGTATATGCTGACAGATTCAAATCTGCCGCTCGTACAGTATTGGACAAGTGTGTAGCCGAATCAGATTTCTGGCATTTGGAATCAAATCCAACCGAGGTGAATGCATCGCAGTCTCGAGAGATTGCACTCGCCGATTCCTTGAGTAGTAACATTGAAGAAAATACTACCGTAAATCTGTCATTGACATCTCAGATTGATCCAAAGCAGACATTAACCGATTTGGATCAAGCTGTCAAACCATTTCGCTCACAGGTGCTTCCTGCACTGTATCATGTTTTGTTCTCATTTGGTATGAGCAAACCATTGGTGTTTTATAGTCTGTTGAATGAAATGGCAATAGATCCTGTAACTCGACTCAGATCATTCATGCTCCTGAAAGCGTTTTTGATTTGGGAGGTGAGTTGGGTTTTGTCACAAGTCATGCTGCTGATTTTAATCTGATTTTTGAGTATACTTTGGTCATTAGGATGCTCCAACATACTATTTGATTGACTCGGTTTTGTTTGAAAGTGTTGTGCACTCTGCTACGGTAACTAAACGATTTAACTTGCCAACAATAATTCTATTTCAATGCATAGGATTCAGCTTAAAGTCTTTACAATGTATTATACATATTTGATTTTGGCTGATTCAAATTAATAAAATTGTAGATTGACAGTGATGTGGCGACATTTACAGCTGCACTCACTATTCTTACTATTCTGTTGCCAATCGTGTCATCAAAGGCAGTTGCTCGCTTTGAGCGACTGATGAATTCATTTTTAAGAGCATTGCATTGGGAACTGACATATCCACAGATTATGAAAATAAGCTCTCAAGTACCTGAACTCCAAGATGGTATATCCATGCATTGTCTACATTACCAGTGCTCATTTATAGATTAGTGGTATTTTGCATGCGCTTATACTTTATTATTTTTTGATGTTGGACGATATCATTATAGCTCATGATAAACATTTGCTCCAGTTTTCGATATGTGCAACACGAAGATGTATTGATAATTATTTTACGGTGCTTTATGGAATGTTTCCTGCAAATGTAATTGCGCAACTTCAGCGGATATTAAGCTCGGGCATATCTGAACTTGCGCCAATACTACAACAGTCTGAACAATTTTCTGTAAAATTCATGCCAGTAAAAGATGTGTTTGTCAAGGTTCGGGAAATGGCGTATGAGGCGATTGAAGTAGAGGAAGAAGACTTGTTTCAACGGCGAGTAAGAGTAAGCAAAACATATTCGAGTTGTTCATCTACATGTTTTACTTTAATTTAGTATCAAAATTATGGAACCATGCAATCTGTCTGTATCTATATCTAAATGAGAAATTGTATTTTAGGATTTAGTGAGAGAACATCGCATACACCCCAGTATTGTCACAGCAACTATTGCAACCGAACTGAGCAATCCGTGGTTCACTACCAAAGAAGCGTCGGAAATCATGGTGGAGTGTATGAGTCTTCGAATAGATACTTTGGGCTGCTTCAATGCTCATACTGTACCAACAACTGTAAAATTTCAAACGGAAGCGTTGGAGTCGAGTTTTAAAGCGTGCTTGAATCAAGTTGCACTAATCGATGAGGCATTGCACGGTCATATTTCTCAATTTCAAGTACATACATATTTTAATCTTTGTATTTCAGGATATTGTTTTACCTAATTAGTGAAATATCAAACTCATGCTAAAAATATATCGTTGAATCAACCCTAGGGCATGATTCTGAATGAATCGAGTAGTGTTTTACGTGAGCATGATTGTGATCTTGTAGCATCACCCATGCTGCTGCTACGGATATACTACTATGTGTTGATGAATGAGTCTTTTTTCAAGGAGTGCATGCGGCAGTATCATATGATGCATATTCGGCGGTTACACAAAAATGCATTTGAAGCTGGACTTCGAGATGCGAGTATCCAAAATTTGGTATGTAATGCTCGACTCTTGTTTTTAAAGTATCGATGACTCTACTTTGAAATTAACACGCTGATTGACCAAACTAACTTTAATATCAAACGTATGTACATTCTAGCATCTGAGGTTCAAGCAACAATCGAGCGAGCTTGCCGAGCAGCGACAGCTTGTTGACAGACTACGACAAGAAAGTATTCATTTGCGTGAACGACACAAAGGGCATGATGAAGAAGACACCAAACGACTCAAGGAGATGCGGAATGAGATTCAATCTCTTAGATCAAGTGTACAGAATTTAACAGGAAAGTTGGAGAGCACGGCCAAGGACAATGTGGAATTAAAATCGCGACTGGCCGACTCGGAGCGATTGTTGTCGCAATCAGAGTCCAAATTGGTACTGGCTGAAAGAGACTCGACTCGGTTGAAGGAGTGTGAGATTGTGCTGTCAGATCTTCAAACTAAGCTCATTGCCAAAAACAATACGAGTACTCAAGTCGTTGAATCAGAGAGGCATTCCGGATTGGACAAAGTACAGTTGACTAGAGACATGTCTATAAATGATCAAGTAACTACTCTTACCATGCGAATCGAGACACTCCAAATGATTCTTGATGCTACAGAGCGTGAGCGAGACAGATTTATTTTTGAGCAACAGTAAGTTGTATTTTGGCATCATACTGAAATTAGATATCTATTCGCGGTTTTGTGGCATCTCATTGATATTGACTATAACTTGGCAGAGAACTGGCATTTTTAAAAGGGCAGCTAGAGTTTAAGAATCAAGAGCTCGTGCGATTTGAAGGACAAGTCAAGGAACAGGTACATTCAAATATGAACAATATTAATCTATTTTAATCTAAATACAAATGGCTTTTGCTGACTTGAAATGCAGTCTGGTCACATGCAGTTATTAAAACAGCAATTTCAAAAAAAGATTGAAGCACAAGATGCCAAATATGCAAGTTTGAGGAAACTGCATCTTCTTTTACAGGTAAATCTATAGTGCAATAAGGAATGACATGTTTCAGTGTCATTTGAATCTGATTTTATTTTTACATACTGTTTTGATTGTAAACTCTGAATTTAGTCTAGGATTGTAGATATGACGTCCAAGATGCAAGCAGTGAATACATCTACATCATGAACGGCAGCAATCATCTGGGCATCCATCCAGGTGGCTACGAGTGGAATTTGACCACATTAATAAAGTACAGATTTTTTGAATATCGCTGCACAAGATGGCAAAATTAACCAGCTAATATATATCTATTTAAACCATACGACAAAAACTCGGTTAATCAATAACCCTACTGAAAATTGCCGACAGTAATCAAATGGCTTTGTACGATGCGCAATTCCAAATACTGAGGAAGGGTTGAACGTGTATTGAATAAGCCAGTCAGCTTCTAGTAGGAAAACAAAGAACATTTAATCATTGTTTATTCCAAAGCAAAATACAAGAGTCATTGCAAGATAAATACGAAAACGTTTCATTTTACATGAATACGCCGTAAAACTCCGACATTGCTGCCATTGGTACCAGATATGTATGATTTATGATATTTATTCCTTTAAATCTGGACTTTTTCACAGACCAATACACTATTGTAACTCTGAATTGACAATAGCTTCGATTACTCAATTTACGAGCTACTCTTGGTTTCAAATTGGGTTTATAAATCAAACATCTACTTTTATCGACCCTGGACTGCCTGAATCATATTTCTAGAAATACGATTGAAAATAGCACCCATTTGTCTAAATTCAGACTCGGGCTATCTTGCATCTACACCACGAACAAGGTAATTATGACGAGTGCAAGCCATCTTTTGTTACTGAAACTAGCTTTGCATAGACTAATACTAATTGAATTCTACTCTGCTTAGACTTCTCAAAGCCACATTTCAGCTCATTGCATTATCGAACGAGTTTACTTGATCCTAAAAGAGCACATGAGTATATTAACAAAGATATGTGTTGCTATTGGACTGTGCATAGATCTAGAGCGTATTTCCGATACAGATTTTTTAAATAGAAAATCATCCCTGCAGCAACCTATGGCTCAACCTGTTTACGAAACACCATTGGTGGATACGCCTATCTCTGCATTAGCATTCTTTCTACCGCCAACATCACTGTTTAAACTGCAGAAAGAAAAGCTTGAAGACCAGCCTCTTTTATTGGACCGCCCATTGTGGCTCCCACTGGCCGCATTGCCCAAAACGCGACGAAAGGCAAATTCACTAAACTTTGCCATTCGACGACTTGAATCGCGCGCAGTTGGGCAACCGCCAGTAGCCGCAGAAATATCAACTCAAGCTACTTCCGCATCTAGCACTATCTCTTCTACAAATGCTGTTCAATCGTCTGCAAGTACAGCAGCACAATCAGAGGAAGGACATGGCAATGGCCCAGTTACATCGGTCTTTATTACTACAACTACGATAGATCCAAAATCCAATGCAGGAATAAGCATTACCAGTCCATCTGTAAGCAAAACTACTGGAATAGCAATTAATCCTCAACTCACAATCGCTCAAACAAGTACCAATGGAGTCGCTGGTTCTGCGATGGTCGCTACAACCAGTACTGCTCCAGTTCAAAATACCCTCATCACCGCGTCATTTGTAGATAGCAGCTTACCATCTTCCAAATTATCATCTGGTAAATAAGTCTTGGTTTGATGATTAGTTGGTTTGAAATTGTTGCAGTTGAATAATAACATTTGGTATAGTATCTACATTACCATTTACAGCGACTCTTACTGATCGTATCATAACCGCAAACCCGGTATGCATAGTTTTTCCTATTATCTATAGCAAGATTTAATACACTCATTTCAAATATTCACTCTCAGTTACTTGCATTTTTTGTTTTAGACACAAACAGCTGGTGGTACATCACTTTTGCCAGCTGAAACAAAACCCGCCGACGGGAACAATCACGCATTGAATTCAGAATCTGCTCATAGTGGATTGGGGGCTTCCGAAAAAGCAGCCATTATAACTGCATCTGTATTCATCGTGTTGGCTGTATTATTCATCTATATATTTCGCAAAGTCACACTGCAGGTACAATGCCAACAGCACTACCATTTATTTGCATATTACTACCAAACTCTATTAGTGAAACAGTCGAGATTCTGGTTGAAGCAGCAACATTTTATTGTTTAGATGTTCTAACCAAATTTATTTTGCTACGGATGCAACTTTTAATAGCCGTCGAGTCAATTCAGGAGTCGTATTAGCCATCCAGATAAGGACATTGACCAATACGCTACTGAAAAAGTACCACCTCCTATGAATACATTTCCGATCATGAGTGCTTCTCGTCAACCATTCTACAATACAGATGGCAATATGACAAATCCGCTAACAATCAATACAAACATTCAGAGGATTGATTCTCCCACTAGCCCGCATGGAGTAACCCCAATGCTACCTGCTGCACGTACTCCAAACGTGAATGATACACCAACATATGATTTTGACATTCATTTCAGAACCTTTTCTCCTCTGAAAACATTTAGATTTGATGGTGTACCAGATCCAGATTGTAAAGGATAAAACACTTGACGCAAGCCGTGTGGCTTTATAACTTGCTTTGTAAATCATATATCGTTTTTTCAATTCTACAAAATACCATCAGCACTACAAGCCAAGGTGGTGAAATAAACCGAGCTATATTGTGGATCGTTTTTTGAAATATGCGGATCAATTTATTAGAGGATTGTATGAAAAAATGACTAGACTGTAGCAATCAACAGCTTTGTAATGTCAAACCAACTGTTCAACATTACAGTTTTCATAGCAGCAATCGTTCTTGACTGAATGCAAATCGATTTTGATCAACTGAATCATGAAGATCTAGTCTGTCAACGCTGCATAGGCCGACCTCGGATCATTAATCGCGGCACATGCACTGTTGGATCAAGAGTGTCTTCATGTGGTTCCGCTTCCTCATTGTCAGAGACAACTTCAGGTTCAGGTTGAAACACATGAAGAGATTCCAGTCCCTTTTTCACATCATGCAGATAGATTGAATCGATTTTAAACTTGTTTTTCCAAGATCTATCGTGACCAGAAATCGTACACGAGATACTGTAGTATGCATCAGCATTGGGCCAAGTTCCGACATGGATTGGATCCATTACAAAATCTTGCCAGTGGTCAATGTCCTTTACAACATTAAACTTTTTTGTACTTTCAACTGGCACATGAGTTGGTGGTTGCTCAGTATGGCCCAACACCACCTTGAATGTGATATTTGCACGATCTAGAAATCCAATGTATTCGCCAGTCTGGAATCTGATTACTGGATAGTATTCACCGCGAGGCACTCCCTTGAAGTTTCCAGCAATCTATGCCATGGTAGTTACATATACATCCTAGGTTATGATACTGTTCTTGACACAAGTAGTCAGAAGTTTGAGAAACAAGATATACATACATCAAGCCAACACACACTGTGGAGTTGAGCAACCTCTCCAAATGTACTGTTTGGCTCGACAACTGTTTCCCAGTAATGTGGATCATTCATCCAGCAAATAGTCAGATTGCGAGGTCCCAATCGTACTATCAAGTTATTTTAAATTATGCAGCATGTATGAGCACATCAAAGACTAGTTTTTATAGTATTCGGCTTATTCTGTAGAGCCAGCTTACCAGAATGCTTGTGCAGCTGCTGATACACGGATTTCGAGCTTAGTCTGTCTTCTGGCAATTCACACTAGAGTACAGAGCATCACAGGGTTAGATGGTAGTTTAAATAGCTTAAAGACTAGAGCCTACCTTGTCAAACCTTGCTTCAAATACAGTTTCCCAACACACACAAGAACTGATTGCTTCATAATTATTTCGACAAGTCTAAATAAATGGATGAGTGGTCTGGATAGAATCAGAACAGCAGCTTGTATCATGAAGCCAGATATGTGAAAAGTTACCCTAGCAAGCCTGGATATTTCTCTAGGTTCGAGAAACTTGATAAATAGCAACTTGAGCTCCAAAGGCAATGAATTCATTTGCTATATCGAATAATAAACAAGTAAAGGGAAATCAGGTTGAATCCAATTGAATGCAATTGATTCGGTCCCTTGATTCATCAAGCACAGCAATTAAAAGTGTTGAGCTTGACCAATACATGAAAGTCATGCACGCTGTCTAAAGCGATTGACGAATTGGATTGACTCGATAAACAGCGTCTACAGTTGCATTGATTCACAGACTTGAACATTAACCCCGACGAATGACTGAGTAAATACTCGAATTAGACGCCACAAAGAATTTGAACTTGCCGTAATTCCAACAATTTACAAATACCAATTGGCTACTTTATAATGTTAGACTTGCCTATTTTTATAATCACTGCTACTCTATTCACTCTAGGATATGCTGCTGTCAATTCAAGTAATACTGGTAACTGCTACACTGGCCGTATTACGCTTGATAGCACCCGGATGATTCCTTTGTATGGTAGCAGCTCTATAGCTACTCGGCTAAGTGTTGATGTTTCCAAATATGATATGGCTTTGGACACTGGTTCAATCGAGGTAATACAGTTGTTTTTGAGTGGATTAACGCTTTTCAGTTTATGGCTCCATCGCCCCACCTAACACATTTTATTTTAGTATTTTAACCCGCGAGGAATTACAATGAACCTTAAAAGGGGACCAGACGGAAAAGGAATCATCACATCGTTGTCTACAACTCGCTACATCCTCTATGGTCGGTTTACTGCTAGAATTAAATCTTCTCCTATTCCAGGCATTATCACCACATTTATTACCATGTCTTCTCGAGGAGATGAAATCGATTGGGAAATTATTGGTGCTCGTCCAGGTTTTGCCGAATCCAATGTGTTTTATAAAGGAATCAAGGAAATGGGTATTCATGGCAAAAAACACCCCATTGAAAGTGCCCATGGAATCGCCGATTACCATGATTACACAATTGATTGGAAACCAGATGTGCTGACGTGAGTGTCCTGATTCCTGTATGAATGTATGAATGTTGGAATCTAACTCTATGTAACTCTAGCTATGCGGTAGATGGAACAATTGTTCGTATACATCGTCGTGATGGTGCAGAATCACAGTCTCCCATGACACCACCTGGAGAGGAATGGTATCCATCCACTCCATCTCTTGTGCAAATCTCGATTTGGGATGGTGGGTCTGTCGGTGGAGGAGTCAGCAATTGGGCTGGCGGCGAGATTCCTTGGACCAGTGCAAATCTTTTCAATTCAAGTTTGGAATACCTTGATATCTACTGCTATAACAACAATGGTAATCTTGCATCTAAATGGCCTATGGACAACACTGTAAATCCAGTTAGATCGGCCAGCATCTCAACTGGAGGATTCGGTATCTCGTGGATTGTATTGCAGATTGTTGTAGCTATGATCTGGAAACTAATTACAGCCTTTAATCTGTAATGGTTTCAAGGCATCCATTAAGCTATTCTTTAAATGATTGTGTATCTATATGACTCTTTAAATATAAATATAGTAGATACAAAAATAGTATAGTTTATTGAAGCATATTCAATTCCGCCAAATACTGGTGTACAACCATTTCTAAAACTATACAAACGACACCAGATAATAGCAGTGTATTGAAAAGCATAAAATGCAAATGACAATCAAAACCGATATCCAAGCAGCTTGCGAGTTTCTTTAGACATACGCTCCAGTACTGGAATTTCCCACATATCGATCGACATGTTTGCTACTGAATCTACATCCACAAATTTTGAAATCTGATCCACAACGATTAGCAAAAGCAAATCATAAACGCTGCACAAGGCACAGGTTGTATGCACATACCTGTGGGATTAATGCAGCAAACTCTTTTGCAGATCGGCATGCTTCAATCTTTCGTCTGGCAGAGAGTAGCAAGCATAACCCCAGATATGGTAAAATACCTGGCGCACCACCAATGACAATGTCCCAAACACTCTCTATTGCATGAGAGGAGATTACATTTGCAAAGCAGCAGCGAAACCAACAGCTACATACATCATGCCATGCGACATTCAGTCGTTGGATATAAGTAAAAAGCTGTAGATTGTGCAAACTCAACAGATATTTCATTGTATCTATACTAGATCTGATATCATTGATGAATGGCTAATCAAGAGTTAAAATACAAAAAATAACAGTGATTTCAGTCAATGGCTGAAAAGGTTAGTCTTGCAATACCTCGAATTTGATGGCAACCAACAAATAATTGATTCTATACAAAACAGTTAAAATTCCATAGAACTTTTACCTGATCAGCAGACACTAGCAACGGTTGCTCTGGTCCAGGATATACAGCAGCCGATTTAGCAATCAAATCTGCAACAGGATTATTTCCAATAAATGCAGTTTTCAAATACTGTGAGCCAGATTTGGGAGATTTTGAAATGTCAATGTGCATTTTCTTGATAAAATGCAAACAGATCCAGAATGCATCTTGATCGCTTGAATCGCTAATTTCTAGAAATGCGGCTGAAATGGCCAGTAAATGTTCTGGAGGCTCTTCATTTGTTATAGTCTATAATACTCGCATTAGAATGTATGCGTATATACGATTTGAATTCAAAACTCCAGTTGGAAGCACATCAATTAATAGCATTGTGCAATCTTACTTGTGATATTGTCCGTGGCGTATCTTGTATTAGTTCAAGTTGGATCATTTGGGCCAGTAGTAATGGAGTTAAATCCTCATCAATTCTAGAATATGTAATACAAAATAATTAGTTTAGCGGTATAAAGTCAAGTATCAGGATGGTATTGGGAATCAATTGTATAGCCAATTACAGTCGTATTCATGCAAATTCAATCACTCGATAAGAACTGGACGAATGTTTGCACCACATCTTTGCTTTAGTAAATCTCACATTTGCTGTCTTCAACTTTCCTTTTCTACACATCAACATTGAGTGATTGACATGGAAATAGCAGTTGTATTCCTGAGATATGCAATCATTGCTTTCTTGAGCTAGATTGTGATCGTATCTTATTTCAGAATACAGCAGAGATGAGTTTGATTGACAACAGAACCCAATATCTGGATTCAGATGAATTGTCTCAAACTTGACAATTGTACAATACATGACTATGCCAAAAATAGATAATCTCAGTTCAAAACTATAGTTTGATGATAGGATGAACACTGAAGAAGCAGCCAATTTGTAGTAGGAAAGCACAACAAATAGTCAACCACTGTCTATTTCAAAACAAGCAGTTACAGATACAAGTGTTCCATTTTACATGAATACGACAGCAAATTAACCATCTGTAAACTGAGGCAGTGTAGTTGTAGAATTGCTTGCCTGTCTAGTGACTGTCTGGTAAGCAAGAGTACTGATTCCTTGAGGATTTCAAAGTGCTGCTGTCTCTGTTCTGCCACAAAGCCCCAGGCTTCCTTATGCACAGGCGTTACTCCTAATCGATAGTCAGAAACTGGAATTAAACAAGTGTGGTTTGGGCCAAGCCATCAACCAGTGTAGCTAGCAAGACATGCTCGGGATGGCTGGTAGTGATTCTACTAGTGAACATACCCAAAAGAAGTTTCCATACTACAGGTCGATAAAAGTGAGGGATTCGGATCCACAGACACAGTTTGTTGAGTCTGTCTATTGAAAGTAGTTTTCCCTGCAATGCATTCTCTACTGAGGGCTTCACCTCGAGTGTCTTGACGCCAAGGGATGAGTAGTATGCCTTGCGGAAGTTGGCTGCCATATCTGTATAGTATCGCCAGTGAATAGCTTTGCAAGGAAGCGCAAACACAGCAGCACTGAATAGAAACGATCAAACTTGATGCTCGACAAACCTTGAGTCTACAACAATGTCTATTTCCATATCACTACTTTCTAGATTAAAGCACTTTGTCATTAAGACGGTTATATCTTATTATCCGATATGCCAATCCATCAATGTAAAACAGCGCATTTTGATTTATTTGGTGGACTAATAATGGATGAATCTGCTCAGGATATTTGGCTTTACATGGCAGTTTACACAGGTTTGAAACCAACTACTTTCAAAACTGTCGTGTAGAACCTAATCGAGTTTTAGATGATAAATCCTGATCAGCATAGAGCCCATAAAAGGAGTGAATGCCTGCAAAGTCTGTTTCCAATGAAAGTAGTAAAGATCCTGATTCAAAGGAAACGGTACCATCCGATGCTCCTTATATACTACTAATGGATAGACCAGACAAGAAAGGGTAGTATATAAAGATTCGATAATGTAAAGCATATCTATATGTATGGATATAATTTTAAAATGCAGTTTCCAAACAATCAGTTTATCCCCTCGACCAAGTAACTTGTTTGCAAAATACTACACAGCCAGTGGCATGGATTTAAAAAATCAAATTCACCCCCTCAATAATAAACTATGCAAGCGCATTTGTCATGTTTGTTATTGCAACAAAGTGCTGATCTTGCCAAGATTGCTTATCATCAGCAAAGTCTCAGCTGCTACTTGAAGGATAAAACGCTTTCTTGTACGTCGTTTTGATCTGCTCATTCGCACTGATTCTAGCTGGCAACATCGTTTTAATCGCATCTGTAGAATTATCAACCTTCATTTAATCAAGTATACTCTTATTATTTGCATAGCACGCTAGCTGACAAGCACTTCAAGTATGAACCTACCGGATGAATGGACCAACAACATAGACTTAGTTAACATACAGCGACGAGGATTCTCGACCGAATCGTATTCTTTGAGTTTGATTTCCATTCAGCTCAGCATCTCATTAATTGGCATAGTGCTTAATACAATCCTTCTTATCGCCATGTACAAATACACCAAGTCTGTAGAATATCTCTTCAATGCCAGTATTCTCTTTGTCAATCTTATCCTAGGTATAATCCTTTTCATCGTTTCAGTAGGCACACTCGGGAGTGAATCATCCGTTCTTAGTTTACCATACATGTGTCACGTTGTGTCCTCTATAAACGACTGCTCGCAGTACTTGAGTGCTATTTGCTTCATGGCTATTGCCGTATTCAACTGGAAAACAATTGTAAAGCACAGTGCATACAATTCATGCAAGTGCATTGCGATCTTTCTTTCGATTATATGGGCAATCGCAATCGCCATTACAGTAGTATCCACAGCTACCCACAATCTATCTGCGTCTTCAAGTGGAGTTGTGTGTTACCCTTTTGGAAAAAATGAGCTAGCAAGTGCAGCTATGCCGAGCTATCGTTTCCGCTTAATACAACTTCCCTTTGTGTTCGTCAAGCTTATCTTGCTCATACTGACTCCTGTTGTGGTCGGTATATCGTACACGCTCATTTACATACATGTCCATCGAGTTGGACAAAGTTTGAAGCGTATTACAGTCAGTAATGATGCCAAGTCTAATCCCGGACCAAGTGTCAATAGAGAGGCTGCAGGTGCATTAGTTGATGATGTTGAACAAGGTTGTGGAGCTTTTTCAACGAGTACTTCTGCACCCAAACCTGGTTCAGCTGCATTTATTGTCACAGTGAAACCCATTGCAGCCCATTCTAATTCCAAATCAAACTTGCCAGAAAGTGTAAATCCAAGCGAAATGACCAGTCGTAATTGTCAGAGCAGTAGTATGTCTGGTGTTAGCAGAGGCTCCAAGTTTTCGATGCGATGCAAGACACAATCAGGACTGGTTCCATCCACACCAGCCTCTTCTCTTTCAACTACGTGTCGTAGTGACGAGTTTCTCAATCGAGCATTGTCCAGTCTTGCCATTCGTGGTTTGGTTACCACTCTGGTATTTGTCCTGCTATGGGGTATATCCATGGTCATTAGCTTTGTTGGTATGCGAATCATGTTGAATTCAGTAGCCGACAACGGTAACAATAGCGGAGATTTTCTGCTCACGTTGACCCACAAATGGGGTCTTGGTATATGGATAAATACTGGCCATATCTTGTATATAATGACTATTGTTACCACTCCGATTGTATTCATTGCATGTGATTGTCGAATCCGCCAGTCGCTGTTCAAGTTTTTGGGGATTGCGAGTTCCGTAGACGCAAGAATTACTACAGATGCAGATGTCCCGTCTTCTCCACGATCGCTGATAAGATGGAGACCATTTTAAAGCCATATCCACGTAAAATGAAATACTTGGTCGCTATTTTGCTCTGGGATATAAACAGTGGCTAAATATTGCTGCGCTTTCCTTTTATCAATTGAATTCCATGGACCTAGTTCTTTGTGGTTGAAGTTGCTCAATAAAATCATTATTATACCTTGACTCTAGACCTCACTTTGAGAGTACGGCGGTAATAGGGTGGGTTCAGGTACCGTGAACACAATTGTCATCTGAGGGTCTACCTGAAAATCTGAGTAGACCCTTGATAAGCTGTTTTTGACCCTTGATTTGCATCTGTCCAGGTGGTTACACGGATTGACAAAATTTTCTAGGTTTGTATAACATGACATCATAATATGGTGGCTTTAGTGAATACGGGATTTGTTGATAAAAGTGTAATGACTTGACTTTGCCACAGGCTGAGTCTACGACTAGAAGGAATTCCATTTGGTCCATTTGTAGAACTCGATTCAAATGCGTGCTTTACTGGAATTGCTGTTGGGCAGTGTTTAATGAGTGAATGATGGCTATGCAATTGCTTGCAATGTATTGTTTGTTTGGATGATGGACCATATAGACATGTATGGTGGCAACTAAGCATCAAACTTGCAGTTGGGTTGGCTGTGATAGATGTGGATTTGAAAGCAGCCAACAAACTTGTTCCAACTGTTGATTCTCAACATTCCAGTAAAATATATTTTAACATGTCACATTGATTGCCTTGCCTCATTTGCCATATGATCGGGAGAGTGATGGGGTTGTTCCAACATTGAAGTGGATCGTGTGATGCGGGTAGTGTTTAAATGAGGCTACTTGGTTCGATGGAAGACTGCAAAATTATTCATTGGTTTGTACAGGTGGTGAAGAAAACATTTTAGTTGAGAATGATAGTATGTGCTGGTACGCACATTAGCAGTAGCAGTTGATCATCTTGCATTGAAGCCTAAGCAAGTCTAAACAAGTCTAAACAAGCACAAGTAGCATTTTAAAAAGACGTGGATTGAGCGGAATTGCCAGTTGCTAGTGAGTGGAGGTCGCCACACATTCCAATATTGATTATTCATTTTCAAATTGCTCGAGTTTTAAATTGTGCTTTTAAAACATTCAACATTTCTATTCAATCTATTTGCCACATATATTGGATCGAGTCACTTTGGCCAAAGTTGTCCGGTTGATTCATATATAGTTTAGTTGGCTTGTCGGGTTTTTACTGTTCAACATCATCAGTGTCAATCCAACTAGTCACTATTGGAAATAGCTCTTGTATCTTGATTGGCTTAACTTGATTTTTCGTCTGGTTTGGTACGCCTGTACATGATGAACTCGTCAACTTTTGAATCCGAGTTTAGGAATGAGTACCAACCCTCACTTATGGGTGGTCAGTTGGTTATTACGACCATTGCCATCTTGCTCAACTCAGTCCTCCTTACAGCTATATACAGAAACGGTAGATCCCCTGACTATGTCTTCAACGCTAATATCCTACTGGTCGACCTGCTACTTGCTCTTCTTTTGTTCATTATTGCTGCTGGGTCACTGATACAAAATACTCCTATTCTGGTCACCGAGCCTGGCATGTGTGTTGCCTTTTTACTAATCTACGACGGCTCTCAGTATTCGATTGCTTTCTGCTATATGGCGATTGCTATTGTTAACTGGAAAACCATAGTTTATCGTCAACTAGAACAATCGTATCAATGCATCTTAGCGTGGTTAGCTTTCACTTGGGCAGCCACACTTAGTATTGTTATCACCATGGTTATCATGTACCCTCCTCATGCTATTGGAAATGGTCTCCTGTGCTTTCCATTTTCCCACCACTTTCGATATATTGGCAACTCTACATACGACCCATCTAATACAACACATACCTGGCAATCTTTTACACAACCAAGACAGAACTTTCGCTCAAACTCGAGTCGGGTTTTTGGAAATGAGACAATGAATGGCGGTCGAGGTTCTTTCATGGGGAAGGGATTTAGAAGAAATCCATTCTTTTTAATGAGTTTTTGTCTCTTGATCGTTACTCCTATTGTAGTCGTGGCTGCATACACCCATATCTATATGGTTATTCGCTCTATTGATAAAAAGCTGCAGGCCAGTTTTAGCGCGTCCGAAGTTCTCGATGATGATACAAATGCCAAACCCCAAAAATATACACATCGTCTTGATCACCATCAACACGGATTATCGTCTAATGAACAGCCCTCTTCCACGTCAGGTAGCCCCATAATCCAGCCACGAGCCAAGAGGGTCAATTCAAAGTTGGCTAATGCAATGCGGACACTTGCCATGCGTGGATTTATTACTACCATAGCGTTTATTGCATTATGGGCTTTATCTATGTGTATAAAGCTTTTAATGCGGCATCAAAACGCCATTCCTAGAACTGATCTGTTAAAGTTGGGACATTTTTTGTATATTACAACAACCGTTGTAAATCCTATTGTGTTTATTGTATGCGACTATCGACTAAGTCGGTCTTTGTTGGAATTATGGACAAAAATCTTTTCGCTAAAAAAGGATTTGCCATCTTTGCCTGCGCATTACCCACCATCAAGACAGCCAGGAGTCGAGTTTCCTATTGAAGCCACATCAGATGTTTATTACCGAAATGAACATTTTTAACTATAATGCTTTAAACAGCTTATTGATATTTGTGTAAATGGTTTTGATATGCATGCTGGGAACCCAATACTGTTATTGTGTATTATTGCCATAAGAAGGCCAGCTTGAATGTCGTGTCTTTTAGAGATCAAGAGTTGATTCAGTAATGTATCAATGTTTAGACAAGAGAAAATGTCACTTAATCTTGAGCAGTTGGGTACATGCTGATTTGGCTTGTTATCAATCCAACTGCAAGACATTGAAAACTCTCGGATCCAGCAATGGTCAAGCAACGCCAGTTGAGATGGTTTGACTAGTAGAAAGAGACAGTTTGTTGAGTTGACTTTATCAGTCTTTTAAGCAAGTTATGACCTAGACTAGAGAATGCTAAACCATTACACATTCTAAAACTGGTTCTGATAATCAAAGCTTGAAAAACTCGCGAAAATCACAGTAATTTCCATCAATTCTGACAACTACTTGCTGTCTTGTTCAGTAAACTATCCATTTGTAGACGGTGTGATCCGCCGTTTGTTATGCTCTCCTAGGTAGAATAGCTTTCATTTATTGGTTTAATTAGTCCAACTGAGGCTCCACTGTTTGGTCTTTATTCAACAATAACTCGTCCAGGCTTACTAAACTCTTCAGCACTTGGAAAGCACTACCATATCCATTGCTTACTACATATTCATACTTTAACAGTCTCCTGCTTTAACCATCGTAATAACAAGAGTATAAATCCAGTTTCATGTCCAGCTCAACCAACAAAAAAAGCCATACATCTGCTAATGGAGATTTCACTCACTCGTCTGATTGCTCTGATCTCGATACTGTTACTGTGCACTCTGCGTTGCTGAGTAACTCTGCGACTGAATTCACTTCAAGCACTTTTGTGAGTAAAACTACTGAAGCCGGAAATGGCAGCGAGCTCTCTGATGGCTCATCGTTTGGTGCTGCCATGACTCGGCAAAATTTTCTATGGGCTAATCCGCGCACTAGTTCTCTATCGCTCATTATTAATTCTCATGGTGCTTCTGACAATCCAAGCACTGGGGCTGAAGGTTCTGATACTCAGGTATCATTGTCTGCTACTAGCTCACATAATGAGGCTAGCTTATATTCTAAACACAGGTCAGAAATACCAACTCCTCAAACCGCATTTCAAACCAACTATACGAGATTGCCATCATCAAGTAATCCATATCAACAACTATCTGATCTAGCCTGCAAGCAAGATATTCAAGTAGATGAAGACTTGTCTTTTATCGTCGAGGGAAGAATTGTTACCCCAATGAGTCTTGCCATTTATTATTTTTTATGCATCATCACAGGTGGAGCGTACCTACTGCTTTGTCGCTGGTATATTCAACTGGAAGTCAAGACTCGAACTCGATCCTGCATACTGCAACAGGCATCGCATGTTTATTTGATCAACCATTGGGGTGAACAGTCATTAGAACCAGTCAGAAAAGCCACGTTCGCGGGAAAATTATCCAGTGCATTTCCACAACATTTCGATCCGTCCCTTCCAGTCTCTCAGATCCCACAAGATATATTACTTTCTTATCTCATGTACTTTGAGTATCGTTATTTCAAGTTCATTCTTGACCCTGTCTCTGGAAAATTTTTGCCCAATTATATCTGGCGAGATCCCAAATGGCAATCAGTAAATTATATTACAAGCAATAGGGATTCAAACCTAGAAATTTCCCGCAAAGTCACCTTGTTTGGATCTAATACCATCAATATCAAGGAAAAGTCGACATTTCGACTGTTAGTGGATGAAGTCCTGCATCCGTTTTTTGTGTTTCAAATTGCAAGTATTATTCTATGGTGTTTGGATTCCTATTACCAATACGCCATCTGTATTTTGATCATCACCACAACTTCTGCTCTTGCTACATTGATTGACACCAAGGGTATGCTGCGTCGTATTCGTGAACTCAGCCGCTTTTCCTGCCAAGTTCGGTACTGGCGCGATGGGGCTTGGTCCTATGGCAGATCCGAAGAACTTGTTCCAGGCGACTTGTTTGAGTTGGAATCGGGTCAGATTCCAATTGTTCCATGCGATGCCATCTTGCTTGTTGGGGATTGCATTGTCAATGAGAGTATGCTCACTGGTGAAAGTCTGCCTGTTTCAAAATCTCCTGCTACGGATCAAGATATTTGTGCAATCAACTTTGAAGAAGAAGAACCTTCTAGCAGTAGTCGCATGTCTCGTTTCTTTTTGTTTTCAGGAACAGAGATGATTCGTGTACGTCCAGGTATTACCAGATCTGACCGTACTGTTGATGGCGATAGTATACATAGTCCATCATTGGCCAATTTAGTAGACCAACCCACGACAATTCAAGATCCACTTGCTACCCGCCGTGGTGCTGTTGCTGTTGTTGTGCGTACTGGATTCAATACTACCAAAGGTAGTCTTGTTCGATCCATCTTGTTTCCACGGCCCAACAAATTCAAGTTTTACCAAGATTCATTTCGGTTTATTGGAGTGTTGGCCATAATTTCTGGACTTGGATTTACTTCATCACTTTACTTTTTTATCCAACTTGGCATGCCTTGGACAACTATTATGCTTCGCGCACTAGATCTAATCACCATTGTTGTGCCACCAGCATTGCCAGCAACGCTTGCCATTGGAACGAGCTTTGCCATGAGTAGGCTACGTCAGACAAATATCTTTTGTACCAGTCCACCCAGAGTCAATATCTGTGGCAAGATCAATGTCATGTGCTTTGATAAAACAGGAACTTTGACTCAGGAAGGCTTGGATGTTTTGGGAATAAGATTTACATCGCCGTGTTTACACAAGGGAGAGACGCCATTTGAAGATGTACCTCAACCTAATGCACCTACACGGTTTTCTGGTTTGCATCGCAATATGGATGCGTTGGTTCCAGCATTTGCTACCAATCAAAGAATTGATTTTAGTAACAAACCTACGAAAGGAAGCATGAACATGCCATCACCATCACCCCGCACTAGCTATAGTTCTGGTGGACCATTGAATGTTTCATATAGCGCAAATCAATCAGGTGTTTCTTTATTTTCTCCGCGTGAATTGGCAATGGGAGGTGTAACCACAATTGAATCCGAGCATACTTATCCACTGATTGTGTGTGCCATGGCAACGTGTCACTCTATCAAGGTTGTCAAAGGAGCATTGGTGGGCGATCCACTTGATTTACGCATGTTTGATTTTACTGGATGGCATCTTGAAGAAGACGCAAACACACAACCAAGCGGATTTTTCCGACGAAGATTGAGCCGAACTCATTCAATTGGTTCTGGACAGTCTCATCACGCAGCCGCCATGATGGTAGTGCGACCATCATGGGTTCCTGATTTTGACACTGTAGTGAATGGATCGCGATATGGAGGAAGAGTAGGTTCAGAGGAAGTCTTTACAGAGCTAGGTGTTGTGCGTGAATTTGAATTTATAAGTCGCTTGCGACGTATGAGTGTCATTGTTCGTCAAATGCGGTACTGGAGCAGCATGTACTCACCTGGCTTAGCCGACTCCGCGACAACTCCTTCATCCGTTGCGTCCAAGGATATGAAAGTATTTGTCAAGGGTGCACCAGAGGTTATGCGATCAATTTGTATTTCATCGTCACTTCCACCTGATTTTGACGAACAGTTGCGTAATTACACTCATCATGGCTACAGAGTCATTGCTTGTGCATGGCGCAAACTTGAGAGTATGACGTGGTCTAACATGATGAAACTGAAACGATCAGCAGTAGAATGTGATTTGCATTTTCTTGGGTTCATTGTGTTTGAAAACAAGTTAAAAGCAGGTACTACTCCGGTTATTCAAACACTTCACAAGGCTAAAATCCGACAAGTGATGTGTACAGGTGACAGTTTACTGACGTCGATTTCAGTGTCGCGCGAATGTGGATTAATCGATCCAGAAAAAACGGTTTATGTGCCAAGGTTTGTTGAGGGTGAGGCACATGAAGAGTTTGCAAGGATTATATGGGAGGATGTCGATAAGAGTGGAAGTGTTCTTGATGGTGAATTTTTAAAGGTATCGGTTTGATGTTATGTTTGAAGCTTGTCAAACTGTGCGATTGCCATCTTGTTTTAATTATTTGGTTTTAATTTAGCCTGTTCTACCAACTGGACATCCACTTGCGCGAAGATCGTCGAGTAGTTTAGCACGGTCTACTTCTAGACTTCAACAAAGCTGGGCAGAATCTTTGGAAATCCAACTCAATAATTATGAGCTTGCCATTACAGGTGACGTGTTTCAATGGATGCTTGATTTTAGTAACGATGAGACGTTTGAGAGGGTAAGCTACTGGCATGGAGTTAGACTCGATTATTTGTGCATGAATAGCCAGCATATTTATTTGGTTGATTTTGCTTGATAGATGCTAGTAAAATGTCAAGTTTTCTCTCGAATGTCGCCGGATCAAAAACACTTTTTAGTGGAAAACCTTCAGCATCTGGGATACTGTGTTGGGTTTTGTGGCGATGGTACCAACGATTGTGGTGCACTCAAGGCAGCCGATACGGGACTATCGCTCTCTGAGGCAGAGGCTTCTGTTGCGGCTCCTTTTACATCCAAATCCAGCGATCTTGAATGTGTTTTGCGAGTGATTCGCGAAGGTCGTGCTGCTCTTGTTACTTCCTTTAGCTGCTTTAAATACATGGCACTTTATTCTTTAATCCAATTCACGACGGTGTCCCTCCTCTACTCTATCGGCCAGAACATTGAGGATTTTCAATTCATGTACATTGATCTGATGCTGATCATCCCCATTGCTGTATTTATGGGCCGCACAGGACCTTACTCGAGCATAGCTAGTAAACGTCCTACAGCGAGTTTGGTCAGCAAAAAGGTACTGACAAGTCTAATTGGACAAGTTATTATTCAAGCTACGTTTCAATTTTTTGTCTTTTTCTGGGTACGCAGTCAGCCATGGTATTATAAAGGCAAGGCAGATATGGAGAATCAGACATACTCTAGTTTTGAAAACACATCGGTATTTCTAGTGAGTTGTTTTCAGTATATTATTGTTGCTGTGGTGTTTACTGTTGGGCCGCCGTATCAAGAAACGATTTGGAAAAATGGTACGTTTTTGTTGTAATTGGCTATTCAAGATGCCATGCCTGATCCAACTGATACGTAAGCAGTAGATCCAGTTTGGTGTCGTTCTAAAATGTGATACTAACAAGCCATGTGTTTCATTTTGATGGGTATATTATAAACGAAAATCAGTTCCATATGTAACAACACTAGCTTTACTGAGCATACTTACAACAATTGTCACAATATGTCCAACCAACTGGATGATTGAACAACTCGGAATTCTCGTAATGCCGATCCAAGCGCGGTGGTTCATTTTATTACTTGGAGCACTAAATCTGGCTGTATCTCTAGCATTAGAGCATGGTATATCGCCCCTAATATCCCAAATGGTGGGCCGTTTTATAGACCATATCAGCTACTCAAGCGATTGCTCAAATGGAGTAGGGCACGGATCACGAATGACGGACCAACTCTTGCGAGTCAAGGTTAGAAAATGGAAGGATCGAGGCAAGATATTTAAAGTGATTCTCGAAGACTTTAAAGTGCATTCTGCCATTTCATGACACATTCATGTCCACCTTTGAAAATTAAACGTATTTCATATTTTACCAGAAATGGCTGTGATAACAGCAGTTTGTTTAGTAGAGGCTGGCATTCCACAAAACAGAATATGATAATAAATGGTAATGCAGTAAAATTTATCAAACTTTGAATCTAGTCCGACTTGCATTGTAGCAAGTATTTGAAAGTGTCTACGCCCGAATTGCAAGCTTCAATGTTGGCCCGGCTGAATGGAAACTAAACGAATGTTTGCATCATGTCTGTTTCAGTAAATCTTACACTTGTTCAATCTACAAGTAAACACTGGACGACCAGCATGGACAGTTGTATTCCATTTACGTGAATATGGTGGTAAATATCAAGGGTTGGATTTGAAGGAAACAGGGCCACATGCTCACACCAATGCTTGTTGAACCTGCTTGCAAGCTTCCCTTCACAATTTATGCTTAGCTTGATCAAAAGATTTGAGTCATATTTTGCAAATGTTGCGTCGTTTTGATTACAGGTTGCGTCAATCTCAATCACCATGAGCATAGACAAGAACTATAAAGTAAGACGAGAACGCTGACGTTTACCATCAAATACACCTGCATCCAACTAATTCTGATAGTCTTATCAATTCAAATGGCACTTTACAAAGGAATCACTAAGCTCCCGCTCGAGGTCTACCCCATTGCGTTTATGGTATCGTGCGCTCTAGGTTTTGGCTCTTATATTGCATTCAAAAAGATAGCATACGACGGTGACATGCGTTTCCGTCCCAATCAGGGCATTAAGGACTGGACTGAGCGTCTCGAAACTCTTAAAAAGTCCAGCAACTAAACATCTCGATACCCGACTCTTGGCAGTTGTGCTGCCTCTCGGTTCCGGCCTTTTTTGGGCGAATATTTACCTTTTTGATGGTCACATCTGCTCGACCCATTCCCACCACTGATTTCCAATTTCTTGCATATAATTAAAGTCTTTGAAAGTGTTTCAATTCTGATAAATTGATAGTGTTGGTTAGAAGAGTTAGTCTAGTGTGTGGCTAGTAAGCAATCATTGCGAGTCGTCAGGGCTGCTTCCTGCTTTGAAATTGAAATTTATTTTGGAATTTATTTTGGAATTTTTGAACTTGTAAAATTGGTTGCAAAGTTGTTGAATCATTACCAATGGCAACTCCTATTGTCACTGTAGATGAGCGTAATGTAGTCAATCTCAGAAAGTCGGCTGATATAGCCCACTCCAACTTGAATATTCCAGCCAGTTCGCTTGCATTGGCATTGTGTTCTTCCTGTATGATTATGCTGGCTTCTGGCACGGCGTATCTATTTTCATTATATGGGCCTCAACTATCTACCAAACTCAATCTCAATCAAAGTGAAACAGCTTTTATTGCTATATGCGGAAACACTGGCATCTTTATCAGTGGTCCATTGATGGGGTGAGTTGGAATCATCTTTACTATGTATTTGTAACCAGCAAACGTGAATGCTCGAATATCGGTGGATACATTCTGTTGTGATTGGATAAGCAGCTCCGTTGTTTTGACAAATCAAACGCCTATTGGTGGTTTCTAACCTCTATCTGTTTGGATAGATCATTAGTTGACAAGTATCGATCAAGACCACAGCTGCTCGTCCTTGCTGGTGGATGTATAATCGCATCAGGCTATATTTCCGTTGCAGCAATCTATAATGGTTACATTCCACAGCCACACTTTTTAATCATGGCATTTATTTTTCTGTGCATTGGGGTTGGAAGTGCTGCATGCTATCATTCGGCTCTTGCAGTCAATTATCGGATTTGGCCTGCTCAACATCGGGGGTTTGCTGTGGGTGTAAACGTTGGGTTTTTTGGACTCTCGGCATTTGTATTTGCAAATATGTCCAACATATTTCAAAAGATCAAACACAAGGAAAAATCAGTGCTGGATGTCGGAGCTTATTTGGAGGCTGTTGGCATCATCTGTTTGCTGTTGAGTATATTTGGCGCGGCTACCATGATCACTCGAGAGGAATTCGAAGCTCCATCCGTTGAAATCGACTCCAGTTCATATACCACACGGTTTTACTCGGCAGCTAGAGAAAATGACAGCAGTCCAAATCAAACAGCAGTATCATTACTGGTTAGCGCCGAGACGCACTTATCCGAGACCACACCACTCTTGCGTAGATGTAGACGGCAAGATTCGTGTGATCATGCACTTGTTGATGCTGGGCTTCAACCTATTGCAGATCCAGATAATTTGATGGAAGATATTGAAGAGGAAGTTTCAAGCAGCAGCTCAACTCCACAGATTCATTCTCCAGCCGAATTTGAAATCGAAGATATATCCTGTTTTGTATTTGCAGATACATATCTACTTGCCACGGTAATGCTGCTCCTCATTGGTGTTTGTCTCATGTATTACAACAACGTTGGTGCCGTCATATTGTCTCTATCACCAATGGATCAAGACTCGTCGCATCCTGATGTTCACTGGGCTCAGCGCATTCATGTAATTGTCTTGTCGCTTTTCAGTTTTGGCAGTCGGATCTCAGTTGGTTTAGCAGCAGACTATTCATACAGATACCTATCTGTTCCTCGTGCAGCATGGCTTCTTTTTTCGTCTTTGATGGGAGCGGCTGCATCTGTAACATTAATACTTGCAACCACGCTCGATCAAGTCATGATCGCGTCGGTGTTCTTTGGCATCTCCTTTGGTGGAATATGGACCATTATGCCTGTGCTTATTGGCGAGTACTTTGGCTTTAAGCGTTTTGGTCAAAACTGGGGATGGATGACCGTTATGCCTGCCTTTGGCGGGCCCATCTTTTCTACACTGTTTGGTATAGTGTATGACTATTCCACCTTGCACGGAAATGGAGTCGACCTGCCTTCAGGAATAGTATGCAAAGGAAATGCTTGTTTTTCTGACAGTTTTATCGTGGGGTCGAGCATGCTCTGTATCTGTGTTGTATTGACGTCTATTGTATGTGTGCGACGACGTTTGCTGTGATTTATTCGCGCAGAATGGGATACTGAATAAGGATGTTAAAGTATAATAAACAGTTGTCTACTATTTCAACTTTTATTCGTTGTCGTGGGCATCACAGCCAATATCCACCCTTGGTTTGTTTTTAAAAGTCAACATGGAGATGAATGGTTGAGCGTTTTCCGATTATATTAGATGGAACAAGATCGCAAATATCGAATAAATCCTATCTCGAAACACTTTATATTATCCTCTCGCACATAGGCTTTTACCTGAACAAGATCTAGAAGACAGGGCTAAACGTTGCTATTTATTACCAGTATAATGTCACTCATACATATCACAGAAGCATTTGTAAGCTATTTATATAATCTACTATTCTTTTAAACCCTTTTTCTGCCAACTCTCCTAGTTCTCAATCGCAAGACTATCTTTTGATTCCTGTGTGTTATACGACTATGTTTGCATATCAAATTATCCATTGTTCATATATTCAATTTAAAGATCGTGCACTAACAACCGCACAATCAAATAGATGCAAAATGTCGAAATAGCGCCTTGGAAATCCAATACTCCACTAGCATTCATAGAAAGCGTTGTTTTTGTCTGTGCCTCGTTGGATTATATTATCTTTACTATCTTATTTTTGGTGAATCTGGTATCGACGTGGCAACATGTTTCGACTTCTCAAAAGGTATAAAGTACCAAGGCATGCTGACACTGCACTTGTTCAGGGGTGGAGCAATTCGTAGCATGCTTTGTATTCGCGTTGACTAGTAATTTAAACAGTGCTTGAGCCCAAGCCAGACCAATGCTAACGCTTTTCCTATGAATTCGTGTAGATTACATCGTTTTTGATCATATTGGTGTTTATGGCATTGCGAGTCTTTTATATCCCAGCACTGCTACTACTGGTTCCGTCTTCCTACATTGTTCAATTTGAATTTCGTACCATTCTTGTAAGTAGAGTAAATCTGTTTGAATGCATGCCACTGCATAATGGCATGGACCACTGTCACTAAATAACACTATAATGTATGAATTCGGTTATAATATATAGTTTTCTGTGACATGCATTGCTGCAGTGTATGTAATGACATTCTTAATCCCCATGGCGATTGGTATTTGGGGTGCATTCAAGTTTGAGGCGTGGCCATCCAAAGCAAACACCGAAGCAGCTAATGGAAAGCTCGTGCACATGCTAGGTTCAGGAAAACTGTCTCAAATGGTAGTGTGCTTTTATATCTATGGGCTCGTAACTAATCGCGAGTGTGTACCTATTGACATTTATTCATACACATCGTGATATCAAGGTGATAATGATCCAAGTGAATAACGAAGAAGTTCATGCTGTTATTCGTACAATCAAGTCAATTGTGAGAAGCACTTATGATCCACGATATCTTGTGGTGCATATCGGATTCAATTCGGATGAGCAAAGCAAAACGTATTTGCAGATTGTTCAGTTTTTGAGTGGCAAGCGTCAGCATCCTGCCCAAGGGTATCCTCTTCGTCACCCCATTGAGCACGAAAGCGTCCAATTTGTACTTCATAGGGGTAAAGGACACGGACAGGTATACTAGTTGGTTGAGAGCTGAACTGTTTACATTAACCAGCATGCTGACTTTTTATAATCCATTGGTTGTGCTAGGGAGTTGTGTATTCTGAGATCCAGCAAACATTCAAAGGAATGAACCATCGTACTTTTTTGGTCTCGGTGGATGCGGATATGATCTTGTACGAGGATTGTCTTGTGGAAATGGTTTATAGCATGGAAAACCGTGCAAAGGCAGTTGGTGTTACTGGATTTATTACTGGAACGTAAGTTGTTTTACAGAATACACGCTGTCAGTTTGCCAAATGTTCGAGGCTGATGATTTACTTGGAATCGAACACGACATTGTAGATGTCCTAGTCGTGGAAGTGCGTTTCGTCATTTTCAAGAGGCCGAGTTTGTTGCAGAGCAAATGGTGGATCGATCTCTTGAAATGGTATTTGGGAATTCAGCCAGTGTTCCTTGCTCCTTGGTATGTCACTTTAAATTTTACAATCATAAGCTTTCTTGTCAAGACTAACTTTCGATTCTTCCACCAACAATCCAACTTCTCACTGATATAGATCATGGTAAATCTGGCCGAATTCGAAAAAATTGCCAAATCTTACTTGACTGATGTTAAATCGGACAACTTTGAGCACTTGGGTCAGGAACGGCTCATTCTGTTTATTTTGACCCAGCAACACAAGTCGACTTTTCTCAAGTTTTGTTCCAACGCACGAGTAAAAACTGAAGCTGCAACATCATGGAGCGCGGTATTTGAGCAAGAGCATAGATGGCATATGCCATACTTGTACAACAAGGTGCTTTAGTACATGTTTGCTATATAGCCACGACTTTGAGTCTAACTTTTGACGAATTTGGTAATAGGCTCACTTTATGGTTGACATGAATCTATGGATTGGATTGCCTATTGTGCAGACATTTAAGCTTCTTCGTACAAGTGTTTGCTCAATGCATCTGTTTTTTCATCTTGCCATACTCCAGATTTGGACTAGTAATTCCTCTATAAAAGAAGCTACGTCTAGTATCTGGCTGGCACCTATAGCCATATGGATTATGTACTCTACCTTTGCCATTGCTATAAAGCGAGTTTCCATCATAACCATGTTTCCGTTGACTCTTATTGTGAATCCATGGATGCGTAAGCTGCAATGTTTTTTCATATTTCACTGTTTGTATTGCAAATCTTGACTCATGCTGTTCAATTCAATGTCTTAGGTTTGCTTATCAATAGTATCAACATGATCAGACAGCAAATGACAAACCGTCCTATTCCTAAAAAGTATGTTTTTATAGATGCCTTTACTACCGTTTTTAGGAATAATGATTAGCGATTGCTTACTTGTGCACTATTTAAATGGTTAGACAAGCTGTATTGAAAAATATTCAGGTAGGATACAACGTCAAATCAGAAGCCAAAAGATCCATAGAGCTCGAGTCCAACATAGTGACAAGCACGCCGCGACCGGAATCTGTCCAATCCAAGCCCACAGGTACATCAACGACTTCATCGACCACCTCTATGTCGCAAAAATTGCATAGCTGCAAGAGTTTTGATAGTCTGCAAGAGCCTGAGCCTGCCAAGCCACAACATGGTACAGCGATTGCTCGACTTGTACGGACTTCTTCCATGCGTGGACTAAAATCTACTGGGCTAAGTTCAAATGCATCTTCTACAGTCACATCTGGTCATTCCAAGGTAGCAACATGCCATTTAGTTTATATTACCAAGTTTATTTGATACACGCGGTTGTTTAACCAACTTTTGATGGTATGATTTGGTTTAGGGCACTTCTGGATCGCAAACATTACATAGATCCAACTCTGCCAACTTCAAGCTATTTGGACGTAGTTGATCATGCTAGATTTGATGTTTGAACGAGTGTCTTTGGACATTCCCATCCCTTTGTTGCTAGCCGTAATGGAGTAATTATTAAGATTAAACATTGATGATTTAAAGTTTATACTATTAGTAATCCATAATTGGACACAGTGGGCATATATAAGACATGGAATAGGTTGAAGTCAATTGAAACTGGCAATTTCCAAAAGCAAAGCAATAGTCCTCAAGTTAGTTTGCATTGGCTCGAACATTTCTTGTAGCATTACAGGATTGCAAAGCTAGTTGGACAGGCAAATGACGACACAGTATGAGCTCTACCGACGGTCATCACTTGGTATGGCTCTAACTGACACTCTGGATGAGCTGATTCAGGATGGCCATATTGACCCACAGACAGCCATGAAGGTTCTCTCTCAGGTTGGTTGGCTATAATATATTGGCTGTATATGATGCATTTATGTCTGGGAAAGCAGCAATTTGCAAGATAGTTCTACTACAGCACTATTGTAGACCCACTGACTCTGACAGCTGGATATTAATGGACCTTAGTTTGACTTGAGTTTCGCAGAGGCTCTCCATTCCAAGGTCAAGAGCAAGGCAACCATCAAGGTAACCCAGCTTTTATAGTCATGCTTGGTTTGGAAGTCAGGTTGGCCTTTTAAACCGATAGTTGGTTATACTGTGTATTGACAGATCACTTTATTGCTGATATTTGGAAACATAAATCATACTATTAGGGACATTTGCATATATATCGGCTTTGTGACGACGTATGGACCTTTATTGTAGAAAATCCAGCGTTTCGATTTGAAAACGAGACAGTGACAGCCAACAAGATCAAGGTTGTAGCATGCAAGGCCAGTACTGCTGCTTAGAGCAATATATACTGGATGCTCTCAGTTTTAGTCCAAACGAGATTCGAGTATGCTGTTTCAAATGAAGACCTCTTAATAGTACAGATCAAACTGTTTACCTGCATTGATTGTTTCACTTGTGACCCTCGACAATGAGAATGAGAATGGAAGGATGGAATGAAGTGAAAAATAGTTAGTGGCCATCAGTGTTTATCATGTTTTTGGAAAGTATTCACGCAAGTTCATTCAACCACATTTGTGTGATTGGCTTTGCTACTTTTGTAACAATCACCACCAGATCCACAGTACCATTTTGGAGTTTGAGAAAGAGAGGTTGAGAGTTGCAGGTTTACATTGTAGACTACAAGCTTGCTTTGCCATCTTTATTAGTGTCAAATCTTGACCGTTTTGCAGTTGCCAACGTTGTCCTTATTACTCCAACATTGTGTCCTTATTACTTTATTGATTTGAATGATAGGATCATATACCACGGCGACAATCCGATTTGTTGGCACGATCAGTTTGTTGATCCCCTCGATTGAATATAGGATGTCACTCATTTGGTCTTGTTCTGACGCGATCTTTGGTGTTCCACCTACATAGTCCACATTAACCTAAATAATCGTGCGATTCTACAAACCAAACCCCCGCAGTTTCAAAAGGTTGCAACAATCTGCTTGATGCTGTCTAAATGGCTTCAACCCATGCCAAAATTAGATTGTTGAGATACAAACAAATATTCTTTTTTTGTTCTCATTCCATTGTCGCTATCCAAGCATAGGAATATTAGAATGTAATGGAATTCATCAAACCTGTCTATGCCAATGATAAAGAAATCAAAAGATGATTTATATATGGTCATGGAGAGATCGTAGTATATGCTTAAAGGGTGGCAGAATACAAGTTTGGTATAAATAAGTGGAAGCCAGCACAGAAGCTCAAGTGTTTCGTTTTACGTGAATATGGCTGTATTTGAAGGGTCAAATCTTGTTGAAGATTACTCATTTGCTGATGTTCAAACTTGGCTTTTGTAAAGCAGATAAAGTTCGATATTAAAGTCTGAGGATCATCCTCTACATATTTGATTCTCTGCCCTACCAGTAATCCCAATTGAAACCCATACTACTAATCATTACTTACATGGCACCTTCAACATCACTACAGTTCCTTGAGCTTCCAGGCTCAAATGGCTACATTCATGGTCTGTATGGACTGGAAGCATGCACCGTCCGTGGTCTTATCCGCATTCAGCATCCTATCCAAAAACCTCTCTACATCAAGCGGTTAAAACTCACTCTTAAAGGTCTTCTCTGGACTCGCTTTCTGGACACAGTCGTATCTTTTGACATGGTTCGTAGAGAAAAGGTTCTATTTGAAATATGCGTTGATGTCCTCCAGGATGCCGAAATCGACAAAAATGAAATCAATATATTGAGCGGAATACTGGATGTTCCTTTTGAAATTGCATGGCCATTGCATGATCCTGTAACCAATGGGCATGGTCCAAGCCATCAACTTCTTCCACCATCATGCACAGTATTTGGCCAGAGCGGATCGCTGCATCATTATCAGTCCAATGTCGAGTATACATTAACTGCAACTCTAGTTGAAAGTGCAGTGCCATTGTCTTCAACAAAATCAGGAAATTCTCTAAATTCTAGTACAGCCGACTTGGATACAGCAGATGGTTCATCTGGCCATCGATCGGGATTTTCTGCATCACTTGGCGCAGCAGCAGCAACCTTTGGGCTTGGATCGCTTTTTGCACCTCCAGTTCGAACCTGCATATTGCCTATTTCTCCATTTGTTGTTTATGATGCACGGATGCTGCCTATCATTATGCATCCAGATCCACGGAGATGGCGATCTTCACCTGGTATGGTACCAATTGAATATGACATTGAAGTGGGTCCTATCGCACTTGGACCCAACGATCCAATTCGGTTTGCATATAGGATGATTGTTGATAGCGAGTCTGCCAGACTGGGTGTACGAGTTAAAAAAGTTACATTTATACTCAAGGAAACTCATATTGTTGGGGAAGATCGATGTTGTATTATGGATGACCAGCAGCAGTACTATCATATCCACCAGCCGCCTGCTCGGGTTAAAGGTGTCACAGAGCTTTTGCGTTGGGAGCACACAGAATATAATCCAATTTCACAATCCGATTCCGTTGCAACAGGAAAACCTGAATCAGGATATTTGCGCGATTCGACTACTGCTGGTTCAGCCTCTGGACTTCGTGCAAGTTCATCTTCTGGACCTCGGCTATCATCATATCAGAATTCATCTTTGAGTCGTCAAGTCTCGTTTCAGCAGAATACCGCTGCATTTGAACTTCTCCCACTACGTGAATCACAAAAGTCTGTCGAGGTCATGTCACGTCCGGGCACACGCGGTGGAGCAGGCGACGGATTGTATGTTGAGAATGAAACCACACTTTATATACCCTCTCTAGGAGGATTCACAGCTACCACAGCAAAACCCGTTATACCTTCAGAAAATTACATTTGCCAAAAACTGAATCCGCGTGAAGCCATTTTACAAGTACGACATAGTGTACATGTTACTATTGATTTTATTGAAGCCGAGCGTATCTCGATTGAAAGCGGCGTGTATTTACTCTCTGTGGGTCATGAGGAGTGTGCGTATGTGTTGGATAACCATCCTGAGATTCTCCCAACTTTAGACTACGATAAAATTGTTGGAATAGAAACTTGGGTTCCAGAATACTCTGCTCAAGACCAAGTGTTTATGGATTCTTGTTCATCTTTGCTTCATTCACAACAGCATGATTCGGATAGCTATAGTAGCCATTCATTCCATCCAGTCGTACCAGAAAGAAGCCATTCGATAGATACCACGCATTCTTTATTGCCACATCGTCAGTCAGATGCTCAATCTATAATTTCAGACGACATGTATTCTACAGATACTGATTTATACGGAGATTCTAATCCATCCCGTAATATGATACCCGACTCACCTACACCGCGCTATGAAGATATTATGCGTGCACCGATATCCACACAGTCATCCGTAACGACGACCAAGTTGGATAATAATGACACCAGTCATAACTACCTTGATAATAATAGTAATAATATATCAGTTTCGCACGATAGATTGTATCAGCCCTACTCAACTGAATCTCTTCCGTCAATACCTTTAAACTCGGCCGCTTGTATATCTCACTCACCTGATTCTACTACTAGTAACTCTGACCGCTCACCCATGACTGTGTTGAAATCGACTTCATTGGCCAATTCAAATGAGGATCAAAATGCTATTCGTGATCCGTTGACATGGTTTGCATCTGAACCCCCATCGATTATGCCCTTGGAAGAAGCTTTATCCGAGGCAATGCAGGATTTATTGGATACACGTGTGCAACTTTCAACTGGTCGAAGCAGAGTGGGTCGATACTCTGTTCACTTGCATGGCAATACCAGCAACTACCGTGATCGTGATACTCGAAGCGACAGTCTTTTATCATATGGATCAAACTGCTACTATGGTGGTTCAAATCAATTGAGTCATGGAGACAGTCATATAGGAGAGACTAATGAAGATACTAGTCAATACCTTAGTTGATCTGGAATTGAAGAGGGTTGTAGGCATTCTGATCCAGCTTGGTGGGTGTAAACAGACTTTCAGTACAGTTTTTTTAATAGATTATTTTTGTACCTGTTTTTTTATTAAAACTAATGGTTTTTAAACATTTATTACTATTACTTTATGTATATTGATGCTCGTTGGTGTTTATTTGATATTTAGACATTGTCCATATAAGCCGCTCATTAATTCCACAAATATACACAGCATTTTAGCTAAACAAGATGATATTTTTTGCATACCGAGTTTTCATCACACAGTTATAATTGCCAATGATACTTGAATCATATAGTGTTTGTATCGCGAAGGAATTGAAATCGTTGAATCAAATTGTCTTGCTGAACCTGAAGCCATTCTTGATGTTGCTTTACATTCTGTCGATGCAAGCCAAGTTCCACAGTTATATCTTGATAAAACTGCTCATTCTTTTTCACGATTGAATTAAACGTAGCCAGTTGCTGAGCCATGGTTTCACAAAGCAAAGTAAATTCATTGGCAAGATCAGACAAAGACATTGTAGAAAGAGATTGAGTCCATAATGCATGAGGGTCTACCGATGACTGGACTATTGGCTGCTGCTCAAAATGATCAGGCTGATTTATGAGATTCGAGGATTGATGTGTTGGTAAATTTGATTCAAATTCAAGCGGAATGGATTCAAACTGGGGTTTAGATTGTTTTGCAACAGATTTTTGTGCACTGGAGATGGTGGGAGAAGCAATGTTGCACACTGGAGTAGCATGATCGTTTACAAAGAGTTGTGTAGTATGAGTGGATGTTAGAAAAGTGTTGCTTTTGATTTCATTCTCATGCTCTGTATCAGTTTTCAAATGCAACAAAGATGGGTGGTGGGGAGACACTGGAATGTGTGAGGCATTTTGTTTGTCCTGCGCTTGATCTTGTAGGTTGTATTCCAGATTACGTAACAGATCTCGCGTCGATGCCACGGCAGCCATCATTTCATCGCTATCAGATTCAGAGTTTTCGAGATCGTAGATCCCCGAGTCATTCATACGGATATGTTGTTGAGGCTGCTGTTCTTTATTTGATAAAGGACGGTGTGAAGATGCCTTGTATTCTTCAGATGGGGTATTACCAGCAGTACGCTTTTTGGAACTGTTATGGTGGGTTTGTGCTGGTGGATTGACTTTAAATCGATCAGATACAGTGTTTTTGTCGTGAGACATTTCCTGGCTAAACGAGATTCTCATAGACAAGGGATCAACTAGTGTGTTTCTGCTGCCAACATTTCTGGTTGTAGGAATGTCCGACTTATTTGCATTGGACATCTTTCTGGAAGAAATGGATTGGTATTTATAATTGGTAGTGAGCTTATTAGGACTAAGAGAACGCATATGAGACGTGCTAATTTGTCTACCAATTGTGCAAGTTTTGGAATTTGCGTTGACAAAACGCAGCAATTGTTGGATACAATCGTGTATCGTTTGTTTGGGAAACAATCAAAAACAAATCTTGAACAGCAAGAAGTTGCTGAAAATACTGTAAATTTTCAACCATCTTCATGGCTTGTTAATTGTGACTGTTTATTGCATTTGCTAGAATAATCAACACATTTTTCATAATAATTCAAACATACTAGCCAAGGAAGAAAGTGCTGCGTACAACATCTACCTGGCGAGATGTAGACATTTGCGGAATTTGCTCGTACTTTCCATGAAGTTTTTCACGAAGTTTGCGAAGTAGTTCTGTCATATTGGGGTTAGGATTCTCTCCCAAAACAGACAGCAGTGCCCATGACATGGCACCAGTAGCCGATCCATCAATCACTGCATCGGCAGATGTTTGCGAATCTTTGCAGCCAGAGAACATGACTACATCTGCCTCTGATGACTTTTGCTCAATGGTCTTTTTTCGTGCAGCTTCAGCATTGGCACTAGGCTGACCAGTCTTGGACTCTTTGACAAGCGAAACAGCCTGGAATGCCTCGCGCATAGCAGTCTCCTTGTCATTCTTGAAAAGAGCAAGACCAGCCTGCAGACCGTGCTTCAAAATTTCTTTGGTGTTGTCTTTGAAGGTTATCTCAAGATTACCATCAACAGAATAGGTGTATGGTAGATCCAATACAGATCCAGAGTGGCAGCAATCAAAAACTGCAGTGAGGCGGGCGCCTTTGGGCAAAGGATGAACCAAAATGGCATTCATTTCCTAATTGTTAATGTATAACAAGGTGAATTAGTATTTGATTGCCATGGAGAATTGGAACATCTAGTAAATTCTTACATCATCAGTAATTTGCCCAGCTTGTTCATGATCAAGTGGAACAATAGTCTGATCATAGCCACCTTCCTCGTCACCATCTGGGAAAAAATAAACTCAAATTTTAGCCTAATGAAACTACTAAAAACAGTACAGCATTTATAATGGCAGCTTACCAGTGTCTTTTTGGTAAGCACCATGACCGGAATAGTGAAGGAAGAATGCATCCCCATTCTTGGCACCAGCTACCAGCCAATGGAAAGCAGCGAGGATATTGGCACGAGTAGGAAGAGCAGCGGGGTCTTGCAGATCATCTGTCAAGACCTTGGACTCCTTAAAAATGCTTGTGGCACCAATATACTTGGACACGTTCTGAACGTCTTGAATACAGCCACGAAGAGCAGACTTGCTGCCAGCGTAGTTAATACCAATATACAGGGCCCTGGTCACTCGATCTGGGCTATGATTGGCAGCACCTCCAGCCGAAGGAGCCATGACTGGCAGCTATATGAACATGCCAAAGTATTGAACAAAAGTTAATAGATATAGCATACAGTCTATTCGATATCAAGCATAATTTATTAATAGGTTTGAAAGCTAGATATTGGTTTTACAGTCGTGTTCATGTAAATGGATCACTCCATAAAGGTACCAAAATAGATAATAAGCAGTCAATCCCATGAAATGATGGGTGTCATCAAATTCATCAAGCACTATGCCTTTTAAACTAAAACGCGAATGTATGAGATATATTTTAGGATACAAAGTGGAGTTTGTAGAGTTGGATTGACAATATCAGAACAATCAAACCCAATATCTGGATTGTAATGGATGAATCTGGGGTTAAACTTGGTGATCATACAACATATGATTATGCCAAAAGTGGAGGAGTGCAGATTCAAAAAGATGATTTCAGTTTAAACTAGTTTGTGCTATACAATGGACGCTGTGTTTGGAAAAGAGTTGAGAATGCCAATTAAAGGGCAATCAATATCTAGTAGGAAAGCACAGCGGGTGTTTAACCATTGTATATTTCAAAGCAAAAATAGAGGCAGTGCGACTGTAGGGTAAAGTGATCCATTTTACATGAATATGACAGTAAAACCATATCTATACCCAACAAGGAAATCACAAGAACTTACATTTTCAGGGGGAGCCTGACCTTGGCCAGCAGCTCTGCTCTCTCCACCTCCACCAGTAATCTTGGACAGAAACGGTTCGGCAGTATTGACCAGCTATTTTCCCACAGTCAAGATCCAAATGCAATAGCAGTGGTTAGTGGCGGCGATTCAAGTCCAGGGGCAAGTATTGAGCTGCCCTACTCAAACAGATGAAAATGCAGCATTCTATAAGACATGAGTTGTTACCTGATCAATATGGCTGCTGTCGACATTCTTGAGAGCCTCAGTTAGTTTTCCAAACATTGTTGATAGAATCAATTAGCAGATTGTTGAGTTTGAGGAAAAGATCGGATTCTAGAGCGCTTGAGGCTGTAATTGGCGGCCTGAGGTTTATGCGTTTGCGCGATAAATGATTGCCACATGGTTTCTACATTGCTTGCAATCAACATCGATTCAATTGTTCATTATCGCTTGCAACTTGCTCAGACTCCATGCAGTCAAGCCTGACACTATCTTTGTAATTCTAATATGGTTTTGGCACACCAACAGGTTAGATGTGTGCTTTCACTTGAGATATTTATCAATCCAACTAGAAATTGACCAAAACATTACTGGCTCCAAAATGATTGTATTTTTCTACTCATACAGCATGTTCATGAATGAGATTCGTACTATTTTGTATCTATATCCATCAACACACCCATTCAGTTTCATCACGTTTCAAAGTTGAGCAATGTTTCATTGACATTGCTTACCCAAAACCCAACTGCGGCTTTGGGCAAAATCAACGGGCCAGCCATCTTTTGTGTATAAATTCTGTCCAAAAAGCCTTTTTATCCCATTACATTCATCCACACTAATTTTTTATCCAATTAGCCATCACCTCATACCAACGCCGACTTTCAAATATAAATATAGCTTGCATAATTAATCAGTCTGGTTCTAGCCATGTCGTCGCTTGTCTCTGATATGTTGTCTGTTTTTGACGAGCGACTTGAAATCTTGCACTCTGAATCGATGCAGCAGATCCATAAGGTGAGCGCTGCATCCAAGTTTGTGGCTCAATCGCGACGAATACGGCAGAGCGAGGAACTGAGGGATCAATCCCATTACAGGGTTACCCGTTCCTATGCTACAGCAAATGGCTGCTTATGTAATTGTGAAGCTGCCAGGTCTATCTGCAATCACTCTAGCGCCAATGGTTGCGCTATATCAGCCAACAATAGTGCACTGGGTCCTGAATCTATATTGAATGGCAAGCATCTTGGTGCGGCAAGACATTCCACTGCTTTGTCTTGTTGTCCACAGCCAGAAGGTGGCTGGACTCCATCAAATCAGCCATGTCTATTTACATCATGTTTACAAATCGCTATTACTTTGCCCGGTCACTATCGCAAGCCTAGAACCCTTGGCGCTCTACGTAAATCAATTCCGGCAAAAACGTCTTTCTATTCTCAATAGTCTTTAGGTTTATATTCGCTGTGGGTGTTGCAATCATCAAAAAAGCTGAGATGATTTGTCCAGCCGCTGTTGGAGTGGAAGAAGCATGTTGGCGCACCTATTGTTCACCATATTGCGCAACTAATCGACTGAGAAGCATTTCATATCATGCGGGGTCTCTTGACAGATGTTTCGAACAAACAGATTGGCACCCGATCTGTTGTAAACCTATTGCGTAAACACGTTACAGAATCATTTTGCTGTTTTACAAAATGAAAGCGGCTGGTAAAGTATCAGCATCCAGTCGTGTGGGTGTGCCGGCCTCAAGCGATCCTGTTTTATGTCAAACTTGTATAGATAGTCCATCCAAGCTCTGAGTATCAACTGCTCAGTGCACATTGTGCGCCACAATCCTGTATTTAGGATCTTGTGCAGATCTTACCGTTCACAAGAAGAGCGGTCTCTACTTTTTGTCTTTGTTTAGCATCAACCTGTATAACGTGCAGATGCTCTAAAAGCGCAAACAGTTATTCACCACGTATGCAAGCGACAAACATTGTTGAACGTTTTTGGCTTGAGTTGCCGTTTGCTTCAACGTCCGTGGGTGACATATATTCATATCTAGCCATCACTATTTAATTGATGCAATGGCGCCAAACATGTCGAGCGATACGCATGTAGATTGCTTGCCAGATGGTACTACACGCTTGCCAAGTTTATCAACCAAATGCATGCTAGTCGATCTCCAGCTGCTCGTCTAAAAGAAAAGGCTTTACATACAACCCACAACGTAAACCTGCCTCCTCCAACCCCTCTTTCTCAAGCTTCTAAAGTACACTGTAGATTTGGTGGCGAGAGTCGCAGAAATAACAAGCTCAACCACATCTATATGGTTGGATGAAATTTACGCGAGCACCTCGACTGTGTGATATATACTGATGATGATCTGACTATTTTTCATTTCTCTGTTCGTTTTATCCCTTTGGCTGATCATCATGAATGAATAACTTGACGAATTACCTCGTGAAATTGACTTTTACTTAGTATTCCATTTACATGAATACAGCTGTTATACAAGCACATTCCAACAACTTCAAAAAATTGATGTTTTTATTGAGTGGCCAACATTCAATTTTTTCATGCGTCTACCAGAATATAGGTTAGGATTTATTGTCTATCACGACCGTATTCACATAAAATGGAACACTAAATGTCAATATATAATAAACAGTTATGCTTAGTTGGCGCCAATCTTACTGGGCAGCATTGTTTATAAACTCTTTATCGACTAGCCTACTCATTCTTGCACAAAAATACAGAACGAATGTTTACATCTCTGTTTCAATAAACTACACATCCTTTCAACCTTCAACTTTTCTTTTGCTAAACCAAACATGTGAAGTGAATATTAGATGATCGCATAGAAACAACAGTTGCATTCCTGAGATGTTCTGTTAAACTAGAGCGCAAACGTATCTGATATTAGGATATGACAGAGTTTTCTCAATGCCCTGGTTGTACCAGATATTCCTTGGTTGTGTGAAACTAACGTTTCCAATGACAAAACCAATGTCTGGACGTGGCTTGTGTAGTGGTAGTCGCCTTGCCTGTTTAGTTTCAGTTTGCAGTAAGGACAGTTTGAACCGGAGAAACAAAAGTGCTGTCTTTGGCATGCTTTGCACTTTGATGCTTTGCCTTGACCACTCTATTTCAAGAGGACGTTGAAATTGCCGTTTTAAAAAATGTTGGGCTTTAGCATTCAAAAGATGCTGTTTTAGGTACAAAATGATTATTAGGCAATGACTTTTCAGTAAAAGCAATCAGATACCACTTTTAATATTTATAGTATACACAAACAATGTGTTCGTATAGACTTGGATGGTCCTTGATCAATTAATAGTCAATAAGCCACTGTAGTACTTATTCCAGCCACCACCCATATTCTGGTAAACGCATAAAATATCGAAGCCCAAAAGATTTAAATAAGCAGTTTTCAGCACTTTAAAGCTTAATTTTTATCTACTAGACATCGGTGCACAAATCGTTTTGTTTCACTTGATATATATATTAAATTTTTTGTCGATTATTCAGTATCAAACATTATGTTCAAGTTCTATTTTAAATCGTATATTAGCCTACTGTTTTTGGCTGCCATTGTTCCAGCAACAGTCATGGGTCAGGCAAATTATCCAAAAGGTGTAGTTATGGCCAATGGAAATCCAGAATGGACTAAAGCCGTTGGCAGTGGCCTTCCCGCTGTAGACAGTAGCAATCCTTATGGTTGGGCCGACGATGTGATTGCATGTCCTGGCCCAAAGCAATGGGGTCTTACATACGATGACGGACCTAGGTAAATGTCATGGCTATCGATTGTGTATTTTTGAAATTTAATCGATTGACTAACGTTATTTTGTACTGATGGTTAAATCTACCGATCGATATTTTAGTCCCGAAACCCCAAAAGTACTCGATGCTCTTAAAAGTCATGATATCAAAGCCACCTTCTTTGTCGTTGGTGCTCAAGTTCAAGCCTATCCTGATATTTTAAAGAAAGCATACCAAGAGGGTCACCAAATTGGTAATAGTTGAACAATCACTTGATACACGTTGGACTAAACTAACAAGTAGATCTATTTGGTATGTCATACAACAGCCTTACACACATGGTCCCATAAATCACTTCCTGAAATCGATCTGGATAGTGCCATTGCTGAGGTTGTTTACAATGCTATGATTGTCAAGGATACAATCGGTGTTACACCCAAGTTCATTCGTGTGCCATGTGAGTATATGTAGTTTAATTAATGACACGATGCAATGTTTGGATAGTCAAGTGTATTAATTGTGTGTTATGGTTTAAATCGAAGATGGCAAGATCAACGCGCCGATCCGTAAGATGCTCCATAACCTTGGTCTTACTATTGTTGCATGGAATCTGGACACCAAGGATTGGAGAGACACTGCTCCTATAGTCGGTCTTATTAAAGAAAGAGCCGACAATGGTGATTCTGGTGTAGTTTCTTTGCAGCACGATATTGACGCAAAAGTCATTGAGCATATTCCTAAATCTATCGAGGTGATTGTAAATGGCAAGGCAGGATATAAGGCTATGCCAGTCTCTACATGTCTTGGACAAAAGGCATACGACGAAGGTTTCTGGACTCGTCTTGGTGCTGCTCCACCAAGTGGATCGGCTGCCTCTAGTCCTGCTGAAGCACCAGCTTCCGCTCCTGCCACATCTGCTGCTACTGTCACATCTGCTGCTCCTGCACCAGATTCTGCTGCTACTAAAGCCGCTACTGCTACTGCTCAAGCTAGTGGTACAGCTACTGCTCACTCATCCGCCGAAAGTACTCAGAAGTCCACTTATGATGCTGAAGCTTCACCAATATCATCATCTGCATATTCCATAGCCACTTCGACTGGTATATGCGTTGCGGCTGCTTTAACCATCATCTCGTCTGTTTTCTAAAGACCAGTTTATTATACATTTGCGGCTGTTTAAACTATGAAATAAATTCATTGTTTATCAAATGTGGCTTTAATTTACCGAATTGTGGAACTGAGAATTGTAAATCTGTATAGTATATGATATGGCAAGCCAAACATTGCAATATTATGGGTTCAGCTATACTATTGCTTTGCGACTCGATGATCCAGCAATATTTGCTGATCGCGGGTAAAAAAGCAACCGCCGGCGCATCTAGTGCCTGGATGATCACCTTGACCGTCTCAACGTTGAAAATGTCAGTCTATGGTTTGAGGCAGATGACATTCAAACTGTACAACTGAACAGGAAAAAGCATCATGTATGAATGCCGTATAATTTAGTGGCAAATGAATGTACAGCTAATCTAATGAAAGCTTGTTTTAAATTGTTAACAATGCCGCAAACACCCCTTAACATTCTGTAAAATAGCCGCAAAATTTAAAGCATTATATGGCTCAACGTGAAGATCCCTTGATAGGAATCCTTTAGCTATTGGCGATTTTACAGAATGTTGGCTTTACAAATTACTACATGAGCATCGATACATAAGTCAGTCGATTTCTCCATGCTTAGCTCTGCATCCCCAAACAGTAGGGATTGAGCATTTTGTAAATCCCTTTAATACTCCCTTACTCGCAAAATATAATGAAGAGCATAGCAGCCAGCCAATAGTCGTAAATTAGAATAGGGAGTCACTGCGCGTCGCCCAGCTTTAACAGCGATCCCTTATGCTTCACCGTCCATCAAGATATATAAACCTCGATTGCTCTAATGTGCAAGTTTATCAGTCGGGCATATAGCACAGGCATAATACTACAACTGATTAATACTAATTACTAAAAATCACTCTTTATCCATCATGCATACATCACACTCTAAGAACTCGTATGTCAGCGTACTGTTTTTGGCTGCCATTGTTCCAGCAACAGTCATGGGTCAGGCAAATTATCCAAAAGGTGTAGTTATGGCCCATGGAAATCCAGAATGGACTAAAGCCGTTGGCAGTGGCCTTCCCGCTGCAAGCGGAAAGGATTTTTATGATTGGGCTGACGATGTGATTGCATGCCCTGGCCCAAAGCAATGGGGTCTTACATACGATGATGGACCTAGGTAAATGTCATGGCTATCGATTGTGTATTTTTGAAATTTAATCGATTGACTAACGTTATTTTGTACTGATGGTTAATCTACTGATCGATATTTTAGTCCCGAAACCCCAAAAGTACTCGATGCTCTTAAAAGTCATAGTATCAAAGCCACCTTTTTCACCGTTGGTGCTCAAGCTCAAGCCTATCCTGATATTTTAAAGAAAGCATACCAAGAGGGTCACCAAATTGGTAATAGTTGAACAATCACTTGATACATGTTGGACTAAACTAACAAGTAGATTCATTTGGTATGTCATACAACAGCCCTACACACATGGTCCCATAAATCACTTCCTGAAATCGATCTGGATAGTGCCATTGCTGAGGTTGTTTACAATGCTATGATTGTCAAGGATACAATCGGTGTTACACCCAAGTTCATTCGTGTGCCATGTGAGTATATGTAGTTTAATTAATGACACGATGCAATGTTTGGATAGTCAAGTGTATTAATTGTGTGTTATGGTTTAAATCGAAGATGGCAAGATCAACGCGCCGATCCGTAAGATGCTCCATAACCTTGGTCTTACTATTGTTGCATGGAATCTGGACAGCAATGACTGGAAAGACGCTAGTCGTATAGTCGGTCTTATTAAAGAAAGAGCCGATACTGGCACTTCTGGTGTGGTTTCTTTGCAGCACGATATTGACGCAAAAGTCGTTGCGCAGATTCCTAAGTCTATCGAGGTGATTGTAAATGGCAAGGCAGGATATAAGGCTATGCCAGTCTCTACATGTCTTGGACAAAAGGCATACGACGAAGGTTTCTGGACTCGTCTTGGTGCTGCTCCACCAAGTGGATCGGCTGCCTCTGCACCAGCCTCTGCTCCTGCTACTGCACCCGCCACTGCACCAGTTACTGCTCCTGCTACTGCACCGGCATCTGCACCAGCCTCTGCTCCTGCCACTGCTCCAGCATCTGCACCAGCCACTGCACCAGTCTCTGCTTCAGCACCAGCATCTGGCAAGGGTACTAAAGCTCCCATTTCTACCCAAACAGCTGGTGCCCAAGATAAGGTTGTTTCTGCCAGTGGTGCCATATCTCAAGGCATTTCTATTACCGCTGGTCTTGTTGCAATCCTTGCCATTTTTGTCTAGTATCTCAATGTTCCGTTGATTGCATTCGAATAAATCTTTTAATCATTAAATTTTGTCAACTTGATCAAAATGCTTAAATAGTGTGCTGTGGTTTAGTTGATTGTGTCTAGATTAGGTGTGGCTACATAGTTGCTCCCATTGTTTATTCATTATGAAAATATTGGTTTATAGAGCACCGTGGTGATGTACTATTGAGTATACATGCATCGTGAGTGTTGGGTAATAACAATTTACAATAGAACTTGTACGAGTATTCTTTCAAACGTACCTTTTTCTTGTATCGTGTTGTGCATCCAATAGCCATGACACCATCACGGATCGAGCATGCATACAAATGGTTCAGTGTTACATGTGTTGGAACTGGTAAGATGTACGGATCTTGGTTAGATACATTTTTTGAATTAAGCAGTACTTTTTGAAGATGTGCTGGGAGCATTGGAGGGGGTTCAAATGGCAGTGTCTCGACAATATTACGATGCAATTTGAGTTGGTTATTGCGGAGGTAAGCAGGTATTTCCGAAGTGTATGATTCAATTGGCGAATCTGGTCGAGCTAGACCATTCAACAATCCAAATCATGGCTGTTAGTGTATGCCAATACTCGACTGGTCAACACATGATACAAATGATACAAATGATGCATACCGTCTCCTTCCAACTCATCGCCAAGCTTTGATAGCCCATCTAGTCCATCCCCCTGCTGATCGCCATCTTCATCGATTACTTCTAAATAGTTTACTAAATTTCCATCAGGACCAGATGTAATGGGAAGATCCTCGGAACACTTCCACTCGTCATCAACTATGAATTTAAATCTGTGTGTCCCAGGCGACATATCAACCACTGTAGAAAACTCATCCGTGCTGGATAAAACAGCAAGTTGACATCAAAAAGCAAAGTAAGCCATCATCACATTGGAATAGAGCAAACCCAGCACTAGTTTTACTTTTTGAATTACCTTCGCGACAGTTTAACTTTTTGCTTCCAGTTATTAAAAGTGCCTGTAAGATATACTGTCCGACCTCCATGAGGCCAATTAATCATGATAGGTATGAGCCGTTTTTGAGAATCAGACCGTGTTAGTGGGGCCATTAGGCTAAACCCCGAGTTACCAAACGAATGCATAATCCGCGCCGAGTTTTTATAACTCTGTTCGCCTTCTGGCTGAACAAACGGTTTAGCCTTGATATTGATTCCGTTGATGTTTCTTCCTGAATATTCTTCAGACGGATCTTTTGTGCTACTGCTACGCCGCCTTCCGGAAAACAGCCCAGCAGATGAGCTACTTTCCAAAGTATTCGTTCCCAGCCAAGGAAATGCAGACAATGATGAATGAGTACCATTCGACACAGGCTCAACAGCAGTCACAGGAGCAGAGGTCGACATGGATATATCCAATGGCTGAATCTGAAGATGCTCGGCCATGTCAGCTAATTTTGCAATAGATCGTGACCGCTTTGACATGAGAAATCTTCCAATCCAACTTGACGAGGTGGAATCGCCTGTGGCCGACACAGAATATATTTCGGATAGTGCCAGAGGCGATCCAGCAACAGGCGAGGCTTGAACTAATCCAGCCGTCCTAGATATGGTTGTTGGAATTGCTGTTATCTTGGGCGGTGAATGCGCACACGTGGATGCTTTTGGAGTAGTAGTGCTAGAATCGCTAGACTGTGTAAATGAATTGGAGGATGGAGTAGTTAGATTTGACAGTGCAGGGTGTCCTACTATATAACGCTGTGTTCCATCTGATGTTGCTACAGATACAATGGGCATAGAAGCAGAAGCCCCCATTGATGAATTGCTGTTACCAGGGATACTTGAATCATTGATGGGTCGTTGTGCATGAAGTCCAGCTGTCCATCCGTCATTCCGCTTATCAACAGCAGTGCCAGCAGCACCATTTTTCAACCCATTCTCTACCTCTTCAATAGAAGCAGTGTTTCCCATATATCAGTAATGTTATAACAAGAGTAGCAAGGATGGCGATTTTCAAGCTAGTTTTTTAAACGCCTTGAATGTGGAGTGTCGGATAAAGTGCAAGCAGCGTTACTGCTTGAAATGGCAATTATCTTGCATTCTACATACAATTTACAGATTGTTATCGCTATGCATAATTCAATGCCATTCTCGTGCTGATTCTTTCCATGCAAACCCGACACGCTATCCAGTTTATCAGGAATGAATGAATCCCATGAATCAACAGCCAACCTACAGTCTGGAGATTGATGCATATGTTTATTTTGTTAAAATCTAGATTCTGCCACGAGTAGTACGACGCACATCCATCAACACATCTGACTCGATCTCATCTGATGCAAGCACTCCCCGATGCCATGCAGTGCAATCAAAAAAGAATCCTGCACCCCATGACACGAACAAGAAAAACAGCCAAGCCATTAACCAATTGAAGTTTGTGCATCCAGGCAATGATGCACCTGTGCATGCGCCTTGGACGTTTACTAGTTCAATGATGAATCCAAATATCCATCCAAGAGTCATAATGGCGTCGGCAATGGTTTCGATTGTGAGGATACGGCGCGATGTCCATGAATGAGAAAACCACGGAGATACGTAGACTGCTATTAATAATCCTGAAACAACTGGACTGCAGATGGCAAAGATGCTAGAATAGCATTATTGGTTGCAAAAAGCTAATGGTTAAAACACAATACAGTATATGGGCATGACAATATGGATAAATACTGCTAAAATAACAATATTTCTAGAGCATGATTACGTGGAATCTTGTATCCACGTAACTATCCAGACTGGAAAAAGTAAACTTACAGCATGGCAGAGTTGACACCTCCAAGGTTTTTGGAAGCAACCAGACCTATATCTTGAGATCCAATCCAATAGTACGACACAAGAGCCAGCATAATCTGAAAGCATCGAGCAGAATACCGACCTTGCTTATCAATAGTAAAGTTTTTATGGTCGCGATACTTTGTGATGCTGGCTTCAAGATTCCATTTCACAACATTGGATGCGCTTTTAGCTTTACTGGCCACTTTGGATTTCATATCCTTAAAAGATGGCATTTTGCTCAAGCTGGGGTTTAATGACTGCTGTAAATGGGTAGGATAAGGTGTGCTTTAGTTTTTAGAAAAGATTGAAATAATTGGGTTTAACCGTACAACTATTTTTATATGATTCACGTGAGAAAGTGGCAACCTCGACACGTTGGAAAAGTTTATTTAGCCTGCTTATCTACACATCTAGCATATCCATGCTCATGTACGCATAGCCAAATCAACCCATCTCATTCATCATTATAAAACGAAAGATCCATGCAAGTAAAATATAGTTCATGGGACGCCACATGCTTTGAGTTGGGCTGCCAGATAAAGCCCATGAAGGTGGAAGAGTACCAATTCCTGATGTAGTGGGCATTGGCGATGCATTTGTCCGGGCACCTACCACAACTAGAGTATGTTGAGCAGATGTCAAAGGTTCTGGACTTGGCATTAGTGTTCCTGTCCGAATGCTTGATGTGGTCATTACCGACAACAGAGTGCTTGTAGTAAGTGCTACTAAAGTTGATGTGGGATGCAAACTCGTCGAGCTTATAGTTACGGACGCAGATGAAGCTGCAGCCTCCATGTCCTGGGATGCCTTGCATGTAGAAAACACGGACTGGTTTTGTATGGTAGCTTGCAACTGCAACTGTGGATCATCAGGACATACTGTATAGCATTGCTGTAGTTGCTGATTTCCAGTGCACAAACATTGATAGTAAACCAAATCAGGAACACTTACAACCTTGCCATTGCATGCTGCAATAGCAAGACCTGCTGTTGTAGTACATGCTGAATACTCGGCAGGTTTTGAACAAAGACGAGGTTGAGCAGTTGTTTTGCCAATCCAGTCTGAAACCATGATTGTTGTAGTCAGGATTGCATATACTACATAAACTGAATGCATCGCTATCCAACGGGTTTGTAAAAACGTATATAGCAGTTGAATCTGTCATACTTTGAATCGTTTATATAAAGATTTGCATATATTTCGTGAGAGCAGCTATACTTTGTAGTTTTCATTTGATAAAGTCTATTTAAAGTGGTCCATTTTACGTCAATATGGCTGTAATGCGATTAGCATGTTTGATGTGAGCTGATTCTCATTGAGCCCATCTTTTGTATTCACTGCCTTTTTTGGTTTGAAAAATACAATGGTGAGATATTTGGTAGCCATACACTGTACGATCACCAGACTCGTGCATTGTAATCCAGATGTTGGATTCAATTGTTTTCAAACTGTAAAACTATTTTACAAACTCATAAATACGTTATAATCCAGAAAATAAAGTGTACACTCAGAAATGTAGTTATGCATGCCAATCACCGGGAGACCAGTAAACTTTAAACATTTATTCCATAAACCTGACTGTTTATCATACTTTGACTTGTTTAATGTTCCATTCTGCGTGAATACAGCTGTGAAATAAATGAATCAAAAACTGATGTTCATTTTTAAATCGCATTGTAGTATTGGACAGATTCAACAGAGTAGACGTGATTCAAATTACATTCAAATGACCTCTAGTAAACTTTAAACTGCTACCATCCAATCGTAGGTCGAACATACACATACAACTCACCATGTCGTGATCCATGCATATGAGGTTTATCAGCAAGCACAGGAAATAGTTTGTCCCGAATAGTAGATCCAAATGTATTACCTCCCTCGGCTGCACCCGACGCTCCATCTGAAAATAGCAAGGCTGCGTCTGTTTGCTTCATGGTTTTAAAGTTTGGTAAAGCGCATCTTCCACTACTCAATGGAACGAGTTGAAACGTCAAAGTTTGTGTCGAGAGTGGCAAGAGTTTGTAATTCATCTGTTTATACCCTGCAAAAACAAAATGTTCCGATGATTCCATATAAGATAAAAGTTCAGCGAGATGAATGGTTGTGTTTTGAATCGTATACCGTAATTCAAAGGGTGTTCCCACTGCCAGATCTCCAGGTATGGTGGCATTGATTCGGAGAATCTCTGGAGATAGCTTCGGTTCAGGCATATCAAGAAAAGTACAGGTCCAAGCGCCTAGTGCAGGCTTCAATCTGCGCCATTTTAAAGCAAGACGACCAATATCAATCTTTAAACTTGTAGAAAGAACATCTACCCGTGTAGTAACTCGAAAGGCGTAACCCTGGGAATGTCCCTTCAACCACTCTTTGGAAGTTTCTGGCTGAGAAACCGGCTCAACTTGAACGGCTGTGCTTGACAGGTTCTAGCAAATAGTATTGTGATTAGATACTGGTTTCAAAATTGATTCATCGCGCTTTTTACATACAGTATTGTCAAATTTAAATTACAGTCAACTCAAAAGTAGCACACCTGTAGATTGTCAACATTCAGTTCTGCATGTTCAACTTCAATCTCCCATTTGCCGATCATCCGCACAGTGGATGTAAGCAACCACTTATATGTCCGCTGAATATCCAACTCAATATCATCAGTACCACATAGTATGCCAGTAGGCGAATCTATTGGCAATGCAGCTGTGCCATACTGTGCAAGTTCTGAGCTAGTTTCAAATGGACACTCGCATGATATATGTCCATCTTCAGTGCTGCACAGCTTTGACAAAAGTCGAGTATCTGTCAAATCAAGCATAGATGTTCCAGGAAAAGCAGAGATTGTAAGAGGTGCAGAAGCAAAGAAACCATATAAAGTGGTGACCAAAACACGAGGTCCTGGTTTAGATTGAACTCGTAGATAAAAGACAGAATCAATTGTTGCATTGGGCTCGACTGTGCCCATATCAATTTGAAGCATCGAGTTAAAATGTTGTGGGGATGATGGCCGCTCCAAACTTATATATGCCTTGTCATCAAATGGTGTATCAAAATCGACTTTGTTCAATGCCAGTCGTGAATGGATGTCTGGCGCACCATCTTAACATAGTAAATGTATTGTCAGTCATTGTTTACACTGTAAGCAAAATCGACTATTTACAACTCAGTCCGGCTATATCACACTCCAAATCTTCAAAAATAGATATTACCTGAATCTGAGCCAAAACAAACTCTGCAACTTATAAACAGATGCATTGATTCAGACTCTTGGTTTGTCAAACGAATAGTAATAGGAACCAGCTCGTCAATGTATCCTGGTGAAACAAATGAATATTGGTGGGATACTTTAAGCTCGCGTTGATCAATTCTAAAACATATCGAGAATGTTAAGATATAGACACAATTATCTGATACAAAGATTGAAAAAACAAAATAATATGCACATAATTTGGCACAATGCACTACCTTATGCATGAAAGTTCTCCAACATTAGGTAAACCAATATATCGTGGAATAGATTCGCCAGCTGGCAGTATAAGCCATTGCCTTTTAGTAAAAGTTGAGGGTCGTTGTTGAATATTGAATATCATAGCCAACCGAATAGAAGGAGATTCAAGAATGATTGATACGGATATGATTTTCAACTCCTGATTCTTGGATGCATTTATCACACCCTCAAATATTTTGCTTGTGCCCGTAATAATATTGATTGGAGCATACTTTACCCAATACAAACGACCACCTTCTTGAGGAACAGTGGTGTATACGGCATCACAGCAATCAATCAACTCAATGGGTCGAGCAGATGCTATTTCAGTCTGCATAGATGTAGGCTCGTTTGAACTAAGCGGTAACAAACACATATCGTATTCGCTGTTGGAAAATTTTACAAGAATACGATTTACTGGTAAATAGCAGCGTGACGATTGTGAGAGTGCACGAGGAAGTGCTGACAAAACTAGTTGATAATTAATGCTTTCCAACACATGTGCTTGTGAAGTTTTAAGCTGAACATTGCATTGGAGAAAACTGGTCAATTGATCCATATCAAGCTGGACATCGAGAACACCATCAGGTCCGAGAGATGTGGCCTGAGAAACATTGCCTTGCAAAATAGTTTGAATTTCCAAGAATATTGCTTGGCGATCAGAAACCAAGGGAGTGAGCTGGTGGCTAAGCAGTTCCACAATAGATTCCAAGGCAACTGCATGAAGTTGAAGCTGAAGCGCACATTTAATCATCCATCGATTAATGGATGCCAAAATAGTGAACCAACCCTCCTTGCGGTAGGTCTTGCCGATACGATCAAAAAACTTGAGCGCCATATCGTACTTTTTACCCTCTTCATATACTCTTGCAATATCAGATGCCAGATAAAGCGTCATACGGCTGCTCTTGTACTTTTTAAATTGTTCATATCCTTTGGTTAGTAATTCGATTATATTCATGGTGTGGTCCGTTGCATTTTCAAGATCCAATGGAGTAGGAGGTGGTAAAGCTATATTCATTACATGGGGTGTTAATACTAGAAATCAATCCTTTCATTGGAAAATAAGATACAAAACTCACAGTCTACAGAGCTACTTCGACTGTGATTTCTGACACTTTGACGACTCAATGTTCTACTTGGCATAATGGACTAATAGTGGGTAATTATGAAAGCAGCTGCGTTAGAGATATAAAACAAATACACTATACCATGCATACACCTTACAGCAATGCCTTTTTTGAATTTATTCCATCGCTCTTCAGCGCATCGAGCAGCCAACACGTAGTAAAACCCGGCATGCTGAACCGTGAATACAGGATTTACGCTGCTAAATGGACTGAACAAAGACGTTGCAGCTTCACCAGCAATCAAATTAAGCCCGGTATTTGACACGGTGTTTAAAATAGACTGAGCTTGATTCGAGGCAAATCCAGGAGGTGGATAAGGCAACACTAGTTGGGTTTTGGACGATGCAATTTCAATGAGTTCACCAAAGGCACGATATTGAGTGGATGCCCATGCCCAGTATTGGAATGAACCTCCACCTGTTGTGTTTTTAAGGTGTCCAAGACCACTAACGTTACTTTCATCGTTGGCAGAACCATCAAATGAGGCTGTTGTAAAGGCAAATTCAGGAAATTCTCGACAATGAACAAAATGCTTATGAAGTTGAACTAGAGCGTTTACAGTATGTCCACAATAAAGAAGCAGCTTGAACATCTAAAAAATAGCAAGTTTTAATGTGACTGAACGTGAACAAATTCCACGATCAAATACTTACCTTGATGCTTAGTGAGTCTGCAAATATGCGTGCTTCTGTCCATCTTAGAGAGCCGGGAGTGATTTCTGCCGAACCAGAATTTCCACCACCTGGTGCCAACGTTCCGCCAAACTTTTGAGATTGGTGCAATATATTAATGATTCCAGTATATGCTGTATCATAATGTCTAGTAATGTATATGGAAAGCATACATTGCAAAATGTTGGTATATTCAATGCTATGATGTACAGGATATTTTTACTGTAGCAATAATCTAAAATAAAGCCCAATGCAAACCACTTACCTAATCGCAGCCTCCAGATCCTGGCGACACTCGGCAAAAAACCCAAGTTTAAAATCATAGCGAACGCTCCATGCCTGTGATGATAATGGCCGAATATGAGGATTGGCCTGTAGCATAGATCCAGTTGGTTTTCCAGTTGGAGAAAGCTTTGCTCTTTTTCGTTTAATTCGCTTCTCGTGCTCTCGATAATATACCGAAGTTATTTCAAGTAGACCTCGCTGTAACCTATATAATTAAAAAATTAAACCATGCTTAATGGACAGAAATGTAGGCGATTTGAATAAGCATGCCATTTGGTCCTACCCTTCCACAAATGGCACAAGGTCTGGAATATTGCCATTTTGGGAATAGGCGGATAGAGTAAACTGGTGCTGACGATCTATCATGGAAGCGCGACGAATATATGACAAACGTTCATCTACAAATGGATCATCTACAAACAGCCGATGACCAACAAAAACACAATGAGAAATTAAACATGCAAGGATTGTTTTGAACAAACCAAGCCATTCAAGATACCTGGATGAAATGTTTTAACAATTATGATAATGGCAAACTTTAAACCAGCCTCATGTATCTGTTTTCTAAATATTATTTGCAAGATTGAGATTATATCAGAGCACGGTTCAGTGCATTAACGATAAAGCATGGATTGATGATTGAACACATCAAAAGTACCGTTTTTCGTTGATTTCATTAGCCAAAATTTGGTCACGATCTCGCTCTAGTCCAGAAATCTGTTGTACTCCCAATGGATCGTTTCGATTGACTTGCTCGACGGATTCCCACAAGTCATATATCCCAACCACAACTCCTGGAACCAACTCGCGATGCTTGCTGGGCCAGTGCGGTGTTATGATGCCATCAGGGTATAGCAACGAGTTGGGGTTGTTTGGAGATAAAGACGACATGTGGGTTGTTCCAATTGTTTTAGAAATCAGCTGGCGCTTTGGGAATGCATGGGACTGGAGATACAGGTGACGATGGTTTATTCCAGATCATCAGGCATATATTTGACAAGAGTTATTTCAGATGGCAGGATTAATACAAATGGATGATTTTCTAGTAGATGTTTAAATGGATAGATTGAAGATTTACACAGTAGTTGACCAAGAAACGAGACAAGTATGAGCTGAATACAGATAGGAACAGCACAGACCTTGTCAACAGCCATGATTTTATATAATGACTTTGAAGTGGGAGAGTCCCAAAGACCAATGTTGTTCTTTGCCGTGAGTAGAGTCAGTAGAAGCTTTCTGACATGAGCAGAAGTCTGGTCTTGGACAGCCCGCAGATACATGGGCGAGTTTTTATCGACATCGACGGGGAGTGGAGGCAGGACAGAATAGCACGACAGACCCACCACAGCAACCAAAGGCACTTGATGCAGCACAAATTCAAGAGGATAAGACTCCATGTGTGATGACAGAAACTGGCTTTGTGTGTGTCGATGGTAAGTGCAAGACTTGCGCCATTCGCATCGCAACGCTTGCAAGTCAGTGACGGGCAGTCATTCCTACTTTATCCCATCCCATTCCTACTCAACCATGTCTCATTCCTACTCAACTATGTCTCACTCCTACTTGATCCCACTTCACTCCTACTTTATTCCATCCCACTCAAGTATTCAACCTCGTATGTCTTCATCACAAATAACCTTGAATTCAAGTCTCTTTATTCATTGTCATCCCACTGGCGAGTTGGTCTCGCTTCCTACGCATTACGAAGCTTGGCCAATCGTTCATTAAGTGCATCGTGTTCCTTCTCAACTGTCGCTGTCCCAACAAGCGATCCTGCCCCCGCACCCGGCATCTCCATCTGCAACTCCAATCCATTCTCATCTGCAACTTGATGCATCAACTCCTCCACTTGATCTTGCGGTGTCGTCAGTGCTGTGGTCTGTCCCATGGCATTCTCCATATATTCTGTTTGCACATCCAAATCCTCAAACTGCTTCTCAAACTTATCCATCACCATCGATATCTAGTTGTTCCATTTAAACCATCCAGTTTGGTATAAAGATTTCAGTAAAAAATGGTTTGATCACTTTAAAAATAATACGAGTACTAACCTGATCTAGATTCATGCTCTGCATTGCCTTGTCCATGCCCTTTACAACTCCTGCCATGGAGGATGTGACTTTACGCATGGTGACTGCTGTTTGAACTCGAGATGCCACTGCATCTATGCGAGAAGACAGTCGCAGCAAATTGAGTGACTCGTTCTTTTTCCGGATCGCATTTGCTGCATAGATACGGGCACCATCCATATTTCCTTGTTGGATCGCCTAAAATGCATTGGTTAGAAAGTGTAAAGTTGAGATTTGCAGTCGTGTTCACAAGAGTATACAATAAACAGCTAATCCCAATGACATGTTTCGTCTCCTGGTGATTGACATGCATAATTGTATCCTGACACATACGATCCCTGTTCTCTTGAACATATGGAATTAAGATACAAGAGGAGTTTCCAAGACTTGGCAACAGTCAAATCCAGTGTCTGAATTTGAACGAGTCTGGTGATTGTACATTGTATGCCAAAAAGAATAGTCTGTTCAAAACTATAGTTTGTCATATTGTGAACATTTGAAAGAACTGACAATATCAATTTCTATCAAGTGTAACAAACATTTAACCATTGTCTATTCCAAAGCAAAATACAAGTTCCATTTTACACGAATACGGTGGTAAAATAAACCTTTGATGGATCTCAGACTCTATTTTATCCACTAGATAGTTTATCTTGAAATAGAAAAGTACACATAAACCACAGTTTGATCATTAAAAGTACCTTTTTAAGCTTTGCCTTTTCATCAGACTCATCCTTGGTGCTTTTCTTGGATTGACGCTGTAGCTGTTTTGCTGTAAACTAGACATTCCAATGGGACCAGATAATTCATTGCAGATGGGTTAGAATGATGGAGATTCAAAGGTTCGCATAAGATTAAAAACTCTGCTTCAGCTGCTAAAGTGTACCTTGAGGTTAAATAGATTTTCTGTAAATATACAACCAGAAAAGACGGTTAGTTTGTAATTCATTATAGAAACATGGGTTTACACATGCTAGATTCCAAATCAATTGCTGCATCAGAAGTTGATGGCTTTGTTGACCAGCCAAGCGCAGTACACCAAAGCATAAAATACAGCATGCACATGCTTTTTGAAAAACAAAGACGTTTCTGCTAGCCATGCCAGACCACTACTCAACTCTCCATAGCTGTATATCGACTGAATGCTGAGTGCATTACATTCAAGCCAGGAAATGTATGAACATAATCACGTGTCGTATACTCACTTTCTAATCATCGACTTGTTCAAGATTGGCGATTACACGAAACGACTGCTAGCTCAAGCTATGTGTTCGTGGTTCAATACGTGCTGTTATCGACTATTAAATTGAGGATCCAATATTGATTGTCGCATAAAGCAATCATCAAACCTGTATTTCTATCAATGTTTTTTCAAGAATTCTTTCTCTTGAATATTCAAAATTCTTGGAAATATATTTGGATTCTCGCTGATAGTCCGCTCACCACTCTTGCTAGATACCACTCTCGTATCTGTGTGCTTCAGGTCTTACTGCGGATCTACTCAATTTTTTACTTGTGATTCTAGTATTCAATCCACTATATTGCTTCATCGACTTGACACTCGCTCATTTTGCAATTACAACAATCTCGATAGAATGTCCGTCAACAAAAAACAATCGACGCTTGGGTATGTGTCCGTTACTACTGTATCGTTTAGTATTTTTGGCTGTCATGCTGGTCTGGAAACTAGCATTTGGCATGCTTCCATTTTAAGAAATTCTAGATCCATCAATATTTTATTCTGCTGGCATCAAATCTATATTGATTCATCTGACCTATATTGCTTATAGACGATTTTTTGGAACATCTGCATCCGTTTCAGCACATCCAAAACTGCCACTCTTTCCAAAAGAGACTGATAGTTCATCCAACATTGAAAGCAATACTTTGAAAAAGTCTCCAACCAAGTTCAAGACAAAAATACTGGATACTCTTGAGAAATCAACTGCAAAACCATCTTTTTTGAACGATCAGGAATGCGAGTCGACCAACAGTCCAATAGATACTCTTGAACCAAACAGTGATCTTGACAGCTTGGCTCCAACAAAAAAGTCGAAACGCAAGGTAATTCAGTCCGATTCTGACGTTACATCTGACGACGCTAAAACAAAATCTCCAAATTGTAAGTTGTTCACCTTGTATGCAGTTTAATGCTTAGAATAAAAGATGAATCAGATACTTTGCAATATTTGAAATCTGAGCGTTTATTAAATTCAACTTTAAACTTTAATAATTGATTTGCTGGCTTTCCTTTAGACAGTAGCAGCTCCAAAAAAGACAAATCATTGCAAAAGTCTAAAAACGTGAATTAATGCTTCATTTATCGGGTAAAGGCACCGTGCTAATCCAACTACTGTCCAGCTAACACTTGTTATTTCTATCTGTTAGATAAAGCCATCCAAAGTACCAAAATCGGATAATGCTTTAAATCAGGTAAAGGTCGTGTGTTTCATTGTTTCTAGCTGCTGTTATACTCATTTGTATATGATTGATGAGCTATTTTTGCTGACATACTTTCTCATTAGTCGAGTGATGAATCTACAACTCCATCCTCTGTAAAAAGATCCTGTAAACTGTCACCCAAAACTAAACCAAATAAAAAAGTGCTGCCTTCAAGCCCTGTTAAAGAAACCGATCAGACCGGGTAAAGTTTATTGTGTATTACTGTTCATAGTTATCACAGCTAATATTGGTGACTTTAGATTGTCTTCAAACTCGGAGTCTTTTCTTGAAAACAAAACAGATATTACCGAGTCCAAAAAAAGTATTATCAAAAAGAAGAAAGAGTACGGTGTTTTTCTTGACTATCAATTCATAGCATTATTCTTAAACGGCAATTCATTTTTGTATTATTAATTTGTATCTCAGTGTTTTATACAGTGCTCTTTGTGACGCATTTTTAAGCATTGAAGCGACTACCAAGAGGTATGGTACTCTGGTATAAATACTTTCAACTACTTGATTTTGTAATTTATCATGACAAACAGGCTGATTGTTTTTATATTCAGACTGGAAATTCAATCTATTTTGTCAAATTTCTTTCGCGAGGTAATTGTAGCATCTCCCGATCAGCTTATCGAATGTGTCTATCTGTGTATCAATCGAGTAAGTAATTGAAATCATGCAATATATTTACCCAATTTGCATAGTCAAGTTTTCAGATATCAACAGCTTTGATTTGTGCTGTGTTTTAGATTTGCCCAGAATACGAAGGAAAAGAGCTTGGTATTGGCGAATCACTACTTATCAAGGCGTTGGCTAATGCATCTGGACGAGACGCAAAAAGTATCAAGGCTGAGATTGATCAAGTTGGCGATCTTGGCAGTGTGGCACAGGTAGCTAGTTTTGCTCAATATACTGTTATTTAATCTTGTATGGGTGTATGTTTCTATTTGGTTTAATATGTGATTGAAATATCGTGTACATCCGTGTAGAGCAAAGGATATCAAAAAACTCTTTTCAAGCCAAAACCATTGACTGTCACCTCTGTGTTCAAAACTCTTAAAGAAATATGTAACATTTCTGGCCAATCGGTATTTGAATTGCTTTTTATGCTATTTTTACGGAGCGGGGTTGAATATTTATGCTAAACGATCTTCAACTCTTTGTGAATAGTCTCAGCAGCGCAAGATTAATATTATTCAAAAAATGCTGGTTTCATGCCAGGGATCAGAAGCCAAATATCTCATCAGGTCTGTATTGTCTATTATATTTGCTAATAATGGATTTAGATTTGTCAACCTTTATACGTATTAATATTGTACGCTTTTAGATCTCTTGAAGGAAAACTTCGGATTGGACTTGCCGAACAAACTGTGTTGACATCACTTGCTCATGCCTCTGCACTAAACGAATCAAGTACATTTACTACCCTTGTATACAATCGATATTTAAACCATGCGTTTTTAATCTCCAAAACTAATCATATGCTTATACTTGTCGTTTTTTAGCTACTATCAAGATGTCTACTGAAAAAAAGGCTGCACTTTTGGCCGATGCTACTGTAATGATCAAAAGCGTATATAGGTAGCGCATGCAATACTTTTACCATTTATACTGAAAGCATATAGTGAAAACCTTGAATTTTAATGCATGTTTAATATTTAAAACTAGTGCTATTCCCTCGTACGATGCGATTATCCCTGTACTTTTAAAGTATGGTTTTAAAGAATTGTCTACCCATTGCCATATGACTCCAGGTATCTACAAAAGCTTTGGTTGTTTTCTAGCCATCAATATGTTTATGTTATTTTGTTGGATGCACTGAAATAGGTATTCCAATGAAACCAATGCTTGCGCACCCTACAAAAAGTTTATCTGAAGTGCTGGATAGATTTGATGGTATGGCGTTTACTTGTGAATACAAGTATGATGGAGAGCGTGCACAGGTATGACAGCACTATACTTGCTACTCAATAGGATGGATCTAATACAAAAATATATAGCGCGCTAACAACCATGCACCAATAGATTCACCGACTTGAGGATGGACAAGTGATTATCTATTCACGCAATTCCGAGAATCTTTCTGGAAAGTATCCAGAGGTGCTGGAGCGAATTCCCAAAGTATGGCATTTTTATGACTGCATGGTTTTTTTACCATTTTCATTTTGCCTTATACTTTTGACTATTCATTGTAGGCTTCCAAGGAAAACATCAAATCATTTGTACTGGATTGTGAGGCCGTGGCTTGGGATGTGCAGAAAGAGTGTATATTGCCATTTCAGGTTCTGAGTACCAGAAAACGAAAGGTACACCACTCGAGGCAGCATTAGTCAATTAGATATTTGAAATCAGTCTAACGTTGTAGCGCTCTGCCATAATTTTAAATAGGATGTTAAATCAGATGATGTTCAAGTACAAGTCTGCATTTTTGCATTTGATTTGCTGTATCTTAACGGACAGGTAAATATAAAGCTTGACTACAACTTTGCAGATAAAAAACAGCAATCTTACTGACACTCTCGTCATTCAGTCTATGATTACAGAAACGCTAAAGCGCCGACGAGAGCTTCTTCATGAAAATTTCGTTGAAGTAGATGGACAGTTTCAATTTGCCAAGCATATGACATCAAACAGTGTAGACGAGATTCAAATATTTTTGGATGACTCGATCGTTGGTAGGATAGATGCGTTGTGCCTTGTTTGCCATCTATTTATGTTTGAGCCTATGATTATTTGGGTATGCATAATACTCATACAATTTTGCTTTTGATGGATCCAATGGGCTACAGGAAACTGTGAAGGATTGATGGTCAAGACGTTAGAGAAAGAAGCATCGTACGAACCTAGCAAGCGGTCGCGTAACTGGCTCAAGGTTCTGTAATGCGACATGTAAATATTTTATCCACTTCTATTAGTATTCACATCGCTGAACATAAATCACTCTGAATGCACATGCTTTTAGGTCAAAAAAGATTATGTTAATGGACTTGGCGATAGTTTAGATTTGGTAGTTATTGGCGGGTTTATTGGTCGTGGCAAACGAACAGGATGGTATGGCGGATATCTCTTGGCGTGTTTTGACCCCGATCGAGAAGAATATCAAACCATTTGCAAAATTGGAACTGGGTTCTCTGAAGAAGCATTGGCTGAGCAGGCCGAGTCATTCAAATCTCACATTATTTCAAAACCAAAACCTTACTACAGATTTGGAGATGGACCCAACGTGCGTCCTGATGTGTGGTTCGAGCCTACACAGGTTTGGGAGATCAAAGCAGCTGACCTATCTATCTCGCCTGTGCATCAAGCTGCAGTTGGTCTTGTTGATCCACAAAAAGGAATCAGTTTGCGATTTCCAAGATTTATTCGGGTTAGGGATGATAAGAGTCCCGAACAGGCTACATCTGCTTCACAGATAGCGGAAATGTACAATGCTCAGAACATCAATACCAACGAAGCCAATGACAAAAATGATGATTTTATGGATGACGATTTTTGACTAGGCTCAAATGATCGGATTTGAAGAAACGCCATAACGATTTGATTTAACTCGTATTGCTTTATACGAGGCTTTATAATTGTGAATGAAAACTAACATTGAAACATCAATAAAGACATTTGCATGCTTTATTACAACTTTGTTTTGGTGGTTATGATATGGGGTCAAGATTTAGTTGTATTGTGTTTGGGATACTCGAACTGCTTTAAACTCGGCTGCGCAAAACAATACATAGCTTAAACTATAACCGTATTCATGAAATGATTGGTGTTGATTTTGCTTTGGGATTTACTAGAAACCGAGATTTGAATTGATATTCCCAATTCAATGAGCACAACGTTCATCATATGATGAACAATCAAATTATAATTTTAAACTGAAACTATGCTATCGGCATAACCATGCATTGCACGATCACCAAACTCATCTATGTTGTATTCTAAAAACTTGTACGTTTGCACTCTAGTTCAAGGAAACGAGATTGTACACATCAGAAATGCAAGTTATTCCATACAAATCATCAAGAGAAACATTAGCAAAGGTTGCCAGGGAATTCAAAAACCAATATTGTCTAGTGAATGTGTGATACCCATCATTTTGAGGCTGGCGGATGATGATGCACTCTTGCTTAGGTTTCATTTTACGTGAATAACTTGGAAATTCTAATTTGAAACGTATCATTAATTACAGAAAATGGAGCAATGGAGCAAATACACAAAGGTTAAAGTGGTGGGTCGAGGTGCTCATGGGTAAGTTTATCATCTAACCCATATTACAGCACAGTTGTTATGAATGGATACGATACTTTATACTGCATAGGGTATGCTATGCAAATACAGTGTTGAGCCCATATGCCAGTCATATCCTGTTTCAAAGATACTCGAGTCCAAGCGCGTTCAGCTCTATCTAGAGTCGATAGCACTTGATGAACAGCATATGGAATGAACCCTTTTTATACATGCATTTGTCTGAATTCAACTTTCAAACTCTAACACATGCCATGCATGAAACTATACATTTACTAGTATGGCAATTTTATGCCGTCGAAAGCAAGATAATTCCTCGGTGGTTATCAAGGAGCTTTTTACGTCTTCTATGAGCGAAGATGAAAAGCAAACCTCGCTCAATGAGATCAAGGTTCTCACTATTCTTCGTCACCCCAACATCATTTCCTATTATGATTCTTTTACAGGAGTGGGCACTATGGAATTAGAATCTCCTGAAAATTCTTCCGCTGCAGGTGTAGATAAAACGGGAGATTTGAGTACTAGCCAGCCTCGTCAAGCAAATCGAAAACCAACAGACAAGAAAAAAATGATGGTAATGGATATGAACCATAGTACTACACGCAAGGAAAAACTACCGTCCACTTTAATGATTGTGATGGAGTATGCTGATGGTGGAACATTGAGCGATTACTTGGAAGAATTGGCAGCAAGTGGGAAACGGTTAGAAATCGATGTAAGTGTATATTTTAATTTGAAATGAGGATTAGTCATTCGATATGTAGATGCTCGATTTTGATTGATCATATAGTGCAAATCTAATCGTTCTGTCGATATAATCAATACACTAATGCATTCAATTGCATCTATTAGGAGGTTATGAATCTTTTTTGTCAAACAGCATTGGCTCTCAATCATATACATTCCCTAAATGTAAGCTATTAGATGTTGCTTTGTCGAAAAACCTCGATATTTGAATACTTGGCTAACAAATTATTTGTTCAATTTTGTGGCTGGCTCGATAGATTCTTCATCGTGATCTCAAAACAAACAATATTCTCATATCTGGTTTGGGAAAATACAAGGTATTGAAGATTGGTGATTTCGGTATTTCAAAAATCATGTCTGCAACAGCCAATGCAGAAACTGTCGTTGGAACGCCTGCATATATTTCTCCCGAGTTATGTGAAGGAAAGCCGTAAGTAGTTGAGCATCACCAATTCCAAGAGTTGGCGCGTTTTATTGTCAGAATGTTAAACCAAGCTTATTTATACTGTACTTGGCCATTATTTAGATACAATGAAAAATCTGATATTTGGGCACTTGGATGTGTACTTTACGAGATTATATGTTTGAAAAAAATGTTTTCAGCACATGTGAGTACTTGCAACTACAATCTACAAACCTGCCCAAATACTCGTACTGACATATTGTATACAAATCATTTATTCGGTAGAACCTTCCCGCACTTGTTTTGAAAATTCTCAGAGGAACTTACGATCCAATTCCTGCTCACTTTTCACCCCAGCTTGACAATCTCATCAAGTCGTGCATGGAACTCGAACCAGAAAATCGTCCCTTTATGCCTGCTATTATCGGCATGCCTTTTCTACAAGAGTCTCTTGTTCAAACAATTTTTGGTGTTGGTAGAATTGAGCATAATGATATTGCTACTTCAAACGGTGGTACTCCTGTGGTATTATCTGCTTCATCTAATGGAATTACTACGTAGATTTGATCTCAAAAGTATCTGCTTGGGATTGTGGAAATAAAGAATTAAAGCAACTTTTTTAATCTTTGTATTTGTTGAATGGTAGAAACTGTACAACATCAGTAGTTCATGCAAATGAAAGATAAACTCATTTTAATTGCAAAATGAATCGTTCGGAACGTGTGTATAAGTGCCGTTTTGAAAAAGCAGGGGTTTACCAAGGAAAGTGAGCGACTACAGTTCTACCAAAAAATAATAGCAAGATCAAATGCAACAGAAATAGGGAATATCAAACAAAACCAAATAACTGCTACCCAATTATAATTGATTTGGATGATTATTGGTTATTTCAGAGCTATCCGCATTATTGTTATTATATTGAATATGCTGGCCCATCCTTGGCGGCATATCTATGTTCCAAAAAGAACCATTTGAATGAGGAGCATTCATCTGTGTTCGATGACTGCTGCCATCATCAGGTCCTAATATGCTCGGGTTTTGGTAAAGCTGGTTAATGGATTGGCCAAATGACATGTATGGCTGGTGCTGCTCCTATAATTACAATGGTGTAAACATACTTTCCATAAAGTAGCCACTGCCTAAAGTTAAAGCATGTTTGTGTAAAAATATAAAGCGCTTACAGTGTTAAAACTCTGAGTTGTAAATGACGGATACTGCACTGGAAATTCCTATGGTTTAATATATTAGCCTTTACAATTAAAAATAAAATATACAGCTGTTCAATCAATAAATATCTCCAAATCCCAAATATATACCTTTGATGCAGCAGCTTTAGTAACAGGAGTATCCGAAGCTGCCTCTACAACTGGCAGATGAGTTTTGACAACTTCATCTCGCGGTACAATATCAATCAAGACTAGTCAAGAAAAATTAGCTAATGCCAAAGTAGATGTAAATTATGGTTCATGTTGATTTGTTAGCAAATCCTATGCTTACAATCATACATGTCCGATTGGGACGAGGCCATAGCTACATCGCTTTTTTGGAGTGTCCGACGCTTATTTTCCTCAGTATGCATCCACGATCGGAGTGTCAGCTCTAGAATAAATATCTCGCATGCTTTTCCAAATATAAGTGGTGCTTCTGCACTTATCATCTAATATTGGCACAATTAAAGTAGGTATAATATCAATTTCCGTAGCTCTAAACCTAGTATGTAGCACATGCATGGTGTGGTATACATCAACAAACTCGATCACAGTAAAATCATACCATTTGCTAGTTAAAGTGTCCAGTTATTGACAAGTGCAGTTCACAATATCGAGTATTTGAAACCATATTAGTCTGCCATGATCAAACATACATACTGCATAGCAACTCGAACATTGAGTATGAATCTACCTTGACGTCCTCGTCTGCTTTCATCACTTTTTTTATTCTTGCCAGCGGCAACGGATGGGCTTTGAAGTCGGGTGTAGTACGGATGGTTTCTTCTAGCTGACGAGCCCAGAAATTTTGCATGATAAGATGAACCTGAGCATTTGAATTTGCAGTTGATGCAGTGGTGGTATTAGCAGCAGCACTTGCAGCAGCAGCCGTAGCAGCCATTACAGCAGCAATATCTGTACCATCAACCAGGCTTGATGATCCCTGTTGATCCTGAGACTGTAAATGCATCTAAGGTGAAGTTGGTTTGACGAGTGCTGGTTAGAAATAATAGAGACTAAAAGTTGCAATTAAATATTCAGAGTGATGGCAGTCCAATGCTGATTAAAACCAGAACATAATAGTCACTTGCTAGACAAGACATAATCTGGCTGTAATAGTTCAAGGAATACTCGAATGCAGTCAATAGTGTTGAGAATATAAATCTCCTCGATGCCAAACGATGATTATCCAGCATACACATCAACAGAATCCCAATCCTAACTTCTCAATACAGACTAGGTTGGCTGTAAACTTGCGTTGTCTGCTGGTTGATTTGGAAGCAATGTTGGGCTAATTGGACGAGTTCATTCGTTGACTGATAGCTCAAGACCATGCTAGAGTGAATGCTCATCAAACTACATGGACAGGAGCAGAAAAGCGTATCACAACACTGTCGAATAGATACTCTCATACAACCATGTCAGTGCAAGCAGTTCTAACCTTTTGCTATCAATTCACTGCTGTATTCACGTAAAATGAAACAACAAGTTGAAGTGCATAAAAATAGTCAATTCATGAAACGATGGGCTGCAATTCATTGACAATATTGTTTTTCGAGTTTCTTGACAGCTAAATACAAATAGTTTATTTTGCATGAATACAGTTATCGAACTGGTGCAGTTACAGTTGGTAACAAAAAGCATGAAAATGAAGAGATAAACGAGAAATTGTTTGCAATTGTCATTCTTGGCGATGTTTTGTAAATATTAGCAAATTGTCTGCTGATTCGAATGACATGATCATCCATCGTTCGTGTTTCGTGACCATGTTACCGGACAACTTTCTGCTTCTTTCGATTCAATACAACACTCGTTTGGTCTTGTCCTAGCACGATACTCGGCGTTTCATTTATATAGTCTACATTAACCTAAATCAATCGTGTAATTTAGAGAATTCATGTTTTTGAGATGCTGCAACAGTAGTCTGATTGATGCTGTCTGAATGTTTTCAAAATATGGCAAAATTGGGTTGTTGAAATATAAATACTTGATCTCGTTCTCATGTTTAATCTACAAGAGTTGACTCCAAGATAATTAAAAGTTTGCAATACAATATCTATTCAACCTTGAATAATATATGCACGCACATACATACCCATCTGTGATACCAACGATGAATTTAAATCCCAACAGCACCAATACAACCAAAAACCACTCTTGCGAACCGCCATCAGTCTTGCGTCATACTTTGTCGGCAGTGCCAGTGCCGCATCTTAATCAAAATGTGGTGCTTTCAATACCCAGCTCTTTGCAAGACAGCACATCTACTCCCACGTCAGTTACCGAACACAGCTTTCCTGACCGCTCTCAAACCCCAAATACCACTGAATGTTCATTCTCTCAGCCAGAGTGCATCTCCTCACCCTTGTCTACCAATACAGCATTAGAAACACCACGCGTCGAGCGTGTACCATTTCCATCAGCGAGCTACACTGAAATCACTGTTGCCAACCCGATCGCCTTTACTACTCAACCAATAGATCCAAACTTGGAGTATTGTCAGTCCCAACCCTTGAGTTCTAGTGGCTTCTCTTTCCAAAGCACATCGCGATTTGCTACGTTTGAGGAAATGTCCACACATTTATCAAATACAGAGTCATTGCTGACAACCCTCACTGAAGAAAACCGAATCATGCATACTAAAGTAAATCGGCTGCAATCCATTATAGACTTTCAGCAGTGTCAAATATCTTGTCAAACTGCTACAATTGATGCTCAAATGGATTTGGCCGAACAGCGTCAAGCATGCAAAATTGAGCAGGTAAGAATCTACCCAGATTTTGATGTGGCCAGCCAAAATGAGATAGTATGGTATTAGTAGATGAATGGTTTAAAAACGACTATACTGTTTTTTCCTAATCATTCTATAGTATGACTAACCATATTTTTTGTTATTTTAAAACTATTTGTAATGGCATTGCAAATTTTCATGCACACAATTGGGATCACCTAGTTGCCTGACATATGTGATCAGCAATGGGTGAATGATGTATTTGAAGATGAAATGCATCAGGCGGAGCTAAAGATTAAAGAATCAATGAAGACGCTTTTATTTCTTGAAAATGGAATCCAGGAAATTGATGATGCCACTAAAGCCATCACTCAACCTCCTTTGCTCAGTAAACAAGACTATTCTCTACAACACAACTACTCTTCACCAGAAACAACAGAAGAAATCACTGGAATGGCTATGAAAATTGGGCAGCTTCAGCAGCGACTCAATGTTGCCAACAAGTTTATAAAAGGTGGTCGTCTTCGAAAACAAATTGATATGCTAAAGCAAGTCATTACATGCTCTCACAAGGCTGTTCAAGTGCGAGATCAACTCATTTGCATTTTGAAAAAACGGTTAGGACTGCCTCATTCTGTTTCATTTGATGCTCGTATACCAGAAAATCACAATTTAGCACATTTAAATGTGGCTAATGAATCAGAGACAATGTATATGCATGCATCTGTAGATGGCGGGTCGAGTTTATCGACGCGTCCTGCTTCAAATCCATCGAGTATTCCTGCTCATGTTGGAGGACCATCAAATACACTAAACACTGGTCAGTCAGGCTCCATGTTTACCACTGAATCATCCAATATATCAAATGAATGGCAGGGGAAAAAACAAGATCATACAGTAGCGTCATCCACAGATGGAGTCAAATTGTGGCCATTTCTGGAAAAGGTGACCATCGTAGCAGCTTCAAGCCACTCTGCATCAAGACAGCCCATTCACCTGAGACTTGGGAACAGTTTGAGAAAACTCATGATCAAAACTGATCCGCCAAGAAACCAGCAGATTGATATCAAAGCTCAAAGAAAGATTTTTAGAGATGATACCAAAGTAAATCTTGAAAGGGGAAGTTTGGGCATTAGCGCAGATACCATGCCAGTCATCCAAATTACTCCCGTATCTACAATTGTACAGATAAAAAGAAGTCAATCGCTTGGTGGGACTCCACATCAATCGATTTCTCAGACTCTACATATTAAAGTAAGTCACACATGACTGTATAGGACAGTGCCATTGTTTTAGAACTAACTTTAGCTATTGTTTAAAATGGAATATTTGGATGGGATTTGCCTTTTCAGGCTAATTCTGCTCAGCAAAGACCATTTACTGCATCTGATTCCATCAAAGAAACCACACAACTCTCCAACCCTCAGCAGCGTATAGCATCTCTCTGGTCTACAGGTTTTCATAACCCAACAAGAAGATTCTCAATTCCATCAGGGTTTCTCAGTAATGTCAGGCGATCATCTGTGCCCAATACAAGCGTGTCGGGTAAACCAGGCATCATGCACCATTTGTTCAAGGAGCATCGAGTGCGTGCATCTGATGAGCCAAGTCATGGAACTCATATTGGCGATGGAAGTTTACAGAAAGTAGTGTATGGCGGAGATGTTAGTGTATCTACTACAATCAAAATTCATTCCAGCTTGTCTTTGCCTCATCTTTCTTCACAGCACGATCCTACGCCTAATACACGAGGACAAAAAGGATGAGAGTGCAGAAAAATAACGAGTATATACTGCCAAACTATTAACCCTAGATCAGTATGCTGTGAGCAGTTTTTTTGGACTTTCTTGACATCCATTTAATAATCACATGTTGATAAATTGTCCTACTTGAACCAGTCAACAACATTGCAAAACTCTTAGACACGCTATTTGCATACCAACTATAACATCATTTGATGACCCAATGATACCAAGAAACAGTGTGAATGAGTGTTGCACATAAAAATACATTCATAAAACAAGTTTATAATCTATTTTGGCTTATATATTGGTGAAAATAAGATTTGAAGTAATATTGTATATGGAATAATCAGACATGTTCAAACGAGAAATGTGTTACATTTGGAGTTGTGATCAAATAGATATACATCTTTTATTATTAAAAGTGGCATTGTGATCAATTTAAAAAAACATACTTGACAATGAGTGCAATTGAAAGAGTATTACAATACAAGCGCATATGTATTACATTTGAATACTTTTATCGGTACCATTGGGAAGCGGGAACGCCAAGACATTCACCAACTGTTACAAAATTGTAACCAAGCTTTTTGAACCTGGTAATGACATGTCGAGCCCAGCCAATCTCATTATCAACAAAATCGTGCTGTAGAGAAATGAATGGTGTGGCCGGAATAGGATGTCCAGCCATGCCCTCGGCATAACTAGCATCATTCTCAGCAATCATGTTGGGACTGCCATTGTGTTCCCAATCAGCCGAGTCGATATTCCAGGTCACTACTTGGTATCCCCAAGTTGCCATGGCACTCAGAACAAGCGCGTTTACGTTACCAAATGGTGGACGCATATAAATGGGTGATTTACCAATAATGTTGCGGATCAAAACATCGTTCTGGGACATTTCGTCCCACATTTGAGCTGCATTCAGTTTAGTCATATCGGGATGGGTAAGTGTATGAGAGGCAATCTGATGTTTAAAGTAAATATCAACAGTCGAGTATTAATAAATAAACCCTGAATACAATGTGAGATTGAATACAAAGTATATTACCTGGTGTCCTTCAGTGTGTGCACGACGAAGAATAGAAATATAAGGCTCAACGGTAAGATCTGCAAAGTTGTTGCCATTCACGAAGAAGGTTGCTTTGACATTGTTGTCTTTAAGCATATCCAAAATAGCAGAGACATTGCTGGTCGGTCCATCATCAAAAGTCAGGGCAAATTGTTTTGGACTCTTGCAAGTAGTGATGACAGGAGCAGACAACTTGGGATCAGGGATGGGGAATGAAGAAGTAGGTGCAGGAGTCGGTCCACCTTTAGAGCTGGACCGAGTTGGAGATTTACACGTTCCAAACGCGGACTGGCATCCAGCTCCGCAATGAGCAGCAGTGTTTCCACAAAAATTGTACTGCGAACAGCAATCACCCTGAGCGCATCTGTAGCCGGCAGCCTGACCACAAGTTGAATCTGGTGATTCTGGAAGCTTTTTAGGCGTTGGGCTTGGTTTGGGTCGAGATGTTGAAGTTGGGGTATTCTTGCATACACCAAATGCAGGCTGACAGCCTACACCGCAATGAGCAGGTGTCACATCACAATAACCATATTGCGAGCAGCATTCTCCAGGATCACATCTTCCGAGACCTGGACCACAGGTAGGATCGTCTCCAGTTGCCGCGGGTATAGCAGCTAATAATCATTCAGTCGTATTCATGTAAAATAAAGCGTTAGCAAGTGTCTGCATAACCACCTGTCAGTTTATGGAGTGATATTTCACACCACATTTATCAAGTGTTTGCAGTTCACTGGCTTTTCTGCCAGTGATTGATCTGAAAACAACTTGCATTTCTAAAATATACAGCCTTGTTCTCTGGAACTAGAACGCGATTATATGGTATTTTAGGGTACAACAGATCAGTTTATACAGTTGTATCGACAACATCAAAACAGTCGAATCCAACATTGGAATTGCAATACATGAATCTGGTATCAAACTTGGTGATCGTGCAGTATATGGCTATGACAACAAATAAACGGGATGGTTTCAAACCAAAACCATAGTTTGATTGAGCATCATATGATGAATGCTGTGTTAAAGAATTGAACATATCAATCCAAGAAGCAATCGATTTGTAGTAGGAAAGCACAGCAAATATTTAATTACTGTCTATTTCAAATAAAATAAATGATCACTACAAAACAAGTGTTTCATTTTGCATGGATGCAGATGTAGTTCCTCGACAATATAGCTTGATATTTCCAAAATAGATTGCCAACAGAACTTATATCAAGGAATAATAATAAACCATTAGCTAGTAATTACCTGAAAGTCGAACAAACAGAGCTGTAAGGATTATTTGGGTAAGAGATACCATTTTATGGAAACAAAAACTGTTGAGCTTGATGTCCTTCGTCAAGATTGTCTGCAATTTATAGGCGTATTTCATCTACGTTTGTTATGTTGAATAATACACCCGTTTACGGCTATAATGCTTGTGGCAGTGATGTTATCAAACTAATACACGAGGAATGAAGTCATCCTATACACCACGTGGTTAGGTTCATGCTATCTCTATACCCGTTATGATGTATATTTGCCACTTAGTTGCTTATTCAGGATAATATAGTATAAAGCAGAGGCAAATTAATTGCATTGGAAAAACAGTTATTTTGCCAAGCCTTGAATACAGGGTTGCGCCATGCAAACTACATCACCGTGTTTTTACCCATCTAATATAATGAATACAACTATAGCTTGTAGTTTCTTCTATAGTATTGCTTTTTGAATTGTATTATGGCGCTGATACGGCTAAACATTCAATCATAATGAAGTTTTAAAACCGGCCGTTGTATTACAGTTGTATCACGTAAATGAAACACTTGTTTTATCTTGCAGTAACCGTTTCTTGCTTTGGAGTAACAATTACTAAACACCCATTGCGCCTATTAGAAGCCGACTGCACTGCCACGTTAATAAAACTCAAGTTTTAAACACAGCATTCATCATATGATGCTCAATCAAATTATGGTTTTGGTTTGAAACCATCCCGTTTATTTGTTGTCATAGCCATATACTGCACGATCACCAAGTTTGATACCAGATTCATGTATTGCAATTCCAATGTTGGATTCGACTGTTTTGATGTTGTCGATACAACTGTATAAACTGATCTGTTGTACCCTAAAATACCATATAATCGCGTTCTAGTTCCAGAGAACAAGGCTGTATATTTTAGAAATGCAAGTTGTTTTCAGATCAATCACTGGCAGAAAAGCCAGTGAACTGCAAACACTTGATAAATGTGGTGTGAAATATCACTCCATAAACTGACAGATGGTTATGCAGACACTTGTTAACACTTTATTTTACATGAATACTGATCTTGTCATGCATTGTATAGTTCGGACACTTCAGTCTGTATGATCCTGAGGACGCGTGTATTGAGATTTAATATTTTTAATAAAAAGAATTTTCATGTAAATTGCAACTCGATGGCCAAAAAGACAAACAGACGGGCAAAAGCTGCCACAAATGCATCTGCTACTCAACCTATTGCAAAACCAACGACTTCCTTGATCAAGGAAGCAACCAATTTACCAGAAAAGACTTTGACAAAACGATTCAAAAATGCTGAACATGCAGATTCATCCCATCATGAAGCCTGTGATGATCCAAAATGTGTGGGATGTGATGCGAGTCAAACAGAAGTAGAACAGGTGGATGCTGATGAACTAGCGATAGGTTCTGAATCAAAAGAGATGACTGCAGTTGATATCTATCAGGCTGCTTTGGAAGAACTTGCCAAATCTCAATTGGAAGAACAAGATACTGATCAATCTGCGCACGATTCGATTGTCATTAGAATGTTTGAGCAAGCATTAGAGCAATTTGAATTGGAGGAGAAACTAAAAGAACCGACTGATATCAATGACTCTTCAGCCCCAACTGATAAACAACCATCAAAACTCCAACCATCACCATTGAAGCGCAAGGTTGCGGATCTAGAGTTTGAGTTGACCAAAAAACAAGTTGAATTAAAAGAACGACATAGCGAATGCCTACTGGATTTTGGACTTTTTGTTAAATTTGAAGGGCATCTGCGAGATGCACTGAAGCTGTTGTCTGAGTGCAAGCAGGCCAACAAATCTACGGATTTAAGTTTATCTGGATGGTGTCTGGAAGGACGTATTGCAGCAGCTCTAGTACAAATACTATACTACCCAGAAGTTAAAGTATTTGACTCGGATTCTGACAGCGATCACGAAGCCGACACGAGCCTATCCAAAACCTCCGTTACTAAAGATGAGCAGCAACTTACAGCGTGCTCGCTTGATGCATTTGAAAAGGCAAGTTTGTTAAACATGCAGTTTGACTCATTATGGAATGCTAATAATGAATGAAACGAATGTGCTAGGCAACTCGAGTTCAAAATCCAAAGAAACTGAATGCTCAGCAAATCTCAATCTTTAGACATGCAGGAAAGACACTGTTGAATCTTGCAGTATCTCAACGTCGCACTGGTAAAGGTGAGTTGAATCACTTGTCTATATTAGCATGTAGTCTAACGAGCCATATCTGATTCCTGACTAGATCATACAGCCGGACTAGCCATTCTAAAAACTACACTCGGATATATTCAACAGTACTTTCAATCGTTTGCAGAAACTCCAAAGACTTATGATGCAGTGTACGTTGATATGCAACGCACTCATGCGATCTGTCTCTACCATCTTGCATGTATTCTTCAACATTCTGAAGTCAAGTCCAAGCTCAAAAAGGCTTGTGATTATGCAAAGCAGTCTGTGGTTCTTTGGCGAGCAGTCCTCGAAGTCTCAGAGAATAGCTTATTGTCCTCTCAGCACCAACAGGTAATTAATTTTAACATTTACTAGTGTATGAATATGCTAATGGATAGTTATTTTGGGTTATTCTAATAGCTTGGCGAATCAGCTATTCTATGGAGTTCGCTGGAAGATGAGGATGACGATGCAGCACTGACAGCCTTTGATGAAGCGAGTGTCGCATTGCAGAGAGCATATGAGCTTGATCCAGACAATGATGGACTCCATCAGCAACTTGTGGATCTTGGACTTGTTAACGAGGATAGTGATGATGAAGCATGAAATGAAATAGTATTATTGAATAGCAAGACTGCTTTGACTAGACAACGATCTGTAGGCCACAATGATTGAAGATGAATCTTGTCTAAAGACTTGAAACCAGTCGACTTTGGACTGACATTTACTCCTGCAGAGGGTTCATGCTTCTGGACAACACTCTGCTAGCAACCACTATAGAAAAGTGGGACATGAGCCATGCAACAGACTCTGTTACACAACCGGATCATCACTTTCTCTCTCCTCCACAACATCTGCTTCTGAGCCATGTTCTCCGTTCTCTGCTTTGTCCTCTCTACCATAAATCCACCAGCCAAGCAAGCTTAAATCAGTTCCAGCTGCAGCAACATACTTCTCTCTATGGAAGCAACAATAGTGTATCTCTTGCCTCGAGTGCTTCTCCCTTTTCAAACTCGTCTAGGAGTTCCATTGCATCTCCGCTTACTTCCAGTCTAGACCAACGTCATCATTCAATAATACAACGACTGTCCAAATCAATATCAACCATGAACTTGCGCCAATCTTCTACTCTTGCTGATCTGGCTCCTCCTACACTCCCTCTCTCAGGCCCACCAGAAGACATTGTCCTTCAGTGCTGTGATCGAGTTAGGGCTATTTTTGATATTCATCAACAAGCCTATGAGAATATGGTTGATTCCATTCTGGAAGTATACGAGGTGGATACTGTTGCACAGGACCTGGATGTCTGTCACTTGCTCTTGAGCAACCATGCTGGATATTTGCATTTGAACGACTTTGGCTCACAGGAAGAATACGATTTGTGGCGTGCAGGAGAACTGGCTGCACTTGATAAACTTGTTCAGCTATCACAGCTTGGTATACCCGCTCCATCTTCTGCTTCCAGCTTCTCTAAACTTCACGCGAATCGATCCGAGGCCATTCTTATACTTCGCGTCATGGGTGCTCAAGGACTAACTCCGAAAGATAAACAGAGCGGCTCTAATAATCCGTACTGTGTAGTTGAATTCATGAACCGTGTCTTTGTTAGTCCTGTGCACAAACATACAACCTCCCCTCAATGGGAATTTCAGATCCCACTGTGAGTTTGGGCTTCTATAAACGGAACGTATAGATTGGCTATAGAGTTAGTGAACCGTATGAATTGACTTTTTTTTAATTTTCTGGCATTCGTTTTTACAGTGTTGTTTCTGATATGAACAGTCAGGTAGTTATAAGTATATGGAATCGACCAACTGGTATAGAAAAAGGTCGCATTTCTCAACCCAGTTCTTCAAAAGAGGCGTTTTTGGGCGTTTGTGTTCTTTCAACAAGACATCTTTTTGAATGGGCACAGCATAAAGAGCAGAGAACTCAATCGTTGGATTTGGGGAAGAGATCTGCAAAAAGTAGAGTATCAGGCTCACTCACTATTGCCGTAGAGTTGGCTTTTTTTGGAACAGTTTCTACAGATCGATCAAAACATATTTCTGGAAATACTCGGCAGATTTCAGAAGTGGTGTATCGAGCTATTCCACCCGATCCAAATCGATACTATTATGAACTGTATAGACTAGTGGTGGAGTATGATTTTGCCGTGTGTGGCGCGAGCTCGATTTCAGATCTGTCCTTGACACTTTTACACGATATTGCTGGGTCCTGGAGAATTAGACCATCATTTCGCACTCTTTGGTAAAGTAATTTGCTTTTGTATTGTGCTATCAATTTAAACGCATTGCTTATTATTCTACTTAAACTTTAGCGCATATGATATACTCTCCAAACTATATTCTCAGGGTTACATATCAGCTGAGCTACTATATCAGCAGGGATTTACAAAAGCATTTCATGAAGTGGTTGGTGGAAAAGTTGCCATTACAAAAGCAGAGGTTTGTGAAATATGCACTGATTGCAATACTTGTTTTTTAAGCATCAATTTAATCGATAAAATGCACCAACACGTTCATTATCAATAGAGCCATATCTTTCAAAGTTGCTCAGAGACTCTATCCAAACTTTTAGAGTATCAGCTGTGTACGTTTTTTAACATGATCAAATCCACCACTGAAGATGTGGACTGTTCAAGAAAATCAAAACACCAACTTGAAATGATGACTGTCATGATCAGTGCACTACGAACGTGTCCGCTTATTCCTGGCTCAGTTGAAAACACTAATGTTGCTGAATATGCAAGCCAGCTGCTTTTGGTAAGCATATATGGCTTGAATGTGTTGGATGTCCTTATTTTATGACTTGAGTATCTTATATGTTACAATATGGTGTATCGCTTGTACGATTTGACAGCAATCGCTTACAGCGCGATACCATGGGTTATTGGGAATATCAAATATTTGTCAAGACAACACCGACTATTTGCCACTCACACTGTTGATTGATTCTATTCGATCCGAGCTTGGAGTATATAATGAAAGATATGATGTTGTTTTATTTGGGTCAGTTAAATTTGAATGCATTAAAGTTTTTATCAAACTGGTTGATTTATTTGTCTAAAAAGGAAATTTTACTGAATTGCTTACATGTTATTTGATCTTGCAGATCGGTTCACGTTCCATCTTTAGCTGCAAAGGCATTATACGGCCCAGTTTCCTCTCAGCTGGAAGAGTTTGCAAAAACATATGTTGCTGTATCTCCAGATATGAGTGATGTATTTGACCTTTATGCTGCAACACGCAAGCTGCAGTCAGTCTGCGAACTGATGGATTTTCGGTAATTTTTAATCTGTATCACACCTAAATGTTGAGCTGAGTGAGTATCAATGTTAAACTATTTTGAAATGGCACATGTACCGTTTTATACTATAGTCTCTCGGATCAATTTCCAGTAACTCGATGGTTTAGATCGTTTGTTAAAGAATGGCTGATTCGATCAGGTATTTACATGTATTTTTGGCATACATACAGCATATATGAAAAATACACTGCATATTGTTTTAAAAGGCATTTTTAAACCAACACGTTTTATTGTTTTTAGAAAAAAGTGTCAATGAATGGGTCAAATCTGCGCTGGATGTTGATAAATTTGTCAGAATATCGAATACAATCCTACATTCTACGTCTATAATAGATATTTTTACATCTTTTCAGCAGCAGTTAGATTTTATACGTATGCTTGACTGGCCCAACGAAGTTGAGCTGCACATGTTTTATGGCCGCTTGTTGCAGACATTTGTTGAAGGAATTGCGAGATACACACAGATGACAGATGAAAAACTGAATGCAGTATTGATGGATTCCCGAAATCGACAGGCTGTAAAACGTCGGATTACTGTTGCTCAATTTGACAAAATCCATATTCATTTCAAGATCCCAAATTTTATCAAAAACAAGGCAGCCGAGGACCATGAAATTCAATATCGATTTACACCAGAAGTAAGTGACAGCTGTCAACAAGGTGTGACTGATGCATTGAATATATTTGATACAATCCAACTGAAACTGCTTGACTCAATATTTAGGCGTGCGTTCATCTCAGTAATATACAGGCTCTTTATCCCCGTTTCTGCGATCTATTGGAAAATATTCCAAAACCACACTGCGAAACCTCGCCTTCAACAGGACTTTTTCAGTCCAGTGAACGTATGCTTTATGGTGAACCCAAATATTCGGTGCGTATAGAAATTGTTCGTGGTCATCGATTGCTTATTACACGACCATGGATCACTCGGCTTTCGTGCCAAGTCTCGACTGCGTATGGCCGACGACTTGGTAGCACCTGTTCTATTTTGCAGGCATCCAACCCAGTCTGGAACCAATTCATTTATGCTCATTTGACTGGATCGGAAATTATTAGTGGAATTCATTTCTTTGTGTTGCATCATTGCCCTGATAAGCCCGATGCACAATACGCAGTTGGGAAGGTACATATTGAGGGAGTGCAGTCTGTTATGGATATGAGTAATGGATTGGAAACACTTGTACAGCTAGGATCGTATGGGCGACTATTGGTCCGTATTCATATTTCCTCACCAGAAAACATACTATTTATAAAAAATATGGTTAGTTCGCGTACCAATGCATCTATGAAGCAGGTTATGAAGTATTTTGTAGATCAGGTAATATGGCTTGTTAATTTTACTACTTATGTATTTCTGTCGAGTTTTGGGCATGCTAACTCCTGGATGTTTATTTTTGTGGATAATTATGGTTATATCAAGCTATGCTTTGATTTTCAGGAGAGAATCTATCTCATCTCGCTAAAGTACAAAACACAAGCCTTTACTGCATTTATTCAAAAAAAGAATCCCATGTTTTTCAAAAGCCGTGATGCTACCGAGCCTTCTCATAATGCAATCAATATGGATGAATTGGGTGTAGATTTGGAGCCCTTGTTTGAACACCTGAATGCCAATATGGAGGTATTGACTGAAAATGTCGATGAGCCGCTTGCATTCGAGATTATTGGAATGATATGGGATTGCGTACTTACAACCGCCGAGGGCTTGATTGTTCCTTCCTTGGCAGACGAAGCCAAAGAAAGAAAACCATGGGATGAGCGACGAATGAGTTTTTTTAGAAAGTTTATCGAGGTGAATGGCAATGTAAATCTTGATTGAATCATTGACATTAGTATTTTTACTGACAATAGTGTTATTTTTGTTGACTATATCATGCATTGTACTGGCTGTTGATGATCCAGGCAGCTGAACTGTTTTTTCGAAGTGGTGGTGAAGGACTGCCCGATGATGCAATATTTACACGAGCTTACCGACAGCTTCAATTTATCATTGCATCTTATGAGCACTCACGACAAATATTGATTGAAACTTACAGTCAGTGTATCCAGACCGACCCAAAAACAGCACCAAATGATATCCAGATGGATAGCATAAAAGTGCCGATTAAAGAGAGTGATGTAGAATCCCAGAAATCGGCACTTTTATCCAATTTTACTCCGTCGACACATTTAGTTGCCATGGATGCGCAATCGGACTTGGATTGGATTTTAAAGCTGCTTAAAATGAGAGGAGGAAAAGAGATTGTGGACAGCAAGCTTCGCGAAAGACTCTTGATTTGATAGTAATTGTTTTTGTCGTACTCACGTAGTAGAGTACTAAATAAGGGTGTCAAACTACATAATAAACAGACAGTCTTATGAAATGATAACTCCCACTATATTCACTAGGCAGTAGTGTGTCTGGATTCTTGATAAAACTACACATTCAATAGCTAAGCATAGTTTGCCAACCATTCAACAACAACAATGTATAGATCTTCATACTCGTCATGTTTAAATCCTTTAGAATTGCTTGAGCACAATAACGAGTGAATTTGCTTGTCGAGCGGTTATTATTTCATAACACAATAGACTCTACAAGGTAATTGCAGGTGGTTCATTTTTACGTGAGCACGGCCGTAAACTAAACGCACCATCTGAATGTATTGCATTTTGCTGACAGGACTGTTTTATTCTCAAAAAGAAACGACTCATGTCATACACGAAATGCCTGGTTATCAATGCGATAATAAATATTTGATTTGAAAGCAGGTTTTGTGACTTTTGCCAATAATTATCGAGATTCATGGCAGATACAGGTTCGCATCCATCCATCTTAGTAGCTGTTCGCATTCATCGCAACAATCAACACACTCAATCTGATTCTATTGACCTTGTCAAGCTTTGTAAGCTTGTTACTCAATCCAAACCCTATGCAACGCAAATCGCTATAGCATACCCACAATCGGATACTTTGCTTCATGATGCACTTGTTGGAACCTTTCATCCTACTGCAGTGGAACCAGATGACAAAAGGGTTGTGCTGGTTCCTGTGGTCAAATGGGGAAGGTTTATCCCAGCCTTGAATGCTCTACTTCTCGAAGCCGTGAACGGAGGATTCAAGTATATTCTGTACCAAAGTGTCGAAGCAGTCGTATCCGCCAATGAAATCCATACAATGATCTCTTGGTTTGATCAAGGTATATATGCAAGACCATTCATAATTGAACCCATCTAACAAAGGGATTGTAGATACGCTGGTTGTTGGAAAGGCACTTTCCGGACATGCATTTACTGTAGGCAAGCAACGATTAAATGGAGTTACAACACCATGGAACACATTGGCTTTGTGGGCGGTATCCAAGCTAAAATGTCTTGGATTTCTCATGGTAGCAGAAGGCGTGAGTTGACACGACATGCTGTATATATTCATTGCAGTGATGATGATCAACTTATTGGATTTGGCTCGAAGCCATTTAAATAGTCTGAAGATGTCCAAGGCGGAGTAGAAGAAGTTTCTGCGATTGCGGTATTTCAGAAACTGGTTTCTCCCAATCATGCAAAAGCAATTCTTTTACGTATGTCTGAAGATCCATCTCAAGATTGGGATACTCAATGGTAAGTACAAATCGGGTGTGTAAATGTAGATCCAAGTTTAAAATCAATAGTTGAATAGGACTGATCAAGGCAGACAAGCATGGCATGATAAAAAGGTGAATAGACTGACAATTATATTTTATAGCTGACAGTAATACGGCCTGTTGTGTGGGTAGTTGAATAGATGTGTATGTCCAGTACAACTGATTCGTGCTGTTTATGGTCACAGATGCAAAGCAAAGTATCGCGACCAGCAGAGCATCTGCGACTTCTTCAACTGGACACCTTTGAAGCCATAGTAAACCATGAAATAGCAATCCAATCGGTGTCTTAAAAACCATGGATGACAAGTAACTTTTTTGAGACGTAGGATAGGGTGGTAGTGTAGATCAAAGGCATACCCGAATGCAATAAAATCAGAATGGTTACTTGTAAAAAGGCATGTTTTATTGAGAATGCTCAGACATCAACGGCCTTGTCCTTGACAATGAATAGAGGGCATTGAGTCAAATACTCGGAGAGATAAGTAGCAACAGGACCCAAGACCAGACTCTTTTGATCTGTCTGGCCATGCATTCCAACAACAACCAGATCAGCCTTGATCTTTTCGGCTTTTTGGCAGACAGCAACACCGGCAGACCCAAAGCTAACCTTGGTTTCGATGGTAGCAGTCTTACCGCCAAGTTGGAGACGGAGCTGATCGGCCCATTCGTTCAGCTTACGCTCGGCACCCTGATATAATTGCTGATTAGCAGAGGTCGCAAGGTTATCGTCAGCATGAAGTTCTTCCAGGGTATGGAGCAAAACAACTTTATCGCCATTCTGCACAATGAACTTTGCAGCCCAAGCAAAGGTCTTTGTAGCCGAGTCAGAAAAGTCGGTAGGCATAAGGATGGTGTTTGATGTGCTCATGATGCTAGAGGCAGCGAATCGATTATTGCGATGCTGAGGAAAGCAGCACAAATTCCTTTTATATTAGCGAGCTGATCACATTACAGCCATCTGCGTAAAATGAAACAAGGGTGTCAAAGTGTATAATAAACAGTCATCAAGTGTTGGTTTCCACTCAATTGACTAAAAGCATGCATTTTGGCTCATTAATCGACCTTGTGGCTGACATGAAAACCATTGTATTCCCAAGACTGCAATCATTGTTCTTCAAGAGCGCGAACACATCCGAGTGTCTGTCAAAGCAATCAATTCGTAATAGAAAAGCATATTTGCTCATCATACATTCAAAGAAAATATTAACTCCAGCTGAAAGCTAAATACAATAGTGCTCCAATTTACGTGAATAAGACTGGTAATACACTAAATTCTTGAACCTGCTAAAACTTTTATAAAAACAATGAATTTATTCGTGCAAGATCCCTTTCTATATGACGAACGACCTAGATTTGACTGTCCAGAAGAATATGCAGCAGCTATTATTACGATTCTATCACTCATCGCTGCCATATATAATTTTATAGTCCTTGCGATGCGAATTCGTCGCTCGTCTTCTTCAGCACTCCTCCGTCTTTTATTTTTTGTCAGCATATGCACTATTATAGCTCTTGTCTGTAGAATTATTACACAGTATTTCTATTTTATAACTTTTTTCAGTGGTATCACAAACTTAGCACTCGCAAGTGGTTCTATGGGATTTATGATTACTGAAGCTTGGACCACCAAGATTTTTATGCCCAAGATGACTGCATGGACCATGAAAAAGCTTGTTTTTCTCCAGGTCGCTGTACATATTATCACAGCAACACCCATTTATTTTAAAGGATTTTTATTTACCCAAAACTCTGACCCCATATTTTTTGCAAAGGTATATCGCCTGGTGTTTTTATAAAAATATTGAGACTGACAAGCGTGTATATCACCCAAAATGTTCAGCTAATATTCCATGTAAATTTTCAATTTGGTAGTGGTTCAAATACACTTCTGGAGTATGGTGAGTTACAAGTGGCCCATCACTGACATCTAGACGCACTGATTGCATTGTATCTGACGTCACTTTAATCTGTAACTCATTACACTGTCTAGGTGGGGATGGTGTATTTTCATGGACACGATTCTTAATATCTGGCTTGCAAGAGAAATTGTTGCTCTATCTGCCAGAATGATTGTAATAAAAACACAATCGGGAAGATCACAAACATCCAAATCAGCAGCATCAAACGGATCCGTGATATCTAATGGTGGATCTACTGATGCCAGCTCCTCAAACACACCCCAGCTTTTAAAAACTGAGCAAAAACTTGGTACAAGAAAATCTGTCGCGCCAGTTAAAACATACGCTGAAAACATTGTAAGAAGATTCCAGCTCCAGTTCCGCAAAACCATTGTGTGGATGGTCATCTTTTCCATTATTGATGTAACCAGTGTAGTCACGTACTTTATCTATGTGTTGAATTATACACAACCTGGATCTGTAAAAAATCGTCATGCGAGTGCATTCTCCCAGATTGCCACATCAAGTGTTGGACTGCATTTATTGGCTGTTTCATTATTGATTCGCAATTTGACTAGACTGGTTAGAATACCTAATGACAAAATATAAAGATATTTTAAAGTTGATTGTATTTGGTGAGTCTATACCATGGGTTTATAGTCATATTAGCGTAGAATGAACTGCTAAATAAGTGTCCGTGTACAACAATGATGAGTGTAGAGTTGTATTGACAGCATCAGACCAGTCAGATCCAATATATGGGCTCAGATTTGGAGAAAGGTCATATTCAAAACTATAGCCTGATTGTATTATATGATGACCGTTGTGTTTAGAATTGAGAATGTCGATTGTAGTCAATTTCTAGTAGCAAAGTACAACGAATATTTGACCATTGTTTATTCCAAAGCAAAATAGACAGCTACTGTAAGATAAATACAAGTGTTCCATTTTGCGTGAATATGGCGATAAGATTAGAACAAATTGGCATTCCAAAGAGGGTTTGCATGAGACTTTAGACGGAGAAATGTGAAAATGCTGCTTTGAGGGGCTTCAATATTGCTCGCATCTGCATAATCATGCCATTTAAAGCTGATGTTAGATCATCCTAATGGATTGCATGAATCTACTATTTAAATTATAAATTACTTTTGATTTGACACATCCCAGATCGCAAGATAGCGCACAGACACAACAGAGTAGTACTTTCTGCCTAACAGCATGAATCACAATCAGGCCTTCCTAAGTAAATCAATCGCAACGCTGTCAGATCAGGCTGGTCATGTTTTAGAATTGGCATAACAGCTATAAAATCTGAAATGGAATAGCAAACCTCGCATTCAATAATCAGTTCTTGCTGCCCACTCTCATGACTATCCAATGCCACTGGAGTCTCTGCAGACACTGGCCGCAAAGCACCAGTGTCTTGAAAAGTACTGAGCTCATTATGGCTGTTTGCATGCAGCGTTGGCGGAGACAACTGTGCATGTCTGTCATACGCAAACCAGATATTGCTTACAACAGCAGCAATCGTTTTAGCTCTCAATATACTTTCTCCTTGAAACGATAGCAATGATCCATCTGTGCTGAGAAGCCTGTTTAGATGAATGTTAGTTTGGTATAGAACGGCAGAGGATTGCTGCTAGGAGTATCTGATAGTCTTGAACACTAGCCATATCCATACATTGTTGACTCTACACCTCCATATGTTGCCTGTGCCAACAAGTCCCCCACTGCACGTGCCTTTAGCATAGTAGTGATAAATTGGTCAAGCTATGAAAGATCAATATAAATTTCAGCAAACGCATTGTTATCGGTTCAGTCTGGAAACGCTACCACATCAAAATACAACAGTCGGTGATATAAACTCGAAAGGATTTATATCAAGCAATGCATATCAGCTGTATTGAACTAAAACAGTAATCTCACATACATCTACTGTCGTATTCACGTAAAACGGATCACTAAATAAGTTAAAATGCATAATAAACAGTCAGTTTCTCCAAACTTGCTGGACGATCTTGTTTTGTGAGTTCTTTAGCTTCCCGGTCTTCTGATGATCGAAATAGAAAAAAACAGAATAGCTGAACCCAATATCCGATTTCAAACTTTAAAGAAACGGTTTGATGTAGATGACCGTTGATTAACAGTTATTTGATACAGGTCATAATCAACATATTGACGCTTTGCTTTTTGCATTAATCAATGCTTAAACACCTGTTGAACAACATTAACAACTATAAAACGATTAATATTTAGCATCATTAATATAGATGGCGACGCAGTTATGGGAAGTGAGAATTCATCTTGCTGTTTGCCCAAAATATCGTGCTTCAGCAAGTGTAAATTCAAACCATCGGCATTCAGATGTTGATGGGTATCGTGCACTCTTGACTACGACATTGCATCATGCACGAGTCTGGTTGTATGTAAAACCTTTAATCGCTCATTTTTGATGGCGATACAAACTTGCAGCCCACGATTAAACGTGTCTTTCAAACCCTCTTTCATAAGCACTAAAAAGACATTGTAGATTTGGTAGTAGAAGTTGCAGGAGTAACAAACCCAACCCCGCACAAATCTGGTTGAATCAAATTTACGTGAGCACCTCGAGTATACAATGTACACTGATAATGGCTGTTGACAGCTTTTCATTTCTCTTTGTCCTCATTCCTTTTGTCGATAATCATGAGTGAACACAATTTTGACACGAATTACCTCGTGAGATTGTTTATTATACTGACTCTTGCTGTTCCATTTTACATGAATACGGCTGTGATTATTCATTGGTGAATTAACATTCGACTATGCCCAGTTTCAATGAGTAATATGTAGAGATACTGCAAGCCTATTTATCTCGGCCTCCTTTTAACAGCAACATCTTGCCATTACTGAGCCGTAGAAATTAAAATGACCGTGATGTTCTACATGTATAAGCAAGTGGATTCAATCTTAACCGGCACCGTCATTGTTCATTGTTCATTTCAACTACAATATGTAGTGTATATCAAAGCATTTGCAATGAAATCAATACAAGCCATTTGTTCAAATGTAAACTTTTTAAAAACCTATTTCCATGAAACTGTTCAGTTGATATTGTATGCTTTTATTTCTCCGTTGATTCAAACAAGCTTATTTTACAAAACTCTATTTTGTTGTCGTTGTACTAATACATGTCGCTATTTACTCAAAATTCTGTCCTGTATGCAGAACGGCCCCTTTTTGATTGTCCAGAAGAATATGCTGCATTGGTCCTAGTTTCTGTTTCACTTCTCTCGGCCATTTATAATTTATACCATGTATCTGTTCGCCTTTACCGTAATCCCAGCTCGGCTCTCATCCGTCTTTTATTTTTTGTTGGCATATGCTCAATAATTGCGCTTACTGGCCGGATTCTGGTCGAGTATGTCTTTTACATCAATTTTTTGAGTTCAATTAGTAATATCACTATTGGTGCTGGGTCTATTGGATTTATGATTACACAGTCGTGGACAACTAAAATCTTTGTGCCTAAAATTCGAGATGTAACTGTTAGAAAGATTGTTGCTTTGCAGGTTATTGTACATTTGATGACTGCCACTCCCATGTATTTTAAAGGAACATTTTTTGTTCAAAGTACTGATCCTATTTTTTTTGCAAAGGTGGGTTTAGTTGTGATTGTATGACTGTTATTTATCATTCCAACAATATATCTTGTATAAAAGCTTAATTATTGGTTGTATACTCGTTAATTTTTGAATCAGTGGTTCAAATATACAACATCCGTATGGTAATTACAAATGAACCCACTATACCGAAACAGTCATGCCTTGGCTAATTTATAATTTATAAAGGTGGGCATGGTGCTTGCTCACTGACACTTTTACCAACATCTGGCTAGCCAAGGAAATCATTGCGCTTTCTCGCCGAATGACGGCCATGAAAAACAGTTATGAGATGCCTACTTCCAAAACTACAAACCAAGGTTCGGCTAGTGTATCTTCCTATGTATCTGAAAAATCGCAGTCGATTACGCCTATTATACCACGCCCAGTCGTCAACCTGCACATTTCTGAACTTATGGCTCGGTTCCATGCCCAATATCACAAGACAATCATGTGGATGGCCATATTTTCCATAATGGATGTAGCAGCACTATGTCTGTATATTGTTTATACTTTTAATTATGATCATCCAGGGACCGTCAAAAACCGACACGCAAGTGCATTTTCACAAATGGCAACCTCGATGGTTGGAATGCATTTAATGGCGACCTCATTGCTGATCAGCAACCTAACAAAACTGATTAGCATTCCAAATGAAAAGCGCTAATTACAAATGCCAACTTGATGAATGGTTTAAAACATCTACAAACAATCCATTGAAATTCAAGCGTTTGCCTATCGTATTGTATAAACCCAACATCATATTGACTGTAGATTGTGCGTGTACAAAGTGATATAATGTTTTAGTATTCAATACTATTAATCAAAATTCAATAAACCATGTGCTGGTTAGTTTTTATCAGATTGGATTGTATCTAGTCTATTCAGTATGAACCATGTTGTATTTATAATGCCAAGCCTTGCGATATGAACAGATTGCATCATTTTGCAATGACCAACTATTTGCATTCTTTCATATTACAAATTGACTAGTTGAATACATTAGTAAGATGGGTAATAATCATTCCATGAGATTGGCAGTTTATGATGTATTTTGGCACTTGTTGATCTATTTTACGTGAATATGACAGTAATTTCTAGTGAATCTCAAGCGACCAGTGATGAAACAATACAATGAAAAGAGTAATATGAGATGCTGAATGTGTATGTTTAGTGACAATAAGATAAAGTGTAGAAGCCAGCAGACTGGAATAGAAACACATGGAAGTTGATCGAAGCCTTGATGGAAACCGCCCGAATAAAACACAGAATGGTTTTTTATTTTAGTGATTTGAATCGTTTTTGACCTTTCATATTTACATCTGTTATAGTCGAGTAGCTTCAAGCACTGGAACTCTTTTTACCAGTCTCGCTTCAAGGTAAGGCCATTCTGGACTAGAAACGAATCAACTTTATTTACATCATCACATAAGCCAAGTCTTGTACAATTTAAAAAATCAAATTTGAATTCATGTGTGGTCTGTCCTATTCAATGCGTAAATCCATTGGTTTCTTATGAAAGTGCGCATCAATAGTGGATTCGAATGTAATGATTGAACAATTGTCTAAATAAGATGTGAATGCATTCAAAAGCAAGCCGACCCTGTTGCCATCAGCTCAGTGGATCTGCCGCTACAATTTTGTTTTTCTCCTTTTTCCTTCTGTTTCCATCTACTGCATCTTTCCACTTATTAGCAGCCTGTATTGTTGCTGTTCTTGTGCAATTCATCTCTAGTTCCTTATACTGCTATTCTGGCTTTTCACCCTTAGTATCTAGTGCACTCTGGCAGTCTCTATTGTGTTTCTCGAACTCATTCGAGACTATTTTTCTTCTGACATCTTTCTTGCTACTGCGTCTGTATCTGTTCTTTTATTAATTTGCTACGCTGTTTATCGTACGATTTGGCCATTTTCCTCTACTACCCGCTCCAATAGATCATCCTCAAAGCACAACCGTCGAAAGCAAGAGTCTCTTTTACAAGATAACCATTCAACACCCCTTACTGAACAAACTGCTCTTAAAACCATGTCTGTCGTCGGAATTGATTTCGGCAACCTCAACACAGTAGTTGCTGTTGCTCGTAATCGTGGTATCGATGTCATCACCAATGAAACCTCAAACAGAGCAACCCCCTCGCTCGTGTCCTTTGGAGAAAAACAACGTTTTCTTGGAGAGGCTGCCAAGACCCAAGAGGTTTCCAGCTTTAAAAACACTGTTGGTGGCTTAAAGCGTGTTGCTGGTCGCCCCTTTAGTGATCCCGAAGTCATGGCCAAGGAAAAACGTTTTATTAACTCCAACATTGTCGAGGGCGAAAGCGGCGATGCTGCTGCATCCGTCATGTTTCAAAATGAGGTCCAGACCTTTTCTTTTGCCCAAATTGCATCCATGTTTTTAGTTCGAGTTAGAGAATTCACCAGTGCTGAGATCAAGGCTCCCGTCACAGACTGTGTCATTTCCTGCCCCACATGGTTCACAGATGCCCAGCGTCGTGCGCTTATTGCCTCTGCTGAGATTGCTGGCTTGAATTGCTTGAAACTCATGAATGACACTACTGCTGGTAAGATGGTGTATCTGACTACTGTTTTGTATTGAAATTAAATGCTCGAAGCAATTGTTGCTTTGTCAATGTCTACTACAAACTAGCCGTTTCTAAATACCATTGCATGTTAAACTACTCTAGCCGCGCTTGGTTATGGTATTACCAAGACTGATCTTCCTGATCCCGTAGATCCCAAAGTGAAGCCTCGTGTCGTAGTTTTTGTTGATCTTGGTCATTCTTCGTACCAGGTCGCTGTTGTCTCTTTGGTCAAGGGCAAACTCATTATCAAAGGAACTGCTTGGGATCGTAATCTTGGTGGCCGTGACATTGACGATGCCATCACCAACCACTTTATCAAAGAGTTTGATGCCAAATACAAGATGGACATCAACTCTAATGCCAAGGCTGTATTCCGTCTACGCCAAGGAGCTGAGCGTGCCAAGAAGATCCTTAGTGCCAATGCCGTAACCACCCTCAATGTCGAATGCCTTTTAGACGATAAAGACGTGTCTGGGCATATTAAGCGTGCTGAATTTGAAGAATGGATTTCTCCACTTGTTCAGCGTTTGATTCCTCCTCTTCAGGCTGCTCTAGATGCTGCTGGTGTGACTCCCGATGAGGTTGACTTTGTCGAACTAGTCGGTGGCAGCACTCGTGTTCCACTTGTAAAGGAGACTCTTGCCAAATTCTTTGGTGGGTCACTCGAAGGCCAAAACAAGCTTGCCACTACTCTTAATCAGGACGAAGCTGTTGCCCGCGGGTGTGCACTTCAGTGTGCTATTATCTCTCCTGTATTCAAGGTGCGTGAGTTTGCTACCCAGGAATGGAATGGATATCCAATTGAGCTTCAATGGGATCCCTCTCAAGCCCCTCCTCCCAAGAAAAGTGGCGAGCCTGTTACTACTTCTATGGAGGCATTTGCTCTTGGAAATGCCATTCCTAGCTCCAAGATCATGACTTTTGTTCGTGCCATTAAAGATGAAGAGCTCGACCCTCAAGACGAAACGGTCAGTCTTGAGATTCGTGGTGAGTATGGTGCTGCTGCTCTGGCACGCGATTTCCCCATGGGTGTAGGCGCCAACATTGGCACATGGACCATCAAGGGGATCAAAAAATATCCTTCGTGCGTAGCCAAAGATGGTTCTGCCAAGGCCACCATCAAGGTCAAGGCCAAGTTGGATATCAACTGCCAGATTGTTCTTGAGGCTGCCAACCAGATTGAAGAGCTTGTTATCCCCATTGATGAATCTGAAAAGATAGATGCTGCTACGGTCGTATCCCCCACAGGCGATGCCATGGATGCTGATGTATCCGTCACCACTGAAATTTCCAAGAGTGGCAAAACTAAAAAGGTAATCAAGCGACACGACCTGGTCGTCATCCCACACACTCACTCCGCATCTGTTGAACAAATTGCCAAATGGACTGCTGCTGAAGGCCAGATGTATGCATCAGATCGCCTTGTTATTGATACTGCTGAAAAACGCAACACTCTTGAGGAGTATGTCTATGAAGTTCGTTCCAAGCTAGAGATGGCATGGAGCGAATTTGTCACGGATGCCGATCGTTCAGCTTTCCTTGCTCAGCTTAATGACACAGAATCGTGGCTGTATGGCGAGGGCGAGGAAGCCACCAAAAGCATTTATGTTGAGAAGCTTAATGAACTTAAAAAGGCTGGCGATCCTATTGCATACAAGTATCTTCAGAGCGAGGAGCGTCCCAGCGCTGAAAAGGCCTTCCGCGAGTATGTCAATTCTGTCGTTATTAGTATACAAGCCGAGGACGACCGTTACGCACATATTTCTAAAGATGATCTTGACCGTGTTCTTAACGAATGCAAGGCCAAGCTTGACTGGCTCAATGCTGCCATTGGCAAGCAAAATGAGACTCCCAAGCATGTCGATCTGCATGTCACTGTTGAACAAATTAACATGGAGCGAAACGCTCTCCAGCATCTAGCCACACCCATTTTGAGCAAACCTAAGCCTGCTCCCAAAAAAGAAGAACCTAAACCTGCTGAGCCAGCTACCGATGCAAAAGAGGAAGTTCCCGAAGCAGCCAAGGACACACCTGCTGCTGAAAACATGGATCTGGATTAAATGGTCTTTTAACAATTATTTCGGCACATAGTGATTTTTGGGGTTTGGGATGAAAGTAGGAATGTTTGGAGTGACACATTGTTAGCATGTCCTGGATTGCCGTTATTTTTCTATTTTTAAACAGATAAATGTCATTTACCAGACAATTTTGTCAGTGTTTTCGATTTTGTGATTTAGTTTTAAATAGTTTATTGTGTAGATGACATTATAACAGTCGGGTTTACTACACGCATTGTTTTCGAGTACATATTTTGAACAGATCGAGTTTACAACAGACCACTTTGATCAGTCAGACTCCTCGCTGCTCATCTAGTTTCTGACTATTTATTGGTGCTGTTTTGGTTTATGGTTTTCAACGTTTGAATCTTTCACCCAACTAGATCTATAGTAATGCAATGGGCTGCTAATCAACTCGATTTATGGCTAAAAATAATATAACCAAATCCAATACGTCCAACATCATTCCAAACAAGTTTTAATCTGTCAGCATCTTACAGCTCTTCTATATACCTCTCACATGACATCACTAGATAAACCTTTTGCCTTTAACAAGGATGACTGTTCATGGTACACTCCGTTTTATTGTGAAGAAAATATATATCGTCTTGGTTGTGCCTTGAAACAGCTCGAGCCAAGTGCTAATTTCGAAATCGTCTTTATATCCAACGAGCATAAAAAGGTGAATGAGTCAAAGATTGATACTAGTTTGTCATGCCAGTATATAAGTTGTTGATTTGAGCTACAAGGCTTATCATGAATCCACCACGTTTATATATTGTTTTGAATCAAGTATCATGTGAAGACGATCCATCAGACTGTATGATCAGATTCACAACCATGACATTGTCAATACCCACTCACTCGACTTTTATACGGTTTGCACCATAAATGTGTATTGACTTCAACGATTTAGATTCCTTTGTGGGCTCAAAAAAATGGATCTAGCGACGACTCCATACCAGTGATTTGGGTAATCTTTAGATTCAATGAGCTTCTATTAATGTATTTAGCTTATTTAGTTTTTATTTAGGACTATCATGTCATACTGTTTCAATCGACAGAATCAGCAGTCACTTGTGTGTACGATCTGGATACAGTTTTACCTTTTCCAGTAAGCTTTTCAGAATACATGCTCAAGGCATTGAAACCCTCTATTATAAAAACACTACCAAAGCAGTATCATAGGTATATCCAAGTGTATCTACGATTTGGTTTGTTTCTCGTGTCAGTCATCTATACTGTATATTAAATCTGCCATTCTAGATTATTTCGTGTGATTCCAGGTCATAGTTTTTTAACCCATTTCGCATCAGATAGAAGCCATATGGTAAGTTGATATGGGTTAAATGGTTTTCCAACAAGGTGGGTTGTGAGTCGAATGGGTTTATATTGTTTGTTACTCATACCAAGTTGGGTTGTTTTTAGTTCAAAGACAAGGCCTGGATAGCCGAACCACCCAAAACATCCTGTATTGCAACCCAAGGTGCCTTGGTGGTCATACTATTGATAGTGTTGGTGATTTATTTAAATTGGATGGTATATGCTGACCTTGCCTTTTTAAAATCCCGCTAGATTCAATCATGAATTTGCCAGAATATTTTAATATGACGACCAATACCAACCATCCTGTATTTGGAAAAGTACTGACCGAGTCGGAATTGATTGCCAGATATTCTTGATTCTGTTGATTGTTTAAACATTGTGGATGTTAAGCCTCTAATACTGTTTAAAAATTGTGCACAAGTATCAACTGTCTTGAATAAAATATTCATTTGCTGGGATTGCCCATTTGAAAGCAATGGCAAAGCATAAAGTGTGTACAGATCATTGGCAAACCAAGGGGTAGATTAACATTAGCAAAAATACATTACACATGCTGTTGGCAACAAGTAGCGGTAGCTACATTTTATGAACCAGCTTTAAAAACAAAGCATACAATAACGGGGACAAGTCAATATTATTAATAGCAATCGCGTTGAATGTCACCATGGGTAAGTTGTCATTACATATCCGATTCACAGACGGCTTTACTGTTATACGCAGAGTTCGCTTGCAATCTTTGAAGGCGTATGTATAAGTGAGTCCATCGCGTGCCCATGTTGGATGTCGAGGAACCTGATCGAATACAAAGATACTCTTGTGTACTGTTTGAGTGTCGTAAGCCTCACATGAAGGGCATTTGTGCTGAAGCCGTGCACCTCCAACTGGGCTGACGTGATGAGAAGAAGCTGAAGGGAAAGCGGTTTGGACAATAGTATTTATAAGCAAGGCTTGAGTACGAGATTGATCGGTCGTGTCTTCCCTTGGGGTTGATGCAAGAGACGGTTGTGGTGTAGGAGGTAAAGTCATTTCTGGAATAAGTGGTGGTGGGATGCGTCCACTTTGGACACCTTGTCGCATATCTTCCAAATAGCAGCTCAACTGTTCGCGATGCTCAAAAAAATTGCTGTATATTTAAAAAATAAACATGTCAGAAATGCAAGCAATGGATTGTTCCAGGTTGTCCCTTGGATAAACATACAATCAACTTACGCAGTTGCCAAGCCGCCTGGATGCATAGAAAAGGAAATTCCGCCCAGAAAATCAAACTGCTCTAAAAATGTCTTGTGGACAAAATAGACTTCTCGCTCGTCCTCATTACTCGTAGCACTATCATTGTGTGAAATGTGTCCTGGCTGCCAATCGCCAAAAATTAGATGGTCAAATGTGTGGATCTTGGTAACGACCGTTACTGTATTTTGAATATGGTCAGATGAAAGATGTTTGTATAAACTCCAAGACGATGGGCAGGACAGCAATACATTAAAGTATTTGGATGTTTGACAGAGACGCAAAGCCGAGAAAAACCCAGCACGCATGGCAATATTACAAATGAGTTCAGCTGGAAGAGATTGCAGTTGAACTGAACTTGATACAGCACCAGTTTGGTCAATGATGTCCAACAAATCGCTCGAATCATCAGCAGCAATGTCTTGAGTTGCGTATAACCTAAGATCGAATGCTGATAATGTAGCGGTATCTAACACTGAGAGAGTTTGTGAGGACGACTTTGAAAGTATGTGTACTGCCAATGGTGCCAAAAATGAAGGCGATTCTAGCCAAGAATGACTCTTGCTAATGGTATCGCCAGTTGTTGATGACCTAGGAGAGTCCAATAAGCTAGAGTCCAACAAACCAATGAATGGACTCTCTGAAGCTGAAGACAAAGTTGTCAAGTCATCTGAATGTTTAGAGCCAACTTTACTTTTTGGCAAGACAGACTGAGAGGGTTTATTTGCAAGTGTCCAAGACAACTTATTCGATAACATTGTTTTTTTGATTGTTTTTGAGATCGAGGCATACACTCGTTGTAGCAACTGTTGCTTACTCGGAGCAGTCACGGAGTGGTTTGATAAGCTTTTCGTGCGAGTTATGGACAGGCTTGACATTGCAGTTTAATGTAAGAGTACAAAGTACATTTAAACATACAACGGATAATATAATAATCAGACTTGATTGTTTCAGCTTGTAGTATCAAATGATGTCACGAGTAATAGCTGAAACAACTATCAAGTGGCAGCATTCTAGTCGTATTCGCGTAAAATGAAGCACTACGAGTGCCAAAATACAGAGCCGTTCCATGAAATGATTGTTCAGTTCCCACCAAATTTACTGGAAAAATATGAACTCGGAATTCCTTGACAAACTCGTTGGTTTTTCCTGCTAGTTATGGAATAATACTCTGTCAAGACATGCAATCTTGTTCTCTTGAAATAGAGCATGAATGTATCTGTGAGTTTGTAGTTGTATTGGCAACATCAAAATTCAATATCTGAATCGCAGTGGGTGAATCTGGTTTTAAACTTGATGATTGTACAATGTGTGGCTATAACAAAAAAGATGGTTGATTGTGTGCATCGTATGGACGCTGTGCTTTGAAGAATTGAGAATGTTTATCCAGATGGTCGATTTCTAGTAGGAAGCGCAACACATTGATTATTCTGAAGCAAAACTCGTTGCAAGATAATACAAGCGTTTCAGTCCATGAATACGACTAATTTAAAAACAGGTAGAATTTTATAAAGAATGTGGCGGAGGTCGATTCAATTCACTGCGCAGCAGGAGCAGACTAATTCATCAAAATCTACATTTATACAAGCAGAAGACACACGAGGAGCAACCCGTGTAGAATACAAATACAGACTAATTGTGCAATTTTGGGAACTGGCATGTGGCAAAACACTTTTGATGGAATTAAAATAATACTGAGGGTTGAGCTAGTATCGGGAGTATTGAGCTACAGTTGCTGAGAACTGAGTTTGCAAATGAATGTGGACTTGTTCAACCCCAAATCTAACACAAATGAGAGCGGGGTTGTGGTAGCAAAAAACACTAATTTAATGAGGGACAGATCTATTTGTTTGCAGCTGAATATAGAGTAGATGTTGGTAGATTCTGCTATACAAAGCATCGAGTTTTACATGTCAAGATCGACCATTACAGTTGACAACAAAAGTTTGACCGAGTCTTGAGCAAATGGAGATGACAAATCGCAAAGTAGAATTCAATAGAGCTTTCAATGCAGCTTTACTCGGACAAACTACCCGACTGGCTTTTGCTTCCTTCTGAGCCATAAACAATTGGATCCACCAATGCGGTGTTCAAGGCGTAATGCGCACGACCCAGTGGAACACGCGCATATAAACGATATACGACATCACCAGTCACTGCAGCTAATAACAAAATGATATGCATGCACAGAGGGAATAGCATTCAAGTTAAAGCCCGCACTATTTGAACTTGCATTTCTTTACAGCTGAGGATACGCTTGTTTAAAGGGATCGTGTCACCAACTCAAAAACGATCTGAAGCTTCACTCCCATCTGGTGTATTAACTGTTCTCTTACTATAACTAGTATTCAAGTTGTAACTCGTTGCATCCCCAAGTCATTACCTTAGACTCACGCTTGTAGTTCTACTCTGCAATATCCAATTAAGCCTGAATTAATTCAAGTAGCACTTGATCTACTTGAAGAATCTCGACAATACCATTACTGGAAACAACCGACTTTAGACTTGCACCATGCATTCACTTGCTGCAATTGATTGTGTCACTAGCACTGTTCCACCAATGTGCGACTCCAGTGACTGTCCATATCCATCGCCTATCCAGTCTCCACAGTCAGTCACAAAACCTTCAACTCAAGACTTGTCTTTGACCATCACTCATTCTCAGATGCAGTCCTACAGCACTATTCCACACAAAGAACATATCGATCTGACTACTGATAACTGGCATTCCTTTGGCCACTGCAGTACGAATGATTCTGACAACATTGCTTTAATGCTCACGGTTTCCCCAAAACAAGCTGGCAACGATGCCAGCTTGTTGCCATTTCCGTCCATGGTGAATGGCAAGTCGATCTTTGAATCGGAATGTTCCAATTCTACACTCCACACTACTGGTATCGATATAACAAAAAAAGCATTGGACGTATCTATCCCTGCATTGCCAAATATTGCTATAATTCCAACGGCACAGATTGAGTCATCTAATGTTGAAGCTTTTTCGACCTCTGCAACAGTATCCAGGCGCAAGCAGAACAAGCCTGCACGATCCATTGCAAGATCCTCGAGTGCCATGATGTCGGCTACTCAAAATTATCGCATTGTACAGCTGGATGTCTACGATGCCTTCAAAACAAATCCCAAACAGCTGTTATCTACTCCGCCCATCAACAATCCTTCCGGTATGTCCAATGACACCGTTACTTCTAGTACTACCACTGATGGATTACCATCTGCATGGCATCGTCTTCAAGTTGCCATTCTCCCATCCGAGTCTAGCAAGCCTCTCCGTCTTACCAATACGATGGCTAGACATTACCGTTTCCGCCGTTTTGGTCATCATTTCTCTTCTATTGCGTCCACTCCAAAAACTTTTGGCTCCACTTGCTTATCTCGATCCATTGCACAGACCGTTGCTTCTTGTGGTCTTTGGAGATCCAACCTTGCGTCCAAAGCCCCTGGTCCATCTTTACCCAATACGTTGTCTACACCTGTCCATCTACCAACCCCTGCATCATCTTCAAAACCATCCTTTTCTGCCTCGGTTGCTTTGGATTCGACTCTTAAGCGTCCTTTGGCAACCATATCACCCGTCTCATCCCCTGTTGTCTCAACTACACCTAAAAACAACTCTCTAGCTGCTCCAAATCGTGTCAAGCCTGTAGTAGCTACCTTGTCTACAAAAACCCGAGCTTCGGTCAAAGAATCCAGCCCAACCGATGGCTTTAAAAAATTGACTGGTGCTACAGTCAAGCGTCGCTCCAGTATTGCATCCCGTCAGCCAAAGCCGATCCCTAATTTTCTTGCTAATCTTGGCGTGGATACCAGTGTTTTTAACAATTCCGAATTCTCGGAAACCAAAGGTGCTCCCGTTGTATTTTGGAAAAGTATGAATTATTTGAGCTAAAACTGATTCTTAATTATGCATTGGCCGTCTTTTTATACCTTTTATTCCAACTAACACTCAATTTTCTGTCAACAGCTGGCTCGCAACCCTTGAAGTTTCCATCTGGCTTATCTATGGCAGATGAACTTACCAAAGAAGAGCTACAGACGTGTGCTACCTTGCGTATCTACCCTGATGTCTATTACAATATCAAAAAAACTATGCTACAAGCCGTTGCCTACTATGGCCCCTTTAAAAAGCGTGAAGCACAGACATGGTTTCGTATCGATGTCAACAAGGCATGTGTTTTTCTTGCAAGACTACCCTATAAATAGCATATTGTATATCTAATACCATGTACTTTGCTTTTGGAATTTAGATCTGCATCATTTACGACTGGTTCAAGAGTTTAGGATGGATCCCAAACGATGGTGAGTGGGCAACCGCACCTCTCACTTCTCAAAATCCTACTGCAAGTACTACAATCCCCACGGTACTCGATCTCAAAAACTCGAATGCTTCATTATTCAAAAAAAATAGGTCAGCAGCATCATCCAAGCGCAATCTTCCACCCATCAATACTGCCTGCATTGATAGAAAGGCTTCATCAATTGAATCTATTCCATTGACAAGCGCTACATTCCTGTTTGCAACTCCCATATCTGCTGTTTTGAATCAAGAGCCTTTTTCTGGTAAATCTAGTCCTGATCTACTTACTTCAGATGCAAAGCGTATTCGTACTCTGTAATTTCTGGCTTTTTAGAAATGCATCTTTGAGTCTTTTATCTTCCTATTCATGTATTTGTTTCACTCTTTTGATATTCGTGCAGCCTTTTCTTCACGTACTCTCAAAATACTGTTATATGTCTTTGTACCTACCATTCTTTTTATTCCATGTCGTTCAAGTCCCCGACTGCCAATCGATGTAGTTCTGCACACCTACTTGCCATATCATCTGATCATTTCGTTGTCATTCCATAACATTGTCTTGTTTGTATTGCTCAATTCTTTTGAAATAAAATTGATCTTGTAAAATGATCAACATGGACACGATGTCCATTTACCTTTGATTTAGGCTACGATGGGCAAGTCCAAGAAACATGACAGTGACCGTAACAAGAAGCGAAGCAGTAGCAGTCATCACAAACATACGAGCCATAAACATCACAAAAACTCTCATGAGGAAACACATTCCAAAAGCCATACCAAATCCCATAGACATGGCGGCATAGCTACAGGAAGCATCTTGAGTCTTGTATCTCAGAGTCTGACTACACCTTTATTGCCACATATCACCCCGCCTGTTTGTTCACCCAAACCGTCTCCCACCCAACCGATTCAAACACTAGCATCCACTTCAAGTCAATCACTGAACAAGACTCGAGTAACGAAACGATCAGCCATGATGCCCATGTCTCAAAAGGAATATCTGGCAGAACAATCTACTATCCGCAAAGTATATGATCAAGAGACTGGACGAACAAGGTAGTACTCTGCATAGCTTGTTCAATGAACTCACTAGATTTTTTTGGTAATGATCTACATTTTAAACTGTTGTATTGTGTCAACCCTACTTGCTCTGTAGAACCATCCGTGGATCGGGTGAAGTGATTGAAGAGATTGTAAGCAGGAGCCAACAAAAGGCAATCAATACTGCATCGACTGCATCGGATGGAGCTGTCTTTATGCACGGTTTAACTCTTTTAGGGCAGCCATCACCCAAGAAATAAACTTGTTTTATTTCCAACATGTACAAGTGTGAAGGAGCAATCTAGTGCAAGCATGTATGATGATTTATTAATGGGTGATGGAATGAGCCAAAAGACAGCATGACGTACATCACTCGGACTGGTCATCCGAGTCTTCATTGCTATCATCATCCGAGTCTTCGCTGCTATCATCATCCAAGTCTTCGCTGCTATCATCATCCGTTTCTGCTGCGATGGTTCTTCTTTCTAATCGAGAATTTATGGCAGCACCAATGATGTGGATTTGCTCATGCATGGCCAAGGTTTGTCTAGAACGAGCAACACTCGCAGTGACCACTCCAGGGAGATACTGTGCAATCAGTCGAAGCACCTCATTTGGTAGCTGTGGAATGCATTCTGAACATGACATGGCATCTGTGACCCATCCAATCTGTTGTGGTGGAACAGCTGCTGTAGACACAATGGTCTTACTTGGATCTACCAAATAAAATGTCAAGAACTTGCAGTGAGCACATTGATCTTTAAAAGGATCCAGCAATCTGATGGGGTTGAGTCGATGCTGGAGAATGTTGGGATAGGTCACACACTGGCCCTGTTTCAATACAATACTTCCCAAGTCCTGGTTTGTAAAGGATCCAGCTGCTAGTCCGTGTCGATCGAGGATATGGCCAGCCGCGTTATTCGACCGACTCTCTGGTCTGGGTGTAACGGGCGATCGAAACTCAATGGTTGGGGGTGTCACCATATCACTCACAGCATAAGCATAGATTCCAGTAGCCACAATGGCTTCGTTGGCATTTCCATCAAAACACCATTGTTCTCCTATGTACTCGGGGTGGTTAGGAGACACATGTATCTGGGATAGTTTAATAATGATTTGAAGACGACGACCTTTGAATGAGACATTTGCTTTTGGTATGTTGGTATGAGGAGCATTGGTTGAGTCTGATGATGTATCTGTAGTTGAGCCATGCGATACATCATCCGACTCTTCACTATCGCTACTCGATAAATCATTTAATGAATCTGCGCTTTGATTTACAGTGAGTAGTCTTGATATGCTAGGCAATGACATCAGGAGTGACACCTGCTTCTCAAACAGCGGTATGAATTGCTGGAAAATATCTGTAATATCTTGATACAACTCCGAGTGGTGCGATGGATGAAGATTGTTGATATAGGATGTGATGGTTGGAACTCCTGATGGAGAAACTACCACTTCGCTAGGCAGCCATTGAAACCGAAGGGATCGTGTAAGCCAAGGACCAGTAATGCCTCGATTAGGAACACGAGCAATCTGATTGCCAGATCCAACAAACTGTGACCATGGAGGTTGCATTCGTTGCAGATTCTTGCGACTATCTAGCTTAATCATGGTGTGATTGTAGTAGAGACAAAACAAACTTGGATGGACAAGTGACAACTCATTCTTATCGGATGATACTGCAGTGTCAGAAGTACCCATCGTAGTGGTGGATCGACAAGTCATCAACCAGTCTTTGTGCTCTTCTGGAATATCCTCCAAAATGCGAGTATGGGCAACCAATCGAGCTTGTAATAGCATGGGAATAGCATTAGATGACGATAGTGTTCCTACAACCGGTCCTGGTACAATAATAGATCCATCATCTAGAGTGCATACAGATGTGTCGGCCAAATGCCTTGCAAGAGATATTACCATGTCCATATCCAGACTTGGTTGGTCCATAGTTGCTGCCACATTGGACATTTCAGATAGCCATCTTTGAACAATTTCAGGAGTACCAATCGATATCCACCAGCTTGGTTCGTTCAAAATGTATGCCAATACATGCAAAGTTACCAACTCTGTGGCAGAAGCAGCTACTAGACCTTTAAAGCAGCCTAGAGTGTTGTTGTTTTTGAAAATAGACTGCAAGCATGCAAAATCTGGATTCCCCATTGAGTTTCCACTGAATAAGTGTCAAATTAGCTTGAATTGGAAAATAAATCAAAAGCTATTTCACAGCGATCAATAATAGGAATGAAATTGCAAATATCACTAGTGCAGTATTTGGAATGATCATTGTATTCCTGTATTATGACAATGATCGGACTTGTTGACACAATCAATTTTCCAACGATCTGCACTACCACCTGTTGCAACACCAGCCTGCTTGATGCTATCAGAGTGTTTTCAAAACAGCGAGATTGGGTTAAAGTACAAGTATTGTTTTTCCATTCTTATCTCTATCGCCAATAGCCATCAAGACAACCCAGTTTACTATACACGATCTGAATATCAGATATGGATTGGTACCATGTTTTACATTTTCGATGATCATACAATTGAGTGTATACATTACTCATGCTTTCAACATCAAGCTTGTTTTTAAATCATTTTGGAGTATCAAGTTAGCATCGAGTTACTGCTGGATTTCAAATGGTTCAAGTCATATAAGCACACCAGTGTAATGCTTGTAATATAAAAACGCATCATTTGACTACCAGGGTTGACAACTATACTGTCCTAACAGTGAGATAATTGGTATATTTGTCATGTGGAAATCCATCCACCTTACAATTCTGGAATCATTCAAGTAGCATGCAGAGTTTATTGAAAATGTATCAACCAGTCAAACTATCGGTACCATTGGGAAGCAGGAACGCCAAGACATTCGCCAACTGTTACAAAACTGTAACCAAGATTTTTAAACTTGGTAATGACATGTAGAGCCCAATTAATCTCGTTTATAACAAAATCGTGCTGTAGAGAAATGAATGGTGTGGCCGGAATAGGATGTCCAGCCATGTCATTGGCATAACTAGCATCGTTCTCAGCAATCATGTTGGAATCGTTATTGTGGGCCCAATCACCCGAGTCGAGATTCCAGGTCACTACTTGGTATCCCCAAGTTGCCATGGCACTCAGAACAAGCGCGTTTATGCTACCATATGGTGGACGCATGTAAACGGGTGATTTACCAATAATGTTGCGAATCAAAATATCGTTCTGGGACATTTCGGTCCACATTTGAGCTGCATTCAATGAAGTCAGATCGGGATGGGTAAGTGTATGAGAGGCAATCTGATGTTTAAAGTAAATATCAACAGTCGAGTATTAATAAATAAACCCTGAATACAATGTGAGATTGAATACAAAGTATATTACCTGATGTCCTTCAGTGTGTGCACGACGGAGAATAGAGATATAAGGTTCAAGGGCAAGATCTGCAAAGTTCTTGCCATTCACGAAAAAGGTTGCTTTGACATTGTTGTCTTTAAGCATATCCAAAATAGCAGAGACATTGCTGGTCGGTCCATCATCAAAAGTCAGGGCAAACTGTTTTTACAATAACCATACTGAGAGTGGTATTGGCCAGTATTACATTGACAGTTACTAGTATAAACACATGTCTAAATTTGGCTCGCAAGTCATGACATCAAAGTAAATAAAAGTCACAGTTTTCAAATAAAAATACTTTAAATCTTTAAACATATAAGGTTCAGATCTGCCAAAGACCGACATATTCATTTTAATCTCGTTTACGCTTGGAAAATCGATCTTTGGCGCCAATGATTGGAGCTTCTTCTTTTTCAATCTCTGTAGCTTTAGCAGCCAGTGCGCCAAACACACCAGCAGGAATAGATTGACGTTGAATATTTCCAATTTGCCTTATTTCACCATGGTCGTCCTTGGCATGCATAATCTTGTTCATATTGGCTTCTGTTCCAGGTATATCATCATCGTCCTCATCACTGCTGTCATCATCAATCTCAATCGCATCCGGATTAGCCGATTCTCCCTCTGGTACAGTAACCTTGGGCTCTGTCTTTTCTGCACGCACAAATCCAACCACACGTGTCCCACCAGCAGTTTTCTGCTGAGCTATTTCTTCAGCTTCTAGATCCTTCATACTGTCAGGATCGTTGGTAGTCGAAACACTCGATTGCCCATCTGCAGTCTGTCTAGCTGCAAGAATTTGCGATGAAATAAAGCTAAGATCCGTGTTATATTTGGCTTGCACAGATCTCTTGATTCTACATAGTATATTAAAAAACAAAGGTTTAAAAGGCTGCATAGTTGATATCCAAAAGCTAGCTTTATAGCAATATCAAAATAATCAATAGCTTACCGAAGCGTTTCTTTGAATGTATCCTCATTGCCAAATTTAACTTCAAAATCATGCCACACTTTCCAAAACTTGGGATCTATACGTGGATCACAGAATTGACTAGCATAAGCCAAAATCGCTCGTGATCGATCTACTTCACCAAGTTTAGTTTCCATGTCTGCAAATTTAATGGCAATATCTCGTGCTTGCGTGTCTGGCAAAGTCTCTAATGCACGCTGGTAGATTTCACGGGTGGATACAAGTCCAAACGATGACGTTGCTTTGGATATGTAGATTTGGAACATTTCTGCGCGATCCTCATCGCTTACGGCGCGGGTAGCACGGTCATAAATACGCATAGCATGGCGTGCAAGCCCATGGTTTTCTTCAAGATCAGCATACAGTAAAAACAAAGTTTTTGCAAATTTGGGTGGGCATTTTTCTAGTGATTGTTCAAACAAGTCACGAATACGCTCCATTTTGGATCCGCCATACCGTGCAACAAATTTAACAAGATACAGATTCCAAATTTCAAATGCAATTGGATATCCAAACAAGTCAATGCCACGCTCATATACTCGAAAGCTTTCCTCAAAGTATTTGTTTTCTTCGAGAAAGCTTGCATAGTTGATGATAATTTGTGGCGTGGCAATCTTGAGTTCCATAATGCGATCATAAACGGCTTTGGTGCTTTCGGGAGTTCCAATAGACTCTTCTACATCTACATAAAGTGACCACAATCTGATGCATTTAAAAAGACGTTGGTGAACGGATTTGGTTTCATCGTTGTATCTAATCATGGCGTGCTTAGCGGGTGGACCGCGAGGAGGAGCTGTAGCACGACCAAGTATTTCAAGAGCATGGGATATGGCATTGTGCCGTAGATCCATCTCCACCCATTCACACCACACTTGTGCAAGATCATCCACGCGCTTATATGGTACCAGTACTGCCTTTTCAAAAACATTATGTGCCATGTCCACTTTTCCAATACTCTCGTAATATTTGGCAAAGTCAATCCAGAGATCGTGCAATTTGCCATGTGCCTTTTGAGGTGAAACAGACTTAGTGCCAAGAACATAAGATTCGACAATTTTTTCAGGTTTGTTGGCATCCTGATATAGTTGTGCCCTCACTTTCCATTGCTGAACATTGTGTGGGTTTTGTCGAAGCAAAACATCGTTGATCAGGAAACTACGGCGTTCCATAAGCTTTTCAAAACGGGCAAGTCGCATATCCACATCAACAGCATCCAGCATACTCGTTGATTTTGTTTCAGAGCTATCCTCATCATCACAGTCCAAAGTGTCTTTTTCAGCAGCAAGGCGCTCAATACTCGAGGCAATAATATTTTCTTCCATTTTAGCATAGGCATCAAATATCATGGAAAAGTCGCGCACAGTAGTGACGTTTCGAATGCCTTCTTCATAAACATCTCGAGCACGATCAAACTCGCCTCGAACAATCCACCATCGAGCAAGACTGTTCCATAGTTTTCCTACTTGATCTGTGAAGCGAGCAATGCCCACTCGCAAAATACAGTCAACATCCAGTGATTCGATTGGCATAAAATGCTCGCCATTACTGATTCCGTGTCGATAGTTGCTGCTATTAGTGTAGCCTCCAGAGATGGGCAGCATGTGGTCTCCTGAAATATTGTCATTGACTTCTTCAGGATGTTCGCATACTACATCGCAAAGTTCAACCCAATGTTGAAATGCAGTTTTTTCGCTAGTAGGGGATGCATATTTGGGATTCATGACAATTGCAGCAAGTACTCTCGCTGCATCTCCATGTCGTGGTGGATCAAGATTAAGCAAGATCGAAACAAATTGTTCTGCTTGATGAGGCTCCAGTTTAAGAAACCGAAGCCAGCTTCGAACACAAATTTCACCACCGACCTGTTGAGCAAATTCAAGATAAAGTGGCCATATACGCTTGTGCTGAGAAGTGGGCAAAGCTTTAAGGGCCCGATCAAATGTACGACGAGTAAAAGTGAGCCGAGTAGGTTGGTGCATAAGAAAACGACAATAAGCCAACCAGATGACTGGAAACTTGTTGCATAGCGCCAGACTTTTTTCAAAACAGCCATTTATTATCAACCACTCCTTGTGAGCTGGAGTAAATACTTTGTATGGTTTCCGTAGTCCTGTTTTTGGATTGGTATCTGTCATGAGAACTTGATTTACTCGCAGATCTAAATATTGCTTCCACAACTTGTAGCTACCAGGAAGTTCCTTGATGGCCCGTTCAAAAATAAATGAAATTTCATCAAATGAAGCCTTGCGAGCAGACAGATGGGCAATGTATCGGGTCCAAGACTTGATGGTGAATGGGTGTCGCAGACAGTCTTCTTCATATACTGATTGTTTTAAAACGGTTGATCCATGTTTGAGATACATTATAATTGGTAAATACAATAATAAAACGCATTGTGACCAACATGCATGGGAATGGTAGTTGTACTCACATAAATCCTGCAGAGGAACTTGCATCATCATCTTGTCAACCTCGGATTGGCGAGCAGCAACTCTTTCTTTTGCAAATTCATCAATCATTGCCGTCACAGATGTAGTTGGTATTTCGTTATTATCTTGAATACCTGGTTCAGGTATATGTTGGTCGGCATCTTGTACTGTGTTTTCCATTTGGATATCGACATCATGTTCAACAGAATCCGGTTCCAGATCCAAGTCTTTGGCAACATCAGCAATGACTTTTTTCTGTGATTTAGCAGCAGAATCCTGTCTTCCTGTAGCTTTAGTAGTACGTTTTCCTCTGGATCCCATCAGACAATGCCGCACTGTATTTAAAGTAAATCTGATGGAGTGAAGATAAAAACTGCAATCTTGGATAATCAAAATCACCAAACCGTAAACTATGCAGTTTGAAGTCTAAATTATACCGCCTAGTCCATATATCTAGATCCCTACCAACTGCATGATAACCTTGAACCTTGTATTATCTTGCAGTGAGTTTTGCCTCGGAATAATCAACGATGTGTTGTACTTTCCTACTACAAATTGATTGCTTGAATGAACATTTTGAATTCTTTAAAGTGCATTCAGACTATAGTTTTGAATTGTCTTTTTCTGCCCATTTGGTAGACATGCATTATACGATCATCAAGTTTGAAACCAGGCTGATTCACTGCAATTCAGATATTGAGTTTGAATAGTTTGATGCTGTCAAACTTTTTGATGTATCCTAAATACTCGACACGTCTGTGCTCTAGTTCAAGAAAATAATGATTGTCATCTCAGGAATGAAATTGTTGTTTTCATGTCAGCTATTGGTGTGAACATTTGCTCAACCATACAAGAATGGGTAGCAAAGACCCGTAGTCTTGTCAAAGCTCAGGGGACAAGCTGCCCAATAAATTTGATATGAATTGTCATTTCATGAGATTACCCTTATTGTGTTTCATTCTATGTGAATATGGCTGTAAAAAGAGCGGCACAGTCGGTTTGAAAAATCCATCTGAAAAGGTCTGGCACGGCAAGTGGATCTTTGGTTGGTTTTTTAAATGGATGTTTATAATTAATACCAACTTGAAAAACATGGCCATTTTAAGAGCCATAATGTACAGAATATTTATATCTGGGTTCATTTACAAGGTTTTGATATTAGCGACTGCCAAAGGCTAGAGTTGTGGTGTGGTTAGATACTTGGGCCACTAATGAGCCTGTCTGTTGCCAGCCGTAATCCACATGTATCTCTAGTACAAAAAGGGGTTTGAATAAGTGGCATGTTGGTGCTTTTCAAGTTTGAAGTGGATCCTCAAACTTGCCGCATGTTATTGCTTTATCCATGTGGTATGCACCTTTCAATTGAGTGTACAAGATTTGGTTGATAAATGCTGCTTGATTCTAACATGAAACACATAGTACGGGTAAGGATGAGCAACAGGTCAATGGACGGGATTGAAAGGGTACTGTTTAATTCTTCACATTGATGGACATGTGTTGTAGAATCCATGACTCTAGCTCAAAGCAAGAGTAGTAGACCATGGCAATGCAGTGAACCCTGGTGCAAGATTGTCTAGACAGTTGTGGATAGCCACAGTTTGTAAGAGCATTTAGTTTGAGATTGGATTTATGCAACAAGCATCTTTGACGGGCTTGCATTGTATGAATTTTCATTAGTCAACTCTATCGGTTAGGGCTAGACATGCCACACTGCTCAACCAGCAGAAGCTAGATGTCAGGGCCAAGTTATAGCAGATGATAGACATAACCCAACTCATCACCCCTACTTGGACTGGCTTAAACAATTCACAGCGGCTCCCTTGTCGTCACCCACTCAGTCGAAACATTACTTGACCAAAACGTCTGAAGCTGAACAGTGCTGGTGCCACTCGCAAGATAACCCTAAGAATCACTCGGTTGGAATAAGGATTACATCTGACACTATGTCAGTGACATTCATCCGATCCTCACTATAATCTGTCCGTAATCTGTATTCATTTTAAAAGCCGTGACACTAGACAAGTAGTTTGGTCGGGCAGTTTGGATATATCTACGTATAATGTTTGAGTCGCAAAGCTCCCAATGATCTGCATGATAATGATTATCACTAAATTATTACGGGCAATGCAAATGAAACAAATGGTTGACAAAATAGTCATCAGTGAGAACAAAGTATCCGGATTAGGGTGGAATCCTATATGCCTATTCTTGGACGAATTAAGGGTTATCATTTGCTTTAAATATTCAATTTGCCGTGCTTACTACTTGCTTGTTCACTTTAACCCTCGACTATTTTTTAGACAGAGTGTTGTTCTGACAGTTTCTAGTTGTCATTACATAATTGATAGTTTGCTAAACTGAGTCCATCTAGTTTTGAAATACGCATTATAAGCTTGCTCTCCTTCATTTCAATAGTTTAAGCACTTCACAGCCACCCCGCTTAGCAACCGGCTTGCAGTTATTCGTTCTAAGCAGCCAATAGTCTTTTAACGGCACATTTGATTCTGCTCATACCTTGCTTTCCACACTCGCTTATCATCCATTATTTTGCTTCACCTCCAGCTATTATTTCTCATCCACCTGACTTGATCCACATACTATTTTATAATTGTCACCGCTGTCATCTAACCTGTCTTGTGTAGCTTTTGACTTTTTGTTCTTTACCTTGTGGTTGTACGCAACGACCCAACTTTAATTGGAGCCTTTCAGTAGATTTTTCAATGCAGAACTCGAAAGAGTCACCAGTGTTTGATGCCAATGCAGCTCATCCACAACTGCAGTCTCAAACTATAGCTGCAATTACAACACCTTTACCTAGTGTATCTACTAATAGAACCAATTCACCTGCTACCCTCACATCCAATCCAAATCAACAACCTTTATCTGATCATAGAGATGTTCACCATCTGTACGAACAAGTCATAACAGAAGTCCATTCTAACTCTGTCAATGATCCTATTCGACCAATTTCGCATGCTCAGGGCGGTCGAGTCGCTCCAGAATCAAACCCCAGTCACTCACAAGTAACCTCGTCAGGCGAGACTCTTAAAAGTGCTAGTGAAGCTACAAAACTGAATTCAATGGTTTTCGTTCAGCTAGATTCAGCCCACAATGACATCAAGTCTGCTGTATCAAATGAGCCGGCACTATCTTATGTTGGTGGTGAATCGCGTGTGGGAGTTGACGGAGCTGCTTCAGCAACGATGGAGGCCGGCCAAAATGTGTTTTTAGATGACCAGTATCCTCCATCTATCCACAAGTACAACGAAGACGAGTTTGAATTCCGAGGATTCAGTCTTCGTCGTACTCTTTCACGATTCAGTCGTCATAGCAAACGGACCTTTATTTCCAATATGTCTGTGATCAATCGTCACAACCTACGTCGTTTTGGACGTAGCAAGGTGGCATTTTTGATAGCCAACACTATTGTAAGTTTATTTTACTATTTTGGTACCAACAAGTAGTACAAGGGTAGTCGATCATATAGTTCATATCTGTAAAATTATGGCTGTGATGGGTCAGAACATAGCTATTACATCCATACTCGTGAAAACGGAATACTTTTGTATTCATCTTGCATTGACCGTTGTTTTGCTTTGGAGTATGCAATGGTTTTGTTGTGCTTTCCTACTAGAATTTGACTGCACTGCCACTTCAATTGACAGTTTCAATTCATGTTTCAACCACAACGTCCATCGTATGATGCTTACAAACTATGGTTTTAAACCAAAACTATTCCTATTTGTCACAGCTATACATTGTACAATCATCGAATTCATCCACTGCGATCCAGATATTGGTTTGACAGTTTGATGTCTGCAATCCCTCTTTATTGTATCCTAAAAGCTCCGATGCACTCACGTTTTAGTTCAAGATAACAAAAACTACACATCTCTTATTTAGTATTCCATTTTGTGTAAACATGGCTGTAATAAGCATGGATACTATATTTTGACCCGATCCATTTTTGGACATGGATCTGGATCTCTGTGGTTGAATTTGAACGCGTCTATATCCACATTTGGTGCTTGATAATTTTTGCTACAAGCCATACTGATTATGCTCTACTTGTTGTTTGTGACTGATGTACCTTTAGTTTGTACTTGCTGGCGTGCTGGCTTTGCTATATGGCGTTCTCACTTACACAGGATCTCCGATTATCATCTCGCTATGGGGTTCTAGCATCGTCGTTGCTCTAATGGTATCCGGTTCTTTGCAGGTCCTTTTTGGCATAGTCGGTTATTTCGGTGCACTTTTACATCGAAAGACTCTGCTGATTTTCTTCATGGTTGCTATATGGCCACTTGTGTTTGGCTATCTATATGTCGGTTACTCGACATACCGTCAACTTAATGCCACTCAATGGGAAAAATCTCTTTCGGACAGCTGGTCCACACTTAATACCACCCGTGGCTCTATTCAAGCTCAGGTAAACATTTTCTACACCTTATCTGGTTCATACCATTAAGCTTTCAAAACTACTCTTCCCAGATGACGTCTTACTTACTTTTTTGACGTGTATAATTAGTATAATTGCTGCGGCTTTTTGAGTAGCTTTGATCGTCCTTTTGCGGATTCAAAATGTCCGACTATCATTCATCATGCTACATCAGCAAACATCCAGACTGCTAGTTCCATGGTTGAGTTGACTAAACGTCAAGCTCCAGATCCTAATGCAGCCCCGCAGCCGCCTGCTCCAGATCCTAATGCAGCCCCGCAACCACCTGCTCCAGATCCTAATGCAGCCCCGCAACCACCTGCTCCAGATCCTAATGCAGCCCCGCAACCGCCTACTCCAGATCCCAATGCAGCTCCACCGCCGTCTGCTCCTGAAAACCCCATCATTTCACCGATTGCATCCCCCAACGCTCATGGCTCTAGCAACAGTCTTCCAGGCTGTCATGATCCCTGGCGTGAAGTTACCAGTTCGTATCTCCGAACATCTTACATTGTTGCCTTTTCCATTGTTGCATACCTTTTTTCCATGTTTGTCATTTTGATCTTGGGCACCAATCACATTTACATGGATTAGTATTGCTGACTCGATAGGCTATGGATACAAAAGAGACTTGAATATTTTTTGAACATATACAAGTCCATGCCTATGTTACTTGAGCAGTTTCCCGAGTTTTAGTGACGCCATGCATTGAAATAATAAAGTTGCATTTGCTATACTTACAATCCGAATAGGATTTTGGTTCATTAGCTATTGATGGTATTTACAGTGTACTCATAAAATGCGGCTGGTGTTTTTGTCGAGCTTATTGCATTTTTCTGTTCTACTTCAAACAGTTTATTTCATGGCGGAGTTGCATATTCTTGGCACGCTAGTAGGTGCATCCGAGTTCCCCAAGGCAACACTGTGTTGTCAATGGGAGCTAACGGCAGGAGAGAAATGGACTCCTGTAGAAGGAGACCTTTCCGGACAAACTCATGTAGATGTACCTTTGGTAAGGGTTCAATAGATATACAACGTAGCCCTAACTCGTTCAACTCGTTTGTGGTTCAAGTGCTATTAACGTGTTGCTAACTTATAAACGGAACATTTTAAAATTTCTGGCTCTGTTCTTGATAGGATTCTAACCTGTGTGTATGGAGTCATCCAATCGGCAAGCCTCATGTTGTATAAATGAAAGTGACATCTAGCTTTTGTTGTAAAACTAACCTAATTGAATTTCACAATGCCTTTGACATCATGTATACTAGATATTCATCTTACAACCACATCGTTATTAGGATGGCCAAAGATTAGAGTTCAGGTCTACTATCAAGACATGTTTGGTCGTAATGAGTTGTATGGATACGGGTTTGCACATATCCCGTCATCTCCCGGACTGCATAAAATCGATATTTCAACTTGGAGACCTGTTGGTACACCTTCTGATCAAATTTGGTGTATGTAAATATCAAGATATCCAGCATAGTTGGTATTGAAATTTGAATAGATAATTACTTACCTACTTTTTGGGTCATAATGACCCGCTTTGATATTTTGGATAGCCTATTTTCTAGGAGCAACACCTCAACTAAAAAATTTGGATTTAATTGATACACCTACTGACCGGTTTAGATTGATCACAGCTTCCATGGGAAAAGTACATTTAGAAATAAATGTCATGTTGCGCAACTTTCACAACCATGGAATAGACCTATAAGTATAATAAATAATGACGTTTACCATAAACCAATCATGCATGCTGAATTCACCATCGTATTCATACAAAATGGAGTACTTGTATTATCTCGAGTGATTTTTGTTTTGGAATAACCAATGATTGAATTGTCGATACAGCTGCGAATATGATGGTCAGGCAACGACTTTCAAAATATATAACTGTACCCATCACAATATTCAGATTCATTTTGATCGCATTAGTTATATTAACCAAGCGGGTTGGTGTGAATTCACAAGCTTATAGAATAAATCAATAAAGCATTTGTAGAGTATAGCAATGATAATTCCGCATTTAAGCCGACTTCCATGCAGTGTAGATCTGAGCAACAGCAGCAACAGTGCCAAAAATACCAACACCGATATCTGGAAACGAACTGGTTTCAAGCGACCAATGAATAGTGAGTGGAAAGTATGCAGCATTAATCAGAGTATTGATTGCAAGTGCTTTGGACTCTTCGCGAATAGCAAGACGTTCTGCTTTGATTTTGTCTGCATCAAGCTGGGTAACCTTGCTTTCTGTTGCTGTATTCACTCTCGATGCAGATGTGATCATCTTAAGATTATGGCGTCTCATATCCAGCATACGTTTCTCTTCAAATAGCTGATAAAAGTAGAGCAGTACATAGGCTGCCCAAAAACGACAACTCCACATACCAATCTTGTCTCGTGTCTTTTCAGACATGGGAATGACTTGGTGCAATGCAAGCCAATAGACATGCTCGAGTGGATAGTAAATCACATTTGCCAGGTTTTGTAAGCGTGTCAGGGTTTGAATCACTGAAGATGGCGATGGATTTTTTTCTGATAAGATGATCCACTGGAACAAAGGAATCAGACCGTAGTAACGCAAAAGGACTCGGAAATCAGAAACTGGACCTGCAAAGTTGGATACACGAACGGCCAATGGCGACTTTGCATTTTGGTTTTTTAGGTGCCAGATAATGATCTTGGATGAGTATTGGACCAGCATAAGTGCCTTGTCAGTGCCTCTGCATATTTAAAGCAATGACCATGAAGATTCAGTAGTAGGTTGGCATAATAATCAGTTAGTTGCTAATTCGATTCAAACTGTGTAGCGAGATCTACTGGCAGAGGTAAACCACTTGGTAGCAATAAGAGCTGGATGATTTAGCAAAGAGGTTTAACCACATCATATGGCATACAAACAACCAACACATGCACTCGAATGAGTTGTACACTACTATATATGGAACTACATCACGACAAAATTTGGCAACTGCCATTTGAAATAGCTTGAAGCATTGGGTACAATAGTCTAGAATCAGCATAAACAGCAAGACAGAGTGCATTGATTACCTGACAGAGTTCAAGAACCGACAGAGCCTATCTAGAGTTTGTTCTCGAGAAAGTCCCATAATGTGTTAGTACTTGAAAGTGGTAAAATAGCAAACAATTTGGCTTGAACGGACTAGACTAAGTCGAGACTAGCAAGACCAGATTCCTTCACGTTTTAGTTTTGGAAATCAAGACAAATCACTAAATCGACTGAATTCTAAAGACTGTTCCAAGCTCAGCAACTTGAGCATGAGGCTTGTGTTTCTAATACAAATTCTAATAAACTGAATTCCAGAGTTTAATTTTCCCAAATCATGACTGAAAGTTGAAGCCAGAATATGGCTACAAAATGTTTTCCTTTTAAAAATACCAACAGTCCAAATCACATGGAATCCATCGAAATGAATTCAGCAGCATCAATCTCTACTACTCAACCAGGAGCTCCTGTCCATGGTATCGCCATTAAATCCACAGACTACACACAGCTGCAACAGTGTTTGGCCATTTTCAAACCACATGCTTCCAATGAAGAATGGTTTGCTGGTCTGACTATATTGCCTCGACTTCTTGATCCGCTTGACGAAACTGCCATGGATCTGGCATATGATCATTTGCCATGGAAGTTTCTACGAAAGTTGCTCATACCATGTAAGTGGTTAGCTTGACAAACACTGTCAGATTCAGTATTAAACCAAAGACTCTTGTCATTGTGCTATCAACCGCCTTGATTTTTTCCATACGTAGCCATTATTCTAACGCTTTCTATACCAATAGCTGTATCGGACAACGCTAAAGTTTCCGAAAGCGAGCTACCAACAAAGCTTCTTCAAACGATCGCACTGCATATCTGGAGTGGATTCTGTGCTGTGTCCCGATATACTAGCAAACAATCCATCCTCAAATGCATCATTCCTGCATCCACAATTCTTAAAAATGCACAATTGTGTGACGAGGTAGTCACATTAATTGCAACAAGCTTTCTTCACCTAGCCGACTCACCTGCATCTGTGCGTCTGTGGTCTCCTGAAGTAATGTCTTGCATTATCGATGCTCTCTGTAAACCATCAAGAGATTCAGTTCAACCAAGCACTGCCTCTGCAAACACCTTGAATAAAAGCACAAATGATGTGAATACGGCTACAGAGTCGGGTCCCAAGACTGACTCAAAGACTGCTGTACCAGATCATGAAAACTCGCATCCCGTCCAAAACAGCACTTTTAAATACAATCACAAGCTGCTGGCGCAGCTCTTGGATATGCTCATTGAACGCAATCTTGCAGATTTGACCCATAACTTGTCAAATCCGGCTTCTACGCAGACCATCACCACTACGTTGACTATTCTGGATTATATCGTCACGACTGGACTTTGTGCCGAATCGCCCGTTATTATATTCATGCTTGTCGAGTACCTTGTCAAGATCATGTCTGTGTTGCCGGTAGCGTATTTAAATTGAATGGCTTTGTTTGCATTCTATACCATATTTGGAATAGACCAATTGGTACTGGCTTGAATTAGTGACTAAATTTGATGCTAAATATGAATGGCAACATTATAGATTGGATCCATTCAAGTGGAAACTAGCTTGAATGTCGCTATGAAACGGCTTTTGAAAACTATACTACGAGGAAAACTCTCTCCAGAATACCAAGATCTGTCGTTATCTCTTGCCGCTCTACACTTGAGACATGTTCGTGAGAAGGGTCTTTTTGTCGATACTTCCAGCACTGGCGCAGAAATGCATGGCAACGCTCGTATATTATCCGATGGTCAATATATTGCAATTTTGACCCACATGGCCTGTGCAGAAATTCGAGTGATTTTGGATCAAACTGATTCTTTAATTCAGCCATCCCCAATTGATATCAACAATACAACTGGGGCTTTTGATTCCAAAAGCATTGAAGCTACTGCCAAGCCCGTCACTGAACTTTCCAGTTCTAACACTGCTTTGAATTTGCGCAATTTAAAAATGCTTCCTTTGTGCTATACAATAGTAGAAACTATTATTCAATATCTGGTGCTTGACCGTGGTGATCTTTCTATAGATATACTGTTTTCACTTCGAACTGCATTATCTGAAGCTTTTCTTGCCGTGGAGCAGTATTTACTGGATCGTCAGGTAAAATATTATCATTGTCAATTTAGACTTGTTTGCATTTCAATACCGATATCGTATCAATTTCTGTCGCATATGTAGTTTATTTTAAACTAACAGATTTTGTAGACGTTGTATCAGCACTCATCAGATATTCTTGTACTTGATGATCTCTACACCGCATATAGTCTCAAAGCATATTCCCTCTGGATTGCAGAAAATGGATCGTCATCTCCCGAGAACCTTGAAAAAATTGTTCCACTGATAGTGCATTTTTGTGATGCAAAGTAAGAATTGGCTTGATGAGTTTGTAGCTGCAATAGGGCATAGCTGTAAATGCAGTGCACTCATTTGTATCACCATACTAATACATTGCTTTGTTTGCAGGTTGTCTATTTTAGACACAAACCCAATCTGTTTTATGACGCCGATTCTTGCTGCAATAACTACCGAATCGCCTGCGCGTGATACATATATTCGAATGCGGGGATATGCTGCTCCGGCACATTTTCTCATGCAGTCTATAGCTGATGATGATCTCAAAATTGCAGTCTTGTCCATTCTTTTGAATGTGGTAGTTGCCGATCATGATATCATTTCTAATGATTCTATATTTATTCAAATTCTTGATACTTTGATGCAACGAACCAGCGAGAACCAAGGTATGAGTTTTTTGCTCGTCGAAAATTTAGATATACAATTGTATCAATATTGGAGCTAATTTGGTACATGTGGTTGAATGATTTTTTAGAACATTCTTTGAACAATATTTCGCTGTTGGCAAACAAATATGCGTTGATCTGTATGATTGTTCGATCACTTAAATCAAGCCAGCTAGAATTGGTTCCAATGGCGTCTGTTCTTGGCACTTTTTCTGGTATTTTCCACTTTGTAAAGTCAAATTCACGTCCACATATTGCAGACGCTCAGCATGAACAAATATCGGACATGTGGTTCTTGACCGTGTCTGCTTTGGCAGAGTGTATGCCGGTAATTGCCATTCCTCAAGGAAACAAGGCGCTATGGCGAGACGAACTCAAAAAAATTCTTTTAGATGGTATGGTACTGAATCCAATTGGTTTTGCTTTACTGAATTATTCCTAAACTGGTGCTAATTCTAAATTTGTATGTAAACATTCAACTTTTATACAACACGACCAAACGCTGTTTGAACTTGGATATGTGGGGTATTGATGGGCTTGTAGGAACATGGTTGAAGGAAGAAAGCAATGCTCTTGAACAACTCGTGCAGTCATGTGAATAAAACTACCCAACAACTGCAGCTAGCAACAAAAGGGATGAAAATGAAGAGATAAATGAAGAACTGTCAGCAACCACTAGTGTATATCATGTGTTTGAGATATGTAAATTCAATTCAACACGTTTGTGTGGTCGGGGGGTTATTGTTTTGGTGATGTTATTCTTTTGCAAACATTGGTAGATTGTTTGTCTGCTGATTTGAATGGCGAGTGCAACTATCGCTCGTGTATTGCAGTGATAATCTGGCTTGTTGACACGACCAGTTTGCTGAATGACCTGCTTTCATCAATTCAATACAGAGCAACGTTGCTCATCTAGTCTAGCGGTGACTGCTCGCTGAGCTCGCTGAGCTTGATGCTGGTCTTGTTCTGACACGAGTTTCGGCGTTCCGTCTATATGGTCTGTACATTAATCTAAACCAATCGTGTAATTTTACAAACCGAAAACTCTCGTTTCCAAAATGCAGCAACTGCTGCTTGCTTGGTGCTGTCTGGATGTTTCCAAAACATAATTAAAATGGCCTGAAATATAAATAAATATTATTTTCTGCGTTATCATGCCCTTTGTCGCTAATTGCAACCCTACGCGCGCCTTGCTTGAAACTTGCATCTCAACCATTTTGAACTGTTGATTATAAACAATTGGCTAATATTTCTAGTATTTATTTTGCCATCGCTTTCTTTTACCAGTTCTTGTTTTCGTAATCTAATATTCCTTGTAGTAAATGGAGGACATTTCCCGTCTGCAGCGTAGATCTGCAGTTTCTAGCAGTCCATTTTTGAGTTCTCATCCTCCATCTGTTCCATCTTCTGTAGATACCAAGCCCACCAACCTTGTTTCTTCTACCGTATCCCTCTCTTCAGATTATGCACGTACCACACTTTCCTCTCCTACACTGAGCAAGCTTATGCTTGCATCGTCGCATGCCGCGTTGGCAAACTCTAGTGTATCTCTTGCTTCAACTCCACCTGCTCCCACCAGAACTGGGGGAAGAGTGAGTGGTATTGTAAGTGGATTCGATGTTCAAGTCGCTGCTTCTTCTGCAGAACCTCACCAAAGCCCGTCTTTGCGAAGGATAGCTTCAACCACAGCCAAGGGGTCATCTATCAAGACTCCATTGCGTGCCAGCACAACTAATTCAATATCGCACGCTGCAACAGATGACCACACTGTATGCGGCGCAATTCCAAACATAGATTCAAAGCCGCTATCTGGCCAATCCAAGATGGAACAATTAGCATATGACGTGTCAAAAGCTAACATAAAACAAACCGAGCTCGAGTTGGGAGTCATTCAGTCTCCTACTGCATCTATCGAGAAAAACCCATTCTTACTTGCCAACAGACCAAAAACCCTTACGACGCCAAGCATGTCTACAATGGTAAGTTTAATTCACACGGAGTTCCATCTCGGTATATAATGACTTGTTTAATTTGCTTACTTTTCAAACATTCCATCCATTGTCTTAAATCTACCTTGTTTTATAATGGTAAAAGACAGGATCTTATGCTGCTGCTGGCCAGCTCAAACAAGCATCGTCTATGGGTAGTGGAGGGGTTCCTGCTGTAAACACAAAGCTTAGCGTATCCAGTCCAACCACTTTGTCCAATGGAAAGAGTAACATGGCGCATACCCCCTCATCCCCAATAACTTTAAAAGAAAATAGATTTACTGGAGTCAAAAACCACTCAGCCAATAGCAAGGAATTGGCGGTTAAATCAGCCAGCTTGGTCAAAAATGACCCACAGGTGATCGAGACTCGTCCCGCTGTTATTGCCCAAAAATTGAATACTGCCGAGCAATTTAAATCAACACAGTCTTCATCAGAAGACAACGAGGAGCCTGAATCTTATGCATCTGTATCCACTCTTGCCAAGAGGTTTTCTGCAGATGGATCTAAACCTCCCACTGTTCCAGCAATTATCCCGCTAGCAATTGCAGGCCAGAGTAGACTTCACAAATTAAATACCCCATCTACGCAGTCCAAAAACCTTTTATCCTCTGCAATAACAACTCATAAAACTGCTACTACGGAAGCTCCAACTGCACGTGTAGTACAAGAGTTGAAGCCTACATTGCGTATTGATACATTGGTGGTAACCGATGAAACCTCACCCACTACCAATCAGCCAAAAAAAAGCTTATATGAAATTGTCAAGGATTTTAATACTGAGCCTGATCAAGAAACTGTGTTGTTTGTGTCAAATGCTTCAAAAGCAACTACTCCAATCGCTGCTTTGCATAGTACGAGTCCTACAGTATCCGGAAATAGTGTGCGATCTATGTTTTCGTCGGCCAATCAGTTGTCAACCACGTCTGTAACTGGTTCAAATGAAAAAACATGTAGTGCAACTGTTGTGCGCAAGAATATTCCTCGCAATCCGGCATTCCTTGTTGGAAAAGAGACTGTGCGCAAACTTTCCTCTTCAAAAATGGATTTTAAATCTGCTAAAACTGTGTATCCGACAGCAACAGAAATATCCAAATCTTGCCATTCAGTTGACGATGGGGTTGAGGATGATGCCAAAAAATGTAAAGCCGACGATAACTTGCAGACTAGTTTGGTAGCCGCTCAAAAAACTGCAAAGTTTAGTTCTAGTCAATCAAAAAAAAATGATTTATTCACACCTTTTGGAAAGCGATCAGACTCTGGAGCAGCATTCAGCTCTGTTCTTGAATCTAATCAAGATGGCGCTCAAGAGTCGAAATGCATAAAAAGTGTGTCACATTCTTCGCTCTATGGTTCGTGCAACTCAAATACATCATCTGTAAAGCCGTCGTATACTCCGTATGGCTCTGATCGCGCTCCAATCAGTCGCTCTACTTCTTCAATTTCTATGCTTTCTTTTTGCAGTCAAGATACCGATCCTCGACTAGAAAGCATGTTTGCAAAAATACAATCTCGTTTAAAAGCTGTTGAGTTAAATGCAGTGACAAATACGCATACAACTCAACAACACCATGTTGTTTCACCAATCGAGTCTCATTTTGCCAAGCAATCGCTATTGTCGCTTGACTCGATTCCCGAGTCCTTTGACACGTCAAATCAGTATCAAGTCCATGACACGCAGGATGATGATGGAACTACTACTCCAACCATTTCCACGAGGCATCTTCAAAATCTTACAGTAGAAATCCCTTCACAGTCAATTGTCGATAATTCCGTGTATAATGCGTCCCAAAATACTGTGGATATGGATTCTGATAATGAGCTCGAATTGAATGATATGAAATACTGTCCACCAGAGCAAACACATCAGCATTCTTTCAACACTACACTTGCCAAACCATCGAGCTTTTCCCGATCGCATGACTCCAACTCCAGTTTGTTAGAAATGCCTAAAATTGAAATTGGATCCATGTTTGATGACGATAGTTGGCTTTCAGGACTAGTCAACACTCCGCTCAACAATACACTTTTTTCCAGCGCACCTACCTCTGCTACGAGCGACGTTGCAATTGAAAGTGTTGATGGTAATACTACCCCGGTTAATTCGTCTACTATGTCGTTTAAACCCAAAATTGTTGTAAATGATGATGCTACTCGCCATCAAAAGAACAAAGAGTTGAACGCATCATTTTCAGATTCAGAAATATTGAAAACACCACTCAAAACCTTTCAAACAGTCAGGGATATCCAATCTCCAGACCTTGATACGGATGATATCATAGACTCTTATTTAGCCACTGAGGAAGTTGCTGAGGAGACACTCAGCCCGGAAAATGTAGCTTCGTTTTTCCCCAGCAAAGCAACATCTTTGCACACGGCTGATTCAATCCCAGTCAATCCACCAATAGTGGTAGTACCTACAAATCGAAAATCTTCCGTCATACCTCGTCACGTTGAACCGTTTTTTCAAACCAATGTCCAAGCCAACACCAAATGCCAGGGCAAAAGCAAATCAGTGTCGTTTGGTGTTTCTTGGAAAGGTGAGCTTGAAACACACTGGAATATTCCGCCTCAGGACTCTTCAATTGATTTAAATCATGGTGCAAGCGGAATCTTGCTTTTAAAGGTTGAAAAACTATGCAACGTTGGCATGAATATTGATGACGAGCGTGTTGTTGATATTGAGTTTTCTCATGACAAAGAAAGTATCACATCGCCACCACTGATTCTTGAATCTGGCGAAACGTGCGTTTCAGCTGCTTGGGAAGATCGCATGTCACTTATGGCTAATAAACCAATTGAAATCACTGTTCGTGTTCGTAAAGTCGAGCAGGATACTGGACTAACGCGATCTCTTTCATCAAGAGCATTCTTGAGTAGCACTGTTAAAGCGGCACCAGCTCGATTTTTTAGCAAGCTTGCTGGATTGCGTACATCTTTGCGTGAGCCTATTGGAGACATGCAGCAAGACATGCTACAACGACGGCAAAGTAGTCCAGGATTTTCTTCTCGCGAATCAGGATCATACTCGTCATTGTCGTCACTCAAGTCATCCTCTAGCAAATCAGAGTTGTGTGGATTTTCAGGAAATGGCGTTTTTGGCAAAGGGAATGCTGTATCACAAGTAGCAATGGGACGTTGTACTATTTCAAATCCACTCGAGTGGTCCAACACATTTTCTTGTTCAATCGCTGATGAGCATATTCCTGTTTATTCAATACCGTCATCTGTACCCCAAAACAACGAAAATCACTCTTTTGATAATGCATGTATTGCAACGATTCAACTTCGTGTTGCATTCATTCCTCTTGAAGCCTGTGCTGAGCCTGGACTGCTTCCTGAAAATTTACTAGAAGTTGAAAGCGGCATTCATACTCGTATGTTGTATTCCAAAATCTGGAAAGAAGGGTATTTGCACCAAGAAGGCGGTGACTTGCAACGATGGAAACGTCGATATTTTAAACTTATAGGTGATAGACTGGTTGGATACAATGAGTTTTCGCGTGAACAGTCTGTCACTATAAAGCTATCCCAGCTTGAAGCTGTTCGGTTTTGCTCTGGACAATACGATACTACTGTAGGAGTGTCTCCTTATGTAGACGATCGTATTTGGACTTCATCGCCTATTGAACACGAGACGGGTTATAACGGTACGTCGGTGTATGATCAGCAATCCTTGACAGATCATTACAGCGATCCAGATTCTCCATATGTATTTGCACTTCAGTTCCGAGATGGCCGCACTATTGCATTCCGTATAGATGTTTCTAACGAACAGATGAGACAGATGAATGGAAATGATATCGAGTCTATGCGTAACGACTGGATGGATGCTATCGAGGCTTCTCATCATTTTCTTACTGAACACCCAGTTCCAAGCTGGTTGAAAAATTAGTTTTTTATTAATAAATCGTCAACTTTATTGGCCTCGACTGTTTTAATAGTCATCTATGCTAGTCGAATTGAATACATAATGTCACTCGTTTGGTCTTGTTGTCTAGTTTGTAAACTAATCTAAACCCAATCATGCAGTTTTACAAAGCGAAACCTCTTGTTTTTGAAATATTGCAACAGCTGCTTGCTTGATGCTATCTGAATGGTTTCAAAACATGATGGATTGGGTTGTTGGAATACCGATTTTTCTCCCGTTCTCATCCCTTTTGTCGCAGTGTGAATTAGCGTATTCAACATTTCCACGTTTAATGGCATTCAGCACCTGACTCTATTCCGAGTTTAAAGCAGCAATTTGAAGTTTTTATACCCTAGTCTATATCTCTATGAGTGCCCCAATTTACGGTCTAGATAAGGAACTTGGTAGGCCCGTTTGTATAGTTTGATGGTGTATTGGCTGCATGTACTAGGCTGCTCAACAAGTAGTCATTTTATTCGGCTGTATTCATATCTGGGAAATATTGGCCCAAGAATATCATTCGTGTTTCTATATATGCTTTACTAAACATGCTGAATACATGCTGCTGCTACATTAGCTGACAAGGCGGCATCCAAGTATGACCCCAAGCGAGAGATAGAGGCCAAGGAATGGATTGAAGCAGTCGTTGGAGAGAAATTTCCGTCCAGTAATTTTCAAGACAGCCTCAAGGATGGAGTGCTTCTTGTCAAGTGAGTAGATTCAAATACAATGTTGATCATTTAAAGCATAAATCTTACCATGTTGCACTCTGGTTTGACATCCTTGTATTGGCCATTCCATACTGATTCTATGGATAAACTGGTTTAAATCTTTATAGGCTTGCCAACAAAACCGTCAGTGGATTTAATGGAAAGGCGACTACTTCCAAGATGCCGTTCAAGCAGGCAAGTGTATAGGGTTGAATAGCTGTCTTGTGCATAGTCATGCTCGACAGTCTTTTGGTTGAAGCAATGTTTTAATCAATGTCCAGCTGTGGCCATTCAATTCCAGATGGAAAACATTGGCACATTTCTGCAAGCTCTTGATAAACTAGGTGTCCCTAAAATGGAGCAGTTCCAAACAGTTGATTTGTTTGAAGGCAAAAATATGGGTCAGGTTGTGGATTCGATTTTTTCTCTTTCTCGGCATGCTGTCAAACATGGATTCGATGGTCCATTGTTGGGCCCCAAGCTTGCAGACAAGCATGAGGTTCAATTTACGCAGGAGCAAATGAATCAGGGAAAGAACATCATTGGCCTGCAGATGGGTTTTGCTCGTGATCCTAATATCCCATCGGTAGCCTTTGGCGTACGCCGTGAGATTGGAGCGCAAGATCCAGGCAAAAAGGCTCACTAGGTTATTTTCAAAAAATATAGCTAGCTGTAAGATGATCCGTTTGTACATGGTTTGATTTTCAACGAAACCATGAACTCAAGTTTGAGGCAGATTTTTCAAATAAAGCCAGTAGCTATTGGCAATATAAAGTCTAGATTTAGTAGATGGTGGTGGCAAGGATATGGTAGCATGCATATGCTATAATTTTAGCTGCAACGAGTCTAATATACGCCAAATGTAGAAAAGCTGCATCTATTGTGGCTATTGTTTCCCTAGTTTTACAAATCCATTTGCTGTTCATCCATCTGCGGTTTTATTGTAGATCTCGTCTCGCTCCATCAACGCTCCTTTATAAATCTCAAGATATTTGTTCTCAATGGTCGAGGCTGAATCTGAGTCGGGTGTAGTCTTTGTCCGTGTGGGCCATGAACCCATCTTTGACGACAAAGGCAGTCTTATGCCATCACAGTTTACTACAAATAGTACCATTCAATCAGAAACGAATTCATTATATGGTGGCGGTTGTGGTCAGCGGCATGGAGATGCTCATACTATAAATAGCGGGTTAGGCACGCCTACGGACAATTACAATTACCGCAACCATAAAGGCGCCCATTGTGGGCTTGTCAAGAAGCGTAGTATATCTAGTACCTTGTCATATATCTCATCTTCTATATCCAAGATCCTTTCGCCTTATAACTCCGATGAAGACTGGTCATTTGGTGTACTTCCACCTGCAGATGCGCTGCCGTTTGAAGACCAAGATACCAACCATTCACCTGCTTTCATTAATAAGGACGATCATGTGTTTATGAGCAATGATTTTACAGGAGATGCAGGCCCGACACATGTGGTTCGTTGCCAAACTGCTGGTGATGAAAACCGTCTTGGCAAATCTATGGCAGTTGCTAGCACAGATCCAGCCATAAAATCAATTCCCTCTACGCCAACTTCTGCACCATCTCAAATCCAGCCCAAAATGCACCGTGCTTCATCGCTGCATTTCACTCCACTGTGGGCACTTGGTGCATCCAGGTTTCCACATAAACGATCGGCATCTGTAATAGCTTTTCCCGAAGAGTCCAACTGCACTTCAAAAGCAGCTACTCTCCCTACATTTCTCGATCAAACTCCACCTGTATATCTCACTTGGTATCTTCAACGTAGCGGCTGGAATGATGTTGCTGTTGTTGACGTGTCTGGACAGCAAATCATGCAGTTTGTCGCCGTTTCGTCACATATGCCATTGGATCTTAATGTTCATCGACATAATCAAAAGGGAAAGATTATGTTTTCTATTCGCCAGTCTTCCACTACACCCAACACAATCACCGTTGTTGGAGCGGATCTTGCTACCGAGGTTTTCATTTCCAAAGATCATACATCCGATACATGTTTTATATTCAATGCTCCCGATGGACATATTTACTCGTGGACTGCTCAGTATATAGCTAATGGAGAGCTGGAATTATCGCTGTTTTCTGTCACAAAAATCATTTGCCATTTTCGTAGAACAAACTATTCGTTTACTCGGCTTGGGATATTTGAGATTTTACCAGAGGCTGCCCACATGGTGGAAATTATTGCTGCTACTGCTTATGCACTCGCGACTCTTTTTTGACTCTATCATCAGAGTAACTGTATGTGTTACTTTTATTGCAAACCATTTGACTACAAAAGAATTTTGATTCCTATCAAGAAATGATCTTGAGTGTACTACATGTATTTTTATCGTCATTGTAATGCACGTTCAACATTTAAATCTGTCTGATTCATTAGAGGTTTATTTCTACAGTGCCGAATGTGATGTATGGACCAGTTCTATAGTGTGGATGCCATTGTTTCAAATATGTAACAATCCATTGCAATATAAAAATATTGAATACATTTCGACACTAGATGGCTACACTATACTCGACTTGCATTGGGTTTTTGGAAACAATAAATTGGAATCCAGTTTCATGGTTCGAGTTTGACGATACAACTCGATAAGCAGAAAACAATGGTTTTGGGTGAGTGGCAGATGAATTGTATCTGCATTTGAGATGCAACGATGAGCACAAATAGATATCTAGTGGACCATATGAATCAACTGATGTAAATAAGCGTTGTTTTTATGGTGCTCCAGCAAACTAGTTGGGTCTGGCTTGACGTTATACAACGCTCTCGATAGTCATTGACATGACTAGTGTATTTTAATTTCTGTTGCAGTCTAGACAGGATCCGATTGTCTTGTCACTAACATCTGTCTGACTGCACTTGGATATTCTATTAGCGGAACTCGGCAAACGGATCAACACTGCCCTCAAAACCCTCACAACTGCCACTGTCATTGATGAAGAAGCTCTCGAGGCAATCCTTAAAGAAATATGTGGTGCTCTATTGGAATCTGATGTCAATGTTCGTCTCGTTCAGTCTCTTCGCAAAAACATAAAATCCATTGTCAACCTTCAAGAGCTCTCATCTGGCATCAACAAGAAGCGTATTATCCAAAAAGCCATTTTTGACGAACTGTGTAAACTAGTGGATCCTGGTCAAGGTGTTGTGGCATTTAAACCCCGAAAAGGAAAGCCTAATGTCATCATGTTTGTTGGCTTGCAAGGTAGTGGAAAGACCACTACATGTACAAAGATGGCCTATTACTATCAGCGCAAGGGATATCGCACCTGTTTGGTGTGCACGGATACGTTTCGTGCAGGTGCGTTTGATCAACTCAAGCAAAATGCTACCAAAGCCAAGATTCCATATTATGGATCGTATACAGAAAGCGATCCCGTGCAGCTGGCTATGGAGGGAGTAGATAAGTTTAAAGTAGAGGGCTTTGAAGTCATTATTGTTGATACCTCTGGACGACATCGACAAGAAACCGAGCTATTTCAGGAAATGCAGCAGATATCCAACGTGATCAAACCTGACAATGTTGTGTTTGTATTGGATGGTACGATTGGTCAAGCGGCAGATGCACATGCTAGAGCTTTCCAAGAAACTGTCGACATTGGATCTATTGTCATCACAAAAATGGATGGCCATGCTAAAGGAGGTGGTGCGATCTCGGCCGTGGCTGCAACGGGTAGTCCCATTTTGTTTATCGGAACAGGAGAGCATATCCATGATTTGGAAATTTTCAAGTCTCAATCGTTTGTTCGGAAAATGCTAGGTAGCCAATTGCTTGCCATTGATATTGCATCGAAAAAGAGTGTGTAAACTTGGCTATACCAACTCACAGTGTTCTTGACTTTGTATATTTCAACTTTTGTTTATATTAAATTGCAGGCATGGGAGATATTGACGGACTTATGGAGACCGTACAGGACATGAAATTAGAAAATACAGATTTGATGAAAAACATTGAGCAGGGCAAATTCACACTACGATCGATGAAACAGCAGTTTGAACTAGTTACATCCATGGGTCCTATATCAAAATTGGCTAGTATGATTCCTGGCATGCCACAGGAAATGCTCGCGCAAATGGACGGTCAAGACGGTCCTGGACTGATAAAGCGATTCATGTGCATTTTTGATAGCATGACCGAAACAGAGCTGGATTCAGATGGAAAAGTGTTCAATGTCCACCCTACACGTATTTATCGTGTTGCAAAGGGAAGTGGTGTTACTGTACAAGAAATTGAGACGCTATTGGTGCAGTTCAAGCAGGTGCGTAAGATTGAATCTGTTTACAATATGTACTATTGAGTTGCATTTTTCAATCTAACTAGATTATTTTGAATGGTTTTGTTAGATGGCAGGCATGATCAAGTCGATTGGTGGAAGTAAATCGATGCTCAATAAGATGGCCGCTGGAAATCAGCGCGGTGGGGTTCATCCAAACCAGATGGCCAAGATGCAAAGCCAATTTTCTAAAATGATGCCGCCAGGTATGATGCAGCAAATGATGGGTCGTGGTGGTGCAGGTGGCATGCCAGATATGAGTGCATTGGCGGAGATGATGGGTGGAATGGGTGGTGAAGGAGGCATGCCAGATATGAGTGCACTGGCTAATATGATGGGAGGTATGGGCGGCATGGGCGGACTCCAGAACTTGATGGGAGGGCTCGGGGGTGGTGCTAACGGAGCTCCTAGTATGGGACGTGGTAAAAATATCCGAACTGTCCGACGCAAGTAAATGAACAAGTGATTGAGTTGTGCTTACGCGATCTATCTGTCTAGATCATATCAATTAGTTGTGTTCATATATTTAAATCGTCAAGTAGAGCTAATGCGACCATGTGCTGATTCAGCCTTTTAAAGAGTTTATTGATTATTATGCATTTTCAGTCTTGTTTGAATTAGACACGGTGGGTGCGACACTGCAACCAGTAACTTGTTCCAAATTATAAATCTCAGTTTTCAACAACGATATCTGAGCTTGCAAGATATCGAGTTTGGCGTTCAACACTTTTCGATACCTGAGATCAAATGCATTCAAAAAGGGACTGGATTCAGGGCCAAAGTCGATGCGAGTTCGAATTTGAGTAAAAATCCATTGAGCAGCGGATCCCAAAGGATCCCAGTTCGGATCTGGTCTGGCCTGCATAGACATGTCGTCATTTTTGTTACGCCATAATACTTTCCACCATATTGGCCGTCCAATCTCTTCGGTATGCAGCGCTGTCAAATCAGATCCTGTGTAGCCCGCTTTCAGATTGAGTTGGTGACGCTTCTGATACAACTCTGCTGCCTTGTCTAGCCGATAGTTGCGAGCCATACTTAATCCAGATTGGATCGTGTACGCTATTAGACCATACATAATAGCACCAGTTGGAGCGGCTGCACTGCCGCCTAGACACGAGAATTTCCATTGGGCATAGTTATTTAGAATCATATCATTAAATAGCAACCAGGAATAAAGTTACGTGAGCATCACAGTCAAGTATAGAATCACAGGATTCAATACTCACGCCACATCCATCCAAGTCCGGCACCAGTGATCATCCCAGCAGTGGTAGATGCAATTTTGTCGTCGGCATCTTTGCGTAATAACGAATGAACACCATTTCTCTCGTTTTGCCAATACCTAAACTGCAACACACCTTCTCTCAATGCTACTCATGATTTAAAGCAAATGAATGTGATATTAGATACAATTATACGAGCTGGGAAAGGCATAGGGACAATGCATCCAAACAATCGTAAAAGAGGACGTTTGATTTTAACTGCTAGGCAATGCATATATGTCATCGTAATGAATTATTTTTATATTTACAGATACTCAACTCAAAAACGGTGCAGATATAATCAGCCAATTAGATCCCATGCCAAAGGCAGAAGCTGCAAGATTATTAGCCCGGATATACCCTGAAGCCATGCCTCCTATCGCACCAGCAAAAGCTAAAAACAAAATAAAGCTCAGTTGTTTTGAAATACATTGAGTGTGCATTGGCTCTTGAATGTTTTGAGCAGTTGTTGTGGATAGAATTAAAACTTATTCCACGGCTGATTGAAGTGGTTTGAAAGCATACCTGCACCAGCTGTCCCTTGAAGTACAAACATGAATGGGTTTCTTTGAATAGGAGGAATGTTACTGATGTCTAGAGCATTTGTTTCTGGATGGTCTGTATGCGATCCATTGTTTAAAGCGTTCATATAAACGCTTGTAATCAAATTTGATTAAAAATGAAATGCAATCAAATTTGTGAATTCGAGTAGCTTGAAGTTTAGCCCGGATTCAACCACTGGAAAGCAGACGGCAGAACAATGACATTTAACAAGTTGCCATTGTTCGTAGTGAATAGATTTGAAATAAATGTGATTCGACTGACACTGATCGACTTTTAACACCGTATTCATGTAAAACGGAACACTAAACAAGTGTCATAACAAGCAGTCTCATGACATGATATGTCAGTTTACTGGATAGCACAGTGTTGACTGAACCGTCTATGACTATATCAACAATAGATATGAAAATGAAGAGACAAATGAGATTGTCAGCAACCATCACTATCAATGTGTTGTTTTTTTGCAAATATTGGTCGATTGTCCGTTTGTTGATGTGAATAGCAGAATGGTCTATCGATTGTGTCTACTATGCCACAACGGCAATCCAACTGTCTTGATACAATCAGTTTATCGAGTCATTTGCTGATCCTGTTGATTGAACACAGAACGTCATCCATTTGATGTTATGACGCGAGCTCTGGCATTTCACCTAGTCTGCATATCATCTAAAACAATCGTAATATTGCGAGCAGAAAACAATCATTTCTGAAATGCTACAAACAGCTACTTGCTTGATGCTATCTGAATATTTTCAAAACATTCAAGCTTTCTATACAACCAAAAATACTTTCTCTCCTATTGCTGCTAGCTGTGACTATATTCAACAGTGTTTTTATTGATCTAGTGTAGATTACATAGCATTTCAATCAAAAGATGGCTTATTTTATGCTAGATTCAATATAATAAATTTGTATTTTAAACAAGAAAATATTTACTAGTTTGCATATGCGGTAAATTGAGTCAACTGCCCATTGAAAAATGCTTTTTGGAATTGGTGGCACAAAACGTTTTCTAAATCCAGCTGTTTGACATGGTGGGTGCAGTATGTAAATCACAATGCGGTGGGTTTTAACTGTTTGAAACTGTGATTTAATGCTTACAATTGGGAAAATCTAATTATCGAGGCTGAAAACGACTTTTAAGCTATTGGATCACAGAGTGCGGCAAAGAGGCAGATATTGTGTCCAAGGCGTGAATCTATTATGTAGTTGAAAAACACAACACAGTTTTGAAGGCTGATACTAGACATATTATTTTGAATTTAGCATCCTACAGTATGCTTGTGATACCTTGTCAAGCTCGACTACAAATGCTATTTTGGCTAGGTGCCAGTGCTTGCTATGCCTGCTGGTTTAAGCATGTTTGTATCAATAAATCTCGCTGAGCATGACAGGTTCAAAAAGTAGAATAGTTTCGAGGTATAGCAATCCGATCTACGACACAAAGATTGAGGCTATATTTGTTATTGAAAGTGTCGCTGGTAGCTGCTGCGCAGTGTTGTGGTCTACGCGTACACGGAAATAGAGTACAAGGATTGTTGGTTCAATGGGTGGCTAAAGGAAGACACCGGGCTGCTTTGGTTGCTTTTGTTTGGGTGGTGTAAACCATCGTTTTTTGGGAGTAATTGGTGCCATCTTGGGAGCAGCATTCCCACTCGTCAAAGTTTTTTAGATAAGAAGCCGACATTACGCTTTTTTTATCAACTAAAAGATATACACATATAGCGATAAACCTTTTGTATTGCATTTTCTCACCTGCAAACATAAACTTGGTTCGCTCCTGAATTCCACACTTTAACTATGCAACTTCCATTTTCCCTTCGCATTTCCCCTGCGTCTGCTGTCGGAGCATTTGTGCTCCTTTTTTCAGCAATTTCGTCTGTTGTCGCCAATCCCATGATCCATGATCTCCACAAGACTAACGTGCGTCTGTCTTCCATAACCATAGGACCAAAGGGTGTCGACCATGGCAAAAACATTTCAATTGCCATTGACCCTAAAAAGGGTGTCTCCAACCATACTATCAAGAGCAAGTCTGCCAATTCTGCCCTTACTTCTGCCTCGGCATCTCACTTTGTTGTGTCGGTACAGCGTGTGGATATGCTTGTTGACGATGGCTCGAACTCTTCTGACGGGACTTCTCATACCCCGGGTCTTGTTGGCGCAAAATACTCGCAGATTCTTTTGAACTTTGATGTCAGCCCAGACACAAAAAAGGTATGATTTGTTGACGAGTGGAGTTTGTTGGTTTAGACAAGTGCACCTTGATTTGTCTGTCCCTAGATGTATCAGGTTTATTAACATTAAATCTAAATGCCAGATCTCTGTCAATGGTGTTTCTGTCCCTATGGGAATTACTGAAATCAAAGTCACCGCTAAAACCGCCGTTTCTATCGACAAAAGTGCCGATCGCAAAGCCGCGCTTAAAGCATTTGACAAGGGTATAGTCAAGGTTCAGATTACTGCTAGTGGTTCCGATGTTCATCATGACGGCATAATCATTCGTCGCATTTTAATTTCTGAACGTGTCTTTGAGGTGAATGGTAAATTGGTCACACAGGGTAGTCGCATCCAGCAAGTGATTGAGATTTTCCCAGATGGAACTGTTCATCACGGCAAACCCCACGATGAAAAGGACGGATCTGTTCCACTTACCATTCCATCTTCTGAAGTGGATTCTCACGAAGCTTCTGAAGAGGAGGCTCCAAAACACGTTGACATTACTGGTGCCGTGCGTACCGAGGACAAGAAACTTCCAGCTGATGATCTTGACATGGGCTGTGGCGACTCTATGGGTAGCGATCCCCAGGAATCCAACACTGCTGCCAAGGCTGTCCATGCTCCTCACCATTTCCTCATCTGGCTCCATAAACAGCCTGTCTACATTCAAGTTCTCACATGCCTGTCTGGATCTGTGCTTGTCGTGGCTCTTGCTTGCGCTCTCCTCAACGCTGTTACTGCTGTTGTGTCATTCATTTCTCTTCGCTGCACTCATTCCCGTCTGCAAACCGCTGATGCTTACAATTCCGAACAGCGCGACTCGGATGAATATGACTCCAAATACAAGGTTTCCTTTGAAGATCCCAAGGCTGCTGAGGCCAAAGCAGAGTCTTTCCAGAGTATTACGGTTGAGCCTCTTCCCGAATACTGCCCAGATCCCACATCTGACACTGATGTACTTCTTGGAAGTAACCGTACCCAGTAGAATGCTTCACTGAGACTGGTTTCAACAGATGTGTTGGGTTTACCCCCATCTCACCCAAATAAATAGAGATGCTTGACCTCTTTATTCGAGTGTCTGCTATCTCTATGAACACCTCAATTATGCTATTGATTTATTTTCTAGTTTATTATGCCTCAATAAACAAAAAGATTTATTTTAATTTGTTAGTCTTTGTTATTGTCCGGTAGTCTGGGAATATACAGCTGTATTTGTAAAATGTAATATTACGAGTGTTTAAACGGCCAGTCTTGTTTGGTGCCAATGTTGTTGAGCAACATTGCTTTCTGAACTTTTTAGTTGACTGGTCTGCTCATTCTTGTATAAACATGCTGGATGTTTACATTCCTGTTTCAATATATCCCACATAACATCTCTTCAACTTTCCTTTTCTACAAGTGAACATTGGGTGATCATCATGGGAATAATAGTTTCATTTTTGAAATGTTCATTTGAAAACATATCTGATCAAGATACAACCAAACTTCAATAGCAGATTGTGCTAGATATTTCCTCATGTGTAAAACCAATTTCTCTAATAACAGAAAAGACTGCAAGATAAATACAAAAGTGGTTCATTTTATGTGAATGGGAATATAATTTGAATTGCTTTTGGTGATCGACTCACCCGAGATTTTAAATATTGACACATTAAATCGGACATTCGAAACTGATGTTGCGAGGTACTAGGTACTGTTTTGAATCGCACCATATTTGGGATATGTCATATACAGAGAGTATAAATGAGTTCTTTTGTCTAGCTGAGTGTTGCTTTGAACAGCTCATGCATGTGTGCAGACTGAAGTGTTTAGGCGATCGGACAAATAATGTCAGTCGATGATTCAAGATTAACCTATACTAACTGCATTTTCATTGCTTTCTATTCTTTGGGGATATGGATTATTCAAATCATAACAGTCGGAGCCGAGCAGCTGCATTGGATAATGTGGTAACTGCCACTGCTGCAGATACCGAAACATCCCCAGTTACTAATGGTCGACCAGTTCGGTCTACTCGTAACCCATTGGCAGTTCAACAGAACAATGGGCGTTTTCCATCAAAAGAAAAGGAGTTGGAAGCACCTGCACTAGAAACTCGTACAGTAGCAACAACAGATAGTGATCTCGAGTCTCCACAAAAACCAGCAAGAACAGCCATCGCTTCCAAAAAACGGTCAGCAGCAGGAAAAAAGCCTATACCAACAAAACAGGCCAAAAAGAATTCTATTGGCATAGAGTCTGCAACTGCCGCTGTCGTTTCTTTACAAGCGACAGGAGATGCTGTTTTGACAGAGACCTTGTATGAAATTGTATTCAATCACAGACTAGCCCTTGAACCCATCATTATTGATTGGATAGAGTCGTATCAGCAGGACCCAAATGAAGCCATGTGTGATCTGGTGAATTTCTTGATTCAGGTATGTTATGCATGACTGATTCCGTCCGTATTTAGCTAGTAGAGTCTATGCTTGTTATTGCATGGATTAAATTTGTTTATTGAATTTGTAATAATAGGCTGCAGGATGTACTAAACCCATGGTCAACCGTGAAACCATTGAGGATTCGGACTTGATCACAGATGCACTGCAAGATATTCAGCATCAATGTAGTCTGGTAAGTATTAGATGTGATGTTTAAAGATTTGTATAATGCACCAGACTCATCATTAAGATCTGAATGAATGGTTTTAGCAACTCCAATCAGATTACCCATTGGCACCCAAGGGAAAAGGTCGATCTTCAATAAAGTTCCGTAAAACTTTTGAAGAGTTTTGGACTCGATGGGTGCGACTGGTGAATAGCAAAATTGTGACCAAGAAGGGCTCGTTGCTTACAGAACTACTTAGCCAATGGCTTGCTACAATGAGTTCGTCTTCCTTTCGTCCTTTCCGTCACACTGCAACCACAGCAGCACTTGTCATCCTCACTGGTTTGTGTGATTCAGCTCAAAATAATCACACTGAATTGGCCATTGCTAATCGTCAGCTAGAAACCGAGCAGTCCAAGGGTGTCTCCCAGCGTTTAAAACAGACTGAAACGCGAGTTTACGATCTGCAAGCTAAAAAGTCGATGCTGGAAAACAGGATGAAAGATTTGTATGATGGCATATTTATTCATCGGTATAGAGATACAGACTCTGTTATTCGATCCGAGTGCATCCGTGAGCTTGGCCAATGGATCCACAAGTATCCCACTTACTATCTTGACTCGCAGCATTTGCGATATTTGGGATGGATGCTATCTGATAAAGTGTGTTGTATTTGCCATGACTGTCTAGCTTGCTTTGTGCAATTATTCTAACATATTTCCTTACAACATTCTTTATTGACAGATTGGCCATGTTCGTTTGGATACTCTGAGTTCATTGAATCTGCTTTATGCGGAATCATCTTTGATTGGTGGTATGCGCGTGTTTTCCGAGCGATTTAAAGCACGCATACTTCAAATGGCTTCTTGTGACATTGATTCTGCAGTACGTCAAATGGCAGCAGTGACGATTTCTCTTTTTTTCAAAAACGGCTTTATTGAAGATGTCGATGCAGAAAACGTTGTTGTTTTGTTGATGGATTCAGATATAAAGATTCGTAATGCAGTTGCGCCATTCGTCGCAGATTGGTGGCTAGAAAACTATTACCAGCCTGCCATGGATGACGAGGTTACTGTGAGCAAACTTGATGAGACTCAGCAGACTTGCTTAAAATTCAAAACATTGGCTACTGCCATTGTAAAAATTGCAGATCTTGTCAATGATCGCAAAACAGCTGTTCAAACTACTCAAGAAAGTACTGAAGCACAGGCAAATGATCAGCTGGAAAATCTTGAGATTTTGTCTATTCGCACTTGCGATTTAGCACCTGCTCACCAGATGGATAGCACACTGTTTGAACGAAATTTTTATCAACTTTTAAATTTTATCAATCTTCGAGCAGGTAATAGCGATCGACACAATGCTAATATTGGGTATTATAACGTACATACTGCAGTTATGGCTCTTTGGCCCCATGTTTCATGTCTCAAGGTATACCATTGTTGATAGCAGGGCACTTTTATTTGTCTATTTATACTATACAGTATATTTTTCAAAATTATGCTGACAGCTTGGTTTTGAATTAAACTTGAATAATGTAGGACTATAGCATCATGTGCAGTTTTTTGCTCTCTGATACACTAGATAGTGAAAATACCATGGCCAATATGAGTGCAAAAAACGAGGATCCTTTGCGGATGACCGAGGATATAGAGTGCTGCCTGGTTTTAATATTTTCATCGTCTGTGGCAATAACACTTTCAGAAATTAATGCAAATGCAACAGGAAAGTCTGGTAAACTTGGTGCTGCCACTGCTGAAAAGACAGATTCCGAAACTCTTCAAATGAGTCAGATTCTTATCGAAAACCTGCCACCTCTTATCCAAAAATATAGCTCTGAGTTAGTCGGATACGGTCTTGATTCACTTGTAGAATGTATTATTCTTATTCGCTCCATTCCACTGGTTAGCTTTATAGATCTGCGCCAAATCAAGGTTTGTTTTTATTGCTTGTGCATTATTTCTAGTTTTTACTATTGGCTCAACCATCTTGTTTGATATCTAGGTATTTGAAACACTATTTGATGATTTGATCAAATTGTTTTTGCGGAGGCACGAAAACGTATTGGTCAGTGAAATATGCACAACATTCAGCCATTTTCTTGGAAGTAAGGATGCTGCTACATCTAGGGATGCAAGTAACCCGGAATTACCAAATGTTGCACAGTCTGTATCTCATCAAATTGCTGCTATAAAAACAAACACTTTACTTCCATTATCGCTATGTGTAATTGCAACGGGGAAACTTCAAGACTTGATGGGTTTACTTTTTTCTAACCAACTCAACACCTCTGTCAAGCAGCTATCTCTTGATCCAAGTTCTGAAACTCTAATACTACTTTTGAGATCTATAAATCGATGTCGCGAATTATCGTATGCTGTAGATGTTTCGAATACTGATGTATTCAATGCCAGCCAGTTTCTACAATCTAGTCATGATAGTATTGGCATCATGGACAACGTTATTGATGCAATGCTTCAGTTTATCAAATCACCACCCAGTAACACGGCCGATTTTGATGCTCTTACTTCTGCAATCATGCAAAATGCTCTGGATATCTCCATTGCCGAACTCGGATTTCTTTTGCAGCGCGCCTTTTGCTCTCATACTCTAAAAACAAAAATGACTCGAAATAAGCCCAGCCCAGATAATCAGACTACTCCCGGCACCAAAGGTCTTGATGAGAATAATACTATGGCTGTGGACGCCAGCAAATCTGACCATAAATCACAAGATTTGTTAGACAAAGCCGTTATTACTGAGCTTCAAGCTCGTGCTGACCAACTTGTAACAATCTGTGAAGCTATACTTACTGGAGACCAAACTAGTCCAAGTGCTCATTTTTCAATTCCCATGCGCTGGATTTGTCTGCGAACACTTTGCATACTCTATCCAATGCTTAATGGTGGTGCTGGTGATGTTTTTCCAGAGATTATTCGTCGACCTACTGGTGTTGTTATGGCTGAATCAATGCATCTAATTGATTACATTGTTAACCTGTCCTCGTTTATCAGTATTGATACTGAGGAGCTATCTAGTCAGTCAAATACAAGTATACAAGATGTATCAATGCGTGAGGAGCTGCAAAAAAAGAAGCCATTACCATCTACCATTTCAAACACTGCATCTGCGATACTTTGTCACGATCTTTTCAAGACAATAGCAGGACTACGAAACTTTGTATGCTACGGCATGTATGATCGTCGTTGTGGCAGTGTTGTGTTAAAATACTATGGCATCGATCAGATTGCCATAAATTCATGGATGCGACAGTTAATGCAGCATTCGACTACACAATCTTTGGAAAATGTTTCCAATGTCACATTGCCTTTGGTATCTGTGTTTGACGGTGTGATTAACGGTCTTGGAACGTCCATTCTTGAAGTTGTTGTACGATCTGGACTTGAACGAATGACCGACACGTTCGTACCACAGCTTGCACCAAACTCGGATGATATTCAACATTCGTTGCAAAACGCAAAAAGTGCTTTAGAAGACTTGTGTGATTTAATTTTGGATTCTATTACTTCTGTAAGCACTGCATTTTTTGTTTTATATTTTGTATGTTGTTTGATGCATCTATTAACTTGCTTGTAAATGTAATTTTTGATAGTCGATTGATCTGTACTTGACAACTAAATGTCCTTCACTCGACCACACTCAATCTCTTGTTAAATCTTTAGTTTTGTTTATTAAAACTTGGCCGACGGCTCTTTCTTCTCAATCTACTGAAGATATTTCCTCTGGTCTTAAACAGTTTCACAATATTGTTGTCCATGCTTTGCTATCCATGCTCTGCGATGCCGGAGTGTGGATGGCGCGTCGTATCCAAACCTGGAAACACATCAAGCAGATTCAGCAAGGTTCTAAAATATCTCTTGACACTTCTACTTCTGAGTTCCCATCTTTTCAAGCGGATATATCACGTATGGATGAGAGTGTATCCGAGGTTCAGGGAGATAAACTCATTGATGATATCAGTGCCCGGCTTGTAGATGATGATCGTGAGTGGCTTTGTGCTGGTTTTGGAATTGTCTCTGAGTTGAGAAATATCAATGCTGCATGGCGTGTTTGGGGATCACTTGGTGGTGCAATTGCTCATGTAGTTCAGGGACTTTTTGTGCTGGTACCGCGGAACCCGGTTAATGCTGAAGGTGGCATTCAAAAAGATCATATAACAAGCGTGGACATAGTGTAAGTGTGCTGACATGTTTAGTTTAAAAACTGTTTTTAGATTCAATGTGATTATTGATTTATTTTACTTTATAGATCCGAGTTTATTTTTGACCAGCTTGCACAAGCTGGTATCAAACCAGTCGAGGGTGATACAGAATGGGCTGATTTTTGGTATTTTATCGACACCTTGGAAAAGGCTAATGGAACCGTTCGTAAAACTAAATCTACCCATACTGCTGAAAACAAGGCATCTAGTAGGAGTGGTACACCTACTCGTATCTATACCCGTAAATCTAGTGCCAACTCGAGTCCATCGGAACGAATGCACACAGGTAGAAAGCAAGCATCAGTGCTTGGATCTGGAAAAAAGACACCCAAGCAACGACGCAAGTCAAACTCGGCCTCCAAAGCCAACCAAGACGATGATGAAACTGATGTAGATTTCCCTCAATTCCAGAGTGAAGAAACCATTCCCGTTCGTCGATCTAACCGGGCGTCACTTGGTAGTTCTTCCGTTTCAGGAAAGCGAAAAACATATAATGAGGATTCTCATTCAGAGTCCGAGGAAGAGAATGCAATGCCTAGATCAAAAAATCAAGTGAAGCATACTGGTAAAAACAATGGTATTGAGGACATGGACGAAGCCAATGGCGTGTCCAAGTTACGATCATCTAAAAAAGTGATTGCCAAATCTTTTGAGATTGACAACGATCAAATCTCTGATGCTGAAAGTGATACAACGATTGGTGGACGTGATTTGAGGACCAGCCGATCAAGAAGAAAAATAAATACTGACAAGCGGGACATAATGGCTAAAACAGGTCCAAAATCTATGTTTGCTGCCAAAACCACTGGCGATGATGGATTTGCCAGCTCGCCAGAGCCAGTTTCCCGTAAAAAAGTGCGACGGGGCTGATGCAAATAGTAGTCGTATATTTGCTGGCAAAAGTGTGCATATTCAAGTTTTTAACGTGATATATACAGGTTTAAATAAATCAAGAGATTGCAGTTGCCGAGGTTTCATTTATTGGTGATGGTTAGATATATATCATTGAATGTGAACTGTCTAGCATCATCAAAGTCTTGAAACAGACATGCAGATAGTCGCAAAAGCAATAACAGAATGGTATTGATAGAATCTGACCAGACCGTAATTTAAACGCAATTTATATCGAGTCATAGCGGAATACCACAAATTAAATCAACATTCTGAGGTCGGGTGAACCGAATCTGCAATGTTCCAAGAGTTCTTGAAGCAAATCCTGCCTCGCAATAGGCAAAATAGTACTCCCATTTGCGTAGAAATGCTTGATCGTAAACCATTTCAGTCTTGTCGTTTTTTGTCACAATCTTGTTAAAATTTGCAACAAATTGCTCACGCCACAATCGGAGCGCTTTGGCATAGTGAGGGCCAATGTTATCTACTATGTCGATCATAAGACGACCTTGTGTACCTTGGTTCATGGCTTCTGTAAGCACAGTCAATGACGGACAGTGACCACCAGGGAAAATATGCTTACGAATAAAATCCATAGATTTAGCATAAGCTTGATACCGTATTTCTGGCATGGTAATAGCCTATACATGAATTAAATGAGTTTTAATCTGTACTATGCGCCAAGAAACGAAAACACACTATACTGATTCAAATCATATTAACCAGTACTGTACCTGAATCACCAAGACCCCACGCGGCTTCAATAACTTGTCGCATGTTTCAAAATATGTGGCCAAGAATTCTGGTCCAACAGCTTCAACCATTTCAACTGAAATGATTCGATCAAATTTTTGGTTTGATGAATCCAGGTTGCGGTAATCTGTCAATAGTACGGTGATATACGCTGCTAGCCCAGCAGCTTGAATCCGCTCTTGTGCAAGAATTTGCTGCTCAGAAGACAGCGTAATGGTAGTGACACGACACTTGAAGCGCTTGACAGCTTCAATTGCAAGAGTGCCCCAACCGGTACCAATTTCAAGAATGTGATCATTGTCGTTGATACAGGCCATTTCCAGCAAACGATGGATTTTTCTAAGTTGTGCTCGTTCCAGCGTATCGGGTTTGTCAGTACTTGCTTTCCCATTCGCCAACTTACTGCCGGGAGAATAATCCCAGATTGGACAAGAATATGTCATGGTGGGATCAAGAAACGAAGCAAACATGTCGTTTCCTAAATCATAATGCGAACTGATGTTGTTGGCAGAGTTGTAAATGGAGTTGGGGATATGCGGAGCAAGAAAACGATTGATTGTACTGCTGATGCCTGCCGACAACAGACTATCACCATCATCTATAATATCACGATTCGCAACCAAGATCTAACAGCCATTTTATCGAGTAATGAGAAATGGATTTGCGAGTCGGAGAGAAAAGAGTGAATTGTCAAGTTTACCTTGAGTAGAATATCAATTTTGTCAACATCGACATCACCAAGCATATATCCTTCGCCAAGACCCTATTTTTCAAATTTAAGATCAAGAATACCAGGGTTAGTAGATGGACATGTGAATCCAGCTAGTAAACCAGTTTATTACCATGGCACTTTGAAAAAGCAGTCGGATCCAAAACCCATTATTTCTGATAGTTATTATTGCAGCCAAATCCGATTCTTTTTTTCCAAATATAAGAACATCCCCGTTCAACAAATTGAGGGTGATCTGTCCGATCTGAAGTTTACGGAGCGTGTCCAGACATACAGATTGAGCTGGATGGTATGAACAGTAGTCCAAGAAATGATAGAGCGAAAGTGAGCGGGTCTGATAAAGAGATATAGATTTGTAATCCAGCCACAACTATCAGCACATTCCAAAACATATAAAAGCAGTTGTATGATAGGCAGAGTGAGGCTATAGGAGCAGTCGTGCACCATTTAATCACCAACTGAACATGCAGATGTGTTTAAAGTATAGACCGATAAAGGTTTTAGGTGCAAGCAATATGCCTGTAAACAGATTTAAAGTGTAAACTCCAATGGGTAGACTTACCAGCAGCTGTCAGGACATACCAAGGAGCAGAGTAAGCTGATGAAATAGCAGAGAGTAAGATCGGTACCATAGTTTGCTTCTAGATTGAAACCAATTCAACAGTATTTGGAAGAGTATCAGATTATGTCAAGATATGCAGATGAATTGACTGCTCGAAATCAGTCTGGCGGAATTTTGGAATCCAACAAAAAAAGGATTATTGGCAAACAATTGATTGAATTAAATATTCTTGACGCGTTTATAGCAAGTTTACGTAAAATGAATACTTGCAGTCGCACTGCCACTTGCTTTGCAATCAAGAATTTGTTGTACTTTTTTATTGCATTCTTCAAGCACAAGCACAATATAAATTTCAGTTTAAACGAACATGGTTTGATGTAGTCAAACTCCATTTGTATTCTAAACCCTGATTGTACGTTTAGGAATGCAGCGGTCTTCATACAATCACCACATAACTTGTAAACTAAGCATTTGCTCATTTTGACACCCTTATTCAGTCATTCATTCGATGTGAGCACGGCCGTAAATACATGCAATTTTGTTATTTTGGTTGGCCAATCAAAGTATTGTTTGCTCAACGCTTACAAGCTTTGCGTTTTCAATCGACCTGATCGCAAGCAGTTGGTGTCAAATCTGTTTTGAATAGGTATGAATGAGCGATTTAGCGGATAATCTGGACAACCCTTTATTTGGTCGATCGCTCAACAGGAACATGGTTGAAGACTCTTCCAGGCTCATCATAGTCGACAACAAACAAAACAGTTTGAGTATTTGCTTTTCGCAGGGAATGTGGGCAGCAATTGGAATAGGCTTGAATCAGCTGTATACGTGCGCAACAGAGTCCATCAGATCATGAAACAGCAGACCAAGCACTGCCTGGAATATTGATAAGATCATTGATAGGCATATTAATAATGCATGACTGAATTGTTCATGCTTTCCCATCAACCAACTCAACTAAAAACATCAACTGTTTGAACATTCATTTGTCCTCAGCTAGTCAATCTTTAATGGCATTTGGAGTGTCACCGCAGCAACAGGACTCTAACTCGCAAGTCGGACAGGCTTTAGTCACTGCTCTTATTGTAGATTTTGTCCTTCAATTTGTTGCATATGCACTGTCAGCGGTGTTTGCAACTGAGAAATTGTTCGATTTGTCTGGTGCTCTTACTTTTATTGCCTGCACTCTCATTACCATGCTGTTAAGATATAACCATGGATCAATTGCATCACTAGGCTTCCGTCAAATCCTCGTTGGTGTATGTATTCTTTTATGGACATGCCGACTTGGTTTCTACTTGTATCGACGGGTTCTTAAAATAGAGGACAAGGTATCAAACACTCCATGCATTCATATAGGCTATATATATCGATGACATATTTGATGTAAAAATTACATTGATTGCAATCAATGGCCGATTAAATGTATCTCACAAACTGGCTGCAATGCATTCTAATACCGTATATTTTTAGAGATTTGAGCAGTACAAGGCCAGCCCAGTTGCATTTACAATTCCCTTTTTTATGCAGTTTATCTGGATTTACCTTACTGCGTTTCCGGTTTTAGTCATTCTTGCCAACCATACAAATACTCAAAATTATTTTGAATGGACTGATGCTGTTGGTGCAGTGATTTGGCTTGCTGGATTTTTAATTGAAATCATTGCGGATGAAACAAAGTCTGCGTTCAAATCAACTCATCCAGACGACTTTATCTCGACTGGAATCTGGACGTATTCTCGATATGCAAACTATTTTGGTGAAATAACTCTTTGGGTTGGAATGTTCATTATGTGCTGCGGTGGGTTTGTTGAATACTGGCAATGGGTGACAATTATCTCGCCTCTCTTTATTATGTTCCTTATCTTGTGTGTAAGCGGTGTTCCTATCTCTGAAAAAAGTGCAATCAAGAGATATGGTCACCGTCAAGACTACCAAGATTATGTTGCGAGAACATCAAAGATTATTCCGTGGTTTCCGCGTAATATAACATCGGTATCTGTTCCAGTCGAAACAACGCATCTGACAACAGCCGCAGCCAATGCAACTACTCAACCAACTATTGACGAGGTCGTATAGCAGGGTTAATGGACTACAGTCACGAGACACTATTTGGATCTACTCCAAGCATCGCATGTTCATTAAATTATTCGGGCCGACTAGTTTATTTGGGGTTTTTGATAAACCTGCTTTTTTATTCAAACTATTCTCGACTCGCTTTATAAGCCATATCTTCAAGACACATTTGTTGGTTTTGGTCGCTACAGGAATAAATTGTCATGTATTTATTTTACTACTCGGCTGATATTGCACAAACCATATTTGGTTTGAAACTATGGTTTGTTTTAAACCCATGAGTGTACTGAAGCTTGAGCAATGGTTTTGGATGCAATCTGATTCCAATCGACAGTCATGGTTAGAAGCTGGTTTAAACAAGCGCATGAATAAGTAAACTTGATAAAGACAATCGATATTTTGGATGAAAATAGACCAACTGGACTCTGAAAATGTACAACCAGATCGATGAAGAACCGATTACGTGTCAATCTAATGAACCATTGCTTGCAATCTGTTCGATCTCAGTCGTAAAGCATTGCTCAGCATATCCAACATTCAACTGTAAACCCGTCAGATTGCTTGTTTTTACCCAAAGCTTCTCAACCCAATGTTCTTGACTGATAGCCTTCCAAAGGCATCATCAGTGTATGAGCCAATTCTTGACACTGGATATGTGCCAGATATGCTGCTTCGTATGGGCATTCGCTCTCTTCTTGCAAAACGCTCAGCATCGCTAACCTATCCAACAGCATCTGCAGCAGATCAAACCAAAGCTGCCTATATCAAACTTCTTAAAGATCGAGAGTCTATTGCTATTCATACCAAAGAGGCAAATGAACAGCACTATGAACTTCCAACAGAATTTTTCCAGCTTTGTCTCGGTGAAAGGCTCAAGTATTCCTCGTGCTTGTTTGAAGAAGGAGCCAAGAGCCTGGAAGATGCTGAAAAGGCCATGCTAGATCTGTACTGTGTACGGTCGGGTGTAAAAGACGGTATGCGGATCTTGGATCTAGGATGTGGTTGGGGCTCCTTGACTCTGTATTTAGCAAATGTAGGCTTTAGAACATGTTCTTGTTGGTATGTAGTTGATGTGTGCATTCATTCCTCATTATTGATGATTGCGGACTTGCATGGATTAGAAATATCCCAAATCTAGCGTTGTGGGGCTTTCCAACTCTGCTTCACAGCGGGACTATATTCTTGATCAAGCAAAACAACGCAGCTTGACTAATGTCACGATCCACACTGCAGACATTGTCGAGTTTGAAATGGATGCCGAGTTGAGTTCAATTTTTGCTCAATAATTCAATTGAAGCTTTTAGCTTGACTGTGCAACTCATATATTTGGTTTTAGATTTGATCGCATTTTTTCAATTGAAATGTTTGAGCATATGAAAAACTATCAGACTTTGCTTGCAAAAGTATCCAAATGGCTTGAACCGATCAATGGAAAACTCTTTATACATGTTTTTGCTCATAAATCCATGCCCTATGATTTCAAAACCGATGAGGATAATTCATGGATGGCCAAGTTCTTTTTTACTGGAGGAACCATGCCGAGTCAAGATTTGTTTATGTGGTTTCAACGCGACCTGCATGTTGTAGATCGTTGGACAATTAATGGGCAGAATTATGGTAATACTATCATTTTGACAAGCTTTTTTGCACCTGATTTTAAACTGTCTTGTTGTGACTCTGCTTACAGGGAAAACCAGCCAGGAGTGGCTTCAGCGCATGGATCACAATAAGCAAAAAATAATACCTATTTTTGAAAGCGTGTATGGGAGTAAAGAGCAAGCCTATGTTTGGTTTCACCGATGGCGTCTGTTTTACCTCTCCGTTGCAGAAACGTTCAATTACAATGATGGCGAAGAGTGGTTTGTTGTCAACTACCTGCTTGAACGCAAGTAAATCCTACAACTCAGTTTAAACAGTAGTCTGTTTAAATAAACTATCCTTCAATATTAAAACTGTCCAAAATGATGCTTGTGGTGTGCAATCTGCCATAGATGACCAATAGTTCAGCGCAAATAATACAATGCTTTTTGAAATAGATGCATCTTGATTAAAAAACATTCAAATATTTATCATTTACTAAAAATATGCTGGCTATAGGAAAACAAGCCCATTGCAACCATGGATAGGATCACCATGATAAATGCAATTCTCAAATAACTTTTTCTGATCAACTCGGCTGGTTGAATTTTATCATCAAAACATCCTGGCATATATTTTGGCAGAGGGGCTTGATATTGCTTTACTCCACATTTTGCCAGATAGTGTGGTGGTGGTATAGGTTTTCGTACTGTAGGATATCCGCCGTTCAAGTAAATTGGAAATGGACATGATGCTCCAAGTGAAACTGCAGACAACAGTCCAGAAGTACACCCATCCTCATGAAACCCATAGTTTGTCCACGCTCCACAAAACGTTGTTGCGTGTTTGTTTTGTATATGATTGAGCGAGTCCTGTGCACAAATCGTCTAGATTTATGCAGAGATCAGATTATGAGTACAACAAGGGGATACCAATACAAACCATTTTAGTATAGAAACTTGAAAATTACCTCTGTGGAGTAAATTGGATGTTCATAATCCCAAGATCCAATAACAGTATCGGGACGGGGTTCAAAGATTGGATTCATAGTAACAAATACGTGACCAAAATCAGGCACATTGACAAATGATTGCAATCGATTCATCCAATAGGTTAGACACATATTTTGCGATCTGGATTCAGTTTTGGATGTTGTAAGATAGTTCCATGCAGCCCATGCCTTGCGTCGTTTAGGCATAAGCTGATGCCAATATACAAACAAGTAAATATCATGTATTTATAATCAGTTTGATTGGATTGGACCTGTTGGTTATACCATTTATAAATCGAGACAAAATTAAACTTTGAGTTCACTTACAGATTCATCTCGGTGGAGAATGGCGCGATTCTTGGAATACTTGATTGCTCCCAATATTCTTTTTTCCAGAGGAGTGGCATTGGCTCCCAAGATTTTCAATGTTTGGTCTGTATGCGTTGCAAAAATAACATGATCAAACGTTTCCTCTTGTCCATGTATGTTTGTAAGAACAACTGGGCCTGGAGCGTCTGGATCTGCTGATCGTGTAACAGATACAATCGCTGTGTTGAGACGAATATCTGGAACACAAGATTTGATCTTTTCAACATACGTGGAACTAGGTGTGGAATAAACCAAAAATTAGAAACATCAAGTGTTGAATGTTGAAACTATCTAATCCATGTTTATCGACTGACTACCTGCCACCATCAACAGTTCGCCATTTGGGTCGATTTCCCAGCTGCAGCATCACATGGTTGCGCATGAATCGTACCAGAGTCAGCAAAGGAAATTTATCAAATGTTATATTCGCTGGAGCAGACCAAATTGCAGCCGTCATAGGTAATATATAGTTTTCATAAAAGAAACTGGAGTAGCCATGCTCTTTAAAAAACTGACCAAGCGTTTGTTTAGCCAGAGGTAAATCTAGATGGTGGAAGTTGGAATTAACACGGCAAATTGTACATTATGAAAAATTATGGGTGATCATGACCGACGATCTGGATTTAGTAAATTCAACTATAAAGCACGGTAATGCTATTATCAAAGCCAGACTCACCTTTGAAATCAGACTCGGAGGATGAGTTTCTGGCACTTCCTGTATTGTCAAACACAATACTATCTGCTTCGGTAGCAAGACGTTTGGCGTGTTTATGAAATCGAATACAGTCCCACAGCATACGAAATAGCCCTCCACCAGGCTGGATAAATGGGATCAAATTAGATCGTTGAGCAAATACCGTATCGATACTATCACCACACCACTCGAATTGCCCATTGTTGCGAGATACAGAGAAACTCATATCTGACTGAACAAGATCTACTTTCAAGTGAGCAAGAAATGCTTGAAAGTTGGGGTAAGTAACTGGATTACAGACAATGAAGCCAGTGTCAACACCGATTGTTTTTGTATTGTCGAGAGAGGGGATCCGAACAGTGTGAGTATGTCCTCCAACATAGTTGCCAGCCTCAAAAACAGTAACGATGAATCTTGAAGGATCTTGCGAAAGTAGCCATGCAGCAGCAAGACCCGATATCCCCGATCCCTATATATTTGATATTATCAGCAATGTTGCAATGGCTAGAGAATGCACATATTATACATCCAATCCATTACCACAATGGCGACTCTTGTTGGTTTTATTTCAGTAGAAAGTGTTGGAGCGTCACTCATATCCACAGTCATTGAATTAGATTTAACAGATGCAAATCGGTAGGAAATGCATTGAATCCAAGATTTCTTGGCGGAATAACTCGACGGTCTTCAAATAATCGCGGCTGCAGCCATAAATCGATCTTGGCGTTGCCAGACATTGTTGAGCATGTTGAATATTTGGAGAATCGAGTCTGTGCAATTCATGTCTGTTGTGACTGCAGTATTGGTTTGCATTGCATTCACTCTTCATTTCTATTTTAGCATGCAGAGTCCACATCGTATTCCAGAGTGTATAGCAAGATTGGGTGATTCAGCAATCGCAGATCATAAACTGTATCTAGCCACTACTACTCATGCTCGTTACTATCCAGTTCGTCACTTTTTCAAATACTCTCTTTTTTATGCTGGCTTTGACTTGGATGCTTTGGCTGCAGAAAAATCCGGTTTTCCAAAGTGGTTGTTTGGTCATAACCGTCGTGCCATTGTTTCGCTTTGGGACTGCGATTATCTATCGACTTTACCACTACACAGGCCTGATTGGAAAGACAAGAATATGTCATCACTAGATCAATTTACTACTGGATCATTGAAAACTCCTAGTATTCGGCAGTCTCTTTTAGAGCATTTGAAAATATTGGGATATCATTCAGAGGATGTTGGGCGGATTGAGCTAGTTACTACTCCTCGCATTCTGGGATACGCTTTCAACCCTTTAAGCATGTACTACGTCTACAAATCAGATGATCAGAAATCTCTACTTTTGGTTTTGTTAGAGGTCAATAATACATTCAAGGAGCGACATTTATATTTGTGTAATGAGCGTACAAGTATGATAAAAACACTTTTGGGGTAAGCGCATTTCAACATGTTTTCATTAGATCAAATAGTTTAATTGTATACATATAATCATCTAACCATATATGTAATAATATCAGATACACTTCAAGCTACTCAGTATCACGATCGTTTCATGTATCTCCTTTCAACAATCGTTCTGGCATATACGAGGTTCATATCCTAGATCCTACCAAGGGTAAACTGGATGTTTTACTTAACATCAAACAATACAAAGATACTTGTGGATCTTCATCAGATAATTACAACAGTCGTGTATCATCAAACACCACGACTGATTATGATATACAAAAGCAATCCAGAAATTCAACACAGATTCATCTGATGGCTCGAGTATATGGTGTTGCATATCCATTTACAACCGTTATATTGCTATACGTGTTGTTGATATTTCCATTCAATGCATTTTTAACTGTTCCACGAATTATGTACGAAGCGATCCGACTTGCATACAATCACAAACTTGTTGTTTATCAACGACCTGCTCCAGTAGTTGGCATCCAAGAAAACGCTGCAAAAACAATTGTACACAAGAGTCCAGATACATTTCAGCGAGCATGTCTACAGATTGTATTGGATCATCTAAACAACCAAGTTGCTATATCCAAAATACACATCAACGTATCTTTTCCTAATGGATCATCTCAATTGATTGCTCCAATTGGACAAATTGGAACAGATTCTAGTCCTCTCATCCAACTCTATATTGATTCCTATAATGCATTTATTAAGCTTGCATTGCATGCATCTAATCCAGTTCTTGGACTGTTATTAGCGTTCACCAGTGGTGATATGTATTGCTCAAAACACGATCTTTCCTTGCTGTTTTCGTGTTTGGCTGCCGTGTCTGAAAGTCCGTCTGATTCCAGTTTGTTTGAAGATGAATCAGCACTGGTTGACTACATGCTCAACAGTGTTTCATATTTAGACGATATCTCCAGGAAATCACCAGATCAGCATTTTTTAACCTCCCCATTGGTTCAAATTCCAGTCAAACCAAACTATAGCTTCCAGTTTGAGTCGGGAAAGTATCTCCATAGTCTTGAAACCGCATGGTTCAAAATGTCCACTACATTTGTAAAGCATGGTGAGCCTTGGTTACTCCCAGTCAGAAGCAAATCGCATATTTCTTCGTTCCAAATCGGGGTAAAGTCTGAATACGGTGGTATGAAACGATTTTTACCAGATACGATTGATCCATTTACACGAGAGCAGATTCGAGCTCATTATTTCCTTGGTGCGTGTGTTGACAAAAAGGCATAGCTTCATTTTCGTAAATAAAATACTAAATGCATAAAGTGGTTGTTTACATGTCAGTTTTATAGCGAACGATTCACGAGCGAATTTAGATGGTTTTATCTTGAACATGCATGTTTAGTTTTTAAAAACACTATTTAAAATAAATGAGTGAAATTTATTGGTAAAGAGATACCACCAATAAACAATATTCTGGGTCACAATATCAACTTGCTACCAAAGCAGTACCTGGGTTATTATATCAAGCAAACTTTGCTACAATAACTGCTAGAATCAAAAATACTAGCAGAGCAATAATTCCTGCAGTAAGAAGCTTATTCTGAGACAATCTAGATGAAAAGTCAAGAATTAGGTTGATAAAGTTGGATAGCTGTATTGTAGAAAAGTTGTGTAAAGTTACTGTATTTACCGACGTTGCATTGTCTTGAGGACGCCTTGACTTTTGGCAATCCATGAATCTGCAGTTCCAAGCTAGAATGGTTGTATAAATAAACTGTCAATATAACTGTCCAACACTATTAGACATTGCGGCAGTCAAATAGACTACTGCAATATCTAATGTAAAAACGAATTTGCTTACTCTGTTTTGTGTACGAATGATTTGCTCACGCTGAGAATTCAGATCTGACAATGTGCTAATACCTATTTGTTCAGTTTCCAAAGCAATACGACGAGCATCTTCCAGCCTGCGTGAACTATTCTGCAATCGTTCCGTTCCTTGAAGTAAACGTCCACGCTGATCCATATTGGCAGCTTCTAAATCAATGTTGGCTGACCCACCAAGAAGTTGGTCACGCTCAGATGCTGCATCAGCACCACCCGATGCAACTTTTTTTTGCTATATTGTGATAGGATCAAGTTCAAGCGTATTAGATCTCAATGCACAGTCAGGTTATACAGTAATGGATATCATAGGTCTAAACCCAATCATTGAACAAAGTTGGGTACTTGCAAGGTTTTTTTTGAATTTCTTGAGCTCCTCCTTGTATTGCTGGACACGAGGACTAACGGATACTCGCTGCTGTGCTGGAAGCGAAACCAGTTCCATTTCCATTTGACCAATCTAAAAGGTTGTCGTTCACAAAGTGCATGCAACATGGCATTGGCTGTATTAGTGGTAGTTTTTGATGAATGTAGCATTTGAATGCCATTTCAATCCCATTGATAAGACATGGGTTCTGATGGACTTTAGATTTACTATATCGCACTGCTGATTAATTCAAAACAGTTTCATACAAAATAAAACTACTTACAATCTCATCGGCCTCTTCAAGTTCTCTTTGAAGCTTGTTTTGTAGAATCTTGCGTTGGTCTGTCATGCCAAGCAAACACAGTATAGGCAAGAATAAGTACAATATTCCATAAAGAGTACAGCGACAATGCAGTTACATGGACAGGTTCAAGCCAGTCAAGTATCTTGATAGTTTGGTATTAAATAGGATGGGTAGAACGCAATGGATGATACCTCCAACAGCAGTAGAATACTGTCCAGATATGTTTTTGCTAATATCATCTGCCAGGGTCCGATATTCCTTTTCGTAAGTTTCAAAAATGCCCGACATGTCAGTGAATAAGTCTGTATTTGAACAATTACAGTCGTATTCACGTAAGATAAAACTAGTGATTTTTGCTTTAAAAATGCTTAAATAGTGTTGTTTTTCCTACTAGAATTGTCACTCAATTCAATACAGCGTCTGTCATATTGTGCACATACAATAAAACAATGTTTTTGAATCAAAGTTATTCTGATTTACAATCACTCAATGTTTGGATATTGAATTAAACTTTTTAATTGTATTCTAAAATTTCATATATCTGCTCTCGTTCAAGACAATATCTCAGAAATACAATTGCTGTCATGCAAATCAACAGTACTAATGAGTTCAGAACGCAACGTTCAGTAAATTTCATGAAATTGGTATTTATTATGCATTTTGCATTTTACTGCTTCACTTTACTGAATACGGCTGTAAACTGATTTGAAGACTTGCAACTGCTAGGTCAACGAGCATGAGGTTTGTTCCCATGTCTGCATGACACCACTCATTCAAACTGTATTTCTAATCTTGAATGCTTCCACTACTAGCTACTTTCTTCCACATCTTCCTTCAGGCTGGCATGTTGATCAAGCCATTCTTAATGAGGAAGATCGAGTTGTGATTATTCGCTTTGGTCATGATTGGGTAAGAAGCTCAACCTATTTAGTTTGGATCACTACAAACTTGCTGCTTAAAGTCTAACCTTTTCTATTGTTTAATAGGACCCCACATGCATGCAGATGGATGAAATCCTGTACAGCATTGCTGAAAAGGTCAAGAATTTTGCAGTCATCTATCTAGTAGACATTACTGATGTTCCAGGTATGGTTGTCTAAGGAATCATCAGTCATGTTTCAAGTTTACTTACGATTTACAACCCATGCAAACACTTGCTGCGTTTAGACTTTAATAAGATGTATGAGATCTACGATCCATGTACCACTATGTTTTTTTTCAGAAACAAGCATATGATGATTGATTTGGGGACAGGCAACAACAACAAAATCAACTGGGCTCTTGAGGACAAGCAAGAAATGGTTTGCAGTTTTTGTTTTAAATTGCAAGTTTTGCTAGATATTCAACTAACCGTTTCGTATTTTCTTTTTATTTAAATCTGTTGAAATCATCAATTATGCAGATCGATATTGTGGAGACGGTCTTTAGAGGTGCTAGAAAGGGTCGTGGTCTTGTTGTCGCTCCAAAGGACTACTCCACAAAGTACAAATATTAATCAAACTATTCCAATATTGCCTTTTATTTTGAGAACACTGCAGTTTTTAATACGATGGTTAAATCCAAGTCTGAGAAATCCTGCCTATTCATATACTTATTTGACTGGACTTTTTTTGAAATACACCATAGTAAAAGTGTTTAATTTTATCAATTGCTGTCTTGCAACAATTAACAACCCTCTTTATATGCGCATGTTTGAGTAACGAGCGATAGGCACGCTATTTAGTATTGCATAAGAAGCAGATAATCAGATGCGATCTGTTTAGAATTTTAGTGTTGGTACTATTATTTGATGCTTGTTAACAATACTATCCAATAGGGCTATAAGCATAAATACACTGTAATATAAATTAGTAATACTAGCTTGAGTAAATTCCAAGTGATATGGCTTGCATTTATCATCTGTAATGCCGAGCTGTATAAACATATATGCACTGATGACACAGTCTATTGATGCCAATGCCTAGTATTTGCTGGAATATAAGCTATGCAGTATCAATCCATAGTCGCGTTGTAGCTCAAGGCTCTTAAAAAGCATTCTCGTTCAACACAAACTAAACTATCCAGTATATATTCGTATTTCAGTTTAGCAGACATGTCACACAACAAATCGGGAGATACTAAAGACGCTGACCTTGAAATAAATTCTGAAGATGACGGACCTGTATCATCATTTCAGTCTTATGCTGCTGAAGGAGATATACTAGCCAAGCAGGGAGATTTTCGAAAGGCTATTGGAGCCTATAGCAAGGTAATTGCAGTTGTGACATGTATTGAACGCGTAGTGATTAACTTGATCCATGGCACTTTATTGTAAATCAAATGAGTGCTGTACATGATGTATTCTATTTGGACTATCATTTTAATATCTCTAATGTATATAGGCACTTGTTCTTCGAGCAACGGACAAAAACGTGCTGGTAGCAAGGTCCAAATGTCATCTTCAATTGGGAGACTCTCAGGCTGCTCTCACAGATGCAGATTCTGCACTCAAAGAAGATTATGATTTCTTCAAGGTATACTGCACTTTTACAGCAATTCCTACTGTTTGAATGCATACATCTGATATATCGTACAGATTTACACTGCTTGCACTTGATAATTTTAAAAATATTTACTTGTTTACATTATCGACCTATACTAATTTTGTTGACATTGAATTAGGGTGTATTTCAAAAAGCAGAAGCATTGTATTTTAAAGGAGATTTTGAAATGGCGCTTGTATTTTATCATCGAGGCAATAAACTTCGTCCAGAATTCGACGAGTTTAGACTGGGTATTCAAAAGGCTCGCGAAGCCATCAGCAATTCTATTGGAAGTGAGTAGTTTATTATTGATCATTGTTTTTTGAATCTATTTGCAGTTCAAATGAATGCATCGTATTGATATGCAGTTTATTTTGACTTTGCATGCGCACAATCCTACAGATCCAAGGAATTATAAGTTTCAACCTCCAGCTGGTGCACGCTTGGTTATTACAGTTCCTACTGGTGCTTCCACTCAATCACAAACAGGTGGAGTAATTTCTACTGGCGAATGGATTTCTCCCAAGCCACCGGCTGGAACTGGATTTAATAATGTGAGCGTAAAAGAGCCTAGTAAAAGTGACAAAACAGTAAAGCAACTTCTCGGTGAACTTTACGAGGACAAGGAATATCTTGAAAGATTTTTTAACGATAAAGGTATCAAATCTTGCTGATCCAACCGTCATGAGTCAATCTTGCCAGCTAATTTGTAAATATATGATTCAATACAAGACTTTTCCAATAATCCCAACGAAGATGTGAAGGGCTTAGTAGACAATGCACTCAAGTATCTAGATACACGCACAGAATTTTGGCGCCAACAAAAACCCATATATGCTCGTAAAAATGTCCAATCCAAAGAGCTTTCCAAAGTCATCAATATTCGGAATCGACAACTTATTCTATCTCGGGCAGAAGATTATCAACGACGCCAAATGGCCGAAACTGAATTTAGTCAATATCCCAAAGCTACTGGAGGATATAGACCCAAAACTGCTCCTGCCAGCACAGTTAGAAATCCAACAGAATCCACGACAAATACTCCTGCACTCCCAAAGCCTGGATCATTTTCGTGAGTATCTGACTTGGTTCAATCAAAATTATTTTGGCTTGATTGCAATACTTTACGGTATGTTTGATTTAACGGTTTGAATCAGATCACACATGCAGCCAACCCCACAGATTACCAAAATGGTTGAATCTTCTTTTGAGCAAATCCGCCAGTGTAAGTAGCTGTTTGAGTTCATTAATGATGTTTATTCGTCAAGGTGTTGGCTGTGAATCGAATAAACTACTGACAGATGTTAGGACTATGTAATGTCAGCAATGGCTAAAGGAGAGTATGAAATGGCACTTCGTAAGTCCAAGAACTTGATTGCGCGACTTGGCGAGATTCGTAGACTAGCAGGCAAAGATCGTATACTTGGTAAGCATTATTTCATTTCTATTTATTTGACAGGTTTAGCATACTAGCTAAATATATTTTTATAGGGGATGTGTACAACATTCTGGGCAGTATCTATATGCAATTGGGCGATTCAAGCGAGGCAATAAACTATTATCGCAAAGGTAGGCTACTAGTAGTTTAAATTGGGATATGGCTCAAAATTGGTTGAGCTCAGATATCATTTATAGACTTAATTCACTGTGGGAAACATCAAAACAGAGCTTGTGGCTGGAAAAGAAAGTAAAACTATTGAAATCATCAGTCGTGCACTTGGCGAAATAGGTCGGATTTATGTCAAAATGAGACTATACAAGGATGCAATTGCTGCATTTGAAGAAAAGCTTGTATTTTCTGCCAAAGATTCAATTGAGCGTGCATGGTTACTACACGATTTGGGACGATGTTATTTAGAAATCAAAAACTACGCAAAGGCAGTCAGTTTTGGAGAATCATGTTTAGCGTCTGCCAACTCCATGAATGATTCTCGATGGAAATTAAATGCGGGAGTTTTGGTTGCACAAGCTCAAGGTTAGTCGATTTGATCAAGTCATGATTTAAAGTTGATATAAATGATCAAGTATATTTTCAAATTCAAAATGCTAATTATCAAGGTCTGGTATACTATGCTAGTTCAATTAAAGGATTTTGAAGGTGCGATTTATTGCTACTCTTCTGCGCTCATATCTGCTAGAGATCTATTAGATGAAGCTGCAACACAAGCAATCAACAAAGCGTTGAATGATCTCAAAGCTCGGCATGAACCATCCAAGCCAATACATCATGATGTAGATACAGATCAAGATAAACACTTGATTCCATGTCAACATGTCATAGAAACTCACCAGATACAACATGCTGTTGTCATATAGATGATACTACTGCAAATGAATTCGAAATTAGGTTTAAAAATGTTTTTCAAGGGATAATTTTACAGCCGTATTCACGTAAAATACAGCATAAAACAGCATTTCACATCAGTTTTAGTCAATCCTTGGTCCTTGTTCAACTCTTCAAAATTAACATTATGATATTAGGTGATTTGCATGACAGCAATTGCATTTCTGAGATATTGTCTTGAACGAGAGCAAATATATGAAATTTTAGAATACAATTAAAAAGTTTAATCCAATATCCAAACATTGAGTGATTGTAAATCAGAATAACTTTGATTCAAAAACATTGTTTTATTGTATGTGCACAATATGACAGACGCTGTATTGAATTGAGTGACAATTCTAGTAGGAAAAACAACACTATTTAAGCATTTTTAAAGACGGCTGTAATTACGTGAATATGAACATAGCAATGATTGCTTGTTGTAATCCGTCTGTTTTTATTCTCCAAAACAGTATTTCAACCACTAGTTTCTGAAAGCAATCTTTTATATTTCAACACTCGACAAAACCATTCAAGCACTGACGCTTCTGAATGGATCCAACTGGCCTTTGGAACAGCCTTTTTGGTGCTGATTCTAAAAGAGAGAAGCCTCATATCAAACATGACATGTCCAGCATTAAAAACACATGTCAAATGCAACTCGAGGCTCAAGATGCTGCTATTCATGTCAACTCTAAAACTAAAACAAACGCAGAGCTTAATGCAATGCCAAGTCCACAACTATCGCCTCGACTTGTTCGACAGTTTGCTTCAGTAACAACCTCTGTTATTCCATCAACTGCTGCATCTTCACTTTCAGCATTGCAGAAACCTCATTATGACTCTAGTATGCTTTTTGGCCAAAATGGACGGCCAAGTATCCGTACATTCATTCGAGAAACACGAAGCATTGCCGAGTGCATTGGCGTTCTCAATAGCAACACACCTACATGTAAATTACATATTGTCGGATTAAATTCAAATGCATTTTGGATTAGATTAAACTAACAATATTTTTATGGCAACCATAAAGTGAGGTTTGATCCTGGAACATCTGTGTCGGATCTCATTGATCAAATGAATCATGTCTTTAAACGTCAGTACACAATCAACAATATGCAGCATGCTTTAGGCTCACGAAACTATCTATTGAATCTATTCAATTTTGCAAAAAACGTGCAACTACAGGTATTATATTGTTGAAACTCGTTTGTCAACAACTGATTTTAATGAGATATTCATACCTACTGCTGCATCACAATAGTCAATCATTAGCAAAGGTAGACAGGAAATCGGTGTATTGACACAAACCATTGCAGACCTTCAATTGGAACTGCAGTCGCTTAACTTGAATATTGAACAGCAAAGGCAAGAGTCTTTAAGTATCCGGCGCGAACTGAAACGAACGCAGATTGTTTTAGGAGAGGCCATCACCAAGGTAATCATGCACTCTAGCTTGATTTAATGCATGTATGTCGATTTTTAGTAAAATGATGCTAAGTAGTTTAAATTGGGGTTCTATTTGGTTTTTAGCACAAATACGAGCTTGCACAACATCGTACAATGATTGAGGCTCAAAACAAGATTCTGTATAACCTAGTGCGCCAACGAGCTCGACAGGATATCCTAATGGATTGCGTTATAGCTATATTGGCTCTGGTAATCTCTCAAACACCTGTTATCCGCGGATCCATTAGAGGATTGACTCATTCGGTAATGCAGCCATCGATTCGTCGAACACGCACTCGGCAATTTTCTCAAGTCATTATCTATGTTGTATTGGTTCTGCAGCTTCGATCATGGGTATCCACTATTGGTCTCCATAGCAGGTATGCTATACTTTTTTTTAGTTTAAATGCTATTGAGTACTTTTGGAATCTAATTAGTTTGTCTTGATTGCATGTGTTTTATGCCAATGATTACTCAGTACAAATAGCTTATGGAAATCTGTCTCGGCATTGATGTGGCCTGAATGCATGACTCCGAAAGAAATGCTACAAATGACATCGTTGATGGATTCAGCTGAGATGGGGTCTTTAGATGCATCACTTTTACTTTCCATTCCAACCTCTCCTCTGCCCATCTCTTGCCAGCCTGCCAAAAGTGTTTATTGATTTATATACAAGCTTCAACTGTATTCGTACCATCTTTATTTTATTACAATAAACTATTTAAAAACCTGATTTGTTAGATTTACAGTCGTATTCACATAAAGTGAAACAGTAAATAAACAGCTAGTTTTATTGAATGATTAGTGTCAGTTCACAACACCTTACTGGTCAATATTGTGTTTCCTGAACTCTAGTTTGTTGGAGTTTGTCCTTCATTCTTGCACAAAAATACAGTGCGAATGTTCAGATTCCTGTCCCAATACATTCCACATCTTTTCAATCTCATTTCTCATTCCATTCAAATCGAGTATTATGATATTGGATGAACATCATGGAAATAACGATTGCATTCTTGCAATATTCTCTTAAACTAGACGCGAACGCATCTGATATTAGGACACAACAGAGTTTTTTCAATGCCATTGTTGTGTTATATATTCACTTGTTGCATATACAATCAATGTTTTCAATAACAAACTCATGGCAAGATAAATACTTTATGTTACGTGAATATGACTATATATGCTAAAGCATAATGCTTTAAAGATTGAGTTTGATTTTTCTAAACTTGTTTTGCATACAATCAGACAAATGACATCCAAGCCAACCAAAAGATCCGCAACAGTTGCATTGGATGCATCATTACAAAACTACAACAAGAATCAGATAATTCGAGCCAAAGCTCCTGACCGACGACAGGTGTTTAGACATGTTCTGGGAACCCCTTTTGTAACTGACTGGTCAGTTCAATTCAGTTTTTATGTCATGACTCTTGATGTGGTTTTAGTACTCGAGAATCATTGATTGCAGACACTAAGCCTAACACTCATTTACCTTGTTTTGATCTCATCAGGTCATATCCAAGCGATGCACAACAAAAGTCGATTCTGACAGAATTCTGCTCTTGTGCTTCATCTGTAGGTGTTCATCGCAGAAAACTGCAGCAGCAACACAAATCCAAAGCTCACAAGTTGAAAAAAAACGATACTAGTACAGACATTGAGCAAAAGGACTCTTTGGTCGATATTTCTACAGCCTTGGCACCGTTGGAAGATCTTGTTGTTGGAATCAATGATGTTACCAAAGTACTGGAAGGCATGATTGCACATAAAGCACATTTGGAAGCATCGAAAGCTGACAAGCAGATATTGAACAAGAGCAAAAAAACAGCTCAATCGATGCCAATCACTGATGCATTAGCAGTACCAGTTACTCAACTCGGATGTATCTTTGTATGTCGTGGTGATATGCCTGTTGCACATACCTATTCTCATTTGCCAACCATGGCTGCTATCTGTAGCGATCGCTTTTGGATCTGTGCATTCTCTGCTGGGGCTGAAAAAACACTCGCATTAGCTCTTGGATTAAAGCGTGTTAGTGTATTGGGCATCAAAGTAAGTTACTTGAATCCGTGACTATACTAGAGTCATTAGCATGCAAGTAGTAGTACTGCAAATCACTCATGTTATGACTTGCTAACCCTGTTTTGGTTTCATTCTTTTGGCAGGCAGATTCATTGAGATTTGAAATGGTTCATAAACTTATTCAACAGGCTTGTAACAAAGTGCATATTCCTTGGCTTCAAAATCCAACTAAAGTGTCGTATTTACCGACCAACATTCGCGCCATTAAAACCGTTGGCTTAATCAAGACTAGAAATACTAGAGTGACTGCAAAGAGTGCCATGTCGACACCCCAGCCCACAGTCGTAGACACTGTAAACAAGGATAAACAAACGATCTCATTAAAACGATCAGTCGATGAGCTGGATAAATACAGATCAAAGAATATGCCAGATTTGGCATCTACAGTCGATGCTTTAGCTAAAAATACAACTGTTGCTGACTCGGATACGGATCACAAAAAGACAAAAATAAACCATCAACACTAAGCCACTGTCGATATTATTGATAGCATTCCTGTTATGACTAGTAATATTAATTCGTTACCGAATAGTCACATTAGACTGATTGAATCGAGATAATTATATAAAATGAATAGGTTTTTCAGTCGACTGATTACAGGATGTTGTAGATTGAGCAATACAAATCAGTTATGCATTTAGAGTTTTGATTGAACTAGGTTTTTGCGAGAAATGCATGCCTGATTGGGATCATTATAACCAGTTTCTAGCAGTCTGCTTGCCCATGCTGTCACAATAGCATCAGCTTCTTTTACAGTCAATGTTTCTCCAACTACTCTGTTTCCACTTCCATGGCTATAGATTGACAAGATTGTCCATGATTCATCTTGAACTAAAAACTCGACTAGTGGATCATATTCAACATCGTACGTAGACACCGTGTAATGAGCAAGACGGATAATCATGCCTTCTCTAGCAATAACAAGTGGTCGGGAAAAAGATGTAGAGCCGACTATTCAAAGTGTTCATCACAAATTATGTGTGAGTTCTCAACTATATATCAACCCACAATCAATCTAAAACCAACCTTTGCTTTCAATCTCAATGCTCCATATCGAGTCCAAGTTCGATCCAGCAGTCACAAAATCATCATTTAATCCAAATGTATTCAGAATCGTATGGATAGCAGTCTTCATTGCGTGGTTTATTTGAACTCGAGCAGATCAAGATACAACTCTAGCTGAATATGAATTGGCTTGATTGCAAATAGGAAAGAATTATCAAATGGTTGGTATGCGAATATGCCTGAATCCTATAATAGCGTGAAGAATAACCGTCCCATACAGACTGACAGTTTCTTGATGAATTGAATAGAACGCTGATGGAAAAATGAGTCTGAAATGGTCGTCATCAACTCATTCAGAGTCGGATCGAGAATGGTTTTTGGAATGTCAAAAAGTTGATTTGATTTTGCATGGAATGCTCAAGTTTTCAAAGTTTATAAGCAAACTCTGAATTGGAACTAATCTTATCTAGCATACAATACCAAACTGTTCCGGCGACGCATCCATTAATGTCCATTAGTAATTTACAGTCCGACTCTCTAGTTACTCTCAATGAGGACTTGAACAACCATTCTGAATCTGATAAACCTACGACAACTTCATTTACTCCCGTTACTACCGCAGCCAATCTGACAAAGCCAAGACTAGTGATAGATGGCGCAACCATTGTAACCATGCCATCTCTATCTATCGCACCCATCTCTTCTGCCGTACGCTTCTCCACAGCCATACTACCGACAAAGACTTTTAACCTGAAAGATGTGATGCTTAATTGTGTTGCGAATGAAGCTCCTAAACCTAGACGTAGAAGCAGAGATACTAAGCCTGACTATGCTGATGGCTTGGAAGTGCTCATTCAAAAAACGAAAGCCATCAATATGCACGAAGACTTGTCGATTTCGGTAAAGTCTACCAACTAGGGTTTTTTATTACAACTCTTCATACTACAAATTTAATATCACAACTAAACTCCAATGACCAGATGCTGCATCTGGAGTGTTGGTTGAATGTGCCATTTCATATTGAAGCTTGACATGCACTTGCTGCTCTATTAAGGAATTTGGATTGGTAACCATTTCTATAGATGCCCTAGTGCCTTGATTTCAACTGGCGTCAACCATGCATATCAACCCCTCATGAAACAAACATCTTGCACGCGTTTATGACGAGTTTAAGTTGCTAACTGTATCGTACATTTGTTTGATTAATACAAACTAAACCCTCTTTTGCGCGTGATCCATTACGCTGAATCCAACCATGCGTATCTTATGGGTTCTACCGGTTTATCTAAATATATGTTCATAAACCACTCGAGTACTGACTGATTTTTACCAACATCACATTGTATTTTAAAAATAAAGGCTCTTGGAGATGCTGGTGCAAGTTGGTACGAAAGTCTTGCAAGTCGTTCAGGCGATTCAAAGCTTCCAGTTATTCGTAAAATCCGGAAATTTGTTTGTGGAGGTATACCCATTACTGTTTGTCCTTTAGCCTGTTGATGTAAATACTAAAACACTTCAATCTTACGTGTATGATCTATTTGATTTAAACTTACTGTTTTAACCGAGTCTTGCGACTAACCAATCTGTTGTTTTTAATCACAATTGCATAGATGCAAGCGAAGCACATGCACAACAACTGATTGCATCGCCTTTATTAAATATGCTGATGTGGTACTTGGAACCCGACACGCCTGAACCAGAGTTGGTATGCTTTTATGTCTTTCCGCACCTTTAAGAGCTTGAGTTTATGGTGCCACGAGCATTGAATAGGCTGTACTAATTTTCAAACCCAAATTGCTCATCATAGTTTGAAACCCTCTGGATTTTGACAAATATTGCTGGTAAACTTTCAATGTGTCTTGACGTCTGATTAACCACAAGTATTTTGAATGTTTGATATTTTTTGTTTATGTATTTCTTACCTTTTTATATGAATTGGTAGCTGGTCCAACATCTCATACAACAAAAATTGTGGACCTTGGATTTTTGCCACATATAGTGCGTCTTTTAAAGCATCGGTCTGGCCCTATCCGAACTCAGGTATAGACTAGCATTTTGTTGATTCTTGTCAGTTGATATTAACCAATGAATAACCTTTCATCATAAACTATTTGATACCCAGGCCGCATGGACACTAGGGAATGTTGTTGGTGATCGCGAGGGCTTTAGAGATCGCGTTCTTCAAGAAGGCACGCTTCCAGCAATTCTTACAATTTGGCAAGGGGAGTTTAATGAGGAATTTAGTCGTAAAGAGGCATTCCGAATTGCCATGTGGGTGGTTGATAATATGTGTCGATACAAACCAGACTGGCACCAGGTATAAACTCTTCACTTTCACAACATGTGCACTGAATTCCATTGAATCTGATCGATTTTATGTTTGTGTAACAACTATCTTGTAGATGGCTCCAGCGTTTGAAGCACTACCTCAGGTTTTAAATGAGCGCGATCCTTACCTTTTAAAAGAATGTTGTTGGGCAATTGCTCGAATTTTGCATCAATCTGGACGTCATCCCGCTATAGACTGTATGATTACCAAGGAGCTTTGTATTCGTTTAATTGACATTCTCCAGTATGTGGCTAGCCCAAAGGCTTTGATTGAATAGCTGCCTATATTGTCTGAAAAATATTTGATTATTTTCTAGTTCAACTGACAGATTTACGTGAAACTCATTATTTTAGTTTGAACAATATGCTTACAAGTCATCCTATTCTTCGGGCTTTAATTAATCTTTCATCCTCTAAAAATCCAATCCATGTTCAGGTAAAAATACTTATAAGTTGAATGGTCGTGCTTTTTACTCGAGCACCAACCCATTTTTGATTGCTGTTTAGAACATTGTGGATGCCGGTCTACTCAATGAAATGAGCAGTCTGCTATCGGACCATCTGCTTCCTAAATCATGTCGAGATGCCTTGCAAGTTTTTGCCATGCAAGTAGTGGGAAATATTTCCAGTCAGCCAAGCTATATCCTCAACATCTGTCAAACCGAGCTTCTTTTCATGCGTATTGTTACTCATTTACGACAGCGTGATAATGCCGAGTTGCGCGTAGAAGCCTGCTATTGTGTGCGTAATCTTGTATTTCACCGTGATGAAACTGTCACAAAGTAAGTTGTCATGACCATTGTTTCATGCTTATAATTAGATTATATACGCTTGTAGATTGCATTGTTTGATTTGCCTGATTGCAAAAGTTACTAACAATTCATACAATCTTTCTAGGGCTTTGGTCAATTTACAAATTTTACCAGTGCTGCTTGAGTACCTTGAAGCCACTGTGGTGGATTCAAAAAATCGCCTGGCAGCTGTGGAAGCCATTGGTTATATTCTTGAAGTTGGTGATGCTATTGGCACAAGTAGTTTTCCACTTGCACGGATCAAAAATAAGCGGCAAATTGCCTCAAAATACAAAGGCGGGTCTGAAACTAGTCGAGATAGTTTTCCCATTAAACGAAACTCTGGTTCATCATCTTCACCCACCACTCCGACAAGTGAAAAAACCCTTACGGTTGCTATGGCCAATTTATCAAAATCAACTGCATCAGGAGGTAAAGTAGCAGCAAAACGAAATCGACTACGTGGTGATCTTGGCAACTTGGAAGATTTAGGATCCGATGATGACAGTCCTATTACGACCCCACGTAAATCTCACCGATACAGTACAATGCCACGATTTGCAATCAACGCCACTGTTGCCAACAACCCTTTTATGGCAGAGTTGAATGCCGTTGATGGATTTCAGCAGCTTCTTGATGCTCTTGTGGCAACTTCTGGACGCGATTTAGACCAAATGGATGAAGATGGGCCTGACATTGAAGAGATTGAATCCGAAGACGACGAAACTGATCATGAAGACTCGGATGCAGAAGCTTCTGAAGCACACACGGTGCACATTGATAAAAAAATTGTATCGAGGAGAGGCAAGGTAACACCAGTGTTTACAATCAAGCAGACAACGGCGTCTAGGCTACACACCATTTTGATGCGATGGTTTCCCGAGCAATTTTACAACAGAATCGAGCAGGCTCACGAGACAAGTTTGGTCATGGCGAGTATGAATGGGCTAAATGTGGGTGGAAACGATGGTGGTACTGCTGTAGGTGGATTTGAAGGAGCGTTGCTGGAACTAGTTAGAGATTTTGGTATGATGAAGTCGAATACTGGTGGTGCTAAACAAGATATCGACAAGCCGTCTGTTTTCCAAGATGATAGCAACCCATTTCAGGTTCAAAAAGATTTGACCAAGGATGTGTCTGAAGCGGCTGCAATGACTCATAGTTTTGAACCGGCACGATTGAGTGGACAGTGTTTTGCGCCTTGATCGGTTTTAAAACAATTTAAACTTATTTTATATATTTGCGGAACAAAACTTGCAGATGAATATGGCAACATATCTCAAAGCATTTATGCTCTGTCAATTCAACAAAGTATTATAATTTACATTTGGGTTTCATATGGTACTGATTCAATGATTGTGGAATGGATTGATTGCAATAGATAGTTGATATGTTTGAATTAAACTCGAAACTTCAGCTGTATGTTTACTCTACAGGGTACATTGACATGTACAACCGTACATCAACTATTCTGATCATTCAATTTCAGATTTACTCTTGGAGGGTTGAACTTATTTGTGTTAGTATCTTGTTGACTGGAATAGTCAGTCCTTGTCGTATTCGCGTAAAATAGAACATTGAACGAGGACCGAATGACTATTTTTTGGTTAGAGTGCAAACATATCCGAGTTTAGGATACGACAGAGTTTGATTGAAAGCAGTCAAATGCAAATACGAATTGCAATGAATGAATCTGGTGTCAAAGCTGTAAAGTACAATGTATGACGATTTCAAAAAATGTAAAAACAATCATCATTACTGTTCGAGTATGAGATAATATTGCACGTACTTGATTTCTCAAGCCTGTTTTAAAACCACACCAGTGAAAAACATTTCATTTTTAGCAAGTGTTATTCCCCACACCTAAAACGTATTAGCAATAGTGATCAATGGACTTTACGATTGAAACGTTTGCATTTTACATTTATAGTAGCAAGCCTAGCTACGACAGATCCTCGAATTGTCCAGTCTTATTCTTTTGCAATCCTAACCACCAAATCACCAGCATTAAGCGAATCATCAGGCTTGACGAGCACTTCTTCAATTGTTCCTGCCATGGTGGCAGTAACAATTGTTTCCATTTTCATGGCGCTCATAACAACCAAGGGATCGCCTATTCTGACAGCAACACCGGCTTTGGCGCGTACTTCAACCACCACACCACTCATGGGTGCAGCAATCTGCAACTTGTCCGATGGATCTGCTCTAGCACGGGATGCCATTTTGGATCCACCCACTCCACTGGCATCAACAGTAACATTCGTATCAAGAACATGAACCATGCGTGCTTCACCATTGAGTAGGAAATAAACATATCGCATGCCAGTATCTTCTTGTTTGGGTCCAATAGCAACAAGTTTAACAATTAGGGTTTTGCCCTTTTCCAGTTCAAAGGTGAATTCCTGCTCTACTTTGAGTGGAGTAAGGAAAAATTGAGTGGGAAGTGAAGACAGTTCACCAAATTTATCCAGCGTAGATTTGAATTCGTCGAATACTTTGGGGTAAAGGGCTGAACTAAGCACATCCAAGTCAGATACATGTTTGACACCCCAAGCCTCCTCAAGGTTACTACGGTGCGATACAAAATCGAAACTCGGAAGAGTTTTACCAGGTCGACCAACAATCTTGACTAATCGACGAGCCTCGAGAATACGAGTGCGCAATGGCTCAGGGAAACCATATGGTGGCTCGCCAAGATAACCCTGATAGTACTCAAGAACAGATTGAGGGAATGACAATGTTTCAGCTTGTTTGATTATCTCGGCTTCTGATATTTTTTGAGACACAATAAACTGAGCAAAATCGCCAACAACTTTTGAAGAGGGAGTGACCTTGACTATGTCACCACACAATCGGTTGGCAACAATGTATGCATCCTTGACTTGCTGCCACTGTTCACCCAAACCAAGTTGATGGCTTTGGAAAAGCAGATTAGTATACTGACCACCAGGCATTTCATGGAGATACACGCTTGAATCACCACTCTTGATATTAGGATCAAAGCAGGAATAAAGCATGCGTATCTGTTCCCAATAACTGTTGATGGCTTGCACATTTTCTAGGGGAATACCGGGATCCAAGTCAGTACCACGCAGAGCGCCAATGATGGCACCCATAGATGGCTGGGAAGTAACACCAGACATACTATCTACAGCAGCATCCACCACATCAGCACCCGCTTCAGCAGCCGCAAGCATGCTAGCAACACCAGTACCAGCAGTGTCATGAGTGTGTACATGAATAACCAAATTGGGGTACTTTTTTCGAATGGAGCTAATGAGCAACGTGGCAGATTTGGGCTTTAAAAGACCTGCCATGTCTTTGATGGCAAGAATGTGGATGCCGGCTTTGACAAGCTTGTCAGTTAGATCCAAGTAGTACGCTAGATCATACTTTTGACGAGATGAATCGGCAACATCGCCAGTGTAACTGATGGCACCTTCGGCAACACCGCCAGCCTTGACAACAGCATCAATACCCAATTCGAGATTCTCAATATAATTGAGAGAATCAAACACACGGAAAATATCAACACCGCACTCACGAGCCTTTTTGCAAAATTCATAAATAACTAATGGTGCACAGTTGTAAATGTAAGCAACTCAACAAATACATTTCAGATGAAGCAAAGATTAAAATCGTACCATTGTCGGGATAGCTAGTGTATCCAACACCGTTGGCACCGCGAAGTAGCATTTGGAATGGGATGTTTGGTACAAGTTTACGAAGAGTCTTAAGACGCTCCCAAGGACACTCCCACAAGAAACGCATGGCAACATCAAAAGTAGCACCACCCCAGCATTCAAGTGCAAAGCAATTCTTGAGTGCATGCGAAGTCACTTTGGCAACACGAGCCATGTCAATTGTACGTACACGAGTGGCAAGCAAACTTTGGTGGGCATCACGCCAGGTGGTATCCATAATCAGAGTACCTGGATGAGCACGGATTGCATCGGCAAATGCCTGTGGGCCATCAGCCAAAAGGATATTTCGCCAGCCCTCGGTACAAAAAGTTTTTGCGTTTTCCTTGGACAAATTTGGTAATGAAGGACAGATGGGAGTAGCCTGAAGTTGAGGCACGCCGGCTTGTCCTTTGATCCGACTACCATTGACCGCCATATCGCCAAGATAGTGAAGAAGCTTTTGGCCACGACTACGCTTGGATGAGCTTTCAAATAGCTCGGGGGTATCATCAATAAATGTGGTCCACACTTTGCCATTATTTTGAACAAATTGAGGATGCATCAGCAATCGAATCAAAAAAGGAACGTTGGTTTTTAAACCACGGACACGAAACTCGGTAAGAGCACGCAGCATTTTTCGACGAGCAGCCTCAAATGTACGACCAGAGCAAGTACACTTTGCCAGCAAAGAGTCGTAGTGTGGTGTGATGATTGCACCAGAAAAGCCAGGACCACCATCAATTCGGACACCAGGACCACCTGGGGATCGATAAACTTCAATGCGACCAGTGTCTGGCTGGAATCCACGCGAAGGATCTTCTGTAGTTACACGGCATTGAATTGAAACACCACGCTGTTTGATATCTTCTTGGAGAAGACCAAGGTCCTTGAGCGATGCACCAAGAGCAATGAGAATCTGTGATGAAACAATATCGATTCCAGTGATTTCCTCCGTAACGGTATGCTCAACTTGGATACGCGGGTTGATTTCAATAAAATAATGGTTGTTTTGAGCATCGACAAGGAATTCAGCAGTGCCTGCGTTTCGGTATCCAACACTTTTGGCAAGCTTCACAGCATCATTCAAAATAGTTTGACGCAAAGATTCCTATCGCAGTCAACATGTACATGCATACAAAACAAAGTTAAATTGTGCACACGAACATGTAAACCAAGTATATAGACAATATACTTACAGGAATATCAGAAGCTGGACCCATTTCAACAACTTTTTGATGACGACGTTGAACAGAGCAGTCGCGCTCAAAAAGATGAACTACATTACCATAGGTATCGGCCAACAGTTGAACTTCAATGTGACGAGGACGCTCAATGAATCGCTCCAAAAAGCATGTACCATCACCAAAAGCGGCAAGTGCTTCTGATCTAGCTCTTTCAAAGAGATTAGGAACGGATTCGATATCACGGACAACACGCATTCCACGACCACCACCACCCATGACAGCCTTGATAATAACAGGAAGACCGTATTTTTTAATAAACGCCTGTGCCTGCTCAACAGTCTCAACCGGACCGTCTGATCCAGGAACAACCGGAACACCAGCCTTGATGGCTAATTTATGATTAGACAATGTTGAATAGCGGATGTCAGTAAATAGTCTATTTCACAACATAGTAAAAATGGTTGAACAACTAAATTACCTAGATCTCGAGCCTTGGTCTTGTTGCCGCACGCATCAATTACTTTTGGTGGAGGGCCAACAAAGGCAATACCAGCATCTTCAACCATTTCTGCAAACTGAGCATTTTCTGCAAGAAATCCGTAACCTAAATATGCAAAACTGATTAGAAATAGCAAATATGCCCAGAGGTTTAAAAGACAAAATGCTCAGTGACCTGGATGGATAGCAGCAACGCCACATTCTTTTGCTATTTCAACGATACGCTCACTGGCGAGATAGGCTCCGACGGGACTGTAAGTGCCTTGTTCACCAATCTGAAACGACTCGTCAGCCTATAATCAGTGTGTACAGTATGAGATTAGCAAAGATTTAACATCAATCTGTAGTTTGAAGGTAGTTGCTGGAAATAAAGCGGCAAGTGATCTTTCATGAATGCATGAAACGACATGACAAGAAATAGATGCTGATGGTGGACAAAGCATCCGACCATGTAAAATCATCATGAGTTGATGAATAATACTAGACGACTAAGCCATATAGAGATTTTGGTAGCTTTAGCCACGTCTATGGGAATGAAACCAAACAGTTGATTTTCGTAGTGGAAACAAATTCAAGATTAAATATAGCCAAGCATGATCACAAGTCATTACAAGCGTATTGAAGTGGGTCATACGATCAACGAATCCAACCCATTGTCAGCCTCAACATATTTATTGTGTTCATCACTCGCTGTAGATTTAAAATACTTGCGCAACACTCCACATCAGTACATATAAATACCTTGTATCGATGCATGGACAAGCGGTCTTCATGGGAATAGATGGCAACAGCCTTGAGTCCAAGCTCATGGACAGAGCGAATCAAGCGAATAGCAATCTCACCCCGATTAGCGACAAGAACAGGTTTCTGCATAGGCACATGCGAATCGTCATGCATTGCACTCATATGCATTGTTTGTGGAGTAATGGGTTCGAAATCAGGACCACCAAAGATATCCATAGCAGACCGACTGCCCCAGAGGTTGTTAATGCTAGCTGCACTTTTCGTACTGTTGACACTGCCTGGAGAAGATAGCGTGTGTGTGTTGCCATGATCGACTGATAAATGAGCAGTTGGACTGGTCGCAGTACTTGAAGTGACCGAATCACTATTAGCCTGTTTGGCAGTCGACCTGGACTGCGTAGATTTCCGCCGTGGATTGGGCATTCGTTCAAACGCTAAGAGTTATACAGACAAGAATTCAATATAGTATTTAGATGACAATCTCATAAGACCAAATCTGGCAATATTTTACTTTGTTTCTAAAACGGGTTCTGGCTCACAGCTAAAGACAAGGAATGAGTAGAAAAAACATTTATATTTCAACTCAATTTCAATCTGCTTTGAAAGCATGACATCAAGCAGTTTAGTTTTTTAAAGCTTGAATCACCGCTTATAAAATCCGATTGGTTTAAGTTGGCGTACAGACTGTATAGATGGAGCGATGAGGCTCGTGTCAGAATAGGATCAAAAAAAGCGTTGTCTTGGATTGAGAAGAGCAACGGACTGTTCAACAGACTGTTCAACAGACTGTTCAGCAGACTGATCGCGATACACGAGTAATCGTTGATTTTGCCATTCAAATCAGCAGTCTACCGATATTTGCAAAACATTGCCAAAACACTACCACACTCTTGTGCGGTTGAATAGATTTTATGCAAATACTTCAAGCATATGATGCACACTGATAGTTACTGACAGTTTCTTATTTTTCCACTCAGTTCCATCTCCATTGTTGCCAACTGTAAATTTGATTTGTCAAATCTAGTATACTATTGTCTATTCGGTTGACAACACCATCGTATACAATGTTGGTCAAGAATATATACTTTAAACATGCCGAGTAGAACATCATTCTTTGCCTGTAACGAGTGAAGCTGTCAATGTACAATCAATACTGGACTAGTGATTCAGATGGGTTGTACTGGCATCAGATTACCAATGTGATGATCTGCCCTATCAACACCTACTGCAAGTCATACCAATAGTTTAAACTTTTACTAGTAGCTTGACTAGGCACTCTAATATATACTTTGATGCATGGTAACAAGTCTAAATTTTCAGTATAGTTGATCTTAGATCACATTCTGCTGAACAGACTGGCAACAATAGAATCCAGATCTGGAATTTAAAACATGCGTCAACTCATTAAACTATTTCCCATTCATTCATACACATGGATTAGCCCATAAAACAACGTCCAGAACAGCACGTATGATGACAGGTTGGCGTATACACTCTGAGTCCACACTTGCAATCCAGTCGGCAAATACACCTCGGGCTTCATACCAGTAGAGTAAAAGAAATGTAGCAATGACATGAATAGAGATACTGCAAGATAAAAGAGAAAGCCATAGAGACCCTGTAGACCAAGAATGCCTGCTGCAGCACCAGAAAATAGAGCAAGTGATGAACGAGTATGGTCAATCACTTTAAAATTGTATTGGACAGTCTCGATTGACATGTTGGGGACTTGCTGAACTTCTGGTTGACCTTGCTGAGCCATTATGAGTAGATTGATATAAACTTGGTAGTCGCTACTATAACCAGCTGTAGATGAAGTTTAAGCAGTTGAATTGAATTGGCATGTTTGTATCTGGTAGTATTTTTAAAGTGAATTAAAGCACGTGACGCATGGATAATATTCAATGAATTTGAAGAGTAAACCAAACTGTACTGTTATGCAGCATCAGTAGTTGTTTTTACGTAATAAACCACGAGTAAATCATGAACAAATGATGAACAAATGATGAACAAATCATCAAGAAACCATCAATACATTATAAAGAAATCATCAATACAATAACAAGTCGCGCCAGTATTTCAAAACAAACTCCATGTTTTTGATACATATTTATAAAGATAAAACTGATTGCTCACTAGCACGCATGGATGAAACAAAGTTGAAAGAGAAAGAATGGCACCACAGTCATGAGTGGGTCAATCCAGCAACGGTTTCGTCGGCTGTCCAACAATTGTGGCGGCGCTCCACTTCAAACATAGCCAATTGTTGGATAAAAGCTGCAATTCTTTTCCTGTTATCAACCATCATCGCAAATGTCATATACTTCTCGTGGTAGCAGCAGAGGCTCTAGTCGTCAGGAAAGTCCCCATCGTTCTGCCCAGTCTTCCTCTCGTAGCAACCATCCGCAAAATGCACATAGTAGGGATGCGGGTGGTGGTACCAGATGGACTGCTGCTGCTGCTGCTGCTGAACGATCACATAATGATCCAAACGGTACATCCAGTCGCTGGAGACAGGACCAGGAGGACTGGGACAGTAGTGAATGGCTTCAAGAAAAGACAAAAGAGGTTCAGGGTGAATCCCTCAGTTCCACTCGTCGTGCTCTACAGCGACTCAATGAAACTCAAACCACTGCTGAGAAGAATATGGGAATGATGAATCAACAGTCAGGTATACACTGACCACTATCCTGTTTCTATTTCACTCTGTCTAAAAGTAGATGGAATCGCTAATACCCATGTCCATTGATTAGAACAATTGCACAAGATTGAGCTTCGGATTGATGTGGCAGAAAACCAAGCCAAGGTCAACGATGCCAAGGTGGATCATCTCAAGGCCGTCAACCGCTTCTTTTTAATTCCTTCCTTTGGCAAGGGTAAGGCCAAGCGACGTGAGAAGAAACTCAAGGATGCTATAGACGAAGGCAAGACCACCACCAAGTCTAGTAAAGAGCGAGAGGCACAGTGGGAAGAGCACAATAATCGGAAAGCCGAGTTTCAGAGTAAATATGATGCTAGACCTAACGGTCCTGCAGGTGCTGCATCTGGAAACAACTCGAGATATGAACGTATATATACTACACCCCAGGGAGTGGATCGTGATGATGTGGAAGTCGAATTGGATTCAAACTTGAATGATATATCTAGTGGTTTATCCCGTCTTAAAATGATGGGAATGGCCATGAACTCTGAACTGGACTCGCAGTCCCAGCAGATGAATCGCATTCATGATCGTACCGATGCCAGTCGCGACTACATGGGCCGTCTTAACAACAAGATGGACCATTTTGCTCCTAGAAACAGGAAATAGTTAGATGTTTAAACTATCATTGGCAAGAGTAGCCGGTGTTTTGAAATGGTTGTTTTTATACCATGTTTTTGTTACCTTTTTTTGTTTTTTGGGATAGTTTTGATGCACATTTGATCCATTTATTCTCTCCTAGCCTGTTTAAACTTTATCTTTTAATTAAAAACTCTTTATGTTTCAACAAACCATTCATGATTTGACATTTGGGATAAAAACTAGTTGGATTCGAGAATAAAAATCAAGTTTATCGACTTGAAAGCAATCAAAACAAGAATTTCCTCTTCTTTCATACTCTACAAGTGTATGCGATTTGGGTCTTTTCATTTACGACCAATTAAATATCCATTCCACTATTCACAGCATCGTTTGCTTCTTTCATATACTATTGGTAGTAATTCTAAATATTTTACCACTTTGCTGAATTCACACCAGTACTCATACATTCCTGCTTCTATCTTTGGATCCAACCGCCATTCAACCTTGTCAACTCCAAAGGCTCTTGAACAACCCAAAATCATGACTGATCCAGCCGCTGCCACTCTTAGTGGTGAATCTACTACCAAGTCAAAGAATGAGGCCAAGAATGAGGCCAAACGTCTTGAAAAACTCGCCAAATTCCAGGCTAAACAAGCCAAGCAAGCTGCTACAGAGGTAATGTCGCCATCACTCGAGATTGTAAATGATTAGACCAGTTTTTGAATGTGTTGGTTTGTAGATTCCATCGATATCCATCGATTGATTGGGAAGCTAATCAAGCATTGAATACTTGAATGTATTGAATAGAAAGCGCCAAAAAAGACGGCTGAGCCCAAGACTGCTGCTCCTGCTGCCAAAGAAATCGAGCCCTTTGTCAATCTCACTCCAAAGGGAGAGAAAAAAGGTAAATACTTGTCCATTATTGCTGTATTCAAATCTTGAGGTTTTCAGTTCATGGATCTTCAGTCTGCACAATCATGTGCAAGATGCACGATTTATTAATGGATAAATTTCTGTCACTAGACATGGCCGCTCCTATGGCATCTTCCTATAATCCAAAGGCCGTCGAGGCCGCTTGGTACGATTGGTGGGAAAAGGAAGGCTATTTCAAGCCTGAACTCAAGCCTGATGGAACTGCAAAGGACGAGGGCACATTCGTTGTTCCCATTCCACCACCCAATGTCACTGGCTCGCTGCACATTGGACACGCTTTAACCAACGCTATTCAGGATGCTATGATTCGCTGGTACATTCTATTTTAGTTGTGGATTTATTGTTTAAAATATTGGGCTGTCACAACTAATCACTTGCATTTCAATCTGGCACTACCACTTGATTATATGTTGATGTATTCTATCCAGGAACCGCATGCAAGGAAAAACTACGTTGTGGGTTCCTGGTGCAGATCACGCTGGTATATCTACTCAGGTTGTTGTCGAGAAAAAGATTATGCGTGAACGTGGTATTACTCGCCATCAGCTTGGTCGTGATGCGTTTCTCGAAGAAGTGTTCAAGTGGAAAGATGTCAACATTCATAATATCTATAATCAGCTTCGTCGTATGGGATCTTCCTTTGACTGGACTCGTGATCACTTTACTATGGATGCGGTGAGTCATTCATTTAGCAAGATAGTCGTGCTGAACCATCATTGCTGCAATACTAATGCTTTAAAATAGGGACTATCAAATGCTGTTAAAGAGGCATTTGTTCAAATGCACGAGGATGGTACTATTTACCGTGCAAACCGTCTTGTCAATTGGTGCACAAAACTCAAGACTGCTCTTTCTAACCTTGAAGTTGAGAACAAGGAGCTTGATGGTAGCACGTTTATGACTGTGCCCGACCACGATCCATCCAAAACATACGAGTTTGGTGTGCTGATTTCCTTTGCCTATCAAATTGAAAACTCGGATGAACGCATTGTTGTGGCCACCACACGTTTGGAAACCATGCTGGGTGACACTGCCATTGCCGTACATCCATCTGATAAACGCTACCAGCATTTGCACGGAAAATATGCAATTCATCCATTCCAAAATCGTCGCATTCCCATTCTGCCTGATGAATATCCCGATCCTGAATTTGGTACTGGTGCCGTGAAAATCACTCCTGCTCATGACGCCAACGATTACATGGTTGGTCAACGTCAAAAACTAGAAAACATCACTATATTCACTGACGACGGCAAGATCAATGAAAATGGTGCTCCGTTTACTGGCTTGCAGCGATTCGATGCTCGTGCTGCCGTTCTTGCTGCTCTCAAGGAAAAAAATCTATATGTAGGCACAGAGTCCAACAAACAGGTTCTTCCCATTTGTACTCGTTCTGGAAACATTATAGAGCCCTTGCTGAAACCCCAATGGTGGGTCAACTGCCAAGAGATGGCTGGTCAAGCTATGGATGCCGTCCGTAATGGTGACATGAAAATTGCTCCAGCTCTTTCTGAACGCGAATGGTTTCGCTGGCTTGATAACATTCAAGACTGGTGCATCTCTCGCCAGTTATGGTGGGGTCATCGTGTTCCTGCTTACTTTGTCTGCATCGATGGTGACGAAAATGATCGTGATGACTCCAACAGGTGGGTATCGGGCCGATCAGAAGATGAAGCCAGGATCAAGGCAATCAAAAAGTTTGAAACCGTAGACCCTGCAAAGATAACTTTGTTCCAGGATGAGGATGTGCTTGATACATGGTTTTCTTCTGGTCTTTGGCCCTTTTCCATTATGGGATGGCCCGCAAAGGTATAGCTTTACGATGGAGTATTTGACATTGTTGAAATGTGTTGACTATTGCTAAACTGACCTACACTGTACAAATATGTTTAGACAAAAGACATGGAACTGTATTTTCCAAACACCTTGCTCGAAACTGGATGGGATATTTTATTCTTTTGGGTTGCTCGTATGGTTATGATGTCGCTCAAATTTAACGGAGTCGTTCCTTTTAAACAAGTATTCTGCCATGCCATGATCCGTGATGCTCACGGTCGTAAAATGTCCAAGAGTTTGGGTAATGTAATTGATCCCATTGATGTGATTGAGGGTGTCACACTGCAGCTTCTCCAAGAACGTCTAGAAAAGGGCAATCTTGATCCGCGTGAGCTTGTTCGTGCTCGCGATGGTCAAAAAAAAGATTTTCCTAATGGCATTCCCGAATGCGGCACTGATGCTCTCCGCTTTGGACTTTTGGCGTACTCTGCTAGTGGTCGAGATATCAATCTTGATATTCTTCGTGTGGATGGATACCGCAAGTTTTGTAACAAACTGTGGAACGCAACTCGATTTGCTCTTCTTAAACTTGGCGAAGATTACAAGCCTCGTGCTACCCACAATCAACTCACTGGCAAGGAATCCGTTGTTGATCTATGGATCTTGGCCAAGCTTAACAAAGCCATTGCCGAGACAAACACGAGTATGGAGCAGATGAATTTTATGCAAGCTACAACTGGAATGTATCAGTTTTGGTTGCACGAGCTCTGTGATGTGTATCTTGAAGTATGCAAACCTGTCATTGATGGCGAAGACATTCAGGCCAAGGAAGCTGCTCAAGATGTGCTATACATTTGTTTGGAGCAAGGTTTAAAGCTTTTGCATCCTGTTATGCCATTTGTAACTGAAGAGCTATATCAGCGACTTCCCCGTCGTGCTGGAGACGCACCACACACCATCATGAAGGCCAAATTCCCTACTACTCTGTCTATTTGGGAAAACTCTACTGCAGAATTTGACTTTGAAGTTACCAATGAGGTTATTCGTGGTATTCGATCGCTCATGACAGAATACAATATTCGTTCCAACGCGACCAGTAAGTGTATTGAACCAGTTTTGTTTTTGGTTGAACAAAGCCTTTGAATGTCTTGTTGACATGATTGGATGATACTGTATCATTTTTAGTATATGTCAGTGCATCGAATGAGCATTTGCGCACAGTAGTTGATTCACAACAGACGATTATCAAATCACTTGCCAAGGGCATCAAGGTATTCGAAACGGTTGCTGTAAATGGACAAGCTCCTGCCGGTTGTGTTGTGTCTACTCAATCCAACACCACGGTTTACCTGCTTGTCAAAGGTCAGATTGACTTTGATGCAGAGATTGCCAAGCTGAATGCAAGGATTTCCAAGGTGCTTCAGATACACAAGGGGCTGAGTGCAGTCATGGCGGGTGATGGATACGCTAGCCGCGTCAAGCCCGAGGTCAAGGAGAGTGATGCTCTAAAGGTAACTTTGTGTTTCTGAAAGACTCACTGCATTGATAGTATGTGGCGATCATCTTGACTAACTTGATATGTTTGAATGAATCTTGCCATGACGTACTGATGTGTAGCTCAAAGGTTACGAGACTGATATGAGTACTCTTCAAGCTGCTGTGGACAACTTTGTTCTTTTGAAATCTACTTGAATGAAATAGATGGTATTAAGCTCTGCCTTGTTTATTAGCACATGCATAATCTGCTTGATCTAAATTACCGCCATATTCACGCAAAATGGAACATTAGATAAAAGTGCATAGCAGACAGGCAGTCTTGTGAAATGATTAGTGCCAGATTTACCCAACGCTGTGGTCATTGGACGAATGTTTAAAGCTTGGTAATTTTTTTCCTGGTGATCGGCATGAAAACAGTTGCTGAGACGCGCCAATGAATGGGATTTAAAATACAACAAAGTGGAGGTTGTAACTTGTATTGACAACATTAAAACAATACCTGCATTGCAATGGATAAATCAGGTTTCAAACTTGATGACTGTACAATATACGATTATGCCAAAAGAAAAAGAACAGGTCCAAAACTACTGTTTGACTTGTAAGCTTCATATGGACAGTGTTTAGAAGAATCGAGAAGGTCGATTGAATAAGCAGTCAATCTCCAATAGAAAGGTTTGATACATTTAACCATTGTTTATTCCAAACCAAAATAATGATTGCAAGATGAATACAAGATGTTCCGTTGTACGCGAATACGATTGAACTATGGTACGTTTTTCAGAATGCAATGGTTTCAACTCGGAGCAGTCACATTCTATTCCGAGAGGATATCCGAACGATTAATGTAAATTGAATGGAGGCTCATGTACACAAACTCCTATTGCATGTTTACAATTTATGATTGATTTGATGCAAGTTCAAATAAAGCAGAAACATTTTTACACCCAATGCTATGTTGTTTCTGTAGCAAATTTGGCTAGATGAAGGGTGGCTCGGAACTTGATCCAACTAGCCCTGATGCTGGATTGCAGAAAAGTCAAGGCACTGAGGTAAATTACAATTCAATGCAAAGCCTAATTGATGTTAATTTGTAATGGGAATTCAATTTGACAATCAGGTGTGATTAGAGTGAATTGCACGAAATTGGAGAATATTTGAATTCAAAGTTGGTGTGTTTCAGCAATCTTCATTTTGATTATGCATTGATATCAAAGGCATTGCAGAAATAAATTTACAATGCTTGAGCCCTTTGATAGTTTGATAGTATACAGAGTGAGGGAGTTTAGGATGTCAATTGCAAGTTGACAGGGTGGCTCAGCAGGGAAATGTCAAGCTTAAACCAGTCACCACCCTTTGTGTAACAAAGGCTTCAATTGGGTCCAAAGTGACAGGTGGGGTAAGATGGTTAGACTGTCACAGGACGACTAGCTCTGACAAACATTTGACATAATCTCCCTCTTTGAAATTCACTCCTTTTAACGGTGGCTTGCAACATTGATTGAGGGAGCACACGCTTGGGATATTAAAGTAAGCGTTTTATTCCTTCGATTCCGGCTATTGCTGCACTTCTTGCACGGACACACCGAGTCAGCCGCTGCTCAAGTCCTATTTAGCTTGCAATCCCTTATTACAAAGGCCATCTCGACATCATCAGTTTGTAATCACCAGCACAGCAGCATTCCCACATCAACTCCGAGTTTGCCGCAGTTTATTCTATTATTAACTCGAATCATTCAAAGTTACTTAAAGATACAATCGAGCAACACGAATCTTTCTGAAGAATATTTTGTGGCTCAGTACTTTACACAAGTCTGTTTCCGTTTTGTGCTCGACTTGATTTGTAACCAACACTCCGCTTCCCGCTTGTGTTTTGCTATTGATTCCAGTGGAGATTGACCGGATTTAGTTATATCCAAGTGAATTGCCTTTTTCCCACTCATACAAGAACGATTAGACTGACACCTTGGTAAGTATTACTTGTTTCCAAGTCAATGCATTGCAATCGGTTGACTAACTTTGGGCTTATCATAAACTGATGACATGTTAGCTATTATATCGACAGGCTTTAGTTTGAGCATTGACTCGAGATTGCCTTTTCAGCTACTTTAAATCATGTCGCCTACAGCACTCCCAGCAGCGGAGAAGCGTATGCATTCGATCCCTTCAGGGAATAACCCCTCGCAACAACCTCCTGCTCAACGTCAACGCACTAATCATAATTCACGCCATGCAGCTCCTCGCAGTGGAGATACCACTGCCAGCAATGGTGATGCTCCGACTGCTCAATCCAAACCTCGTCCTCCGAGGGTTATTTCCCACTTTTTGCTCTCCAAAACACTGGGCCAGGGATCGATGGGCAAGGTCAAGATTGCCACTTGCACCAACACTGGTAAACAGGTAAGCACTTGTCGTTGCACTCTTGTAACCTTGCAATATACGAATGAGTTTGAGCTTTGATATTGTCATCCAATTTGATTCCACTATATTGTGCTGAATATCTGACCAACAAATGATTCTGCGTTCATGTCATAGTATGCATGCAAAATCGTTCCTAAACCATTAAGGGATGCCTCTGCGCCAAACCCATCTCTGATTGCTGGCCCTACAAGTCTTATTAGTGCTGTGCCTGGTGCTGAGCGTGACTCGACTCAGTTGGTGAACAAACTAGAACTCGAGGATCAGCGTATTATCCGTGAAATCGCCATCACACTGCTGCTTTCTCACCCTAATATTGTCCCATTGTACGAAGTGGCAGTCTCGCATGACTACTATTATCTGTTTTTTGAACACATTGACGGTCCACAGATGCTTGATTTTATTATTTCTCATGGGCGGCTCAAGGAAAAGTTTGCTCGCCGATTTATGCGTCAAATCATATCTGCTGTTGATTATTGCCATCAAAACTCGATTGTGCATCGCGACCTCAAGATTGAAAACATTCTCATTGACAAGAATGGCCAGATCAAGCTGATTGACTTCGGACTTGCTAACCTCTACAATCCCAACTCCCTTTTATCCACATTTTGTGGCAGCTTATACTTTGCTGCCCCTGAACTTCTTTCTGCGCGCAAATATGTTGGTCCTGAAGTGGATATGTGGAGTATGGGCGTGATTCTCTACGTACTTGTGTGCGGCAAGGTGCCGTTTGACGACAGCAGTCTTCCAGCTTTGCATGCAAAAATTAAATCTGGAAAAGTCGAGTATCCAAGCTTTTTGTCCGATGAATGCATTCATTTACTATCTACTCTTTTGCATCTAGATCCATCTCAGCGTGCCACTATATCTGATTTGCAATGCCATCCTTGGATTTTAAAAGAAAAAGAAACGTTTCCCAAGACTTTGATTCCTGTTCGTCAGCCATTGACTGCACCCTTTGATGATGAAGTGATTGAGCGTATGTGTGGATTTCAACTTGGCACCAGTAATGAAATAGTGGAGCATTTAATGCTTGCCATCAATGGTGTTTCCAACGCTAGTCCGGATGGATTACAGCATCCGTTGGTTCAGTCTCAGCGCCTAAACTGTCCGTCACATGCTATTGTGTCCATCTATTATTTAGTAAGCGAAAAACTGGAAAAGGAGCGTAATGCACGCATTGCAGAAGCAGCTGCCATGGCTAAATCTATGGATCAAAACGGCACTCTACTTGAGCCACCTTTGCCTAAGCTTGCAAATATTGAGTCTCAATCAATTGCTTGTCCCTTGCCAGATTTAATCAGAATACCATCAAGCACGGCCGTGCCCACGTCGGACGCATCACCCGCTCCTGCTCCAGTTCCACAAGAAGTCTTTGAGCAGGAAATCGAAGATACTGCCATGAGACGTACCCAATCGCTTTCGACACGGATCTCTCCAGGAGAACGAGAATCGGCTAGCATGGATGCAGCACAGGCTCCACACTCTGCATACACAGCGGCTGCGCGTACAGTCAACTACAACTATTTATCCAGACCGGCCATGAAAGAAGGTGATACATCTATATTTGGTACATTCTCTCGTCGTAAACGAAAAAATAAACCCAGCAATCTTGTTCCGGTCGAACATGACGGAACCCAAATGGAATCTGACGCTGTAGTGCCTTTGAATGAAAACATGCAACCCCAATCTCGGTCTTCAGCAATGGACACAGTACCTTGTGCGTATGATCATCTACCAGAGACTCCAACTGAAAAGCAAAAAGAAACAAAGGGCTTTTTTTCAACTCTCATACACTCGCTTACTCGTCGTCGTAAGGATAATCAACCATCTAATGAATTCGAGTCCACTCCTAATACTGCATCGAGTACTTCTCCACCTAATCTTGACACCCCTAATACTCCAGATTGTGGCGAAAATCAATCTCCTCGTGCATCCAATGTGTCTGGAACAAGTGGTAGAAGTATGCTTCCACAATATGCGCCGTCGATTCATAATTCGACTGGAAAGTCTTCTAATCTTGGTTTTGGCAGCGTATTTCGCAATCGTTCATCCTACATGGGCGATCCCAAATCTACTGATCTTTCCGAGTCCACGTCTGCTCCTGCTGGACAATTGGATGATAAAATCAAGTATATTTATTTCAAAGGCTTTTTCACAGTCAGAAACACCTCTGCTCAAGATCCGGCGGATATTCGACGAGACTTTTTGCGAGTTCTTCGCATCCTATCTGAACGTCAAGGCATTACTTACCTGGAGCGTTCTGGTGTCATTATAGTTGAATTTCCAGCACCCACTGCTCCCAGCAATATGTCTCTTTTCCGTGGCAAAAGCAAAGGAGATGTGCGTGGTTCTTTTGGGTCTCCTTCCTCTTCCCGTTCTGCTGGGCTTTCTCCAGCATATGCAAGTGATGGCTATAACGCTTACTCTCAAGAACCGAATGCACTGTCTCCTATTTCACCCCAACCGCCTGTTCTTCCTGATATGCCAACACCTGCCGAGTTTGATATTTTATTAGATGCTTCTCCTGAAAACTCTTTAAAGACAGATTCATTACAGCAGACTGGAACACATATTAACAAGCCGCTTCCTCCTGCCTTGACCAAACCCATTCGCGACTTTTCCTATATCACAGCCAACAGCAGCAACGCAGACACGGGAAGCATGAATTCCGAGACTCCGCGCACAAGCTCAATCACCTTCAATGGTACACCTAGTCGTAACTCCACTAACAGTATGATTCCACCTCGTGGTATTTCTAATCCTGCTGCTCAGCTCAGTCGTCTGCCTGCATATCAAACAGCGCGTTTTGAGATTGAGCTGTGCAAAATTACTTGGAGCGGACTGCATGGTGTCCAGTTTCATCGCATTGTAGGAGATTCGTGGCAATATAAGCGCATGTGCCAGCAGATTCTGGATATGCTGAAGCTTTAATACACATTGTCATTTAGTCTCTTGCATGTATTTCTGTTTGTGCTGGCTTGATACTCTTACCTCGCCCAGCCTATCCATTTTTAGTCCTTGATATTCTAGTATACACTTTTACCCATTTTTTTCATTCTCTTTTGGTGGATATACTGTTGTGAAGATTCAAAGTTGATGCTTTTGATCTAATATCATGCGTGAGTTTTTCAACTCAATCCCACATTTAATTCTTTACTCTTTCAAGCAATTTTTTTCGAATTAAACTATTTTTGCAAAACTTTATTGTGGGGACATGTTTGTTTGATAAAATGACAGTACTCATGCAAATAGGACATTTATCTTGCATTCAGTCTATTTTGATTGGGAATAATCCATGATTCAATATTCGTTCTTTGCTACTAAAAATTGACTTGAATAAACATCTGAAACTGCTCAACAAAAACATCCCTTGTTATACCCGAGCCATTTTATACAGGGTTCAATCCACAACTGTTTGAACGGTTGATAAATCATGTTTGATTAGACAGCTGCTTTATCGAACGGAATGTTGCCTAGAATAACATGGGTGTTTGAAAATTCAATACAACGACCATCATATGACGCACACAATCCAGCTTGTTTCTATTGTATTCTAAAACATCAGATACGCTTGCAACCTAGTTCAAGAGAACAAGGATTGTATGCCTCGGGAATACGCCCTGCATGCCAATCACCCAATGCCACACTACTCGGTGTGTAGAAAAAGAGATTGGCTGAGGCTGTGATGTACTCATTCACTCAGGCTTTAATACAAAATGAGCAAAGTGGAACCAGTGAACTAAAAAGCTCAAAGTGTACAATGTTATCCAGTAAACTTGACGTGAATTGACATCCATCACGTCACAAGACCGGTACTATGCATTTTGATACCCTTATTTAATGACATTTACATGAGTATGGCTGTGATTGCCACATTGAGTTGGGGTCCAGTTGATTCTATAGGCTAATTCGCTCAACATGCCAATAGGCAAAAACCCATAAAATAACGGATGTAGATCATAATCTCTTAGCCTGATTTCCAAACTTGATAACTATGGTCGCTCTGGGATATGCACTTATAGCTGCTTCTACAGGAGTACGACGTGAGTATAAGATGTGTTGAAAACTTGTTGGTTTGATGTTGGGCAGTTGCATTCTGAATACGGTAGTGATTGCAAGTTGCTGTCATGACTGATGCTTGATCTATGCTGCCATCATTTATTATTTGAATATGGCAGTGATCGGCTTATCAGCAAACAAATCTGTATCAACTTTTAGAGTTGGACTGCATGTATGCAATCGGCTAACTTTCTACATGTATGGTGTACCGTTTGTGATTTTACTATGTATTAGTTGGTACTCCATCGAAACCTGGTGTAGCACTTGCTTTATCTCCTGATGGCTCATGTGGTGGTAGTTCTGGATATCGATGTGATACCGGTGAATGCTGCTCGCAGTATGGTTATTGTGGAACTACTGCCGCCTATTGCAGCGTTGGATGCCAAAAATCTTTTGGTATCTGCACTGGCGCGACGAGCACGTCCATAGTGGTGACCTCTGCCGTGCCATCCTCTGCTCCACCATCCTCTGCCGCGCCATCCCCTACCGGATCGCATCCAGTATCTCCTGACGGTACATGTGGTGCTAAGTTTGGATATCAATGTGATATCGGTGAATGCTGTTCGCAGTATGGTTATTGTGGAGTTACTAGCGATTATTGCAGTGTTGGATGCCAAAACGGTTTTGGTATCTGCACCGGCACCGGCACGACGACTATGTCCATAGTGACCTCTGCTGCATCATCCTCTGCCGCGCCATCCCCTACCGGATCGCACCCAGTATCTCCTGACGGTACATGTGGTGCTAAGTTTGGGTATCAGTGCGATATCGGTGAATGCTGTTCGCAGTATGGCTATTGTGGAGTTACTAGCGATTATTGCAGTGTTGGATGCCAAAATGGTTTTGGTACTTGCACCGGCGCAACTACTATTACTGGCACATCAGCATCTGCTACTTCAACCTCGACTTCACCTGCCTACGTTCCACCCAATCCCAATTTGTCTGCCCCTATCATCACTACTTGCAAGAGTCCAAAACAGTTTGCCCTGACTTTTGATGATGGACCGACCACCAATGTGCCTGCTATTTTGGATATGCTTAAAACCAACAATGTCAAAGCAACCTTTTTCGTGAATGGCAAGAACTTTGCAGATCTTGCCCTTGAGCCTTATATTTCTATTCTCCGTCGTGCATACACTGAAGGACATCAGGTAATATACTTTGTATTCAATCTCACATTGTATTCAGGGTTTATTTATTAATACTCGACTGTTGATATTTACTTTAAACATCAGATTGCCTCTCATACACTTACCCATCCCGATCTGACTTCATTGAATGCAGCTCAAATGTGGACCGAAATGTCCCAGAACGATATTTTGATTCGCAACATTATTGGTAAATCACCCGTTTACATGCGTCCACCATATGGTAGCATAAACGCGCTTGTTCTGAGTGCCATGGCAACTTGGGGATACCAAGTAGTGACCTGGAATCTCGACTCGGGTGATTGGGCCCACAATAACGATTCCAACATGATTGCTGAGAACGATGCTAGTTATGCCAATGACATGGCTGGACATCCTATTCCGGCCACACCATTCATTTCTCTACAGCACGATTTTGTTATAAACGAGATTAATTGGGCTCTACATGTCATTACCAAGTTTAAAAATCTTGGTTACAGTTTTGTAACAGTTGGCGAATGTCTTGGCGTTCCTGCTTCCCAATGGTACCGATAGTTTGACTGGTTGATACATTTTCAATAAACTCTGCATGCTACTTGAATGATTCCAGAATTGTAAGGTGGATGGATTTCCACATGACAAATATACCAATTATCTCACTGTTAGGACAGTATAGTTGTCCACCCTGGTAGTCAAATGATGCATTTTTATATTACAAGCATTACACTGGTGTGCTTATATGACTTGAACCATTTGAAATCCAGCAGTAACTCGATGCTAACTTGATACTCCAAAATGATTTAAAAACAAGATTGATGTTGAAAGCATGAGTAATGTATACACTCAATTGTATGATCATCGAAAATGTAAAACATGGTACCAATCCATATCTGATATTCAGATCGTGTATAGTAAACTGGGTTGTCTTGGATTTATCTGGTGTCATACTATATCCGTATTCACGCTACATACAACAACATATCACCAAGTTTCTATAGGTAATTGAGCATCTGTTCATTATGCTTGCCATTACAGACAATGAATTGAAGATATTGACATCGAATCGAATATTATAATCCTGACCACAACTGAAGAATATTGTTTATGGCGAAACAAGTAATTTCCAGTACGGTTTCATTGTTGATGATTTGATTAAAATGGATTCAACATTAACCAAGCCGATTTAAAATCTTCGAGTGAAGTTGCCATGAAGCAATTTATTACTGGAAATTGACAAATCTACGTCACTTCAACTATTCAAACTACACTCAAACACTTGAATGGCAAACACACCACTCAGACGACGGCGAATTCGACAAGAGCCATTCATGACTCGTTTAGTCACCTTCCCATTGGATTGGTTGATGTTGATGGGAGAGTGGTGGGCAAACATTGATCAAGAACAGCTTTTTGCCAACTCCAGGTAAGATCCAATGTGCTAATATCAACTACTGGCTTTGATGGTCGAGCTTACATAGGTGACTGTATTCCAACAATCGGGCAAAAAGTCATCATCGATTCTCATTCATCTGCACTTATAAACTCACAAATCCTGTAGTTTTCTTATTGCTCTACTGTTAAATGTACTCTATCTACTAGTCAAGATGTATCGAGATGGTGTTTTGGACGATGCAGAGGAATTGCGAGCACTGTCCAAATCGTCATATCTCGAGCTGTCGCTTGACTCAAACTCGTTTGCATTGTTCATGCAATGGCTGGGTTTAAAAATATCAAGTCATATGCTGGTCAGTTTAAACTAATACTGAGTTTGACAATTTTGATTTGGATCTTGCCTGGTACTGACAATATTGTTTTTGTGATAAGTTTACTGTAATCGAGTTTGTATTGATACTGGTGTGTGTACTCAATACCATCCATGTATTCACTCGAACAAAATCATTTATTCTTTTCAAGCAGCCTACAAAGGCAAGTGCAAATGCCATATATCTGCTCGATTCGTTTACACAGATGAACACTGGATATGTTGAAGAATGTATGGAATCGTAGCTAATACTCCATTCCTGTTGATGTAGCCTCGCTATCCCAGTGACAATCAATGGATGATCCGTAGTAGAAATGCACAGATTCGTCAAGTAGATGTTGCGCAGCCTGTAACCACAGACAATCAATCATCTCATACCCAATGGACCAATTTATTCAGTAGTAAGAAACCACAATCAAAAAGTGGGCTAAACTCCACGACTCAACACAGACAAGATGACTCTTTGGATGCCAGTGATTTACTGTCGAAAAAGTCGCAGCCATATAAAGAGGATCGATGGGTGATTCAAGTTTGGAACCCATCTGAAGGTTCCTTGAATTTATTTTGCTGGTTTTCACCACCACAGATTGCTGTCATGTACGGCGCGAATGTTTCCAACTGGTACTACTACATTCCTGTTGCGTGCCTGACTGCATTGATTGTAAGTCGAATATGCTATCTGTCATTTATGTTTGATATTACGGTATCCAACACGCATCAGTAGATGTATTTTCTGGTGTCACTATTTAATGATAGGCTACAAGATCAGCAGATTCTTTCTGGCCAGTTACTGCATGAATTCACAGAGTCGTTTGTGTATCAGCAATACCCACTCAAATCAGACTCTAATACTGCAATGAAGAATGATTCAGATGATTCCAAAAGTGATGCCTTGTTTGATAGCAACGGTACTGAACTGCATTATTGAATAGATGAAGTTGACACGTACAGGTGTGTTTAACCAATAAACTGGCTGTCGAGGCCTTGGTTAGCCTTGACCCAATGTGATATGTTCAAGTATGATTGTTATTTGGATTTATTCGTAAACTGAGCAGTATTTATGGATAATATTTGAGTGTACCAAGGTTTGAGAGGTGCAGTTGGTTCATGAGATGAAATTTAGGTCCGATATATCAAGTAGCGTATCGGCCATGTTATCTTATAGACCACCAACTCAGCATACAACCATCAAAACTGGGAAAGGCGACTTGACGCGCGAACAATATGAGCTGATGAGTTGGGTCGACTAACACCGAAAACCGAAGAGTTGGCAATCTTGGATGAAACGGCTTGCAGAGCTTTGTTATTGGCAGTACCAAATTGGGTACATTCACCCGTTAGTTGAGGGATTGGTGTGCGATGTAGTTTGGGTCGTGTAGAAAATCCTACATCAAAGTCTGCTTTTCTATTCACGTTATTGAAACCACATGCAGTTCACCAAACGATGGTAGATTTCAGTGAACATGATCAAAGCTGAACAAAAATATACCTTGAAGCAAAGCACGACAGTTTAACAAAAAACTTACCCTCTAAAAGCAATTGGCTGGCCAGTATTTGTTGGGTTGGAGTTTGTTTGATTTGGTTGGTTCATTAAAATATTGGCACCTTCGCGACGACCCATACCAGGTGTAGAGGGTCGCAATGGAGTCATTGCACGTTTAAAATCAGCAACTGTGTGTACACCAGTATGAGCGATACGTGATTTATCTGCTCGACTCATACTCGAGATAGATGGCTGTATGTATCAATCAAAATTCAGTACTAAAGTATTTGACTGATATAATTCAATGGTATTGGTGATTGAAAATTACCTTTGAAATTGCGTAGGACTCCAACAATTCGTCACCAATAAGCGTCTCAGCATCTCCTGGTGCAATTTCATTCACTTCTTCCTCGTCAAAAACAGGCAAATCATCCTAAATCAATAAAGCAAAAAATAAACATTTAGTGTGTTGGCAAGCTGGTTTGAACAACTAGTACAATATAATCAATATGTATACATAGTTTACAGTATACCTCTTCATCGATATTATCGTCTTCTTCGCCATCTTCAGAAACAGTATCCTCGTCAACCTTTTCATCCTCTTTTGATTGTAGCTTCATAATTACAAAATCAATTTGTTTTACAAGCTGCTCTTCAGAGATTTCCCGAAGATACCCCAGTTGTTCATCCATTCCAATTGCAAGAGCGCGATCTTTTACAGCAGGTTCGGACAATATACTGTATATTGTGCCATTTACATAAGTTTTTACTTGGATGTTGTCGTGCTCAATCAAACTGTTGAGAACTAAAAGAGTTTGTTCTGGGGATGCCGCGCATTGCTGTTTTCCGAGTTTGCGTAAACAGAGATTCATCATGAGCGCAGTTGCATATTCAATAGTATACTCTGAAAGCGAATCTATATCCTTGAGTATAGATTGAAGATAAGCAATTGTGCAAGACTTGTTCATGATAGATTGTGCAACTCGTCTAATCGTTGCATTTAAATCACAATAATAGATAATGGTTCAAGTCAAAACACTACAAACGTATATTGGATAGCAAATATACTTTGTGTATTGATAACTACACTACTGCATTGTAAAGTCTGACGTACCGGAGAGATAGTTTTTGAAGAGCACCCAAGAGATTCCGACGATATTCCGAATCTTCTACTCTGCTTTTCATTTCTTCCAAAAGCGTAGAAACAAGGTGTCCATTTTTCAGCAATAAATATTCGCGTCCAGACCAATCGGTGGCAATAGTATTGATTAGCTGAGCTAGCTGTTCCTTGACAATCAATGACTGTCTACCAAAAATATCAGCAATCACTCCCTAGTATAGTGGGTTAGCAATGAGTGATTGAGTTTTTGCCAAAAATGCTGTTAAAAGCAAATCGTAATTGTGATGTAATAACACACCTTTCCCTTGCGTATATCTAAAAGATCATGTGCAATAAAACTATGCAATACTTCTCTTCGACTGGCACAACTTTGGCTTTTTGATAGCCTCTAAAGTTTTAAAATCGGAATTTCGCATGAGCAATCAGTATAAAATAATCAATACACCCATTAAACTCTCATCATGCTACAATGTCATGCAGCATGATGAGATCTATTTTAGTGAGAAATTAAAAATGTGTGGTAAACGTACGAGTCGAAGTGCTTGTAAAAGGAATGCTTGTTTTTGAAGTACATTGGCATCATTAGAGTTTGATAACAGAGTGTTTTGAATGGCAGAATAATCTAGCCGCTTTTCTATAGGAATAAGTTTTGGGTCATTGCTTTGCGTATCTTTTAACCTCGCTGGGTATATAGCCGAATGCTGGATACGTCCCGATGACTGACTGTGTCTTGGGCTATGGCTGATTATCGATGAACTGCATTAGTAGCTAAATATTCAAACATATCAGATCAAATACCAAGACTTGCCTATCTGATTCTGATATTTGTTTGAACGAATTAATATGTGACTGTTGCAAACCATTTGAATGGTCTTCTTTTTTAAAGGTCGATAGTTTTTGAACAATTGCTGATAAATAAGCCGGCTTAATCTTTGTCATTGCAGTTGATAAATAATCACATTAGCTTTTTAAAGCACCCATCTGTATAATTTATCGTCTGGTCAATCAACTACCTTTTCGCCGCTGATACTAGACGCTAGAGTTTGCACTAGATCCGAGGTAATGGCAATCAGGCTTTGATAATCCATTTGGATGTTTCGTAATTTTATGTTTATATGCTCGCTATAATTTTCCAATTCTTGAATATTCATGTTTAGCGTGTCTACATTGTGGTTGCATTCTAATTATACATATATATTGGTCAGATTCAAAGCGTTAGGGTTTGGATATATTTAAAATTGTGCAAAAACTATTGTGAATAGTGTATACATTTAATAGAAAGTAGACTAGAAAATATTCATAACTGCTGTGTTGTTCAATTAAAAACAACAATCATTGTTATATAATGAATTTTAAAAACTAATCGGACAACTGTATGTTTTGAATATTACAAAGAAAAGTAAATACTTACGAGGATGGCCACGCTGATTTAAATGCTATATTTTGACAACATCATATTGTTAATAAAGTTTCGATTTGAAAATTGTCTCGGAAAAGAAATAAAAATATATAATGTTCATGTTAACAGGCATACCGACTCATTTAGCAAATTCACCAGTTGAGGAACTTGCTTTTTAGTCAGAGAGGTTTTTAGAAACGAGACAAGGCGATTGTGCAACTCTGGTGCCCACGTATCCAAAAACAGATTTTGGAAAGATGGGTGTCCTTGTGGGTCTGGAACGTATGGTAAAGCATAATATTGCAGAAACTGCGAAGTTCCACCTTGGTCCGCTCCTCTCGTTTCTATAAATTTTTTAAATGCGTCCATAGTGGATTCAATCTTGTAGGCCTATGAATTTTACATTAGCAGAGATAAGCGCATTAATTGAATGGTATATACTCAATATTATGTATAACTCCATGTTGATTTGTCTTGGTCAAGCAAGGAAGGTTAGCAAACCTTTGGATTGAGCGTATTTGGCAAAAGAGGATAAACAGCGAAATAAACTCCAAGCATAAATTCAAGCTGTCGTAGCAATAAATCATTGATGCGTTCGTTTAATGGAAACATTTCATCCCATAGCAAAAAGAACAAAGACTGGTCTCCTGCAGAAAACAAGGTCTCAAAACGCTCCTAAGATTATTGAAACAACAATAGGTACCATTGAGGTTGAATCTTTTTAATCTACATGCACTTGCCGTCAAATAGAGTACATTGATGGAGAAGATTTAACTCACCAGTGCATCTTGAAGCCATTTGGACGCACCAGTGGATGTCGTGGTTGTTACATCTAGCAACGACATCTTGGAAGCCTCGTTTTGAAAAGCCTGGAGGGTAGTTGTGTATTTTCCACATACCAAGTACTGCAATAATTGAAGTATTAGTCAATTGTTTTGTATATACTATTGGTTTGGAATGTCAAATATGATAGTAAGGAAATATGTAATTTCCAACTCGAGCCTTGATGGCTAAACATTAAACTAGCCGCACCTCTAATATCAGTTGGTTTATTCTCGTTTCAGATTGAGGTTCAAGCAACATATCTAGCAAGTTAGGGTCAGTTGAAACGGACTACTTTTCAAGTTTATTGGTTGGTCGTGACGCGGCGGCCTGCACCATATGGAAATTAGTTACTGTGTTGATATGATCTAAATTGCAATACATGAATTAGCTGCTTGTCTTGTTGAACCCATTTATTTCTGTGCATGGCTTTTCACATCTAATGGCATACATTTTGAAACTTACAGGAATATTATAGAATAAACAAAAGTATGGTACAACTGGAGCATAGTCCAGTACAGGGTTAAAAAAATCTGGCAGCTTGTAATTATTTTTCCAGGTCTGTGTTTAGTAGTACCATGATTTTAAAAAACAGTTTGAGCAATGTAGAGTTTTAATGGCTTTGATCAATTTGAATATGTTTACGTACTTGAGCTGAAACTGTTGAATCTGGTAGTTTTTCAGACTTCCATTTTATGCTGACAAGAATGGTAGAAAGTTGCTGCTCAACAAATGCATGTATTGATGGATGTTGAAAAGCAATCTAATTCCATGGGATATGTAGTGTCAGATCAATCGTTTGTGGTAGCAAAACATTACTATGTAATCATGTCCAGAAAACAGTTGTACCTGATCGTATCTATATGCCGTAACACCCAACAGGTTTTCAGCCATTTCATTATGTAGAGTTGTATATATCAATTCACCACTTGGTGTTGCTATTTTAACCTAGCACCATTTAAAAAAACATGGAGCGAATAGTCTGAATTAGAATTTAAAATATCAATATTTGATGATTCCCAATACTGGCATGGAGGAACAAGGTATCAAACGGACCTTGAGCTTATATTTCTTGACGAGATCGGTGTGTTTATGACAATGACAGCAAAAGAACTTGGCCATAAACAGCACATCGTTAGGTATTTGTGTAGGACGACTGCAATTTTGGCAGGCTCTGAGTCTATTGTAGATTTGAATGGTTTTAATTTTACTGGACTTGGAAATCGCATATTGGGGATTGGACAGTGATCAAAGCAAAGTCATGTATGGATTTTGAAAACAGCAAGACTTTGCTAGATGAATACATACACTGATTCTTGAATAGATGCTGCGATGATTGAGCATACCATTGTGTCTTGGTTGTCCATGTGAATATATAAATAGGATTGCAGATGAGCTGACAGAAATCAAACAATATTTTGGACATGTTTTGAAAATTGGCAGAAATTGGTCAAAAATTGGTCAAAAATTGAACTAAAATTGGTCAAAAATTGGCAGTTTCATAATTCATGTCCACGTGGTGCTGAGCATACTCGAAGCTTACCGGCCAATAATCTAAGCCAACTGCCAACACCATGAACACACAACCATTGTACTGGTGTCATTCATGCCAGGTATTGATATGGAGCTTTAAAATATATCGTGAATGCATGTTTGATGGGAATATCTACAGTGGAATTTGACCAAGATTTTAAAGGCTACTATTGAGCCATAGCCTGCTTGTAATCCTAACTAGATTCATGTATTCATGATAAACCTGAATAGAGAAATATGCAACCAAACCTGGATGATCTCACACCTCAGTGTTCCAACTGTCACTCGGAATTTGTTGAAGAGGTAAGAAGTATCAATGACTTTTGTACCATTTAAACTCGTCAGTTTATGCTATGACTGCATTGTCTGGATGAAGGCTATGTGCAATTGAACTGAAATATCGTTTGCATGTCTTACTTGACCTTGCCGAACTCCCACTTTGAATGGCCCAGATTACATCAGATAGCAACACACAAGAAATGCAGGACATGTCTAATCCATTTGTAAGCATATTTTCATTTGGCAATACTTCACATGCTGCATCAAATGAGACTGCAAGGGACACCCAGCCAGCCAATATAATGTCTGCATTGATCGATCAATTGGGATTAAATCCTCAAGGATTTCAGTCAGCGACATTTACGACTTCGTTTCCTCGTGCAAGTAGCCATCATCCAGATGCCACCAGATCTACATCTAATTCTGAAGCCACATCAACTTTGTTTACACAAACTATTCCGATAAATGAGCTGTTTACCAACCCTGCTTTGTTTGGAGCTCCATCTCAATCAGACCAGTCCGCCTCTGATGCAACTTCTAATTTTGGTACATCACATCAAGGTATAAATCATGAACAAGTTTACCTGTATGTTTTCAAACACATCTTTATTTACTATTTATCTTTAGCTCATGTAAGAGCAGTAGAAGAATTATTTCGCAGTAATATACACGGAAATCCATCTGACCAGTCTCATTCGCAGCCACATGCTCAATCTAGCCGTGTATTTTTTGGCACTATTCCAGAAGCAATGAGAGCGTGAGTGTTTTGATTTGGATGCTTTTTGGAATTGGAATTTATACTATTTGGTAGTGATTTGCCTGACCATTCTATGTTTATTAAATATACACGATAGTGATGTTCCAGGACGTACTCCGCTTGAGCAAGATATGTTTTTAAGGTATTTTAAATCTGTAGTATCTAGCTCGATCAGATCTGGATACTAACCATCTCGATATGTATTCACAAACCTGAAATCACCTAAATTTCTATAATTAGAATGGCCCAGCAAATTGCACACATTACCGGACAACTTCATTCTCAAGTACCTGGGGCACAAAATGGCCCTATCCCTATCGTTTCTGATAGAATATTTGTGGATATATTTGGAATGGGAGGTGATTCTGGGGACTATCTGAATAGTCAACAGTCATTCGAGGAGTTTATCTCACGAATGATGGAGCAGCATGCGCAGTTGAGTCGACAACATGCTTGAAAAATACAGCGTTATTTTAGTATTGTATTTGGCAGCTGATATTTGGATTTTTCTGTTTCATCAATAGGTCGCATCATCCACCTGCAGCATCAAATGATATTATTAAAAATTTGCCACATAAACCTTTTGATAAGGCTACATTTCGTAAGTTATTGCTTTACATTTACCAGGACAAACTAACATGACTTGTGCTAGAATACTAATTTGATTTTCATTTTAAAGCCGAGGATGAATGCTGTGTATGCCAAGAGGGATACAAACACGATGAGATTACAATTGAATTACCATGCAAGCACGTCTTTCACCCTCTATGCATTACAAGCTGGCTAAAGCTAAATGGAACATGTCCGGTATGCCGGTATTCATTAGTAGACAATAGCGATTCTTTTCCCACCGGCAATAGATCTGCCAGCCATCCTGAAGCACCCACTAGTTCTACCGCGACTACTGCTCAAAATGACAATAGGGCTGCTCCAGGGACTACTACAAACACAGTCCCTGGAATGGATACTGCTGCGAACACCACTAACGTCGCTACAGGAAGTGCGACAGCTGAAACTGGAATGTCTACAGCCAATACTATTTTTGCTGCCCTGTCAGAGTTGGCTACAAATCTGGTTGGTGGATCTACAAGACAGCACAGATTATTTCCAAGACCCACTGGAAATTCTGGAAATACTGGAAATACTACTACAAATGCAGATCATTCTGAAAGTTCTGCTGAAACCAATACTGTGCCATACACTTGGGATGATAGCTTAGACTAATTCTGTACCAACTCGACCTAGCCTTTCAACTCTACTTTGCACTCTTTTTTTTATCCATGTTGGTAAATGAGATGGATTTTTACTGCATCGGCAGTATAGTAGTTGGAGTTGAGTGAATTTATATGCTAGGAGAGTAGATTTGGCAATCGATATGTAATTACAGCCGTATTCATATGAAATGGATCGCTTAAATTTATTTTGCAGCCTTATTTTGCTTTGGAACAAGCAATGATTAAATATTTGTTGTTTTTCTATTAGAAATTGACTACTTTAATAGATGTTTTCAATTCTCTAATAAACGCAACATCAAACTAGTTTAAAACTGATATTCTTTTAGGATAGCCATGCACTGTATAATCACCAGATACGTTTGCGTTTTAGTTCAAGACAACAGAAACTGCATGTCTCGCAAATGCAACAATTGTTTTCATGAGACTGGCTCATGCATTTTGGAGTTCTTGCCATCACTCATTTATGTGAAGACAGCAGTAAAAATAGTTTTGCTAAAATTCATTCAATTTTTCAAAACTGATATTTTTTACTGATCAGCATCTTATTGTATCAAGTAGACATATGCTCAAGTTCATTGACAAGGTTGTTATTGGTTTCGCTCCATTGAGTCCAGTATCTACTTCTGCCAGGTGAGTTACTTTTTGATAGCATCCTTTGTTGCACAGACTGGAATAGTTTTATTATTACAGTTCTGCAGAGCCATGCCATCAATTTCCAAAACTGTGTAGATTGATCTCTCATTTTGAAGCTAGACTACTATTGAATGCATTGATGTAGTCTAGTTATATCCTGAACCCATTATGGAATAACAGACTACATGATCTTTGTTTTCCAATCTGTCATGTATGCATCTGGGCTAAGTTTGAATGTATTATGAATTAGGACACTGGCAAGTATTTTGAGAACTGACAGAAACCTAGCACGCAATCCTAAATGTGTATTTGATATTATTACTTCAGACAAGACTCCTCGTCCATTTATTCAAGTCACCTATGGTAACCACATTTCTTATAGATCTTGCTTGACACAATCTAACATTCTGACAATAGCCGACAAACAGACCATAAGACTAGATACATCCAAGCTGACTGCAAACGAGGTGCTGGACGACATCAGAAAACACTCCAGACGGTTGCAAATGAGCGAGGACATCAAGTCGTCTGTTTAACACCCCCACTACGAAATAAACACTATTTTAGAAAAACAAATTTTATTTCAGTTTCTTCTTTTTAATTATAGATTGAATGGGACCAGTCCTTCATCAACCCAATGGGTAGAGAGAAAAGGATAACCCTCCAAGGTATGGGAAAAATTGGAGACATTCTCCATGTGAGGCCCCCTACACGGAACTTTTTAGTAAAAGGCGAAAGAGTTGTACGTTTTGCGAAGGCCTCAGAGAAGTGAGGTAAAAAGAGGGTGTGGGAATGCAGAGCTTTTATAGTAATTTTGGTCACGCGGCAAAAATGGGACACAGTTATGCGTTATTAGTTGTGGGATTAAAAATAATATTGGTTTATCACTTGAGAGTAATGGACTGCCAGCTATTGTTGTAATGAACATAAAATTGGATACATACTGTTTATTTGGGTTTACTCATTATTTTGTGAAGCTGCAAGTGCCAGAATACTGAAATTGACTTGCTCTGGCTCTCGACTCATGAATCGCTGTATAACCGCAACAGAATCCTACAAACAATACATGCTAATAATGAGCAGACGATATAGGCAATAGTCAAATGATATATTGTACTTGTTTACTTGCCATGAGTAGATCTCCAGTCGTTGGTCCGTGATTGATTGGAAATGGTTTACGACCTAAAAATTCATCATTGCAGATCGAATATTAGAACTATTCAACCAACTACTGTCAATCCAACGTACCGTCCATCTCATAAACATTGCCGCCTTTTTCGATAAAGCATATAAAATGAAGGTCTATTTCATCATCAGCACTTGGAGCCTTGTTGTCAATGTTTACAAATATTATTCACTAAAGTCTCGATATGATCAACTACAATTGTTCAATAGACAATGCATGCATGCTTGATACAGTGTAAAAGCACTTACTTCTGTCTGACCATCGACCGAACTTAGCTTATGCATCTCAGCCAAGTCCTGGTCAGCCTCCAATGCTGCTGCACGCTCATCTGGTGTCTTGTTCATTGTTCTTTCCAGCATGCGAAAAAGCGGCCCATCACCTAGTCAACTCAGCAGTGTCAATGCTTGATCACCTTGAACTAAACCATGGATTGAAAGGACCGATACTTACGCAGATCTAGAACATCCTTGTTATTTATCAACGCGTGCAATAGTCCAATGGTTCCACAAGCGTTGGGGATCGTCTGGCGCACAAAGTATAGATCTGGACTGACTGTCTGGCCACTCCTGATAATCTCTGCCTCTTCAGATTTACAGAATGCCTCATACTAAGATTTGTGCATTCATATATGATAAGCTAGCAGGATTAGTCGCACTGTGTCCTTGGTTGATCTTGAAATAACTTGTAATTGCTACTTCGACAAAAAGCTATTCACCTTTTTGGTTATCGGAAACAAAAGAACGACCGCTTTGACTGGCCGAGCAATCATCTGGAGCAGATCTGGATCCAATCCCCATACGTCACAGAAACGCAGAGATGAATGGACACCCAAAAGTCCCAAATACTACATAAGCCGCAAATACAAAAGTGGTTTATATACATGTTAGAATATAATCAAACCTCTGTGTTGCGTCAAGCTCGACAATCATAACCTGCTTTGGCTTTGTATAGCCTATTTTAGTAGTGCATCTCAAGACAAAGGCATAGCTCCAATGTCTAGAAAGCTCGAGTCAGGGTTTATTATTGAGACTTGTCTGGTATCTTACCTTGTTCATTACATCAGGGTTTGATTCAAGAGGAATCCATTTGCCGCTCATATTGGTAAATTCCAAGTCAAATGAAAATGAACTGAAAATGAGATGTAATTACCAATACAAGCTGCTAAATTCACTAGCGACAAAAGGGATGAGAACGGGGAAAAAATCAGTATTCCAACAACCCAATTTTATCATGTTTTGAAACCATTCAGATGCTATCAAACAAGCAGCTGTTGCAGCATTTTGGAAACGTGAATTCATTGTAGCATTTTACGACTGGCTTAGGTTAGTCACAGATTATATAGGTGAAATGTTGAAGATCGTACCAGATCAAGACCAAATGAACGACATTCTGTATTTCATCGAGAGGATCAGCACACCGTGTCAATAAGTCAGATTGTTGGCGTAGTATAGGAAACACGAGCAATAGATGCTCATTCCATTTAAATTAACACAGTCTACCGATATGGTCAAGGAACAGCATCGCTAAACCCCAACCCTACACAAAAGTGTGGTTTAGTGATATCTACGCAAGTACCTTTTCAAATACATGATACACACTGGTGGTTGCTGATAATTTTTCATTCATCTCTCCATTCTCATGCCCTTTGTCGCTAGCTGTGATTATCCTATTGATCAAGACATTTCAACACAATTATCATTCAAAAACCCAATCATATAGCATCCATGTCCAACTCTTCAGCTTGGTGCTGGTTGATCGAGTCTCTACCCGACGTCCAGCTTCTTTTTCCACCAGCACGATATCTATCAAACAATCTCGCGATATCTGTATCCAGCCCACCTCCATTCTGGACGGGTGCTTCAGCTATCCATTTGGGCGTAACATCCAACATGATATCTACAACACTATCGTGCTCACCTTGTCCATTGTGCGCCAAACACACAAGAGTTAAAATGGAGTTGTTGGTAAGATCAAACATGTAATGTACAAGATCCAGTCCGCCCAATGTACTTTTGCATAGTGGACGACGCGAAACATATACAGCCTTGCTAATGGAGAGATCCATATGCAGCTGTGGAGCAAGTTTGTGCTCATGGATGTAATTGGATAGTGTACATGGGTTTGACTCTTCAGGATTGAAATCTACTGGCTGGAGTTGTGGAGTTGCAGCTGTTGATGGACTTGAAGCTATATTGGATATTGAATCAGATTCAATGGATAGTGTGGATGTAAGCTCATCTTCGCCATCGTTTGATGGTATGCTTGCTTGAGTTTTTACATGTGTTTCATCCAATACTGCAGTCATGGGAGTGTTTACCGCGGTGGATCCAGCTATATTTGATTCTTCTAGTCCCAACTCGTCCAACGTGTCACATAAATCATCCACTTGCACGTCCCATGACGAGCATTGCACCGTTGCACAGAGCGCCGATGGACAGCATCTATCGTCACGACAAAGTCTCACGTCTCGACCACCAGGTGGAGCTAAAACATCAATGACTCGCCATGTTTGAGACAACAATGCCATTTGTAAACTCAAATCCATATTAAGATTGGGGCGATCAAACACACTGGTGTACGTTGAAAAGACGTGACGAAAAAGAGTACTGTAAGCTGGAAGAAGAGAGGCTGGAATCAATGTGCCTAGATTTGACCATCCTGCTTGAAGAAATGCTGCAATTCTTTTAAATTCAGATTGGTAAGGAAGCGCAATAGCCAAGGACTGTGATTCGATCTGAGTAGACGTTGAGATGGTAACATTTGGACTAGTTGATTCGTTTAACGGTGTAGATGGGGAAGTCATCGATATTTCAGATAGACCATGGGACACAGTGCCCATATCTGATGAAATGGGTGATCTAGTAAGCGGGAATGAAACACTAGAAGTAGATGATTGTGCTGGTCGAAATGCAGTAATATTTTTATAATAATCGGTTATGCATCTGACTCTGTCACTACCATTACTGGCATTTTGAGTATGATCTGGATCAAGCTTAACGCACACGCAAGCCAGCAATGCTCCAAATCCTCGAAATCCTACAAGTGGCACTGGTTTCATTGCAGCGCAGGTACGCAGCAATAATCTACCACATTTGGAAATGTGTGTTGGCACAAAAGTATACGACACTGGCGATTGGAAACATGCAGCAGTGAGGTTCATTGTAAACTGTAGCGATGAAGGTCGCGTTGGAAGTTGTGCTGCTGCATAGAGTAGAGTGTCGTTTTTTAAAATGATGCTAGAAAATTGGAGTTTAAAGGCAATACCAGTCAGACCATACATTCGTTTACTAACCACACGAAGCTTCCATAGAGTAGTTTTATCCGTTAATTTTAATATCATAAGCCATATTTCTACTGGAAAAATAATCATCTATGTTGGGCAATGTCAGTTTGGATGTCAAAAAGTTTTGTCCGTGTTCTAAAGCTAAACAAAATCCATGCATAATTCAGCAACACAATTACGGCCCAGACAAAAAGTATACGGAAGCGTAGGTTTATTATCTTTTTCAAAACATCAAAATTTAGACAATGAAATAAGCGATAGTAACCTATTGGATGAAAAGTGCATGGTAGGTATGGAGTATAGTAGGCAAATGCTTAAAGTATCAAATGGACTGGGTTTGGAATCAAGGAAAGCCAAAAAGTGATATTGGTCCGTCTTTACATCAGAGCAGAGGCAACAACCAGGATAAAAGCCAGAGGTGCAGTGAGAGCCGCACTCAAGCCCATCTGGGTTCCAGCAGACTTGGCAGCAGCAGCAGCGGGTGCAGGTGCAGGGTTAGAACCAGTAGTGGGTGATGCAGCAGTAGGCGACGCGGCGGTAGGTAGCGTGGCGGCAGGTGAAGCAGCAGCAGCAGTAGATGAAATGACAGACGAAGCAGTCGAGGACGCTGCAGGAACGACAGCATTCGGAATGCTAGCAGAACCGACAATCAGACCAGTAGACTCTTCAAAGAAACGGAACTGCGTAAAGTCATTGTAGCTGACCCAGTTGCCCGAGGTGGAGATGAATGTGTAGGTCTGTGTAATGGGCGACTTTGACGAGGGGATCGAGTCGGAGATTAGCTTAACAGCAGCAGCATCGCTGCCCATGCCACCATAGACAGAAATAGTAGCTACGCCAGAAAAGGAAAAGTCTTTAAGGGTAAACTAGCGATTGCACAAGGATCGTTAGTTCATCAGTTAAAAAAGATACAGAATTTGCAATAGTTACCTTGCAGCCATCAACAATATTAACAGTTCCAGAAACAGTGACAGTCTCGCCATTTGCACCTTTGGAAGTAGACGACTTTAGAATGGGAATGGAGATGGTCTTTCCAGCATATGGGTAGTTGGCAGTGTTACAGAGGGAGTAGCCAGAAACAGAGCTAGCAGCAAGAATGGTAATGAGAGTAGAAAAGATCATTGCAACAGAGTATAGCCTAAAGATGAGGATGAGAAAAGCTCAAGGAGTTAAGGGATCGCAATATAGTTGACAAAGGTGGTTGCTTAGTAAGAAGAGGGCGAAGGGAAATCAGCCGCTTTTATATCAAACTTCTAAATAGGCGTTTGCCAATTCATCTGTGATAGGGATGGAGAAGATGGGAGTGCTCCCTGTTATCGATTCCTATACATCCACAGACTTGCCAGGGCTAGTGGATAAGCTTTCAAGACCTGTCAGGGCTGGGCAGCATGGATTTGGTTGGGCTTAATTTGAGTATATTAATAGTTGTTAATATTTAAATTAGCGTGCTTAGTGCAGAGTTGTCAATTTATAAAGCACTGGCGATCAATCAATCCATATTATTCTTGAATATGGTTGCTGCAATACACCTGCATTTCTATACTAGACTCGTTTGTCTTGTACATGGCACGCAGAGCATTTGAAAGTGGTCTTGAATCCATGTACAACTATCCGTAATATTTGCATTTTCCAAGCCCAACATGGCCAAAACACCGATCCATACCGAGAAATCCCCACTATCCAACGCCACGCATCCTGGCATTCACATGGATGTAATGTCACTTGTCAAGCCATAAGCCAGCATGCTATACTAACTGATCCATCTCCACATGTTTAATCCACTGGCCGCGCTGGAATTTACCGCCAGCGGTATTTACTCCTGACCGCTCATCACTCAGCAGACACAGCTTATATTTTCAAAACCCAGCCAGCAGCACCACTTGATTGTTTACATGCAAAGCTGTCTTGCCACTGCATACTGATCAAGACTCCCTTTTCATAACAGATGTTTAACAGCTTAGACAACTCATCCAAGCCAGTCTAAATATTGATACTTGTCGAACCAAACGATTTTATTTGATTGCCGATTCATTTCAAAAGGAGAATAGAGGATTAGTATTTAAGCAATAACAAGGGCAGCACCAAGGGAAAGTGTAGCAAGTACACCCTGGTACAGCTTCATGGTCCAGCTGGTTTGTCTGTCACTTCCAGCGGCAGATTTAGCAGCAGGGCTGGCAGCACCAGCTGCAGGTGAAGCACCCGACGCAGGTGAAGCACTGCCAGATCCACCGGTAGTTGGTGCGCCAGGAGTAGGTGCACCAGCACCAGCACTGGCACCAAGTTTACCAGGGAAGGTCACAGTGGCAAGAAGTCCGTTGGTGTTTTTTTCAAACAGACGCATCTCGGTAAAGGATTGCCAGTTAACCTGACGACCTGCTACCTGTGTAAAGGCAAAGCTGAACTTGGCAGGGTTTGCACTCTGAGCAACAGGGGTATCGACAAGGGTCACTCCATCAGAGCTGCCAGGAGCACTGCCATACCAATAAGATTCACCAGCACCAGTAAAGACAAAGTCGGTAGCCTCAAACTAGATATTCAATAGTCGCGTAGTGTTAATGACTAACAGTCTTGATGGATGTTTTAAATTCACAACAATGGTAAAGGCAATGCTTGATATTTGAGTGTTTGAGCCATGCGTGTTGCAATTCAATGCTTATAAACGCAACGGGTGTTGTAACCACAATATCAATCACAATGGATTCATGGAGCCCTGAAAGACTAGCATGGCTGACAAAGCCGGAGAAAACTGCAAAATATGCAGAGCAGGTAGATAGGGTAAAAGCATAAAGCACACTCATCCAAAGTAGCAAGTATATATCCTTTATACTATGCCATATCAAAGGTGTAAAGAATATATGGCTCCAGATGGATTTAATTATCCAAATCAACTGAGCAAAGCCACAAGTTTGGCCAGTATCAGGAAATAAATCAAGTAGAGGCGTGTGGTGTATATCCATTTACTAGGTAGACTAGCAAGTAGAGGCAAAGAGTAAGCCAACTTACATGACAGCCATCAATGATAGTGATGGAGCCTTTTACAGTTAGAGGAGCACCAGCAATAGTCACTAGAGGGATCTGTTTGATTGGAATAACGGCAGTAGGCTTGCCGACCAGAGCAGAGTACTGGAAGTTCGCGGTATCACAGAGGCCATATGGGAGACTCTGAGCATTGACAGAGTTATGGACAGTGGCAAGCAGTGCAAAGGCGGTATAGAGAGCAGATGTGGTTGAGATCATTTTGGGGATATTAGTTTGGGAAAGTTGACTGGCAAAAACTTGCGAATAAATATTAAAATGCTTGTTTGGATAATAACGCGTAGAAATATATATCGACACCAAGAGGGAATAGTTCAGATTACGAGTTGAGTGTCACAAGGGAGTTTTAATGGTTGTTTATATACTTTCTTCTGACGGAAAAAACAACCATCAAGGGCGGTGTTTCTGTGTACTCTGAGTTTAGTTGATATTAACACTAGCAAGCTATGAGCAATTTCGCAGTAATATTATGTGAAGAAATAAGCAATTGCGCCAACATCTTACATTGCCAACGCATATTCAACGAATCAATTTTCTATGCAGCACTTTCACTGTGCTGGCCGCTCGTTTAAGCACTCCCTGTTTTGCCACTATTCATCTAAAATCACATACTTGATTTATAATCCATCAAAATTGCACATTTCTCCAGTCGAATGTTGGCTAAATAGCATAGCTTGACCGTCATGTGGGATCTAATCACAGCCATATTTACGCAAAATGAAACGCTAAATAAGGGTGTCAAAATACATGATAAACAGTCGATTTCATCAATGATTTCATCAAATTTACTGGGCAGCATTATTTTTTGAGCTTCTTGATAAAGCTAAATGCAAATGATTCATTTTACCTGAATGAAATTGTAGAGCAAGTGCCGTCGGTAACAAAGAGTATGAAAATGAAGGATAAATGAAGGATTGCCAGCAATCATCACTCTCGATGTTGTTGTAAATATCGATGTACTTTATGTACTAGTTAAATGGTGTGGACATCTATCGATCGTGTTTCATGTACTGTAACAACACTCTGGCTTACTAATACGACCAGTTTGCTGGGCAATCTACTGCTCTCAATTAAATATAGGATGCCACTCGTTTGGTATAGCATGGCTGCTTGCTGATCTTGTTTTGACACGATCTTTGGCATTCCATTCATACAGTTTATACATTGATCTGAAGCAATTGTAAAGTTTATTAACGAATAATCCATAAAATACTGCAATAGCAGTCTGCTCAATGTTATCAGAATGCTTTCAAAGCATGATAAAAGTAAAAGTTTCTATATAACCAAAAATATATTTTTTCCCATTCTCATCCCGATTGTCGCTAGCTGGAATTAACCTTGAATGAGGTAGCTGAGTTTAAGCAATATCTCGGCTGTGCGAGTTAATTTTGCCATGAGTTGGGTAGAGTATTGGAAGGAACAAAGTAAGATCACATAGAAGCCATCACTCCGAGTATTCAGATACTACACAATCCATTCAAACCGGAAACTCCGTTTCTACATTCCTTAGAATCTCCGATTGAAAGTCAGAGATTTAAAAGCAACGCTTTGTCCAAGGAATGAAGACCAACACACTTTGTGAATCTGTCTGTATAAATTGTATGGAAGAGGAAAGCGGAGTCGAGTTACTAGTCTGCATGCCAGTCAGTGAATCCAGTCAACAAACAACCGTTTAATCACGTGTTGGTGGAGTGTCAAAAACACCGAAAATCGTATTCTTGAGTAGCGACAACGATGGTTTCTGGGAACCACAAGAACCAGCAACAGCCCAGTCTGCAGCAGCAGCACCATGAAGATACTCCGGTTAAAAATGCATTGTCTCAGAAGTCATTCTTGCGGGAAGTTACAGACCAACTAGGCATTATTCTATGGAGAAACTCTTTACTGCAGGTAATTCTATGCTCGAGCAATGTTTGCCGACTTCAGATTCGGTGTTTTTAATATGTCAATGCTCGTTCCTATACGATCTCAGTCATTTCCAATTCAAACTATACGCTGTTCTACTTGCAATCCTCATGGAAATATGTGTCAACTGTCTTGAGTAGTTGGTTGCAAGTGCCACTTTATAGGGTGCAGTTGGTTCTAACTGTATGAATGTCTTGGACTAATTTTCATGTATACGATACTAGTTACGTTACTGGCGAGCTACTCTTGCACAGACTCTGGGTGCTCCTGTTATTTTTATGCTACTTTTGTTTATTCTTCAGCGTGCAGATTACTCCTATCAGAGCATAAGCAATCCAACTCCTCCTTCTTCTACTCTACAGGGTGTGTTCGAATGTCAGGTATGTCGACTTCAATCCTGCCTAGTCTTTACTTTTATTCTAACCATGCTCGACGATCTCTGTTATTAGGGTAGAAATCCAAGTGACAATTGCATCAATATCATGTATACACCAGTGACTACTTCTACTACAAATTATATGAAAACATTTGCCACTCTCAATTCTGCTAGAACAGGACAGTCCCCGTTGGTTCTTGAAGCCCCATTATCTTGTAAGCCATGGATTGGTGAATCTTGTATTTAAACTCCTGTGCTTACATTTTTGGAAATAATATACACACAGCTGTTAATACACGACCAGCAAGGAAAATGGGTATTGTTCCAGTCCCAGATGCTCCATTTATTTATGAATACGCTTTAAGATGGCCCAACGTTACTGCTTGGGGAGTCTCATTCAGCGAATCAAATTCAAACGGCGTCAACAATATCCAGTACCAGATTTGGTACAATTCTACTCGTGTTGCAAATATCAGTGATGTGTTTGGTCGTCAGGTTGTGTCTTTTTTGCGTGGAATGGACGAAGCCATTATTTCGGTACTTAACGATCCTACCGCTACTGTCACTGCCGACATTGATGTCACAGTTAGAGATTGGCCTGTTGTGCCACCCGTTGTGCTTTCTGAAAAAATTGTGCAGAATCTTGGTCCAGTATTCTTTTTTTGTTGCACCATGGTGATTTTTATCAGTGCGCTTAACCAGACTGTTATTGAAAAAGAGCAAAAATTGCGTCATAGTATGGAGATAATGGGTCTGAAACCCATGGTGTACTGGATTGGCTCGTATCTTAGTAATATGCTGTTGCTTGTCATCAGCTCGCTTTTTACAACTACTTTGGGATACATTTTTCAGTTTGGCTCATTCAAAAATGCCAATTTCGGTGTACTCTTTATAACCTTTTTTCTTCTTGGCCTGGCAATGCTTTCATTCGGATTTCTTATCACGACGTTTGTTCGTAGTGCTCGCGTTGCTATTCTTGTTGGCATTTTTGTCTTTATCATTGGTCTGCTTTTTGAATCCTTTGTTTTTTCGTCTGGGTTTGTCGGATATATTTGGTGGAGGAATACCACGCCTTCGATTATTCCTACCATTATGGGGTTGATGCCGTTTTTCAACTTTGGAAAATGCTTTTTAGACATTTCTACCCTGACTACGGGAAAACTCAGCGATCTTACTGGCACATACATTCCTGGACCAGGATTGTCATGGAGCAGCATATATACTCCCATTTCTGCCACACTTTTGCCAGCCTACTCGGATGGCATAACGCCCAAGATTCCAGCATTGATTGTATCGTGGTATTTTCTTATTTTCGATATTATTTTTTATGGCGTGTTGACGTGGTATTTTGATCGTGTTATTCCTGACGAGTATGGATCATCTCTTGTACCATGGTTTTTTATTCAACCAACCTATTGGGGTCTCGAGTCCCAAAAGCAGCGAAAAGTCGACCGTGAGGATTGGTTGGATGAAGTCATGGCCACATCTGCACGCGAAAAGATGGAACGCGAAGACAGCGATGTCTTGGTTGAGCGCAGTCGGGCTCTCTCTGCAGCATTCTGGCCTGCTGCAAAAATAGTTCATCTTCGTAAAGTGTATACATCCTACTTTGGCAAGGAAGAAAAAATCGCTATCAAGGATTTATGCCTGACGTTTGAAGAAGGAAAACTGTTGGCCCTACTGGGACAAAACGGTGCTGGAAAGTCTACAACCATGAACATTCTTTCTGGACTCACGCCATCCACACTAGGTGATGGATACATGTATGGGTACTCTGTGTTTTACCAAATGCATCATATTAGAAAGATTATGGGCGTTTGCCCCCAGCACGATGTTCTGTTTCCTGACTTGACTGCACGTGAGCATATTTACCTGTATGCTGGTCTCAAGGGTGTTCCTCGTGATCAATGGGACATACTGGTGGACGAGCGCCTTCATGCCGTGCGACTGTTAAAGGTGGCCGATCATAGATCTAAAACGTATTCTGGCGGCATGAAACGCCGTCTATCACTTGTGATTTCGACACTCGGTGATCCCAAGATCGTCTTTCTTGATGAGCCCACAACGGGCATGGATCCCGTCAATCGCCGTCACGTCTGGTCCTTTATTGAAAAATTCAAGCAAGGCCGAGTGATTGTCCTCACTACACATTCGATGGAAGAAGCCGATGTATTGGGGGATCGGATTGCGATCATGGCCCATGGACGACTTCGTGCCATTGGCGACTCTGTTTCATTAAAAAACAAATTTGGAGCAGGATATCGTATCTCGATTGTCACCAACCCGTCAATGATTGAAGAAGTCAAGGCAGAGGTGTATCGCTATGTTCCAGGAGCGACATTGGAGGATGACTCTGCAGGTGCATTGATTTATCAATTTCCAGTTTCCAGCACCAATCGAATTCCCGCACTCGTGCGACATTTAGACTCCAATTTGGATGGATTAGTCAGAGCTTGGGGAATCAGCCAAACCACTTTGGAGGAAGTGTTTTTGCGGATTATTCGGGATGCCAATCCCAATGGGTATAGAGGTGACGAACATGAGGTGTTGGATGATACAGCAGTGTTGCCAGGAACGCTAAAACCAACATTTTCGGTACGAAGACGTAATACGGGCAAAAGGGTTTTGGCAACCTCTGCCGAAAGTGCTGCCGAGGCGGGTGATGCTCAAATGCCCAGGAATTTCAATACCTAATCATGTATTGAACAGCATCATTTACCCCTACTTCAAACCGCTTAAATGACTGACGACTCTTTTAGTTGTTTCAATATGGGTAGTATATAAAGAGCACCGGATAATACCGTTTTACTTGAATGAAAGATTCAGATATTTTCATTGTAAATATCGTGGAAACTTGTGAAGAATATTGTAAAACCAGAATTTGGGTTTTTACAGCTATGATTGTAGGTAATTTCAGTTTGAAACAGCAGGAATATGGTTTTGTAATTAGAAAATCATACGTTTACCATTTTACCAGTAATTTATGGTCATGTATTGTGCATTCTGTACAAGTTATTATTTGATTCTAAACATGTGATTACAGATTAGCTTTCTGATTTTCAGCTTTTCAGTTTCTATATATTTTCATTTGTATCACGTTCGCAGCATCTTGAAAATGAGTGAATCTGAACCATTATTTGTGCGGTATTTGGATAAACCTATTGAAGTCGACCCAATCGGGTGAAAAACAGTTGCTGCTTTGATTAAGAAGGCCAAGAAGGAGTTCTCATCTCAACTCGACACTTTTTCACTCGCCAAGTTGACTCTCCATCGCTACACTGGCACAAAACTCAGACCGGGACTCGAATTAAACAAACTATTCAAGCAACCAGGCTATGAAAACAGCGATTCTACACCACTCCTCATCACATACGCTGATAATCTCCTTCCTGTTGTCAAAAAGATAAAGATCTCACATCATTCAGAAGATGGAAAGAACTAAACCCAAAGTTGATTGAAGCTGCTGCGAAGAATGAGAAACTCGAGAAAAGTGCCGCCTATTTGTCTGTGACCTGGAAACTCATTTTGCCTATCTATAATATTGAAGAATACTCTCAGCCCGTGAAAGAAGTTCCCTTGGAAACAATCGAATACATTCAAAACTATCTTGCCAAAGCTCACAAAAGCCTGGGTGGACTTGCTCAAGGAAATGATTCCAAACGATTCCATTTCATTTCACCTATTCTTATTTGTGTTGTATTTTTGTTTGGTCCAAATGATCCGGTTGAAATCGTCATCGAGGAAGATTTAACTGGTGTAAATGTCAAAGCTAATGGGCATTTTGAATTCATGCTTAAAAGAATATGTATTGTCCAAGCAAAGAAGGATGATATGGAGCAGGGAATGGCACAGGATTTAGTTGGAATGGAGGTTGCGTCTGATTTGAATGGGTTGGATACTGTTTACGGGATAGTCACAAATTATGTTGAATGGATTTTCTTGAAAAACCACAACGATAGAGTTGAAAAGGATGATGTTCTGCAACGTGAGCATGGAATCTCTACTGTTGAATCATTGAAGAGAATTGCTGGGAAGATTTATGCTTTGCTTTCGGACGACTGATATGTAGTTTCTGCTTGAATACATTTTGTTTATTGTATTAAATCTTTGGTCAACGAGACTCGAATCGAGTGCTCAATGTGAGTCGTGATTGATTCAGACAAGAATAATTTGAAAGAATGGATAGTAGAAACTTTCTTATTCAATGGATAAGACATTTTGCACAACCAAACTCGGACATTGAGAGAGAATTATATTGAATTCATGGCAATTCCATCAATTGCTTTGTCAAGGCAATTAAAAAACACAAGGACAGTATGTTCCTATCACTCCTTCAGAAGCACAGTTTCTTACTTTGGATGCTACTGTACAACTTCTCAACTCCATTGGATGTATTGCCATTGACAATAAGAACAAAATTGGCTCACCTTGCCTGCACCTCGACTTGTTGAAAATGATTCATTTTTTGGTCGAATTAATAGTTATTCGAAAAGAATTGGTGAATACTTTGTCCAGCTTTGAGATTTAAACGAATTCGAAAGACTACGCATTCGAGTATTGATTTGGAACAAATTCAGTACAATTTTGTTTTGAATAGTCAGTCAGAAAAATCATTCTGGGATTACATTAAGAGACATTTCAATCTGAGTCGCTCGTATTTTAATTTATACAAACAATTTGATCGATTTATGAAAGAGTTTCCATTATTTTATTACTCTGGATTGGGTTGGATAAGATTAATGAATGTATGTGGTGTGATTTCAGATTATCTACACTCATTGAATGCGATGGCACTAGAACCTCGGAATATGACATTCTATATGTTCTGGAAAGAAGCACTCTCAAGATATCGTGAACATGAAATTTCCCCTGCCTCAAACTCATCGACAGTGTCAGATATTCATTGGCCAGATACTGATACTGAAAATGGTATGGGTTCATCACCCATGATTGAATTGGATAGCATAGTCTCAATAAATCACTTGACTTTGAATGAATACATTATTCCTACAACTTGAGCAACATCCAAATTGAAAATCATTTTAAAGCCAAAACTCCTATTTACAAATAAAGATATATTTATTTACCAATTATAAACTAATCCATTGACTTTTCGACTGTAAAAGTAGCTTTTCAAACAATTAAATAAAGCTATATAATATGCCATTTATAAATTGGCTATTATCAGCTGACTGGTGTTTATTTATTCAGGATTACCTTGGACGACTATTTGTAATAAATTCAATTGCTGGAAGAAATGGCTGGATAGTGATGAAGCCAGACGATTACCTACTTTAAATAATACGTCGTCTTCATTCTTGAAAGGAGTTTTACCTCCAATTAGTGAAAATCATCCAGAATTCATCAGACCTCCAGCGAGCTTCATTCATTTGAGGATGATACTCTTGATGGCGCTGAATATGAAAGTGAAGTGTTTATTTCTACAAGCTTAAGTAGCCTTGACATCTAAATAAAAATCATTTTAGAGCCAAATGTCAGAATTTTCGAAGCTTTGTGATTTGTTCTCTTCTGATAGCTACTAACAGTTGCAGGTTTTATTTTATTTTATCTACTATTACAATTAAACAAATCACGAAGCTCCAAATATTCTGACAGAACAGGACTGACAAATGTGTCTGAATTGATGACAGATGATACAGCCTATCCAACAGAAAGTAATACATTGATTGTGTCTGCATGGAAATAAGCTTTATAACTTCCACTTCTGAATGTATGCGAATCAACATTCAAACAACAGATACGTCCAATGACTCTTGCAAATGCATTGATAGAGTGTTGTTGAATAATTCGAGTGTTTACAAATCAGCATCACTGGAAATAGTTACTGTTATTCAGACAGTCACTTGTCCAGACATTACAGTTGTAATATTACACATTTTCCATTGTTGCTGGATACCAATATGCCTACATTTAAAGATGAATGCTACCAACAAAATATTCCATTAGAACTGCAACTGTTGCTTCAAGGTCATGGACATATCGTTGTAAATCGTTTCAAATATCAGTCCATTACCCCATTTTAAACCAATCCATCAATCTCTGATTCGGCTCGCTCAATACTCTCCAGCAACTTGCATTCCATTGCTACAACGACTTGTTCATCGTATCCATGTTTACAGCGTTTGTTGTTTTGACTGCGATTTGCATCAATCCAGAATAATGGAATTTACCATTTCCTTTGTAGAATCTGTCCATAATGTCTGTTTTAATGTAATCTTTTGACTGTTTTTCAATACGAAAGTCAACAATCATTGCCTTTTCACCGACTTGACCACAGTTTGAAGTGTTGTCAGCACAATCACGAAGACAGAGGATGCGAGATATCAGATCCAATTGAAGTAGAGCATTGTTGTTTGCTGTATCCTTGGTCAAGCTGGACAATAAGACCAAATGACAATCCTTGGTCGCAATGTAGATAGTCTTTTTGGTGCCATGAGATGGGATGATAAAATGAACTTGAGGACCAATTCCAATATGATGCAGAATCTTGTAGACAAACAGCTCCTTTATATCTGGTGGTTTGATGCTTTTTATATTGTCTTCTGTTGGTCCGTATTGATGCGTCTTGATGTAATAGCAAACACTTTGAGTTCCATTGTTGACATTACAAGTGAATCCAGTTTGGATGCCGCTCTTTTTTGGAGAAAATGTAATATCAAAGAGATCTGCGTCAAGACCTGCCTTGCCGTGTTGAAAGAAGAAGTAATTCTTGACAGCAGTTTGAATGACCTCGGCGTTTCCATCCAGATACTCTGCTATTTTGAGTAAAAGAGTTTCGTACAGTTGTCGGTTGGCTATAGTGGCCTTGTTTATGAATTTTGATTCCACAAGTTTTTCTGCAATGTTGAGAGCATATTTTGCTTGCAGAATACGAACTCGACCTCTCATCTTGTGTATAGTGCTTCCTATTTCCACAAACTCGTTCCATTTCCAGCGGTTATCTTCATCAGACATTTGATTGTTACAAAAGAAAAAAGGAATAAAAAAGTGGTAAAAAGTAGTATATTATATGAAAAATTTATTAATTTCATTAGATTGGTATATATTCTCATTCAAGTAAAACGGTATTATCCGGTGCTCTTTATGTACTACTAATGTGATATATTTTGAAAATAACAAACCTTGCAATCGCCAATATTGCACATTCCCTATATTTAACAAAGTGATATCGTCTCAATCAACAGACTTTTCCAATTTAGGAACCTTGTATGTTTTAGTTTTTTAGTATATTCAATACCAAACATGAATTCAAATTCCAAGTTGGATCAATAGGCAGTCTAATCTGCAAACCCACTTTATTGAAATCGTGATACATACTGTTCAAGCCGAGATTTAGATCGTGATAATGAATCATCCATCCTATATGTGGGTTCATGTGGGGCCGTGCCGTTATGAGTAGTATATGTGCGAGTGTATTTGCCATCACTAGACCTGTAGTCGCCACGATCGCAATGGGAATGTGTAGGTAGGCTATTCAAATGCTCACCCCCATTATCAGCTCCGTGCTGGTTAGAAAGTAGAGCAGTCAGAGTGGTGTTCATCCCATCCATGGTTGTAGGCAACTCATGCCGAGTCATTAGCTGTATGGTTTCATCAGGTGGTGGCGGCAATCGATCGTTGGACTTCCAATACTGAGGATACATTTCTATTTCTTGTAGCGGTAATGGTAATGGTGATCGTGGACGATAGACTCTCTGTCGAGCTTGTCCAGGTTTATGGGTGGAGTTACGGAAGGATAATGATCTGTGTGAGTTGGGTCTAGGTTCGGATGCTGCTTTGGGATGATTTCCTCCTGTTGGTGATTGATACAAATGATCAGGTGTATACAATAATCCGGTAGGTGATTCCAGAGACGGATCACTGTAGACTAATTCAATATTTCTCCCCAAAGACCGTCGTTTATAGGGATGTTGTTGTCTTGACAAAGAGTCCATATGTTGTGATGATTCTGCATTTGACGAATGCGAAGAACTTGACTCGATTGCATGGGGTTGCCTGACCATCTCTAAAGGTGATTGTATGATAGATAGTGGAAGGTTTACTGGTAATAATGTATCTTTTAAAAATGAAGGCAAAATAACATCGAAAGTTGGCAGGGATTTTGCTGTTGTAGCAGTGGTTACAGGTGAAAAGGATGATACTGTAGCAGGCGTAGGGGAAAGAGCAGGTGTGCATGTGGTTTTGACGATAGTAGTAGTATCATTATCCGAGTCACTTAACGTCAAATCAATCACATCTGAATTGGATGCTTTCTTGGGTGTAGATTGAAGCGATGTAGCCGAATTCAAAGAAGCGTTTATATTAGTTACAATATTCCCAACAGTATCATCGTCAATTATAAGCATTTCTGTGTTGTTGGGTGTTGTTGATGAAGTATGCATATTTTGATTTTTGGCAGGAGTAGATGAATCAGCGGTATTGGCCACTCGCCATTTTCCGTCCGGTGTTACTTCAACTGTATCTACATCTCCAGCCTCCTTAAGAATATCTAGGAAATACCTGCAGTGTGATGTCAAATTCAAAAAATTAGCAAGACTTAAACTTCCAAATGGCATTCTTGAAATCTAATGGCATGTATACAAAATAGCTTACGCATCCACAAATAATGACGAGTGCGGTGCAGCACGATAGCAGATTGGACATTCCCAAGTAGGAAGTTGCTGGTTTACACTTAAAAATGTCTCGCAATCAAAACACTGAATGTGTAAGCAACTTGTACCCCGTATGGGTAAAACAATTCGACATTTTGACAGTGGATCCTTGAGAGATACTTGCTCTAATGTGGTTTGGACATCGTCTTCAGCATCGACTTGACGTTCTGTTTGATTTACCAATAGATGATTAGGATACAACCAAAACCCATAACATATCAAAAACTGCCATAGATTTTGAACAGTTGAACACAGTCTGTATACAGTGAAAAAAACTTACGTTGTGCCATGACATCTTCTTTGCTCATTAGTTTATGCAAAAAGAGATTTTGGACAAGTTTGGGTATAGGTATATTTTCAACCAGTTGTACTGTTGCATGGCATGCCTAAAAGCAAATGTGGGTTATTAAATGAATCATATTTACTCATTACAACACCTATGGTGATTTGATACTTGCATATTGAGGACAGGTGTACCGGACCACAACAGTGTTTTTACCACCATACAGTAGATGCGGTGTAAGATTTGCTGGCTGACAGGTCCAAGATTTCTTTTTTAATCCAGAAAATCCCTTTATAGTTTACATTGAATTCGTTGGTATGTTAGTCATGAATATCAAAACAGCCTATTCAATAAATTTTAAAATAAACATTCCAAATGTAGATTGAATAAGATTAACATACTGTGATATGGTTTTGATTGCATGTGATGGAAGTGCTTTCAGGATACTGCAGTTTAGCAGGTCTATGGAGTGATGGCAAGCCCATAAACAGCAGTACGCTATGTGATACTTTGGATTTGGGGTCCAATAGCTGTTTGGTTTCCGGATCCAAAGTAAAATACATGGTCATTGGGCATAGTGATTCTAGAGTATGTGTAGCACATTTTAGCATGCAGTGTTCAAAAAACAGTTAATGAACTTGATAATCAACAGCCAATCGGGTTGCTTTCCAACCATGCAAATGTGGAATACCTGACGTGTACAGTGTTGGTCCAAGAGCTTTCTTTATATTGAAAAAAGGAGATGGATCGAATTCGGTAAATTTGTTATTCAATGTGTTGGAAGCTTGCAATGCAGACCCAGACGATAAAGTAGAGTTGTGAGTACTCATAGCACACTGCATCATGGTTCTGGATCCTGGATAAGATTTTGATGTAGCAAGATCTGAAGATGTCGATGACCCAGCCAAACCTTGGTCATTGAACGATAGACGGAATCTTACGCCTGGCTGTAGTGGTGGATTAGAAGGACCATGTGGTGACGACTTTGGTACTCGGTCAGAGGATATGGTTCTGTGATTGAATGCAATCATATAAACAAGTTCATGTTTAATATTTCTATACAAGACGGTTGAATCATTGATGATAAATTACCTTTTGGAAGGAAGCTCGACAGGGCCTATTGCCTTTATAACAGCATTCATGCACTGTAGGAAATGATCGTCATTCATCTGTGCATATTGCAGTATGCGATCCTGAAGAGCAGCCTTTAAACCTGTTTTACTGACTCCTATGGCATCTATGACTTGTTTCAACTGGCTGACTACCATTTTGTTCAACACTACATGTGACAGATACTAAATCAACATATTAGAATCCGGATTTTTTGCAGTTGAAACAGCTACTCTGGAAGTAGAAAGTAAAAATAACCATGCATATAAAGTAGGTGATGAACCATGTTTAGTTTATAGTCTTGCATTGACTAGAGTGGATAAACCAGTCATGGCAGTTTGAATTAAGCTCAAGTCTTGTTGCTTTCCAATGTTGGTTTGTATTGTAGAAATATACACAGTAACTGACTAGTGCAAACATGCACACTTACCGAATGGTCCATTCGATTACTCTGCATGTTTGCATTGATTGTCAAACTCAGCATTTCAAATTTATTCCATTCATCACGCCCTCAGGCCGGCAAGCGACCAGTTTTGCAAATATCAAATTGAACATTCATCCAATGGCAAGGCAATTCCTTCATTTGTTCAAAACAAGAAACAAGAGCCGCATGAGGTAGAGTGTGTTGAATAACATGCCAAGCAGTCAATAAGCGGGCAAGTTTACAGAATAAAGTAGAAATCGATGGGATTAAGGAAAGGGATCTTGACTTGTCAAATGTCTGTTAAGATGAACACCTTTTGATGGTTAAATCCAAAAAATAAGTATCGAATTTAAAGACTGCTTGAAACAGCACATTCGGAGTTACAAATGAGGGTGCAAAAAATTTAAGAATAAAAGAAAGTTTGAAAGGTCAGAGTCAGCCAAACATGCTTATAAGCATGTACGATGGCATGGCTCGGTATTATCTTCAATAACAAGATCGGATCCGAGCAGTGATTCTGCATCGGTGCCTCCACAGGTATGTGCGCACAGCTTAATCGCATTGTCAGCCTCTTTGCTCCAATCTGTTCGCATTACTAGCCATGCCATCGCGGCAGAAATGATGATTAATGCAAAAGAAAGTCCAATCCAGAGTCCTTGAAGACCGAACCCAGCCTTGAAGCCAAGATAGACACCAATAGGTAAACCCATGAGATAATAACCTGTCAGATTCATGTAGGCACCGAGATGCTGACGACCACAACCACGTAATACACCACCACCAATGGAGCAAAGACAATCGCTAATCTGAAACAGTGCTGCAAGCGGAAGTACCTCGGCCACCAAATGAATTACCTCGACATCACTAGTAAACAGATATCCCCAGCTAAAACGCACACTAAACAAGAACGTGCAGTTAGCAACAGCAAGGAATGCTCCTATGATATATGCTGTCATGGCAGCCACTTTGGACGAAAAGGGTCGATTGGCACCAAGCGAATTGCCAATCCGTGTTGATGCAGCAATTGAAAACGACATGGGCAGAATATAAGTCAGCGAGATCGTGTTCAAGATGATCGACTGTGCTGCCAGTGACTGGTCTCCTAGCATGCCCGAAGCCAATGCAACTAAAGGATGGATCGTTCAATCAGTCAAGAGCAATCACATCATCTGAAATCTACAAGCAAAACTTACCCAGTTCGAATGCCCACCATTCACTACAGACCATTGCAACACCAGGAACACCCAGTTTCATGTAAATCCATATCTGGCGTACATTCAAAGCTTCTTTCCATTCCCATCCACCCCATTTCTCGTTACCCTCCACAAAGCAAATGTAGAGAATGGTCAACAAGAAAATCAAGATATTGCTCACACTGGTTGCAATAGGAGCTCCAATAATGCCAATAGCATAAGAAGACCATACCAAAAACCATTGCAGGAAGATGTTGACTGGAGCGACAATTGCAATAACGCACATGGCGGCCTTTACAATACCTAGTGTGCATAACAAGACATGACGAATTAGCATCTCCTCAATAGTAATACAGCCATGATGGCTCTGCTAAACAGGAACATTAGGGTGTGGTTTGTACAGCATGCATCCATTCAAAAGGTTTTAATAAGCCCTTCAAAACACCCTAGACTTTGGATATACCTTGACACTGCAAATATCGTTTCATGCTATCTGCACATAGGTAGGGAAGCAGTCCAGGAAGCATCCAAAGAGCGAATTCACCCGACAGTCGGCAAATCTCTGGATCTTGACCAAACATCAGCAAGATGTTTTCTGTAAACAGCCAAAGGAAAGAGATGGGAATAGAGATCAAAACCATAACAATCAGCGATCGCTGTAGATGCTTTCCAAGCGCATATTTGTCTGAGCTTCCAGTATATGCCTGTGAGCACAGTGTGTCCATTGCGGTATTTATTCCCTAAACAGCACGTCATGAGCAGTCAGTAATATTAGTAACAAATTTGTGCATCCTGGCATTGAAAAGCAAAATAAAAAAGCATGCAAATACACACAATGCCAATCGAGAATCCAGTGACATTGCAGAACATGGTGGTGAGCGCAGAGGAAGCTAATTCCTTTGTGCCAACATGTCCAAGAGATAAAACCCTGTCATTCACCAATACAGCATGAATTCATGGTTAGTACAATGCATTCGTGATGTATCAGCAAGAGTATGAATGAACTGCAAAAGTGTAGCGAGAATGAGCCAAATACGACTTTATCGAGCAGAAACAATGAATTCGTAAAAACAAGACTGACTAAACAACTTACGAAGCAACGGAAAGAGAAGTCAGTAGAATGTAGCCAACCATGATGGGCCATGCAAGAGTAACTAACAATCATAACATGTAGATGAGCAGAACAAGTCAATGCGAGTAATCATTAGAATAACTAGTCAATCCATACCAATTCGACCAGCCTCTGCATACAGCAAAGAGACAGTAATCTGAGTATTCAAGTCCTCATGCTCTGAACGAGAATTAGAGCCCAAAAGCGGAGTGCATTCGGCTGGATGAGCAAGTCTATCGTCATCCATCTTTGTTAAAATTGGCAAGAAAATCTCGAAGCAGAAATATTTGAATATTTGTGCTTGGGATGAACGAGACTGAATAATAATTAGGGCGAGCCAAGAAACATCGAGTCTACGCTGTTGAGCGTATCCGTTTAGCTTGTTTGCTATCAGCAACTACTGGACTGGATCCAACACTAATGGATTGTGTTACTCACTCGGCACATATCACTTGGACTATCACCAACTTCCATAACCGCACTGGCCTGCTAGTCTCTCCTCCATTTGGCCCATCAGACTGTCAATGGGAACTAAACTTGTATCCACAAGGAAATGGGTTTTCTCGAGGTTCTCATATTGGATTGTTTTTAAAAGTCATCAAGTCTTCATTAGAACTACAGTCTGACTCTTCTTTGCAGAAATGGTCCAGACCCATTTTATACTTTCATTTGGCCATCTGTGATGGCAACAGTGGCAGAAATGCTATCATCAAGGAACGCAATGCTCAAGGCTCTCAAGGCTTTGGATTTGGCTTCTCACATCCAGTGTCTTGGGGATGGGATACAATGTTGCCTGTAACAGCTTTGGATCGTTTACTTACTGCTGAAGGCGAGATGGTTGTAGCTGCTAGTGTCAGTTGGAAGCAGAAAACAGACTCGATGATGACTGGCCATTCCACTCTTGGCAGCGACAGTAGTGTGCATGACTGCTATCAATTGCTGTTCAACGACTGGCTATCAGATCTGCAGCTTGTAATCGACTACTGTGATCCTGTGCTTCAACCATCAGACACTGGTTCCAAACGATCCGCCGGTACTCTTAGATCCACCACTGACAGTGAAAAAGACGGCAGTCTTGAATTGCCTCAGTCATCGCATGCAGAATCCAATCCAACTTTGCACACAGTGATTCCTGCACATCGAGCTATTCTTGCATCTCGTAGTACTTACTTTTGTACAATGTTACAGTCTGGCTTTGCAGAGAGCAGTCAGAGCAACGACTCTGGAGATCTTTCCGTCATTCACATTACTCAATTTACCCCTCAAGAAATTCGTGCCATGCTCGAGTTTATATATACCGGAAACCTTATTACTCCTCCAACAGACTTTGCACAGCGTACTCGCTTGCTTCATACTGCCGACTACTATCAACTTGCTAATCTTTACGTGTACACTAGCAGACTCATAGTGGATTTGGATATAAATTTAAACTCTATTTTCACAGTTTTAGAAATTGCTCACAAGTACTCGTCTGTTTCAGTGTATCTGAAATCTTGCTGCATGACATACATTCATGAACATTTGAAAGATTTGAAAAAACTGCAGTCATTTAAGGAATGGATTCAAACTACTGATAGTCGAGATTTGATTGTTGAGCTATTTTCGGTTCTATAATGCAGAGTTTTATGCATCGATCGTCTACATGTACTTTATTCCGGTCTGTATCTACACGGTTTGGTCTATTCATTGATTGTATTGTATCTTTACCTCGAGACTGTTCAAAAAACAATGTATACCTGGACTATTATGGTCATCCAATCCATGTCTACAGTTTTGTATACATGACAGAAATCAGCTTTGTCTTGGGTAAATGACTAGCTGAATTCATTCCAAGACAAAACTTCAATAAATACTTGGCATGTTAATGTGATCCACTTTTATCAATACTATAAGTTGACATGTCTACGATTCCAGCTTCATTCTAAGTCGAAAGGTATACACAATTTCACCTAGTTTAGAACTAGCAAGCGCTCCATGGGATTTCAAGTATAGCGCTAATCGAGATTCTGGCTCGGCCATGGCAAAATCTAAAGGTGTAGCTCCTACATGTGAGATGGCATTGATCAATGCCCCACACATGACCAGTAGCTCACAGATATCAAAATATGCAAACATGGCCGCACGATGTAAAGGAGTTTCACCTAGTCGGTTAGTGGCATTGACATCTGCTCCAACTTCGTAGACTAGACTGAAACACGTGTTGTAACTGGCCGTTTCGATAGCCAGATGAAGCGGGGTTTGGCCCTCGTTGGTTTGGGAGTAGAGATGTGCTCCGTGCTCTGCCAGCAGCACACATATGGCAGGCTGAGCGTGCATTGCTGCATAGTGCAAAGGAGTTTCGCCAGATCGATTGGGAGAATTCACATTGGCACCTAATTTTAATAGCGTTTTGCACAACTCGATAGACCCAGACTCGATTGCAATATGTAATGAAGAATCCAATCCTTTGTTGAGTCCATTGACATCCATACCAGCAGCAACAAGCACTTCGCAACATGCAGTGGATTGAGCCCACGTAGCACGATGAAGCAACGTTTGTTGTCCTTCAGCTTCAGAGGCCTCCAGATCTTCAATATCAAAATCAATATCATCCAAAAGTATTTGACAAATGTGTGCATGTCCTGCATCAATAGCAATACTGAGAAGCTGGCTGTTGTCAATATTTTTAAATGTACCTGCTGAACGAAGTTGTTGGAGCATTTCGCTTTGACCACGTCTACATGCTTCCATAAATAACGCAGGAGCCATATCTCGCAAAACACCATACGTTTTTGCCATGGCAAGCAATGATTTGAATGCTCTCAAATGACCACCAGAAATGGCAGCAAATAGAGGGGATTGACATATAGGACTGGAGATGAGGTTGGAAATACAGGTGTTTATAGAAAGTGCATTAGTGGAGGGTACTGAGTCTACCAATGTAGATTTGTTCAAGGCATCGGGAGTTGCAGTGGATTCATTTGGAGTTGAGAGCGCGACTGGAACAAGACGTGCACCAGCAGCGACCAAATGCTGGCAGATTTCATCATTTCCAACCAAAGCAGCGACGTACAATGGAGAGTCAGAACCCATACGATCAGATAGATTTGGATCGGCTCCATCTGACAATAGCCAGTCGCAAAGATCCAGATCATTGTAACAAATAGCGTCTATCAATAGCGGCTCTTCTTTTTTAGTTGCTCCTAATGCAAGGAGAAGTTGGCATGTACTAAACTGACGAGCATAAACTGCTCTGTCAAGCGGACGACCATACCTCGGATGCTCTCTGTTTATATATTTTGCATTCATGGCAGTGAGTCCATATCCATGAGCGTTTTTAGTACACATTGTGGTGTTGGATTTAAGAGTCTCATTTTTAGAGATTGTAGTATCTATACTCGAATGTGTAGCACTATTATGAGGTTGAATGGTTTGACTAGAGACTGATTGATCATCTCTTTCAGCCTGGGTCCTAATAAGCATTGTACAGATGGAATTGCAACCCATTTCGGCAGCATAATGAAGAGGATCTGGATGCCATGAATCTGTTAGTTGCAGAGCAGCACCATAACCCAGTAGCAATCGAGCAAGAGAAGGATTAGGAGCAGCAATTGCAATAAGAAGAGCCATGGCCAGTTCTTGTGGAGTCAGAGCAGATCCTGCCAAGACAGCGTAGTGCATCAGTTGAAAGTGACGACGAGCAAGCACGTTGAGGAAGTCAGGAGGCGGGAACAGCAACGACACCTGCAACAACAATGATCGAAAGGCAGTGGCCCACAGCTCTGATGAGTTTGGGGTCTTTGAGTCAGTAGTGGTATCTACAAGCGTAATGGCAGATCCTTCTGTAAACGATACAACAACAGATTGTGGGCTATCTGCAGCAGCAATGGGGTTGCAACAGGCGTTTCTGAGCGAATGGCTGTTTTGGCTGTCGTTACTGTAGTGACTGCACCTATGAGTGGAATCGGGACTGTCTTGGTAATCTCCATTGCTACCATATGTGGTGCAATCACTCAGTCTATTCGTAGCTTTGCTGCTGCTACAATAAGGACAATGACCATTGGCAATGCGAGGCTGCAGTATTCTTCTAATGCGACTTCCAGTATGATATAATGTCCACAGTGACTTGGGTGCAATAACTGCCACATACTGCATAATGTTGAGCACTACAGTGTCTGGTAGCTGTCGCATGATTCTAGTATTTGGTATCCAGCAGCTGGCCAATATCGAGTGTATTTGGCTGACAATATAAGCAAGATATAATCCCTATTATTCACTATAATCGATAACCAAGTCACTCTTCCCTGAACCCCTTCAACTACTATCATTCTTGAACCCTAACGCAGGTCATGCATACTTGCTACATGTTCAGAAACGATTGGACCCTCACATTCCTGTTGAAATCAAGTCAAAATCTGCTTCCACTCCACATTATTACAGTCGTATTCACATGAAATGAAACACTAAATATGGATACCAAAATATAAAAATCAATCTCATGGAATGATTGGTGCCAAATTTACTGAACATTGTCATTGAATTCTATGCCAATCTCCTGGTGATTGCCATATAGATTTGCATTCTTGAAATATCTAGTCTTTACCTTGAACTAAAGCGTATGAGATTTAGGATGCAATAAAGCATTCAACCCCAATATCCGATTTCAAACTTGGTGATCGTACAATGTATGGTTATCTAATGTCTAATAGGAAAGCGTAGCAAGTATTGAAACAGTCTTTCAAAAGGAATAACCACTACGAGATACAAGCGTTTCATTTTGATAAATACACTGTAATTCAATCACCATATTTCTAAAATCGTAATATCTTGAATTGGCTCAACAATCATGCATACAAACTCATTCATTACTCCATGTTAATCTGACTAATCACGACTCAATAACTCAATTGCTCGCATACAGCTTGAGATGGCATCTGCAATAGCCGTAATTGCTTGAACATTGGTCGTAGTCTCTAGTTTTATCGACAACTGAATAACCTTGTCAGTGAGTGCATTTGCTGTATTTTGAAACGGATTGTTGACCGAGTCAGAGTGAACATGAGGTGTTGGAGATACAGTGAGGATTTTCTCAAAAGATCGCTTTTGTCCGCATATTGGGTCGTCTTGATCCATAGCAACTGATTCTGGCTTTACATGAATCGGCTCAGCAATGTCATCCAACTCATCTCCTGATTGTTCGCAAATGACGCACAGAGTTTGGTTTTGACGATTGCGAACAAGTGGAATCTACTCAATACACACATCTTGGTAAGTGCATAATCTAAACATGCTAGTTTGAACAAAGCATCTATTCAACATTACGATGCAGTTTCACTTACACCGGGACAAGAACGACACACATTTTGAAGCAATGTCCATCCTTGGAGCATCTTTTGTCCAATAAGGTCACTGGCACGCTCCGACTGCTCACGATCCTGCTCAGTACTACGATCCACTTCGTGTCTTTCGTCCATGGCTGCCAACAGCTCCATTTCTTCTTCTTCAGTAAGAGTAATCGAATCAGATGTCTGTTTGTCTTGAGCTTGATGGACCATTGAAATCGAGTCTTTGTTGGTGAGTTGGGATGCAGCCGGTTGACTGATCACAGGCAGGATAGGAGAATGTGGATCGTCACACATACAACATACTGTCTTTGTACGCTCCTTATTTCTAAACACAGGCAACTGGCACATACTCGAGTCAGTAGATGGATGAAAGGATCATGTCATGGAATACATGTCATTTACATTGCAGCCCTTATTGGAACACATGTCATTCATCAGCACCCAGCCAGTCAGCATGTATGTTCCCATGCGACGACTTCCTTCCTGTCTTCTGTCCGCACCATTCATATACGAATCTGCAGATGCGCTGATGGAAGCAGTAGTCATTTGCTTGGTATCGAGTTGATGAAAAACCTGATAAGAATGTCAGCACACCCTCAGGCCAGATAAGAATGAATTCTTTGTATTCATTGGATTATCCATCAAAGTCGCAGTTCTTATCAAGCAAGTCTTGTCCAAGAATCAGCAGTTTCTAAAGTGTGTAGTTTCATCTCGGTGTATCTTTACAGCCCGTCAAGAACATTAGGCGAACATGTACACACTTGTAAGCGGGCTTTATAAAAAGTATACACAACGACAAGAGTTTTTTGTGATTATTCTTGGTCTGGACAATGCTGGTAAAACTGTATGTAACTGTATGTAACTGGATTCCATCGGATTTGTATCTGGATAAATGACTTGACCTCTATTCTGATTCTTAGACATTGCTGGAACGTATCAAGTCTATTTATAACGGAGTACCTGGACTGAGTTCTGAAAATATTGGACCAACAGTTGGATTAAACAGTATGTACTTGTATGATGCATTTCTCGGACTTGAATGGATCGTATACCTAACACATTTGACTTTGGATTCTGATGGAAACAATTGGAACGAATTCAAATAAACTTTAGTTGGAAAGGTAGATGTAAAGAATGTCCGTCTCAACTTTTGGGATCTGGGCGGACAGAGGGAACTCCGGAGCATATGGGAAAAGTACTATTCGGAATGTCATGCGATTGTTTTTGTCGTAGATTCTACTGATCGAGTTCGTATCGAAGAAGTTCAGGCCACTTTGGACAAAGTGATTCATAATGAAACCATTGAAGGTGTGCCTGTTATTATGTTGGCCAATAAGCAAGATGCACCCGATGCATTAAAGCTGCACGATATTCAGCACATATTTAATCAGATCGCGGTAGCTCTGGAAGCCAGAGAGAGTAAAGTCATGGCTGTATCAGCTCTACAAGGGTAAGCAGGACAGAATTTGAAGTTTCTGGTATTGAAGATGTCATACTAATACCATGCTAATCTAAATGTGAATATACAGAAACGGAGTACAAGAAGCAGTGGATTGGTTGTACTCGAGATTATTATTAAATCAGAAACATCGACCTCCAATCTACAACAACTGAGCATGTCATGTTTAAATAAAAATGCATGATTTCATTATAATTCAAGCAAGAGATTGCCAACACTCGAGTCTAAATATTGTTGGAATACAATCGGAATCTTGATTCATTCTTACCAATGACCACCTTGCGTGTCAACGACGCTGCCAAGATCATCTACGCCCATCTCTCTCATATCCCAATATCACAAGTTCTAAACCATGCGCACGGCTCAAAGAAACCTCTGATTAGTGTCCATCAGGACACTACCCTGGATAATGTTCTTTCTATAATGCACACCTCGCAGATCCTGGCTATCCCTGTTTACAAGGTTCCAAAGGATGAGCCTGATGGAAAGGTGTTTACTGGGATAGTCTCTGTGTTTGATATTCTGGCCAACACTGTGTTTCAAAGTGTATTTGATGACATGTCTGGCAATGTGTATGTTGTAGCTGTTATGCTCGAGTAATAGTGGATTGTTTACATGGGTTTCAATCGACTGACTCTATGCATAATTGGTAGAAAGAATCCTATAACCATGAGTAAAGACGAGTTTCAACAGTATATTAGGATGGTGAAGGAAGAGCATGCCTATTTTTCTACAAAGGTAATATGCTATTTGCTAGATGATCCAATCAGTAGTGGATTGAATAACAATCTAATGTACTGTAACATGACAAGATTGGAGAGCTTCTTGGACAGACGAGTGAGTCTGCAGAGTCTTGGACACTCCATTCATCTGATCCGCTTACGTCTCTGCTGCAGATCTTGACTTATGCTAACCGACATCGCGCACTGATCATTGACGATGATGTCAATCTTGCAACAGTTGCACCTCCATCTGGCTCTTCCATTCGTTTAGTGACTCAGACTGACCTGCTGCGATATTTGCTGGATACCGATTGTGTTGTATCCACGCTTAATAACGACACGTCTGATTGCAAAGAGTCATTGCAGTCTGCACTGGACACTATTTGGAGTATTCCTGTGAGCAATGCAGATCGAATCACTCTAATCCAGAGTGCAGATCCACAAACACTTTCAAGTACTCAACTCAGCGAAACGAAAAAACAACTGGTTTGCGTAGAGTCGAGCATGTCTGCACTTGCTGCTTTACGCTCTCTCTATCTTCATCAAGTCTCTGCAGTCGCAGTGGTGGACACCAACGGCAGGCTTGTTGCCAATCTCTCGGCTTCAGATTTACGCGGAGTAAATTTCTCGAATCTGGAAATGCTTCTTGGCTCAGTATTTGAATTTCTTGAAGCCGAAAAGCGCACTCCTAATCAACTTAAATCAGATCAGCTGAAAAGTGTTGAGCCTGGATCGGTTGTTGGGGAAGTAGGAGTGTCGATGATGGAGCATATGATACATCATTTGTGGGTTGTGGATGACGATGATCATCCGATCGGAGTTGTGTCCATGTCAGACGTGTTGGCGTTGTTTGTTCCAGAGAATGGTGCTGCAGTTGAGCAGTAACAGTCGAACCAGTGGATTGTTTTGAGCATCCAAAAGGCTAATTCTGACTGAATGTCCAAACCAACACAGTTTACTCGACACATTTCGAATAAAATGAAACCAGGTTTTCTGTACACTTTGAAAGGGTTGTTAGATAAGCTCAATGCGATGGGAATAAGTTGCCGATCCGAAGCAATGAAAGTTTCCTAAAATAAATATACTTGGTTTGCTAGTGGAATAACAGCATTATGGAGATGGATGGTGCAATGGATGTTGCAGTGGATGCAGTGGTTGGAACCATCTTGACAACTGTTGCTGCTGCCTTGGCTACTTCAACGCTGGAAAGCATGGTCAATGAACCATTAGACTCACAATCAACCACTACTGTCACAGCTCAACCCATTATCAGTATTGGAAAACCGAGCGACGACCATGACACTCAGACCTCTGCCTTGAGCGACACTGCTACCATTGTTGCTTTGATTCTTCGTTTAATATTCGGTCATACTCCTTGGCTAGTGTATCGCTTTTTGTCCTACACCGTCACTGCTACCATTACTCTGGATCTATGGTCGGTTCTTGGCCTTCTTTCTTTAATCTCTCTCGTCGTTTATCTTCTGATTCGTTATCGTCTGCTCAACACTTACACTCATCTTAAAACCCCTGCTCCCATTGCTCCGCGTGCACCATTCGATCTTCAACCCGATGCTACGCTGGACGACGACACGGATCTCAACAAGGGTTATCCAGATGAATTTATGAATGCCTTTCTCTCTTCTATTAAAGTGTTTGGATATCTTGACAAACCTGTTTTTCACGAACTTGCTCGTCATCTACAAACTCGCAAGCTAAAGACTGGCGAAATCCTTTTTGACGAGGACTCGGAAGATCGCGACTTTTATGTCGTTGTTGACGGCTGTGTTCAGATTTATTTAAAAGGCAATTCTAATGCTCTTGCTAGACATAGTTTGGGTAGTAACAGTCGTGATCATTTGGATGAATATGGAGACTTTGAAGATCGATCCGACTCTGATGATCCCGAGGATGAATTCAGTGGTCATCATTTGCTGAACGAAGTCAAGGCTGGCGAAACCGTCTCTAGTTTGTTTACCATCCTATCGCTGTTTACTGAAGACTTTGAGCTTTCAACACTGATGCAGCCTCATTCTGCTGCCACAAATTTAAACGAATCTCATGGAACTTCCTTTTCCAGTAAACATTCTGGTTTCCCCCAAGCTCAATCACCTGCGTTTTCTACACAACTTGACAGTGATGAATCTGCTTGGCTCAGATTTAACCATTTACAACAGGATAGTAGTATTGATTCAACTCCTACTCCAGAAACTGCTCATCCTGATGCCAAACCTCGTGTTTTCCCTTCTGCTGAAGCTAATCCTGCTTCTGACCCAGCAATCCACCAACACCTTGAAAAAAAGGACACCTCTGCTAAAAAACAACCACAGGACGTTTTGCCTCGTTTGACCAACTTGCAGCCAACTCAAAGTCCAAGTGGACACGCGCTTGGTTATATTCCTCAAAACGTGTTTCCAAGTTTACGTCGTCGCAACTCTACATCTGCTTTTAGTGACGTTGAATCCAGTCATGGTGTTGAAAGCGTTGATGGCTCCGTTGCAGCTGAATCAGGCATAGCTCACGGCTTGGATGGCTCGGAAGATCATAAACATTTTACTCATCCCACTAGCGGCAATCATATTCCCAAACGTAAACATCGGTCGGTTCATCCAGGAATAATTACGCGCGCATCTTCTCCAACCACCCTCGCAGTGATCCCTGCTCAGGCTTTTCGAAAGCTAACTGAGAAATTTCCCAATGCTGCAGCTCATATCGTACAAGTCATTCTTACTAGATTCCAACGTGTTACGTTTCTTACTCTGTATCGGTACCTGGGATTATCCAAGGAGCTGTTGAAAATTGAGCGTCAGGTTAATCAGTTTTCTGGTTATGGATTACCAACAGATTTGTTTCCTCCAGAAATTTTGCATGACTTGAGACTAAGAACGATTCGAAAAAGAAGAGGGATCAATAACACTTTTGTTACAAACGAAGTTGATTCTAGCAATGGTAATGAAGTAGATCGACGCATGAGTGAAATGCCCGGGTCGCGAGGTACATACAATGTGAATGACGATACTGCATCATTGACAATATCTATGGGGTTGACCCATTCACAACAACGCAATCATCGTCGTGCTCACAGAAACGTAGTAGAAATCAACGAGTACAATAATACTGCAGATAGTTCAGAAAATGATACTGCTGGTCCTGCCAAACCACCCAGAAAACCAAATGCCAAGTCGTCATATCGACCCACACGTTTGAATGATGAGGCGGATGGACCCATTAAAGAAGCTGTTTTCAAATGTATTGCTCAGCTGATTGGTATGCGACCGTATGTTGCTCCTTATGGATATCAGCGACAGTATTCATTACATGAGCAGATACCAAATCGTACTGGATCTATGGCCACTTCTGGATTTCGACAGTCGGGCCCTCCAGGTCATTCAAATTTGGCTCCTATGACGGATCGCCTGTATTACTCACGCTCTCGTACCAGCTGGAAACCTACATCCTCAACGGTTTTTTCAATCGGCTCCGCACGTGCATCTCATCCAAAAACTCCAGATGAAACCACATCACCAAGCAATTCTACTGGAAACTTTTCCATTGACTCGTCTGATCAGGTAGAGATTGATATCATGTACTTTGAACACGGACAAACACTTGTCAAGGAAGGAGAACGCGGTGCTGGTTTGTATTTTGTGCTGGACGGTGTGTTGGAAGCATCCATGTCTACGTCAAATAGCCAGTTGTTTCCTATTCGCACTGGCGATGCAAGTCAAAATAGTAATCCATCTAGTCGAGGAAAATCTCGTCGCAATCTATTTTTGATTCACCCTGGTGGTCTTGCAGGATACTTGGCTGCATTAACTGGACAGACTTCGTTTGTCACTATCAAGGCAAAAACAGATGCGCATGTTGGATTTATGTCTAAACAGGTTTTGGACAAATACGTTGAACGATTTCCTGATATCTTGTTGTGCTTGGCTAAACGGTTAGTGAACCAGCTTTCACCACTTGTATTGCATATTGATGTTGCATTGGAGTGGGGACAGGTCAATGCAGGGCAGGTTTTATGTCGTCAAGGCGAGCCGTCAACTTCGATCTATATTGTACTTACTGGCCGTCTGCGTGCTATTGTAGAGCGATCGCGTAATGGTATCGAGTCATTAGATATTCTGGGCGAATATGGTCAATTGGAATCTGTAGGTGAAATGGAAGTACTGATGGATGCTCCACGTACAGCCACGATTCATGCTATTCGTGACACCGAGGTAGCCATCATGCCCAAAACTTTATTTAATGCTCTTGCTATTGGACACCCCGAAATTACAATTTCTATTGCACGTATTATTGCAGCGAGATCAACTCAGTCTTTTCTTGGAAAAATGGGTCCTGGCCAGCAACCATCCTTTAATATGCGTGGTAGTCCTGATTCTGGAAACAACAATGTCAATCTTAAAACGGTTGCCATTTTGCCTGTAACGTCGATTGTTCCTGTTTTTGAGTTTGCCGACCACATTCGTGATGCTTTACAGCTTATTGGCGCATCGGTAGCATTTTTGAATACTGCATCTGTGATGCGAGAGCTTGGCAAACATGCCTTTACCCGTTTAGGACGTCTCAAGCTTATGAGCTGGCTGAGCGAGCAAGAAGAATCGCATCGACTTGTCCTCTATGTTGCTGATGGGGGTGTAAGTTCTCCATGGACACAGCGATGCGTTCGTCAAGCAGATTGTATCCTTCTTGTTGGTCTTGGTGACGAAGATCCTGGCATTGGTGAATTTGAGCGACTTTTGATTGGCATGAAAACTACTGCCAGAAAAGAGCTTGTGCTCCTTCATAACCAACGTGCATGCATTCCTGGATCCACTGCACAGTGGCTAAAAAATCGAGTATGGGTACATGCTCATCATCATGTTCAGATGAATCTAAACACTCCAAAACTTCTCAACAAAACCACCCAAAAACAACTCACACTTATTAATCTTAAATCGCATTTCCAAAGAGTGTATACGAGCATGTATCCTATGAATAGCACGGGGAAGAAATCATCAGCACCAAATATTTATTCTGGAGTAAGATCAGATTTTGCCCGATTGGCTCGAAGACTTTTGTCCAAATCGATTGGGTTGGTGCTGGGTGGAGGTGGAGCAAGAGGGTTTGCGCATATTGGAGTGATTCGAGCATTTGAAGAGGCTGGAATTCCAGTAGACATGATTGGTGGAACAAGTATGGGCAGTTTTGTCGGAGGTTGTTATGCTAGAGAAAATGATCATGTCAGTGTTTATGGCAGAGCAAAAATGCTTGGCGGGAGATTAGGTTCTACTTGGAGGTCACTCATTGATCTAACCTATCCCATCACTGCAATTTTCACAGGCAAGTCATTCTGTTGGTTGACATTTGATCCATGTGGTAGAGTACTTGCCATTATACCTCGACAGTTTAAATCTGATGATATTTTGATAAAATGTAGGTCATGAGTTTAATCGCGGTATCTGGAAAGTGTTTTCTGACACACAAATTGAAGACTGTTGGATTTCGTATTTTGCAGTTACAACTAATCTTAATTGGAGTCGAATGGAAGTTCATCAAACAGGTTACATGTGGCGATACATTCGAGCATCCATGTCACTTTCTGGCTATCTTCCACCGCTTTGTGATCACGGCAGTATGCTCCTGGATGGTGGATACATCAACAATTTACCAGCGGACATTATGCATTCTTTAGGCGCACACACGATTATTGCTGTTGATGTAAGTCTTGCTGATGACACATCACCCGTGAGTTATGGCGACTCGGTATCGGGATGGTGGATGTTACTCAGCAAACTCAATCCATTCCCACAATCCTACTCGTTTCGTCCACCTGAAATTGCTGATATACAATCTCGTCTTACGTACATTTCATCGGTGAAACAACTCGAGGATGCCAAACGTATCGATGGGTGTTTATACATTCATCCGCCCGTTGCAGCATATACGGCAATGGATTTCAAAAAGTTTAAAGAAATTGTCGAGGTTGGATACAAGTTTGGACAAACGGTTGTGCAAGAATGGCACAATAATGGAACGCTGCAGCGACAGCTGGGTGTTACGTTGGCTGATTCTGTTGAAAGGAAACTACGTGGTGGTCGTCGTGCCTCTATTTAAATGCATCTCTATATGTTGTAGAGCCACATGTTTTATCTGGAGTTTGACTGCAGTTGAATATTCCCATCAAAAATGGTTCTCTAATAAACCCCATTTTCGTAAGGATGTACAGCATAAATCGGCTTTATTTAAAAACACCCGCTAATGTATACCTGGAATCAATACATAAGAAGTTTTGCGATAGTCCTTGTATACATCACCGAAAAATTCGACAAGCTTTCTTTCTTCAAACCGTATTCTGGAGTTGAAAAAGGTATACAGACAAAACATGTATGCAACAAAGCATGCAGGATTTCCTAAAAGAATCTGTTGTCCGAGCGACCAATAGTAAAAGCCTGTGTAGGATGGGTGACGAAGGTATGCATATATCCCAGTTGTGATGAGAATGTGATCCTCCTTTTTGTCTTCTGAAATATAGTGAGTGAAATTCGATCCCGCTGTAATCATTGCCACCGATCTGAGTATTTGTGATGCAATCACAACGAGAAATCCTATTTGGGATTTAACCAAAAAGCAAAGTAAAAAAATAGTAGATTAGAGATTATCCTGCTCAGACATTTACAGTAGTTGGAAACAAGTATAAATACGCTGCATATACCTAAACCATTGATCCATGAAAACACCTTGAACGAAGGGAAAAAAAAGGTTTCAACAAGAAACTCGATAATGCCACCTGCCATCGCAATATGATACTCGGGGCTATGGTTGAGCAGGAATGCTAAATACATTCATAAAACCAAGCAAACCACATACAAATAGCAAGGTTAATGCAATTTCAAATTCTGTAGATTCAAAATAACCTACATTTTAAACTGGTATCTGGCTGAAACATGGCAGTGGTGATATACTCCATAATATGGAATGTAGTCAGACTAGCTAAAAATATTCCTAATCCTCGAAACATGACCGTGAATGTTCCAATGGCACATCCACATCCGGCAACAAACCCAAGACAAAATGCATACGATGCAATGTTTTGGCAAGTGTGCAAACCATCATAGAGGGGAAGGCCAAGAAATCCACGAAAAGAATTCTTATTCTTGATGACTTCAGGCCATACATAGGCATCGACACTTGAGGATTTCAGCAAATCTTTGAGATAAACAACCAGAGCGACTCCAATTATACTACGTTGTGCAATCTGAGCAGACATAACCCACCAAAATAGCGATGAAGCGCATGCATCTGACCAATATCTAAGGTATATAAAGCATGTGAATGAGTGACAAGTGTGATCCAGATATAATCAGCAGCAATTTGCAAGCCCTACGGAAAGATCAACTTGGAATTTGTAACGAATGGTTTGATTTGAGTATACTTCATAAGCGGACCAACTCGTGCAATGACACGAAAGATCTGAGTGATGAGCAACGCAGTGTAGCCTGTAGTGAGTAATCGAGAAGGTTAATTTCATCCATATAAAGAAATTGCTAGATTTGTTTAAATATAGTCAGACATTATACACGACCAGATCGATACTTGCCAATATATGCCAACAAGACAGACATATGACTCTGACTACTGCCAAGCAAGATCTGCCAAACAGCATTCTCAAAAAATCCAACAGCAAGTAGTAGCACAACTGCATAGGGTTTAGGAAATGAAAAGGCTAGCACATTCATAGAGCCATTATATCAGCACTCTACCACTAATTGCATGCAAATATCACTAATGACTAATGATAGCTACCTGCCAGCGACTCGGCTTCACCAAGGATGGCGGATTGAATGTACTCGAATGAAACAAACATTGCCATAGCACTACACACATGGACTCCAGAATGTAAATTCGAAGCCATTGCAGATAAGAGCATGCCGTATCCAGCAACTATTCCCAATAGGAATGCATTGGCAGCCACATTTTGAGCAGTATGTCTTGCATCAAAAATATTTAATCCAAATGGTCCAGAACATGCTGCTGATTTGGCATGCAAACCAACTATTGGTTGACTGCTTTTGTTAGAAGCAGCAGAAGCATTTGGCGTTGGTTGATCAACCATCCTGTAGCTTGATTGTGTTGAGATTCAGACTAGACTGCAATTTACAAATTGCAATCGTATTCACGTAAAATAACCGTTTTGTCCTGCAATGATTGTCATGGAATCATCAAGATTCGTTGTGCTTTCTGCCAATTGGCATCAATGAAAATGTCCATCTAATGTAAACTGTCGGTTGACATTGCAGTACTGAACACTGTCTAATCTTGAGTTCAGTCATTGCACAGCTTCATATGATTTATATATTTATATATTGGTCGAGGTTCGCGGTTGTGGCGAGACCACTACAGCATTAGAAGCGAATGACATGTAGGTATTCCATCCAATGCCACATACGTTGATAAATATCAACTGTCTATTCGGTGGAATCCATCGAAAGTTGATTATGCCTAGAAATGGCCAGATAAGACAGCTGTTGATGTTGATGGGGATAAACTTTTCCTTGAGTGTGGTCCATACATCCTTGTTATTCATTACTGCTGACATGCATAGAAAAAGAGCAATAAAGGGTGGAGTGAATGCCACTTGTGTAAAAAGGGATTTAAAAACGGTGGTTTTTATGCTCCGGCCATATCCGAATATGCGATCCAGTGCTCTAAAAACTGTATAGAAATACGGCCCATGAACAACTGCTCCTATCATACCTTTCAAGTTGTATAAAAAAGACGCATCAATATGTAGCAGATGCATAGTAATGAATTTCAAATACAGGTCACTCATTATGGAATGCCTTACCAAATTTTACTGCCTGCTTCATGCTGATATCCCCAATAAGCGAATGCTGAGAAACTGCTTTGGCTTTAGGTGGGAAGAAATGGGGCTGCACAAAGCCCTGATCAACAATATTTCCCAAAGTGTAGAGTGTCCCAGATGTTGCGGATGCCTTGAGTAGGTGGGGTAAAACTGCTGGTAGTCGAAGCATGTCTGATTATAATATTGGTGGTAAAAATGTTGAATTCATCAAGTCGGCAAGACTTGAATTCTTGCATCCCTTCCAAGCCATGTTGATACCGGACACGCTTGTTAACCTGATTCATACTGCTGTTTGAATAAAGCAACATCAAATTCATTGCAAGAACCAGTTGGTTTATTAAAGCTTATTTCACGCAACAGGAAGCTCAAAACATAATCAAGGCTTCTTCATAGGGTTTGGGATCAGAGAAAAGGGTTTGGGTGCAGTCACAGGTGGTGGTGGTGGCTTTCTAGTCGGTATGTCCGAGTTAACTTTTGTTGGAGGTTTAAAGTGATCTCCAGTCTTTAAAGCAAAGATCAAATCATCCATAATCTGCTTATTGTCCGAGTTGATCACCTTGCTGACATTCTCTTTAAGCTTGCGCTTCTCTTGTTCCTTCTCTGCAAGTCTTGTAGATTTCTCACCAGATTTGCTCATCACTTCAAACTTGATGTTTTCCTTTCGGGCACGCTAGGTGATTAAATCATTACATTGCTCGTTTAATCAAATGGTTATAACCCAACCATTCGATTGTCAATATGAAATGCATCAACTTACATCAAGGTGGACTAAAAATGTTGCAAAAATAGCAAATAATGCAGGAGTAGCAGAGGCATCTTCACCAAAGTATTCTACAACTTTTTTAAACGATTCTTCCATTTTCTTGTGCATTGTAACTACTTTTTCAAGCTCTTGCTTTTGAGACTTGACAAATTTCTAATATAGTGCAAATGTTAGTGGAAATACACAGATTTATAATCAATTGGTAATACAAAGTTATCAACCTCAATGTACGGCTTGAGCATATCTCCTTTAGTATCAGTATCTGGATGCTGTAGCTCGCGTTCAAGACCTTCCATCCCTCTCACTAGCTCGTTGATCTCTTGTGAAATGGTAACCAGAGATACTTGATACAGGGATATTAGCTATTTATCCACTACTTTGAAAATAAAGCACTAATGCTACGCACAATTGAGCAAGACATACCTTTGCTTGCACGGTCAAGCACAGAACCAGACAGGCCAATATCAATCAGATCCGAAAACTTTTGATCAATAGTCGAAACAATATAATTCAACAGCGATGTTTTGCGATCATTGGATTTAACATCGGCAAGCTATAGAATGATTTGCATGTTCAGATACTATAATTAGTAACTAAACTCGCTACATTTTAAGCAATACCATGGCAAGATATCACCTTGGTTAACGAATCTAGTGTGAAGCCAAATGCACCACCTTTGGCAGAGCTATCAGCATTCATATAGTTTCCAATAGCAAGAATCACTTGAAACAGTCTAGCAATCTTTTTGTTGTCCTTCAATTGTGTTGCGGCTTCCATGACTGCTTCGATTTGCTAAACATCATTCATTTATTTTATCAGTTAAACAAACACTATTGATAAAACACTATTTTTGTATAGACTACTGCTTACAGGCTTATTTTCAATAATACGGTCTTGGAACTTTAGCTTGTAGTTGAGCACATTAAGACGTTGATCCAAACGCGGTACTTTGCTAATCTACAATATTATACATATCAGCATGTTACGCTTTAGTCATCTTGCCATGGTTTGTAAACATAGTTTAATCAACATTTACATAAACAAAACACAAACCTCCCAGAGAAACTGCTCGGCTTTACCTAGCGCTGAAAGTTTGGCGTCCTTGCCACCAGTATACTCTTTAATGAGCTCAATATCTTCTGGTGTTGGCTTGTTGACTTGAAGTTGCTTGATCAAAGTTTCAGAGATCTTGTCTTCTTGCATCTGCAGTAATGCTTCGCGAATCTCTGAATATGACAGTTTGACCCTTCCTAGCATAATATCTACATTATTGGCTCGTTTCATATCCAATACAGTCACTGATTTTAATTTTGAAGGCGAGTCATGATCACCAGGCCCACGTGCACCAGGCGAACTCACTCCAGCACCATAAGCCACATCTTCGATTGAACCCGCGCCAGCTGCAAAATTGTTGGAGGCAGATTGGAAAATGGATTCAAGTTCCTTCAAATCGAGTTTTTCGCGACGAATGGATTCTTCAGCTGATGCACTCATGCCAAAATCTTTCCAGAGACTGGATTGCACCTTGTCTGTAGATATTTTTGTCCATTGGATTTGTCGCATTTTTACATGGGGAGTGAGCTTGGGTTTTACTGGTAGAGATGAACCCAATGCCATTCCCTTTTTCGCGCCAGGTGGAGGCGGAGGACCAGCAAATCCTGGAGGTGGAGGAGGTGGAGGAGGGCCTGTAGATCCTGGAGGTGGTGGAGGCGGAGGAGGACCTGCAAATCCTGGAGGTGGTGGTGGTGGTGGAGGGCCTGCAGATCCTGGAGGTGGTGGAGGCGGAGGAGGACCTGCAGATCCTGGAGGAGGTGGTGGAGGAGGAGGACCTGCAGATCCTGAAAGAGGTGAAGAAAGGTCACCACCATTTACACCCTCACTAGCATTGCTCGGTGCAGAAAGTAAAGGAGCAGAGTTGACTGAAGTAGCTATTTTAACAGGTTTAATAGACACAGGTGGAGCACTGGATTTTGATGCAGCCAGTTCATTTCCAAGGTTTTCAATACTTGTAGGACGCGATTCAAAATCAAGTCTAGTAATATCGGGTGCATCTGGAGATGTCAAGTCGGCAATAGATCCCAAGCCTGAGAATTGCTGATTGGTCTCGCGTTCAGTAAGTCGTTCAATTGCTGCATCGACATCCATTTTGAGACGTCCTGCATCTGGGGCCAAACCATGTCGTTGCAAACAAAACTGCTTCAATACTACCGCCGCAAATTCCCAATATTTTTTCCTACAGAGTAATTGAGATTGTCAATCAAAAGGTACTCGTTTTGATTGGCAAAAATTAGCTTTGAACAACTCACCTACGAAAGCAGTCATTTGGAAGTAGAATCAGATTTTGAAGAACGCGAAGCAAAAGCTTTTCCGCATCCGACTGTATGGCTTGATTTTTTAGAGCAGAAAAAATGGAATCTACACTATCAAACTGGATAGGACTGTTAGAAATGCTTTCCGAAAGCAATTCGGAGTCATTTGCAGCAGATTCTTGGAAAATAGAAATTTGAGTATTAATCACATCGTTGTCTAATTTAATCAATGCAGGGATTTGATCGACCAAGCCAAGATCAACCAGCTCAGCTCGTAATGCCATGCGAACCTCTATCTCATCTGGTGAACCACAAAGAGCGTTGAAAAATGTAATGGTTGCAGCCTGATAATCACGGTAATTGGTGGCTTCAGGTCCATTTTCAAGCTCCAGATTGACAAGATCGTGAACCAGTAGAGAGAACCGCTTTGGCTCACTGGTTAGTGTTTGAAAGTAGTCCATTGCGTGGACTACTTGTGAATGTCCGTTTGGTGGAATAAGGCATAACGCAGCAAGAACCTCAATACCCATGGATCTTGTGCGCAGCGTAGCACAGTTCAAGGCTAGAGAAAGAGCCTTGACGGCATCTGGATGATTTAACGAAGCAGATAGACCAGCAGCACTTGACATTTGTGCCTTCATGGCTCGAATACAGTAAATCTGTGCATTTCGCTCATCATTTGTGACACTATTATCCACCAATCGATTTGAAATATTGATTAGCTGTGACAGCTTTACTTGCATCAAGATACATGTGACTCGATTAAATGTCTACATACTTTGAATTAGGTTTCTTGGAGCACAAGGATGTGATGATACGCAAAAGAACAGGCAAACCTCCACCGTCGAGAAATTGCTTGACCCAGCTAGATTTTAAAATGCCAGTATAAACAATGGTAAATTACTTGTCTAGGCTCTACAAATATACAAATCATTGCGAGTTTTTAGACTACATACCTAATGGGCTGTGTACGCATGGCAACATCCAAAGATTGGAGCTCCTTAGCAAGCTCACTAGAAGATAACCCACTCTGTAAAAGTGTGACATACGCGCCTGGCTCGTACAAGAGTCGGCCAGGAGTATCTATGGGATTCGACTTTTCTTCCCGCTGTATAAGAAGCCCCCATTTTTTGGCTGACGGCATGCCTCGCATCTGCTCAGCTTTTTGATGAGGAAGAGCCAGTTCAGCCTAAATATTGTTATTTGCATTTTTCGAGTAAAGTTTACAAATATTAAACCAATCCGAGATTTGATGGAATTAAACTACACCATGACTGCGTAGGCGTATGAATTCAAGCAACTCATTTGTATTGGACAATAAATATGCTTTCAAGACAAATCAGATGAAGCAACTTACAAGGAACACTTCAAACCGAGCATTTACAACTTCTTCAGGTGGAAGTCCAGTAGGACTCATGGCAGAAGTTGAAGTCGCAGAGTACACACCAGAACTCCCCAATTCAATACTTCCATTAGCAGTTCCGATAGTTAATCCAGTTGGTGGATTTTTGACTGGACTGGAAATCGCGTTAAGATGAGAGTTGGATGATGCCGTGGCGAGAGTTTCAGTAGACTTTCCCCATGGTTTCCATAAAACTGTTTTGCTACGGCCTGGAGATTCTTTATCTTTGGATATGTTTAGAGCTTGTTTTAAACCCTCGTTTCCTGAAAGCGGTGTCTGGGTTTTCTTTAAGTCTGCCATCTGTTTCTACAAAATAGCGACCCGAACAATATTCAGACTAAAATCAAAAAATCAAAATCTATCCAACTATGTTGATTATTCGTAAAATGGCTCAAATGTTTATTTATCAAGTTTTTAAAAACGATGGCCAAGCAAAATGCTAAACAAACCATTTTGACATCACGTTGACAATAAGCATTGTAAAAATAATATTTATTTACAATTTAGCCTTGAGCACTTGAAGTGGGGGAGGAGGCATATTATAAGGCTGAGGAGGAAGAAAAAAGTCTGGCGTCAGATCTTTTTCAAGACAGTTTGGATCTATCTTGTACTTTGAAAAATCAGTTACGCCCTGGTGTCTTAGTATAACCTCGTCAATAACAAAGTGTCCACTGTTCTCGGCAAAAAAATGATTAATATAAGCATTGAATGGATAAATCAGCGCAAGTTTAAGATATAGTCTCACGTGAATAATGTGCTGGGTTGATTAAGAACAACGTATGCTGCATCTGACACTATATCGGTTGCTCGACTCTTTGACAGTTTGCTTGGATCTTATCGTGTACCAAAATATTTCGAGTGATGTGAGCAAATAGTCTATTTCAAATTTTGCTGCAAAGATTTACCTATAACGTTTGCCATGGCAGATGTTTCAACAGAAGTCATGGGCCAAAGCGCATTCACAGCGATGCCATCTTGCTCAAGCTCTCCAGAAAGTCCTATTTAAAACGACATTTAATGTTCAAATCATGCAGTCAAACCAGATTGCCACAACAGATATTCAGTATAGCTATGAATATACTATACCGATAACACACAAACTCATGGCATATCTATTCATCAACAAATAGTATCATTAGACGCATACAATCCAAGATTTATGTAGACAATGCATAACCAAACTTACTTGGCCATGGTGTAAGCAACATTGGCTTCGAACCACATTTGTCGTAGATCTGGCGGAGGAGCAAGGACAAGAATGTGCGGATTGCGTCCTTTTTTTGCTGATTGTCTTAAATATGGCAAAGCAAGTTTAGAAGTGATCCATGTACCTCTTCCATTGACCTGATTCATGAGATCGAATCTAGATTATATAATTTAGCTTGTCAGATTTGAAAATCCACAATAAACTGAAGCGTGAGCAGTTGTAATACTTTTTGACTGAAGTATCAGTAGTGTTTGTCAGACTGATAGCAGATGCATTGTTGATGACAATATCAATTCTATGCACAAGAGGGATTTGTATTAGCTTTCTACATCTTCCACCAACTGATTCCAGTCGTATTCATGCAAAATAATACCCTCCAAACCTACGATACAAAATAAAAGATCAGTATTGGTATATCGACTTATGTTACAAATATAGTTGCAATAGTAAAATATGCCTTACTGCTCGACAGTCTTGGCAATGGCTGATTCGATTTGGTCTTCAAATCGAATATCACATACAATTGGTAGAGCCTTGCCGCCAGCTCTTTCAATCTCTGCAGCAGCAGAGTAAATTGTTCCTGGAAGCTGATCATTTATCCAAAATAATTAAAAAGGCGGTCAGTATTACTGGCATGGTTTTGTGGAATGCAATATCAGAGACTGATATTTATTATAAATCTCGATAGAATCAAGGGTTAGATGCTAGATCTGGGTTAACCTTGGGATTGGGATCGGCAGTTTTGGCAGCAATGGCAATGTTGGCACCATCCTTGGCAGCTCTCAAAGCAATGGCCAGTCCGATACCCCTGGACGCTCCAGTAATAAAAAGAGTCTTTCCCTTCAATGACATTGGGTTGTTTTGCGTTGTATTCACGTAAACGGAAACGAAACGAGGAAATCGGCAAGCAGCCAATCTCATGAAATGATTGGTGGAATTGGCGCCAATCATTCGAGACTGGCGGTTTAAAATGCATTTTATCGCTGCTGTTTAATTCCATTTTACAGAATTACGACTGCAATCAACTGGTAAAGATGCATTTCCCCGAGTTTCTTCAGTCTCATCAACTGCAATTAGATTCCATTCCAAAGCATTTATGGAAGGTATTTTATTGAGGTGCATTGTGTAGCGTCTTGCCACTTTTCTATATTCATCCTGCAGTGACTTTATTCTAAAGCAGAATAAAGCTGGATATTCATTTTACTTTGCTATTACAGATTGATTGTTTCTTCAATAGACATTCTCAATTCTTCAAAACACAACATTCATCATATAAAAATCAAACTGGTTTGAAAAGACCATCGTTTTAGATTTTGTCCTTTTCACTCGATATAACCATGCATTGTACGATCACTAGATCCATTCATTATAATCCAGATATTGGATTTGACTACTCTTAATACTATTCTGTACACACTCATGTATCCTGAATCTCATACGCTCGCGTTCTAGCTGAAGTGAACAATGATTGCAACTGTTGTTCCTATGCCAACCATTCAATGTTTGGTTGAAAAGAAAGAAATACTAGTGGAATTTGACCATTTGTTGATATGGCATAGTGCTTCCAGTAAATTTGATGATGTCAATCGTTTGAAAATGACTGTTTATCATGCACTTGACATTCATGTTTCATTTTACATTAATACAGTTTTAAATTATGTTATATCTCTAGTCTATCCATCGAAAACTTTGTTGGGATAGTGAACCTTCTGAGCTTGAGTTGCTCAAGTCTGATCCCGATCGACATCAAGTCACATTAGAATCAAGCACTTCAATATTGGATCCAGATGGACAAGTATTCGTGGTAAGTTGCTTTTTGACCAGCTCATGGTACACTCGATCACCTTTGAAGCCACGCCAGATAAACAGTCAGTCTTTCAATTTACTGTTGTATTCACGTAAAATGGAATACTTTTCTATACTCATCTTGCAATGACTGCCTATTTTATTTTAAATATACAATGGTTAAATATTTGTTGCATGTTTTCAATCAACTAGCTTGATCATATATTTACATTTTCAGATGGGGATCTTCGAGAATCCTTGGATACAGCACCCAAATCGGATGTGGATGCCATGGCTTTGGTTTTGAGTCGGCGTGGCATGGACGTAGCTACTACATCTAAACTAGCTTCTGCAATTTGGACTATTGCTGATGCATACACCATATCAGTCACTAAAGAACAGGGAAAAGTTACTCAACAGTTCATGTGGTGTAAGTGAAACTGCACGTATCTACGTTTCACTAGATCCAGACTTGTATTGTTTAGAATAGTCAACACATCCAATTCATTTCATTAAACTTATTTTTGTATTGATATTTAGATGTTCCAGGAGAAAAGATTTTGAATATGGCCCACTCCGATACGCCCAACATGAACTGCTGCTTATTTTTTGATATGTATGGAATGAGACCAATTAATCTCATTTGGCCAAATCGTATTATCAAATCGGGCGAACCCTTGACTCGGGATTATCTCCAGTCATGCAAAAACAAAAAAGAGCGTCAATCACTTGCATTTGCATGGTTTCATTTGTCAGAGCCACCTGCCTCGAGCTTATCTGAAAAAATTAAAGCCTCGACTCAACAAGTAGATGCTAAATCAGACAATCTCGCATTGGATGTCAAGGCTTTACAAATTGATTCCAAGACAAAGACGGTCGATTATACTAGAAAGATACTACCGAAAAAGGAAAAGTATCTTGTATACAGTCCAGATATTGCAAAGCATTTATTTAAAGACAGTTTACGTGGATCAAAGTTTGAATTGACTACTAGTACAGCCGATGCTGATATTTTTTGGACAGCAGAGAAACACCACTACAATTCACTTGGGCATCACCAATTTTACAACAACTTTCCTAATCAAGGAACACTGGTTGTCAAGGATCGTTTGCAGGCGTGCATCTACAAGCATTGGGGACTCCTTGGTTCAAAAAAATGGTATCCACGATCATTCAACCTGAATTGGGAAGTCGATGAATTTGTAAGCATGTTTTTAGCATGCCAATCTCAAAATTCAAAAAATAATGTTTGGATTGTGAAACCATGGTATGTTTCATTAATATATCTAGAATATCTAGAATATGCAGTATGTGTTGTAGAAGGCGAATAGTCTAAACTGAAATATTTTAAAAACTGGTGCCAGGAATGGAACGCGCAGTCAAGGCATCATTGTTAGCCGAGATTTACCTGAAATTCTAAAGCAACTCGCTACTGGACCAAAACTTGTTGCAAAATGTATGATTTTTGGAATTATTTTATCAATTCAACTTGTCACGTACTTATGTTTTTGTCCAACATGTACTAGATATTCATCCTCCTGCATTATTAGAAGGCAAAACCAAATTTGATCTGCGAGTTTTAGTCATTATCGAATCTGTGTCACCTCTAAAGCTATATACAGTTCCGACTGCCATCTACTCACGTGAATCCAATGTTCCATACGACATTCATCTTGAGCAATTGGACAGCTTTACTCATCACTTTACGGTGAGTTTTAATTTTATGTCATCAACCTTTGACTTTACAGTTTGATACTGGCTTGTCAAGTATTATCCAAAGCTTGCCAATTTTCATATTTGTCACTTGTGCTAACAAATAATCGTGTCGATATTGTGTATTCAGGTAATGGGATATCGACAACTGGATGTAGTCAAATCCCCGTTACCAGAGCTTAAGACGCGGATTGAAGCCTGTTCAGCCAAACCCATTTCTTTTGACAAGGACATACTACCACGCATTCTCCAAGTTATTCGCAATGGAGTAGAAGCCGCTGTAAATGGAGATGGCCTAGAGTCACTTGGTGCTGATGTAAAAGTGAAGTCCATGTATGGAGCAGATGTAATATTGGATGCAGATTTAAATCCATGGCTTCTCGAGTTTTCAGAAGTGCCAGATACTGGACGTGTGATTGAAACCTGGCCTACACTTTATGGCGACCTCCTAAATTCTCTGTTCGTTGCTGATCAAATGTCCGAAAAGTTTGTTGCATTTTGAAGTTGAATACATATGGATTGCTTGCATTCTATCACTTAATCTTCAAGTTGGTTTGGTTGACCAGGCCACTATTTTGCTTTCAGATTGAATGCATTAGACTAGAATGACTTTAAAATTTAACAGCATCAACCATCTTGAACAAAAGTCACATAGAGTTGGCAGTGCATTCATGACGCAAGAGTAGAAGCTGAGAATGTTTTTATAGGATAGCAAATTGGATATATCAAAAACACTGGCTTTGTTGATGTTATTCAAAACAGATTATTTTGATCCATTTTTTCAAAGGACCAATGGAAATATTCACGGCACGAGTTCTTGCTGCAACTACCAATACAGTGCCATTGTTCCAAGCATGTCAAGGTACAAGAAACCGAAACAGTTCGTTTTTACTAATTTGCTAGCCATACAATTACTCAATTTCTATACATGCAGTATTGGGATAAACTCCTGTTTAAGAATACCATTTAGAAATTACAGTTGAAATATAGTTTGATGCATCCTTGATAGCATTATTGGTGACGGTTGATTTTGAATCGATTGGAATGCAGCCATATTTGATTCAAACTTTGCATGAAACTAAACGAGAGCGGGTCGCGCAACATGACTTGCTAATTGGACTCGACAAATCAAATACAAATTGCCATTTTTCCACTTTTGGCATAACCATGAATTGTACGATCACTAGATTCATACGCTGCAATCCAGATATTAGACTCGACTCTATACAGTTCATGTTTCTGTATTCTAAATCTCATACGTCTGTGTTTTAGTTCAAGAAACCAGTGATTGCATATCTTAGGATGCAATTGTTTCTATACCAATCATTCAGTGCTTGGTTTGAGAAAAAAGAGAGTTGGAGATTGAACAAATGTCGAGAATGTGGGATTTATTAGGACATTTGTGAGCATTTGTCGAGTCTTTAATACAAAAATGAGAAAAGACTAGAAAACTTGAAGAAGGGGTTCAGAGTGCACAATGCTGTCCAGTAAATTTGGCGTGAATTGGCACCCATTATATCACGAGGCTGGTATTTTATTATGCATCTTGATACCCCTATTTAGTGTTTCATTTTACGTAAATACGGACAAAGAGTATTCAGCTCTAGTTTTCTATTCTATTCATAAGAATTTCATATAGCTTCCATTTACTCCATCAACTTTAGCTCTTCTCTTACAATTAAATCTTGTTTAACCGATTGAATAATGCTGTATACAGGAGAGCCAGAACAAGAAAATAATGAACCTATTTTACGTGAAGGTATAGTGAGTCAGCGCTCAGGCCATCTCGGAATCATCAGTCGTCGATTTCTGATGGTATGCCATGCCACTACCCTAACGCACATTGCACATATTCAGACTCGTATCCTCAGCCGTTACCAAATTTCTCTTGGAGCAGGAACAACTTTTGTCGGTAACGACTCTCATAATATCAATAATGGTGCTAATTCAGCGTCTGGTGGCAGTGGTGGAGGCGAAGTAAATCACAAGGAAGCGACCGTAGACCACGCTATTCCTGCAGCTGTAGCCCGTACGAACATCGGTATGCATGTATTGGCTCAAGTTACTCATGCAGTTCTACTGGGAAAACCGTTTCTAGTCAACATGAGTGCAGATCTTCCACAAACCACACTGCATGCTCTTCCACAATTTATTATGTTAGATGCTGATGTGGCTCTTGTAAGTGAAGAAGATCTTGGCACTGCCTGTTTATTTGAATTACTGGTTGCTCCTCCTGCTTCAACTGAACGCTTGCGATTTCAAGCCGATCGCTCAACAGAATACCTTGCATGGGCCAGTTTGCTTTTTAAAATAGTTCAGCCTGCTCGCTCACTACTTCCCATTGACCATCAAATGCAAGTTTGCCTTGTGAATGATGCTGAAGATTCTGCTGCTGCACGTCGCCGGTTAGCAAAATTCAAGAGTGTTGCTGTCGCTGCATCTCAAACTCTCAAACAAAGGCACTCTCAAAATTCATATACTCCATCTAGTCCCATATCTCCTGCTCGATCTACGTCCATTGACTCGGCTAGATTTACTCTCAAATCACCATCTCAATCCCCACCTGCTGCCGTTACAACTGCTGTGAAATCTGCAGTAGTCAGTGATGTTGGTAATAATCCAAATTTGCCGTCTTCACCAACATCGCATGTAAGTTCGCTTGTGTCGAGCACCGTTATTTCATCAGCTATTAGTGGCAATGCTCCTGCAGCAGATATGCAATACGCGTGGCGACGACCATTAGCAATGACGGAAGGTCAATCGCAAACTGGGCAAACCCATGAAAGACGATTGCAGCAGCAGCCTACAATAAAGCTTCCCCAGTTGCATCATCTGTCTAAATCATTATTGCAGCAAGAGTCTGCCGATCAGCCCTCTGCTCAAAATCGCCATCACAGTCGTATCTCTCATCCCCAGTATCCGCTCAATGCTCCAAGACATTTGACGTCTAGTCAGCTTGCAGCATCAAATATAAAACCATCCATGTCGTTGGAGGAACTATCCATCATTCATGAAGTGGATACAGTTTCTACCTCGACTAGCACCCACGGTATGTCGGTCGTGACTAATTCCATCATAGATGACATGCACCCAGAAATGGTAGCTGCACCTACGATTGCCACTATTTCAAACCCCAATACAATCACCAAAACCACAGTCATTACTACTAAACAGGAATCTCCAACTCTAGCGCTTTATTCTGACTATATTGATAAGGGATACGAGCACAATTCTGATGTTCGCGCCATACCCAACTCCAGCACCGTTTACCAAACTACTCATACTAGCTCATCTACTTCACAAGTGCCTTTGAGGGTTTTATCTAATCTCTCGTCTGCACCAGTTCAAAAATCATTGAGCAATACTGATGTGATACAGCCTAATCACGTTGACAGTATCGAGGCATCTGTCAGTATGGCCAGCATGTCTTTAGAAAGTCGCAACTCCACTGATCAACTTGGCGGCAACTATACCGTCTATCCGGGCCGTCATCAAAAAGAAGTTGTATCGCAACTATCTGACAATGCCTTGGATGATACGGATAGTGATGATGATGCCGTTCTTGGTTTGGCGTATAGGACTCCAACACCACCAAATAATTACTCGCGGCGGCATTCAGCACCACTATCACCACAGATTTCACCTGCACCTGTGCTTAAACGCACACGTTGGCCCCCACTAGGTATCCCTATCCGATTGTTCCAAAAAATCAAATATAGGAGCCGACATGCTCAAGACATCCCAGAAGTGCATGTTGAGGATGGCGGTGCATTATCTAGTACAACAGCGTCGCCATCGTTTTCATCTGGGCCAATGTTTCCACGCTTCAATAGAACTAACCAGGCACATGAAAACGGGGTAGGTATTCATAGACCTGGAGCATCAGCCTTGCCGGAGCATGCACCCATTCCACTTTTACCTGTAGATCCATGGTACTTGAAACCAAAGGTACAAGACGATGATGCTGTGTCGCATATCTCGGATAACATGATGGTATGGTGCAAGGAATCTGCCAAATGGAAAAAGGTTCACAAAGATACACCTGCCATTGGACGTTAATTTTTAATATGCAAAATTAGTATATTTTTAATAAACTCGTTCTAGCTAAATTGACTGCTTGAGTATGAATAAAGTTGACAAGGATAAACAGCATGCTTTGCTATAAAATAATAATTAGCAAATCAACCCAGCCATTCAAGCTTGAACAGAAACATAGTGGTTGCTTATCCACGTCCAATTCAACGGCTATTCATGTTTTAAAAAGCAATACACTGGTGTGTAAATACAGTAACACATGGCCAAGGCTTTACCACGCTGTTTGGCCCGGATATCAGAAGCTAGTTTTACAACATGAATTGGCACGAATGGATAAAATATGACGCGTTCAAGATTGAATCCATTGTTTGGAGATAATTGTTGCTCGCTATTAAATAGAGATACGTAGTGTCTGAACATACAGTTCCACCTGCGCTTTAAATCGAATCCATTAGAAATAGTTGTCACTAATCGTAAAAAGTAGTGATTACACCTGACATTCAAGTGCTATTTTGACAAAACGCATCTCAAGTTTTACCCTGTCTAAATTGTTTTAGAATGCATACTCCAACAGCAAGTGCAAGTAAGCAAGCCAGTTTAGATGAAACTTCTACTTTCATAAATATGGACGCTGTAGCAAGTGCTCATGATACTGTGGATACCCAATGTCGCGATGAGCAATGGCCAGCTACAAAAGCGATTCAACCTATATCTGAAGTAGTGTCAATGCCCACCAATGAAAATATAGAATCGTCTTTTGTAAATATGGCTCCTGTGTCACCTCAAGCTTACCTCTGCCAACCAAGTTGTACTTCATCAACTTTGGATGTAATACTGATTTCGCCTGTTTGTGCTGATACGGTGCGTACACATGACACAGTTTCTTTGGAGCCGAATGCAAACGAGATTCAATCGGTAGATATCGACCCACCATCGTATTCGCCATCAAACGAAGATCCCCCGCCGTATCCTACCAAAAACAACAGCAACTCTAAAAGTCATGCTCTGGCTGTTTTGAAACGGCTCTCGTTGGTGCTCATCGCAGTAGATTTAGTGAGTTTTTCAATCGTGTTGCTTACTGAAAATAATACAAGCATATATGCTCAAAATAGAATTTCAATACATTCATCTACTCAATACTACTTGATTAGCCAGATACTAACCAAGAATTATTTTTTAATCCCAAATTCGCTTGAAATGTAGATATTTGCATTTGCATTGGCAGCTATATCTGGCGTCATGATACTCTACTCGGGCACAAACTCGACCTTTGTGATTGTCATTCCAGTCATGTATGCTATTTTTGCTTGCTTTGGTCGAGCAGGACTTATCTACGTAGGTCACCAATCTTATGAATTGAGCTTATATAGCACACCATAATGCAAATACGTAGACTGACACTTTATAAATAGAAAAATGGGTTGGCAAGCTTGTTCTATATCACAACGCTTATACTAAGATGGCTATGTGATACTCTCGTATTGATGTACATGACAATGTCATTCAATGGGGATCCCTTTTTCATGTCAGTGTTTGGATTTGTGCTGACATTTCCGATATCAGGAGTGCGAGGAATTCAAACCATGCTCATGCCCTGTTTCGATCAGTACCATTTTAACCTGACATCAGGCGAATGTGCTGATTTTATATTTTGGGATGAAAAACCATTAAATTTTGGATACATTTTGATTGCCATGGTAAGTAACATGTACACTGCATACATTTATAAAGTATATAAAAACAAGCTAACCCAAGTATTTTCACATTCAACCTCTTGCTAGTTATTTCCACACTTTTTGACCATTGTTGTGCACGCATTGAATTTGTATATGATGGAAAAAGAAAAGCGTAATTTACAACTACAGCAGCGACTAGATTCGGCTGAGCGTGCAGTTATTGCAACGGCATCACTTTATGCGTTGCGCCTTAGTCAGAATTCAGAGACGATCACTCAGCCAAGACCTAATAATCAATTTCAACCCCCACAACAGTTGAACATGCATCGTTGTGATAGAAATACACCCCAAGTATATATTAGTCCACGCCAATCATCGCGATCGTATGCGTTTTCTACACATGTGCCTATTAGAGATCATCCCCATGTATCACGAGGGCAGGGATTGATACCACCACGAACAGCTTCACTTGCAGCATCTCACTCGACACGATCATCTATACCACAGCCGCTGGTAGTATTGAATAACAACAACACACCGACTATTGACATGCATGAAAGGAACCGTACAACATACTCTATGCCAACAAGAATAGTCTTTCCAAGAGGCACGCTATTAGGGGAACTTGATGCACGACAGCAGCATACCACCCCAAAAGTAAGCATTAGACACTAAATATCAAAGTCGTAATGTTTGTGCATACCCATTATTTATTACATGGCATATTATTGCCGTATTTATATAAGTGGACTACTAGTAAAAGTGCCAAAATGCATAATAAATAGTTATTTCATGAAATGATCATTTTCATCACATTTACTGGCCTGTATTGTCATTCAGACTCTGACAAAGTCATGCATTTATTGATTCAATATGACCTGTTAACCATTCAATAGCAATGTCACGAGATATACATTTTCATATTACCTATTCCAAACCCACCAACAATTTAATAGAAATGGTTCTACACGGTGTGCAACTCCAGATATTGAGAATGTCGATTAAAAAGTGGTCAATTGGTAGTAGGAAAGCGTAATGAATGTTTAACCATGATTTATTACGAAACAAGAGGCAGCCAGTGTAAGGATACAAAAATGTTGTCTACGTAAATGCAGCGATGAATGTACAAAATGCTATCTGGAATCAAGGGAGGAGGTGGATCCCCGAGTTAAATCGTTTAATCGTGCATCTAGTTTTCGTATAAAACTAGTATTTACACTGTTGCCAAATATACTGGGTTTGGATCTATCAGCCCGAGCAGCAGATGCATGTGGTGCACGGTCTTCTTTTTCAAGCACTGTGATCAGTACGGTTTCACTGTGTGCACCACTGCTAGAGTGTGACTGTATGGACCTTGACTGTTCAGTCATAGTAGTGCTGCTACTGTCCGACATTCTTTCGCGGCTTACTAGATCAATCATAACTAGCAAGGCAATTGATTCAAAAAGAACTTCAAAAGCCACGCCACTGACAGAAAGCTGGTCGCCAAGCGTTCCCAATCGATTAAGCTCTATATCTGGTTTGCGTAATAAAATGCCGGCTCCTATAGACGCTGCCCATGAAGCAAATGACAATACAATGACCAATATGATCGCAGTCATTAAAAGACGGTGCGCTATGCGCACGTATTTGCTCGATCGTCTTCTAGTTGTCTTGAGAAGCGCATTAATGACGCTATAGGCCTGGAATACGCTCAAGCAGGCAAGAATAACAGATTGAATACCCAAGCCACCAATCCACCACTAAGATCGTAAAAAAGGGTCAAAAAGCAGTGCATGATGAAATTTAATTAGATTTCAAGCAGTGTAAATAAAGGATATCAACAGTGACAAAAAACCGTTTTGTAAAGCGATTACTTACAGTGATGTACCAAGAGTCCTTGATTGTGAGCACTCTGTGAAGATACTCTGGCCAGCACAGCAGCAGATGCAGTGAGATGACTATTGCTCTTAGTTTTATTTTTTGAAAATCGGACCATGTAGCTGTATGACTATTAGAAAACAGAATATCGAAAATGAACCGAACCTCCAGTTGCAGTAAGCACATTCCCCCCAGACATAATGCCAATGAAATCTCGTATATGTTGCAGAGGTAACAAACTTCAAGACTATAAGAGTATGTAGAGAAAGCACATGCAATTTGTAAAAGCACTGCAATCATATTGAGCAAGATGATGGCAATCTTGAAGCTTTTGGCTGATTGATTTTTTTTAGAAAGAGTGTACAATACGTAGACTATTAAGGCTATATTTGTTAATATGATTACAATGACAAACTGAAAGACAATCAAAAATCCAGGCTGGACCAAGTAGGAACTAGGAACACCCTCAGTGATCATGTTGGATGAAAATGATGAACTGGGAAAGGTTTGATAGTTGAATATAGTTCAATTTACAAAAGTCGGGTTTGAATGTTTCGGCAAGATTATTTGTGGCACTAGAATATCAAACAGTCTTGGCATGTTTCCAATACGGTAACGACTTGATGAAACCCTCGACCAAGTGATTCAAAACCAGTTATTGTCCAGTAAATTGGCAATCGTTTCACAACTTTTATTATACTCGGTGCTCCGTTTTGTTGAATACGGCTGTAAAAACTTGACCATTTTTAGCATTCCAAACATGTCGTTTACATATGAAATTATACTTTTATATCAGACCTTTTTATGAAAACAAACATATTAAACTATTTATTGATGGCCTGGGGGTTTCAGAGTAATGCTTGTAAAAATTGATTAAATTTCAAGGTTGCAAGAAATACACTTTTGAGGTATCATGACAAACATACAAACTAAGCGAAAAAAAGACAATGACGATATTGAAATTGGATATACAACAACCTTGTAGTCGTCAGAACTTGGACGAGGTGTTGCAAACCTATTTATGGACCTTTACCAAGCCCAAATGTCTCGACCAACAATGTCAATGATCTTGATGGCAATGCTGCGTACAAAATCCAATTTCTGAGTAACAGACAGATGGGCGAGAAATGTGTCCAAATTTTTATCGAGAACATCCAAACGGTAGATCTAATTACTGGACTACAATGAATGAATACAACGACCGTACAACGTATGGCTATACAAAGGCAAAGTGCAAGGTCTAAACAAAGCAGTTTAAAACTATAGTTTGATTGTGTGACTCGTATGATGGTCGCTGTGCTTGGAGACTGGTCAGAGGAGTTTGAATGCGGTAGCATTTCGGCTTCCTACAGTGACGTGGAATATTTCCAAACGCGCGTTACTCTAAACTTCCATTCTACAAGCAGTCAAGTCATTGGACATGGTTTACCAACCGCTCAACAAACAGCGTGCGGATTGGCGATAAAAATTAGAAAGGATTCATTACAGCTACTCAACACTGATGCAAAAATTAAATGCACATATATGGGCTGCTCCAGTCAGATGTATTGATTACTAAAAGGTTTACTATTCAACTCTTTGCTAGCCTCATCTTGAAAACACTTGCTAGTTCACATATGACTAAAATTGAATATTTCAACGTCATCTCGTTCTTGAAATAAAACTATTCCATTATTTTCAAGCCCAATAGAAAATTAAATTGCACCAACGATGTAAAATGATAATCCAGCTCACATCTGATGCTTCTCCATTCAAGATTAGCTCGACTCGTTTATTTACATATACCTACATCACCCTTTTCGGACCAAGAAAGCGATGTAAAGGTTTTGGCTTATTTGATATTGGCGGAATATCTTGTCCGCTCAGCCGACATGATGCTTATTTAGATTCTTGCCAAATATAAAACGATTAAAAGTTTTCGAGTTCCCATTTTTACTATCGGGTGAAACTACCGCACTTGGCTTTATTACAACCATTTACGACTACGCTGGTATCGCATTCGGATGAGTCCATTCTTGACCAATATTGGACAGTGTGTTCCCAGACTCGAAGACTATGACATTGACCCAGTCAATGGGTTTCTCTCCTCCCCTCCTTTGAAGCGGCTTCCTGCCTTGTTTCATCCATGGGAACATATTATGGACCATTTACACCAACTAATGATTTCGAGTAGTCTTCGCTCATGGGTTTTACGGGTAATATCTTTTGATATTGAATGGATTGCAGCATGTCTTTTGTTGTTGAGCTCTGCATGGTCAAGCATCTGCACTGTCCATGCTGTCAATCGTTTTTGAGTTGCTTGGCAAGTGGCAACTCACTATCTTGTCATGTTAAACGATTGTTTATACCTGACTGCACAGTTGTGAAGGGTTGGATTTTTCAATCTAAAAACCACTTGATTGTATACTTGGCTAACCTTTTGTTCTCCCATTATCAATTAGTTACCACTGTTGGATGTCAACCAGTTAGAAACCAAGCGCGAATGGCAACGAGCACATTTGGTTTTGACATTTATTGCTCATTCGTATATCATTGGTCTTCCTAAAATCGACAAGGTTGAATCTGTTCTTCCGGAAAGTGTGGCAGTTCCTTGGATAACTGTTTCCAAAAAACTTCTTGTCAAACCAGTCATGTCGTACTATGCAGTTGAGCTGTCCAACTGGTACAAACTAGATTCAGATGGCCCACTAGACTTGAGGTGAGTGCTATCATTTTAAACCGCGTGCTTATGGCTTCTCTTTGTTGCTACAGCATGATGTTGTTGGATGCAAGCCAATGATACATTAGAGTGTGCTTGATAGATTGGCTAATCAGGTCTTGTTCAATATTTTTAGCAACATTGCTATATCTCATACATTCACCGGAACAGTTGATGAAGCATGGTTTTACTTGGTGCCATTGGCGATTGAAGCGGCAGGAGCACCGGCCATTAAAGGATTAGTAGATGCCCAGCAGGCTATTTTAGATAAAGATCACACTGCTCTAGTTTCCGCATTGTATACAATTTCAAATGCTACCGAGGGTTTAACCGCTCTTCTGAAACGCATGTATGAAAAGTGCGATGCGGATATATTCTTTAATCGATTTCGTCATTATTCTAGAGGCTCGAAAAACTCACAAGATGTTCCTAATGGGGTGTTTTATCAAGGGGTTACTGAGGTGGGTAGACTGGATCATACCTTGGCATTGCCATAATTTGTGACTCATCTTGACTATTTGCTCAAATTTTAGATGGACGAGTTTGTCAACTTGGAAACTCCCAACCCCAAAGGCTTGATTGGAACCTGGAGAAAGTATGCTGGCGCTAGTGCTGGTCAAAGCCCGTTAATCCATACACTCGATGTTGGACTCGACATTCACCATGTACCTATGCATGGCACTTTAAATGAATCCAATCCATCATTTTCTACTGATTCTAAAAGCAGTCTTCCAGCTAGATTTCCATCCAAGCCACACTATGTCAATCCAATGCTTGAGATGCGAGAATCACTCTCACAAGATCATCAAAACTTCCTACGCGCTCTTGGCAACGGCCCTTCTATTCGTGCACACATAGCGTCACTTTCTGGAGACGACAATACAGCTGTTGTGCAATTCAATCGAGCAGTCGATAATATCAAGCAATTTAGAGACGCGCACATCAGTCTTACTGCCATGTACATTGTTCTGCAAGCCAAAAAGGCAGCCGCAGCTGCAGGCGAGAGCTCATCAAGGGTTTGCGTAGGAACAGGTGGAACAGATTTGGTTCCATTTCTAAAGCAGACAAGAGATGAAACTGTGAATGCTCTTATTTTGCTTCCGTAATATATTCACCTATGTGTTACAATCACAAATGAAATAATTTTGATGGATAAGCCATTTCCATTATATTGAACCCAAGTTAAAAAATGGTACTGATAATATTTCCTATTTATCTATCTTGCACAACTTTGCTCTGGGATAAATAGCAGTTGAAGAATTGAAGATGCCAATTTCTAATAGGCGAATGCAGCCAATATTTAAACACAACGCCCATTATGAATATAATCAAACTATACTTGCAAAACCTTTTGTTTTGACATAGCCATGCATTGTACGATCGTCAAATTCATTTGAATGCAAATATTAGGTTGATAAAGTCGATACAACTCTGATACGTTTGTGCTCAAGACGGAATGATTGCAACAATTGTCACCATGTTTGTAAAACAAGAGAGTTGAATAGGAGAGCTGAATAAGAGTCAAGAGTGTGGAATAGATTGAAGCTGTAGTGTAAAGGTTGAATTTTTATGTGAAAATAGCTGACCAACTAAAAGCTCGCTTACAATTCTGAGCAGTGAATTGGGTAGGAATTGACACCAATCATGTCATGAAACTGGTATTTTATTATGCACTTTTTAGTACTCCATTTTGCGTAAATACGGCTACATTAGTATTTGGAATACTCGAGTAGTCTACCAAGTGCAATACATAAATCATAACAACTACCACTTGGAAAAGCAACATGAACACCAGAGCAAACGTGAGGAGCTGCAACAAGACTTATAGACGAGGAGTAGGAATTGCTGTCTTGGTTACTATTGCTATCGCAGCAATGTTTCTGGTCAGGACTGTGTTGATGCTACAGAATTCACCATTTACAGGTTTGTAGATTATATTTGGTCAAGCCATGGCTTGTACCGGCTAAACTTTCCATCAGTATTCACGCAAGTGTTACAGAATCAATATTCAATTACCTGCTATGGAATGGCCATGCAGGCGCTTGATTCTATTGTTTCATTATGCTTGATAACTAGTACTAACATTGAGGATATGTATCTAGGGACCATGATGCAGCAAAAGATAGCCGACCCATCCAAACCGAATGATCCTAGTAAGTTGGATATTGAATGGCAAGCCAGCTGATGGTACTTTGAATGAACATGTTTACTCATTTGACAAGCATTCAGGTCTAGAAGGTCTATTAAAGCGTCAATCAACAACGCTTGAAGATGCGGTGCAGAAATATCAACTTAAACTCGGCAGGTCTCCACCAAAAGGCTATGCTGACTGGTTCACAAGTGCCATAGAAAAAAAATGTTTGATTGACGATTATGATATTATATGGGAAGACCTTGCTCCATATCACCAATTGGGTGGCAACGAGTTTCGTCGTCGTTTGGATATTCTCAAAGATGGCACTCATAGAGTCTTCAATGTACATATCAAAGACGGCACTGCTGATGCTGGTGGAAAGTGGAATCCTATTTTTAAAAACGCAAGTATTGACTGTATAGGTTATACTCGGTAATTGCCAAGACTAGACCAATCTAACAGTTCGTGTCTACCAGTCTATCAAAACAGTTCGTGACATGGATCTTGTTTTAAACGAGCTGGATGAACCTCGCATTCTGTTCAATTCAAATAGAGATGGTCCTAGAATGGTCACTGCACTAGCCGATCCCAACAAACTTTCGAGCGAGAGTCCAAATTGGTTTAGGGCTAATGGAGGCGAGCATTTGCAACTCATGAAAGATAGCTGTCACGTTTATAGTCCTACTAAACCACTCCAGCAACCACACGAATTCCATGGATATCTGCAATGGCCCATGTCCAATATTTATACTCGGTAAACTGTGTTTTTAGATTTACTGTAAACTAGATGAATTGCTGTTGTACTAACAGGCTGAGTGTGCGATTGCCTTGCACAGTATGCTACTTCCTATCTTGTCTCAATCGCGGATATCAAACTGTTTTAAAGACATTTTAATACCGTCCATCTACTACTATCATCTATATGCAGGAGGGTATGTAGTTTTAACTGGTTGTATGACTGCCATTTGAACAATCTCTGTTTAAAGCTAACTTTCTATGGGTCATAATAATGCTTTGTCTTTGGCTAGATCTTCACAAGCGGATAGCTATCCATGGCAGAATAGACTACCCAAAGCATACTGGCGTGGATCAACAACTGGTGGATGGAATCAGAATGGGAATTGGAAAACGTTCCATCGAATGAGAATGATAGATGCGATTCAAAAAAAACCTGAGCTCTATGATGTTGCTTTGACTGATGCAATCCAATGCGAGCCAGATGACTGTAATGAAATGACTAAGCAGTTTCATATGGTCAGCCACGAGCCATTCGAGACTGTATACAAGTACAAATACGCTTTGGATGTGGTAAGTGGATCCAACATACAGTTGCTCAATAATACAATACTGATGTTATTTCAATGTTTCATGGTTTTAATGAACAGGACGGAAACACATTTAGTGGTAGATTTTTCAGGCTACTCGAATCTCAGACTCTAGTATTCAAAGCTACCATCTTTGATGAATTTTTCCAAAGATGGATTGTTCCATGGGAACACTATATTCCAATTGAAATGGATTTTAGTGATCTGGATCAAAAGATTGAATGGGCCAAAAACAATGATGACAGGGCCAGACGTATTGCCGAAAATGGACGACGATTTGCTGAGCGTATTCTCAACAAACCTCAGATGGAATGCTACACAGAGTTGCTGTTGCTGGAATTTTCCAGTCTCTTGTATGACGTTAAATAAATACGATAATATTCTATCAGTGAACTATTGAGGTTGTATTCATCTGATACGATGTGAATGATGTCAGGTTTCATGTTTTGTGACCATAAGAATAGGCTGACTTGGACTCTGCTGGCTACAACTTATTTCTTGGCTGGATGTGTTTTGGGTTGATAAAGTTTCATTATCGTGTCGCTTGTGGTCGTATTGGCCAAGTCGGCACAAAATACAAGACTACAAATTAGACTCTTGGTGTTGTTAGGCCACGCATGTCTTGCACACAAGAATGGTCTGATAGAGTGCAATGGCTGAACCAAGACACTTGAATGCTTTGCATGTCTGTCCTCGCTTGGCAATCTCCCTTACCATTCATTTATATTTATAAAAAATATATTTAAATCAGGATCGTTTCAGTACCAAGTCTTGAGCTTATTCAAGACTTGCTTTTGGTCATACATTCATATCAATTGATCGACTGCCAGCCATGCATGCTTTAAAGACATGTTCGATTTCCACAAAATGGATATCAATACTCAGCAGCGTAGCCTTGATTTCTCAAGCGATAATACTGACTATAGTTCTTTGTATGTTGAATTCTATTAAACAGTATGCCGAATCTTGCTTGATTGGAACTACTGGTTGCTGACCCACTTTGATCCTGTGTTTATCAACTTTAACAGGGCCTCGAACAGAGTCTAGTGGCATTACAGTGAACATTGCTGAAAACTATTCAGATACTGTAAGTATCCGATTCTATACATGAGATTCGATAGATACTGGTTGTAATGATAGATGCTAATCTAATACTTGTATGCCTCGATAAACAATTGATTTCTAAAACATGGTAATACGGTTTGCATTGGATAGTCGGGCAGTGTTAATATTACTGGTAAGTGAATTTTTAACATATTGTCAAGTATACGCAATGCATCTAATATTATTGTTGCATTTTGGTTATAATCAATTTAAACGACCCTTAGCTTTGGATGCACTCTTGTCAAGACAGTCGAGAACACTGGACGATGCTAAACACAAGTACCGACTTAAACTAAAGAGATCACCCCCAAAAGGATACGCTGAATGGTTCAATAACGCTCAACAAAAACGCTGCATCATTGACGACTATGATATGATTTGGGAAGATTTGGCACCTTATCATCAACTTGGCGGTGATGAGTTTCGTCGTCGCATGGCAATTCTCAAAGAAAATGCAACCCAGACATTTCAAGTCAAGATTAAAAATGGATTGCCAAGTGGTGGAGAGGTTTGGGATATACTCTTGAAAAATGTAAGTTTGTATAAATTGGCCATGTTTATCGAGCTTATAGTAATCATTTTTTTCATGCTTGTGATGGTCTTGTATTGCAACGGCAGTCTATCAAGTCCGTTCCAAATATGAACATTTACATCAATAGCTTGGATGAACCACGCATTTTGTTCAACATGGATCGCGATGGTCCTGCAATCATGACAAACACCATCTCAAAAAAGATTCGAGATATTGTAGATGAAAAGCCAAACTGGTTTACTGCAGCTGGGCAAGCTCATCTTGATCTGATGAAAGATCTCTGCCATCTTCACAGTCCACTCCAACCACTCCAGCAGCCACACGAGTTTCATGGATATCTGCAATGGCCCATGTCATCACTATACTCTAGGTAATGGCTGCATAAGAGCACTAGCTTGTTCATGTTAGATTTTAATCCATCAATCAAGCATGCTAACTAATCTTTCTAATATACTGCGTGAATTGCTGGAATGTCAGAAATCTACTTCCTATTATCTCACAAGCACGTATTTCAAACTGCTTTAGAGATATCTTGATTCCGTCAATTTATTATTATTATACTTATGCTGGAGGGTAAGTCTTGATTGAAAATTTAGGCCCAGGACAAAATATGACATACTCATCGTACGATTATTGACATAGATCTTCACAAGCGGATAGCTATCCATGGCAGAATAGACTACCCAAAGCATACTGGCGTGGATCAACAACTGGTGGATGGAATCAGAATGGGAATTGGAAAACATCACATCGGTTCCGTCTAATGACGCTTGTATCTCATAGGCCAGATCTATATAACGTTGCATTTACAAAAGCAGTTCAGTGCCATTCAAATGATTGTCTGAAGCTCAGTAAAGAATACAAAACAGTCAGCCACGAGTCATTCGAGACTGTATACAAGTACAAATACGCTTTGGATGTGGTAAGTGGATCCAACATACAGTTGCTCAATAATACAATGCTGATGTTATTTCAATGTTTCATGACTTTAATGAACAGGACGGAAACACATTTAGTGGTAGATTTTTCAGGCTACTCGAATCTCAGACTCTAGTATTCAAAGCTACCATCTTTGATGAATTTTTCCAAAGATGGATTGTTCCATGGGAACATTATATTCCAATTGAAATGGATTTTAGTGATCTGGATCAAAAGATTGAATGGGCCAAAAACAATGATGACAAGGCCAGACGTATTGCCGAAAATGGACGACGATTTGCTGAGCGTATTCTCAACAAACCTCAGATGGAATGCTACACAGAGTTGCTGTTGCTGGAAATGGCGCATTTAATGCATAACATGCAATAAATATCATTAATAAGACCATTATTTATTTTCTCATCGCAATTTGACTGCATTTAATCATGTCATTCAAGCAGATATGTATTTTTGAGTGGACGGGGATTATCAGGGAACTTTGCTTTGATTATTGCAATTCTATATTGGTAAATAGTTGAGATTCAAGTCTTGATTTTTGGTGATTCATGTAGACGGTCTGATTGGCATCAAAACTCCGACATTTCATATATAAGCAGTTTCAAACCTATTGCACGAAGCCTTGAACAACTCTCTAGCCAGCTTACTTATTTGGAAATTGTCTAGATAAACTAAGGGTTTTAATTAACCACATCAAAAAGTAGTCGTCATTAAATCTTAAAAGATATTATTTAAGCTTTTATCATTTACTGGTACTCGCAACACCAAGTATTAGTGAAACCAGTCTATCTAAAGGCTTTTTGGAAACAATCACGTTTATAACAAACTAACATACTGTGAGCTTTGACCTACAATTGCAAGTGTTGATACACATTATATTGCTTACCATCAAATATCATACTGTCTAACTTGATATCGTTTAAAAAGTAGTATCTAGTTTCCCATCACCTTTAAAATGGGTATAAAGTCAAATCGTATTCAGACCGTAATTCTCGTTGCCATACTTATAGGCATAACAACAATTCTCATGTCTACATTTATGGGCAAGTAACAAATCAGTTGAAACAATATTCTATGCAAGATGGTTAGCTATTAGTAGTAAAATACACGATTCTGTAGATCTAATTTACATGGCATTGTGGCAATTTTAATTTTAGGGTCAAGAAACATTGTCTTGCATGAACAAAGCGACTATATCGATATTCAGGAGTCCGCCAGTGTATGTATATATCACTATTCACAGCCTTTTAAAAATATTAGTTGACATGTGTTGATTTACTAAACTACGATACATGCAATTATTGAACTGTCATTAAACTATAAACCGCTTTAGATTCTAGCAAATAGCAGCCATAGTAATACTCGTAAGTTTAGATTTGTGTTTGATCAACGTAGTATCAAGATCTGAATGGTTTAGCTGATTCTAACAGGCAATGGTTTTGAATTTGCATCAGATTTAAGCAAGTTATTATCGCGACAATCCACGACACTTGAAGAAGCTATTCAAAAGTATGAGCGAAAATTAGGAAGATTGCCACCAAAAGGATATTCGGAGTGGTTTGAACGTGCTAAAGAAAAAAAATGTTTGATTGACGATTACGACATGATCTGGGAAGATCTTGCACCGTATTATCAACTTGGAGGCAAAGATTTTCGTCAAAGAGTGCAGATTCTTCAGCAAAACATGCAGCGAATGCATCATCACAAAGTCAGTCAAGGATTGCTTAGCGGTACATCAAAATGGTCGAATTTTTTGAAAAATGTAAGTTGCACTGTCGAGTCGATTTACCTCACATAAAGCGCTAACGCCAAAAGTAAACTTTTGAATACACCATGCTTTTACAATATTAGTCTATTAAATCTATTTCAGATTTAGATATTATTATCAATGAGTTGGACGAGCCACGTATTTTATTTAATGCCGATAAGGATGGTCCAGCACTTTTGAACCAAGTTTTAGATCAGTCAAAAGATAATCCTACAGCTCAAGATCAGATAAAAGCTGATTGGTTTACTGTTAATGGAGACGAGCATTTGGAACTCATGAAAAAAACTTGTTTGCTACATAACCCTTTAAAACCACTTCAGCAGCCGCACGACTTTCATGGATACCTACAATGGCCCATGTCTAATATTTATACTCGGTAAATTGTTTTGATGATAGATTGGCATGCAGACTGAACAACTCATCGCTTGTGATCTACTATATATACATCAGAACACTGCTTCCAATTATATCCATGACAAAGCTCTCTGGATGTTTTGCTGATATTGTGATTCCATCAGTCTATTACTACGATATCTACGCTGGAGGGTATGTTTAGATACTATTGACTGGATTATGCATCTCAAATTCTTGTTTGGAGCGTATATTTTTTATCTCAGTATTCTAAACATCAATGCGCATTTTTTGTAGACAATCACAGGCAGACAAATATCCTTGGAAAAGTCGGACAGAGAAGGCATATTGGAGAGGTTCAACTACTGGAGGTTCAAACAGTCACGGCAAATGGCACAACTATCATCGCATTCGCTTGGCGCGACTTGCAGTTCAAAATTCCAATATTCTTGATGTAGCGCTTTCAGATACTACCCAGTGTTTGGAACAAGATTGTATCGATATCCGAAACGAATTCAAAGTGGCTGGCAAAGAACCGTTTGATAAAATCTACACATACAAGTATGCATTGGATGTGGTATGTTTTTAAATCTCTGGTTATACAATCATGTTTTTAATTCTAAATGTTTAATGAATTGACAATGGAAATATGTGTAGGATGGAAATACGTTCAGTGGCAGATTTTTTAGACTTTTAGAATCTGAGGCGCTTGTGTTCAAAATGACTATTTTCAACGAGTACTTTGAGAAATGGATTGTTCCATGGGAGCACTATATTCCAATTGAAGTCGACTTTAGTGATCTCAAGCAAAAGATTGAATGGGCCAAAAACAATGACGACAGGGCCAGACGTATTGCTGAAAATGGACGACGGTTTGCTGAGCGTATTCTCAACAAATCTCAGATGGAATGCTACACGGAGTTGCTGTTGCTGGAAATGGCTCGACTAACGCATATGGACGAATAGACGCATTACTTTTGGTCTATCGATAGCACCCTGAGGATAATTGATATTTTAGACCTTTTAAAAAGATTCAGTATTACCCTGTTCACATCTGATGATAAGGAGCATGAAAACAGATATGAAATAAAAATAAGAAATTGTCTGCAAATATTGGTAGATTGCTCAAATTCGTTCATCCAAAACATCGAATATATCACGTGATAAAATCAGCGTAGCGTTCAAAAATATTTTGAAATTCGACCATTCAACACAATCGATTCTGCTGGGATGATTGGCATATTTGCACGGAAACCTCCACCAAAGCTTCCATTTAAAGTCCTGACTCCAGTAAGTCTTGAAATTGATGAGATTTGAATATCGGTATCCAACTCACAAGGTTCATTCGACAGGCTCTCCCACCAGCTCCATTATGGTTCTACGGATGCGTATTCGCAGGTGGGGTCAGTCTTGGCATCGTACTCGAAGCAAGCATGATTAATCTAGGATATTGTAAGTTTAAACTACTTTCAAGTATGTTAATGCTCGACTGTAGTTTCTAAATCAACACATTGATGCCGACTTTTAATTAGATCAACTACTGATCAAGGGTGAGTCGAAACGATTGGCCCAGGAAGCCGATGAAGAGGCTCGTAAAGTAGTTAAACCCACATTGGAATGGTGATCGATCATGCGCTGCCTGTTTAGCTATTATTAATATATCTTGTTTAATATCGAGACTGTTGGATTCGACTCGATGATTTGAGTGCATCTGATTGACATGTTCTGAAGAAATGGTGGGGTTTCCGTGCAAATAAGATTCATTTACAGTCGTATCCACGTAAAACAACACGTTTGTGTATCTTGCATTGCAATATACAGTGTTCAAATATTCAGTTCCTATTACAAATTGACTTGACATTCTCAATTCTTCAAAACACGACGTTCATCATGAGACTGGCAGTTTATTATGTATTTTGACTTGTTTAGTGTTTCATTTTACGTGAATAGGCTCTAAACGAGCTAGAATGTATATGAAATGGTAAAGGGAATAAGGCAAAGTTGTAACGACTAGAAAGGATATATAAAAAATGTCGCGTTCTTGACCTACAGATGGCACATCTGATTTGAATAAACAGTTACCTAGCAGTCATTTCCAATACGGAAGGCAGGTAAGGATTTCCGATTCCAGGATTCACACCACTGGTTTGTTGAGCTCTTGATGGCGGTTGGAGGTTTGCCGCCCCACTGTTTCTTGACCGCATAGTCGACGATTTACAATAAGTTGCTGCGGATCGAGTATCAGTAGATGCAGTGACTGTAGGCGGTGGGGCAGTGGTGCAACAAGATGTTGGGGCAGTTCGTTGGCGATGACGATGGCCTCGTCTCAGAAGTTTAGGGAATGCATCCAGCGATGATGACGAAACGATTGACGAGTTGGATGATCCAGACGAGTACGGAGAGTGCCCAGATTGAAGTATGACGTGATTAAGCGTGCTGTCTGTATGAGCCGGTAGTGATGCAAACTGTGTCAAAGAGTGTCGTTTTTTGTATATGTTATTGCCTGTGTTGAGAGGTGCAGGCTTGTTTGATTGATTTGCAGTAATGGTACTTGCTATGGAAGCTGTGTGAACCATGGTGTTTCTACAGTCGATCGAGTCTAAAATTGTTGACGAGTCCATTGATATCACCCAATTTTCTAGGCTTTCTCCGCAAGCAGTCGGTGCTGGGAGGAGCGCTGCTGCGGATTTATGTCCGTTTGAAGAGCTGGTTGAAGACATGATTGATGATCCAGATGATGTTCGCATTTGGGAAGGAACAGAAAGCAAAGGACTGGTATTAGCCAACCGCTGACTTGCTGATGACTCGTCAATCACAAAATCAGCAAATTGGCATTCCTGTGAACAGTAGAGATATTCGGGCTAAACAGAATAAGAAAAGCAAATCTTGATTAGAACCATTTCTGCCAAGCATGTATAGAAGGCTGAGTATGCTTGCAAATCAAGCCAAAGGGATGTTGAATACGATCCAATCGATCGAAACAGTAAATAGGAAAGTATCGTGTAAAATGCTCAATTTTCTTTCATAACTTGAGTGAAAATCTGCAAATGTAGAGGGTTTAGTAGGGTTGGAGGTACACTTTTACTAGTAAAAACTAGAGCACTCCAATACAGGCAGAGCTGTATGGTACGAATGATGATATAAAATAAGCATGTGAGATAATTGGGTTTACAGCGGTATAGTATCCGCAGATCACCCTATGGCTTTGAAGTGATTAAACCACCACTCGACTGTTCATGTTGCTTACCGATATCCGTTTTTCGCAAGTAACACACCAGCCCAAAAAATAATCCATTAGCTGCTAGCAATATTTTGTGCTAGAAAAAAAGAGCCAGCCAAATATTACAGAAATATCTGGCAAGCAAGACAGCCAATATATGGCTTTAAATAAACCGTCAAGTAGAGCGACGAATCGAGAGTGAGAGTTGGTGTAAAATTTAAACCCAACTGAAAAGTAATGCCTGAGCTTCTTGAAAATTACCGAGCTGGTTGTCAAGTCAATATATGTGGAAGCCAGTGAGAATTTACTCAAGCCAATAGAATGACAGACCCAGCAAGATTATATTTTACGGTATACCCACAATAATAGCAGAATTTATAGCCAGCAGCAGATGCTTATAGGTAAGAACCAATGTGGTTGTAGCGTGTATAAACAAGTTGCTTAGAGCAGTATGCTTGGGTTGAGTGAATAGGAACTGGGGAGGTCCACAGTTAGTAAATGGCTTGGGTGACGATTATTTATGGAGCAGTTTGTTAAAAAAGCAAGTGTCTGCTAGCACATCCAAATGATTGAAGACAGACTATTGCAAGTATAGTACTAGATAGAAGACAAGACAACTCTATTCTACACTAAAAATCGGTAGGGCTAATAAGTCAGATGATGTGGGTGAAGGAGGCTGGGATATGCTATGGTGATGTGTAAATCTATATTCGCCTATCTCGCTACCCAGCCAAATCCGCTCATTACCAGCAAAATACTACGCGAAATATTTACAGCACAAGTTGCTATTTGCAGCCGTATTCACGTAAATGAAACACTAAATAAGGGTGCCAAGTACATAATAAACAGCAGTCTCATGACATGATGGGTGCCAATTCACGCCAAATTTACTGGACAGCATTGTGTCCTTTGAATCCCTTGACAAAGTTCATTGGCTTTTTCCGCTGTGCTCATTTTTGTATTAAAATGTCAAACGAATGTTCGCATCTGTTCTAGTAAATCTCTCTTGCTCAATATTCAACTCTCCTTCCCTGCAAACTGAGTATTATAACATTGGTTGATTGGCATGGAAACAACAGTTGCAATCATTGGTCTGTTGAACTAGAACGCGAACGTGATTTAGGATATAAATAATTATATTGACAACATCGGAACAGTCCAAGCTAATATTTGGATTGTAATCCATGAGTCTGGTGATCATACAATGTATGATTTTTAAATCAAGAGTCCTGGCTCAAAACTATAATTTGATCGTGCATCATATGATGAACACTGCATTTGGAAGAATTGAGAATGTCTATTCAAACCAATTTCTAATGGGAAAGCGCAACAATATTTAATCATTGTTATTCCGAAACAAAATTGAGGCAGTGACTGCACAATAAACACAAATGTTTCAATTCACATGAATACGGCTGAAATAGAGTCACGCGATATTTTAGACAGTCGCGTGACTAAGCACTGGGCCACATGACACCAAATAAGGAAACACTTTACCGACGACACGTCACAAGTTGTTAAATCCGAAATTGACTGAGCCTCGCTAAACATTATATTACTACTGGGCTTGCCAAGATCTGCTCACCTGCCATCACCAAAGTCCAAAGTCATTCAAGTATTCAACGCTGTATTCGCGTAAAATCCTTATTAAACACTGATTAATTGTAACCAAACCACAGAATAAATGTCATTGAAAGAGTCGAACCGCATTTCCTTGTCCGATAGTGTCCAAATACTGTTGATATTCTGCAATCATAAGATTGCTTATAACCCATCCTTAATTAATCCATGTTTAATATAATTACGCTTTATTCGACGGCTTTATTCGTTATAAACCATAATGCATGATCAAAAATCATGACGTGGTCAGTAATAAATACATAAAAGCAGCAACATGTCGTCAATGTCAACTGCAATCATCCGATAATCAGACAAAAAAGTTGGAATGAAAATGAAGAAAAATACATCAACAGATGGTGCCCGTTATACTACGGGAGATCAAAAAGTAATCTTGGAATTACATGGATGGCAATAGTGTATACAAACTACAGCTTAAATTTTTTTGAACCGGTCGGATGTGGCAGGTCCATTGAGTAGTGTGCATCACTTGGTGGTGAGTATTCAATTATAGATGATCCGACATCACTTTGTCGGCCATTAATGAAAACATCTATTCCGCCACGACCAACGGCACTTCTATGGGTATGGCTATCTCCACTATTGCCACCGCTTGCATTTCGAGTATCAATAAGCTTTTCATCGCCATCAGAGCCAAAATCATAAGGGTTGTATTCGCTTGTTCCGCCACTTACACGAACAATATGGTGGTTGGGTATGCATGTATCAGATCCTTCATATATCGATACTTCAAAGTCCCTTGGGTCGTCATTCAAGCCATCACCCCAATCAGCTTCGTTTGTTTGAGAATTGGCTTGAAGTGCTTGATCGAGTTTGATTCGTACATTTTCAGGTAGACTAATCTCTCTCACAAGCATAGCAAACAACCCCCTTTGGATCTGTTGGTATTCAAACAAAAAGTCGGAAATAATAACCAGCGCAATGTATCCAGAAAGTTCCAACGCAGTTCGACGGATAATAAGCAAAAGCAGCGGAATTAAAAAAATGATCAGCATCACAAATGGACGAAGAATCAGCCATCGATTTAAAACGACATTATCGCGAATGATGCAAAGTGTATTGGTGACACTCAATGAAGCAGCCTTGATATTTTTTACACAGAGGAGCACGTAGATCCAGGCCATAATAGTCATGCAAAACCCGAGCAATAGAGTTGCAACGGTTGCATATCTTCTACGGGCAAGCGAAGGGTTGAACATGGATGGGATATTGGGAGCAACAGCGACAATGCAAATAAAGATTGATGTTGCCCAAACCACAAAAAGAGAGGCAGCTCCAGGAAGAGAGCGAACAAGTCGATGTTTCATCCATACTGATATCAAAAAGTAGACGGACTGGCTGACAGTTTGCAAGATCCGAATCACTTCAACCAATTCAAGCGAGTTCCAATCGGCTGTGCTTTTCTTGATATCAAAATCGTCTATTTGGATGCGATTGAATGGTTGAATTGGAGATTAGTGGCGATTACATGAACAAGCAAATACAATAAGCATGGTGGCAAGACTCACTGTTGAAGGCAATAGACCAATGTGCCAGTGAAACTACACACATTACCAGCAAGGCAATCAGGCCAGCAAGATTCAGAAACCAGATGATACCATTAGGGGTCAGCACAAAGATGCATCGACGGATGACCTGCTGAGAAAAGGGAAGAGCACTTGGAGGAGTTTTCTCTTTAATTGGATAGTATGGTGCATCAGTATCGGTAGACATGGTGGGACCAGTGGAAGGAGGGGAATTGATGGCAGCCTCTTTGGCAGCACTCTTGGCAGCAGCAGCCTCTTTGGCAGCAGCAGCATCTCTGGCAGCAGCTTGTTTAGCAGCAATCACACCAGCTCTGCTGGCTTCAGGAAATCCCGCACCGGCAGCAAGAGCCTTTAGCTCCGCTTGTTGAGCAGTTATAATATATTTGTTCCAACAAGGACCACATGTTCTTGATGGAGGGGGTGTCGAGGCAATAGTCCAGCAGCAGTACAAGAAACTAGGCAGAATCAATACAATGGATGCCATGGATATATAATACTGGACAGTGTCAGCCAGATGCTGGTCTCCTTCTGTAGAAAAGATCGACATTGGTAATGTAGCTAATTGTAAAACTGAATTAGATTAAACGATAGATACTAGGCTTTTAAAACGATAAAGGTAATGCACAGGAACAAGATTCAAGCATTCCAATAGCAGGGCGATGGGTATAGCAAGATGGTAATCCTTGAAGATTTCAAAGCAAATGGGCGAAGGGAGAATAGGTTTTGTTTTGTTGGGTATTAGCAAGACGAAGGCATCCTGACTTTCATGTCGCTGTTTTGATTTCACTATCCGCTCGCATAATTGAAGCTGCTGGTTGGCTGAAATCAGTGGCAATCGAGCACCATAGAGCACTGCTACCTATCCGTGTATAAACTATACCCTAAACTGCTATCTTCAAGTCTAGTTTGCACAAGCATGTCCGTTATATCCAGCAATCTCGGAGCCATTGTACAACCCAACCATCTACTGATTGGGTTGTACAATGGCTGCAAGTCCGCGTTTGACAGCCGATTGACAGTCTACTTGCACTGACAATTTAGCAACTTGAAACATCAGTCTACTATACACAGATTGTCATGCATTGTTAGGCCTCGTGGGGGCACATATTTGTAGTTGAGCCAACCGCTTCATTTGCGGCTTATTCGACCATTTCAAGCACGTCTATATAACAGTACCACTCGACTGTTTTCAAACAGTGCAGGCTTTCCCCTTCAAATTGTGCATTATTTATAAATTGGTCTTACTGTCATAATAACTTGCCAGTACACTGTCAAATAATAAACCAAGTGGCTAGAACTTGCTGTAAATTTCAGATTGGTTTCCATTTTGAATTGCCTTTGGTGCAATATTCTAAATCAAAATGCATTCACTCGCCGACTCACATGCACAGAAAGATGCCAATCCCATTCCAAATGACAGTGCAGTCTTTACCAATTCACCTGTTGATACTTTGCAATCAACTGAAGGATATGATTTGGACACTGAATTAAAGATGCCGCCGTCTGCCAAGTCAATGTCCATCAGAGCTACTAGTCCGAGCAGTCCTGTTCTACTTTCTTCAATCAGAACGAGCGCAAGCACCATGAGTTCATCTAGCATTGTCAAGATGGAAAGTGCCTCTGCTAGTCTTAGTCGTAAAGTATCAAATGCAAGCAGCTCATCCGACTCATTCATACCATCAGCTGTCATTGAAGCAAGGTATGTTTCAGTTTTGTTTTTTATTGAATAACCAATCACCCATTCAAGATCCCCTGTATATTGAGCCAAGTATTGGGACAAAGTTGCAATACTGGATTCTCATGACTGTTTACTTTCAACCACCGTTGGAATCACCTGCAAGGGAATCTACTTGGCACTTGGCATTAAAATTGCTTTGTGACTCGTGTCTGAATACCATATTAGTAACAACTCAACTATGCTGAGTTTACACTTACAAATCATTGGAATTGCTGTCATACCGAAAAACTCAATCGATATTTTTCCAGTCAGCTTTGAGCATGGGATTTGTAGAGCTGGATAATACTTTATTTTTCCAAATTATCGTAGGCTGTGGTTGCTGCTTTTTTCCCATTGGTGTACTTTAGTATGCACATGAGTACTCATACTCTGGTACCACCTCGTATATACCAGCATGTAGTGCAATAAGCACTTTTGGTAATTTCAAGGAGATATGGCAGTGTAGACTTGCATTATGCTTACATCTACCGCACTCCTACCCTATACTGATGATGACATGCAGTATCTGACCAAGATATCGGTTTGTGCTATGCTCTAGTCAGTGTATGGCATCACATGTCATCTGTGTACTGCTGAAATGTGATTGACACGGATCATATATTCATGGTTCACTGATGCAATACGGAGGGATACAAATGAGAAAGCAGCAAGTTTAGTCGTTTAAGCTCGCCGTGCTGTTTGGTCCTTTGAATATGCATGTTTAAAAAATGCATCTACTTGCTATGGCTACTGCAAGCTAGTTGCGCCGTTTTTAGGTGCCATTCACTATCACTTGTTGAATAATGACAACTAACCAAATTCAATGTTTCTAGGCGAGCTCGTGAGATTTCTCTAGCCATTGATAAGAAAATAGAGATTGATAGGCGTCGCATGATTCAAGAAAAGGATGATCCAAGACTCCTCATTCTTGGCTCTGGTGACTCTGGCAAAACAACCCTTCTTAAACAGATGCGTCTTTTTTATGGTGAAGGATTTACTTTGGAAGAAATAGAGGCGTATCGACTGCTTCTGCTCGAGAACGTTATCAACTGCATGTCTGCGTATCTAGCACTCTGTGATCACCTCAACCTCCCTATTATCCATCAGCATGAAAGATTGCACTATGTCTCATACAGTCACGCTGGCCGATCTTATCTGCCAGCAGACCTACCTCCTATTATTTCCATTCTCTGGAACGAACCATCTGTTCAACAGGTTGTTTTGCTTGGACCAAACTATCACATTCAAGACACTGCCCCATATTTTCTGTCAAGAGTAGAAACCATTGGTAAAGTGGGATACAAACCAACTAACCAAGACATTTTGCATGTGCGAGCGCCAACACTAGCTGTATCTGAAACCATATTCAAGATCGGCATCCATCACTACCGCTTATTTGATGTTGGTGGTCAGCGAGGGCTTCGTAAGCAATGGGCACCTTTTTTCGACAACTGCCACTCAATTCTCTTTGTCACTTCTATTGCTAGTTACGATCAAACGCTTGAAGAAGAAAGAGAACATTCTGTCAATCGTCTTCACGATGCCATTGAGCTTTTTGGCGGTGTCATCAACAACCGTATTTTGCAAAACTCTGAAGTACTCCTCTTTCTTAACAAGAAGGATATTTTCGAGGAAAAACTTAAACACCTCCCCTTTAGCAAGTTTTTTCCCCGCTATCGAGGACCAAATGATCCTGAAAGCATTGCTCGATACGTTGCTGCATTATTCAAGGCTCAGCGATGGGATCAAAATCGTAAAATCATGATCCATCGCACCTGCTGTACCGATACACGTAATATGGAACTGGTTGTTGCAAGACTGATTGAGGGATTAACAAAGTCGGCTTTGTCGAGGATTGGCACAATTTGACTCGAGTTTTAGTCAAGATGGAGAGAATTCGGTATGGGAAAGAGCATATGTATATTTTTCTTATTTAGGTTGAATGTGAGATTTTGGTGACTATTTCCGGGCTGGATGGCTAAAGCATGGCTTAATTATGTACACTGTAGTCAAGTCACTACACCCAATAACTTTTTGCCAGTTGTTTTTATTGAGAAATAAAAAAGAATACAATTGGAGTTGTTTTTGCAGTGGAGATATTTAGAACCAATTATTTGATACAAGGATGCGCTTTGGTTGATTCTCAAACGTGATGCGCCGCGCTTTGTGTTTCCAACAAAAGTATATAATTTAAGCTATTCTGTTTTTGATTCACCAGTTGTCAGCTCATTTTTGAACCCTCAATCCATTTGGATTAGTATACAGCTATATAAATGCTCGGTCGTTCAACTGCGTTTAGGTCCCACACCACTACAGCTTTTGATGTTATGTCAAGTGTCGAAGTTCAAAGTGATGCCAATGGACAAGTATATTCGATTGGAACAATGACTATGCCGACCACTGCTTATACAACTCCTATTCCTACAGTATTTAAAATTCAGGCAAGTTCATGACTGCATGTATTGCTTTGCAATAGGTGTTGAAACTTTTACATGACAAGCTAATTTTAAATTTTGGACTGTATATTTGAATGCAACAGTTTGGAAACGACATACGACTGATTTCGGCGGTGATGACCCCAAGCCCTGATTCTGTGAACGGGGATGTATTTCTATTACTGCTTCGGTACGCTGCACAAACGTTTCATTTATTTGACATGAATCACCTTGCATTCAAATGGCAAGACCATCAAGGCGACTGGATTGTTGTTTCAAACGAAAAAGATCTTTACGAATGTGTCAAGTGGCAGTCTCAGCATCGTGATGATTACAGCATCGATATCTCTGATTTCTGTCCAAAATTGGTTCTTGTCTTTACTAATCCTGTACAGCATGTGATTCAGATCCAAAGCAACATGGTAGTTATGCACGACATGCTCTTGATGACTTCACAGCACATTTCGTTACAGGACAGCCATTCTAGCAAAACTGTTTTTGATGCAATCTGCAAACTTGTGAGCAATGGTTGTCAGCATCCAACTAGCGTTACCACTGCAACGCAATACGATGTTCACAATACGAATATCGAGGATGATATGCACATATGTTTACAGACTCTTTGCGACGAGAAAGAACGCACAACCGAGCAAGGTGTATCGACGATTCCATCCTACGGTATAAAGCAGACTCTGAAGCAGCAAAAAGATGACTGCATTTTGGAACAGCTGAATATAGACGTGGGCCAAACATACTCGCCAATAGACTTTTCAGTCGCGAATGATTTGATGCATCTTCTTGAATGTGTTTATGAGCTAGAGAGCATGTTTGACGTATATTCGACGCCTGCCATTCTTATTCATGGCATACAAGACACACTTGACGTAAAAATCCCACAAGTGGATAATAGGTCCATGGCTGCTGTCATTACGCATTCTATTATGGATAGTGCGAATGTATGGGGAAGTGTAGATGATGATATTTTGAATAGTATGAAAAATACTCCCGTATCTTTGTTTGATGATGACTTTGCTATCGATGACTTTGTGATTGTGGATTTTACAGCTGGTGCCAATGTCGATGAGAGCAGGAGAGAGAAATAAATGTTTCTATTTGAATCCAATTTCATGTTCTGAAGTCATTCTGATAGCATCAAGCGGCATTTTAAAACCGCAAGTTATCTATTTGAAAACCCATACAATTGATATAGATTAGCGTACAGACTGTAGATGAATGGAATGGTGAGACTTTGCGTTATAACAAAACCAAAAGAACGTTGCCCTATATTCAATCAAGAGAAACAGCAGATTGTCGCTCTGGTATAGGAGATACGAGCAATAGATGCTCCTGCCATCCAGATCGGATGAACAGCCTGCTGATATTTTCAAAACAATATTCCCACCAAGATTAATGGCAGCTGACAGTTTCTCGCCTATTTGTCAATATCCGCAAGTGATTCAAATTCACAATTTTGGCACCAATCATTTCACGATATTGTTTGTTTATTGATACCCCCTATTCGACGGTCCATTTTGCGTGAATATGACTGCAAATGCAATAAATTCTGGCTGTACTAATAATATTTTAGCCTTACTCTAATTGCTTAACCTCATCCGACACTGCCTCGACTTGCCTTTTAACTCTAGCATTTTCTTTTAAACTATCATCCAGTCTTTGTACAATATAGTACTCTTGCCAGAGTTACTGTCTATTTCATCTAGTATTTGAATATCTCTAACCGGTATGTGCATCAAGCTGAGTTTTGTTGATATCTCCAATCGCAGTCATTACCGGGCTATATACTGCTCTTTTCAAAGAAAACTAGTATGCATTACCAAAAAGATCTATTTCTTGCAGTCACTAATGCAATGATGTGTTGTATTTAACCCAAGTCAGGGTTGAATGTATCCAATTGAAGTTTGTTGGCTTGTATTGCTCTTCCTCATGGCTAATATCCTACATCCCATCAAATATCTACTGCTTCCATGTCTATAAAGCCATGCCGTATTGTATTGGATAGTATGTATCATTTCTACTTTGGTACTTTGAGATCGTGTGTCGGACTTTTGGTAATGCGGCCCATGTAATGAGCAATCTACATTATTGCTGCATGTTCATGTAAAAACGCAGTTTACCAACTGAAATATCTAACCAATCTACTGTTCTTTTAATATCTGGTTGTTCTTAATCAGCCATTATGCCGCTTCAAGTCACCATGGCCAGTGTCAATTTCTATATGGCCAACCTCAGTGTTCACTCTCGCTGGGCCTTGATGACCTATATGTTTATCAAAGTAAGAATTGGCCTTTCATTTTCTGGATACGATGGTATCTCTAGATATCTAACCCTAGCTTCAACTTTAGGGGATACGATGGGCAGCAAGAAGCAATCTATCCCTTATTCTCGTTGTATCGCTTTTTTTTGCGTCAGTGCAAGCGTTCTATCAAGCTACTCTTCTCGTCCAGATTGTGGAGGACTGTGTAGTCCATGTGAGATGTCTGTATGCAACATGGATTGTTTATACCATCTTGCTTGATATTGTTTTGTACTATCGTGCATGGTGCATTTCGCCCACAAAGTCCCATATCCAAAAGTACTCGTGTATACTTATGGTTATGAGCCATGCTGCTTGCTTGATTGTGGATGCGGACTATTCACTTTCTAATACACGTGACTTGCTCACTGCTGGGTGAGTTTGCTGCTTTTTTGTGGATAAAGTTTGGTATGTGGTGTTAAATATAAATCATGTGATTCGGTAGATGCGTGACGTATCCTGGATGGCCAAGAACCGTTTTGGGTGTATTTTCGACCGTTAATGATCTGTATCAGGAAAGGCACTTTTTTGTGAAGCTGTTCCATATTCGGACATTCCAGTCTAACAACACTCTGATTTTGGTTCATGTTGTTTAGGCTGTTCTTTTTTGTGTTCCTTTGCTTCAAGCAGTCAGGAACGGAGTAGGAATGCGTCGTGACACTTCCATCTACCGTCGAATGATTCTCAAGTCCACCGTCTGTCTTGGAGTCTGTGTCGTCATGAACATTACTTATGCTATTCTCGTTGCTGTTGATCGACAGGTCATTTCTCTGTTTTTCTGCGATATGGCCTTGATTTTCCAGTCTCTATCTGCCTGCGAGATTCAGTTCAACTCTCATCGAGAGACTGACAAGGCATCGTTGGGTGGGATTGGATTTTACAAGAGCCCTGTAGATAGACAGAAAAATATGCCTACGTATAGTCAAAGTAATCCTACTATTTTAAGTAATGCTACCATTGATGCTCCTGAGACTACAGCTTCGATGACTGGGATGGAGGATGCAAACATTCGTATCATGCTTCCCAAGTAGTTGCTCTTTGTAATTCATATTGGAACTACCCTTGCTTTTTTAGTTTTATTTATACATACTTGTGACTGCTGGGCTGTATTTGGTTTTGGAATGATCAAGCTTTTCAACTTTGCATTCTCCGTCTTGACAGCAATTCTTGATTAGCTTGTTTCCGCCAGAACAGTTTTGTTTCTACTGTACTCTTTTGAAATAAATAACGGCGTGCTTATTGCTTTAGTTATTTTCTGTGTTGTATGAATAGATGAAGATGTGTTTTAATTACCTCGTAATCTACCAGAAACGAATCTAGAACGAATATTTTCTACATGAAAAAACTGCTAGACGTTGAGAGTTTTGATGCTCTTCAACCTCCCCAAAAAGTTTGAAATTCTACCAGATCCCCAGTACATCCAACCAGTCCCTTCTATTATGGCATATCAAAGTAACGAGATTTTGGTTATAGGCGAGTATCGACTATTTATTCTTTGGCCATATGCATTGAATATACATTGTTGCATTTATCTTGGCATTTTAATCATATGCGAGAGCAGGGGAGTCGGTCTATGGAGAGTTTGAATTCAAACTTTCAAAATGTTGATAGGCAACTCCCTATACCCATTCGATTCGCATGATAGATGCAGCACATTCACTCGTATATCTCTTGTATTTAGTTTGTCTAGTCATGGCCTTGATACCACTAATTCATATCGACTCGAAAGTTCATTGTTGTACTAACTCGACTCTATAACTATGGCCAACTTACACAATTATAAATACCTTGATAAATAGGTCTTAACCCAGCATTCCAGGCTACTCTACATTTTGAAAACTACCAGTTTGGAAAAGTCAATCGGGCCTTTCGTAAATGCAATTCGGTTGGCGGCAAAGGTAATAATGGACGAGGTTTGAATCAAAGAATGCTATCGAGTTTAGAAATCAAATATCTAAACTACTTCAATCCATTCATTATGAAATCGATGATTTCTCATACATGGGGTTGATGTTAGGTCAAAACTTTGCTATTGCATGCGCTCAGTATGGTGAAAGTGACAAGGTGAGTGTGATACAGTTTGTTGGCGGAATGACCGGTCGGTATATTCAAGCGTTTCAAGAGGAGAATAATATTAGTCATATTAGCAGTAAGTAGATAGCGATCATATTCAGCTCTATTGAGTAGATTGCTATTTTGTAGGCGAGCTTATTATGCAATGGGCTTTGGAGTTGCAAAATTTCACGTGAAATTCATGTTTTAAATTTGGCATGTACTAGTTAATACACAGAAAGCTACTCGTACATGCACTACGATTTTGGACGAACGAACCGGAGAAATGACCCAACTTATAGTATGTCTAACTGTTTTACCATCCACCCAACTATTGGTAACTGATACTCACCATTTAAATGTATTCATGATAGGAACCTGCTGCGCGAGTTGAAGCAGCACAAAGTGTACAATTAGAGAAACTGGTTCGTGATGTAATTTCCAACTCGCCAAAAATTGAGGCCATTGCTCTTTGTGGTAAAGATGCCTTGTTTCAATTTTTTGAATCATTCTATGATTACGGGATATCAACCCATCCATTTCATTTATAGGGACCTTGCCTCCTGGATTGACTGGATCTACATATACATTGATTGCACAATTAAAACCGCCTGGAGTCGTGTTGCTTCTTGATGCGTACCAATTCCCAGATTGTTTACTTACAGGGAATGTAGATATTCTTAAAATCAATGCAGAAGAGTCACGATTGTTGGCATCAATGGGGTACACTACTTGCACTGTTTATGATGTGTAAAAACTATGAGTTGCTGACTATGACTTTTTAAACTGAATGCAATATAGTGAGGATGCAGACTTGATTGAAGTGGGTAAAAAGCTACATTCAATGTACCGAGTCAGATTTATTGCAGTTACAAACGGACCTGACCAGTAAGTTTTTCACAAGTTTCCAATTGTGAAGAATCAACAAAACATTCAAGAAATTTACTTTCAACCATGTATATGTAGAGCGTGCTTGTTTGAGTCGGTTACACTAGCTCACCAAGATGGGCCACGTATGCTGAATATAACGACATATGTGATTCCACCTGTTTTGACTGTGCTGAGTGAGATGGAAGACATTGAGTCACTACCATCATCGCCACGCTCATATGCACTTCCAGAAGCCACAGGAGAGCCCAGTGTCATGCATACAGTTCTCAAAACTCAAAATCATTCAGGATCTAGTTTCACGTCGTTTAGTTGTAATAGACAGGCAAATATCAATGGATGCAATGGTGGGATCAATGGAACACGTGAAATTGTAATCAATCCACTTGGAGCAGGTGATACATGTAGTTCGATTTTTACATTGGAATACCTGGATACTTTGGTGAGTATAGAATTAGTCGCTACTTGGATGATCGTATAAAATAGCAACTGATTAGAATGAACTGTGTGTGATGTAGGATGCAGTGAGCTCATTTCAGCATGGACTAGCAGCAGCATCCGCATCATGTCTAATGGTGGATTATACATCGTATTTTGATGTGAAGATTCAAAATGCAATTTACGAGCGGATTGTCCGCAATACGACGAATACTCCGCTGGTGACTGTGGTGGAATAGGAAATGTATTCATGTGACAATTTTATTATGGAAAGAATTGAATATCAATTGAAATGCAAATGAACGCGTTTGCAGTGTGACTTGACAGTTGTTTGATATCATGACAGACCAGCTGGTTGCTGATCAGGATGTTATGCTTGATGAGAATGATTCTACAGGAGAAGGACAACTCGACTTTATGGAAGTAAGTTGTATAATAGTAGATTATAGTATAGAAGTGGACGGGGAGACATATGTCTGGCTGTTGATTGAGTTGGTTTGACTGGATGTCATTTATATTTCTCAAGATTGATCGTTTGCAAGATGTGGGTATCAATCAAGCTGATATCGCCAAGCTCAAGACTCAGGGTATTACTACCATCAGAGTAAGTCTAATTGAACACAACACTCTAGTTCGTGTCTCACATGCATAGTTTAATAGGGAATCCAAATGGCAACGAGTAGAAACCTTCTCAAAGTAAAAGGGTTTAGTGAGATCAAGGTTGAAAAAATCAAGGATGCTGCATCCAAGTTGATTGCCAATGGGTTTATCACTGGCACTGAGCTTGCTGTAAGACGCAAGTCTGTGCTACGTATCACTACAGGGTCTGTGCAGTTTGATCACTTATTAGGCGGTGGAGTTCAATCCATGAGTATCACCGAGGCATTTGGCGAATTTCGTACTGGCAAGACTCAATTAGCACATACACTGTAAGTATTTTCATATATCTAGTATAAACGATCCCAAACCGATTTGATAATGTTTCGAGTCTTGCGATATCCATTAAAGATGCGTAACTGCCCAACTCCCCATTCAACTCGGAGGTGCCAATGGAAAAGTTGCTTTTATTGATACAGAGGGGACATTTCGTCCAGAGAGAATTGAAACCATTGCGGCCCGATTCAATCTTGATCCTGAAGCTGCCATTAGCAATATCATGTACGCTCGTGCCTACAACTCTGAACACCAATTTGATCTCTTAAACGAGTTAGCTGTTCGTCTGTGCGATGATCGTCAATACCGTCTTGTTGTTGTGGATTCTATCATGGCACTTTTTCGCACTGATTTCTGCGGTCGTGGTGAACTTGCTGACCGACAACAAAAGCTTGGACAAATGTTGGCCAAACTGACACGTATCTCGGAAGAGTTTAACGTGGCAGTATACTTGACTAACCAGATGTGTGCTGATCCAGGTGCAATGATGTCATTTGGAGCTGATCCGAAAAAACCAATTGGTGGACACGTCTTGGCTCATGCGTCTGCCACTAGACTGTATCTGAAGAAAGGACGAGGAGAAACTCGCATTGTCAAAGTCTGGGATTCTCCTGATATGCCTGATTCTGAAGCTGTATATGAAATTAGTCCTGGTGGAATCATTGATGTCAAGGACTAGATCAGATTTCAACTATTCCTGTGTTGCAATGTTACAGCTGTATTCATGTAAAATGAAACACTCAGCATACAGAATAAACAGCTAGTTTTATCGAATGATTGGTGTCAATTCCCATTAGATTTACTGGACAGCATTGTTTTGACCATTTTTGTGTAAAACAGTTGAATAAATATTTACATCCCATATTATTGACCCTTGTTCAACTGTTTTCTACAAATATTCAGTGACTGGCATGAAAACAAGAGTTTCATTCCTAATGTGCGATGACTGTTTTTTAAACTAAAGCGCGACCAATGGGATTTAAGATACAAGAGTGTAGAGTTGTATTGACAATAACGGTCAAACCAAACTTGGTAGTCACAATGTATGACTGTCAAAAAAGAGCAATTACAGCTGTAAGATGAACAAAAATGACGGTATTGCTTTAAATTATACGTTTTGATTAGATTTTGGTAATGATTTGTTTGCCAGTCGCACCGATCTAGGCACCATCAGCAATTTCATGGACTCTGACAGTTGATCCAAGGTTGAATCATGCATCTGGAGTGGTTTTGGATCAACACAATCTACAGACATGTCCTCTTGATCACCACAACTACCGAGTTTTCGACCATGCGGTGCTTTTCCATCAAGAGTATGATTGTGGCTACCTCTTACAATCCGAAAGTCAAAATCTTGTGGATATCCATGAGTCTTTATCAGATGCCTAATTCTTGCATTACTTGTTTTACTCTTCTTTTTGCATTCATCAACAAAGCATTCAAACTAGTAAATCCAACCCATTTCATTACAAAGCTAAACATTAGTATTTCATCGTAGCCATTACAAACTCTATATGCAAGCATCGTGATAGTATTGTGATGGCAACTTACCGCAACTTGAGTCTCGGCCAAAACTTTGAAAAAAGAGTCATGAAACTCTTGAAGATGTAAATGTAGAAGATGGGCAGTGGGCAGCACTCTATTGCAGCTTGCACATACATTCACATGCACAAGCTCATAGTGATCTTCGTACTCGACCAAAGACTGGAAAAAGTTGAGAGATGAACAGGACGGTGATAGATTACACCGTATCAAGTATGGGTTGACTCTTTTTTAAAGAATGGTTAGTACAAGTTGATTGGTTTGGAATTAGGATGAATGCTTACTTTGGAGATGCTGGCGAGTGAGCATTTTGGTTTAAAAAAGACTGCATGGCTGATGAATCTATTCGATAGTATTTGGCGTAGTTTGGAAGAGCGGAAAGGTCTATTGGAGATGAGTCTGAATCATCCTTCTTTCGTTTGCGAGTAATACTAACTGGGCCCGTCCATAGCCATTGCTGTTCAGTATCAAGCGATTCTGTAGTGGTCATGTTTGGAAGTTGTTGTAATATCACATTTCCAGTAAAAGCGAGTTTTATCAAATTCAATATGATAGTCATTTGTGCATAAAAATCACTACTTTTACTATAGCCATGCATTGATCTAATAATGAATTGTATTCATCAATCTCTATTGAATTGATTGATCAGATGGTCTAGACAGGCACTCAAACCTGCAGAAACGAGGACTCGCCTCATGCAAGGCTATCAACTCTAATAAATCAGATTGAATTTATAGAATTTATAGAATTAAACGATTTCAACTTGGCTTCATCTCAGCACACATTTTGGCATTGATTCCAGTCATCAATATGGTGAATTCTTTAGCCAATTCCAGTACTGCACAACCTATTTCGGAATCCCCTGAGCTACCATGGTACTACATCACTATAGTTGTTTTTATATTTCTTGATGGTCATGTATCTAGAATCGGACATTAGAGTTTTATACTAATGAATTCTTGTTATTATATACAACGGTTTATCCTATTAGGATTGAAAAGTACCGTCCACTTGTTCTCAGTGATATTGTTGGTAATGAAGAAACCGTTGCTCGACTACAGATCATTGCTCAGGAGGGCAACATGCCCAACATTATCATTGCAGTTGAGTGTCATTTGATTTGGCTGAACATCAGATTTTTAATTTTTAAACATGACCAGATGTTGGGTAGTAACATGACTGATCTCACGGTTATCTTTGCAACTGGTTTAAATACAGGGATCTCCTGGTATTGGTAAAACCACAAGCATTCTTTGTTTGGCACATGAGTTGCTTGGATCGGCTTACAAGGAAGGTGTATTGGAACTGAATGCATCTGATGATCGGTAAGCACATCCATTTTATGGATTCATACACAGTTGTTCAGTAAAATGTATACCAACAAAACAATCACACCCTGTATTAACATGCCTTTAGTGGTATTGAAGTGGTCCGTAACAGGATCAAGATGTTTGCACAAAAAAAAGTAACACTACCACCAGGTCGTCACAAGATTGTGATTCTAGACGAGGCAGACAGCATGACTTCAGGTGCCCAGCAGGCTCTTCGACGTACAATGGAAATCTACTCCAACACTACCCGATTCGCATTAGCATGCAACTTGTCGAGCAAGATCATTGAGCCTATCCAGTCCCGATGCGCAATCCTTAGATATACACGCTTGACAGATCTGCAGCTTCTTCGCCGGCTACTTGAGATATGTGAGATGGAAAATGTAAAACACACTCCCGAGGGACTGTCTGCAATTATTTTTACAGCTGACGGCGATATGCGACAGGCAGTCAACAACCTGCAGTCAACGAATTCAGGTTTTGGATTTGTGAACCCAGAAAATGTGTTCAAAGTGTGTGACCAACCGCATCCAGTTCTTGTTCAAAAGATTGTGGACGCATGTGTGCGTACCGAAGTTGAGATAGGTATTCAAGGCATGACAGAGTTGTGGGATAAAGGATATTCTGCATTGGACATTATTACTACTTTGTTCCGAGTAGTCAAGTCATTTAGTATGGCCGAATACATAAAACTCGAATTTGTCAAGGTAAACCATTTACTCTGCACTAGAGTTGAAAGTCTAATCTTGTTTTCCAATTTTGTATACTGATTACTGGCTGTCCATAACCAATACAGGAGATTGGGTTTGCACATATGAGATTACTCGAAGGATGCCAAAGTTTATTACAATTGCATGGATTGATTGGTAAACTATGCAAGGTGAATATGGACAAGACCATGTTTGTCATGTAACATTACATTTACAAGACATATGGAATAAAATTTATACTTTTAAAACAGTTTATTCAGAATAAATGTTTGTGAATTCATGTTACAACCCTTGAATGCAGAGCAGATTGTAATGCAAGGCCGAGTTGATTGACAATTGAAATTCGAGTTGGATGAAAAGTCGGAAACTCGCTTGAGCTACTACAATATCTGGAATTTTAATCATGAACTCTGTAGTACGCACTGCTACTTCTTTGGCTTCAGAAGCTGGCAGATTCTCTCAGATGCTCACTACTCAGATTGTAGAAAAGACCAAAGAGGTCGGCATTCCTGCTCATCTGTACGAAACTGCCGAGGAAAAAACTGCTGATATTCTGCCTGGTCTTAATTCAAAGGTAGTTATACAAAGTCTAGTCTGTTACTATGCTGGAAAAGTGATGCACTATGTCATTATGCATGAATCTTCAACTCGATGTCTGAGCCAAACTAATCGATTTTCATCATGTACATCTGCGTTGAAATCCAGTTTGACAAGGAAAAGCTCGATGCTATGAAGCGACTGGTAGCTGTAAGTGCTCAATGAGTTGGATTATTATACGTTTATTCAATCGTATTGAATGCATGGCAATCATACTGTTTCCGTCCATTCGGCTTACATTCAATCATCTATCCATACAATGGTAATAGCTCATGTCTAAAGGAAACAACGTATCCGAGTTTTTTCCACATGTCATCAAAAACGTTGCATCTCAGTCATTCGATGTCCGCAAGCTCGTCTATATCTACTTGCTTCGTTATGCTGAGCAAGAACCGGATCTGGCGCTCTTGTCCATCAATACATTCCAAAAGGACATGACGGATAAAAACCCATTGATTAGAGCTATGGCTTTGCGTGTCATGTCTAGCATTCGTGTACCAGTCATTGCTCCAATTATTACATTGGCTTTGCGCAAGGGTGTGTCAGATCTGTCGCCGTATGTTCGAAAGGCGGCTGCAAATGCCATTCCAAAGTGTTTTAGGTAACTATCCTGCATAACAGAATTTCAGCATTCTTGTAAGCCAGTTGTCAATCGAGTGGTTTTAGGTTTCTAACAACCACTCATCCATTGTTTATTGAATCTATCAACATGATGCGTTCAGTTTGGATCCAATGCAAAAGGACTGTTTGATTGAACTACTAGTACTTTTATTAAATGATAAATCTACTGTCGTTCTTGGGACTGCTGTATCATCTCTTAACCGAATCTGTCCAGATCGATATGATCTTATTCACAAACACTATCATAAACTATGTCGACTTATGATAGATTGTGATGAGTGGGGCCAAATTGAGATCATGACCATGATTATGCGATACGTTCGCGTAAATTTCTTGCCTCCAGTCACTGAAGCATCCACTGCTTTATCCGAGTCACCTGCTTTTAAATCCTCATATAGAGACAACGATCATGCTCAATTCATCAGCTCAATCAAACCGCTTCTTCACTCGCGCAATATATCTGTTGTTCTAACAGTCATCACGGCAATCTCCACCACTGGATCCATGGCTGATCTCAACAAGGCCGTTCCATTTTTGATTCGACTGGTTAGGTATTCTAGAGAAAATCAGTATGCAGTGTTGCTGGTTATTTTGTCGATATGCAAGACTATTCCTGGTGCGTTTTCAGAATTCTGCCACTGTTTTGCTGTGTTTCATGGTGATATTCCGGTTATACGTGACTTGAAACTTGAAATTATGGAATGCATTGTATGCAAAGAAAACATGGAGTTTGTGCTGGGCGAATTCAAAGTAAGATCAAACTATCAATTTTGGTTTATACGTTGATACATGTATTGGTTCATGAAGACACTAATTTTTTCAATGTGTTTTAGGCGTATGTGACCAATGCCGATGAGAAACTATGTATACGAACGATCCAGGTTTGGGGACGGCTTGCTAGTCGACTTCCATTTGTAATTGATCAGAGTCTTAAAACCCTAGTTGCTCTAGTATCTGAGCCCAATGGTAACTAATTTGAAACTAATTTACTTTTTCAAAACTATCAGATCAGAGCGATTTTGAATATTTGAATCTCACCAACGTTCTATTGTACAACTCAACCACTAATTACATTTGAATTAGCTGCGATTGTGGGCGAAGTTATTATTGTTTTGCGTCGATTACTACAAGCTAGGTCTGATCTTGACGCACACAACGCAGCGGAAACATCTCTTTTATTGACAGTTGATACAAAACAAAGTGGGGATAAATCTACTACCACGACAAAAGTAATTCGACAGCTTTTCCAATCATATGATTCCATAACCGTTTCAATGGCCAAGGCATCTGTATTATGGCTCATTGGCCACTACGTCACTTCCCTTCCATTGATTGCTCCAGATGCTTTACGAGTGGCTGTAAAATCGTTTGTAACGGAGGGAGAGGTAGTAAAACTGCAGACACTGAATCTAGCAGCTAGTGTTGCAGTGAATCTCGAAACTTGCAAAATACATATGGAAATGGGGAAAGCTGTTGACACATCTATGCAGGTTTCATGCGATTCACGTGTGCTGAATGTGGTTCGTCTATGTTTTGAGTACGTGCTAGAGCTTGCACGGTATGATTTGAATTTTGATGTGAGGGATCGAGCGAGATTCTTGGCTGCTTTGGTTCATCGACCACTTTATCTGTATGATGACAAGGACCATGAAAAGGATGATTTGGAAACTCGGTATGCAACATTATGCAGACTTGTGCAGATTTTAGCTGGATCTCAAGGTGTATCCAAGCCCGCCGATCCTTTTGATGGTAAATTTGATGTACTTTTATCTTTTTCAAGCTCAGATTGATTCACACGTTGTACTAAACTATCCCATTTTAGCTTTGGCTGCATTTCGAACTGGCACATTGTCACACGCTGTTGGAACACGGGTGGATGGATATACAGATTTACCACCTTGGACAACAGTACCCTCGAATGCGTCCCTTCGCGTTGTAGTAGTAAGTCTATGTTTTATACCAAAGATTCTTTTCTACAACTCACAAAGCATGTTTATCCCCTTTCAAACAGGAAACAAATGAAGAATGGCATAGAGATCGAGTTGTGACCAGCACAGTTAAACACATACGTACAACTCAGTCCAAAAAAATAAAGCGAGTGGTCGCTCTGGATGATTTTCTAGCCTCGGACAATCCACTCGAGGTGGATATTTTATCAGGAATTAGTGGGCGAGGCAGCCTTTCTGGAAGTGCAAGGGAAGGCAGTAGTGCTACGAATTCTAGATGCGGCGACGATGCTACGGTGGCAGATCAGATACCAAAAGGTCCACCTGCTAATCTAGAGATTCTGAATGCAGTTTCTGCACTACAAGCCTTGGATGATGTTTCATCAGATGAGGAGAGTGCAACATCGGAAGAAACCGAGTCTGATAGTGATTCAAACGAGTCGAATGAATCGAATGAATCGAATGAATCGAATGAATCGGACGAGTCTAATCACATCACCATGCATACTACATCAAGCAATATTCCTGCTGAACCGAAATCTTGATTGAATAGAATGAATGTTGTTATCTGTATAAATGAACTATGATGCTTACTTTATCAACAGTGTAAAATGTGGCGCTACATTAAAGCATCAACTGTTTGAAAATACCTCGTAACCCTATCCATGTACTCGAATTCAAAACGATTGTCATGTATGGTTCATGTCAAAATCATGCACTTTTGAAATTAATACAAAGCGTGCTGCTCAACAGAGTCGAGATCAAACTATAGAATTTACAGGCTCAAAAGAAGTAATCGATAAAACAAGTAATGAATATGAATAAATCTTGTATTTCATAGGCTTAGTTTTTACGACGCATAAACATGGCACCGACAATACCCACAACAGCAACCATTCCACCAACAATGGCCATACCAACAAGACCCTCTACAATATTGCATACCAAATGTGTTAAACATGTAATGAGTCGAGCAGTCAATCTAACGCTAAAAATCAAAACCAAACAACGCACCTTGTTGAACGTGTTCAGCGATCAATGTTTTGAGTGCCAGAGCTTGAGGGTTGCTCGGCTCCATATTCAGTAGTGTTTCGTCATACCGACGAGCTTTCTAAGTAAACCATTCAACGTTGAATGGATTGTTAGTACCGAGTCGAGATGGGATAAATACATCCGTGATGGATTGAAAGGATGCTTACGGTGTAGTTTCCAAGTTTGTACTCGCCAAGAGCCAAATAGTACAGACATTCCCGTCTTCGTCCAGGATTTTCACGATATATAGCTGTATTATCACATACACATGAGTAGGAATCCGAATTTCTTGCAATTTCGACAACACATACCATGAAGTAGATCCACACCAAGCTGTTGGTCTTGTCTTTTTGTACTGCGAACTGTCGAGTGAAAATACAATACATTATCATTACTGAATCGATCATCACAGTATCAAACCATATGTTATACAGCAGTGTACTCAATCCATTGCAAATTACCTAATGCCCAAGCATAGTTAAACTTGACCTGTGGAGAAACAGCAGCTCCTTCTTTCTTGTACAGGTCTCGAATGGTCTTGCGATGAAATGAATACGAAACAATAGTCAAGATTCCATTGAATTCAACTTTTAAAAAGACTGAATTCCTATAGCATTTCATACCTGCAGTTCCTCTTGAGAGAGCGACATTTCAGCCTCGAATGCATGCGGAAGGGAATCCATGACGATAAGGGTAAGAATTCAATGCAAAGCAACAAAGTGAAAATCTAATTTTTTGGCCATATTTGAACACGATTAAAAGTGTTTTTGATTTTCAGAATTTACTTGCAAATATCAAGTAAATTCTGCATGTCGATATTCAAATTGGCAAGATTGCTTCAGCTGAAATGGCTTGTATTGGTTCTGTCCACGTCAGTCCTCATGGGACTGTCTGTGTTCTCGTTTTTTAAATACAAAACTGCTCCAAAACAGTGCGATGGCAACTATATTCATCCCAATTACATTCTACAATCCAAGTTTATATTCAGTCAGAACTATAAATGCAACCATTATTCTCTTTACTTGCATAGAGAGAATGATGGTAATTTAATGTACAAACACATGGACGAAGATGCTCAGGTGTGTTGTTCTGCTTGTTGCCTTGTGAGTTTGGAGCTTATTAATGACTTGTATTCAAAGTTAAATGGCGTCCCAGTTCTGTTTATTCCTGGTCATGCTGGTGATTACACTCAGATTCAATCGTTTGCTTCTGCTGCTCATCGTGTCATACAATGGAAACGAAGCGAGGGCAGGAGTGTAGCTGGTTTTGATATTTTCACGAGTAAGTCGTCTAGGCTTCATCACGGTTAAAAGACAGCATTTTAACCCTTCAACTTATTTAGTGGATACAAAAAAGGAATTTGGTGCATTCTCAGATGCTGCACTGTTCCTTCAAGCACAATTTGCTAGCGAGGCAATTGTGCATATTTTGGGTAAATACAAACACTTGGAACATGGCCCAAAATCCGTACATATTATTGGCCATTCCATGGGCGGCTTTGTTGCAAGATTGATCCCACTCTTGGAAGATCTATATCCCGATTCTTTGTTAGACTCTGCAGTTTTCGCTCCAGCAGGAACCATCCAGTCCATCATTACGCTTTCATCTCCACACAATCGCCCCCCTGTGCCATTGAGCATGCATATCGATGCGTTATATACCCACGTCAACAGGATCTGGTCAAACAGTATCAATACTATATCTATTCAAAACACAACTGTGGTTTCAATTGCAAGCGGGAGAAAAGACACGGTTTTAAACTCGGAACTGACTCATATCAAAGGAATTGTTGATCCTTCAAGAGGGTTTGGCGTATATGCTACTGCTATGCCAAATGTCTGGGCTACATTTGATCATGAAGGGGCTCTATGGTGCAACCAGCTTATTGAAAAAATAGCAGATGCAATGTTTGACTTGCATGACTGGAATGACTCTTACAGTCTGTTGGATGTAGATCGTCGAATGTCAATACTAAAAACTGCGTTTTTAAACACTCCGAAACTGCATAATGGTTGGTAGATTGGTATATAACTGAGTGCAGATCTTATGGACATGATTAATCTAATTTGTATACCTTGTCTACGTTATATGCTTGGTATATTCAAGCAATTCTAACCCCCATGAAACAGAAACGCTTAGAGATCAGTAGCACCACATTTACCAATAACAGCATTCTCAGCATTCCCGATTTGGCAGATGATGCCGTTAAAACCCATACATTCTCAATCAGTGCAAATTCAGCCAAGAAACGCATGTTTCGTTTAGTCACTAGCAGCTGCTCGCTCAATATAAACAATGATTCACTTTTGGATCAAACAGCGTCCACTCCAATCGATATACTTGCAGCTTCACTACAGTCCGTCACTGATGAGCTGCCAGTCTATTACAATCTACGTCAATCTCTGGCAAGACAGATTCCTCAATCCACTACAGAACCCTTTAAACTTATGTTTCGAAGATTATCCGATTTGAGAGAGGACGGGAGACCTTGCTGGACTATGATAGAAGTCAACACAAACGAAGTGTTTGGGCCTCAAAATAATGTTAATATACTTTTAAAGAAACACAGTGACTCGACTGGATTTGTCGAAGCTAATTTTGATGATTTTGATGAACCTCATAGCGTGGCTATATCTACTTTTGGTAAATATGCATTGTAACATATTTAAAGCGTCATTGCGCTTGAATTCGATCATTGTATGTGCTGACATGACTTGCTAGATTTGATTTTTGGAACAACAGTTACTTTAGATACGTCTGCAGTTGTTTCGCACTTTGTGTTTCCAAGAATCAAGGACAATCATCTCAAGTATCTTGTGAAAATAACGCCCCAGTGTGGTAAGTTTAAATTTGTTTTGAAATGCATGATTCTCTAAAAGTATATGCGGCTATATAGTATGAATATTTACACTTTTTGCGTATACAGATGAACATCCAACTTTCCCACCCTTTGTAGAGTATGGTGCACCGCCTTCAAACGATTTTAAATTTGTTTCGAATATTTCAGACACAATTTTATCATGGTACCATAGTCCAAGCGATCTAGACTTTAAATCTGGGTTGAAAATGGCACTGGCGTCTCCATTATCGTGCAAGACATCCGTCATTCGGATAAAAATTCATTGGATAGCGAGTTTGGGACTGCTGATTGGCGACTTTATCACTTTTTTGCCTGCCATGATTGTTGCGAGTATGTTGTTATACTCGTCACCCTATTTTTATAGCCTAAATGATCAAAGTATGTATGAAAAGCGTATCATTGTGCATGTATTTTACTTGATGATACTGTCATGCCAAGTCTAAATATTTGTTAATATCTGACTACTTTATTTCCAGAGCGAATACTTTCATTACAAAGTTCAATGGATCGACTATTTATGCCAACGTATTTATTTCTATTTGCTTTGGATCTGATTTACCCTTACATTACAATCACATTGAATCCTTCAACCATCTTTTTGGGCCATCGTGATCTAGCCAATCCTTTTGGTTTACATTTTTGGTTTTCTGTATCAACAAGTATTATATATGTTACGCACTTGCTGCTTGAGTTTTTTACATGGGGACTAGGACAAGTGGCTGGCTCCCTGTTGAGCGTAATGTTTAGTTTACGACTTGGTATTGCTGGATGGGTGCCTGTTGGTATTGCCGTGATATTTTTTCCATGGCATACGGTTCATTTGCTCTGTTTTACTTATTTGTTTTTGCATGCATCGTACCAATCCAAATATCGACGTTTTCAGGTAAATTTTACAACGATACCACAATGCATTGCAAATCATTTTATGATGTAATTGAATGTCTATGTTTATTGACTCCCAGTGGATGATATAGGATGATGTTGCTGCTTCGCAGACTGTGCTGATGCTATCAGCAATGCTGATTCCGTTTAGCGTGTTGTCTTTGTCTGCTGTAGGTGTATTTACATCACCACATGCGACAATCAGACATGGCGGATGGATAGAATGGATTGCACTAAGTTCCATGAGCAGAGTGGTTGGTTCATGTCTTCAACTGGTGCTTGCTTTTGGACATTCTTTTCGACTGTGGCCATTTTGGACAACTCGAATGTAAGTATAAACACGTTATACTCATGGATACTTGAACACCTTTATTGATCATGTTGAATCCATTTCTGAAACTTTAGTAATGAGCCCAACTCACGTAAAACAACGCTTATAATCTATCTATTGGCGAGTGTTTGCATTGCTTATGGATATTGGTCTCCATTTGTTGCATCAGATGTGGTGTTTACTGCATTGATGCTGTTTGTCACTCTGTCCAATATACTCAAATTTTCCAGAAAAAAGGGCACCAAAGTAGCCGACTCGTTCAAGATGCATAAATCCCCTACTATATCGGATTAGTTTTTAGTAATAACATCGTATATGATCAAGAAATTTGACTATAGCTTTGTAAATGTAACCCACTGCGTTTGAGAATGAGAAACACGAGTTATGCTGACAAGATGAGATGTTTTGTTATATTTACAGTCGTATTCACGTAAAATGACACTTTTCTGTATTGATCTTGGACTGATTGTCTTGGAATAAACAATCGTTACATATTCGTTGTTGGAAATGGATTATTTGTTTTATTGAAATTGTATCTTAATATCAGATACGTTCTAGTCCAAGAAAACATTTCGGGAATACAATTGTTGTTTCCATTCCAGTTATCCAGTGTTTGGAGGTTGAAAAGATATCAAAGGTGTGTTGGAACAGAAATGTGAATATTTGTTTTGTATTCAAAGTAAACTTTGGATTATTTCACAATGAATCAGGCAGAATATATGACTATTTTTTGACAGTTTATTAATAAAACGAACTGGAAACAACGCATACAAATTAGACGAGCGATCGAACTTGAAAGTTTGTCGAGCACTAGTTTTCAGTCAAGATACGAGTATTCAATAATGACTAAATTCAAATTATTTAACAATTGTCGGACAACTTGGTCAAGCGTGACTGCCAACCAAATGCAGAATCGGACATGCAAAATTCTTACTGCAAGTTGTGCGATTGCTGAAGGATTGAACAGGTTGACGAGTAGTGTCAATCTGATGGAATTTCATTCAAAAGAAAGACTGATTAGACCCTGGCTGTCTGGATTCTTGGTAACTGAACTTAAAACTCTCCATCAGCAACTTTCTACTTGTGCTGCTGCATCCCAATCACATAGACTGGATTCTGCACTTGGAAATAATCATCATCACAATGCATCAATCCAGTCAAGACTGGATACTTTACATACATTATCCGAGTGGTCAGACTGCAAAAACAATGTTCAGATTGTGAATGTAATGTGCATTGATGTTCTGATTATTGTCTGGATTCATTCACATGCATTGGAAACTGATGATCAATCATCGAATTCTAACACATTTCGAGTGTTATGTAGATTATATCTTGTCCTTCTCAGAATAATTCAAATGCTGCACATTGTTTGGAAATAGCCGATCAAGGTGTTACGATTCAAGCGAGTTTATCAGAAAACTTGATTGCCAGGTACGCTTGTCAAGCTTGATCATTGTTTTAGCCATTCAATACATCATCAATTGATATACTCAGTATCACTGACTCGACACTCTTAATAATGGTATTAAATACTGTTTACCAGATATCAGGACACATATGGACCAGAGTTTTTACTTCAATTTAGAGGAGGTTTATCGACGCTACGTCGATATAAACTACAGTTTACTATGAAACATCTACATATTATTCCATCCATCTATATCGATGATTGGATTATAATAGGCTCAGAAGGATCTCCACCCATGTTTACAAACACAATCTCTCCTTCCAATCATCCAGATATCAAGATCTTGCTTAATGTATTATCTCAACTGTATGTGTCAAATGATTAGTCGAATTCGTGGTATATTTGCTATCCGTTTTATTCAACTGTTATTTAAACGCTAATATCCTATCAATTAGTATCACCGAGTCGTCTTCAACTCGGCTTTCCACCAAACTCTGCAAGAGTGCATCTACTCCATTGGTCACTGTAAGCGAAAAATCTGTGTCTTGTTTGGATTCGTCTAGAAAATCGTCTTCTCAATCAGAGTCTATTAAAAGCAGTGGATCGAACGTGCCTATGCAGCCAAAGCAGACACAGTCCAAGCTGTTGCCTGTTGTTGCGGCTTTTAAATCTTTAAAAGAAATAGCAAATGATCCAGAATCTGTGGATCTTTGTAAGCATCCACAGCAACATGCACAAGGTTTGATAAATACAACATCGCTTCCAGTAACCAGCATTCCGCAGTTGTTTGAACTGTCTGATCAAGATATTGGCATTTCATCGGATCAAGGGCTTCTTATAGATGCCATTGAACCAAAAAACTACCCAATGCCAGTATCTGAACAAACTCTGTTGCTTGCATTGAGTGGAGCAAACATAAAAGCCGATTCGACCGTTTCCGCGTTAAACATGCTATGTTTTATAGCTGAAGAATGCCAAAATGATACTGGATTTACTAAATCGCAGTTACTCTCTCACCACACATCTGCACAGCCGATCGGACCATCAAATCATCATCAGAACTGCTTTCAATCACAAAGTGCATTACAGTCTCCAGACATAATGTCAAGTGATGGCCCTAATAGCGTGAACAATGTCAAGTCTGCATTACACACTCGACCACTCACTTCATCTATCCAATTACATAAAGGTATTCAACCGCCATGTGTTGACCATGCAGTCGCATCTACTTCTACAGTCGAATGTCATGATTACGAATCTGATACGACTAAAAGTCGTCCTGACACCAAATCAACACCATTAGTTTCTTTTAATCGACTTGTGGATAGTGTTTCAATTGACGAAAATGACGATTTAGGATTTGAGATTACTGATCTTCCAATGGAGTTATACAGCGGTTCTGATGGATCTAGCATTGGTGTTTCTGCAGAACCCTTGTCCCAGAATACTGTAAAACCATCTTTGATCAAGAATCAATTCCCTGATCGCCATATACTTGATCCTACTTCTAGTCTGACTGGCACACCTGTAACATCGCTTAAAGTTGAAACCGATTTGGCCGCGACTACTGTCAGTGATAGCGAAAAGGAGTTGGCATCTAGGAACGTAAATGAGCTGTCCTTGGAGACCTCCGAGGACAAATCATTTGATCATGACCAAGATATTACAATGACTGATTCTCTGTTGGACAAGCATATAGACACATCTGTAGTGACTGACAAGGCGTTGCTGATTAACAACAAAATGCAAAACACACTGCGATCTCTGGATGAGGATAAGGGATCTGTATCCAACTCCGTGTCAACTACCACATCCATGCTTAAAAATGGAGTTGATATTTTATCAAACAAAACTCATGTATCATCTTGTGCATCATACATTAGTTTGAGCCAGCCCATGCCATCAGCAGTAAAATTATGCTCAACACCAAAAATGTCAAGCAGTCAAGACAATACTCTACTCAATCCTGCATTTTCTGTTCAGATGCTAAAGGACACGTCAAATCTAAAGCCTATAAAAAGGTCTACATCATTGCCCATGCACACACACCTCATAGTCGAAAAGATTCAAACTATGCCTTTAACAACATTTCAAACCTCTCAATCTGGCACCGTTGCACTTGTATCTGAAACCCAAGCATGCTCTGAAGCAATTTCTGTTGCTAAAAGCCCTAGCACTGTAGTTGATGAAACTGCGCAAAGTAAATATGCATTGAATATGTTGTCAATGGATGTCGAAAATTTGGCCGAGATTCGTCATGTTTCAAATGATTTTCAAACTCCAACGTCTATAACCGATACAATCAAAACTGGCATTGCCCAAAACTTTAAAACAATCGAGGCAGGATTGTCAGAAAGTACCTCACTGCAGCCAGATACCTGCAAGCTGCCATCATCCCCCATACAATCAAGTATAATCCAGCCAGAAAGCAAACTATCTTATTTAACTGATTCTATGGATTGCATGAGTTCTTTGATTAGCACCGAAACAGTCGGAAATATGGCATCCAACACTGCTTGCGTGCATCTACCAACGAGTTTAACAAATGATTTGCACGATTCGTTCAATACTCAAAATAGCCACATTTCACCAAATCGTGTTGTTTCACCAAACAAGCATGGTGACACTATGTATCGTGACGGTAACCACGGTTTCTTTGATGTAAATGATATTTCCAATGTCATGGGTGATGATGATGACGACTATATATTTCATTCGCCTGGAATGAAAGAGCCTCAAAAGCACCATCCTGATAGTTTAGCCTGCAGTAAGACGGATCATGCTGATGATTATAATGTCGAAGATGGCGTTGTCGTAACGGATTATGATTTATGCAGCATCAGACTAGATAGTCCAGCAACGAAAGAGTTTTCTGATACAGTCAAAGTCACAATCGATAGACATAGTAATAGTGATGATGAGAGATCGATCGTCGACTATTCGGAATCCAACAAAATTTCGGAAAAATATGACAATGAGCCGCTGACTATTAATGCCATGATGTCTACTATAAGTGATGATTCTAGTAGTTCTACTTCTCGTGAAAGCTACTCTGACAAAAATGACAAAAAATCATGTGTTGATGATATTTCCAACTCTTGGAACTCTCCACTATCACCGGATCTTGCTCAATCTCAATCTTCTAGGAAATCCACCGAGTCGAGCCACAATGCTACAGCAGTTTACACACCTTCCAGTGATGTTTGCTCCATTGAAGCAGAGTTATTATCACAGTCTTTGGACAGCAACGAATTAGTTGACTCGGACAATGAAGAAATGAGTGAAAAAGATGCTTTTGAATCGGACAAATTAGCCCGAGCAGCAATGCAAGATATCACTCCTTTGATTTCGAAAACTGCGTGTTCTGTCAAGGTAAATCAAGTTTCTGACAAGCGTGTGCCTTTGAAAAGTATGCGTGGTACTCTCAATACAATAAGACGGCATTCTGCAGGTGCATCTGGGCCAATGCTGACACAGTATGTGAAACCGATTGATTGTCACAAACTGATACCTGCAAGTGGAATACCTAAACCTAAAGTTCCTTTACCCAAAGTACTTGCCAATCACCCAGTGCTGGGATCAAATTCGAATTTGGAAAAATTGCGTCAACAGCTTCGATCTTCTAAAGGTGAGTGTATGCAGTATTGATTAAGTTGAATAGTGATTTCAAGTACTGATTTTAAAATGGATGTTAGGTCCTTCTATCCGTGATCGATTAATTACGAGTTACTCGAAAGCCGCATCTTCCTCACCTTCATCTGTTACTGGTGCATCATTAATCAAGAATATTGCGTTTACAACTCAAATTGATGGTCAAAACAATACTCGACGCATCCAAAAAATAGCTGACGCAGTGGTTGCACCCGCTGCAGAATCTGCGCAAAATGTAGCCTCGTCCTTGACTCATGCATCGACTGTGAAATCTATCAAATCGGCAACTACTTTAAGGAGATCTGTAGCTAAACGTTCAACCAAAAATTTCAAGACCACATCGCTTATGCATGACTCGAGTCCATCTCAATCTCCTTTTGCTGGACCATCTGCCTCTGGTTTCAAACGACGACTATCTGAAAATACGCCAACCATCAACTCGTCACAATCTATTGCTTATTCAATGCGATACTCGCATTTACGACGACAGACTTCACCTATAGCTGGATCTGGATCTGCACTTGGCACTACTCCAACTAGAAATATAAAGCAAACTGGTTTATCAAGTATGACTTGTAGCATGAAAGATAAGGATCGATCTACAAGACCCACAAAGACATTAAAAACCTCACGTTCAGGTTGATGAACACAGACTAGCAGTCAATCAATTTAAGCCCATTGATTTACACAATGTCACTATTGTCATGTTTGAATAGGAGTAGAATGAGAAAACTTTCAAGAGTATAATATATAATTTGTCTGGCTTTAGATGCCGTTTCATTATTTAGGCAAGATTGAATCTTGCGACAAAGTTTTAAACAGTGTGGAATGAACCAAAGGTGCAACAGAGTCGTGTAAAGCTACTTGTTCGATTGAATCAAATGGCTCTAAAACAAAACGAGCTACATGAGCCTTATTCTCAGGTCGTCCAACACCCACGCGTAATCTCAAAAACGCATCTGAAGCCATCGAACTCATGACAGATTTTATGCCATTATGACCACTAAACACAACATCAACGATTCAAACGTGAGTGAAATATTCAGGTTTGAGGATTGATCGTCTTGACCACTTACTTTGCACTTCCACCGGTTTTGAGAGATATTGTACCAAACTTTCGATCAATATCGTCATGAATAATAATGCAATCACTTGGTTTCAAGTGCAATTTCTTTACTGGGTATAAGCAGTTTAATTATTTCCGAATCAGTCATACGATATATTCCGACATTACAACCATCAAGAAACTCAACTGGCTTTGAGCACACTTATACCGCTGATATTCATGAGTGCTGCTGGCTTCAATAAAGTGATGGTTCGTTTCCATGGATCATCAGTATGTGTATCTGCTGGATTGGACTGTATCGGGGAATGTATGGTTCTATGTGTATTAGACATTGGAGAAACTGGAGTTGACGATCGTTGTGACGGAGTTGAAGGTTTTTTACGAGATGCATTCGTAGTCTGTAAGCATCGAGCAACCCAAGGCATAGTAGAATCAATCTGTATTTCAGCAGTCCATCCACCCATTGATCGATCTGTCTTCCATTGCAAAGACGGTTTACCAAAATGTGATAGCAGCTGATCCAAGAGAATCATTCCTACAGAGTGTCGGGTTGTTGGATAGGTAAAGTTTCCCAATCCAACCACCTGTCATTGCAGCGATTGAATCAATAGTTAGCTGGATGGTTCACACTGATGACTTGAATATCAACTATTCTGACTTGCCAATACAGGAGATAGTTGTTTATACTGCAACTCGGTAGTTACAGATGGAATAGTAGAATAACTAGCAGTGGAGAATGGCTGGCAAAGCGATCTGCATGCTCTATATAGTGTAGCACTTGAATGTGCAGTCATATGGAATTGAATGTTAAAATTTGGATTAATTCTTATTCATGTAAAATGAATCATCAAAGTCAAATCCAATGTCTGGATTGCTGTAAATCTGGCAATTGTAAAATGTAGTTATGATGTGAATAGAAAAAACAAATTCAAAATTATAGTTTGTGAATCATGTCCAGTTGTATTAATGCAAAGGCTAATATTAAAAATTAGTCTAAATAAGCCATTCCAATCAATCTTGGGTATGTGATACCAATCAAATCATTTTCGACGAGCATCCAACAAGGATTTAATTCAGCCAAGATTGATGAATCGCTTGCTCAACATCAAAACTGCTTTAAACCCAAAAATGTCATTTCAAGCAACAGGTTTAAAATGTGTATGAAAGGAGTTCAAGTCAATCACCACACATGACTGTTTAAAGTGAGTTCCTGTTCAAACCAAACGATATTACACGGTGTTCATTATATACTATTCATGCCATTCAAATATGCGAGTTTGCTGACAAGGTTCAACACGTGGTAATAGTTTAATAGATGTTACTGTATGCACGCAGTACTTTATAGTAAGAGTAAAATATATAGTTATGCTCCAATGTATCTGTACAGCTTGACCACACAATTGTCTCGATAAACCATTACAAGCGTAAACTCGGAATAATATTGCCACATGGCCCATTTAGCAATCATTCCATTTAGTATTATCGCTAGAATATTTGAAAATTCCAATATTAATATTGATTGAAACTATCGATGCGTTGCAGACGACTTGCGTGTATGTGTTGTCGACATGATTTCTTGAATATTGGTTTCCAGCACCTAACAATCATATTTTCAACAAGTTTAAAATACTGGAGAATGTTTAAATATTCTCGTGAAAACAAACTTTGTCAAGTCAGATATTTACCAATCCACCTGATATGACTTCACCAAGAATCTGGGATACATCCTCTGGTCTAAAAATCTAATCGTTCATATCAGTTAGTATCACAAAATTGAAGAGTCATCAAAGTTTTCAATACAACCCAATATAGCTTACCAGATCCAATTCGCACACATTGACAAACGTTCTATCCAAAGCTTCAACAAACACCTACACAATCAAGAATAGATGCACTGTCATTTTAATGTGCTTGCATAATGTCCAGACATACTTGAATGTAATAGATAGTGTACCTGAATCAAATCCAAAATTCCTACAAAAATAATTCATATCTGTTAATAAAAACCTGCCAGGAAACTCGGTTTTACAACACTTGACAAACGAGTTTACCTAGTTCGCTCTCTGATGCATCTGCAACAAATACAAAATAAAGTGCTACAGAGATTGTTTCATATCACAACTATCAGCAATGAAAATAAAAGCACCAGCCGTCATCTCGTTGGAAAAATACACATACTTGCATAATGCTACATCAAAAATACAAAGTGCTGAATGAATACAAGCTATTTATATTTAAAAATAGGGATCCATCTAGCAACGATAAGCTTACTCTGTATATAATGCGAACATCCTCGCCTAGCAACGCACCACCGCTTAGAAAGTTGCATACAGTGTTTGGACTAATACATAATATTTGCAAACCAGTCAATCTAATCAACAAGATCCAAGACATGACATTTTACAATGCAATCTATGATTCAAATCCTAATAAATCTTACCGCTTGTGTACTAGTCTATGAACTTCTTTAAGAAGACATTGCTGTCGACCAATATCCTATAATCATTTTTTCAAATTAAAGTTGGTCATCCAAGTGCATTCATCGATATTCTAGGCGGATGCAAAGATATGTACAGGCCAATTGGTGTTGCAGTGGTCCGTGTGAATCAATGGCATTCAAGAATAATCAAACCACACACCATCTGTTGATACCAGTTCATTAGTCTGGGCTTGCCTTGATTATTGAATATAAGTACTGCCTTGATCATGATAATCCAGTCACGCAGATTCGATGCGTTGGATTGTTAAACTCGTAAAAGTGAAATTTAATCACTCATCACGTGATTAACATTGAGAATATTAGCTTTAGGTTGGCAGTTGGCTGATTTGGTGGTTTTAAACCAAATTCTCATCAGAAAACATTGAAATGACATTCAAAGGATCTCCGTTTGATGCACAAATAGTAAACGACAGGTAATGTGACAATTGTCTTGCATCCACCAGTGTTTGTCCATCGATTCCATCAGTCTAGTCGCGACTGAAATAACTCGATTACGAATTGCATTTTACTAAAATATAATAGGATCGAAGGAGATGGAATGTACACTTTTCCAGATGGAAATGTCTACGCTGGACAATTCAAAGATGGCCAGTATGTATACTCGATTAAACTGCAACATCATATTTCTCAAGCTGAAAAAACAGTTTGCTACTTGCTATGAATTATATCGACTACAAACCCATTGTGTAGGTTTCATGGATCAGGAACCATTTATTTTTGTAATGGTGGAAAGCTGAGTGCAACCTGGACATACGGTGTTGCGTCCAATGTAAGAACATTGACTGATTTCAAATGCATCATCACAATTGAACTTGATGAATAACTGTCGTATTGTTCAGACTCAATACACGTTTGCAGATGGATTAGTCTATGCCACACAGGATTGGACATATTGCACTAGCCAAGATCGCCGGTTTTACTCGGAGCGAGTAAATGGATTCATTCCAGGACATCCACAATTAAGCAATGATCCAAACGAAAAACTAGTTTTACCAATCATGACAAAAGATAAAGGGTATTGTTACTATGCAAAATCGGATGGAATGATTCATCCATTTGATTGCAAAAGTCAAGGCAGGAGTCCTGATGATAGCGAAATGCAGTGGATATCAGCCAGAATATTGACATGATTGGGTTGAGTCGAGTAGATTGAGACTTGAAATAAATGATGGTCAACTTCAAATAAAAATGACGAGCAAATCGACAGATTCGAGTATCCATAAATTGTTGGACTTGGAAACTCTTCAAGCACAAATAATAAATGTACGGATCATCGTCTAGCCAAAAACATGTCCGTAGTCTCAAGGATATGGACAATAACAGGAATAAAGACACGGACACTCTGCAATCCTCCAGCCATCCTCATCTCTCTGCCACCAGTCCAATTCCTCTCAGTCGAGAACTTCTTGGTCAATTCCAGGTTGCCAAAGTCTTCAAAGACAACTCTCGCCATATCACATCTATTGACTTTGATGCTGATGGATACAGCTGTGTTACTGCTTCTGAGGATGAATCAATTCGGATATATGATGTGCGCAGTGGAAAGTAAATACTGTTTCTTGGATGACTTTATCATGTCGACAATTCATTCGCTACTCGGATTAATGTTTCGAGTATTTCAATAGGAGCCGTAATTGTATATACAGTAAAAAATACGGATGTGCTTTGGCTCGATTCACTCATCGATCAACCAATATTATTTATGCTTCTACAAAAGAAGACGGTGAGTCGTAGATGGCATCACTATTGGATCTTTCAACATCAACTATCCTGACCAAGTATTGACTGTTCACCTTGTATGATTGGAGTTATTAGACGCACTGAGGTACATGTCACTGCATGATAATAAATACCTTCGCTATTACAAAGGGCACAAAAAGCGGTAGGATTGATGTTGTAAAGCCTTTTAGGCATAGATCCATAACATACAAATCCATCCAACTCATCATTTTGTAGTGTCGTGTCGCTTGTCATGTCGCCACAAGATGATAGTGTTCTTTCTGCAAGTCTCGATGACACGGTCCGGTTCTGGGATTTACGATCTCCAAACTGCCAGGTAACACTTTGATGTGTAATACGCAGCGTTTGCTGCATTGTCGAGACTGATGGTCATCAGCTAATCAATGGACATTCCACCTGCTCAACTATTACAGGGACTCATGCACACTGACGGAGGTCAACCGTGCTTGGCATTTGATCAAGGTGGATTCATCTTTGCAGTTGGACTTGGTTCTTGTAAAATTCTCCTTTACGATATCAAAGAATACAACAAGGTATTTTTGATTCGCGTTATGCTAATCCGCCTGTTATGTATAGGACTGGTCTATTTTGCTCATCTGTATTGGTATGTAGGGACCATTTGCTACTTTTCCCATAAAAGATCCAATTACTTTAGATTTTGCTGCAGAATGGACACACATGTCATTTTCAAATGATGGAAAATTGATTCTCATCTCAACCACATCTAATGTCATGTACATTGTTGATGCATTCAATGGAGGAATTAAGCACCGACTTACGGGTCATATGAATCAGATGGGCATGGCATTTGAAGCATGCTTCACACCAGATGCGGAGTTTGTAATCGGAGGTACTATTTGTATAGTCAGGATGCTGCATAGATCTGATTCAACGTGGAAACCTTTTATTAATTTATATCACTGTGATTTGACTCGATAGGATCACAAGATGGAAAAATACACTATTGGGAAGTCGAAACTGGAAACCATATTCATGCCTTGGAATGGCATCACGAGCCACCAAAAGTTGTTGCATTTAATCCAAAACATCTCATGTTTGCAAGTGCCGACACAAATCTAGTAAGTTTCAATGGTTTAGTGGGGTTTTATTTAGTTTGTGAATAGATCTGATTTGTTTTGCATGACTTGGACTGCTATCTATTTTACAGGCTTTTTGGATTCCATCAATGTAAACGGATACTCGATGACTTTCAGTGCATATTTTTAAACGTGTTGGGTTTTGGCTGCAATAAATACCATTATTTAGCATTTACTTCATTTGAGATTTGAACTGTAGGACATATATAGCAATGTGTAATTTGACAGCTGAAATCTTGTTTTTGTTCATGCAAGTTTGGTATCTCATTTTCAGAAACAATGTTTTCGACGTTCCTTGACCATCATTCATTTGTAAATGCGTTGTGGTCCGAGATTTGGGTATTGATTCAAATGATAGATATTGAGGATTCCATGCTGGTATTTTGACTTTATTGCAACACTATGTTCACACTGGATGGATTCGTGAGTGGAAATGTTAAATCCATGATTATCCATTCATCTTAGGTTTGTAGAATTCGTCAAGAATTGATTGTGCTGATGTTCCATGTAATTGGGTCAATACTAACAGGTTTATTAGTCGATCCTGCATGACAATTCTCAGTCTGAACACCACATTGTCTCTACAATACAAGTGCATTCATCAGTTTACTCAGTGCAATGATTGCATAATTGTTTTCAAAACAACATTTGTAGGTCAATCCGATACACTCCATCATTAGACGAGTGTAATACGTTTATCATGTCGCGTAGTTTATCTGAACTGCATAACTAACCACCCAATGCATAACTTCATATTGCTAATGGTGTTTTGTTAGATTCATTAACCACCATACTTCAATCATCATCAATCACAATGGATTATATGCATTAGAATTAGTTTTCGAGTCCATACGCTTTTCTGATAGCAAAATTAACATTAAGCAAAGCTTTGCCAGTGATGAAAGCTTTTGTGCCCGGTTTTATAACAGAATCCACCCAAAATAGATGTTTTATTAGACATTTGCCCAAACTGTTTTATTCAAGCATTTTTGCTGTATATACCTAGCCAGTCAGCATTGGTTTCGTTCGTAATTTATTTCGATTCGTTTATTATACTCTATTTATATATTGAATCCATGCGACTGATACCATTCACGAGCGATGCGGTACTTATTTCGACTGTCCTTGCAGGTATTCGTCGCGCAGGAAACTTTGAGTATCCGCTTCATCGTATCAACAGTACAACATTACGATGGCTGACCCATCAGTTTCTATTTGTTGGAGAACTGTGTTTGGATCTAGCGGTTGAAATTGCTCGCCATCATCCAAAATTGTTTCCACCTAGGGATAGCAACCAAGTGGGGATGAATGAACAGTTGAATGCTTTGGACATGGGTGCGAGTCAACAACAAGGACTGGGAATGCATGAAAAAAGTACGGCCGTGCTGTTACACATGCAACAACTTCAACTTCAACAGCAGCAACATCAGATAGAATTGCTTCAGCAACGACAGGTGAATGAGCAGTCATCACAACTGCATCCATCTATCCAGTTTCAACGCGTTGTACGACCAGGACATGTGCTTGCAGCAGCTCAACCACTAACGCATGTAGAAGGTGAATTGGATATGGAAACTAGATACTATGAGCCCAAGATAGTTGTCTTACCTTTAAAATCTACACGGGATCACAAACGCAATCTTACAGCAGATGGTTTTACATACTTACATCAAAACATAGACGAACACTCCAACCCTAACCAACATATTCATGAACACGCATGGAGTGATGAAGATCGTAGAAATTTAAACGTGTATTGCGATGATGGCGATTACAATGGAAGTGAGGTGGGTGGTAGCCATCGTGGCAGACGCAGACAGATGATTCAAGATACACGCAGTAAACAAGAGTTGGCAACAGAATCTATCATGATGGGGCTGCATAGTAATGATCACCATACATCCATTCCAATGAGCTTGAACCCACCGCATTATCGGTCACAGTCGCAAACTAGATCCAGTAGACCAGCAATGCAGATGCATTACGCAAAACTACAGTATGCGCACGCAAGACAAACCAATGAAAATGAATTAAAGTGATGTCAATATCAAACAAGTATTTATGATGATAGGTTTGGACTAGTTTATTAGTATGATGCTCTGTCAAATGGTGACTCAATTCACGTAAATGGAATACTAAACAGGAGTGTTTGCAGAATAAACCTTCAATCTCGTCGACTGCTTAACAAAGTTTAGTGGTGAATCGCATGTAAGCAGCAATTGCATGACTGAAATTGCACTATTTCTCTAGAACGTGAATGGATCTGAAATTTTAAGATACAAGAATATTGAGCACTTGAACTCGATATCTGAATTGCAATGGATGAATGTGGTGACCATACAGTGTATGACAGTAAAAACAGAACAATTCGAGTTCAAAACTATAGCTTTTACACTATATGATGAATATTGTATGAAGCAATAACTGGAATGCAAGTTTTATTTTGCGTGAATTTGGCTGTAAAGCTTTTATAGTCAAGATTGCATTTTCCACAACAAATTGTTGTGCAGACTGAGATTTAAACACTCTTGCTGATTACACCAAATGGATCATACCAAAACTTTACTGAAAGATGCTCATGTCAAGTATATTGTTGGTCTAGACAAGGCAAGCAGTATTGCATTTATTGCTATCAGCTAGATTTTACTGAAGAACCACTTGAATGTCGTGAGCATGTGTAAAACATGAGCCGACACTGGTGAATAGATTTGTAAATGACTATTATGGATATGGTTTTGACTTGCTGGATTATATTCGATTAGAAACGGGATAGTCTGGAATACTGGCTCACCAGTCACTTGCGTTTGAATGGTAACTACCATTGATTTCCAAGCCATCACATTTTATTAGTTGCTACTTTATAGCATTGAATGACAGTTTATATTCAGGAATATACTGGGGAACGACTGCATTGGCTATACTTGGGGAAATGGATGCACTGGACAAAAACCAAGTGATTTCTCAAGTACTCGAGTGCCGTCATAGCAATGGTGGATATGGCGGACATCCAGGACATGATCCTCACTTGCTTTTCACTCTTAGTGCTATTCAGATTCTAGCAACATTTGACGCTCTTGACAAAGTAGATACGCTTACAACTTGCAAATGTAATTCAACGTGTTTGATATCTATGCTGAATCTGTACCATCCGCCCTATCTAAATCCAAGTGGCTGATGCATACTCTTATCCAATCGTTTAATATGGTAGATATTCAATCTTTACAGCTTCCAGATGGATCATTCTCTGGTGATGCCTGGGGAGAAGTCGATACGAGATTTATTTATTGCGCGATTTCATGCTTGTCAATCTTGAAGCAGCTTGATATGGTGGACACAAAAAAAGCCATAGAATATCTCAGCGCATGCCAAAATTTCGATGGTGGATTTGGTAGTGTTCCAGGAGCAGAATCCCATGCAGGACAAAGTGAGCAGATTATTTTTTCCATTTACTGAGTTGAATCCGAGTTTGGAACAGCTGCTTTGAGATAGTGTCTTGTATGACTGATGATATGTGTAGTATTCTGTAGTGTCGGTGCGCTTGCAATTTTGGATGCGCTACATTTGGTAGATAGAGATAAACTAGGATGGTGGCTTGCTGAGCGACAACTAAAATGTGGTGGACTAAATGGAAGACCAGAAAAGCTTGAAGATGTTTGCTACTCGTGGTGGGTGTTGTCTTCGCTTGCAATTCTTGATCGGATTCATTGGATCAATGCTGATAAACTCGTCGAGTTTATTTTGAGTTCTCAGGTAAGTGAAACAAGGTTGGGTTATGCTGATCCATTGTTGATATTTGGCATTCACCAGCTGTATTTGGGATACTTTTGGTAGGATGAGGAGGGTGGGATCGCTGACCGACCTGGAGACAATCCCGATGTTTTCCATACTCTGTTTGGACTGTGCGGATTGTCCATGCTTGGCTATGGTAATTTAAACAAAGTTGATCCTCGGTACTGTATGCTCACCAGCACCATTGACGCATTATTTTCATCCCGTTAATAAAATCGTGTTTTGAAAAACTTTCATCTCAACATTGGTAGTTTGAGACTATAAACACCTCACTCGTTCCAGTAATCAAAACTAAATTCAAAAAAACTTGTATTTCAAAACGGATTAAAAAACAATCGCACTGACGAGTCGATCAGACTAGAGCAAAAGAGGAGACTTGAAATCCATTCAGCTCATACGAACCTCTCCTTCTTCCACCTCTTCTTCAATTATAATTTGTTTTTGTTTAGGCTTGCTGGGTGTTTTCACCTTTACCCCACCGCTGGGGCTTTTGATTTCTTTACGCTCAACGACTCGCTGCCCTTGACTCATTTCTATCACATCTGTTATCGTTGATGGCGCATATTCAGCGTTATCTCGGATATAGAAGCACATGTATCCGTTACTTTCCAATGCAACCCTTTGCGTCGTCATGGTGACCGTATGATCATCAAACATAAACCACTGATCTCGGCATTTAGCATATGCTTTGTAGTGTCCAGTATCAATTTTACCCTCGTGGTTTACAATGGCAAAAAGCGAGTATTTGTAGGTAGGATTTCCATCAGTGAGAGTATCGAATCCAGCAGTTCCTCGAAGTGATACACGTCGAGCAGTAGTGGAATCCTTTCGGCTATTTTTTAGTTTTGCTCGAAGCTTGACAGCCCGTGTTGTATGTGGAGTCATATCCAACTCAGACGGTACTCGAACAAACGTATCAATCTTGGTACTTGCTGTAGCTGTATGTTCAAACCGTTTCAGTTGGATAGCTAGCACTGGAGGCAAATGTTTCATGGAAAGCTGTTTCGTAGCCTCCTGGTGAGTATTAGCGCATGATGCACATGTATATTGGTTGGGACCAAGACGCTCTGGAATTGTAAAGCCTTCAAGACACTGGAGAAGAGAGTAGGGTTCAGCTATTTTGCTGCGGTGTTCGTTTGTATCTGGAAATGAATTCTTTTTGGTACCAAGATTTGCCTTTTTAGGTCCACTCAATTTCGTGTTTGATTTAATATCGAGAGAAATGTCAAGAATAGGATCCCATACAGTTGTTACGTTGCCGCACTTTTGACAAGTGACATCTGATTGCAATAGACCTCCAAAAACTTGATGAATGACACATTGACATTGGTGAGCTGAGCTGTGGGCGTGGGAATGTTGACCTATGTTATGTATTGTTTGTAAAATAAAATGTTATATATTGGTAATGTAGTGAATCAATCTGCATGCAGTATTCTTGTATTCAGTCAAGTACTGCAACTCACCAGAGCAACTATTATGGATCTCATTCAAAACCGAAATAAAAAATTCATGGGCATCTTGTTGCTGGTATCCAGCAAGATGCTTTTGTGACATCCACATGGCATATAAAAACGACGATGGACCATAAGGAGTTGTTTTTCCATTATAAAACTACACAAACCACGATACAATAAGCAGAGTGTAAATGTATAAAAACTCGATAATGCTCAATTATAAAACGTGTCAGACAACTTACTTGGCAAAACAAATCATCCATCTCACAGGAAAGACATGGCTGACTTTTTCGAGGACAAAATCGTCGATCATGTTTGTCACTCAAAAAATGTGCCCTCAGCAACGGATTATGAATAAATGTTTGCAGAATTGTATTCATAAAACATGTTGAGCCCATATTTCTCAGTCCTCGTAGTCCTACAACTCGTATAAACAAAATGAATGATTCCAAATCCAGAAATTGGTATGAAAATATTTAGTAAACCTTACCTGCACATTTTTGTAGAGTGGAAAATTCTTGAATCTGTTGTATTTCTGTGAGAGTTGGAGTCCATGGCTGATGAAAAATGCGACATTTGTTTGGTTCTAGATAGAGTCCATATTGACTGTAAGCAAAAAAGTGTATTGCAACAAGAATAGCTCTGTAACTTGATCGATAGGATAAACGTCATGGGTGTATAAAACTCACCCTTGATGCGAGAGATGATCATATTGATACGAGCCTGCTCAGCATGTAGGATACGTTCAATATCCAAATCATATACATAGTCGTTGCATTTTCTACAATATACGGTGCAATGTATAAAATCCATGGCTAACAGCATGACATCAGCGTCATTGGACTGTAAGTAAAATGACCAAACAGTAGGACCCACAAGATCAACAAAAAACAAGTATTGGTTACCAAACATATGGGCCTTTTCTTTTAAATGTTTATGGATATGAGATTCTTGCCAGCATCCGAGAAAGACGCATTGCAAACACGCATGAATTCGTGAAGACGACATGAATTCATCGCATGAGCAACAAGAAGGGGTAGGAAGCTAATATTGAAGGGTTTAAACCATGAACGAATCCCAAGATATGTATTGCACACAATAGCATTGGTTAGTTGTATAAAGACAAGAGTATATTCCATATCATTTGGCATGCTAGTTTTATCAAGATGGATGAATCTGTATTGACACGAATTCAGAAATAATACAACAATACCTTGTCAGCAACAGACACAATACGATCAATACCAACCGAGGCAACATTTCGTTTCCTTTTCTTGGCATTGCCAGGTGTTAGTGTATCTTGAGTAGCAGCATGAACATTGGAACCATCAGTAGGACGAGAGAGTGAATCAGCGATGCCAGTATCCGACACAGCGGCAGTAGTAGATCTTGCAGCAGTAGACATGGTAGAGTGTTTCTCAGACTTGACAGGACAGGTTTTACTAGCAGCGATCTCATCATCATCAACGGCAGTCAAATATTTGAACTCTCGGCCTTTTTTGTAGATGTGCATTTGAAATCGGTTTCTATAGGTGAGTGAATACCGCACACATGAAGCGTAAGACTCGAACAAAGCAGCAGCAGCAGCAGAGAGAGTTGCAGACTCTGGAGAGAGAAATGAATTCCTTTTGTTGGGAGTGTTGCTGGCATGTCCAAGACCAGCATTGCTCTGCGTAGATGCCTTCAACTCGGCCAGATGTTTGCATCCATGATGCTCCATGTCGTGAATAGTCCTGTGAATGCCAAAAGGCATGATAGCAAAAGTAGTGCTATGAGAAGTAGACGATGTTTTTGGACTAGCCATAGTGAATCCAATGTTGCTCTCACTACTGATGGTGGCAATACGGTTGCTGATTTTCCCAATTGAATTCGCTTGAATGCGATAATTCACATTCAACAAGGAAAGCAACCGACCGACTGGGTTGACACTCGAGCCTAAAGTTGTCCAACAAAATCAGGCGGATTGAATTTGTTTAAAGTCTTGAATCCATTCAGATATATCGAATCTGTCTTTATATTTGTTTAGATTCAGACTGTTTGGCACGCATGTAATCTTGTATTAACATTACTGATCAATCTCTTTATTGTGTAAAACTCATCATGATGATCCGTTTGTATGACTATTAGAGTTGGAAATGCTTCACACATTTTATACTGATGTTATTGGATTGGATTTGGTAGAGCAGTGAAATATAAAACATTCGACTTAAACTCTAATAGTAGAGTCAATACGATCAAGCCTATCTTTGCAAATTAAAATGCGAGGTATCCCGCCGATGGATTCATGACATCGCGTCGTATCATCTTCGATACTAGGTATATCGTGCGGTGTACGTTTTAGCCGATCAAGTGGGCTATTCTTCATCATAAACGACCCCAACAAAGCTCTGTCTGTCTCTCTATGTGTGTTGAATTGAATCTCACAGGCACATAGAATCTGACACAAAAATGCAATGTCCAAAAATATCATGGACTTGACTTCTTGTCCAATCGTAATAAGAATGGCAAACGCACTATTTTTTTGTAATGAAATGCATGTGTTAAATGTGTTTAAACTGCACAAGATATCAGAGCAACACAATCAAATGACATACATGTTGGAAACTGTGCAAATAGCCAAACAGATGATGGACTTTGTGATCATGCGAATGTAGCCTGCTGTTGAGCGACTAACGACTGCGCTGTTTTTGGTTGCTTTAAAAAGTGGAGCGCAAAAGTAGTAGGCCTAGATATGATTTAAACAGTATTGGAGTGTTATTGCTTGCGTATAAAATACACGAATGGATCCAGAAATACAATTTGATTTCAAAATTAGCCTACATGAACAGTATCATTTAGCGTCGCAAAAGATCCATAAAGAGTTCGTGGCCACCCAGGGGTAATCATGCATCTGTGTATACCAAAATAAAGGAAGACATGAGACATCATCAGCAAGTTGTCATGACTAAAATCAACAACTTACCCGTATTTAGGATGTTCAAAAACACTAGTAAAAGAATAATCAGCATCATTGCATAGACATGCCAGATGTCCAATAGTCATCAAGACTGATATAATGATTTGTGATTTTGGTTTTGTGCTAGAGATACACCAGGCACGATAGTACAGAACTGAGTTGAGAAGTAATGTACAAATTATCCATGTTGCGTAGATCAGTCGTATATGAACGCTGCAATTTAAAGACATCTGATTGAAAAACGTGGCTTGTAAAAACGCTTGAATGGATCCAAATATGAGAGATATGAGAAATACAAATGAAAGATTACTTCGATAGGCCCATTTAATTCCCTAATTGATCAAATATTGATTTTAGTTGGCATACTAAAAATTGCTTTTCACAGGTTTCAGCCAATCAATGGATTTTCTCGGACAGGAAATGATATAAGAGTTTAATCGTATTCACGTAGAATGAAATAATAGACTGAATAAATGTTTACATGTTTCGATAAATCCCATTCTATATTGGTTCAGTCCCCAATGCTCCTCTCATCCAAAACAAGCATGATGACATTGGGTGACTGTAATAGAAGCAACTGCTGCATTACTGAGACTGCAATCTTTGGGGTTTAAACTAGAACAGATTCAAAACATTTTAGGATACAGGAGTTTGATTGAAAACAGTCAAACCCAATACCTGGGGTGCAGTGGATGAATCTGGTCATTGCACAATGTATGGCTATGTAGAAAGTGGAGAATGAAATAATCTCGGATCAAGACTATAGTTTGATTTCATGATGGGTGTTGTGTATTGAACGAATCATTTGGTTCACTTGTAGTAGAAAGGCACAATAGATATTTAATCATTGATTATTTCAAAATAAAGTGACTGCAAGATGAATACAAGCTATATTACGTGAATAAAACGGTAAATTATGGTTTCGTACCTTGATCACCATGTATGTTGTAAGAGCACATCGAGAGTGAACCATCAGATAGACAACAAACACCTGAAGTGAAGTATTTTTTTCAGTAAGAGGCATTTAAAGGCTTTGATGATGAGTAATTGGTAATATGTGCGATTCCAACAGACAGGAACGTAATCGCAAGAAAATGACCTAAAAAATACTATTCGAGTACATTTTATGGTTTAATGTGATGGCTGTAAACTGTCGATACGGAAGCAAGAAGTGGAACAAAATCACCCAACGAGCTGAAATCTACAACAAATATACAAGCGGGGACGAAAAAGTCTGCAAAAACGAGATGCTTGCTCCCAATTGTACGGTCGGCATACCAAGAAAGGCTGTGTACAGACCGATTCGCATAAGCAATACCGTTTTTTCGCAGCTGATAAATGGCTCGGTAGAATTTTGGCATTTACAGCTTTTTGGTGTTATTTGAAGATACACCTCGCATAACGGATAAATCTAGAACACTAGGGGTATGATTTCAATGAAAGGATATCCACACCCAAATGATATTAACCTATAGCAAGCTAACCGCCTTGATATCGGACATATATCCAACAAAACATGATGGGCTTATTTGATTACGGTTGAAGATTCAAGAAACGGTCAAGCGAGGCTGTAGAAGCCAGCAAAGCAATACACCATCTGATCAACAATCTAGCCAACGATGCAGTCAGAAGATAGTGGAAATTAGATACCTGTTTGCTTGGTGATTGGAGTTGCTTTTAGTACGAATAGAATGAATCAACTTGATTTTATTGTGCTGTGTCGTGATCACATAAGCAGCAATTGTAATCTATTAAGCATTCGCTTCTATCCAAACTAGTCGAACCAATCAATGATTGCAAGATGAACGTGTCTTGCGACATAAAACTACTATTGATATCACTTGGAGCAGTTCAAACATTGTAATCAAATCAATCTGGTATCACACTCATAATAGTTCATTTCTGTTGATTCAGTAGAGCCAAAACACTGGATTGAAACAAGATGCCAACTAGGAAATGGGCATTAGACTCGTTAGCATGTCAAACCACCTTCAACAACTGCATGTTCGTCGGCTAGTTTGTTGATACGCTCTACGAAAAGAGTAAACGCAGCCTTTTGATCGTCAGTGGGAATCACACTTGATGGAACGTAGCTGCACCCCTGGTTTGGAGCTGGAGTGCACAGGAATTGGGATTGCAGCAGTAAGATTAGATCATGCAAGCGGATAAACAGAGTTAAATATAGGAGTTTGGATGCAGTCAACTCAACTGTTTCTCCATTGGAAGTTGGGAGCATCCACTATGATGGTAGTATCCATACGATACACATCTGAACCTCCTTTGGGCTCTTCCATAGGAAGCTCCTTGAATGCATTCACTGTTTGATCCACAAGAGACTTGACAGCATCACTATCATACATGACAGTATTAGCATTTATTCCAACATACAATAGGCTCAGATATGTCACCTAAGTGGGAACTTTGATGTGAGAGGATTCAAATAAAACTCGAGTGAATTGGACGGTTCTTCCATCATCCTGCTGAGGTAGTCAAGGGAATCAGTCACCATCTGTACACCCATCAAGATACATAACATACATGGACAGTTCTGGCTTGCTTTGATAAGACATGAGCTGGTTTCTCTTTGTTGCTCGCTCATCTTCCACACATCGCTCTACTTTGGCAACATTGTCTGCTGGGTTAAAAGTAATGGTGACTTTGCGTCTAAGACGAGCAGGCATGAATCCGCCTGTCACTCCTTCAAGCAGTTGAATAGTCACTAAAGACATGACTAGAGTAATGGTTAGTGACAATACGCCACTCCAAAGTCTATTGCTTAGTTGTTCACTTTCACTTTATTCCAAATTCATTTAAAATCATTTTGTAATCAACAGTCTGATTTCTAATAAAAAACAAATACTTGAAGTGTCCATCTTACAAACTATACTTTGGAATCAAAATTATTTACATTGTTTAGTCATGTATTGTACAATCACCAATATTGGGTTTGTCAAATTACAAGTTCTTGTATTCTAAAATATCAGATACGTTTGCGCTCTAGTTCAACATTCTCAGAAATACAACTGTTGTTTTCATGACAATCCAACTGTTTATTATGCATTTTAACACCCTTATCCAGTGTTTCATTTTACATGAACACGGCAGTAAGACTCGTACAAGATATTCTCGTTTTTATCATCATTTTTGAACATCTCGTCGAATTCGCTTTGCATTACCATATTGGCAAGGCTGATGTCTCTTGTCACGCTTTTTGTTGGTTCGATTAAAACTATATTCAGCCATACTGGTGGCTATAATGGCAGATATATCCACATCAATCTCGTTTAGATCAAACCGTTGAGACGAAACAGTATTTTTGACTGGCGTATGTGCCTTTTTTTGTGGTTTTCGAGCTTGTACTATTTTTCGAGTTGCGTTGATATCAACAAGTGTCATGGATTGAGTACTTTGAGCTGAGCTGTAATTCTTTGCGTTGTGTGGTTGATGTTGCACCGATTTTTGATTCAACTTGTTGCCTTTACCCGACGAAGGTTGATATTGCACCGATTTCTGATCCGAAACGTTGTTTTTATCCGACAAAGGTTGTTGTTGTTGCACCGATTTCTGATCTGGAGTATTGTTTTTACCCGACAAAGGCTGTTGTTGCACCGATTTCTGATTCGACTTTTTGCCTTTACCCGATTTCTGATTCGACTTTTTGCTTTTACCCGACAAAGATTGTTGTTGCACCGATTTCTGATTCAACTTTTTCCCTTTACCCGATTTTTGATTCGACTTTTTCCCTTTACCCGATGAAGGTTGTTGTTTCACCGGTTTCTGATTTGGGGTATTGTTTTTACCCGATGAAGGTTGTTGTTGCACCGGTTTCTGATTCGGAGCGTTGTTTTTATCCGACAAAGGTTGTTGTTGCAGTGGTTTCTGATTTGGGGTATTGTTTTTACCCGATGAAGGTTGTTGTTGCAGTGGTTTCTGATTTAGAACGTTGTTTTTATCCAATAAAGGTTGATGCTGCAGTGGTTTCTGATTTAGAGCGTTGTTTTTAAAGACTGATGGCTGCGATATCGGACCAGTAACGTTGTTAGTGTAATGTATTGGTTCCTGCTGTAACGACTCGGACTGTTTAACTACATTGATGCCCTCTCCAGGATCAAGCTTTACTTTCCAAAATGGGTTGTTGAAAGTAAAAAAGTCACCAAACTGTCTGGCTGGATTTGGAATATAAACTTCGGTTCGATTTTGATTGGATTCGGGTGATGCCAATGGGTTTATATACGTGGGTTTTCGCAACACAAGTGCATATGGAACAGTATTTCGTACATCAAACGGTTTGTTTAAAGACATATAGTGCTGCTGCATTTGGTTATACGCATCTTGCATAGCCACACCGGCTATATTCATATATAAAATAAAGCAGTAGATAGTAATGGCCCAATGTAATCCAAAAAATAAATATTAGCAAGCCAATAGATTTCAACTGTCAGTTAAAATAAATACATGGTTTAAAATAGATACCTAAACTAAAGTCTACTTTAATCAACGATTGAAACACATCCATTAATGGCCGAAGACGCGGCTCTATGAAAGATTTGCACTCGGACTGGACTACCTATATCATTGCAGACCATATACATCAGTATGTATACTTTACATCATTCTAATATATATAAATAAAAAAACAAACCATGGAAGCACAAACAGCAGCGGGAAGTGCTTCGTTATTCTCGATTGGTGCATGAATATTGGCAGTATTTCTTTTTAAATAGGAAATCACCTCACGAACTGTTGGAGGTCTCTTGAATGAATACCTGAAGGAAAAGTTTACACACTTTCCATTTCGAAACATGTGCTAGTAAAATATTGGACAGAGTTAATAAGCGTACCACATGGGATTTAAAGTAACAAGGATACATAGTACAATCAAACTACTTACCAAACACCATAAAGTTCCTTCAAGATATTGTTTGACCATTCCATCGTCAGACAAATCTTGCTGAGTTGCTTTGGCTAGATTAATTTTAGGCACAAATATATCTGAATTGGATGCAGAGGTATTTATGGGGTTAATGTTAATCACGATCTCCTTTTCCGATTCTTCCTCTTCAGAGCTTTCAGCATTTTGAGCTGCTGCAGTACTGGATGCTGATGGCTTGCGACGGAGTTTTGGTTCTTGAATTTTAATTGTCTCTAGAAGGTCTAGTAATGCTTTGGTGCAAAAGCTTTTAGCGTCATCACTGACAATATGTTGAAATTGAATGGTTTTTGAATACTTGATGTATGCAGCCCATGTTATTGAAATAGGTACCTTGGGCAATTTGGGCAGATCTACAATAAAGTCAGTACTTGCAAATATCCAAAAAATAGTACACAAATCTACATCACGTACAATCATTTCCACTAAATAAAACTAGCGCAGCAAAGTCCAATGCAACCCGCCTAGTATCTTTTCCAGGTACCATGCTTTCAAGACTTTTGTAAAATGATTCGACGGAGAATACTTCATTTGTAGAACTGTCAATTACCAAACAGTCGACGTTGGCTGCAATGGTTTGCAGGATAATGTCTGTATCTGATCCAAGAATTGCAAACCGCTCGTTCGCTCTAATTTCAGCATCTTGTTGCATTTTGACAATTGTTTCAATAATTTTGAGCTAGATGGATTCAATATAGCAGGTTAGATATGTGATCAAGCATGATAGGTTTACGCGATGCCGAAACAGCAATCCAAACCAGTCTCTTTGCTACATACCTCGCCTTCTCCAGGAACAGATGGACCACTAATAATGACGGATGGTTGGGGTGCGTTTTTAGGTGATACAGCTAAATGCTTGCATGCATAGTGCTCGAGATACCGTTCAACATCGTCCATAAACATGCACCCAGGAGTGATTTGTCTGGTATCAAATCTCGAATATGAGCATTTTTTCCGATTTTCTCCCGATTTAATTCTACGAGACCTTTGGAGCAACATTTTTGCTATTGGAGGAGGACCGTCTACAGAAAGAAAAAGCTGGCGGGTGACTCGAATTGCACCATGTTGAATTATTTGTCGAAGTTTCTGTCAGTTGTTCAATCATATCAACACCATAGTCAAACTTGTCAAAAACCTGTTGAAAAATCTACAACTTGAAACAGATTTCAACAAAATGATCCAACCTTGACCACTTGAATCATCAACGAGTTGGAGGACGCCGACCTGTGTGCTTTTAAATGCAGGATAAAATTGATGTCTACAAATATATGATCTATTTCTAATGGTTTTTTTCTGTATTGAAATCACATTATTAAAACAATCAAATGACAGGTCAGAATTCAAACCATGATTGGATTATACGATAGTTTCAACTCAAACCACTTGAGAGGCATCATATAAAAGAATTCACATACTTTTCTAGAACAGCAAAACACTTTGGCATTGTTTGACGCATCCATGCTCGTAGTTTTGGCAAACCCATTGCTGAGAGTTGACTTGTTTGTGAAATGAAATATTTTTATATTTATTTTGCACTCTTATTCACACCAAAATAAAAAATGGCCAAATATTCACTATTTTTTTCAGTCGACTTTTGAAGTGGCTCAGCGCATTCTTTACATTCGAGTTATTTTCTGTAGAATTCAAAATAATCAGTGAGACACTGCAATGTAGTTTTAATCTTTGTGAAATGTGTTGGACGATTGACAAACCATGTCTAATCAGACAGTTGCTTGTGAAATGAAATATTGTTTAGAATAATATGCTTGTTTAAAAAGTCAATATTACAGTCTTGACAACTTTTTTGGTCAATCTTTAAACACACCGACCATCATATGACACATAATCATACATTGTACAATCACAAAGTTTGAACCCAGGTTCATGTATTGTATTGGACTGTCAATGTTGTCAATACAACTCTGTACATTTGTTGTATTTTGAATCTCAGATACAATCATGTCATGACATCGGCTGTTTATTATACATTGACGCTCTTATTTAATGCTCCACTACAAGTGAATATGGCTGTAAATAGCGATCTGCAACCTCCTGTTTCCTTTTTCGCATAAACCAGTCTTTAACTTCTTGCTGTGACGGAACACTCGGAAGCTGTATTTGAGTCATATCAAGATACTCTGCGCCTTCCTTGCCAAATCTGTCAATCACTGCATTTTTTGCTACAAGATCGCGATTGATTGAAACGTATTAGCTATAAATCCATTTAAACTAGTCAAAAATCATCACATACTTTCAAGTTCCTCTTCTTGCTCAAAAGCAACAAGGCGACCATTGTCTTCATCTCTATATCCATAGTAATCAGAATCTACACGATGCCACATGTCTTCTGGCGCAACTTTTGTGCTGTCCAGAGCTATAAAAAGTAATATCAGTAAAAGTTGGTCATAGTTGGTGTGCATATTCATTGCAGGTCAAATTCCCATTAAAAACTCTAATTACTGTACCTGCTTGCTGAAACAATTCTTTTATCCCAGGAAGTTCGGTAGCTCTGCCATAGTATCTGTATCCTTTTGTCCCTGGGACAGATTTTCCCTCTAGATCCAACACATTTCTACCTCGTCGCTACAAAACCAAAAAATATCAGAGACTGGATAAGCTAAATAGTAAAGCAGATCAATGACCACTTACAATATAGTCTGTTCCACCCAATTCCCTAATCTGAACTTCCCAATGCCGTCGCTCTCTCATGCGCTTATTGATCTCGTCATTTAGATCACGAACCTGAAAGTCCGTCAGTCCAGCTAAACCAACCCCATATGAATTACTATTTATCCAGTACAAAGTGCAGATCCATCTCATCCTAATGATACTTACAGTCCTTGATGTGCTCAATCTTTTTAGAAATCTCTCGAATGACGTCCCGACGCCATTTCTCAGCTTCTTTGAGGGACTTGACTGTGGATGCCAAGTATGGCCGCTTCTCATTGCCACTGCTTCCTCCAGCCTCAATTCTCTGGGCTTCTCGAAACCGATACAACATAGACTGTGCCTTTTCTTCATTTCGTGCCTAATGAATACAAAGTTAGTTTTGCATGGCTATAGAGTTATTCTGGAGTTTCAACCAAGCATGAGTTCAAGGTTCCAATCAGCATGCAGAGATGAATTGAGATAAATCATATGCAAACTGTATGGACTTGAGTGCGATACTCTGTTTTATCTGCTCAGTCATGCAAACAGTAATTACCATTTTCCGTGATTTTGTTGCTGTCGGGAAAGAATTTGGTTTGGACGCTGATAACAAGTGAGTTGATATCACGTGATGAATCAGAGATCTTTGCACACATCAAAACGCTTAGCATAAATGAGTTGTATTTATTGAGATATTAGACTATTCTTGTTGGTTTTTGAGCCCATAATCCGCTTTTTTTTAGTTGGATCGCGAACGGTTGGTGGTACGTGATTAGGAGTCCACGGACCCAACGAGTCTTTGGCATAAAAGTCCATTGGATAACTGGATTCCCATTTCGGTGTTTGTTGAAACACAACAGCAGCTTCGTAAGGAGTCAAAAGAGGTTTAGAAAATGAATATCCCCAATCAATTGAAAGCCTGGGACATGAGATCTGAACCCATGCATCCACATCTGTAAACAGTGCTAGTTTGGCAGGGAAAATCTCTGATAAAAGGACCGTTACAAACGGTATATTGTGTGCAACAAACTGCGATTCCAAATACTAGAGTCAAAACCATGTTTCCAATAAATTCAATACAAGTAGTATATGATTAAAATGCATGGTCTGGTTCAATTATGGCAAATATTCATATGCATACACCTGAATCTAATTTAAACTCACTTTTCGAACCTTGGGACTGCCCTGACGACCCAAGGTGCCTACAATCAATCCAAATTTACGAGCCTTTTTTCCTTGCTGAATTGCATATTCACGTAATTCTCGCATCTCTTCATGTTCATAGTACTCACGAGTAAACACTTTTGAATATGGATCATATCGATACGCGGGCAAAGTTGGATTGGCAATCATGATAGACTCGAGATGAAATCTTCCATCGCCAAGATAAATAATCATGTCTTGGTCCACCAGCTTTGGTGCAGTGCAGCCAAGAATTTCACCAGGTGATAAGGGTTTGGCTTGAGGGACAAATAATGTATAATCACTTGCTAGATCTTTTGACACTGCCTAATCAATTAAACAGTTTACAAGCAATACCTGTTAAAGTGCATTTCATAAACCACTCATTGGAAATTATTGCAATCCTCAGCACGTAGTATATGAACTGTATTACCTGAAGTGATGCAATAAACTGAATAGTTGCAACAAGTGCAATGCGTTTTCCAGTATCAATATTTCTTCGAACTGTTGCGGTAAAATGATCAGAATCGATTGCTATATCTACAAACACATACAACGTTTTGATGGATGTAACATCAACTGGAATCAGACAGCTGTGTCCATAATGTACCATGTAATCGCATCCAACAGCTCGTGCAGTGTAGTCGTCAATACAGCATGCACCATATGTTACATCACCCATGACGAGTGTTTCCACATTGGCAAATCTATTATTGAAAAAGTTGATAAACAGACTCGGTATGATGCATCTGCAAGTTTTAATAACGTAACTCACCTTTCAAGAATATCAGCGATTGCCAGTGCAAACATGAGCAATCCTTCAGGAAATTGTAATGCAACTAGAAAGTGATTGACGATTGCTCAATAAATCGCAATTTGTCAATTCATTCAATACAACTGTTCAATTGACCCACCTTTCTTGGCACCATGTTTACGTATTTGCCAAACACTTTTGTGTATTTCAAAATTGTAGTTTGCTGGAAGAACCTTGATGGCATCATTGAGTTGCTCATCCATTAAAATTTCTACTGGAATGACCGACTTGATATTAGGAAATGCGGTTGAAACACCTGTCGAGTATTGCAATTGATTTCAGTTTAATGAATGCATTGAGGAATCATTGGCATATTAAAGTGCACATGGTAAATGTCGTTACCAGATAGAGTCAATGCAGCGTCTTGTACATTTTCGTTGTTAGAAGCAATCTTTTGTTGCTGCTTTCCAATAAATCTCTTTCTTGCCAGTTCTGCCCTGCTTGATGCATTCGTAGTATTAACAGATGGTTCACGGCAGCATGACGATTGATGGATTTTATGAATATCATCAGTGGGATTGCAACACTCTGTATTTCCACATGATTGCGAACTCACTAGGAATTTAAAAACTGTGAGTATAATGGCCATTCAAGTCAGTTTTGAACATTTCAACTCACTGCTGAACAAAAATCTTGCAATACGTTTGGCTAAGTGAATTCATTCTGTTGATTTCACAGTTAGCGACAATGTGGATGAGAACAGAGAAAAAATCAGAAAATGAATTGTCAGTAATCATCAGTGTTGTATTTGGAAAGTACTCGTGTGAGATTCATTTAGCTAGATATTTATGATGGATTGAGTGATGTTCTGTCAGTAGATTGGTGATTTGAATGGCAGGAGCGTCAATCGTATCGTGTATCATGGCGACAATCTGACTTGTTGGTACGATCGGCTTGCTAAATGGTCTGCGCTACCACCTGCTGCAACAGCAGTCTGCTTGATACCATCAGAATGTTTTCAAAATAACGAGTTTTTACATAAAATATATTTCCCTCTCATTCCCATTGTCGCCAAGACTTGCAAATGGAAACTCGACGACAATTCCCTCATTCCAAAACTTTATTATTTATTTTTGTACCCACTTCACCAAAATGATACTTGGTAACAATGTTATTAATAAACTGGTCCAAAATATATGCAGTCAATCCCCAAATTCGATGCGTTGTTCCAGGTACAGGCCAGGTGGAGATCTTGACTCCAATTCCCCGAAAGGTTTGAATCTGTTGCTTACTTGGATCCAACAAATCGACCATAGATATGGCAACTACTTGAGCCACTTCATCCTTGTTGAACCATACATCAGACACCTGTTTGATATCAGATCGAATAAATCCAATATAGGGAGTAACGATGGTGGAGTAAGTTTTGCTTGGAGCTGGAGTGGATTGACCCAAGATCTGAATGTTGGTTGATGGGATGCCAATCTCTTCCATGGTTTCTCTCAAGGCAGTAGCTTGTATTGAAGTGTCAACTGCATCTCTCACTCCGCCAGGGAATGAAACTTCGTTGCTATGAGTGCGGAGGTTGGAGCTTCTGACAGTAAACAAGACACTTGGAATGCCATTGACAGTGCATAGAGGAACCAAAACCCCAGCTTCTCGTACAGGGGATTCGGTTGAAAACTTGTATCTGATATGATGAGGGTTAATACCAGATGCAGGAGTACTCAGTGATCGAGTCAGGAGCGAAGTATATCCATCAAGAGTAGTTTGATCAAACATAATAGAATGAGAGTCGAATCCTAATGGAGACTGCTGGCCAACAGCTTCTGTAGCCAACAGGGTTGGGGTATTTAATGTCGCTCTATTAGATATGAGGTTCTGCGAACTCTGACGGTCTGTTAAAGCATCAGCAGTAGAAGAGGATGGTTTTGAATGATGGTAATAAGGGGCAGATGAGTACATTGCTTTAGTTGTGTATAAAAACATTGCCCATCTGCCTCTTCCCTGCTGCAATAGTTGTGATATGAGGACCATCTGTAACCCTGTAGTTTATTGTTACGTTTTAATGGCTGATTTTATGTATTTCAACTTTAATCGCTTCCAACATTTCTAATCTCATATAATTCCTCAACGTCTTTGATGACGGGCGCGCTGAGCTTCTGCTCTCATTCCAATATAGTGTGTGTGGACTGACAGCAACAGCAAAACCCCATTTAGCAAATGAAACGCACACAGCGATGCTACAACTGTACACATGATTGCTGGGATCGGGTATACTTGAAACATCAATTGCATATACGAATATCCACTGGCAGCATTAACATGGTGTTGTATACATATATCAGTACACGTTGCGTCAACCCATAAATAGTGTGAGCGAAATACTTACAATTCACTTCCTCCAGTAATCATAATTGCAAGAAAAACAATCACGCCGTTTTGAACCAGAAAGCTAAAAAAGAATACAACCAGTCCAACACTTGTGTTATGCTTGACTGCAAAATACAAACGGCGATACCAAAAGATAAAGGATAGTGGTAATCCAAGCAGGAGCACAGCAAGAGAAATTCCAAACGTGGCTCCTGCAATGGGCGACTTTGTGAAAAAAAGCGATGTTGCAGCAACAAAGTTGGCTAAATAGCAGATCGCTGTAACTAAACATTATATAAAGACATGTGTTAGATCATTTCATTTTTACATATAAACATATTCATTTGAAATCAATTGACATATTGACTTGCCATGCCAGGCAAAAAATGCTCGTCTGACAATTCCTTGTCCTTGTGATGGAATATCTTGAGAGATATCATGATATACCATGGGATGAAATCGAGGCCAATTTGGTGCGCAATAGTCTTGTTTGCTTTTTACATTTTTATCAACTACAATCTGTAATGTATGTTAATTACCGGTATAACGTACGTAAAGGTTGAAATAGTTTTGATTACATCTCGAATCGTGTTTATAGCATGGTACTCGAGATATTACACTGAATTTCATTATAGGTATGCACCTAGTGCTTCAGGTATATTACAAAAATCTGAATCCAATCAATTCTTTCCACTAGTACTCACTTTGGTTTCTTTTACACTGGGCTGGTCATCCTTGAGTTCTTTATCGGCTTGAGCGACTGGTTTAGCTTCGGGGGCTAAAAACGCGCTCCAGCCAGAATACGCTGGCGGCGGTTGAGGTTGCGACCGCACTGGCAACGGTGGTGGTGAGATTGGAACAGATTGTACAGGCTGTACCGGCTGTATTGGATAATTTGTCGAACCTCCACTTCCCCATGCACTATTTGAGTTTCCAGCATACCAAGCCATGTCTAAAAAAATAAAATTCACAAGTTTAATTTGGACAAGTGAAAAATCATCCAAATTGCAATTGAATCTTTTACAAGAATAGCAAGTAGTTTGGATAATCACCAACTATCGAGCTTATAGGCTATGCAGGAAATATACAGCGCTGCAGTCTTGTTCTGCTCCAACAGTAAATGGATTTCCTTGTGCGTTGATATATCCGTATCTACTGGAATTGACATGTTGTTTGAATACATTATAAATCAGACATGTTCAATTGTATTTTTATAATTACACTCAAAGCATGCTGATGTGTTGCTAATGTGAGACCATGCTAGTGGAAACCAGACACGATCGAGAATACATAAACCAGAATCAATCTACCCAGAGTATTTTAAAACAGTCGAAGCAAATAAAAAATATCATTTTATTCAAAAGTAATTCTGTAAATAATGCTAAGCTACCAACTCGCAACTCACTTGGCACCTACAACTGCCTGCTTAATTGCCTGCTTACCAATTTCTTTGCCAATATCCTGGCCCACTTTGCTGTTTGCAACACCTTGTACAGCTTGATCTCTTGCTTGATCAGTTGTTAATCCCTTTGATCGGAAATATGAATGTGCAGATTTCATCTGCCAAATGCCAAACAGAACTTGAAATGACATCATTGCAGATGAAATCAAACAGCAGATGGCAGATCCCAAATTGGACGAAAATTGCGAAAACATGTAAATGTAACCCCTTGAATCAAACATATTCGTTCCAAACAAGTCAGATTGGATTATAACCTACACATTGTTTTTACAAGACATGATATGCTTACGCTCCACCCCATCCGGGAATTCCAACGCATAGAACCACCATAGCAATCAGATGCACACCATAGTTGAAGAAAAAGAACATAAAGTTGATACTCCGATCATGCTTGACTCCAAAATAAATCGACCGATACCAAAAGACAAAAGACATGGGAATGCCAATACACATGATCAAGAGGGAAATGCCAAATGTTGCTCCAGCGACTTCCGCTTTTGTTATCAAAAGGGAAAAGGCAGCAATGAAATTCAGGAAAAAGCAAAGGGTTGCCACTAATTTAAAATCCAGTATTAGTAATTTGACAGTGGAGTAAAAATAAAATGCAGTACATGACACACTTACAATACCATGCAGTAAAGAGTCGTTTGACAATCCACTGACCAGATTTTGGAATGTCATTTTCAATATCATGATATACCATGGGTCGAATTGGAGGCCAGTTGGGTGGGTGATAATCGCCTGCATCCCGTTCACGAATCGCCAACTGAATATTCACAGCAATCCAACGAGTTGGGTTGATATTTTCAATATTTAGAATAGGGAGTCCATTTTGAAGTCAATTAGACAGTTACAAACAGCCTATTCAGTGCTGCATCGAATGACTCTGAATTCCCATACGTTACACTTACTTTGGCTTCTCGCAAACGCAGCTCAGCTTCACGAGTATCCAATTCAATTTCACGAGCAGATCGACCCTGGGGTGCAGCGAAAGCTGGTTGAGTAGAGTATCCAGTTGAGTACATGTGGTGAGAGTTGTCCTGAGTTCCAGAATTGGTCATGGCAATACTATCAGATGCTGCTGGTGCATCCCCCCAAATGCTGTTGGATGCATATCCTGCCATAGTATGTTTTTTGAAAAGAGAATTGGCTAATTAGGATCAAACTTTGTAACGATTCGTAAACTTGCTTGAATTCGAGTCAAATGCAATTTGAACAAAAACGCGGAGTTTTACAACAATCGAATTTTAGTGCTTTCAAAAGTAATTTTCAGCATCCAAAATTGACTCAATTCTATTCGCGTAAAATGAATCGCCAAATAAAAGGACCGAAATGCATAAAAAGTCGTGAGATGATGTTAATTTGCCGGAAAATAATGCCTTTTAAACTCTTTAGTTGACTAGCACGGAAACAACAAACTCAATGCATGGATTGCAATGAGTTTGGTTTCAAATTCAGTGATTGTGCAGTGTATGACTATACCAAATATGATGGACATTGTGCTGATTGAAAAATCAATTATTAGAAAGACGTAACGAATAGTCAGCTATCGTTTATTCAAGGATAAATACAAGTGTTCCGTTTTATATGAGCACGGCTGAAAACAAAAGAGGATCTTTTAGTCCATACGATGGATTGCATCCACCCACGATATAATCTCACTTGTTACGCCTTTGACATACAAAACTCCTCGATCATCACCTAGTCGCATGATCGAGTATTTCTCATTTAGTCTTGCATCACCGTCTAGAACAGGAAGACATTCTGCCGTGACTTTCAATCTTTTATCTCCACCACCACCAAATACCTTGACCAATTCCATCGTGCTGCCGGTTTCTATTTCGAATCGAGTGAGTTCATCAAATGATGGCGGAGTGGCATTTGTTGAAGGCATACACCAACAAACAATGTCAGAAAATACTACCAGCATGCATCTTTTTCCGGTAGTCATGGGCACACCATAAATTCCCACAGCACCGCCAAATTCAATATCCCTAGCTGTGCGGGCATGCGCAGTATCTGCAAAGCCATTGTATACAGAAGCAGACCCGACTGCAGGGTGCATGGTCGTATTAAATCGGTACTCCCTTGTGGCGTGACACACTGATTGACGATGTTTAGATGATGTAGCTGTTTTTCCTCGTGTGATGATGGTGAGGTCTAAAGGTTGTGGTGTGGTGTTTGGTTCGACGTATTTGATTACACGAAGATCAGCAGATGCACTGATTTGAATCAGTCGTCGAGGTGGAGATAGTGAGATATACATGCACGCAGGAATACTGGGTATTGAAGAATACAACACCCGCAAAAGTTTGGATAGCCCAAAGGAAGCAGGATCAGAGGATGGGCAAGCTACAGATCGGGATAGCAACTCAACATCAATAGATCCAGGACGAATTTTGATATGTTGACGTACTCTTCTTACACAATCGTGTTCGCTGCTTCCCACCCGCTCCCATTCCCGCTTGCGCTCGTTACAGGTTTCAGCTGTTCTACGCATCTCATCCACTGCACCAACAAGTACTTCATATCCATTAGCATCACTACCAGCAGCCTTGGCCAATGACTCCAAAAGCATAGTGTATCGCATAAGTCGCTGGATAGGCATAACCAAATACGATCCAAAGCTTATTTGCGTGTGTCTGGGATCAAGCTTGACTTGTTTAAAAAAGGCAACGCATTTCCGTGCTGCCAAAAAGGTTTTTTTGGATGTGGAGGATGTGGTCATACTCCCAAGAGATGCCAGCATGTTTGAAACACCCGAGTTTGTGTTATTTCCTGTACCCATGCCACGTAGTCCACCATTTCCACCAGAGCCAAGTAACCCCGTCAATCCCTTGCCTGATTGCGTACCCAAATCCTCCAAATGCTTCAAATAAGCACTAGAAAGACTGAAATTATTCATATATACCGAATAATAGTCCAGTAGAAATTCACAAATCGAAGCTAAAAATTCGCCAAGCTTGTATGCTTCAGATTGAGCCAAAAGCTTTAAACAAGGGAAAACATGGTCACGATGAAATACAAAAATAGGCTCAAACACTGTTGAAAATATAAGCTCAATTTCATGATTTTCCATAAGCTTTGAATTGCACAACGGTTGGTAGTACAATTCATGCAAGTTTGTAAGCTCGTCCACATATGTTTTTTCCGTCGTGAGAATCTCTGTAATAATTCGACTACATTTTTCAGATAGCCCTATATTGGGAGAAGTTGGAGATGCAAGAAACTGTGCGGGTGGTCTGGACATGGGCGACATTTGAATTGGCAACGGCTGCAATGTGTCATCCTCTGATTTTAATGACTGTGTTATCAAAGTAGATGAATTGGATAGCATGCTACTTTCAGCAGACCAGCGTTTGCAATCAACCGATAAAGTAGGAAGTGATGACTCAAACAATAGTGGATAATTAGACTCGATTGTAGACACGTCTGTGCACAAATCAAACTCGTCTCGTAAAAATCCTAAAAGACGCAGCAAATATCCGTGTCTGGGGTAAACTGTTTTTGGAAAAAGAGTATCAACCGCTTGAAGTGTGACGGTACCCATCGAATTATTTTTGGACTTGCTGTCGTTACATACCATTGCACATGAAGTAAAAGACATATCTTTGGCCAGACTATTTTCGACAGATGATCTCAACGTGTCCGACAAAGGCGCGCTCCAAAGTTTTTCTGGAGTAGGAAGCTGGTTGGAAAAGCATCGAATCACTGGCTCAACCAGCTCATTGAATGGATATGCAAACGGATTATTGAAAATATACAAAATCCGCAAATTTGGAGCAAGATAACCCAGCGAAGACGGTAAATGCTGCAGTAAATTGTTGCTCAGAATCAGTGTATGCAGCATATTCATATGCAAAAACAGCTTGCAATCTAAAAACATTGTGCATTTGAATCAGTTTTCAATAAAGTTGAGCAAAGTTGTGTTGGAACTCTAGTTTTTCATAAATCACAGTTCAGTACCAACATATAAACTTACCAATCTGGCTCAGCTGATTCATACCCAAGTCAAGTATCCTTATGGATTTTAATTCGCAAAGCCCTACAGGTAGCTCTTCCAAACAATTATCTCGAAGACAAAGTCGTTCCAAACTTTTTAGCTGCCATATACTCTGCGGTAATCTTGACAGCTGGTTTTTGGCAAGACTAAAAACACGCAGACTTGTCAGAGAGTCGAGTGCAGATTCGGGAATGAATCGGATAGAATTGTTGTCAAGAACAAGGCGAGTAATATTGGGTAAAAGTGCACAAGGAAAGTAAACAAGGGATTGCGAATTGAGGTAACAATCGGGGCTATTAGTATATGCCTGATGTGATGAAACTATAGGTTGATCCAGCTGTTTTGATAAAATATACGGATTGGATTGCTGGGATTGTTGAGGTTGCAGGTGATCAGCAGGAATAGCAATAGAGTTTAAACCAAAAGGTAATTTATCATCCACACATTCTAATGACAGTGTCTTGTGTTCGAGTTCATTACCAGGCTGATTGTCTTTGGTATTCTTAATGTTTGGCAAATTTCCAGAAATGTACGAGACGGGCAAGACTTGTAAAGGCTCATCTTGAAGTGTGAGTTTGCTACCACCTCCTAAAACCAAATCAAACCCAATGTCCAGCCGCATATCCAAGCATCCTCCTGTTGATTTAACAAGCCCCAAAGGCCCACGACTATTGTTACTTGTATAATCTGCCAATCGAGTATCGTTGGATAAATCGGCAAATAGATTACGAACAAATGAATCAGATACTGATGCTGAAAGTGGCGACAAAGATCGGTTGCGACCTTTGACTGAATCCGTTACGCATCGTTGGCGTCCACGATTTTGCTGAAGCGTATCGCCATGTATAGGATATAATTGTGAATCAGTAGATAATACCCGATGACGAACAGGTCTTTGATGTAAAGAGCTACGTGTCGTTTCAAAAGGTTCTTTGGATAAAAAGGTTTGCTTAGGTTCGATACTTTCTGGATTTTGCACAGTTTCATTGGAAGTGATGGGTAAAAGAGTGTCTGGTACGGCTGTTGTAGTAGCTGATGATGGCAATGCAACTTTTGAAGAATCAATCGGTGCCATGACTGAAACAGACGACATTGATTTGGATTGCGTTAATGAATGAGATGAGGAACTTGGCAGCTGAAATCGTTGTGAAGGTATTCGTTGGTGCGACACAAAAATAATACCGGGCTCCTCGCGATTGCAAGCCTTTTCAGTAAACGCAACATCTTGAATATCGATAGGTTTTGCAAAACACTCGGAAACAGTTGTATCAGAAACAGATGGTAAGATTTCTGATTGTTTCTTATAAATAAGGGGCTCTTTAAGACTGGATTGTTTCGATTTGGGCAATTCTGCATTTGGTAAAGATGAAACTGTTTTTGAAGATTGCGAAAATAGTTGTACTGATTCTAGTACCGACAAAGTGTGCTGTGAGTCTATCGATTCTATCAGTAATTCAGCCAACTGTACATTGCTTTTGAAACTAGGTGAATCCATTTCAGCAGAATGATTCAACTCAAACTGTTGTTTTGAACAAGGTATATCATTCAAATCGACCAAAGTACCACCATAAAGCGTCACTTGAGAGTCAGTGGTGAAATCAGAGAGATTGCTAGAGTATGGGCCGACTGATTGAGATGATGTCAGTAATGATGTAGTTGATAGTGTCGAGTTGTCACTTGAACATCGTGGTCTTGTTAACCAAGGAGTTGAAGCATTTTCCTCAACAGAGGCGGGATCAGATGAGGATTCTTTGGGAAAAATATGTTCTAATTGAACAATAGTTAATTTTACCGATGGCACGGAATCTGTACACTTTTGCTGTTGTGTAGTAGAGTTGGCATGTAATGATACTGATGGAGACTCGGTGGATGTGATTATAGTTTGTACACGAGTCGAGGCAGCCATTTCAGTTTTATCTGAATGATCGGGTGATGGTGCACGCTTTGATTCGGGTATAGCATTCACACTTTTCACCTGAGCAGACTCGGATGATGATGGCATGACAGACTTTCCGTCATTCACCTGTTCAGTGACAGTACTGGTCTGAATTGAAGTGGTTTTGTGTTGGTTGAGCCCAGCATTATTGCTATTATCAGGAGAGGAAGTAAGTTTGTTAAAAAGAGCAATCCGAGCAGAGATATTTGGAGTTGAAGTGGTTGGAGGAGCGACTAGAATTGAGTTTTTGATAGATGGGGTTGATGGAGTTGATGCACTTTTTAAAATGGGACGCGAATGAGTTGATTTTTTGGGTGAAGTGGGAGTAGATTTTGAATCCAAATGAGATGGATTGAAAAGTGTCGATTTAATTGAGGAATCAGAAACAAGTGAAGAAGCACGAGCAGAGGTCTGAGCAGACGGTGCAGATAGTTTTCTATTTCTTAAAGCATTCGAGTACTCTACGGCAGCAGCTTTCCTACTGGCAGCAGTCAAGGCAGATTGAGCAGCGGCAGTGCTAGTAAATGATGCAAGTTTAGCTCCATAAGATTGAGCAAGCGCGGATGACAATACCTTGACTTGTGGAGATGCAATATGTGATGTGGAATCAGAGATATTTGAAGCAGTTTTATGTCGTATGTTGGATGCAGACGCAATACTGGAATCAGTATTTGTAACTGGAGTAGATTGAATGGTATGTGCATGGCCAGGAATGGCAACAGTGGCTTTTGGTGTATGAGCTACGTATGATTTAGCTGAAGATTCTTTTTCAGTTGAGCATTTTGAGCGGGACGGCAGTGCAGAAACTGCAGATTTCTTTTTCGGCTGACTAGACTTTGAAAGATTAACGCCAGGAAGAGTAGATGGGGCTCTGAATCCGGGAGAACGAGCAGCAATTGATATTGGATTGGATTTAGCAACTGAATCTGGTTTGTTACATACATGATCCTTTTGTAGAGTTTTTTTGGTAGTATTGACAGTTCCGATTGTGGATTTCTTTGTGGCTGCAGTAGTATTGACAGACTGGGCAAACGCAGCAGATACGGGAGGATGTTTTCCTTTTTGGGCAGTAGAGGCGGTAGGCATAGTATGAGGATTCACTAGTAAATCTTGAGTACTGTCTTTAATGACCGTAGCAAGAATCTTATTGGCAGCAGTTACTTCAGGACAGGAATTGAAAATAAAATTTGTATCTTGAAGTTCAAGTGTTGGACCCTTGGTATAAGCAGCAGGTCTGCAGTTGGAAGCCATGTCCAGTTCCTGTTCCAGTTCCAGTTCGTGGTCTACCGACTCTTTATGTAATAGCAACTCATGATGATCGGTGATATGACAGTCGCTGGTAGATTTAACAGAACGATAGTATGCCAAACCACACGCCACAATAACAAGAACAAGTGCAGCATGTCTAGTTATGAATGCAAAAGATTCTAAACAAGACTGCAACTTGTGTCCGTGGAAAACACTGTTTGTATCGATATATCGTATTAGTGGTAGTATAATATAATTCCATGGCCAAATCAATAGCATAGTCGTTGTGGTAATCCAACGCAAGAGCAGTTGCTGTAGAGTTGATAATGAAATGAATAAAATACATGATACTGCCACAGTAGCAGCGAGCTGCAACAGTGCAGTAACCAGAGTGAGTATTTTCTGTGAAATGGTTGCTGTTGGAATGTTTGTTACGATTGTTTCTTGAGATGATTCCGTCTCAATAGTAATATTTCCTGTCTTGATAGTAATAATCTTGTCCTAATAGTCGATTCCTGCCAAATAGTTGCTGTTAACGACGCGAAATATAAAAACTTGAATTCGCTCCAACTGTTGAAACTTGCTGTTGCTGCCATGGCTTCTAAAACCTCGACTGCACTTAAAAGACTCATGACCGAGTACAAAGGTATTCACTTGTACTGTTCTAATTGATTCATTTCGATACTTACCCTGTGATTCTGTCTCTAGAGCTTACTCTTAATCCTCCTGATGGTGTTACTGCTGGCCCAGTCTCGGAATCTAACTTTTATGAATGGGAAGCTCTGGTTGCTGGTCCAGAAGATACTCCATATGCTGGAGGAGTCTTTACTGCTATACTCTCTTTTCCAAAAGACTACCCTCTGAGTCCTCCTACTATGAAGTTTATTTGTCCAATGTATCATCCCAACAGTAAGTACCGTTTGCTATTCCCTACTACTTTTGTCTACTGACATGAATGCATCAAATGCTTATTTCTAGTCTATCCCGACGGAACTGTTTGTATATCTATCCTGCATGCTCCTGGAGACGATCCCAACATGTATGAGCATGCATCAGAACGCTGGTCTCCTGTTCAAAGCGTCGAAAAGATTCTACTATCTGTTGTGAGCATGCTGGCAGGTAGGATCTAGTAGACATTCTGCTATTGCCATGATTTGTATTCACTAGTTGCTAATCCCTCACTGGCTATACCATTTAGAACCCAATGACGAGGGCGGTGCTCATGTGGATGCATCTAAAATGTGGCGTGAAGATCGCAAGCAGTTTGATGAGATTGTTCGTCAGACTGTCAAGCACACTTTAGGACTATAATGACTAATATATTCATTGAATGTTCAATCCATCTGGTTGTTTGTCTGTCGGTAAGCATAACATGACTGTTTGCTGTAGAATCCCGTCGAACCTGAAGACGTTTTTAATTCGCCATACGTAAAATGGAATACTTGTATTTATCCTGCAGTGATTGTTTTTGGAATAAATAACGGTCAACTATTCAGCTTTCCTATTCAAGATTGACTTGAATAGACAATCTCCATACAATATAAAATATAGATTTGAGCTGTTTTTCACTTTTAGTAGTTGTACAATCACCAGATTCGTGCATTGCGATCCACATATTGGGCTTGACTGTTTCAACTTGTGTCCTAAAATATCACACACATACTTGTTTTAGTTCAAGATTGTATATATCAAAAACACGACTGTTTCCATGCAAATCATTCAATGTTTTCCTGTAATATCTGAATGAAGGGAGAGTTGGAGATTGAACAAGTGCGGAATCTATTGAAACTGCGATTTAAACATTTGTTCAATGACAACAAAAATGAACTGAAAAAGCAATGTTGTAACAGTGAATTAGGTGGAAATTGACACGAATGATTTCATGAAACTGACTGTTTATTATGCACTTTTATCTAGTATTCCATTTTGCGTGAATACAGCTGTGAAACGGTCTTGTATCAATCTGAATTCTATCAAATAGTATCGATGAAGCTGCATAACCCTTTACCAGAATCTCTTGATGTGCAATGCACAAAAGCTGCTTCTATTTTAGAACACTTTGCTAAAGGAACTACAAAGTTGGATTCTACTTTTATTCCTTTTAAAATTCTAGAAAAGGCTCGTGGGTAAGAGTTGAATCTACTTTTATTGTTGAGAGTTTGGAAACCAGAGTTTTCAAGACCAGCACATGTGTTGGTAACAATGACTTTGGTAGCCTTGATTTGTAAACCATATTGTGGGCTTTAGTAGTCCAATTGAGGCTTGAATTCTTTACATTCTTATCTCATGCAATACTATCTGTTTATGTATTGGTTTATGCACAATGGTTGCTCATGCTGCATTATTGGGTGGTTGAATTCAACCAACGTGACGCTTGCTACTTGAATGTACAGGTGTTGCGTCCAATTATCAATGTCAGTGGAGTCATGGATTCCATCCACCATTTCAATATTTAAACTATGTACTAATTTTTAATCACCATCTCAACCCTTGCTAGAATTGCCATCATCACAATAGTAAAAGCTGGATTTCTTTGGTCTGGTCGTGCTGGATCTGGCCTTGTCGTAGCCCGTCTTCCCGACGGCTCATGGTCTGCTCCATCTGCAATCATGGTTGCAGGTGCAGGCGTAGGGGCTCAAATCGGTGCTGAAATCACCGATTTTGTTTTTGTTCTCAACAATGCTGCTGCCGTACGATCCTTTAGTCATAGTGGTAATCTCACTTTAGGCGGAAACATGTCCGTTGCTGCTGGACCGACTGGTCGTACAACCGAAGCTGCTGGAAGTATGAATATACTGTGAATTTCACCAATCCCATTGAAATGGATACTCATTTAACTTTTATATTAGTGATTGCCGATCTTGCACCTATTTACTCGTATTCAAAATCTAAAGGCTTGTTTGCTGGTGTGAGTCTGGAAGGTACTGTGATCATCACTAGAAATGATGCCAACAAGGCCATGTATGGGAAAAAAGTAAGCGCGTTGGATCTTTTATCAGGAAAAATTCCCCCTCCGGTAGAAGCTGGACCTTTATACCGCATGCTTAGTCTCTCTCGTTTTGCAAACATGGGCCAGTCGAATAGTAAAATAGAATGTTTAAATTCACCCCAAGGTGGTGATGATGCACATGCAGATCTAGGATCATCACAGTCTACCTCGAACGATGTTGTGAGAAAAACAAGTGCGAGAATGTCGGAAACTGAACGGGCTGCTAAAGCCGAAGCCATCAAAGCGAGGTTGGCAGCCGGTTCTACACTAAAACGGTCTCACGATTCATCTCATCAAACCCTACCGGAATACGCATCTGAAGGGTCTATATCTCGCGTAGGTCCTGCTCCTATTTCATCTACTTCATCATCTGCATCTAAGCTCAACGATTCGCCATTTAAAAGTGCCAAACCCTCGCAAAAATCACCACCGCTTGTAAAAGCCAAACCGGAAATGAAAAAATCCATTGCACTGTTCGATTTCACTGGCCAGCGCCAAGGCGATTTGCAGTTTCGTCAAGGTGATATCATTTGGATCATCAAATCTACACCTAGCCAAAACGATTGGTGGACTGGAAGATGCGGTAATTCTGTAGGTGAATTTCCAGCAAATTACGTCAAAGTAGAGTGAATTTGCTCAACCAGTGGTCTGATTTATACATACTCATGGGTTATATTCAATCCAGAGCCATTTTGTTTTTGATGTGGGTTTAATGCAATTGACAATTGGCACAGTTTTTTTCAATAAATTTATTTGATTGCTATATTCAACGCAAGCTTAAGATTTATTTTTCAACTCGGCATGTATTGCCTTGGTAGTCTTGACATTAAAACATGTTATACCCTCGGAATTTCAATGCTCCCCCATCGCCCTCCACCTACTTCACCACCAGCAAACCCTGAGCTCATTCCAGGCACAACCAGTCCACTGTCTAGCCCATCTCGCTCTATATCCCTTTTAAATCGCAGATATGCCAACACATTCTTGAAATGCGTAGCAGTTTGCTGAGATACTTTTTTGGACCGTTCACGGAAAATCGAAACAGGAGGTTTAGAAGTGTTCAAAGGACCACCTATACCACCAGTATTTGTACTCAGTCGGCCATTTAGATCCGTATCTTCCTCATCCTCTGCGCCATTGCAAGCTCCCAGGTTGGTTTGAATCAAATCAACCAATGATGAAATGTACTTGACGCTTACAGCTTCGTTGCGATCGCTGAAAAACCATATGTAGCGTTCAAGAATCTCGACAAAAAGTTCGACATTGACAGATGGGTCCATGACTGAATCTGCGATTTTCAGCGCTTTTTGCAAGCATTCAAGGACTCGTCTAGCATCTCTGTAAGCAGGCTTGCCTTCTTCTCGTTTCTGACATTTGGTTCGGATTGGACCAGAAGTCGAAGACGTGACGGTAGAAAGCAAAGCTGAGCTAGATCCATTTAGAACCGTATCGACTTGTCCTGCATCAGCCCAGAACAAATGACTGAGAAGCACAACTCCCCGACATTGATCCACTCTTCTCAAAAGTCTTGAACAGTGCACAGCGCATTTGGTAATCAAGGTTTCGTAGTTTTCATATCCGAATACCGTTGTACCGTATAGTGTGCCCATGATCTGAGTAATGGCATTGACTTGAGCTTTGGATTCTGATACAGACTCCTCATATACAACCAACGCCTGGACAAAAAACTCGTAGCACATTTCTTCTTGGTGCATTGAATCGGAAACCTGGGCTGCAAGAAGATGGAGACGAAGCGATACATCGGGTGGGGACATGAGACCGTGCCCAATACGAGGAATAGTCGATGAAGCTGAACCGTAATCATCTTTAAAAAGAGGCTTATACCCATCATCGTCGCTAAAATGCTCTTGAGCTCGACTAAGTGAGGTGATGGTTTCGTGAATGGTTTTCAAGATTTGTGGAACAAGATCGCGAGGGTTTGTAGCATGTCCAGTCAAAGCCATTGATTCTGCAGCAAGGGTTGCGTTCCAAGGTGCATAGTAACACTTGCGAGCAAGTTTAATTAGGCATGTCACGAGTGGAGGCAAAGTGAATCGGATTCGAATATCACCCCCCTCTCCAAAATGATTACGAGCAACCACTAAAAGCTTATACTCTTGATCTAAAGAGTTGTCATCTGCTCTAAAGGTGTGGATTAGTTTTGCTAGGTAGGTTTGTTCCTCGCGCGCATCTTCCCAGTCCAAAGGAATATCGGGCTCATTGGATGCATAGCGTGATTCATCAACTCTAGATACGACAGAGGAAGGGCCAGAGAGTTGACCATGAGGTTTAGGTTTGGCTCCAAACAAGCCACCATCGATCTGATCACGAACCATAATGGTGCCAATCTCTCCCAATATAAAATTGACACCCTCGATTGTTGTGATTTTAAAGTCATCATGAACAGCTGCACGAAGAGCGTGTGTAGCAAAGGCATGAGCAACTTGACGGCGAATGCCATAGGGTTGGAGAAACAGTAGCTTGGTGTAATTTCCACCCAAGCATACGCCCGATGAGCTAGCATCCGATGCATCCTCGCTATCGTGAGTAGAACTTGAAGGGAAATCCAAGATACGCAGCACATTGGAGTTGTACGTTTGTACAGGCCCCAGGAGCAGCTGCAGCAGCAATGATTTAGTTTTTGAATCTGTCAGGGTTAATTCATCAACCAACAGAGCTTCCTGGACCTTTGTTTTGGCAATTCCAAGAACCTTGTCAATGTGACCCAATTCATCAGGGTAACAATTGAGCGATAGGTTAGCGAGAGAAACCAACAATGCGATGGTATCTTGCAGGGTGAACTCGGGTCTTGCTTTGATCAGTTCGGTAATCTGTGTCCAAAACACATCAAACAGTTTTACATCATCAGGGATACCACTGATTGTTTGAGCATCTTTTGCACCAGTAGCTTCTTCCCGAGCACGGGCAGCATATCCAGAAAAACGATCAATCAGACTAATCACAATCTGTTTTACATTCACAGTGCGCTGCAACCTGGCGGTAGCAGACAAGAACATATCCAGACATCTTAGATGAAAGTCGTCAGGAAATACTTGAATAACAACCTCCATCAAATATTCCTGAGCAATTACGTCCCGACAGCTGACAATTTCCTCAAGAAGTTGAGGCATGATATTTCCTTGATACATGGCAAGACTCAGATCTTCCAGCTGGCTCAGACGAACAAGGTTTGATCCAACAAGCAGTCGAAGCTCCTTGCGTTCAATCTCACGTTTTTCTCTATCGCGCGAATGCCCTTGATGCTGTAAACGCACCCACAGTTTATTCATCTCAATAAAGTTTTGAAGAACAAAATGAATCGAGTCATCGATGCCACCATGAGGGGATACATGCTGGTCGGATCCATCAGGAAGAAAGTCGCGAGTGAGTCCGCTGAGATAATAACGCAGAAACAGACCACGAGTTGGATGCTGAACGCCGCGAGTCATGTCAAGCATATCTCGCATGAGTTCTTTAATAGGAGGAATGTCTTGTTCTTCAGGTTTCTTTTCTTGGACTGTTTCTGTCAAGGATGGATCATTTGGAGAAACGTTTTCCTTGTCACCGCCCGAATCAGAGGGTTTATCCACTATAGAAAATGTTTCTCTAGAAACTCGCATATAGACGGCACCCACAGTGATCATGAGATAGAGTCTTGGGATTATATTTGCAGCATACTGCACCAGTTCGTACAGATCTGACAGATGGTGACGACCCGATACATGCGTTTCGTAAAGATAAGTTGACAAATGTCTAATTTCATCAAATATGGCCATGTCTAGATTTGGACAAGACAGTGATTAGTATGCGATTGCAACCATGACGAGATGAGATGGACATGCGAGTTAAATCATACATAGCTCGTAGTAGTATTTTGGAGTGAGAACAGAAGTGCGTAGTTCAGCCAGCATAGTTGAAGCATGTTTGAGAGCATCCATGAGTTTGTTGGTGTTCTAAAATGAATAGAATAGAATGAATAGAATGAATATCTGTTCATGATAATATGAAAGTGATAAACCCAACTCATGACAAGAACAATGAATCCAATTCCAACACACTCCAACAGCAGTGCTGTTCTTACTAGACATCTTCGCATATGATAAGATTGGACTTTAACTACACCAAGGGCTTCTTCTAAAGCCCGACCTTGATCAAGGACAGGAGGAGTTATGGCTCCAGAGCCAGACACACCAGTAACACTCCCAGGATTTGAATTGATAGAATAGGTGGACATGATAGTAGTAGATCCTCTCACTACCAATGACTGTGGTGACCCTATGCAAAGCTTGAGCAAGCGTGAGCAAGCGTGAGGAATTCAACTTTGACTTTTGATTCAACTGACAGTTTGCTGTCCAATCAAACTCATCGTCATATTCTACGATTGGCTCAATACTTTTATAAAATACATTCTTATAAATTCATTTCTTGATTCTTGTGCTTTATCATGATTCATTCACATCCCTTTGGTCGCTCTTGTCCTGCTAATCCAAGGCATAAAATTAAACTGCCATCCATCGTATCTCGTTTGGATAATCCTATGATGGTACCCATAGATCCACATGATGAATCTGTATATACACTTATTCAACATTCTCTCGCTCCTACTCGCTCGTCTAAACAATTGTATCGTTCAAGTTTTGCTGATTCAGTGCGTGCTCAACTTAAAGCTGCACGTCAACCATCTAAGCTTGTACTAACTTCTCGGTCTAGTACAGCTGTTTTGGATGCAAAGGTTACTCATCCTAGTCGTGGATATTCCTCAAAACGACTGCCTCCAATACTCGCGTCTGCTAAACTACACGAGCGCGATGTGTCTGCATCACGTCGCAACGGTAATGCTTCAGTACTGACACTAGTATAATTTATCTTGTGGTATTGGCTCTAATATTTCCAATGTGAAATAGGAACAAGTGATCAAGGTGTAATGAGTACTACTGGCGGTTTACAGCCGCATTCACCACTAAAAAAACATGGCTCATCACAACCGTCATTGTGTCCCTTGGTGAACAAAAAAATCCCACCTTCTACCATACACCATAGATATGAAATTGAACGACCTTGTTCATCTAATCCATCAAGAAAATTAATACACGACAAGGTTGCACCTGCAGCAGAAGGAATACCTCGATACAACTCTGGCAAAAAATCTGCCATTGATAATACAACTGTATCTTTTATAGATCCACATCACCCACCACCAAAACATGGCAACAACTCCACAAATCATCATTTCGCTGCTTCACTGTCCCAACCAGATAAAATAGACAACAGTGTACGTGCTATGAGTGATCAGGAGAAAATGGGAATCATCAAAGGTTTAAAGGTAAATTTAAGCAAGGCCATGGCGCAATATGGAAAACTTCCAATTACTCATGAAACACCACAACGATTACAGCGGTAAGTCGGATTGGACTGAATCTATGATTTAAATGGTCGAGGTTACAAGTACTGACATTGGGTTTTAATATAAATAGGAAAAGAGCACTAGAACAAACAATATTTGAATTGGAAAGAGACATTGAGATGATCAGTAATGGACAACATATCCTGATTGAGCAATAGCAGTATGGACTGGGTCAGAAACAGTTTTAAATACCAAAACTAAAATCAATCGCATTTTATATTGTAAATCTTGCCCAATAAAGTGTGGTGTTTAATAATATATCGAATATCATCAAATTTAGCAGAGCTCTGATATTATCAATCCATTCAGGTTTTATCGTCTTTGAGATTCTCTGAATAGAGTATAGGCAGTTTTGCGCACTGCAGGAACACGAATCCATGCTGCCACTGCGCCTACACAAGCAACGATATTCATTCCCACTGCAATCTAATCAAAATACAATTAATACACTGCTCATGAAATGCACAAGATTAATGAAATTAGTACCAAATAAGGCTGCTGGAAAGCCTTTTTGATTGTCTTGTGACGAAAGTGTTGCATGGCAAGTGTTCCGCCAATCCATCCTCCAGCAAGTGCAGATAGCTGCAGATCCGACTCTTTAACTCGCCATCCCTTGGTACTTGCCTGATATTTGTCATAGTAAAATAATCCATACGCTCCCACATTGACTAGCGTGAAATAACCAGCAATGGCAAGCATGAGATTTTGTGGAACTGAAAGTGGTGGGTCTACAAAGTCATAATACCCATATACATGAGGTGTAAAAAACATTTAAAGGTTAGATGCAACTTGACAAGAGTTGGCAGAAATGTAACTTGAAATCAATGTTTTCATACAAGAGCGAGTAGAAAACTTTTTCGATAAAGGAATGCATTGATGGCCTGCCTGTCTAGTAAAAACAGAGGTTGTGGACAAGAGCCGATTAGCAATTGTACTCATGATTGTCGTTGCACAATTTTGAAAGAAATTTGAGAATTATTGGTCGATTTTTTTACAGCCGCATTCACGTCAAATGGATTACTAAATAACAGTGTCATGAACTGATTGACAATTCAGTGGTATTGTTGTTGGTGATTGACATGCATGGTTGTATTACTGACATGTGTCATGATTGTTGTTGAACTAGATTGCGATCGTATTCGTGACTCAGAATACAACATATCGATTGCAATACATGAATGTGGGTTCAAACTTGGTGATCGTACAATGCATGATTACTAAGAGTGCACAAAGTGTAAATTCAACATTATAGTATGATTGTGTATCATATGATGATCGTTGTATATCAAACACGTAGTTAATGTGTAACAAACCAACCGAATATGTAACTATTATTTTTCCGAGGCAAGCAAAGTCACCGCAGGATGAATACAAGTGATCCGTTATTTTACGCAAATACTGTAGTAAAAGGGAGCGTTTGCGGTTATACAACACATTTTTAAAGGGTACGCTTTTCAAGAACCTGATAAAGGGTTGTAGGTGCACGATATATTTGGTATAGATATCAAATTGATCAATATGATACTATGAATAGGGAGAAGCATACTGTTTAGCTTGATATTGGCTCACTACAAGCAATCCAATAGCCCTGTGTCGTTGGTTGACCTAAAAGGGTTAGGGTTGCTATACAAAAAGTATAAATACAATACATTCAGTCCTATAATCGACACCAGTTTAAATACTCTACTTTTCCATCCATTGTTTGAACACATTCACAATCTAATGAAATTCATTGACATTTTATTCATGCTGGCTGCGGCAGCAACCGCTAATGCAGCACTGGTTCCAGCTGGTGGAGATGTCCCATCTCAAGCACCTGACACCTCCAATCAAGCATCCGGAACAAGTAAATTTGGTGCAAGCACTCCCAGTCAAAACTTGCAACAACCAGTTGATCAATCCGATACAAGCACTTCTGGACAAAGACAAAGACACCCAGCTGATGAGTCCCATCCAAGCACTTCCAGACAAAGTCGAAAGGATTCAACTGATGAACCCCATTCAAGCACTTCCAAAAAAGGTCAAAAACATTCAACTGGTAAAGCCAAGTCAAGCAGTGCAGATTTTGAGCCAAAGACTCTAGTAGACGAAGAAATTCAGCAAGAATTCGATGATCTAAAAGAAAAAGTTAAATTGCTTCAAAAGAAACAAAAGGAAAAGTGCAAATTTTATCTCGATAGTGTGAAGGAAAGAATGGAACAAGGATCAGCATCAGCAAATGACCGAGAGAAATCTGGACTAAAACACAATCCAAAGGTTGAAAAGCGATTGAAAAAAGAGTGTCAAAAAGCAATACAAAAAACAGAGGCTTTTAAAGAAGAATTAATCCAGTTTGCGATAAAGCATGGCTTGATATTGAATTTGAATTGATGATGCGCCAATGAATTTGATTTTGAATAAATTTAGACTTTCTGATGTGTTGATATCTGTCGAGTATTGTGAATGAGTCAACAACCATACCATTGATTGCGTGCTGCATGTTTGTACGGATATGGTTTGTCTCCATCAAATCATTACACAATCTGTATCTCAGCACTCGTTTATTCAAAATAAAATGTATTCAACCACATGTTCAAACATGTTTGGCTACAGACAGTTTGTGGGATGAACTGCATATCATCGACTGAGCTACACTGCATGATCTACTATGCCATTGATACACACGTTCAATTCAGCAATGCAGCTGTATTACAATGCTGACAACTATCTGAACCAATTCAGTACAATATGTTACAACTAAATAGATTCCATTGACACATCAACAGTCATGCATACCGATTGTTGAACATGCTCGTGTTGGTTGGTGTGCATTGATACAAGTTGTCAAAGCCAACCAACAAATCACTATATCTGTACGGATTGTGTACCATGGCATATGTTTGAACAGATACTGCACGAATCATTGTCATTTGGATTGAATAATCAACAAATACCATTGTGACTACACATGTATGCATATCTGAATGGGTTACAGTCGAGTGTGTTGCATTTCATGACACTCGATTGAAATGTCATGATTGGATATTTTTCCAAATAGTAAAATGGTATCTCGTAAAATTGTTGAAATGCACTGATTATGGGATTGGATAATCAATTGGATACCACTGCTCACTTTGTTGGTGGCGCACAGCGTTGATCGTTGTATAGTTGTCAATAATGTCCAATTGCTCCTGCATTATACGGCAGAATCTTGCATTGTTCAAATTTTAGCACAGTATATGACTTTACCAGATTTCAATCCCAACATGACTGTTAGTTTGGTAACTGCCGACTTGACTTTGGTAACCATATGTTGATATATCAGCAATCTGTTGTGTTGTGCTGATGTAGATTGATTACTATAACCTATTGCTGCACGATCTTGTAAAGCATGTATTTTCTGCATATGGTTGACCCAGCTATGTTGCTGATTGTGAACCACAGTGTTACATTGTATATCCATGTTGTTGGAAACCGAGTTTTTCAAGTCATTGTGTTGTGCTGATCATTTCTGTCAATGTGATTTGTGCTGCTATAAACTCGACCTGCATTGCCGATCAAGACACATGTCTGCTTGACAGACTTGCATGAAATACATCCGTGACCTAAACACCACATACATTCAGTCGTGGATTTTCAGATCCAGCATCTTCGGTCCAGTTGGCATTGCAGTGGATGGACAGTATAGTGGTACATTGACCAAGTATGAGTGATGTATTCATCGTGTATTTGATATCAACATTGACATCACAGCGTTCCAATGTTTGTCAGTCGGGTTGTGTATCAACATCGACACTTGTTTGACGGCTGTCCAACAGCTGGTTTTAAGTCTGGGTATGTTGCAACCATTGCATACACTAGTAATTGGACTGCTTCATGATCAGGCCGAGTCGTGGTAAACTCACCTTTTCCAGCTACTTTCGACTGTAGTCATGGCTCGATTACAATGTGCAGCAGTCTGCAGCAACACATTCCATACATTCCAAACATTGATAATACGTCATTAAAGTGGTGTCTGTGTGATTGATATGGTCCGATTGACATGATCTCGGTTAACTTTGATGTCGAAACATGTATGTATTGGTTCAAAATGTTTGAAAATACCTTGAACAGTCGCGACTTGATCAAATCTAGCAATGCGCAATCATCACTTGGTATCAATGTCATTGACATATATAGCGACTGCAACAAATAAAGTGCCCGTTTGAAGTGTATCAATGCATATGTCAAACACATACTTGTTGTGACGGCCAACTGTATGACCCGAGTCACTCTGTCGCTTGTATTCACCTGGCAGATCCAAATAGTAAGACTCGTCAATGTTTGCATTGATGAATGTGTTGTTCGTACGGTCAACTATCCAGTCGTGAATGTTACAGTTGCTGATGGCCGCTAATGTTGATAATATGCTTAATCAAGTGAGCCCGAGTATCGATGCGTAGGTTTCGTGCAAGTTATTCCTTGAATTTGTTGGAACTGTATTGCCACGAGTCTTGCTTTGGACTTGCCGATTGATCCGTCGATTTGTCCGTCAATCTTGTGGTCAATGTCTTGACCCATTTTGTATTGGTGGTATGTGTTACACTGTCCATGTGTTGTTGTGAGTTGACGAGCTCATTTATGCATCTGCTGGTTTCCAAATATCTGATTTTGAATATTGCATGGTTTTTTGCCAGAAATGCGGTACTACTATATCAATGTATTGTGCCAAGAACTTTGCAATCGAATGGCTTGGTCAGGGTCATACATGACTGAATCCAGTCGATTTGGTCTTGGATTACTGATGTTTGTGCAGTTGGATCCACGATTTGTCTGCAGTTGATTGTTTGATATTGGATTGTGTCGGATTGACTAGAGTATCAGTAGCCTTGCTCGAGTGTTTAGAGTCTCATAAACCAATCAGTTTTGATTGATTGGTTACTTGTGGATCGACTTGGCTCGATTGACTGCGTTCTATCGAGGTTCCACAGTTCTTGTTCGGTCATCCATCTGGACACGTCGAGGTATACCCGTTTCCAGTGTTTTCAATGACAGTGATCGAGTCTTTTCCAGTTGGGACACTCGATTCTATGTTCATTTCTCAACTGATTTTGTTGGTTGAGTTGTTTCGAGTCTTGTGGCATGCTCTGTGTGTCGACATGTGTTCCACTGCTGTGAATTCAGTCATTTTCAGTATTGTCCATTATATGAGCATTGTTGTATATACCCATGACTGCTTTCTGAAATACTGTTGGTGTGGGTAACAAAACAATGTAGCTTAACAGCGTAAACCTGCATTCATCACGATATACAACAAACCTTGCCGTTTCGATGTTATAGAATGTGTATGCCTTTGATTCCGGTTAGTACCCAACCCCGACGCATACTGTCATCCCAGAGTCAATTTCTCGAGTGACGATACTGGAAAAAGTACATGTGCCTGACATCCATCTGGACGTAGGTGAGCCATAACTGACTCGGATACATACCATAGCTCGTAAG